GGCTGGATAGAGGGAGTCGCCCTGTGCCGCGAAATGCGCCGGTACAGAACTAGGACGATGGACGATGGGGTCGACCACAGCCGTTCGTTTTGGTTGGATGGATTATCGTTCATAATTTCTTGTCCGAGAGGATCTAGTTTCTGGGATCGCTATGCGTGATTCGGTCGCATACGGAGTACATGTACATGGCTAACCGCTAATCACGTATAGCTGGAAATAAGCGCATGGCTGGATATTGGACCCTCAGCACCTATACCGACAGCTACACCGTAGAGTACACGGACGCGATCATCTCGACGATGCACGTTACGTGGTGGTGATCGGACCGGCCTTGACATCATTTCTGTGTCCATCCGGAATTACGACGTTGGCTGTCTCAGCTGGTTTCACTACAGTTGATATGGCGACCGACATGTGATGCATGGATGTCCTCGGGTCGCATCTGCGCATCTGGGGTTACGGGGGTGCGGGAACAAAGAGAGGTGATGAGATTGTACTCCGTAGATACAGTAGGAATATATTCCGGCATGGAGTCTGTCTCCTACCCCGTATGGTACGGGATGGAATGGAAACTCCAAGGTTCCGGAGTCCAGCCGGAGTCTCCAGACTCTCTCCATGCTCCAGATTCTCTCACCGTAGAAAAAGCAAGACCCCCCAACAAATAAATAAACATAAAACAAAAACTCAAAGGGCGAAATTGTGGAGGTCACAACTTGGCAGAGTAGTCTCGATGCCAACCACCCGCCTCGTAATATTAGACAAGCCTTCTGCGAAGAGAAGCTTGATGGAGAGTTGTGGAGGATATCCTCCATCAAGGCATTTCCGGGCAGAGAGGCGCATTCGTATCACCGCTGCAAGCCGAACAAGAAGACGACAACAACAACAAAGATCTTGATGCACGATGTCAGCCGATCTGGGGGTGGGCTCTTTGTGTGTGTGTGTGTGTGTGTGTGTGTGTGTCGGTCTGTTCTTTTCCAATGATATCCATGGATACACGACTGGACAAGGTTTCCTACATATGATACATAAAACTACTGCCACCATCCTCTACTCCGTACCTACCAGAGGCAACGGAGTACTTCTTCTGGGTTTCCCGTCCTTTGGATCGGCTATCCCGTGCAAGAAGGGAACCGTCAATCCTACAGATCCTCCTCCTCCCCCGAATCCCGTAACTAGCTGGGAACTGGGAACGAGGGGGCTAGTTGTTGAATATACCCTCCAGCTGTCAGGGAATAATTACCCGCTAAACCGAAAGGGGAAATAAACCATTTGCTCTCCGTTGCTCTCTCGCCTTCAATGCGATCGTAGCCCGTAGAGCAGGATTAGGGTCCGAATCCTCCCCCCGAAATCCCCCATGTCGAATGGTCAATGGACCAGCCATCTGGATTTTGATTCGGTTGGCCTTTCTATCTTTATGCATGGAGTAATTTTTAGAACCGGTCTTGGGGTTTGTTTACTTGTCCATGCATGCATTGCATTCGCACCGGCCCTCCCCCAGCCAATCTGTCAACCAGATGGGCGTCGCAGGTTGTTTGGTTTTATTTTAATTTGCTGTCGCTCTGGCGTTTTACAATGTGTACCCTCAAAAATATCGCATCCCGTCCACAACGTGGAAAAATAAGATAAACCCAAACAAAAAGGCACCGGATAAGGCAAGCGTTGATTATCTGCGGAGCCTAGATCGCAATTTCTGGGTGTACTTGCCGTACGAAAGGCGTTTGTTCGGGGATTGGCCAGGAAGTTTGATATGGATGCGACGCGACCATTATTTCTGACGGGTCGGTCTCGGTCTCGTAGACGATGGAGGAACTCCGGCCGATGGGAATGTCGTCAAGACGTCATAAGCGTCGACGGATAGGTAGTAGTTAGTGATTATTATGATACGAAAACGAGAATCCGATGCGGTCATTATTTATCGGGGTTTGGCACTTGCAACGACCCCGTAGACACATTCGAGACCGTGATAGTTTGAATTGAACTCTTTAGTATTTTACGGAGTTCGATAGTTATGCCCTAGTTAATAGCTACACTACTTCTGGAGGGTGGAAAGAGAGGAAACAAGATTGTCATAACTTCATGAGCTTCGCTGCTTCTTACTCCAGAGAGCTGTAGTTTTACGGAGTAGAAGTCGGTGCTAAAGGGCTAGCCGATATGAGCTGCGAAGGGTAACAACTAACAAGTAACAACTAACAAAAAATCCCAGAAAGAGGAGCAACAACTGGAGGCCGATTTCAACTAGTCGGCGGAGTCACTCACCCCATGTCAACCATTCAGATGAAAATGACGCTCGTGGATGGGGCACCGGCCTCCCCACGAGACAAGACGGCACGAAACTCAATCAGGCCAAACACGATGGGGATTGGAAGAGAGAGAGAAGAAATAAGGGAGGGGTGGGTGGGCAAAGAAAGAGAACAAGGTCTCGTCATTGGGTTGGTGGGAGCGAGAGGGCGATCGACTCTGGGTTAGTTTTAGTTACAGTAGTGGGAAGTCTGTCAGAAAAAAAGAAATGGGCGTGGGAACAAAGGGCGGTGGTGCGTAGCTCCAAGATAACGCCAGGACGGGTTCTTGTTGTCTAATAGCAATTATTCCTTGTCTGCCGATAACAAATTACGGCGAGGGAAAATCCAAGCCTAAGGCGTGATGACATAAGTGGTGGTAAATTTTGCCTTCGAGATTGGTATTAGTATTACTACCTTACGGAGTTCGATGGCAGTATACTGGTCCTATATTCAGTATTGCCCGGATGATATGATGTGAAGAATAAGAGCAAAATAAATCAAATCAATCAATTAGGTCCTGACGAAATACTACATCATATCTCCCAAACCTTCTCATCCATTATCCTTCCGGCTTTGTTTGTTTTGGCCCTGTCGCCGGAACTGGTATGGACGGCACCAAACCCCTTGCGTTTCCGTTTCGCTGGGCTCGTGGTTCCAAGATCGGCTCGGACGGCCCTGAACGCTGGCTGGCTTTGGTCTCTCTCTCCTCCGGTAGTGTGGTATCTTGGAAAAAGCTAAACAAAGTAGTGATCGGAGGATTCTGCTGCAATGAGAAGTGTCCAGCTGGTAAGATGAGGCTGTTCTCGATTTCTGTTTGCTTGTTTTGTTCTTGTACTCAGTGTATGTCGACGGCTGCATCAAAGTATGTACACAAGTACTCCCGAGTACTGTAGATAGTAATCGGAGGCTCCGTAGCCATGGAAAGTATGTAAGTCTCTCGTACGAAAAAAAAAGAATCTTTCCCCCGGCCGCAGCATCCCTATTGGACATTTCGGAAATCACATTGAATCCAAACCTCCTGGAAGCAAAATCTCATCTCATCTGCAGTTCCAGGAAGGCGTTTTCACTTCCGTCGGAGTATTTCGATGCTTCCAGTCCCTTGGGGATATGATATCTTGGACCTTGGGTTTATTCTTTCTGCAAGGGAACCGAACAATTATGGATCCCAATGGACTGTCACCCGCACCCGGCGAAACAAATCAAAATTTGAATCATAATCTCCTATAAAGGTACGGAGTAGGAAATGGGATGTGCCTCAGGATACCGGCAGTACCTCTGCATTTACATGTACATGTACCTACATACTGTACATACTTTCTCCGGCGAGGTTTAAAAAGAAAACGAAATATATCCCTTCCAATATGATCGATGATGCGACCGATAGTTATGTCTTGTCCTTTTCTTGTCCTTCTGTTGGTTTCATCTACCTTTCCTACTTCAGCTCTAAACCAACCTGTAGTATGATGATTGTTATTATTTCCATCATAATTAATCGCTCCGGGCAGAAAAAGGGCCTTGTCGCAGCCGCCCCCGGAGGGGGTGGGAAAATCGCGCATAGTTAAAAGAAAAGTGACGATAGGTGGGAAGAGCGAGACGAGAGGGAAAGGATCAGGAGAATTAACGAGGGCCACCCGCACGCGGCATAGCTTTGGTCAAAAAAGGTCTCTCTCTCTATTCTCGCTCTGTCTCTGGCGCTTTCCAATGCCGTACAGTCGTACTGTACAGGAAAAAAAGATGTCATATCTCTGCTAGTACTCCGTAGTTAAAAAAAAATTTTTCATCCCACACGATTTGCCTCATGTCAATGACAAGGATGAAAAATGTATTTTGGCCGAACAGCCGGTCGGAAAATGTCAAAGATGGCCTACACTTTCCGTCGAACAACCTTACTAACGCCCAAAGAGAAAATTCCGGCGCCCATTGACCGAGGACGACCGTACCGAATTTACTGTACCGTATCTCAGACTCCCCAGAATTTCCCTCACTGACCGGAGATGGCCTCTTACTGTAGCTGTATGGAGAGAAAGTGGAGGAGGGGGGGCGAACTCGGCACAGGTCTGCCGGTCATGGAGGCTAAACGCACAGTAAAGGTTACTCTATCGAGTATAGAAGAAAAAGAACCACAGGCGTAAGGCGTGTACCATCATGATAATAATATGGAAAAGGTCAGAGTTTTTCCACTGACTGAGACTAGACTGAGTTCAGTAAGGGATCCACCGAGTTCTGGAGAACCAGGCCATAGAGGGAAACGGAAAATAAGAAAGAAAAAAGAAAAATAAATAAATAAAACCGACGAGAAAAAAAAAAAAGAAAGACGAAAATTCCTCAGGGGCGTCCCGTTAAGACAAAAAATGTGTGCGCGTGTGGGAGGAACGGACCAAAGAGGCAAAGTGAGGGTCGCCTCGGTCATTCACCCACTGGAACTTACCAGGGACAGTGAACTTTCGATCGAAGTGGCTACTGGCTGCTGCTCCCGGCCACACCCCCCCCATTATTACGGAATAACCTAACAAGAAAAAAAAAAGAATTCAGAAAATAAAAAATAAAAAAGAAAAAAAAGAAAAAGTGGGCTTACGCACAGGGAAGGTCGCCCGTTGGAGCTTAGGAGACAAGACGTGTTTGTGTCCAGGTCCCGTGCAAATCAGTCAGTCCCCCCCCCCCCCCCCCCCCCCAAAGTGACATAAAAGAGCGCATTCTCCCACTTCCCCCTCGCCTCGATCTTTTCTCTTCTTTATGGGAATTCTTACACTCTTGCCATTCCTGCCATTTTTTGTTTGCCTCTGCTCATATCGTTAGGTCCTTTAAGGCTTTGTGAGCCGTGTCGCAACAATGGCGGAGCGAAGAATCTCCTATGCTCCCGACGTCGAGAATGGTGACCATTCTCGCAGCACTGCTGATGTCAACGAGGGTGCCGGTCTCGACGAGTACGGAGCGTTGAACCGGTACATCTCTACTGCTCGTGATGGTCGCCGTGGCTCGACTTCTTCTGCCGGTGGCTTCAGTGCCAAGAAGAACAAGAAGCCCTGGTACAAGTTCTGGGGTGGAAAGGAAGATGCTGTTGATGGAGATTTTGTTTGCCCCGATGACTGGCTCGAGACCGATATCCGCTCTGGTCTCCGCGCCAGCGACATTGAGCCTCGCCGCAAGAGAACTGGATGGAACGAGTTGACCACCGAGAAGACCAACTTCTTCGTTCAGTTCATTGGTTACTTCCGTGGTCCCATTCTTTATGGTGAGTCGGCGCCATATCAGCATTCACAACGACGATTCAATGGCCACTAACAATCGCCTACAGTTATGGAACTTGCTGTCCTCCTCGCCGCTGGTCTTCGTGACTGGATTGATCTGGGTGTCATTATTGGTATTCTGATGCTTAACGCTGTTGTCGGTTGGTACCAGGAAAAGCAGGCTGCCGACGTTGTTGCTTCTCTCAAGGGTGACATCGCCATGAAGTCTGTTGTTATTCGTGATGGTCAAGAGCAGGAGATCCTTGCTCGTGAGCTCGTTACCGGTGATATCGTAAGTTTCTTCCCTCCCATTCCGCCTATCAATCTTTGGAAGGGGCCAGCCAGACTGACCGGTTATCTCTCTCTAGGTCATTGTTGAGGAAGGTACCGTCGTCCCTGCCGATGTCCGCCTGATCTGCGACTACTCCAAGCCCGAAATGTTCGACACCTACAAGGAATACCTGATCCAGTCTCAGGACGACACCCTCAAGGAGAAGGATGACGACGATGAGGATGGTGGCATTGAGGCTCGCGCCGGTGTCTCCCTGGTCGCCGTTGACCAGTCTGCCATCACTGGTGAATCTCTCGCTGTCGACAAGTACATGGCCGATACCTGCTACTACACCACCGGTTGCAAGCGTGGCAAGGCCTACGGTATCGTCACCGCTACCGCCAAGCAGTCCTTCGTCGGTAAGACCGCCGCTCTTGTCCAGGGTGCTCAGGACCAGGGTCACTTCAAGGCTGTCATGGACAACATTGGTACTACGCTGCTGGTTCTCGTCATGTTCTGGATTCTCGCTGCCTGGATCGGTGGTTTCTACCGCCACCTCAAGATCGCCACCCCCGAGGATGAGGACAACAACCTGCTTCACTACACCCTTATTCTGCTCATCATTGGTGTCCCCGTCGGTCTGCCCGTCGTCACCACCACCACCCTCGCTGTCGGTGCTGCCTACCTCGCCGAGCAGAAGGCTATTGTCCAGAAGCTCACTGCCATCGAATCTCTTGCTGGTGTCGACATTCTCTGCTCTGACAAGACTGGTACTCTCACTGCCAACCAGCTGTCTATCCGTGAGCCCTACGTCAACGAGGGTGTCGATGTTAACTGGATGATGGCCGTCGCTGCTATTGCCTCCAACCACAACGTCAAGAACCTGGACCCCATCGACAAGGTTACCATCCTTACTCTCCGCCGTTACCCCAAGGCCCGTGAGATCCTCGCTCGCAACTGGGTTACCGAGAAGTACACTCCCTTCGACCCCGTCTCCAAGCGTATCACCACCATCTGTACTTGCGACGGTGTCCGCTACGTCTGCGCCAAGGGTGCCCCCAAGGCTATCCTCAACATGTCTGAGTGCTCCGAGGAGGAGGCCCGTCTCTTCCGTGACAAGGCCACCGAGTTCGCTCGCCGTGGTTTCCGTTCTCTCGGTGTTGCCGTCCAGAAGGAGGGTGAGCCCTGGCAACTGCTGGGCATGTACCCCATGTTCGACCCCCCTCGTGAGGATACTGCCCACACCATCGCCGAGGCCCAGGTCCTTGGTCTGTCCGTTAAGATGTTGACTGGTGATGCTCTTGCCATCGCCAAGGAAACTTGCAAGATGCTTGCCCTGTCTACCAAGGTCTACGACTCCGAGCGTCTGATCCACGGTGGTCTTGCCGGCTCTGCCCAGCATGACCTTGTCGAGAAGGCTGATGGTTTCGCTGAGGTGTTCCCCGAACACAAGTACCAGGTCGTCGAGATGTTGCAGCAGCGTGGTCACTTGACTGCCATGACTGGTGACGGTGTCAACGATGCTCCTTCCCTCAAGAAGGCTGACTGCGGTATTGCCGTCGAAGGTTCTACCGAAGCCGCCCAGGCCGCTGCCGATATCGTCTTCCTTGCCCCCGGTCTCAGCACTATCGTCGATGCCATCAAGCTGGCCCGTCAGATCTTCCAGCGTATGAAGGCCTACATCCAGTACCGTATTGCTCTGTGTCTCCACCTTGAGATCTACCTCGTTACCTCCATGATCATCATCAACGAGACCATGCGCGCTGATCTGATTGTCTTCATCGCCCTGTTCGCCGATCTTGCCACCATTGCCGTTGCCTACGATAACGCTCACTTCGAAGCCCGTCCCGTCGAGTGGCAGCTTCCTAAGATTTGGGTTATCTCCGTCGTCCTCGGTGTCCTCCTTGCCGCTGGTACCTGGATCATCCGTGCCTCTCTGTTCCTGTCCAACGGTGGTATCATCCAGAACTTCGGTTCTCCTCAGGAGATCCTCTTCCTGGAGGTTGCCCTTACTGAGAACTGGCTGATCTTCGTTACCCGTGGTGGTAAGACCTGGCCCTCGTGGCAGCTGGTTGGTGCCATCTTCATTGTCGATGTGCTCGCCACCCTCTTCTGTGTCTTCGGTTGGTTGTCCGGTGAATACAAGCAGACCAGCCCTCCCAGCCCTGCTGAGTTCTCCGTCAACGGTGATGTCGACATTGTCACCGTCGTTGTCATCTGGGCCTACTCCATTGGTGTCACCATCATCATTGCCGTGGTGTACTACATCCTCACCATCATCCCCGGCCTCGACAACCTTGGACGTAAGAACCGCTCCAAGGCCGACACCAAGATCGAGAACCTGCTCGGTCACCTTTCCAAGCTTGCCATCGAGCACGAGGTCGACTCCCACGGCAAGTCTCGCTACACCCTTGGTGCTCGCGCCGAAGAGGTTGAGGAGGATGAGTAAACATCTACGCTCATTTCCTTTTAATATGATCCGCTCTGGATAATCACTCCGCATACATGCATGGGCTGGCTTCTGGGCCCAGCTGCGCATACCCCTTTTTTTCCGTATCATAGACTTTTTTTTTTCTTATTATCTTTTGTCTCTACGTTATAGAGTCAATTTTCTCTTCTTTCACATGTATGTATGTCATTAATAGTGGTAAATTTAGTGAAATCAAACCAAGGGTTCATTCAAGAAAACTGTTTTTCCATCTTCAGCTTATTTTTCCTAACTAACCACAGCATTGGCCTTGGGGACTCGACTGACTCCAATGTTCGGGGGAACCCGTGACCGACACCAACCGACTTGGACTCACCGGAAACTCCGACGGAAGGATTCTTTTTCCTTCTGTTGTGCGCTGGGGGCTGATTTGGATCGGCTAGCAGGTTAGCAACCCAGCACCAGAGCTATCGAGCGAAGCCCCCACGCTCCACTCGCTGCACGAATTCCCAGTTTCTTTGACGCTTGGCAGGCACGGTGGGCCTTTGTGTCTGCTTAGTTGCTCGTATCGTCCTATCGACGCGAATCGCTGCGATACTCGGCCTCGGACGACGCCCGATATGGTGAGACCGAGGTTACCAGCGCAAATGCGAGACTTGCTGCATGTTGGAGCTGTGGTGGATTCTCTCCACCGGGATTCTGAATGACTGATTGCTTGCTTTGGTGTGCTTCGTCGTGCCACGACCACACGAGCTATCTATTTCCATTTTTCACCTGACTATGGGCCATCGCCGGCGTGCCTTACGCGAACGCACTCGCTAGTCTGGAATCTGGATCCTTGCACCCAGCGGTATGACTCGTCCCCTCGTCTCCAATTCCTCTGCTCTCATTCGCGAATTCCTCAAATTGGGATGTTACTCCGTCGTACCTGAGAGTTTCCACTTGGCTCTCCTAACGGGTGACTTGTTTCATGCCCTCATTTCGGCTTATCGAGACCTTCATTTCCGTTTCCAACCGCTGGGATGCCTCCACTGGTACGGAGTAAACGTCTCTATTATGCGGCTTTTTCTGTCCTTTGAAAATTCTTTTTTTTTTTTTTTTTTCTCCATCTTCTTTTTTTCCTTGCTTAATTTAATTAACTATTCGTGGTTGTGCTGACGTGATGGGATAGTCTCGTGCACTGGCCACCTCGACGGGCCTAAGCTGTGATCGCTCTATGTCTACACCGCTGTACGGAGTACGGTGTATATGCTGTACGGTACCTTTCAGGCAGACAATCTTAGAATTCGTTGAATAGACACTCCTCATATTTGCATGGCGTGGAATCATCGTCACTCCGCGTTCGATTATCCCCCTGACAGGCGGAATGCAATTCTCCGCCTCGCTGCTCTGATTTCTCCGTCGCCTGGTCCGGGGTAAACAACTTGCGGGGATCGCAGCACATTATCGCATACAATTGGATGCGCGATATTGGCTTTGAATTCAAGACGGCTGGCTATGCTTGAGTCCGGGAATCATGTCCATCTGCCGATATTTGTGTCGCTGATTGGCATTGTTCTCTCCGCAATTTCTCCTGCGGGTGATGCGGGTTGAAGGAGATTTTCCGGGGAAGTCGAATGCGCAACCATGACAGTATGGCAGTATTCAAAGATAAAATGAGAAGCAGATCATCGCGCTCTTGGAGTTGACGTGGTGTTTGTTGAAATACACGGTGGAATAATGAAGCTCTCAACTTTATCTACGTTGCTGTTCTGCGCCGCAGGGGTCCATTCGGCCGCTGTGCCTTCGAACTCTCGACAAGCTTGTCAGAAATCTTACAAACGTTGTGCACCTGGGACTATTGTCGTCTCGCAGTCCTCTCACCCGGCGGCACAATTCTCGTCCGTCCAGGCAGCCATTGAGTCCCTGCCCGACGATAACTCTACTCAGACGATCCTGATCCTAGCGGGAGAATACAAAGAGCAAGTCAATGTGACGCGATCGGGGCCGATCACCCTGCTAGGCCAAACGAATGACTCGAAAGATGCCACCAAGAACAAAGTCAACCTCACCTGGGCGCAGGCCAATCATGACAACACCGGCCAGGCCGTAGACAATGTCTTCTCGAGCGTCTTGACCGTTGCTCCGACGCTGGAGTCCAGCTACACGGGGTCAGGCCCGACGGGATATCCGGTGCCTGAGAATACGCCTTTTGGCAACGTGGATTTCCGAGCGTACAATATCGACTTTACGAATACTTGGTCCGATCACTCGGATGGACCGGCTCATGCGCTCAGCTTTAGCCGTGCCAATGGAGGATTCTATTACTGCGGATTCTACTCCTACCAGGATACTGTATGTGCTTCGCTCATCTCCCGCGAAAAAAAAAGTATAATAAATTCTAACGAGCGGACAATAGGTCTACGTCGGCAAACTCGGCAACGCCTACTTCCACAAATCCATCATCGCCGGGCAAACCGACTTCATATACGGGTTCGGCACCGCCTGGATCCAATCCTCGCAGCTTCAGCTTCGCAACTGCGGCGGCGGCATCACCGCCTGGAAAGGCACCAACACCTCCTTCGTCAACAACTATGGCGTCTACATCGTCGACTCCTCCGTCAAGGCGGCCAACGCGTCCATCGCCCCGGTTATCAAGGGGAAGTGCCCCCTCGGCCGTCCCTGGAATAGCCTCCACCGGTCGATCTTCGCCAACACCTACGAGGACGAGAGTATCTTGCCCGCGGGGTACATCGACTGGGTCGTTGACGGACAGAGCCGTCTGACTAGCCAGACCTTCCAGGCTGAGTACAAGGCCTTCGGACCGGGGTTCAGTGCCTCTGGACGTGCTGGCACGAATGCCAGCATCGTGCTCGATGCACGGGGGTATCAGCGGTACGATTCGCCGAAGAAGGTATTCCAGACGCCGGAGGGCAAGTTTGGAAACGTGGGTTGGATTGATCGGAATGTTGATTAACTTTACACCACATCACCATTAAGATCTCCATATAGTGAAAATACCACTATCATACACTTTCAGATCCAATCTATACCAACCAACCATCATTAAACCTCAAACCCAAACCAAAAGAAAAAATCTAACTCAACCGATCCAAACCCCCAACCCTCGCCAAATAAGCAGCCCCCGTATCCGCCCAAACCTCATACGACTTGACCTTCACATCATCACCACCACGTTCCTCATCATCAACGAACCCAATCCGATACGCAAACGTCTCTTCCCACGCCTGCCCCGTACTCTTCCATTTAAACCGCGCCTCTCCGCGCAATGACACTTTCCTCTCCCCTTCCCCTTCCCCTTCCTTATCCCCATGACCTTGTTGATGTTCACCAAGATCAACAACCCACGCCCCCTCCCCCTCAAATCGCATCCACTCAATCTCCAACGTCTCCGCCAACAACGTAAAGTATTCCTTTAGGCCCTCGAGGCCGGTGTATTTCCGGCCGAGGAAGGGCGCGAGTCTGGGGAGGCCGTGTTCGAGGGCCCATGGGTCATTGGGGGTGAAGTTTGAGAGGAGAGCTGGGAGGGGGGTTGAGGGGGAGCTGAAGGCGTTGAGGAGGGAGTGTGTGCGGGTGAGGATGGCGGGGCGGGACATTCTTTTTGGTCTTTTCGGTTTTTGGGGTAAGGGCGTGATGGTTGGGTGTCTTCAGTCTTTGGTTAAAGGTATGTAAGAAGAAGATGAGGAATATGAAGGGGAGGAGGAGGAGGAGGAGGAGGAGGAGGAGGAGGAGGTTGGATGCTTGACGGTGTGAACGAATTTGATATGATGTGGTGAAGATGACATCATAAGGAGATACTCGATGTCAATCCTGTTGTATGTTCGTACTCCGAAGAGGTTTAATTACATGCTATAGAGTACATTGAAAGTAGTTCGAAATGTACAGATTCTGCAGTAATGGCCTGACTGAGAATTAGAGTCAAACTATGTCACATCGCATCCGGTCCTACTAAGGTAGATTGTCGCACACCGAGGATTTACTCCGAGCAGCTCGCGCAGCGCTCAAAAAGAATACTTAATCTACTCCGTGCGCAAGACCATCTACTGCACATAATTCATTTTGATTCATTATATACATCATGACAAGGGGTGCAATTGTTTTTCGTGGTAACAAGAAGCCAAAAACCATATGCCAAGTTATTCTATTCAATGTCTTGGAAGCAAACTCAAAAAGATGATAAAAATGTGCTGGACATCAAAGCATAAGGGCATTGGTCTGGTCTGATCTAATTGCGAAAGGCAGGTAACTCGCGGCGGGAGGAAATATCACGGAATGACCCATGGTATTGTCATCGCCTGCGTGATTGACCCTTTCAGGGACAATGCTGGTCGGACGGTCATCGAGTGAAGAAGCTCGATGCATCGATGACCTGTGTCAGGCTAGACACGTCATCCGTCACACACGCACCGTGGTATTCTTACCGCACGCGAGTAGCTCCTGTCGTTGTATCGGGGTATAAGACGAAAAAGCGGAAGGGGTGGAAGTGGATGGGGGGTGAGTGATCTATCAAGGAACCAGAACCTGTCTTTACAGGCCGGTCTTTCCAAGGGCGGCAGCAAGCTCGTCCACCTCTTTGTCTTGCTTCTGGGCGACCTTCTCGTTCTCGGCACGAGCGGCGTCCTCGACAACCTTCTCGGCCTTGTGCTCTTCTTCCTCTTCCTCTTCTTCTTCCTCTTCCTCCTCGTCGCTCTCCTCCTCAAGCTCATCGAGTTCGTCGACACCCCACATGTCCTCAGGGTCGTCATCCTTGCCGTGCTCCTCCTTGCGAGCCTCCAGGACCTCTTGTAATTCGACCACGTGCTCATCTTCTTCCATGAACTTGTTGCCGTTCAGCTCGATGCGGCGTAGCGACGGGAGCGCAGTCTTGGTCGCGTGCAGGAACTGCTTGACACCCTCGGCAGTGATGTCGTTGTACTGCAGACGCAGGGTCTCCACCTTCTGGTTCTTAGCGTCCGCCAGAGCCTGAGCGACCTTGACACCGCCACGAGGAGAGAGCAGGCAGTCGCCGACACCGAGTTCGCGCAGAGCGGGCCAGCCCGGAAGCACTTCAGCCAGAGCCGTGGATCCCATAAGGGTGAAGGTGTTGTCCTGCAAGTCGAGAACCTCCAGACCGCTGGCGTGGCGGAGACCCTCGCGCAGGAGGTGAGAGATACCCTCCTGACGAATTCCATTCTGAGTCATCTTCACAGAGCGCATTCCGGCGGCGTGCACCTCGTAGGCACGAGCCCAGGCGGCCATACTGCCGTTCTCCAGACGATTCCGACCGCAGACGATGCTCTCCAGAGGGGCAACCTCCTTGCCGGCCTTGCGGGCCTCCTCTTTGCGCTCGGCCAGTTCCTTCAGGGCATCGGCGATCTCGGCACCCGCGTCGGGACCCATACCGTTGTTGTTCAGGATCAGGTGGCGCAGAGGGACATGGCGGGAGAGGAAATCGACGAGGGGCTTCGAGGTGCGTTTGCCGAAGGCATTATCGGAGAGGTTGACGGTGTGGAGGGAGGGGATCGCGAGAAGGGCGTTCAACAGATGGGTCAGAGCATCGGGGATCTCTTCGATCAGACGCGAGGTGAAGATATCGGCCAGCTCGGCCACTTCGAGGTTCTTCTGCGTGGCGAAGGCAGCGGCGAAGCGTTCACAAGCCGTCACGCCGAAAGTGTTGCCCCCGAGACGGATCTCAGTATAATCGGCGCTCTCCAGCAAGGGCTTGATATGGGCCTCGACATCCTCGGCGGTGTCAAGCTTGAGGCCTTTGCCTTCAAGAGAAAAGACCTTTGGAGGGGCCATGGCGGGGTAAATTTCAGGGGTGGGAGAGATCACGATTGTAGATTGCAATTCGACGAGAGCGAAAAGTCAAAAATGAACAGACTTTGGAGAGACCGCGTGAGAGAAGGCCGCAGGGTCTATGCAAGCTTGGGAACAGGAACAAAGAATGTGGTGAAAGAATGCAAGCGTGGAGGCGAAAAAAAGGCGAGGGAAAAAAACACAGAAGGCAAAATAAAGGCGGCTTTGGAGACTCTTTGCGATGGCCTCGTCCCTCCGCTAGTCCCGATCCGGTTGGCGCCGATCGGCCTGTACGGATAACGGGAAAGACCATCTGCGCAGGGCATCGCATCATTTGGATTATTCAGCCTCGCTTTTCTTCCGGTTTCTTGCTTCAACTCAACTGCGCTCTTCCTTTTGCCTTGCAATTCTTGTCAATCGCTGTCATCTTTACGCATCCATCTACCATAATGTCTTCTTTTATCGGTTCTTCCAGCGGTAGGTTTCTCCTTCAACATACCCGATGCTCTCCGCATGTTCATCCAATCAATCCAACCGGAGTACCGAAAACTTAAAGAGAAAGACAATAACATAACTAACATATCAATCTCCTATCTAGGCCCTGCTGAACAGGCTCCTCCTGCCCCCGCTGCCCCTGCGCAAGCCGCCCCCGCCGAGAAGCCCAAGGTACGTTGAGTCAACAACCTCGCGTCGCAATCGCCACTCCGGACTCCTCCGACTGACATACATATTCACCACAGCCCTGCTGCGTCTGCAAGACCGAGAAGACGGCCCGGGACGACTGCATGCTGTTCTCGAAGTCCGACGATCCGACACAGGAATGCAAGTCCACGATCGATCAGTACAAGGCCTGTATGGCTGGATTCGGCTTCAAGGTCTAGATTCGCTTGCTCGTTCGTTCTGGTCTTGTGCTGTTGATGGGATAACGGGGTTGCATTGAGGGACTTGGTCACCTCGTGTCAATTGATTGCATGTGCATGCGTGCATGCGGCTGTTCGGTCTTTCTGCATGGTGTTCGGGTTTGGGCTGCGTTGTATATTACCTATGAGATATCTCCTTTCTTGTGCCATAGATATATGTAAACTAGGTTTTTGATTCATGTACTCCATATTGAAATTTGTTTTACTTTGGACTGTCCGTCCCTGTAAGAAGACTGAAGCCGAATTTTTGAATTGAAACTGGGTATCATTGGTTAAATTTTGATCTAAGTATAAAAACACTCATCCTATTGCTTTTTCTTCTGAGTCTCTTCCGCCGTCTTGCGATCAATCAAGCAGCACTGAGAGATCAATTTCGTCAAACACCACAGGTATGCAAGACCAAACCCTCCGGCACCGACGAGAACGTTTAGCACCACCCACAAATCCGGCTTTCCGGGGGGAGGAGGAACAAAAGCCTCTACCACGTGCCATCCGATCATAACCAGATAGAAACAGAAGTGAAGAAGCTTGGTGAGGATGTGAAGTTCGGCGCGTGGTCCCGAATCTTCCGAGGTGGGTCGAGTGCGAAAGATTTCCATCGACGTCGGTGGAAGACCTAGCAGATAAGCCCACAAGAGCGACATAACAAAGTAGGGCACCCGAAGTTCGTCGCGCTTGAGGAGGGGATACATAGTCCAAGATCCGAGCATGTTGGCCCATCCCACCCACGCCCGGGTCTCTTTGGTGAGTCCTCCGTCACCGGCCAGGAGGAGTGTCATGGGGAGCAAAGGCAGCAGGACGCTCTTTTCGTGCACCTGGAATGAGAACAAGAAAAAGCCCCAAGCCACGCAGGAGAGGGCAGGAAGGAGAAGCGAGGCGCGCGGGTGCCGGAAGACGATGGCGCAAGGAACCAAGATGGATGCCAGCGTGGCGCCAAGAGACACTCGCTGAAGAAGACTCGCCTCAAATCGATGAAGCTTGTAGAAGGTGTGAATAGCACACCAAGCATTCGCGACCTTGTCTTCGAACAACCCACGGGCAAAGGGAAAGACTCGGTGGATAATCTGGGTCAGCTGGAACAAGGGCGCGTAGAGCAAGGAGCTCTTATCCAAAGCGATGGGAAGCTTCTGCAGCAGCGGAGGCTGTGGAAGCGAAGCTACGGCCTTTTGGGCATCGACATTGGCAACCCCCACCAACAGCGGGGCAAATAGAACTGCAAAAGCGGCAAGCGTGACGATGGAGATGCAAAGTAGGCGGAGAATGCGGATCTTCGGGAAGATGCAGACGCCGAGAAGGAAAGCGAACATGACCGGAGCATAATAGAGCGCCATCTGCTTGAAACCCAGAGCACCCACGAAAAATATACAGGCCCAAAGCATGCGGCCAGCCAGTATAGCATCTAGACTCGCAACGACAAGTCCCAGCATCACGGTGTTGTACTGAAAGTGGCCGTGATCGATGAGTATGGTCGACGGTTGGAGCAGGATGGCAACGAGGGCGATCGAAGCAGACCACACAGGGACATCCTGCATGCGAGTCAAGCGACGCAAGAAATTGACGATGGCGGGGATATAGATGAGGTATTCGGATACAATCACGGTCGCGCGCATAAACACCTTCAACTGGGGGTCTTCGAAGCCACGGGATTCGTCCAGCGCAAACCAGGCGGGATCGAAAAGGGAGCCACTTCTAACTGTCAGTTTTCGAACAGGACTTGCTGAAACAGAAAGCGAGGCATTCACATACATTTTCCCAAGGAGCCAGCTATGGTAAGCTGTCAATGGCGGGTAATCCAGGCCCCAGTACTGCAGATCGTACGTGTACCACTTGGACATCGGTAAGTGGATTGTCAATTCCATCCAGTGTCTCTGCGCTTCGAAGTCACCGTGCATCGGAGGTATTTTGAATCCTAACAATGATTAGCATCATGGTGTTCCAAGTCCCAAGGGCTTCCACGCCCTGTCATTTCCACTTACCAGAGTACCCCCACAGACTAACAGCCCAGCGAAAGAGGCCCACGGCCATCAAGATAAGGGGTAAAACAAGCCATTGGGAAACACCGGCCCGCGCAGCCCATAGAAAAGAAACTAGAGGAAAGGCAGGCGAAGGCTTCCCATCCGTCTCCAAGATCAGAGAGTCATTGGACCCGGCGAAAGAGGAAGCGAACTTTCTCTTCTTCCGCGGGCGATGGGAAGGGTTGGGAGGAGCCATGCTGTCTTTGAACCTGAGAAATTACTGACAGTCTTCCATTGACCCTGTGTCGTGGTCGATCTCAATGAATACTGAGTTGGTGGTATAGAGACCGGAGACACGATGGAGACGGGAGAACAGAGTTGAAGTTTGGCAGTCAAGGAAGAGAAGCTCCGAGTAACGCTGGGTACCGGGGAGTGACACTCCGGCCGCAGCGATTGGCAGACGGCGATTCAGTACCTCCCAGGTCTCCACTGTTCCAGCGGGTAGAACGTGCCTAGACCAAACCTCATGGAGGAGGCGGTGTGCAAAAGAAATTTTTGCCAACCCCCAGTTTTTTTTTTTTTTTTTTTTTTTCCCTTCTTATCGGAGCTGGCAGTTGCTAAAATTTTCTTCCTTTTAATCCCCCCATCTGCTCCTCTCATCTGATTTTATTTTCTCTTCCTCTCACACTTCACCTTTCTCCATCATCCCTTAACTTAACTGAGATCTAGGATCTGGTTTGATAACTCTTTCCATCTTAGACCTCTTCACTGACGCAGTAGCGTGTATCTTTCAAGGTACAACTTCAACAGACATCCTGTGGGCTTTTTACATTTGAGGGCTGTGGGCTGTGGCATATCGCATACCTTTTCCTGTGGGATCTGTGGGTTACTCTCGTGGGTTTCATCTATAGACGGTTGCATATTTCCTGTCCGTCTCTTGTGGGCTTGAACATTGTCAGTTGTGGGCTACCTGTGGGTATCTGTGCTTAAGTCTCTTCATTTTTTGTTGAGATTAAATCGGGTGATTGTGGGATCGTGAAGAATCTGCCGCACCATTTGAATCTTTCTGTCGGTTTTTATCCTACAGATATATCTTTGGTTTGTGTCACCTACCACCCGTCGAGTTTTTTTGCTTCCAAACTTCCACTAACCACCTCTCTCCCATCAGTTCCAAAATGTCTAAGACCAAGTCGGTTTCCAAGAAGGGTGGTGAGAAGGCCGTTGACAAGTCCTTGAGCAAGGTCAAGGATGCTGGCGTGACCAAGTCTTCCCAGTCTCCTAAGGCCAAGAGCAAGCAGATTGCTCGTGACCTGGCTACCAAGGAGAAGAAGTCGAAGAGCAAGAAGAAGGAGCCTACTCCTAGCAGCAGCTCCGACTCTGACAGCGACGAGGAGATGGACTCTAGCTCCAGCTCCAGCAGCGAGAGCGAGGATGAGAAGAAGAAGCCTGCCAAGAAGGAGGTGAAGAAGGATGCTAAGAAGAAGGCTGCTGAGTCCTCTTCCGAGTCCGAGTCGTCTGACAGCGACGAGGACATGGAGGATGCTTCTTCCAGCAGCGAGAGTGAGGAGGAGAAGCCTACCCCCAAGAAGGCTGAGGAGCCCAAGAAGGGCAAGAAGGCCGAGAAGAAGGAGGATTCCTCCGACTCTTCCGACTCTTCTGACTCCTCCGACTCCGAGTCTGAGGATGAGAAGCCTGCTCCCAAGAAGGAGGAGAAGAAGAAGCCCGCCAAGAAGGCCGAGTCCTCCGACTCCGACTCTTCCGATTCCGACTCCGACTCCGACTCTGACAAGAAGGAGGCCCCCAAGGCCGCTAAGAAGGAGTCCAGCGACTCTGACTCTGACTCTGACTCTGACTCCGAGAGCGAGGAGGAGGCTCCCGCCAAGGCCAAGAAGGCTGAGAAGGTATGTTTGAACAACATCCTATAGGAGCGGAACGGACGCTAACAAAGATCCATTACAGTCTTCTGACTCCGACTCTTCTGATTCCGAGTCTGGCTCTGACTCTGACTCTTCCGACTCTTCCGACTCTGAGTCTGAGGAGAGCGACGAGTCCGCCAAGGACTCCAAGAAGCGTAAGGCGGAGGATGAGGAGGAATCTGCCACCCCCAAGAAGTCCAAGACCGAAGAGCCCGCTGGCGGTGCCTCGGCCAACCTCTTCGTCGGCAACCTTTCCTGGAACGTCGACGAGGCCTGGCTCCAGCAGGAGTTCGAGGGCTTCGGTGACCTCACTGGTGTGCGCATCATGACCGAGCGTGACACTGGCCGCTCTCGCGGGTAAGTTCATTTGTCCCAGCCGCAGAATATACCCGGCATGTAGCTGACTCCGCACAGATTCGGATACGTCGAGTTCTCCAACAACGTCGACTCTGCTAAGGCCTACGAGGCTAAGAAGGGTACCGAGATCGACGGCCGTACGATCAACCTTGACTACGCCACTGGCCGCCCGGCCAACAAGGATGCCCCTGGTGATCGGGCCCAGGCCCGTGCCCGTTCGTTCGGTGACCAGACCAGCCCCGAGAGCGACACGCTCTTCCTGGGCAACCTTCCCTTCAGCGCCACCGAGGACTCGATCAGCGAGGTGTTCGGAGCCAGCGGCAGCATCCTGGGCATTCGCCTGCCCACCCACCCCGACTCGGGCCAGCCTAAGGGCTTCGGATACGTTCAGTACGCCTCCGTGGAGGAGGCCCGCCAGGCCTACAACGACCTGAGCGGCGCTGAGATTGACGGCCGCCCCGTGCGTCTGGACTTCAGCACTCCCCGTGCCAACAACGGCGGCGGTGCTCCCCGCGGTGGCGGTGGCCCTCGTGGTGGCCGCGGTGGCTTTGGCGGACGCGGTGGCCCTCGCGGTGGTGGCCGTGGAGGCTTCGGTGGCCGCGGCGGTGGTGCTCCCAACCGTGGCCGTGGTTCCATCCCCGAGTACAAGGGAACTAAGGTCACTTTCTAAATGTTTAATTGAAACGACATGGTAGGAAAAGTTTGTAGGATTATTTGCTCTTGCGATTTTGATTTTGAAAAAAAGTTCTTACGTTTTCACCACTTATGAACTGGGAGTTTATTAGATTAGACCCGGATAACTAATTCACGACTTCAAATTCTGATGCTTCTCACTTCTCAACTTCTCTTTTCGTATAGACTCCGGTAACGTGACGGGGGTCTTGGCATCCCGCGTCTTTGTTCCTCTCCCATCGGCTGATTTTCCCCTCTCCTCTTTTCTCCCCCTCCCTTGTTTCTTTTGCAGACAGAACAGTCTCCTTTCATTTGATTTATTATCATCCTTCTAGTGACGACATCTCCCCTCATCCTTGTGGAAGATCATCGAACGAGCAAAGGAGGCCTGCCAATGATCCGCGGCGGGAGGACAAGTCAGCTGTTGGCCGTCTGCTGATCGAAGGCAACCACTCATTTGTTACTTAGGAACTCCCCTCGTCTTGTTTACTTTCTCTCTTCCATCTGTATCTTTCCTTCCTACCTTCTTTCTATACAATCCAGTCTATTTGTCGACCGCTTCATCTGTATATCTGTTCTTTGTCCCTCATCCCCCTCAGGTGGATCGCGTGCATAGGCCCCAAAGACCCGTCCCAAGCCAGCCCCATCACAACGATCTGCAAGAGTCACTTCATCGCCCAAAAGATAAGATAATCAGGGCCCACCCCCTCATTGCCGATTGATTGATCGTTGCATCGATCGCTGCTTGACCGCTCCCTTTCTTCCAGTGGGCTGATTGTTCCCCTCCTTGGTTCCTTTTATTCTTTTTCTCTTCTTTCGACTCTTCTCTCCTCTTTTTCTTGTTCCTTTTCCCTCTTCTCTATACCCAGTTCTCTTGTCCTCGTACCAGCGCCATGCAGCCCAACCACTATGACCTCCTGGGTCAGGTGCAGGATGAGCCTCGCCCACGGATGACGCGAGAGGCTCATCAGCAGCATAACCCCCTGCCGTCACGCTCGCCATCTGGTGCGGCGCCCACGAGATCAGAAGGTACGTGATGCTCGTCTTGTTTTCTCTCCACGATAGATATCTTACTCCTGTCGTTACTTCCCGACGATCTCTCCTGCACGTTGCAACATGCATGCAGTTTCGCTATCGTTCTCACCGCCATATTATTTTACCAACATGTACTCACTACAGTATTATTTAGATTCATGGATCGAGGTCTCCTCCCAGCCCTCCTCCTCGTCCCTGTCGTCCGCCGCCACCAATGATGACATTATCACTACCGGTCTCCGTGTCGAGCAAAATGGTTCTCGACCATACCATCGCCGTAGCACACGGCGTCGCCTGCAACATCTGGCTGCCGTCACCACGGCACAGGTCGATTACTCGTCCCGCGAGCAAAGCAGTAGCCAGGATGAATATGAAGAAAGTGAAAGCGAGTCGGACCGCGTCTTGAGCAGTTCGAATGAGGACATGGCTCGCCGCCCGCTGGCAGGTCCGTCCATGACCGGACTGAGACCGTCGGTCCCGGTCTCGGACGATGCACCCTCAACTGATGACGATGATAATTCTACTGCGTTGGGGATGCGGATCAGCTCGTCTCCCTTCGTTCCGCAGCCCAACGTCTTCTCCCATCCCCCCGCGTCACAGGACCCGTCCTGGACGAGGCCGCTAGAACGACGTCGTTCTCAACCGAGTGAGGTCTCCAACTGCAGCCGTCGGACCGCCATCCGAAGGAACTCCCAAGCCAGTATACGGTCAGCTCGAAGGTCGTCAACACAGCATAGCCCGTACAACATGATCTCTCCTTCACACCACGCTGATCACGACGCCGCCCTCCGAGCCAGCCTGTCGACTTTACTCTCCTGTGCTGCCGCAGCGCGAGGTTTGCCCAAAAACGACTCGCAACCCTCGCAAGCCCCACAGTCAGGTCCCTCTCGGGCACCGCCAGCCTCCTTTCGGCTCGTGTCAGAATCGGTGGCCATGGGAGATGAGGCCGGAGAAGAGGAGGCCGCATCGGCTGCCGAGACCCACGATTCTACCAAGTCGCAGCGGCCAAGACCACCGCCAGCACCAATGCCGGCCTTCACGGCAGCCAACTCACCCAAGATCAAACGGCGGTCTAGCTCTCCTAAAGATCGACGCTCATCTTCCAAAAAGAGCCGCCATACCGCCACGGCAGACTCTGCCGGCAGTCCAACAATCATGACGTGGGTTATCAGTGCCGGCGTAGTGGTTCTTTTCTCGGCCATCAGCTTCTCGGCCGGCTATGTACTCGGTCGCGAAGTGGGAAGAATGGAGGGCGGTACTGGCATGGGATCCGTCATGGGAGATGGGGGATTTTCTGGAGGGAAAGCAACCGCCGGGTGCGGTCAGGAAGCTGTCCGAGGAGGGCTGAAACGATTCCGATGGGGCTCTGGAACGTCCGGGTCGGGCATCATTGCATGAGGCTAATCAGCTAATCAAGATCTTACGATGATGACGGAATTACGATGCTCATGTGCATGAAACCCCTTTTCTCTCGTTTCCATTGACTTACCGTTGGTTGGGTCGGTGTTTTCACGGATCTACATACTAGGTCTCTTTCTATTCGTTGCATAAACATGGGGCTGCTGTCTTGGGAAAAGTACCTTGCAGATCTATCCTTGGTGTCTTGTCTATATCGAGAGTTTGACTATTCATTTTTCTGCTCGACTCACTTGCGATCATCTTACTTTTGCACGCTATACCCCCTTTCCCCTCATTTGACGTTGGAACGTGAATCGTCAGTCGAACTCCGCTATGGAATGACTAGCTACGTGGTACATTTGGGCTACGAATCGGGCATTTCTACAGCTATTGTCATGGGTTTGCACATTTGTCCATCTTTGAACTCTTAATCTTATTGTTTGGTTTATCAGCTATTTCCAAGAGCATAACCACGTAAAATCCAACACTAAACTGACATTGAATGATCCAAAAAGTGGTCTCGGAATCAAGATCCAAGTCATTTAGAATAAATCTAGTTCAGTCGACATCAGAAACCGAGAGGCGAGATAATCCGTCAACTTGTTAAGCCTCCTTGTCTCAAGTTTAACTCTGAATCATAAAACACCGTAGAATAACCTGACCAATGTGCTACTCTTGGACCCTATATTCATTTCCCACAGCAACATGGTCCCGGAAGATACTGCCCTGTAGCGACTTACCGAGGACCTTAGATAGAGATGACTTCGGTTCAATCTCCAGAGCGTGTCTCTATACTGAGACAACTTCCCGGCGATTCTCTCCTCTTTCCTGCAAGTAGATAACGGCCGACAGCACATCCCCTGCGTCGGTCACCACTGGTGGACGGCAGCCCCAGGAGCATGCATCCATGGAGACATGTGAACCCAATCCCTCCTCTCAAGATCCAGGAGACACTTCAAGATAGGGAGGTGGGTTAGTTCAACGGCGACAAAGTAAAACAGCCGCCTGTCGAAGTATTTTTGGCACGGGAGTTTTCAACCCCCTGCGCATTTAGCTTAGATTAGTAGTTAGTAGCTTGGAATGTTTGCTCCTCGTATGTCTAGCTGCTCCATGGACGTTGGAGCCCTTTTTCGAGGCATATCAGACCCTGAATCGAGTCCTCCTTCAAATCTGGTCTTCTGCGATTGTAGGTCATATACAGTTCCATGTACAGGTTGTTCGGCATTCCCAGTTCTTTTGGTTCTTGCGACTGGTTTTGGTTATCATCATCCTTGCAATGACAAGGGTTCGATTGAGTTCGGTGTAATCAGCATGAAATGCGAGGCTGTTGATATCGATTATTGATATCATTTTTGACTTCATATATCATATAATCTCAAGGTTGGAAGCAAGACCACGGCAGGGCCTCCTGAGGTAATGCGACAGGATGAAGCTACCATCGATCTAGTAAATATAAACCTAGCGAGAAGACAGACTTTGGGCATCTAGAGAGGTTGTACACATATCAAGCCCACTCTCCTGAATTCACTCAAGAATCCGTACATGAGGTTTAGGTCCTTCATGTATCGTGCTATCTGGCCTATATTCGTTATACAAATTAGTAATTGAATCCAACCGTTCATTGCTCAATTGGTATCCTACCCTAGCAGTGTACGGACCACTTTCAAATGCTCCTTTTCGGTTCCGAATGATAGCGTGATACTCCCGAAAACGTCCTGTGCGTCGAGGTAAGAATTTGCCCAGGCGATAACGCCCGCAATTCTTCGATCAACGGACTCACCCGTCATGTCTTACCAAGTTCATTCCGAGAGTTGTGTTCATTTTCTGTTCGAATTCTTCTGGCATCTTATCTCCAGCCAGATTCCTTCGGCATTTTTGCGAAGAATAGACATTTCTCGAGCAATCAGGTTAGATCGGAACCAGAAACGAGTAATGCGCTCGTTTTCACCTAAGGAAAAGAGAAAGGAAGCGTAAACCCTACTTGAAATTGGCAAACTTCAGCTTACAAACGTCTCTGCTGCGATAAGAATGACAAGCCTTTTGGTGTTTTCACAGAGCTAATGTCGAGCTCGACTTTTCTTGCCAGATTGAAGGAATACATCGCGATAATCCAACTTTAGCACGATCAACGTAAATCGAAGATTGAAGATCCCTGCCTGGGTGACTAAAGGCGCTGTCGATGATTGTCAACGATCTGTTTTACCGATTGAACTCTGAGATTTTCTCCACTTAAAGATCGTAGATGAAAGCCATCAACTATCATCTGCCTCGTAAAAATTGGACTAATTGCGAGGCATACACGTCTTTCAAATGCTGCCGTTTTGGTTGAAGTCTTTCGGCCTGGGAAGGCTCTCTTTCTGGTGCTGACAACGTGCTCTGTCCGAACCAAGGAGGTCGGAGTCTTTCACGCAGGCTGCGACAAGCCCCAAGCAGCCCAAAATGCAACGCATGGTGATGGCGGGGGCAGCCAACCTGTGTATCCCACACTCCTAGTATCTGACATTTTGGGGGATGCACGTTTGCATCTTCGGCGGGGTCTCTTCTCTGCTTCTCCATGTGGATGTTTATGACGCAAAGGTTTGATTTGAGCTACCCCCTTATCGCAAAGGTAGCGGTGTTCACATGGAAATATCAGATTCCTGGTCGAAGGCCACTGTCTCTAGTCTCGATATCTGAGCAACCTGTCCCAAGGATTGGATTGAAGGCATCACTGTGTACCAGTATGGGCTTTGGCACACCCATCTTGTGTCTTAGCTTTTTGCTAGCCATGCTTTTGTTGTTGACATCAGTGGAAACCGTCAACTGCATTATTTGTACATGATGAACGGCCCTTCCAGAGAGTTATCGCGAGATGAAATAACTGGTAGTTCTAGTGGTGCGCAGGTTGACATCTTGCGCGAAATCTGCCCACGCACGAACGTTTTGGTTTGATTCGGGCTTTGATGATATCTCGTCAACCTAATTGCTCAATTGAAAACTGGGATTCTCTGTAAATCCGGCTGATGAAGAACGCAGCGAATCAGCCAGGGATATAAATCGCTCGTTCTGGATCGATACCAGGTTAATTTCTCCGCTGATAGCGAAAGAACCACACTGGTCTTGTTTCTCAAGGTGTGGGTTTTTGGTTTTTTTTGTGTATGGCTAGAGGTATGTTCCCTTCTCGGTTATCGACCTGTTCGCCTTTATAGCTGGTCACGGAACTCTTCTGCTTTATAGGTGCATACAACCGGGCCTGTACTTGATTCGTATCTTTTCTTTTAACGACAGCTTAAATAACGAAAGCGTCTCTTGAGATGGCGAAGTTCTCTCGGGTTCCCACTCGTCGATAAAAGCTCCGATGACGCCATGTGTCACCCTGGTTCTAGAAGTATGTAAGTATGATGGAAGAGAAATCAAGAAGAGCGGAAAGGAAGGGGGTGGGAGAGCCTTTATATGGATCGTAGGTCATTATACGTGGTTAATGGCTTCCAAGCAATCCCCTTGCCTTGATTCACAGTCGATCGGATGATGTATGAATAACCAAGCAGGCCGTGAAGCAAGCAATGCAGACATAATATTGGTAGGGAATGATTTTTGATATTGAATGCTGCTCGGTCAGTGAATCTTATGGCTGGTCCGGAACTACATTCGACGGGACGGAGATCTGTACAATTCTTCTGTGCGGTGAAAAAGACTAGATTCCGAATATTATCTTCACGGTTGACCGTCCTTCACTGACGGACCAAAGTGGACAAACTATTTGCAATTAATAAATCCAAAAGTAGATCGACCTTTAAACGTCGTTTGATTTTGATGGAATTACTCGTCATAATACACCCCCGGGCTTTTTTCTATACGTTTTTCTCTCTGTGCCACTCATCCCGTCGGAGCTTACCGCGACAAAGCAATGTCATCAATTCTCATAATCATCTTAACCGTCTCGGCTGCCAGCTCAATGGCGCTGGTGCTCACCAAGAGAGGCTGCAGGATGTTCTCCTCGGTGATATCGTCCTTCACACCGCCGCTGCGGATGCTGACACCAGCGTTGTGCTGGCCCTGGGCATGACGGTGACGCAGGTCCGTGACGACCTTGATCGAGTTGAGACCGGCGTTCTCGGCGAGGGTGGTGGGGATAACTTCCATCGCGTCGGCAAAGGCCTTCCAGCAGATGGCTTCCGTGCCGGTAAGCTCACGAGCTTGCATGGCGAGAGCGTGGGCCACCTGAACCTCCGGAGCACCACCACCCGCGATGAGAGCACGCTTCTTGACCAAGCAGCGGATGACACACAGAGCGTCGTGCAAGGAACGCTCAGCCTCGTCGAGAATGAGGTTGTTGGCACCGCGGGCGACAATCGACACGGTCTGGTTGGCAGAGGCGGCGGGGGCCTTGATGCCGGTGATCTTCACGTAGCGAGCGCCGGAGGACTGGACCTCCTCAACCAGGTCGGCAGTACCCAGCTTATCTTCGGTAAAGGAGTCGATGTTGGCAATGGGCTTGCAGCCAAGACTCTTGCACAGGAACTCAATCTCGTCGCGCTCGATGTCCTTGACCGCAAGGATTTTCAGACGAGAAAGGAAGTGAAGCGACAGTTCGTTAACGGCATCACGGAGGATCGATTTCTGAATAAGGAGGACATTGCACTTCGTCTTCTGGATCTTTTTGACCATGTTAAGCAGATATTGGCGCTCTTCCTTGAGAATCTTGTCCATTTGACGGTAGTCGTTCACCACGATCTGGTTCTCCATCTATGTAGCCACTCGCGCGTCAGTATTGTACGTACAACCGAGAGAGTGGGAATCGAGGGACATACGTCAGGCTTGGGAGGGCTCAGTTGGAACTGAATCAATCCTATCCGGGCCTTCTCGGTTCTTGTGGGACCACCGCTGCTCTTGATGACGGGCTGGTTCAACACCAGACCGTCCACCATCTCACTATCCTCAATCGTACCGCCAACCTTCTTGATAATCCGAATGTTTCTAAGGTCCACGTTCTCCGCGGTCTTAGGGTCGACAACCTTCAATACCGAGTCGACGGCCATGGGGCCGAGAAGACCAGAGTGCTGGGCCACAATCTTCGAGGAAAGCGAGGTAGAGGCGGCTTGGAGGAGAGTCGAACGGTCAGCGAGGTTGATCGGTCGGGACATGTTGTGAAGGATCTCGACGGCAGCGCCCGCGGCTCGTTGGAAGGACTCCGAGATGACGGTGGGGTGAATGCCCTTAGACAACAGACGCTCCGCGGCGCCCAGCAGGCTTCCGGCGATGACAACAACCGATGTAGTTCCATCTCCAGCCTCGACATCCTGGGCGGCACTCAGATCGACCAGCATCCTAGCAGCGGGGTGCATGACGCTCATATCCTTCAGCATAGTGTTTCCATCGTTGGTCTGCGGGGGTGGTTAGCGGCGGGGTGTATATAAGTTTGAGGAAGTCGGCTTCGTACGATGATGGTGTTGCCCTTGGGAGTTTGGATCTATTTACTCGTTAGCAGTAGGTTCGGGGGTAAACTGGGAGTTGTTCCTACCATCTTGTCCATTCCCCTGGGTCCCAGAGACTGTTGAATATGTTAGCCCCTCATCTGTGACAAGATTGTTAGATGAGCATACAGTTCTAATAGCATCGGAAACGGCTATCATCCAAGTTAGCAAAACCAATCTTCTCCATGACACAACTGCAAACCAAAGCCCTGCACTTACCTCTCGCAGCGAGAATGTTGGACGTTCGCACGGCCATGGGCTTCTCCTTGTCCTGTCCGGTTATCAGAAAACGGCCCACAGATAGGATTCCTCCCACACAATGAGACGCACCTTGAAGGAGTTGTTCCCAGGGGCGGCCTGGGGTGCTGCGGTCGCCATTTTGAAGTTGAATATGGTACAAAGACCGGGGAGAAATTGGGGGGGAGGAATAAGAGAGGGTTGGAGAGTCAAGACGCAGGCCAGACCGTGAAGGCGGCTTTGGAATTTCTGCGAAGTTACGGTTAGCCTTGGCGGCCACTAGCGTCAACAGCTCGAACCGACCGACGCAACCACCTCAGCAAGCAACCCGAAGAGCTACCACTTCCCTTGCCTCTCATCCCAAGCTCCATCTCATCCATTCTCTACGACTCTGGTGCTATTCACGACCGTTGGATCTCATCTATCACTTTGATTTATAACTTCTCTGTGCATTTCCTTTCCATCCCTACCCTCGCCGCCGTGACCTCACAACCCTCCTCTCACCATGCCTAGCGCCACGGGAGAGAACTGGGAGAAGTACAAGAAGAACTTCGCCGATGAAGAAGAGCCGGAGAAGAAGATCACTCCTCTCACAGATGAGTATGTTTCCCCGTGGATGTTCTGTTCGGATGGTCGATGGAAGTGATGGCTGACCGAGCTCCCAGTGATATCGCAGTATTGAAGACGTACGGCGCCGCTCCCTACGCGAATGCCTTGAAGAAGTTGGAGAAGCAGATCAAAGACAAGCAGAACAGCGTAAACGAGAAGATTGGCGTTAAGGTATACTGGCTACTTTCCCCATCCATCTCCGGATGGAGCTGACCGTCTTAGGAATCCGACACTGGTCTTGCACCTCCACACCTTTGGGATGTTGCCGCGGACCGACAACGCATGGCAGAGGAGCAACCGCTACAGGTCGCTCGCTGCACGAAGATCATTCAAGATGAGAAGGATACGGACAAGAGTAAATACGTCATCAACGTCAAGCAGATCGCCAAGTTCGTTGTCAATCTAGGGGAACGTGTGAGTCCTACGGATATCGAGGAAGGCATGCGAGTCGGGTATGTTGGTTCTCCAGAAATCTCTGGACTCGATTTGCTGATTCTCTTACCAGTGTCGACCGGAATAAGTACCAGATTATGCTTCCCCTCCCGCCCAAGATCGACCCCAGCGTGACGATGATGACGGTCGAAGACAAGCCCGACGTGACGTACGGCGACGTTGGTGGGTGCAAAGAACAGATCGAGAAGCTGCGAGAAGTCGTGGAGATGCCCTTGCTATCGCCAGAGCGCTTCGTCAATCTCGGTATCGACCCGCCCAAGGGTGCTCTGCTTTACGGCCCTCCCGGAACCGGTAAGACACTCTGTGCTCGAGCCGTCGCCAACCGAACAGACGCCACCTTCATCCGTGTCATTGGTAGTGAACTGGTTCAGAAATACGTGGGTGAGGGTGCCCGGATGGTTCGAGAGCTATTCGAGATGGCGCGTACCAAGAAGGCCTGCATTATCTTCTTCGACGAAATCGACGCGGTCGGTGGTGCTCGTTTCGACGATGGCGCTGGCGGAGACAACGAAGTGCAACGTACCATGCTGGAACTGATTACCCAACTGGACGGATTCGATGCCCGCGGTAACATCAAGGTCATGTTTGCCACCAACCGACCGTCGACTCTGGATCCTGCCCTCATGCGTCCTGGACGTATTGACCGTAAGATCGAGTTCTCTCTCCCGGACGTCGAGGGCCGAGCCAACATTCTCCGGATTCACGCCAAGAGCATGTCGGTGGAGCGCGACATTCGATGGGAGCTGATTTCTCGACTGTGCCCCAACGCCACGGGTGCGGAACTCCGCAGTGTTGCGACGGAGGCCGGTATGTTCGCCATTCGGGCGCGCCGGAAGGTCGCCACGGAGAAGGACTTCCTGGCTGCCGTGGACAAGGTGATCAAGGGCAACCTGAAGTTCAACTCGACGGCAACCTACATGCAGTATAATTAGATGACGCCCCCTCCCTTTCCCCTCTGCAGGTTGGATTTACATAGCATGGCTGGACGGATGTGTATGATCAATTTATCTCGTAATTCAGTCTACTATGAGTTTATCACGTGAGCTGTTCAAGGCCTTTTGTAGAGAGTTTCCATAGAGTGCCTTCTGCCTATCCGTAGATATCACATGACAGAGTTCGGCATCAGGATTACCTCAGCACACCACCTCGTCCGGGTAAGAGATACCGTGCCGTCATGAACGTCCGTCCGGATGAAGAGTCTCTGACAGTCTGACTTTCAGTAAATACAATGGGAATCTCTTCGTGTATCATCGTCCCCCGACCCAGCCCAGTAGCCCTATGGAAGATGAACGATGAATGACGCAGGGAGTCTGCTGTGTACTTTGCAAGTCCGGAATTCCTCGCAGTGCGCGGGTTAAAAGGAAGGCCGGCCACGTGCCCTGGCCCGAAATAAGCCAATCAGCAGTCGGCCACCGCCCGAGGTGATTACCACTGCGCACCCGCTGATTGGCCGACTCGGCCCCGGTCCTCCCCGTCGGCAACTGCGCGGGTGATTATGTCAGCCAGCTTTCGGCCAGCAGAACCGGCGATCCAAAAGTGCAGCTCGCGAGGTCTGCATTCTCCTCTCTGCCGTTGCCTTTGCACTTTCTCTCCTCTCCATCCCCCCTCTCTCCCCTCCCCTCTTGCTCGGATTCATTAGGGAAGTGTTCCTTTTCTTTTGATCCGTCATCATGAGCTCCATGAGCTTGCGGAGCCTAGCTCCCGCTTCCAAGGTCAGTAACCGACCTGTCCGGTTTAACCCACGACCCTGATCGCATCAATTGCCCCCGAGATCTTCGGTTTCACCTGGAGCTGACACGCCATTTTGCGCAGATTTCCCGTGCTTTGAGGGATCAGAGACGTCTGTTCTCCTCTTCGCGGCCCGCTGGTATGCATTGGACACCTTTCCTTGAGTCCCCTCTTCGCCAATTCAACTAACTCGTCCTTCCGCAAGCCCGGATCTTCGCCAACAACCCTTTGCGCGCCAAGGAGAACACTGGCTATATCTCCGAGAAATACCCCGTCATTGTAAGCCAATTCTCTCTGATTGATGTGTCCTCCAGCATTGAACCTAATTGTCTGGTTAGGACCACGAGTATGATGCCGTCGTCGTCGGGGCTGGTGGTGCCGGTCTGCGTGCCGCTTTCGGTTTGGCCGAGGCTGGCTTCAACACTGCCTGTGTCTCCAAGCTTTTCCCCACGAGAAGTCACACTGTTGCCGCTCAGGGTGGTATCAACGCTGCTCTTGGAAAGTAGGTTTGCCCTTGCTCCTAATTGTGGCAGTCTCGTTATTTTCTGTTTCTTCCATTTTGATTTGAGACTTCAAGAGGAAAGGAGGAAAGTTTTTTTGTTAACCATGTCTTCGTGGTATATAGCATGCACAAGGATGACTGGAGATGGCACATGTACGACACCGTGAAGGGTTCCGACTGGCTGGGTGACCAGGATGCCATCCACTACATGACCCGTGAAGCCCCCGCTAGTGTTCGTGAGCTCGAAGGCTACGGATGCCCCTTCTCCCGTACCGAGGACGGTCTTATCTACCAGCGTGCGTTCGGTGGTCAATCCCGGGAATTCGGAAAGGGTGGCCAGGCCTATCGTTGCTGCGCCGTCGCTGATCGTACCGGTCACGCCCTTCTTCACACCCTCTACGGACAGTCTCTGAGCCACAACACCAACTACTTCATCGAGTACTTCGCCCTGGACCTGCTGATGGAGGACGGCGAGTGCCGCGGTATCATTGCTTACAACCAGGAGGACGGTACCCTGCACCGTTTCAAGGCCCACCACACCGTCCTGGCCACCGGTGGTTACGGACGTGCCTACTTCTCTTGCACTTCGGCCCACACCTGTACCGGTGACGGTATGGCCATGGTCGCCCGTGCCGGTCTTCCCAACCAGGATCTCGAGTTCGTTCAGTTCCACCCCACTGGTATCTACGGTGCCGGTTGTCTGATCACCGAGGGTGCCCGTGGTGAGGGTGGTTACCTGCTCAACTCCGAGGGTGAGCGTTTCATGGAGCGTTACGCGCCCACCGCCAAGGATCTGGCTTCCCGTGACGTCGTCTCCCGATCCATGACCCTGGAAATCCGTGAGGGCCGTGGTGTTGGCCCCGAGAAGGACCACATCTACCTGCAGCTGAGCCACTTGCCCCCTGAGCTTCTGCACGAGCGTCTGCCCGGTATCTCCGAGACCGCCTCCATTTTCTCCGGTGTCGACGTTACCAAGCAGCCCATCCCCGTCCTGCCCACCGTTCACTACAACATGGGTGGTATCCCCACCAAGTTCACCGGTGAGGTCTTGACCGTTGATGAGCAGGGCAAGGACAAGGTGGTCCCCGGTCTGTATGCCTGCGGTGAGGCCGCCTGTGTCTCCGTCCACGGCGCCAACCGTCTGGGTGCCAACTCCCTACTGGATCTGGTCGTCTTCGGTCGTGCCGTTTCCCACCGTGTCCGCGACATCGCCACCCCTGGTGCTCCTCACCGCGAGCTGAGCTCCGACGCCGGTGCCCAGTCGATCAAGGACCTCGACTTTGTCCGTAACGCCGACGGTCCCAAGTCGACCTTCGACATCCGTAACGCCATGCAGAAGGCCATGCAGACGGACGTCAGTGTCTTCCGTACCCAGGAGAGTTTGGATGAGGGTGTTCAGAAGGTCACCGAGATCGACACCTGGTTCGACCAGGTCGGCACCAAGGACCGCAGCATGATCTGGAACTCCGACCTCGTCGAGACCCTTGAGCTCAAGAACTTGTTGACCTGCGCGTACGTATTCCCCATTCCCACATGACACAAGACTCCAAGGAGCTTTTGGCTGACATAATACAATTTAGTACCCAAACCGCTGTCGCCGCCGCCAACCGTAAGGAGTCTCGTGGTGCCCACGCCCGCGAGGACTTCCCCGACCGTGATGACGAGAACTGGATGAAGCACACCCTTACGTGGCAGAAGAAGCCCCACGGCAAGATCGACCTGGACTACCGCGCCGTCGAGGCCAACACCCTCGACGAGAACGAGTGCAAGCCCGTGCCCCCCTTCAAGCGTGTCTACTAAGATACGACAATGCTGGCCAGGCGCACATTGACAAATAGGGGTCGATATCGGTTTGAATAGTCAAACCGAAGTGGTGGAAGTGTTTTGACTGGGCGGAAAAAGAAGCGTCATGAAAACTAGGCTGTGTTTTATTTCCTGTGTTCATATGTGTATATCCATCCTTTTGTTCCTTTTTCCTTTTTCCTTTCCGGGCGATGAGTTTGGTGTACTCACGTTATATTGTCTTTTATAGCCCTTTATTACCTCATACAATTGGAGTTCTTTTTTCTTTTGCACTTAACCATAACGCGAGTTGGATGGATGACACTCCTCTCTCTACACAGCCCGCTGTCTTGCGTTTCAAGTGTTCGTTTCTCGCTTTGTCATTCTACTTGATCGAGCCGTCCGCTGAAGAACTCTTTGTTGGTTGACAAAGACAATGATTGACCAGTTGCTCTGAACACATGGCATTACAGCTGACCCTCCATGACAATTGTTTCTAGCCGACTGTCTGACTTGATCGAAGAAGTAGCGGACTCGAGCTACGAAATTTCGATATCGACTACCAGCGATGTCCCCCATCTACGAAGCAGCATTCCTCCAATGAGCCTATGGATATGGAACAATTGCAAAGTCCCGGGCTGGAATCGTTTGCCATTGTTAACCCAAGTACTGGCAACGAACCTCCTTGCCAAGTATCTGCGTTCCACAACGGACAAAGAAGTATCATCTTGCCACCCTTTATAGTAACAGTTATATCAGGAGAATACGCAATTGCTGACCCACCCTCCACCCCGCGCTAGGAGCGCTTTGTGACAAGCAGCTGCAACGTCTTCTCAGCCCTCGTTGTCCACTTTACTTTCGCTCTGGTTCTTGCGGAACGGGACTGCGATCCACTCGTCCCTCGTGGACGCCTGATTCTATGTCTTGCTCCAGTGTCACTTGCTCCAGCTCACCAGACCGATAATGTCTTGCTCGGGAGGCAAGGCCTGGTATGTCTGCTCCAAGGGTCCGTTCCAGGGATGTTGTTCGATCGATCCATGTAACTCGGGCATTTGCCCGGATGACGATAACAACGGCACCGACAGCACCGACAAATCCAAACCCACGCCAGCTGTCCCAGCGGCTCCCTCGGGTGTATCGACTACTGTTACCACCTCGATCACAGCAAGGACGTCGACACTGTCGACAAAGGCGACAGGAGCCTCAACTACAACAACTTTTCGTTCGGCCTCGACTCCAACTGAGAATTCGACTGGGGTTACTGAATCGATCTCGATCTCGACCTCGACCTCGACCTCAATTTCGACCTCGTCCCCGTTGTCCCCGAATAGCGTATCGGCCGAGGACTCGCCGTCGACAACCCAGACAAGCACAGGGCTGTCTACGGTCTTACCCACTAGCAGCCATACCAGCAGCAGTGGAGACAAACCCAACACAGGACTAATCGCTGGCATCGTGATAGGCGTAGCGGCAGTGTTGGTCCTTCTGGGTCTATTGTTTTGCCTAATCCGCCGTTCACGCAAGAAGCGAGGCAGAAGGTTTACTCTTCTTCGCTGGCGTGGACCTATGTATGAATGCAACGAGAATGCCCCATCACCCACACATTTGACATCCAAAGATAGTCGTTATCATGGTATGTCGCAGGTACCTTTCCTCACAGATACCCATCGATCTCATGGCTGATCCCTTGAAGATTCTGACAATTCCCCATCTCGACCCCGAGCAGCTGCATCTCGCAATAGTTCCATAGCAGGACCAGGAACAGAAACCCTGTTCTCACTGGGCTCCCACACAAACAGCCATTCTATAAGCAGTAACCCTGGCATCATACTGACCCCTCCTTCCTCCACAACCCTCTCCACCCCTTCAAGTACCCACCTCACCGACCCAGCCGCCTCTACCACAGCCGCGTTAGCGATATTCCCAAACAAAAATACTAGCACAAACACCAGAAGCACCAGCACACGAACAACCAATACCCAACGCCAACTAGAACCCACCCCTGAACTCTCCGACACGGGCTTCTACCGCCAACGCGCCGAGCTCGCAGCCCATTCCGGCCACGAACTGATCAACGTACCTCACAGCCAGCGCCTGCATCCTCACCATCACCGTCCATCACCGCGCCAATCCCAGGTCTCGTCGACTTTGAGTCCCAATCTCCGTCCCCCACCTGCCATACCGATCGTCACTGCGGACGGCGTGGTGCTGACGTCCAACTTAGACCAACTGGCCAAGGATTCTAGCCCTAGGAGTGCTGCCGGGTCTGACGAGGACCATGTCATGAGCTTCATGCGGTATGATGCCGCCAAGGACGCGATGTTACCGGCCTATCAGGCCAGCTTGGGGAGGTCGTCGACTGGGAGTGCGAATGTCGCTGGCAATGAGAATGTCAGTGCTTGGGAGGAGAAGGAGAGAAGGGAGGTCAGACATTGATCGGGGGATATATATTTGGGCGTTAGGATGGGAATTGTAATGGGTTGTTTTCGCTTCGTTTTTTCTTTCAACTTTCTTTTCTTTTCGTTTCTTTCTTCTCATCTTGGCCTATGCTCTTGTTCTAGTCTGTTATTGCGTTTTGCGCGGTTTGGATATGATTGTATCAATCATGTCGGTATCCTCTATCTAGCGAGTAGCTTGTGATTCTCGAGTCTCAATGCTTCTTCCCCGTAATCTTAGTATTTCAGCTCTCTCTTGACAAAGTTGACTATTGGAATCCCCGTAGATCAAAGATAAATGCCATTCTCTATCTCGTAAATTAAACCGAAATATCTCATAAGTTCAGATCCGTTCGTTCTACTTTTTCGCATCTATTACAAAATCCCGAAATCTTTTCGAAAAGAACACCCCAACCGTCCCCTAGAAGGAAAGGAAAATCTATAGCAAGCCCCTCAGAACGGAAGTCTGTTCCAGAACGGCACGCTTGCTCGTTCCACCAACCGCATCCTTCAGCTCGACAGCGCGCTCGTAGTCCAGACAAGCGCGGACGGCGTCATCGAACCGCGCATCGACGGTCTGCAGCTGCTCCAGGGAGAGCGTGTCCATGGGCACGTTCTGCTGCTCGGCGAGGGCGACGACGCGGCCGGAGATGTGGTGACCCTCGCGGAACGGTACGCCCTTGCGGACCAGGTAGTCGGCGATCTCGGTGGCCAGCATCTCGGGCGCCAGGGCGGCGGTCATCTTCTCGGGGATGACGGTGATGGTGGAGAGCACGCCGGTGGCGATCTGGATGCTGTCGCTGACGGTCTTGATGTGGTCGAGGAGCGGCTCGATGCTCTCCTGCAGATCCTTGTTGTAGGTGGTGGGCAGGCCCTTGATGGTCATCATGAGGCCGGCCATGTGGCCGAATGCTCGGCCGGATTTGCCACGCAGAAGCTCCAGGCTGTCTGTTTCGGGGTCAGATATTGTTTTTAGGAGACAAGGGGCGTATCAAACTCACCCGCGTTCTTCTTCTGAGGCATCAGCGATGACCCCGTGGAGTAGGCATCCGACAAGCGGACGTAGCCGAACTCCAAGCTGCTGTAGATGATCAGATCCTCGGCCCAGCGAGAGATCTTGAGCATGAACGAGCTACCCCACTGCATGGTCTCCATGGCGAAGTCACGGTCCGCCACGGCGTTCATCGAGTTGTACAGCAGACCCTCGAAGCCGAGCTCCTTGGCCATCTGTTCGCGGTCGATCTGGAAGGGGTTTCCGGCCAACGCACCAGTACCCAGAGGGCTGCGGTTGACGCGGCGGGTGACCTCACGGAGACGCTGCAGCTCGCTGGCAAAGGCCGTGGCGTGCGACAGGAGCCAGTGACTCCAGCGGACAGGCTGGGCCTTCTGCAGATGCGTGTAACCGGGCATGATGTACTCGATGTCATTCTCGGCCCGGGCAATGCAGACCTTGATCAGGTCGCACAGGAAGGTGTCCAGCTTGCGGAGCTCGTCGCGCAGCCACAGCCGCATGTCCGTTGCGACCTGCTCGTTCCGGGACCGACCGGTGTGCAGCTTGCCGCCGATCTCCTTGCCGATGATCTCGGACAGGCGGCGCTCGTTGGCCGTGTGGATGTCCTCGTCGTTCGCCTTGACGACGAAGGAGTCGGTGCTCCATTCCTCGGCGATCTGCTTGAAGCCGCGCTCGATCTCGGAGAACTCGTGGGGGGTGAGGATGCCGGACTTGGTGTTGGCCCGGGCAAAGGCAATCGAGCCGGCAATGTCCTGCTTCCACAGGATGCGGTCGTAGGGGAGAGACTCGTTATATTGGACCATAAGGGGGTCGAGACCCTCTGAGTCGTCATGTTAGTTATCTCAGTGCGGTGAAGACCAAGGATGGGGAAGGAAATGGAACGGGCAATTGAGGGACTCACGGGTGAATCGACCACCCCAGAGCATGTTCTCAGCAACCTTGGGAGCGCTCATTTTGTGCAGACTGTCAAACGGGACAATGAAGGGACTGGCAAGGGAAGAAAGGGATGAGAAGACACAGAAACCGACAGCGACGAAGATCAACGAGGCACCGATGCCGATGACTCATCCGGTTCTGGCGCGGGGATGCGACATCGGGGCGCTAGTCCGCTTTGGGACGCACCTGATCAGTCTGCTTGAAGCCACCTTAAGGAACTTAGCAATCTTGTTTGGGAGCTTCATCGCTTTGGTGCACCATATCTGACACGTCCGGGGCTGTCTCCTTTGTATGCAATGGCATGGCCTCCCCCTTTTCCCCAAGAAGCTTTCATTCCAGCATGCGAAACACCTAAGGCAACGAGTCCCCCCAACCTCGGGTGCGATCGTTCCGCCTCCTCAAAGGGTGGGAAGTGCGAGGGATTTATCAGAACGTATAAGCCCATCAACGTGGGTTCACTCCCTCTTTTCAATGGCATTTCGCATCCAACCCAGGTGACCCGCCAACGTCATCGCCTCCGTTGCCTTTCCCTAGATCAAGGGATGCCCGGAGCACGCATCAGCCTGCCCAAAATTGAAGGCCCCGATCCAGACTATCCATGGATGGTTTGGTATCACCTTGCTTTGAGTTGCCTTCAGCCTGGGGCTGCATAAGGGCGATCATAAAAAAGCTTGGTGTTTTTGACTCCAAGGGGGTCCGCTTGACCGAATCAGGCTGCGAGGACAAATTTTGGGTCTGCGAACCAGACAATGAAAGTCCAAATTGTTTGATACTATGCCTCATAGTCATGTCCAGACGGCACCGTTCCAGCTAACCGGTTGCTTCCAAAGACGTGCTCAATAATGCAAGGGGAACGTCACTGCGCTAATTAGGTACATACTTTCAAATGAAACCACTCCGTGCTTTATTGCAATCGGGCCCTCATATGCAATATAGAGCTGGCTATTGATTATAGTACTCCACTGTCTACTTGAAAATTTCCAAATGGCCAAAGAAGCAGAGGCAGGTTTTACCCATGTAGCATGAACAGTCTGAAGACCCGAGACTCGATCGACAATGTCAACCCAGGCACGCTTCTAGTCACCGTGCACTCTGAACTTGTGTCTCCATGTCTCCACGTTCTCCGTTCGACATAGCATTAAGCGTCGTCATCCGGTGGTCCTTGCATCCAATTCCATAGAAAATGTCCGACTTTACCCATTCGGGCAATGGAAAGAAGGATATTGAGAGAGATCCACTTTGTCGTTCGAAGAAATGTCAATTTGTGATGCAGTCATTTCCCATGCGCCTTTTTTTAAAGGGGCCGGGTCCAGAAACTTGTCTCTTTCGAAAAAGAGATCCTTTTGCACACTCTCAACCGTCCCGATGAGACAGTGGGATATGTATCAGGAGAAGCTAGGAAGCTTGGCTTCTGGACGGCCAATCTGTCTAGAATGGCGATCCTCTAAGGTCTTTATTCTGTTTATGGTGGCCTTTGCTATGTTTACGGTATGTCTCTTTTTGACTTTTATTTGACGTATAATCGCTCATGCTTGGTAATAGGATATGCTTCTTTACGGACTGGTTGGTGATCGATCAAACTATATTCACTACTCTATATATATTGACTTTTCGGAAGATTGTCCCTGTGATTCCAACAGTTCTTACTCAACGAGTAGGGTTATCAGTAGGCGAAGGTATGTTTCTGCGTACTTTCAGTATATCAATATCTAACCAACTTCTTCCAATGCTTAGAGCAGCGATGGACATCCATCCTCCTTGCCCTCTACGGGTCAACGTTATTAGCGTTTTGCCGTGAGTTGAATCGCTACATCGACCGCTGACAGTTGCAGTACCTCTGCCATCACAGCACACTGACAATTCAATCAGCAATCTCCGGCTACATAGCCGATCGCATTCAATCGAGACGATGGCCACTCCTCGTCGGCCTAGTGATCATGGCAGCCTCGACGGCCCTACTCTGCGTGGGCTCCAACCTGGCTCTCTGGATCACCGGCCGCCTCTTCCAGGGCGCCTCGGCTGCCGTTGTCTGGACCGTAGGGATGGCTTTGCTAGCGGACAATGTGGAAACGGACGAATTGGGAGGTGCCATGGGACTCGCAAGCTCGGGAATGACTCTGGGAGTGATGGTTGGTCCTCTTCTGGGAGGTGTCTTGTATGAACACGCCGGCTACTACGCCGTCTTTGGTCTAGCATTTGGCTTCATCGGACTTGATATCTTTTTCCGTCTGGTTCTGATCGAGAAGAAAGATGCCGCGAAATGGCTCAGAAGCGAGAGTGAGAATGAGAGTGAAACCCAAACCGAAACCGAAAGCACAAGAGACCAGGACAGGGACAGCGAACCTCAGACTCCCCAACTCCCATCCGACCCAGTTGATAGTAGCGAACGCGGTCTCGCTGCCCACCCTACCCATGACACCGAGACCTCCTCCCCTGACAGACAGGACCTCTCAACCGACACCTCATCCACCTGCACCGCCAACACCACCACCGACGAGCCCACGGCCAGCATACGCAGCAAATCCGAAGACGGACGCAGCCACGCCAGCACCACAACATCTCCCAACCCCCTCTCACACAACCGCCTCCTCACGCTGCTCAAATCACGGCGTCTCGCCATCGCCCTCTTCGCCTACTTCATCCAAGCCACGTGCGTCATGTGCTTCGACAGCGTCCTCCCGCTCTTCGTCCACGACACCTTCGGCTGGGGCCAGTCCGGGCAAGGCCTGATCTTCATCCCGCTCTCCCTGCCTCACATCGGCGACCCGCTCACAGGCTTCATCGTCGACCGCTGGCCCCGATCCCGCATCCCCCTGGCCGCGGGCGCCTTCCTGACCGCCGTGCCCCTGCTCGTCTGTCTACGCTTCGTCACCGAGAACACCCTCGGCGATAAAGCGCTGCTATGTGCCCTGCTGGCCCTGATCGGTATCATAGGCGGGATCCTCGAACCCCCGATCATGGTCGAGATTACGTATCTCATCGAGCAGAAGGAGAAGGAGTATCCGCATGTGTTTGGGAAGGGTGGGGGGTTGGCGCTGGGCTATGGGGTTATGAATGCGGCGTGGGCGGCGGGGAGTTTAATAGGCCCGATTTATGGGGGGTTTATTCGGGATAATGATGGTTGGAATACGATGACTTGGGCGTTGGGGTTGTTGATGGGCGCGCCGGGCGTTTTTTTGTTGTTTTTGTTGAGGGAGTAGGCTTGGTTGGAGTTTACTGACTGGGTGGGAAAATAGGATGGTATCATGAACGATAGAATCATAGATTGTACTGTTTGATTCGAGGCTATGCGGATTTGGGACCTCATGTTTAGAATGCTTGTAGATAGATATCATGTTGACTAAATGGTCTATAGCGACATTCGTCTTGTTAGCTTGTAGAATGAATTCAACTATTACTCCATCATCTTCAATATGCATAGATAGGTAAATATGTCCCCTTTAGCTAGTATGTATAAGTGAGGTCCTCCCTCAGTAACTACAACCTTTAAACACGACTCGACTATCTGGATCTGAATCTAACCCATCTCTACTTCTCATGCAGTAGTATATACAGCCCCCACAACCGATATATCCACCAAATCTACCCATCAATCAAACTCTACAACCGTCCACGTAACCGTCCAACCAACCACACCCCCAAGCTTCTCCATCACCCTACAACTAGCTCGATTGCCCGGCGCCACGTCCGCATGAACCCAGCCCTTCTCGCCCTTCGCTCGGAACATCCCTCCTTCGTGCATCCCTCTTCGCATGACCTCTCGACTCGCCGACTCGGCCAGTCCCTTGCCACGGTGCTCCGGCTCGACGTGTAGAACGGCTAGTGTTCCGTCTGCGCTGAGGAAGGCCCATGCGATGGGGGTTTCTTCTTCTTCTTCTTCTTCTTCTTCTTCTTCTTCTTCTTCTTCTTCTTCTTCATCGTCGCCGCTAATTCTCCTAGTATCTGAGACAGACGAAGGAGTATCCACGTAAATCGCAACACCCGGGAAAGAAGCCAAGCTCTTAGGAGTCCGAAAGACAGCCGATCGACGACAAATGAGCTCGTAGTGACGGGGCAAGAGGGCCGAGTTCCCCTTACGGTCGGAGAAGCGGTATCCGGGGGGCAGCTGGGACTGGGAACAATTAGACTCATGGGTGACAGCGGGTGCGGATCCAGAAGTCGATCGCGAACGGGGACCATCATGCTGGGTCACGTCCCCGTTCTTGTCGCTGTCACTATCATGGTCCCCGTCGGGGTCCCCATCTACAATGACAAATTCCTGGTCCCGAAATAGGTACTTGTTGTAGGGGGGGTGGTCGAAACGGTGGACCCGGAGACCTGGGACGACCATCTGGGGGCCATGTGGCTGGCTGGCACCAGCACCAAAACCATGGGTGTGGGTTTGGCATTGGCCAAGGGGAGGAGGAGAAGAAGGGGGAGGGTATTTTCCCGAAGCAGTTAACACGGAGAAGAGTCCCGTGTGCAGGTGGCCGATTTTGAAAGCTCTTGGACTAGGACCGACAGGCTGACCTTGACCCTGACCCGGTGGGTTGGGAGGACGGCCGTCAGTCGCACTACTCGCAGTGCAACTAGTTCCAATCCGGTTCGTATTGGCGTCACGAGCTGACGTGGGGGCCAGATTGTCGTCGAGATTCTGATTAGGACTAAGAGACTGGGGATATTCGGGCATCAAGCGATTCTTGATATGGGATAGTAGAGCCAATAGTTGCGCACGCACCCGGTCCAGAGGGTCGGGTGAGATGACGCTGCCATTGGCATTGAGCCTGACATTATTGCTAGCGGAATCGAGAGTGGAGACGGATTCTTCGATCGCGTTTGCTTCTTCTGTGACTTCTTTCTTTCCAGATGGAGCTGGAGCTTCCCTTTCGAGACTGGAGTAAACAACAACCTGGGTCTCAGGACCGGCATGCAGATCCACCCAGGCGGCTAGCCAGGGCATCGGAACGCCAGTGTTGGTATTGGTAACACCAACATCTCCTGGCAAGGATCCCCTGGACAATAACGAAGCGGACACGGAGTTCGAGTCAGACGCGGGTTTCAGGTCCCCGACGGCATCCAAGACGGAGGCAGTGACCAGGTACTTGGCGGTCGGGGAGGGATGGGCTAGCGAGTGTTGGAGGCGCCGTAGCAACGGAAGCGAATAGGGGAGGTGAGATTTGAGGGCCGGAATTAGGACTTGCGGATCGACGTCGTGGATGGAGATGGGGAGATCCATCGTAGTATCCATCTGGTTGGGTCGTGGTCTCAGGTCTTAAGGTGAAACAGAAGCTACTATGGATCACAATCGATGTCAGCGCCAGTGCATCTATCAATCAATTGTGATTCGAGATCAGAATTACTAAGAATACTCATGAAAAGGGGGCCAAAAGTGTCATGGCAAGTATGACAGCGGAGAGTTTACCCGTCGATGACAGATGAATCAATCAATCAATCAATCAATCGCTTCCAGATGCCAGGGCAACCCGACGAGCTACTTTTAAGCTGCATTCTCCTTGCCAGGTATGAGTCAGGCCGAAGCCAAGCGATGACGCGAAGCTTAGTTGCAGACGACTAGACTCCGTAAGTTAATTTAGCAGAGACGGAATTTGTCATGATTCCAGGGGGAAGTGTGGCGGTGCGAAGAGACCGGGACTATACCAGACTAAAGACCGACTAACGGACTAGTGTCGAGTGATGACAGGAGGCCCTCGGTTTATTTTTGTTTGGCGGCCACATGGAGTGGAGCTGGAATTAATGAACTGATCTGCATGGAAGTCCTGTCGAAGCCGCTGGAATTGTGACACATCCATTTTACCTCGTAGATTAATTGTCTTTCATTTCTTCATTTGCCTGATTCGGCTTAAGTAGACGAGCTGAAACCTCTTGGGCACCAATGATCGGTCTGCTACATATTAACTGAAGTTCTTTTCCTACGGAGTACACTATATTTGTCTGTCTTCACTACTGCCTAGTTATATACTCCCTGTAACTTGAACCCACGATTGGGCTCATGTTTTATCTCGAATATATAAATCAAAATCATAGACAAAATAGATAGTAATATTCAAGGACTGTATCTGAAACAAACAAAGGAAAATAGAGCCAAAAATAAAGAGCGACTAGTGATCATCCCGGTCGTAAATCATCCCATCGTCAGCCTAACCAAATAGACCGTAGACACCACCTCTCCAGATCAATTCACCAGGGACTGCGCGGTCCCACCATCCAATCCTCCATCGCCAACCACTCGCTCCATCGTGACTCCGCGACCCGGAGCTCCTCTTCCGTCGCCGCATGGAGCGGTCGTAGAAAGGGCGTCTGCTCGTCCGGCAGGATATCGTACGCCGCCTTGGTCGACGCCCAGCCGCCACTCTTCGCCGAGAACAAGTAGTTGACGCGCTCCTGCTTCCAGACACAGCCGAGGCCCGTCTCCCACTCCGCCCCGAAAAAGGCCTGTAACACGGGGGGCGTGTCGTTGCCGGTGACGATGAGACGCCGGATATACGATCTCAGGCACACCTGCGACGCCGTGGGCGTTTGGGCATCCACCCCAGGATGATAGTCCGATCCCAGAGTCGGGGGCGGTTGCTGCTGCTGACCCTGCTCCTGCTGGGGGCCGGACATGCTGAGAATAGGATCGCGCTGGCGTTGGCAGGGAAGTCGGATGTTGACGAACGCTGCCAGCGATTGTACGGCTAGGGAGTGCTGCGCGTGGTCCAGAAAATGCTGCATGCATCCCAGATACTGCGGATACCAGTCGTTCAGGTCGACCTGCGCGTATTCCGGACTAGCGCGCGATGCATCCGTGGGCGTCTCTATGTCCTGATCGGGGCTCACTGGGAATTCAGCACCAGAGCCGGCGGACATGTGGTGTTGGTGTCTACGGCGTTCAGTGTCCAATTCGGTAGGTTCTGTCAAGGGGATTGGGTCTTAGAAAACGGGAGACAGAAAAAAAATAGAAAGGGGCGAAACCAAATAAGAGAACAAAGGGTGGACTTACTTGCGGGATGCCATGCGAAGGATGGCTCGTTTGCGTCCATGACTGGAGAGCTTGCCCAACAGTCTCCGCCAGAAACCTGCATGTTCATGGTCATGATGAGTAGTTTTGGACATGTGCCGAAGAGGTGTCAGGATAGGAAGAAGATGATTTAAGTTCGAAGACGGAAAACGGCTGAGTTTATATGCAACTGAGTTCCAACGATGATAATAGACCGAGATATACTCCAGACAGTTGGGGGCTGAACAGATGTCAAACAGGATGGAGACCGAAGGAGCTCCTTTTACTTATACTTCTCCAGAATGATCTTCTCCCTTCCCAGATCGGGGGAAGGGAAGAGAGAATGAACGAGAAAAAATAATAAGGGACGGGCATCCCGAAGCGCAAGGACCGAAAAATTTGGCAGACAGCCCAAGACCGGCAGCTATAGACAATTTTGCAGGGCCCGTCTGGGTCCGCAGAGGCCGAGTGGAGCAAAGCCGATGCGATGCGATTTGAGGCTATCCCGAACGGGGTGACGGACTGGGTCAAGCCACAGATCTCCAGCCACATAGAGCAAGCCACGGCCTCAGCCCTAGACCGTGGCTCATGCACCGCTGGCCAGGTCCGAGTGGCTGTGCTCCCTTGCTTACGTTTCCTTCACTGACTTCGTAGTCAATAGACCACACCGAGTTATGCTTGCTTTTTCTTCTTTCTGCTGTCTGCATTCTTCCTGCTGGTTCACTTGTCTGGACGGTCCTACGGACTCCTCTTCCACCATGGAAAATCCCACACTAAGACCTCTTACTTCCTCTTTCGGGTCAAGCGGATCAATGAAGTCTCGGGCTTCTCCATGACACTATTAGACGCTCTGCCCCTATCCAGGCTCTAAATCTCTAATGCTCGGCCACACTAAGACACTAAGACACTAAGGCTACTAAAACACCCTCCTAAGATCCCAGGAACCTGGACACACTCCCCCCCTCCCCATCACGCTAAGTCAAAGGATTTGGAAGACCTGACAACTAGTGTCGGTTGATCCTGGTCTCGTCAGCTCGCCATCTTTCGCCTCAACAGGATCGCCGTGGATCATGGAGAAGCTCGGGGAGGGGAAAACATTAACAGCTAAGGAATTGAGTCTCCGTCTCGAGACTAAACAGTCATCATAATCAACCTCAAGCACGCTACTCCGGACTGCGTGGGCAGCGGAAATTCAATAGTCGACCAAACCGTCTCCCAACGAGATGTGACAGCTCTCATCCCTTCTGGGTCAACGATTGAATCATTTTTTATTCATTTTTCCATTTCTGTATTATTTATTATTCATTTTCAATCGTGTATTTTCGCTCATTCTCCACCCAGGTACATGACTCCATGGACGCATGGTCGGTCAGGACTGGAATCCAGGGTCACACAGGGAGGAGATAGCGTGCGCTTCGGTCGGGTTTCTCATCGTCACCATTACATATCGCATGCAACGCTGGGGGGAGGGGAAAACAGTAAAAAACGTGGACTAGGAAGGGTCGGCGACTGGTAGAGACTAACGGAGTAGAGGGCGACGCAAGGGGGAGCCGCAATGCTCTCTCCTGTCTGTTCATCGGACACACCGGCAGACGAAGATCAGGTCCCAGACCGTCAGGACTACTGGAGCACTAAGCATAAAGGAGTATAGCCGATATGCCTGCCCCCTTGGACAGAGGTCAGAGAGTTCTCCTGGTCCTACAGTGGAGTCGCCGACCGAGGAAACCCGACCGTCTACTGGTCCGTCATAAACTTCATACAGGATGCATCGCAATATGGAGTCGATCGTGTCCGTCGTGCCCTGATTTGTCGCCTGACACGATGAGATCATGACTTTGTCACTACCAAAATTCAAATCATGTCGCGTCGATGAGATTCATCATCAACCCTCGTAGCCTCGTCGCGACCTTTAGCGCTAGCACTACTCGAGTTTAGAGGATCGAGGATAATAAATTAATTTTTATTATTCTTTTTTTTTCTAATTAAGATCGAAAAAAAGAAATGTCACACCCCAGGACCATGCGCTTACCGATCCCCACTTTTGACTTCCCTGTCACTTGTCTGTGGCGGGCTGGTTGCTTGCTTGCCCATGAGTTGTGATGCCACGATATAAAGCCATCAAGGTTTCTCACAATGGAGCGGGCTTATTGTTCTCCAGTGCCTTGGAATTTAAATCAATAAAGAGTTTCCCGAAGATCAACAATTCCTATCTCAACCAAGACATCCATCCCATTCTATTCCTCCATCTCGATATAGATCGCCATCCCGCCTTTTCGGCTCGCCTATATTTTGAACCCTCCATCCACCTCCAAGTCCGCTTGACTTCTATCATTATGTGCTACAAGACCAACTACGAACCTTACGTGAGTTTTAACATACAATTCTTCTACTCGACGACCATACTCATAGATTTTCCTCTAGACAAGCCAAAGCCAAAGCTTCGACATGACTCGCGAACTTTCATCGGAAGAAATCCTCTATCCATTGGAATCTCTCTATCCACACGTCGTGGCCCTTCAACTCCAAGCCGATGAGAACCCATGGGCTCAGAACAACAACTTCTCCGGATACCACGAGATCAGCTACTGGACCGAGATTTCTTCTGAGGGACCAGCGGAGGATTACTCCAGACCCAGACCGAGTACCGCACGCAGGTACAGTGGTGCGTTTTCCTTTCTTTTCCTTCATTAAAATCTTACCTGTCAGATCAGCTAACTCATGGTTTCATGCAGACTCCACAGCTCTAAAATTTGTTTCCAGAATACGACGATTCCTCAGCCGAGACGAGATGCGCAGACGCCAGCGACAGGCATGAATCTGCCTCAGCCTGAGTCTCGGCTAGATACGAATCCTTCTCTACGATTTGACTTCTTTTTTTTTTCTTTCCTTGTATCTATAATTAACTTTTCGGACATAGCCTGCCTTTCTTTTGCTGTTTCCTTTTCACCCGCATAGACATACACTCACAGTCAACCAGCCATACACTTTCCAGACACACGTTGTATCAGCAATATGCTGGAGCCGCTGCAAGCGAATACCCTCTTGTCAACATTTCTTTTGTCATCTGTCAGCCATGCATCTTGAAGATCTCTTATTCTCTCGGGACATTTTCACTATCGTTGCTTTTTCTTCTGTTCATGTGTCTTCTTTTTTTTTTCTTCTCTTCTCTTCATATTTTTATGTTTACTTTATACACTCATGGATTGATTAGCGGTTAGGTTAGGGATTTAGCGAGGAGTTCGTTGGGCATACACGCAAGGGCGAATCATATCAAGCATTGGCATTATTTCGTTATCTAGATATAATCAATTGAAGAACATATTAACAGGATTGAACATCTACTATTCTACTGTAATCTTCTCCTTAAGTTGTATGTGTGTATGTGCATCCATTAAATACCTCCTACGTATACTCCCTCTCCAAAGAGTATACACAGTTAGACAGAGAAGGAAGAAAACGGAACCAACCTAATCCCACCAACCCAATCTAATCTCCATTCCCCTTTCCCTCGAAAGATAAATTAAAAAGTTTAAATTCTCATACATAAAAACCGTAGATAATCGCGGCTAACTGAAAAATCTTCCCTCCTCGTTCAAGTCGCCGGAATCTGATCTCTCTCATTTCCTACCCGCTGCTGCATGCCTGACTTTTACTCCTGCCCCTTGTTCCTGTCCTGACCTGCCTAGCTAGCTAGCTAGCGAACCCCTGTCTCTGACTAACTCCTAGTCTCCTGAGCAGGAGTCACCCCGCATTCCATCGCGTCTCATCTATCGTCTCATCTCATATCATATGCATCATGTGCGCTACTGCACCATGTCTCCTGCATCATGTCTCCTGCATCCTGCATCAGGGGTAGAGGGCTACGTTCCTAACTACCTTCCATTTAAAGTAATTCTGAAAAAGAAAAAGAAAAAGAAAAAGAAAAGACAAGTTCGAATCATTGTTTCCCTCTCTCCTCTCCCCTTTCCCTCAGGTCACATAATCGCGGGTACACCCGTGCGAAGTGGGAATCTGTGGGCTCGGCGATAAGGAGAAGGAGAAGGAAAGGAGTGTTGAGATGATTGATAGATCAGATGGAGTAGGTAGGTAGGTAGGTAAATAGGTGCATGACTAGATCGTGGCCCGTCCATTTCCTTCAGACCCTCCGTGTATGCATTGCACAGAGTAGTTACGGAGGAGTTCAGGGGAGAATTCTTCACATTCAATGAAGCGGTGAAGTAGCTGAAGCTGAAGCTAAAGTTTAACTCGAACAGGTTGTTCGTTGTGGAGTATACATACAGTTTACTGGAGTGGAGGAAGTGGAGTACATAGTGAGTTGGTTGTTTCGAACTGGCCCTGTAGAATCATGCTAGAAGCTACTTTCCTTCTTTCTGCTCCTCCTTCTCCCTACAGTCTCCACTCATGAAACCAACCCAACCCTGTCCCTCCTCTCGCTAAGTATCATCCCTGTCAATGCGTGCATGGTGTTCGTGCATTCAAGCATGCGGTGTAGAATGGGATTGTATAGATCATATTTTTTCCGGGTCCCTTTCCACCGTGGTTTCTATTGTCTTGCAGATTGGAGATTGCAGCTTGCAGCTAGCTTTTGACGGTGTAAGCGCTGGATAATTGACTAGATTGGCTCTGGGGGCCTGAGCACCACGCTGAAGAATCATACAGTAGGATAGGTCGGGGATTTGTCACTACTCGCACTAACTAATTAGCTCCTGTATGTATGTCATGTGCAGCGGTGTAGGGGTTCATTCCGGATATGGAACAGGAAATAGGACGAGGGCTCTTCAGTCAATTCAGCTCTTAGGAAAATAGTGTAGTCACTTGAATAGGCCTTGTGGTGGTTGGAATGCGGGTTGTTGATCACCCGGATGTGTCAGTCGGCAGTATCCATCTTTACCCCAAGGGGTGAATACACAGTGAGTAGTGAGGCATCTACGGAGAAAATAACCTGGAATGAGAATAACCGGATTAAGCATGAGTGTGAGGGTGAGGTCAAAGAAAACCCCGCTTGCATGTAAGTAAGTCATGATCATCCTCCTATCTAGTCTGATCGATGTCTGTGCTCTGTTCAAGGAAAATGAAAGGGCAAGCAAAGCAAGGTAAGGTTACTCCCGCCCCGCCCCCTTTCAAGATGCGGGAATTTAGGATAATTGCAATGGTCTGGGGAAGACTGGGGCTATTGATTAGGGTACGTCTGATTTCGGGTACCGTTGTAGGTGCAAGGTGATGTCTGAGCTTTGGGGTTGTCTGTTTTAGAGGGTACGATACCAAGTAGTTAGTTAGGTATACTATGTAACTATGGCATTTTAATGGTAGCCATATAGCCATTATCACAGGTCAGGGCAGGTAGTACCCGTAGGATTAGCTAGGACCATAGTCCTACCATAGCAGAAGTATAACAGAATAGCATGCACATAGCGAATCTACTACTGCAGACCCCAAACTTAATGATAACATCACCATCACAAAAAGCCATTCAGAATTAAAAAAAAAAAAAAAAAAAAAAAGGGTCTTATCCGCTCCCCAACCGCCTCACCCGACATAAATTCCTATCTTGCAGAAAACCCCTCTCTAGAAAGTCAAATCATGGGGAGAAAAAGACGCATATCGAAAACAGGAGAAGATAATCCGGGGTCAAATCCACCTCAACTACGTCATCGACTGACCATGTCTCGATCAATGAATTGACTATCACTGAGTGACTGACTTGCCATACCGCCTCCTCTCTCCCTCCTACCAATAGCTCACCCAGCTTCCACCGCAAGATAGCTGAACCGAAAAGTCTCAATGAGTCAGAGGCTATGATCGTCTCGCGCTATCAGATCCACGACCAGGGAAATCCGCTCTTAGGGATCGGATCAGCTCAGAGCAGACCAGATCAAGACCATCCCATCGCCCGATCAATTCGATTCCAACCAATCCATGTCACGTATACGCTATACTATCGGCATTGGTCGACGATCAGACCAACACAACGCAGCCTTGCAGGCGCATAATCCGGGCAATAACCCCTGCAAGTGATCGATGCGTCTAGCTTTGGCTTGAGCTTTGGCTTTGGCAGTGCTGCAGGGAGGATCGTTTGTGGGGCCTCTTCCATGTTCGTGGCAGGCAGACAGGGAGGTATGAAAAAAAGCAGGGAACAACGAGGTCCCCGACGACGGAGATAGTTGCTTCTTAGGGGTGGTGTTGGCTGGGGTTGGTATATCATATGCAGGAGGGTACATATTGTGCCTACCCTACCTACCCTACCTTGGCTGGCTCGTATTTAGTTACCATCTGCTACGGTCTTCGAATCCCAACTCCAGGAATCAAGGACTAGGCACCAATCCACGATGACGCTCATTCCCCGATCCAGAAGGAGATAAGGCTGCCAGGGGGAGGAGGATCGGACAGAAGGGTGTGCACACACAGCACAGACAATGGTGACTACAGCATTGCATGTCTTATACAAGATGCACTAGCACTCTATGATCGACAAGAAAGAAGCAAACATGACAATAGTGCTGGGATCAATTGCGTGGAGAAAGTCTGCGTGAAGGATTAGCAGCCGTTAGTATGCATAGCTTAAGTCGATCATTTGTTTTGTGTACTCGGTATGGAGTACAGTACATTGCGGGTAAAAACTCAAGGTCGGGTTATTAGCGCAACAAGCGGATAAAAATTGCGGTCACTGTCTTGAGATTTAGTTCGAGGCGTTTGAGTTTCTGGGATGGTGGCAGAAATTAAACAGCCGGGATAAGCGATGTGCATACAACGCGGTGTGTTATACGCTACTTCAAGGGGAATTCCCGGGAACAGTGATAGTCCCTCTAGCTTGTATCACAAGTGTTGGCCAATATCATTCATTGGGTATGCCTGTTGGTATGGATATGCCTACAGTCTGATCGTTTCTCAAAGGAACAAAAGAACGCTTCACAATATGAACATAAATACATAAAACCAATTTCCCAAGATCCCCCTAATTCCCCTTCCAAGTGGAACGCCTTTTAACTACATAATAATGGTTGACTCTCTTACATGGTGTGGTCAGTCCGGTTAAAGAAATCTTCCCACGGATCCATGTTGTACATGACATTCGAATCCGGCTCCAGTTGCGACGGGAGACCCTCGAAGTCCATGGTTGCAGGCTCGTAAGTGGCAGGGTCCGGGAAACAAGCCAACGGGTCCTCAAACATACTCGGAAGTTCACCGCCAAATGCTCCGCCGTTCATAAACAAGAGACTATCGTCAGGCTTGGCCTGGGCGAAGGGATCGGCAAAGGCGAACATCGAGTTCTCAGGATATGCGCTGACAGGCTCGTACGGGGAGTGGGTGGTTCCTGTGGCGGGCGTGAGGAACTCTGCCGACCCAGAGTTGGGAGTCGCAACGCCGTTCATCTGAGCCTGGCCCATGTCGTAGCTGGTTGAGGCAGACGGCAGCGTCCTGTAGTCGTTGAACTCACACGGAGGGGATGCTCCTCCAAGGGAACTGCCATTCGAAAAGAGTTGGAAATCCTCGGTCTTCGCGGCCATGGAGGGATCTGCGAACGAGAAGGACATGTGCTGTGGGTACGCGGCCATCTGCTCGGGCGAGGAGCTGGTACCGCTGGTGGGAGTAGAGAGCTCAGGCACCTGCTTGACCGCCGGGGTGGAAATCTCGTGGCCCTGCGACGAAGCCCGAGAGGATCCTCGCTGGGGAGTGGTACGCTTGGTAATGCGACCATTGTTCTTGGATCGAACATACGTCCACTTGTGGGTCTTCTCCATGTGCTGCTTGCAGTTGCTCTGTCGCTTGGACTGGTAGGAGCAGGACGGAAACAAGCACTTGTACATCATGGGAGTGTTGCAGTGCTTGTCGTTGTAGTGGCGCTCGGTCTCCTTCTCGGTCGGGAAGCCCAGTTCGTGGTATTTGCAGGTGGGTTCGGCACATTTGTACGGACGCGAGTGGGTCTTCTCGTGTTTCCTACGGTCGGTCAGCATCTTGCATCGATTCTTAGCGCAACTGGAGTTCCTTACGTTAGGTCACAGGGTCTTTGGAAGACCTTGTCACAGAATTCACACTTCTTGTTGATGTCCATAGGAGGAGCATTCTTCTTGCGGCGAGCCATAGAACGCACGACTCCGTCATCGGCCTTGCGCTTCATAGAAGGTCCCGAATGTTCGTTGTAAGCCTCGCCGGTGCGCATAGAAATGGCTTCGCCGTCCTTGCGGGCGACGAACTCGGCAGGACGTCCAGTTTTGGCGATTCCACCCTCGAGGGTAAGGCGAAGGTCGCTAAGAAAATGAAAAGTCAGTCTCCGGTCTGCACCTTCCTAAGTGAAAAGGAATAGGAACATACATCACACCATCAGCCTTGTCACCGTTCTTACGTGCCTCCGCACGGAGCTGGAGACCGCGAGACGCCTCTCGCATGGATTTGAACCGATTTATTTGCGAGACCAGGTCGAGGAAGTAGCCGTTGGTGTAAGGCCGGTCAGCTGGCATACGCAGGTCCCGATCGTTGAGATGGGGAACGGTGCCGAACAGACAAGAGATAGTGACCTGGCAGAATTCGAAGTAGGTTCTGATGCGAGCTTTCACGTCCTATTGATTCATCCTATTAGTGAGGGTCCTTCGTAGGTTGAACTAGCCGGGAGAATGATAAGACTCACAGGAGCGGACATGAGCAGGGTCTTTTCGAGATCACGCAGGCAGACAATCTGATCCTTCTCCATGCGCTCATGGGCTCGGCGGACGAGAGTGTGGTATGGGCGGAACTTCTCCTCCTTGAGCAAAGGGAAGAGAATACGGCCTTCGATCGCCAGGCGGCCATTGTTGCTCAACTTGCGAGTAGAGAAAGCCGCACTAGTCTGTGCCAGGGGGCCAGTAGTGACTGCGGAGCGTTAGTGGTGAGATGCAATGCAAACAAACGATCAAAAGCGTGCTTCGATGACATACCCTTGTTTTGTTTGGAGGCCGCGGTTTCGACGCTACGGATCGAGGATCCCAGGCCACTGTCCGAGTCATGACAGTTCACTCGCCGAGTCTTCGCCGAAGCCTGCTTCCGCAGAACGGGCTGGCTGCGTTCGGATTCCTTGTCGGACAGTTCTGCGAAATTCGACGGCTTGACCGGGGCTCTCAGGGACCGACGAGAGGCAGGCGAATAGGGGCCATCGTTATCCGAAGTCTCCGACCGCGACATATCGTTTTCCAGGTTATCGAGAAGGTTAGCCATGCGTTGTTGACCGGTAGCGATGGCTTCGAGGGCCTCGGGGCTGGTAGGAGAGCGACGAGGCAGCAAAGGGAAGTGCAACAAGGGATCACGGCTCCTGGGCGGGCTGTGAGGGGAATGAAACGTTTCGCCTTTTCGCAAACGGGGACTCGAGTGGGCTTCAGATCCTAGAGGGCTAGGAGTCGATAGCATCATTCGACGGCGAGGGTGCCGGTGAGTTTGAGTCTCTACACCCTGGGAGGTCGACATGGTGGTGTGAGAGTCGCCAGACTCCTTCAGCGCGGTCGGAATTGGTAAAATCAAGGTCGTACTCGTTGAGACGTTTACACTCTTATATCTCATCAATCAGTTGTCTGTCATCTCACATCGGTTTCCCTTGATTCCCCAAAGGAATACTGAGAGAGATAGAAGACAGGCGGGTGATCTAATAAGCCGTCTCTCGAAAACTTACGGTGACCTAGGATGCCGTCCTGTCCGACTTGACGATGGAAGAAAGTATCCGCATGCAACGGCCGCTAAGTTCGATCAACGGCGAAAGGGGATAGAGGTAAGGCCCCGGGTCAAAAAAACGGGTTTCTTGGGACTCGACGGCGTTTGAGATGAAATTCTAGTTCCAACAAAGAATCCTGGTGGTGGAGAGAAGGCAGCAGCGGGTGGAGGGATGACACAGCTTAGATATTGGGACTGGGGAAGAGAGGAGGAAAACAGATATGCGATCTGGCTGGAAAGAGGATGACAGTCAATCAAGTCATGGAGGCTGTTCGCCGGGGCTGATGCGTTTTGGATGTCTGCCTGATAGACGAGTCGGACTAGGCCCGAAGGGGGCAAGTGCTGTGGGTTCAGTTTGGCGTGATTGGTCTGCCCTAGTGAGTTGCGCTCCGCCGCGTTGGTCCCCTTCGATGGTAATGTACGCTGTACTTACAGGGGCTACCGGGCCACGACGCTCCGACGTCAGCGTATTTGAGGGCGCCCTTACGTCGCCCGTACGTCTTCCGTACGGCTCTGCCCCCCCGTGGTCGGGGCCGTTGTGTCCCGTTCTCCGCGCCTCGCAGTCCCTATTTCAAGGGCGGCAGACCAATCATTCCCGGCTCACCCAGTCCAGGTGGATCCGGTTACAGACGATTCCGAAAATAGTTCGCAACCCTTTCCAAGGTCCAACGCATCTTTTGCCTTTCTTGAATTTGACTTTTTCTCTCTTCTCCCCTTTTCGGTCTCCGCGGATCTCGGAAACTTCGTCCCATAACATCCCCCATCGTTCTAGTGAGCTATATAATTCCAGGGGACAGCATTGGAAAATTCTATCGATCGTTCTTCTCAAATTGAAGGGGACCCATGCGGCGATGAGGCGTTCTCCAAGGCAGTCAGGAAATGTCGGCGCTTTGAGTTTCACGCCGGCCATGTCATAGGAGCCCATCATATGATGGCATGGGACCAACATCCTCCCTTGTCCGTCTTAACAATTCCTAATAATGATGAATGGGACACGATGGCTCGACATTGGCGTTCTCGCCCCTCGGACAAGGATTCGGTGTTACGGGATTCGATTGCTTACGCCCGACAGTGCGACCCTGTATTTTCCACTCCGTACACGCTGGTCTTTGGAGGAATATGTACCGTCGCGCACTCTGGTCCAGTGAGCTTTCCTTGCTGCTGGGAGCTACGCTCTTATTCGTGCCAGACCATGAGCCTCATCGTGATGACGCTGAGCTGCATGTTCCCGAGTGCTACAATCTTCTCCCTGCTTCGTACAGCCCAGGCCGGGGTTACTGGTCAGTATGGATGTACGGAGTACAAGGTACTCCATCCAGTGGAGGGCATAGCCACCCGACCGCCAGGATTTGGGTTGCGCTCCAATCAAACCTGTGGACTTGGGTAAGAAATGTCGGTGTAACTAACTTCGTATGTTTTCGTTTCTGTTGTTGGCTCTGGGTGTGACAAGGTAATCAATCATTATTCTTGCTATGGCAACCATGGAGGCTGCTCATCTAGCATACTACGACGGATGCTCCGTACAAAATGCGGAATAGAAGGACCTTGATTCTTAATCTCTTTCCAATAACTAACGGCACGGCCGGAAGCTTTCGTGACACGATGCAGTAGGTTTGGTAACAATGAACTGTCACTGTGGCTAGTCTGCTAGTCCTGTATGCCGTTGCATCGCCACACTGCTAGCTGTTCTTTGATCTCCCCAAATGCTGTTAACCCCGACGTTTCCAAAAGTAGTGCCCCCTCAGTTTTCCCCTCCCTAAACAGGCAACACAATTTTCTAGATCTGGAAATCTCCTCAGCGACGAGCCTCGTGTTTTTCCAGAACTCTCCTCCGTTTGGAGTGCCGTGACTGCCGTCTCTGCCGTGGCTTCTTGCGTAAGTAAAAGGGTAAAATGGCTTGGCTGCTCCTGAGGCACCAACATTCTGATAAGGACGTATCAGAACGTGACATCACGAGTCGGTCGAGATCCGGCCAAAGTCTTCAGGCTCACACATTTCTAATCTAATCATCGTTTGATCTGTTCATGTTTCTCATCCTTGAAATTTAGCAGCCTGCCGTCACAAATATCGCTCAGCATTCTGCCCCTTCAAGCTTACGACTCTATCTGTCTAGGATCAACAACATACCCTATCAGAATGTAGGGATGAAGGTGCCGCAATTTCACCCGGGTCATCACCTGTTATACTCAACTCTGTTTGGTCCTGTTCCTGCAGCTATTCCTGAATATGTATGTGCCTGAACTTCGCAATCGTCGCATCATAGGACTCGGCGATTTGATGATAAAACATACTCCGCGGATAGGGACTGGATCAGCGTTCTAAAGTTAGCTGACAGGGTTGAGTCCGGGGTCATTGAGCTCAGTCCTGTATGGACTGCGATCTCCGTGCATTGACTTTGGAGGCTGCCTACTCCTAGGTCCGCGATTCGATTTGAATTGAATTATGCTTCGTCGCTCACACGCCCAGTCTGGACACGTTGCCTGTCAACGATGTATGGTTTGATGCCTTACTTTGGTGCCTTCCTTTCCGCATTTCCGCATTTGGGTTTTTTGGACGCGGGGGGGTGGCGGCTCTCGATCTGCTGTTCCTACTGTGAGTGCCTGGTCGGGTCCTTTGAGGAGGCTCTTCATCGGCGAGCTTGGTGTAATGGCGGAGGATGGACGCATAACTCTTTCGTTTTCAAGTATTCAATCATGTCTGAGTTTACATCACAGATCGGTGGGTGCAGTTTGTAGAAAGGTAATGTACTTCCAACTAGATAAAAAACCCAACTTGGCAATGGTCAGTCCTTGCAGTACCTGATACGTTAACATAGTTTGGATAGGATAAGAAGTCATAGCATATTAACTATCCCAATATCATGAAATACAACCACAGGGCAGTAAATTCCTGTCCGCGGTGCTCTTAAACCAGATATAGTCGTTGGAGAGAATCATAGTCAATAGGGGACTTCTCTAGCTCTCAGGGGGTGGACGAAGTAGATAACAGAGAACAACACTGGTGCACCTTAAGTATGGCGGCGGAGCTAGTTAGATATATTTTGGAATCTCCGAATGAAGATAAGGTAGATATTAACACAGCAAGGCTTTCTACTAGTATACAATCGATGATTGATAGCTTGATAACCTTTATGCGTATACATATTAACAAATTCCTATAGAGTAATCACATAGCAAGATATCGAGCCCGTTAATAATCCGATGGTCTCGTGAAGCGGTTGGACCTCGGCTTCGGGAAAGGGCAGAACGCGCGGGCGGTGCCGAAGAACTGCTCGGGGCACCTCCCCAGACTTTCTCCAACGTCTCTCGTTTGGTGAATCCCATACCTGGGGGAGGACTGCGCTTTTAATCTGAGATTAGCATCCCTGACCGATGGACTCGCTTCCCTGAATCTTTGATTGACCCGATATTCCCCAGTTCTCTCCCCTCCCGGGTACTCTCTTCTTTCCACCGGACAACTCTCTCCTTTCCCCGCTTCAATCGACCGACCGACCTGCGCAACACAACTACCTCCAACATTGACATGGAGCATCGCGACGTACATTCTGACCAGCCAAAACGGTGCAGACGCACTGCTCGAGGAAAGCGGTTGCGCAATAGAGCTCCGATCTCAGCACGTCTTGCTTTGGACGATCAGCTCCGCGGGAACGTGGGCGTTTTGTCCGATGACTTGGCGGCCGACCTCTTCCAGTCGTCGCCTTCCATTGGTATGAGATGCTGCAGCCTCGGATAACTAAATTACTCTGCTAACTGCTGCCGCCTGTTGGGTTCGCCGCAGGATTAGATCAAGACGGGAACGATACTCGCTATATCGCAATCTCTCCGTATGTTCCGGGCCACGGCTCTGTCGAGGACCTGACCTGGACCGTTATTCCGGTTCGGCGGCAGTCAAAGGATCGCGCCTATAATATTTCCATCCCGCACTCTACGGTTATATTTCCCGATTTCACGGACTCTCTGCAGCCTTTCATCCAGGCATTGAGCAAGCTCGACCCGACCCGACCAATTCAAGCGCAGCGCGCGGTGGAAATCAAGATCTTGGATGTGGTACCGTTGCACCTGGATACGATCTACGTGACAGTCGAGCGCAATTTGCTGCGGAATCACGATGAGATCCAGAATAAGTTCGGTGGCGGGTTCACCAATAGCCTACAAGGACCTAACGGGCTTTGGGCGAAGACGGGGAAGGGCATAGAGACGAAGAAATACTCGAAGAAGGCTGCAGCGGAGGCCGAGAAGAGACTCACGGTTGCTGTGCGTGAAGCGCTGGGAGCGCAGAAGATCGTGCACACCGGTGATGTGCTGCAGCTGCCTCTGCCACCACACCCCATTACCTATGCCAAGCCACCTCCGGCACACATCTCGTTTTGCGAACCTGTATCCCAGGGCTTACTGATGCCGACAACGAAGATCGTTCTCATCCAAGCCAGGCCGCACGGTAGCCGGACCCAACGAAGTTTGCGATCAGGGTCTGGTCTGCTGAAGCAGGTTGCCGAAGATGAAGCTGACGATACCTCTAACGAGCAATTTTACTCCGCGGCGGAGGATAAACCGATTGAAAGCAGCACCGAAATGGAGACGGAGACTACATCAACCCCGGAAGAATCGGAAACGGAGGGCTCCGGAGGGAACATGAGCGATACGTCCGATGAATCTTTGGAGGACATGATCTCTCTCTCCGCCCCTGAACTTCCTCAGTCGGCTTCTGGCGTCATGTCTGCGATGACTGCTGCTACACCCCGTGCGGGTGGCCGACGGGCCGACGGCGTTCATACTCCAGGATCCGTGGCCTCAAATTTCACATCGGCCACCCTGCGCCCTGGCCGGGGTGGCGGCGGTAAAGTTTTCAAGGCCGAGAGCCTTCTGCGGAGCATTGCAACCGATCTCCTACATCCAAAGCCGCGAGAAGACGATGATACCGAGTCCTTTGTTTTTGTGGACATCAGTGTACTCGCCAAAATCGGCTGTTTCTCTGGCGATTGGGTGAAAATAGAGGCAACAGAAGAGCCTCAAGCCAATATATTTGCCTCTATCAAGCTAGGGAGCTTTAACGAACAAGAAGAAGACTCTGGGGAATGGCGCGCGGTTAGGATTTATGGACTGCCTGGGTTCCCATCAGCAAAACCGCGGTACTCAATCAACCAGTCCGGGGATAGACGGCCCAGCATAACCCAAAGACCCCCTGTGCGCTTGACGCCTTCCGTCTTTGTCCCGCCCCTTCTATTGAACAATTTGGAAAACCCCAAATACCTTCGTATATCCTCTATGAGTTTCGGCACCGGTAGCGGCACCTCCAAGCCAGGACTTCTGCATCAAATGAAGACAGGCTCCACTAGATGTCCTCCTTTGGCAAAAGAAGTGACTCTGCATAAGGTTTCCACGCCCCTTTCCATGGATCGCATCCTTCAGCCAGCCCTTTTTGCCGGGCTCAAACAATATTTCGAGTCCAAACGACGGCTCCTGAAAAGCGGTGACCTCGTTGGGATCAGCATTGATGAAGGACTGGGTAGAGCTGTCTTTACAGGAACTGCTGCAGGCGATGGTGCTGTTCAGGATGAGGATCTCACTACTCGACTGGGTCAGGTGACAGAGACTGATGGCGCCGGCATGAAAAAGGTTGGGGTTGCCTGGTTCCGCGCCGGACAAGTCGTTCCTAGCTCTCCGGATAACGAGGATGAAGTAGGGGACATACACTGGGGCGGTGTTGCTATAATTGACCCTGCGACGACAAGGATGGTACAAGCTGGGAGTGACGTGAGCCGTGTGCCAGGTACTATGAATAACAGCTGGGAATATTGGCTTGGTACGAAATCAGTGCCGAGAAGCGTGGGTGATTCCAAATCTCCGCATGGTCTCATTACCGAACTTCCGCAATCGTTCGTGCCTCCATTGCAGCAGCGCATTAGGGATCTGATGTCAGTGGCTACAAGTCCCCGGGCGATTCAGCTCGGTATGAAGCCAGTTGTTATTCTGCTGAGGTCGCAGCAGAGACATATTGGAAAGGCAACTGTCGCTACCCGGGCTTGTTCCGATATTGGTCTCCATACTTTCCCGATTGATTCTTACGACATCCTGACAGAAGGTGGTGCTAATGGTGGCGATGTGAAAACCGAAGCGTACCTCAAAGCAAGGGCAGAGCGTGCATTCCACTGCGGTTCTAACTGCACGGCGCTTCTGATTAAACATATTGAGGTGCTAACCGCGGACCGAATTGTATCGGCCATGACCGAGATCGTGTCTGATGCTCGGGTCGTAATCGCAACCACAACGGATGCCGAGCAAATTCCCGAGGGCATTCGCAGTATATTTACACATGAGTTTGAGATGACTGCTCCGGAAGAAAAGGAGCGCGAGGGAATTCTGCGTAATGCCGTGTCTGAGCGAGCCATCAAGTTGTCCCCTGATGTCGATTTGGGTACGGTAGCTTTGAAGACTGCCGCGCTAGTTGCTGGAGACTTGGTTGACGTTGTTGAGCGTGCCTCTGCTGTGAAGGCTGCTCGCCTGGAGAAACTCGCAGAGGCTGCAAGCAAGCAGCATAAAGGACTCAACGTTAGCGTCAGGGATGTGCTCGTCTCTGGTGGTGATGCAGCACGAGGCGTCACCAAGGCCGACTTTGACTCAGCTGTCGAGGCTGCAAGAAAGAACTTTGCCGACTCTATCGGCGCACCTAAGATCCCCAATGTCGGCTGGGATGATGTCGGTGGACTGACGAATGTTAAGGACGCCCTTATCGAAACCATCCAGCTGCCCCTTGAGCGACCAGAGTTGTTTGCCAAGGGCATGAAGAAACGCAGCGGTATCTTGTTCTACGGCCCGCCGGGTACTGGCAAAACCTTGCTTGCCAAAGCCATTGCGACCGAGTTCTCTCTGAACTTCTTCTCCGTCAAAGGCCCTGAGTTATTGAATATGTACATTGGTGAGTCCGAAGCCAACGTGCGGCGAGTCTTCCAGCGAGCCCGAGACGCCCGCCCGTGTGTTGTCTTCTTTGATGAACTGGACTCGGTCGCCCCGAAACGAGGAAACCAAGGAGACAGTGGTGGTGTGATGGATCGTATTGTCAGTCAGTTGCTGGCCGAACTGGACGGCATGAACGGTGGCGAGGAAAACAGCGGTGGTGTGTTCGTCATCGGTGCTACGAACCGACCCGACTTGCTAGATACGGCGCTCCTCCGTCCCGGTCGGTTTGACAAGATGCTCTACCTTGGAGTGTCTGACACCCACGATAAACAAGCTACTATCCTCGAGGCTCTCACGAGGAAATTTACCCTTGACCCTGGCTTGTCGCTGGGCCGAGTCGCCGAGCGGTTGCCTCTTACGTACACGGGTGCTGATCTTTATGCCCTGTGCTCGGATTCCATGCTCAAAGCGATCACACGCAAATCAACGGCCGTGGATGAGAAAATCAAGCAGTTGCCAGGAGAGCCCGTTAGCACTGCGTACTTCTTTGACCACTTGGCTACGCCGGAGGATGTGTCGGTGATGGTTACGGAGGACGACTTTACGGAAGCGCAGAACGAGCTTGTTCCTAGTGTCAGGTACGTCTCAGTTAAACACGGGGTCATTTAACTACAGGAGTGAAATACTAACGCTGCGCAGTGCCAAGGAACTTGAACATTTTGAACGCATCCGACGCACGTTCGAATCGGTTGATAAGCAGAAGCAGGACTCTGCCGGCAATTCCAACGGATCACAAGCACCACAGACCATCCAGGATGCGCTGGATGCCCTGAGTCTTGGGGATCAATTGGGCGACCACATAGGCGGACCCGTTTTGAATGGCGACCATGCCTCCATAGGCAAAGGCAAAGGCAAACAAGGCCTGACTGGATCCAGGAACGCGAGTGGCCACTCGGTCAGCAGCAAGGGCAAAGGCAAAAACCCCGCCAATGGAGGTGGAAAGTCGAAGAACAAAGCCATCTCCGCCAGCAACGGGGACTCCGATTCTTCCTTCGATGGCCCCAACTCAAGAAATGACCGGGGACTGTCGCGTGAGTACGATGATTTAGGGGAGGATGACGACGGTGCTGAGGACGGCATCGCCAATGGAGACGAAGACTACATTGTTCGAACTGATCATCTCGTTCGGTCGGACAGCTCGAAGTAGGAGGACAGGGGCGCAGACGACTCGGATTTCTTGCTACATTAGTAATCATTTAGCCCTGGGAGAGACTAGGCACCACCAGAAGTAGTATATACACCGTAGGTAGGTACAGGGATAAGAGCATCGGGCTGCTGTACATACATAGCGTTGCATCCAATGATTATATCCTTTTCTATTGCATCCGGAGAACTTCCGTCCGGGGGCTGGGTTCTCGGCCAAAATTGGGTCCTGTACTTGCTACCTGTAGGCAGAAACACGGTCTTGGCAAAATTTACGCTCCTCCGTTGGTGCATTATCCTCTCTTCTCCCAGGGTGTGAGTATGTCGGGATTGAATCCGACGGAGGATTTCAGCCCGCTGCACTCCTCCCGAAAGGACCGTAGTCCTGCGTCCGCCAGCGAAGACCGCAACATCCCCGTGACAGCCCGTGACCGGTGTGAGACAAGTGGAGCGGGGCTTTCGATCTGCCCTTTCTCTTATCACCTCATTCAATTATCATCAGCCATTCTCATATCAGAGGCATCTTCGCAATTTGATAATTTGAATTGATACTCTCCCTGAATCAGCTGGTATAGTCATGAAATCTTGTTTATCTATCAGTATCACCCTCCAGGAAACCCTCCGAATCCTGGCGCCATTATCGCACTCGGCGTCCCATCGTCATTGGGCCCTCCCCAGACAAGCTTCAGTCCGTTAACCGCGCCTTTTTTCGGCAGAACCAACAGATGCGACCGCAGATCAGCCTCCGAATCGCTCTGACTGGTTCTCGGCTCCTTGCGTTCGGCGCTGTGGACAAATCATCGGGCGCCGGCCCTATCTCACCCACGATCTTCTTGAGCATACCTTTTCTTGGCCTTATCAGAGCCATGTTCGCCATCGCGCTCGGAATCTCACAATTACCCCATATCCATTAGGTAACGGACTGCGCGGTGCCACGCTCCCCCGCAAATGTGGGTGGACCACCAATCCTCGAGTCAAGGAAACGGTCGATGACAATGATGAGGGTCCGGGATGATGTCCCGATGGGACATAACACGGTGGAGGTAATAGGAAAGAGGGACGAGAATCCCTCAGGGCTGCTGTAGTACTCCGTATTATCGCTCTTCATCCCTTCCCTTCGTCTTTTTTCCCTCCCTTCCTCCCTCCTTCCCTTCCCTGCCTCTGTGCCTGGATCTTATTTTCTCCTTTTGCCTCTTTCTAGCATTCCGGCATTCTAGTTTGGTTCCAGTAATAACGCTTGTTTGACGTGACTTGTGACTTGTTATAGTCTGGCGGAAGTTGTTGAGATGTCAACAGAAAAAGATATCCGGGGGGATGATGATGCGCAGTTGGCCGCCATGGGCCATAGGGCCGAATTAAAACGCAATTTCTCGATGCTGTATGTTTCTCAAGGCTCTTGCTAATCCCATGTAACCTGGATCAGGCTAATATACTCCCTAAAACTAGATCGATGTTAGGCCTTGCATTCGCTATTCTAAATGTACGTGCAGCACGAAGAATTTCCCCGCCAATGGACGTTCAGGTCGACTTCTTGTGCCCGTCATTGGGGCTAGTCTATGCTATAAGCTCGACAGACCGTTGACTTTGATCGCGAATGCAGTCATGGACCGCTTTATCTGCCAGTTTGAATCTGAGTCTTTCATCTGGAGGCCCTGTTAGCGTCGTCTGGGGTAAGAAACACCTGTTGATGAGTTCTGGTCACTTGTTCTCATGAACCTGTTTATGATATCATATACCCTTCGACTCTCAAATAGCGTCGTCTAATCTGATCCTCTCGATAGGTTTGGTAACAGCAGGTGTCTGTAATCTTGCCACCGCCGTTTCGCTTGCCGAGTTCTTGTCAGCATATCCTACGTGAGTCTCAAAGTATATTGCTTTGGCTGAATACACGGTCTGACGATCTATACAGAGCTGGTGGACAGTACCATTGGGTCGCAGGTAAGTTCGCGCTCTTGTATATTCATTTGAAAGCTACTAACATTATCTTCGTCTGGTAGTCAGTGAGTTGTCTCGTTAATGCCGTCATGTCATCTTCTTGCTAAGATAAATGAAAGTTGCTTGGGAAAAATGGATGCCGATATTGTCTTGGATTACCGGTTGGGCCAATGTCTCCGGCTGGGTGCGTATAAATATACCTCTTCTGGAAATTGTCCGTGCTAATGGTTTCTAGCTCGCTTTGACTGCCACCGGCGGGTTGTTGGGTAGTGAGCTTATCCTCGGAGCCATTACCATAATGCACCCGGTATTAAAATCTCGGATCCGGCGTTCTTGATCATGCTGCTGATGCTATCCTATAGTCCTATGAATCCCAGCGTTGGCATCAATTTTTGATTTACATTGCGTATAACGTCATGGGTTTCTTGATCAACTCACTTATGAACAATGGCCTGCCGCTTGTCACTAAGAGTGCTTGTAAGTCTACCCTTTATGTTTCTTGACAGAGGGGATCTAAACATGTAATAGTCATCTGGTCTCTTTCTGGCTTTACCATCATCTGCATAACTTTGCTTTCGTGCTCGTCGCCCGATTTTAATTCTGGAGAGTAAGGGACTTCCTGAATGTGTTCCTAGTTTTCTCGTCGCTCATTTCAACAGTTTCGTCTTTCGAGAGTTTCTCAACGAGACAGGCTGTAAGTCGATGTTCTGCTCCATTCATGACTCTAGAGGTAATATGTCGGGGTACTAACTGTACGCAGGGCCGGATGGAATTGCTTGGTTACTTGGCGTATGTATCTTATAGCTTGATGATTGCAAACTCGGTCTAATTATTTTTCTAGCTACTTCAAGGAGGACTCGGTGTCACCGGATTTGTTAGTCACCCCTTGCGTCGAACCTAACTCTTCAAAACTAACTTTGCGAAAGGATGGAGTCGCACATATGATCGAAGAAATCCCCAACCCGTCCGTGGTCGGCCCCAAGATTATGATCGGATGTGTCCTCATCGGAACTGGAACCGGACTGATATTCTTGATTGTTCTGCTTTTCGTTGCTGGTGACATCCAGAAGGTCATCGATTCGGCCGCCGGACCTCTGGCGTATATCTTCAAGTATGCCACGAACAACAACGCTGGAGCCATCTGCCTTCTCATGTGAGTATTTGTGACTTTTGATATGTTCCTGGCACTTTTGCTGACCAATGCTTGATAGGTTTCCCCTGGTTTGCATGCTTTTTGCTACCACAACCATCATGGCAACGAGCAGCCGTATGGTCTACGCATTCGCAAGGTGAGAATTGGCTGATCTTGAATTATTGTCCTTATCGCTGTGCTAATGATCAAAATACAGGGATGGCGGTCTACCAGCTTCACCCTTTTTCAGCAAGGTTCACCCCAAGCTCAAGGTGCCTCTCAACGCCTTGTACCTGACAAACTTCCTTGTCATTGTCTTCGGATGCATTTTCCTTGGATCCTCTAGGTAAGCCCAATAGGCCATCTCACCTTCAAATCATTCGACTAATGAATCGGCTATAGCGCCTTCAACGCTATCGTTTCTTCGTCAGTGGTGATGCTTGATATTGCATACGGAATTCCGATTGCGATCAATTGCCTGCGTGGCCGAAACACGCTCCCTGAGCGACACTTTGTGCTCCCGAATGTTGTCGGCTGGATCGCCAACATGGTATGTTTGAAAGGCAACCTGACATGAAATGTGCGTTGACTAATGATTTTGATAGATTTCCCTAGCATACATCTCTCTCACTACCGTACTTTTCCTCTTCCCACCCGAGCTTCCTGTTACCGGTAGTAACATGAGTATGTTCCCCAATTGATATCTGGGCAATTTCCAAGATGCTAATGCAATCCGTGAATCTAGACTACTGTGTTGCTGCTTTTGGTATTATCTTGATTATTTCAACATTTCAGTGGTTTATTGATGGTCGCAAGAACTTCACCGGACCACGGGCAGATGTGGATGTTATCGCAGGCGAAGTCGCTGGAGGCGAATTCTATGGTGAACACAAAGGTGGACAGGACGAGCAGCTTGAAGGACAACAAAGGAAGTAAAGCCATGGGCAGGTATTATGGCACATGATCGATTAGCGTTTGGCTTTGTTTAATTATCATCGCGCTTGAATAGAAGATAGATACTGGTATCTACTTTGGGAATAGTTGGTGCCTCAGGCATGTACATGCGCCACGCCGTGCACATTGCGTCATGGCCACCTGAGGCCACCACTCCACCCCAACAACTCTTGAGTTCCCCACAGTTTTGTTCAGATCGTCGCCAGAGCCACTCCCCTGTCTACTCGACCTTGAGTGATCAGGTGCTGTATTTATTTGGATTATACGAGTAAATAATCGAAGCATATCAACAAATTCCCAGTGTCCAGGCCCGATCGCCATCGAGCCCTTCTAACATCAGAGCTCAACGCCAAGATCTGCTGGGATCCGCGTGTCAACCAGTTCCCATTGCACATATACGCAGTCATCGACAATGTTTACCATATCATTGCCTTCGTTGGGCAAGCTATTCTCATGGAGTGACCGAACGGTGTTCAACCTTCCGCCGGTCAAGGTTCATGAGACGGATACAGCTCATGAGAAGCCAGCCCGAGCTTTAAAGCACCTTCTGAAGCTCAACCACGCCAATCATGCCATTTTGTGGAATGAACGGAAATTCCACAACCATGCTCCTCATGTCAGTAACAGATTCCATTCGTGGTGAAGTTAGCACTAATTCGATTTCCAGCTCCTGAGCTCGTCCTTCCTGCAGGGAGCGGATGCGGATGATCTCACTCGCATCTATGAGGAGGAATCCAAGTCATTGGATCCTTGGGTGGATTCTCCCACGGAGATCAGTACAAGTGACTGGAGAGACTTTTTGAGTTGTAGGGAGTATGCAAAGACCCTTCGTTTACCTGTTTTTTTGCAACTGCGACTTTTGGACCCCGGCTAATAACCTGGTCTATTAGGTATCAGCGAGCTTATGTAGACTTCTTTGAAGATGAGCTCGTGCGATACGGATATGACTGGAAGGAAGTTATCTTTCAATACCTATTTGCGGGCAAAGAGCCCATCTTTAACTCGCTTGTTGAAGATCGTGAGTTGAAATCTGCGAATTCATGTTCGGAATCATTGAGCTAACCCTTCGACATAGTTGGACATCCCTTGATCCATTTGGCCTATGCCTTCGAAATGAACAGCCGTGAGGTGGGCATGGAAGCTCTCTCTCTGACGACTACCTGCTACGGAGGCATCCATAAATATCTGGATGACCCGTCGTATTCTCAAGCAGAGTCGTCCTATAACTCAACTTCCATCCTAGGTGTTCTGAACAAGGTGCGAACCGACCAGCGGTTCAACGGGCTCTTCGGCCACCCAGGCGCCCACAACATGGAGATCATCTTCCGAGAACATGAAGCTGCCCTTCTCAATCACTGGAACGCGTGGAAGATCGAGGACCCCATCAACCAATTCCGCGAGAGCCAGGAGGTAGCCGCAGCCATATTGGCTGCCACCCATGACAAGATCAACGAGAAATACGACTTTTTCTTCGTCCACATCTTGACAACTAGCCACGCCGTTCGCATCCTTCTCCCCTTGATCCCCGGCCGCTACCAAATCCCCTTGGTCAGACAATGGTGGCTTATTACTCTGGCGATCTACATTGCGCAAATGAGGCCGGAAATCCACCTCGACCGCATCCGGGACTATGACCTTGCTGGAAGAGATTGGAAATGGACGGCAAAGAAGGCCGTCAAGGGCGAGCACTCGACTGATGCGCATTACGTCAAGGCTATTCGCGCCTGCAGAGAGGCCGCCTCGACATGGGGTGACTCGGACTCTTATTTCTTGAAGACGGCCGTCAAGTTTGCCGAGGAGTTTAGCGGCTGGGGAGGCTTTATTTGAGGGTTTTTAATAATAACGGATATTTGTGATACTTGTTCTTTTAATGGTTTTGTTCGATTACTTAATGGCGTTAATGGCATCTCTTTCTTTTGTGTCAGTGCTATGAGGGTATTGTATGTACCTAGTTGGTTCACCGGTGTCGTCGATCTTGGTTGGAGTTTTGCATCAAATAAAAGTATCACTAGGTATATTGGAAGATATTTCACAACCCTTATAGATTATCTAACAAATACGAAGGGGACCATGGCAAAGAGCAAAAAAGAATTCTTTGACAATAGACCTGCCAGCTTAATTGATGCCTATTTGTTAAGGCATATAAGGTTTGCAATGTTTGCATTCGGTTTACGCCGCGTCCTGCGTCCACCAACACCAACCCGAACACGTCCCTCAGCCATAAATGAATTACTGACGTGACCCGATCGACACCATATCACGACAAACAACCAAGAATGTCTACAGAAACTAATCAAGACCAGGATCCCATCCTCTCCTTACATGCAGAACTTCTCCCCAACATCCGACACATCACACTCTACGTCTCTCTTCCCGCAAATTTACACTCACAGGGAATCCACCCCGACGTATCACTCTCGCAGTCCCGTCGAGCCATCACCGTCTCGCTGCCTCCCCCGTTCGACCACGTGTCAGACACGATCAAGCTTCCCGCGCGCGTCAGCGAAGCCTCTCGTCGCGCGTTAACGCTCACATCACAAAGAGACGGCGGTCTCGGGGAGGGAAAATGCGAGGCCGATCAGCGGGAGTATTCGTTTCGAATGCAGATCGACGGTGAAAGCGAGTCGTTGCTTTCGAGAGAGGAGCCGTTGGATGGGTTCGTGCCCTGGACTACGAATGATATGGCGCCTACCACTAAGCTGCGTTGTCGGCAGTGTGAGGCGGTGGTGTTGGATTCGCCAGGTGATGAAACTGGTGCGCGGTCTCCTGGGTGGATTTGGAAAGATCTTCCGAGTGGGAATTGGGCAGAAATGATGGATTTCTGGCACTGTCATAAACCGGACCCGGAGCCTGAGGATAAGCAAGACGAAGACCCCAATGCAACGGTGAAGGGGTATGGGGCTGCGAATCAAGTGGTCGCGATACCTGGTACTGTCCTGGTGGATGTGGCGACGTTTCTGATATCGCAAACCGAGTGTAAGGGTTTGAAACAGGTAAGAAACGCTATTTGCAAGGTGGTCTTCTGCCACTGTTGTTTTCTGCGTTCTGCGTTCTGCCCCGTGTCTACTCATGACGCCAGGGTCGCCCCTTTCCCGTAATTCTCAAAAAGCACGTTTTGGGTAAAAAAGAAGGAGGCCTTTTCATCTCAATGCTTTGGTCTTCGATACAACTGCCCTACAGCTACAGGGTCTTGGTCTGTTTGCATAGCATGAGTCTATGCCCAACATTTTGGCTGGTTGGAGGATACGTTGCAGTTATCCTCTTTCTCGAGATGGATTTCGTGGCTATCCTCATCCATACCGAGTTGTTGGGGGCCAAGACTGCGCCTTGCTTATTTCTTCGTTGATTTGGTCCCATGGGACTGACCCAGAGACATGGGGTCGACGTGATTACAACAAGGTACATGCTTGAGGCCGTGGGAATGAGGATGGTAGCTGACCTGCAATATCTGTGGGCTTTCTTGCCATACTCGATGGTCGTTTACCAGATAGAACAGAGCGTAATATCCCACAAATATAACCTTTCCAAGTGTTCAATCGCGTTCTTTTGTTCCGCAGTTAAATTGTTTATCTATGTTGGTCGAATGCAGCAAGCTAATTGCTGATTTTACTTGTCAGGTTCAATCAGATGACACGGGTAAAACCTCGCTAGAGTTGCAGAGAGAGCTTCACTGTGAGAATTGCGATTTTCTGATCGGCGTGGAAGATACTGTCTCTCAAGGGTGGCGATTGTTCAAGACAAGCATATCTGCAAGTGCGCCGCCAGAGGAACAAGATGAAGACGGGAATTCTGCCTGGCACAGTCACCCTATAGAAACTGTTGTGGCCGCTCAATTGTTGGAGCTTATAGAACGAGAAAGCACTCGACGGTTCGTTGTTCACGGTGGGCAGAAGAACGGCTTGCTCGTATGTTTGTTGTATCCTCCTTTCAACTTGCGTTATCTGACTGGTATATAGCTCTGGGTCTTCAATCCCGACCTGTGGTATTCAAATTCCGGCCCTGACCACAGTGTCACGGCACAGAGGGCAATGAAGATTCTGTTCCAGACCGTTACCGATGTGGATGAGATGTTGCATCCCGAAAACGGCAAGACTTTGTCGTTGTCTCTCGATGAGCTTCGCCTACCGCCCTATGTTTTCTCTGCTGTCTTCAAGTCGTTGGAGGGTAGCAGTGAGGGCTTGCCCGTGTCTGCAAGGAATTTCCGGGAGTGGCGAGTGGCAGTGATGCATCGCTTTGATCGGTTGAAGGGTTGAGGAGACAATGAACCGACGATGGCCCTGGAGCCTAGCGAGACGCACCTTCCCTTTTGAGCCACCCCTTAAGAAAGCCTTTGTACCTTATTTCACTTTCTTTGTCGGGGGTCATTTCAGGTGATTCTTCTTCCTCCGGCCATCTCCATCGCCGCTTTCTTCAACTTCCCTTCCACGCTTACTTAAAACCACAAGACTACCTACCGAAGTCATACATACATTGGGCCTTCCTTCAGTGCGCCTATATTTTTCTTCGCGACAGACACCTGTACGCAAACTTTGCATACATAGCTCAGTCAATAATCTCTCCTGTAAGCTGACCTCCGAAGATTTTGAATCTCATCTGATGGTAACTAACTGTTCTCTTCGGTCTTTCAGATTCACCCCGCTTACTAGCCTCCAAATGGCAGCGCTCTCTCAAGATTCTCACATGGCATCAACAATTTCTCAAATCGACGACGTTATCACCTGGGAACAGTTTGAGAATGCTTTCGAACGACTTTCGATAAAGGATGACTGCGGATCTGCGGGAAGCGGTACCTCGAGCCCGACCAATACAGCAGTCCTCTCCCAATCAAAGGCCCCAAACGAACCCCAGTCTTACCATATCGAGGACGTGGCACACGACGCCAAGAAGCCTGGACTTCGTGGACGCGCATCCTCCATGCCACCGCCAACGATCAGAGTCACTCCTCCGCCTACAGATCCTTGTGAAGATGAATGCATGTCGAGCTGATTGAATCCGCCATTTGGGGCTGATCTCACGCTAGGCATTGATATCTCTTTTCGCTGAGACAGGAAAATTTCCAGTTGGTGGATATTATTTTTAGCTTGGATTCCTCGAGAGGTTGGGATTACAGTAACCCGCGAAGAAAGCATTATTATACCCGGCATAGTTCCTCTATGGTTTTCAAGGCAGCTGCGTTGGCACACTCCAGCTCTTCCTTTCAATTTTTTGCCCAGGACGGAAAGGTTTTGATTCCAGTACAAATTGAAATTCTCATTCGTTAACTCCATACTTCGTTCTTTATGTACCGCTTCTCGCGTTGTATTTGAATAGCTTTTGAGCATTTCTCCCAAGTGGCCTTTTCCACGTTGACTTGCTCATGCTTCAAAAGGTGTCTCATAAGGTGCTTCCGCTTGTGGGGTGATTCTTGCGATGTGACGTCTCTGACCGTCCTCCCAGTCGTACTGCGCACTATGTGCGGTCACGCGGTTCTACGATAGTCAGTTTCGGCTTGGGCATCAATGAACAGCACATGGTACTTACATCCCAGACCACAACGGTTCCAGGGCGCCATCTTACGCGAGTTTGCAAGTCTTGAGACAGAGCAATGTGGTCATACAAGAACTTGAGGAGGAAGTCTGACTCCTCCTTCTTAAACCCAACAATGTAACGGGTGACTGGATGGTTGTTAGGAACTGTACTAGGTCCACTGAGCATCAGAAGCTGTACTCACACTGCGGGTTCACATAAAGCGCCTTCTCTCCAGTGACCTAGACGGGTATGTTAAATCTCAGTCTCACATATAATGTTCGAAAGAATATGGCTCACCGGATGAGTGCGGACGATGGGGTGCTCCGAGGTAATAGGGTCACGGCGAGCAATGCCTCCTTGGTTCAAGCTGTTGTTAACCTGCTCGATTCCAGAGTGAACAGCCTTCAGCCCGTGCAGACGCTTGCGGAATTCGGGTGATAGGCGTCTGTACGCCTGAGCCTGGTCTGCGAACAAGGTGTCTCCTCCGCTCGAAGGTCCGTCCAGGAAATACAGGAACGTGGTGCCTGGGGGTTGCTTCTCGAACGTCACATCCGAATGCCATGTGATGGAGTTTGTGTTGCGAGCTAGGAATTCAGCACCGCTCTTGTCATCGGCACCTCGGTGCACGAGGTGAATCTCTGGGTAGCCCTTCGGGGCTCCAGAGGTCTGGTGAATGTGGTGCCGTCCGAAGTATCCACCGAACTCAAGGGCCTTGTCAATTGGTAGGTGGGCAAAGTCCTGGTCACGGAATGCTGGGAAGATCTTAGTTTATGCTGTTTATTTCCAGGCCCATACGGCACAACATACCAACAACCTTCCTCTGAGCAACGAATAGCGCTAGCTGGTCCTTTCCTTCTTTTGATAGCTGACTCAGTTGGACTCCCTTGACTTCGGTACCGATGGTGGGCGTCAGATGGTCCAGTTCAACCTTGCCTTCGGGCAAGAGGTCGGGGAAGGTAGGATCCGCATCCTTTCCGTGGTCATAATGCTCGAAGGGGGTCAAAGGGGGGTATCTTGATACTCGATTAGCACGACTAGCAGACGACTCGAAAATACAAGCTCGACATACTTCTCGGTCTCGTTGTCCCAGACGGGAAGGTAATGAGGAAACGAAGCCGGAGGCTGCTTTGTCGTGCCTTTGATCTCATCGTCGTGATTGTAGGTGTTCTTCAATCCTGCAAAATTCTCCTTGTTATGGCCTCCCTCAGTGCGGAGAGGCTTAGCAGGGGCCGTACGCAGAGACACGGTCTCAGCGATGGAAGGAGCCATTTTCAGGGGTGAGAAACAGATCAGATTAGATTATGTTCTGGAGGAAATGCAATATCGACAATCTATCTATCAAGCCTTCCATTCACGAGGATCCCATTGCCAGATATACCGTTCTCTTCATCGTACCCGAATATCCGTCTTATGGGCTTGCGCAATACCTGCGGGGTATGTTTTGATCCGACATGGAAGGCATCATTGGATTCGCCATGGACTGGCGCGGGGTTACACGGTTCGCAACCCGAGCCTGTTGTGCAAGTCGTCGAATGAGGACAACTTTGCCCAGCAAAGGATGCTGATCAAGCATTGCTGCTTTATGGTGTGATGCCAGGTAGGATTTCCTATTCGGCGAATATAACGACAGCTTTCCGGTCCGCAACTGGCTCGGTTTCGCCCAGTCGAGAATTTAACGGCGGCAAGAGTCAATGGGAAGAAGAATAGCCGGTTATGGAAGGTCGCTACTACTTATGAAAAAAGTCGCCATCGTGAGTGAATTGAAGCACACGGTAGGTGAAAGCGAGAGATCTCGGGGAGAGAGAGGAGTGGATCGGCCATGGCGTGCTAGGGCTGCTCAGTCGCGCAAACGGCCCCAACCCTGAACCCAAACGCAACCACCCCGCTTAGGCCCCAGTTAGCCTCGTCTCGAGTAGGTTTCTCTCCTGAAGAACCTGAGTCCCTATGGCTTGCCCTTTTTTGTTTCTGAAAATCAATCAGGGACACTGCACGACGTTGGCATACGAGCTTCGGTAAACAGGCACGGTTGAAAAGAAAAAAAAGAGAAAAAAAAACATCCCTGTCGATGTATATCTTCGTTTCGATGCTGCAGCATTCAAGGCGAATCAAGGCCAGACCCAATGTTGTGATGGTGATGACGAAAGATATCACCATAAGCCAATCCGATGGTGACATCCGCCCGTTGCTTGTTTGACATTCCGTACTAAATTTCCAAACCCAGTCTACACTGAGTATCGCTGGTTTACACGATGGGTCTGTTGAGGGTCCAATCTCTCTGGTGTCTAGACTAATAAGACCCCCTGTCAATTAACGCTGATCTAACTCGTCCACCATAACGTCACCACGGTGCGATTTGCGTGATATAACCAACTTGGTTCCCATTGGATAGAAGCCCATCGTTTAAGCATCCTCGTCTACAACAATAGTACAATTTCATGCATATCAACTCGCCTATCGTGGCAAGTGCCTTATCAGTATAATTTTTACGACAAATGCCGTTGATGACGTTCAACCATTGCGGACACTGGCCGCGATCGACCTTTCTCAGCAAAAAAAGCAAGTCAAAAAGCTTTGAACTGCATATGGCTACACTTATTCATGCATCACCATTGGCCGCGGGCAGCTATCCACAGTGTCGGGGGTTTACTACTAGTTTCGAGAGATAGCGGTCCATCTGGGATCCAGAATTGCGTGATGGCGGCATGGCAGCTTTTCTTTCGTGCGAAAGCTTCTGTAGAATAAGTCTTCATATAAAGAGTCTGGCCCGTGTTCGTTCTCCTTTTTGCCATCGACCGTTTCTAGCCGTGGACAGACAGCAGACGCATGTCCATACTCGGCAGCAATGGGCGCGGACGAACCCAAGGGGACAGTTACGGACTCTAGCCCAATCAAATATGATGGGGACGCACCTCAGTTGGGGAATACATCCTCGTCGTCGCTGGACCAGCCTCGTGCTCGAGTTAAAGATTTAGGCGAATGCGCTTTCGATGCCGTCGAGGATCCGAGATATTACAAGCCTATCGATTCGTATGAGGGTATTCACCGCTGGGATCCAGATTTTGAGTGGACAGAAGAGGAAGAAAAGCGAATTATAAGAAAGGTATGTGGTGCACATTGTGTTCGAATCGAGACGAATGAACAGAAGGATCAAAAAAGCCGGAAGGACAGAAGGCGCTGACATTGCTGCAGATCGATTGGCGCGTATGCACGTTCGCATGCGTCACCTTCTTTGCGCTCCAGCTAGATCGTGGTAATATCGTCCAGGCCATGTCCGACAACATGTTAGAGGACCTAGGCATGAACACCAACGACTACAACACCGGTCAGACTATTTTCTACCTCATATTCTTGTTTGCGGAACTTCCGTCTCAGCTATTGTCGAAAAAGTTGGGACCCGATCGATGGATTCCCATTCAGATGTTCTGTTGGAGTTTGATCGCAGCCTGCCAAGCCTTCATCAAGAGCAAAGGAGGATATTTTACTTGCAGGGCGCTTCTGGGTCTCTTTGAGGGTGGATTGTGAGTTTACTAGTAGAACTGAGTCTCGTGAGTGCAAGTTGTACTGACCTCTTTTAGTATTCCGGATACCATTTTGTTCCTTTCTTTCTGGTACAAATCTAAGGAACTGCCCATTCGCTTGAGCTTTTTCTGGGTATCTTTCCAAGGAACTGCGATCATCGGTGCATTCCTGGCGTTTGGGTTTCTACACATCCGCGATGACGATGGAAAAGGCGGATGGCGGTACCTTTTCGCCTACGAGGGTCTCATCACCGGCATCATCGCAATCGTCGCGGCTTTCTGGATGCCTGCCTCACCCACGCAGACCAAGGGTGGCCTTCGAGGGAAGGACGGCTGGTTCAATGAACATGAAGAAAAGATCATGGTAAACCGCGTGCTTCGAGACGACCCTAGCAAAGGAGGTATGCACAACAGACAGGCAGTGACGCCGAAGATGCTTTGGCATGCCGTCTGCGATTACGACATGTGGCCCATTTACCTCTTGGGACTGGTCTGGATGATACCCAACACTCCGGCTACCAATTATATCACACTGCAACTGAAGTCGCTTGGGTTCGGAACTTTCGAGACCAACCTTCTGACCATCCCTGCATATGTCATTTTTATCCTGAACCTGCTCTTTTGGACGTGGATTTCCGAGCGTTTCAACCAGCGCTTCACCCTGGGCGTCATGACGGAAGTGTGGTGCTTGGTTCTGCTTATTGCACTCGAGGTTCTTCCCGATGGAACCAGCCCCTGGGGTCTCTGGATAATCAACGTTCTCTTGATTGGAGCTCCATACGTGCATGCTATCGTTGTAGCGATGACCTCTCGCAATGCGGGTTCGGTCCGTACCCGAACGGTTGCGAGTGCATTGTACAACATGATGGTTCAGGCGTCGAGTATTATCGCCGGTAATGTGAGTATAATTAACTTCTCATCAACTAGATTGACGAGGCGAGGCTAACACATTGCTGTCTGTAGATTTACCGCGAAGACGACAAGCCTCATTATCGCACCGGAAACAAGGTCCTCATAGCTTTGACGGTCGTGAGCATATTTCTCTTCATATTCGCGAGACAATACTATGTCTGGCGTAACAAGTAAGTTCATCGTGCCTTGTCACACGTGTCCAGTTGCTGATGGCTTGTTAGGCAAAAATCTGCAATCTGGGATGCCATGTCCACTGAGGAGAGGGAGCAGTATTTGGCTGAGAACTCTCATAGAGGAAACAAACGGTAGGGGATATCTACTTCCGTGTGCTGCGTAGTTCTCGTGACATAGACTAACGTCCTGTTCAGGCTTGACTTCCGATTCATTTATTAGAATAGATACGCATCAAAGCGGACAGTATCCAGCTGGTCATGGATTCACTGTTTGCTTTTGCTGTAATGCAAAACGAACACTCTTCGGTGGAGGAAGATAAAATCAACACAGAAACGACGGATAAACAAAATTTACGGATGGGAATTGGTATCGATATAGCGCCGGAAAGACACGTACAATAAAGATAGATAATGAACCCTCCCAAGTCCGGGGAAAACGAACAACTCAGTTTCTTTCATCTTCCAATTTGACATTCGTCTCCATTCATTCCCCAATCACATACTCGCATCCCTCCGGCCCAATCCAAACCTCATGAAGCTTCCCAGCGGGGACATCCACTCGAGCGCCCACCCCGAACGTCTCCTTCTTCACCTCCCCATTGTGCAATCTGGCATTGTCTTCGGGATACGTGATTGTCAAGGTCCCTTGGCGGATGAGATGGGTTGTCAGACCACGATGAGAGTGTGGTGAGTAATGAGAGTTGCTATGCAATGCATTAGAGGTAGAGAACAACTGGGGAACTACAAAGGCTAGATGATTACCTTCCATCAGACCAAGTGAAGACATGTCCGAATCCCCAGTCTCGGACCATTCGTTCGCATTCGCTGCGGGCGCCAATGGTGTAGGTTTCTGCCATATTGACGGCTGAGGATTGGATTCTTGTGTATTCGTTTAGTCAGAGAGAACCCTCAAGTTAGTTGGTAAGTCTGAGGTCTATGAAGTGGTGATGCTGGCAAAATGGCGAGATGCGGGGAATGACGTCGTTGGGTTCCTGAATGTTAATGCGGAATTGGAGCGCGTTGATTCGCCGATCTTATCTGGGTGCATGAGGTACATGGTCTCGTGATCTCGCAGGGAAGCCAGAAGTATCAGGCACAGGAATGCCTGGAGCACAAGGCGCGTCTCTCTTCCTCTGTTGAAGTTCCTTCCTCCTTCAACACTCACATCTACTTCTCCATGGATCCGGAACCGTTGTTGATCATCACTTCATTACTCTCCCTCTGGATACTCTGTATCGTACATTCTGGTCTCCATGTCCTTTTCATGTGCGCGACTAATCCCAGCCCGGCCTGTCGATGTCGGATTCCAGGTCTCATGCGATCGGGTCTTGGTTGCTTCCATTCCATCCTGTCCCTTCTTCCCCCGTCCTCGCTCCCCCAGCAAAAGGAAAAGAAAACAGAGCATGGTCGCGAGCCAATGCATTTGCCTGGACGTGAACGGACCTTCGACTGTCCGTTTATCCAAGGGTTCTTGCGAAATATTTTGTGTCTTTAGCGTCGACTCATATTTTCAAAGAGTCTGTCGGTCGAGATCAATCAATTAGCTTCGGCTTTCGACATTTTCCAGACGGAGTCAGCGGTGATTTGGGCTTACCAAACTGTGCTTTTCAGCATGATGTACCGCATACATGGCAGTCTTTGCCTGGAATTACCCAGGTTTCTTTGCCATTCCCCTGGCAAGTGGGACAGCGGACTCCGGGCATCTTTGGCGTGGTCAACACAAAATCAGCGATTTTTTTGGAGCAGAGTGATGACCGATCAAGACACTTACCGGCATTGTGATGATGGAGAAGATCGAGCTTGACAAAAGACTTTTTGAGGGAAAGGTAGGATTGAATGCGCGAAAGGTCCTTTGAGAAAGAGGGAGGGAGAGAGAGAAAGAGGGCCCGATTTCCCAAAAGATTTCCCCGAAGAATCGCAATGGCCAAAGTCTAAATGAAGTCGGTTGTTTGTCTGGCGCACGTCTCCTCGATCGCTGAGCTTAATCTCCTTGGGGTACCCGTCGCCCTTTTATAGAGTCTGGCGAGGAGCGAGTGGTCCGTTGATCCAAGACCCTCTCTGAAACCCAGAAATTCGCACTGGTCATCGGGAGATCTTCGCTCTAGGGCCGATCGATCGATTGGAGACACGACTAGATGAAATCCATGCATCCAAATATCAATCACACCAGAACCCTTGCAAACTAACATGTCATGTTGGGGTCCGTGATGGTCCCAGGTTACTCGGATATTCCCGTTGATGACAAGCGTTTGCAGTCTAGCAAATGAGAACGCTTGGAAAAGTGCGATCTGCTTTCCATGTACATGGGTGCGATACGTGTTTCGACTCCCTCAAAGCTGGTCTCATTTTACGAAATTGAGAGACACGGAAAAAAAGAAAAGAGGAAAAAAATAATTGAAATCTCATGCAGGCACATCCGCGGATCCAGAACAACGACGAAAAATCAAATTCAAGACGAAATAAAAGAAATTCCGATAATAATTTTGCTTTTTTGCAAGGGGACCACACTGTCATCGCCTGCATATTTTGGAAACCGTTAATGCAGCTTATCACCAGAGAAACTCGGTAGTCGGTAACCGCGGACGCTGATTCTCTCCCTCTGTCGCGCTCTCTTAATGTGACTTGTTGCGAATGACGTCGAACGGGACGCGATCGATTCCACTTCTAGCACAATCCCCTGGTCTGGGCCGCCTCAAGGCTTCAGGCTACCCATCAAGTCTTGATGGACTAAAATCCGTCTCCTACGCTTGACCCGCTCGGGGTCTTAATTGAGTGGTGTTATAATTGCTAGCAGCTAGCGGTGCGGTGGTTACGGGTCTTTGGAACAGGGATGCAATTGACGCGCCTCTAAATATTGCACACATCTCTCTGTGGTTACCGAGCGAGGGATCCAGCCTTATCTTCCTTGATTGGCTAATGGGATGATGCATCTCCAGTCTCCATTCGTTGCGGGCAGCCTTGCAGCCAGATAAGTGTAAACTGGAGTTAATCCAGAACTTGGGAGTCGGGAAGCTCCATCACTAAAATATTTTTTGATCAAAGCCCACTTGTTTGCTACCTAAAGAAAACAGGGCCCCACTGCGAGCGCTAATGCCCCGAGGCACCGTCACGGCATCCACAGTACTCCCTGTGGGATCTATCCTGCGAGAGCTATTTTGAGGGGGGCGGGGGCATACATACGGAACTTCTTTCAGCCAATATGCAATGGCAGTCAGCATGATTGGATCGAATCAGATGGACCAATCATGAAAAGTTCACCATTTGGATCGGTTGTCAGTCGAGTGATTGATACCCTAGGTTTTCCGGTGCAAATCAGTTACTGGGGTTTGGGGATAGCTGATTCGACGGGTAGAAGATGCAAGCGCAGGTTCCCAAGCTGTCCGCTCGACCTTTACCCCTTCTTGAACGCAGTAGCTCAGCCACCTGCAATTTACCGCCCTTGCTGGGACTGGGATCATGAAGCTAAACCTTATCAGGTCTGGGGAAATGCCATTTCCTGGTCCCACCCGCTGACGTTGATCAGTATATTCCTCATATTCTTGGCCGAGTGGCCCTTGGTCGACAGAAGCAGTCAAAGGGTTTTAGCCTTGAACTATCTCAATTTTCGATACATAAAAGAATGTGGAGCTGGGGTTCTTATCCCACCAAGCCGAGCATGTTATTGCGAGTTGGTTGTACAGGACAGTCGTTGACGACTTATTCTCCGATGTCTTGCAGCGTTCAGCACCCCTGTTTCCTGTTCTGACTTTTTTTGTTTTCAGTTCTTTTCTTTTTCAGTAAAGAAACGCCAGATGAGGTAACTGAAACTCCCCATTTCACACCACTACATCGGGTTTCTCGGTCCGCCGACTATACCAGGTGGCATCGTTTTGGGACTATTCTGTCTGGGCCTCTTAACGTGGGACTTTTCTTGTTTGGAAACGGGATAGGTACCTGGTCGCACTAATGGTAGTCCTTGAGCCGGACTCTCAGACTAACTCGGTACCACTTTCTCTTTCTCCTTCTGTCTCTCTTTGTTGTTCTATTATCTTTATTTGGTTTATTGATCATTTCAATTTCGTGAGGGGAACCCTTGGGAAAATGGGTGGGAGAGCTGATTTTCGTCAAAAAGTTGACAGGTCAATTCTGGAGCAATATGTGTCAAATCAAAATAGCTGCATCGGACTCTCCACCAGACCCGTCGCAACCAATCCAACGCCGAATTCCGTTCCATTCCCCTCTTCGAAAGTGAATGCCTACGGATCGCTCGCTGACCGTGTGGATACGGCGCAAACAAACAATGAATTGATCAAATTTCTTTGCCCACTCGCTCCTATCCAAGCATGCTCCGTATGAGAAACTATCACCACACCGCTAGTCAACCATCCGGCGGGGTCTGCGGATTTGGAATTCTCATTGGAACCACCAATGGTCTCTTTTTCCGGACTGAGTACGAAGTTTGATTCAGTTATCAGCGGCAAGTTTACCATTCCCGTGGGTGTCCGTTGCATACGCAGAACGACATCCATGAAAGGAAACTACGGACACTACTCCGTAGTTAGCGCTTGAATCGCCAATCCGAGGTGAATGTTTGGTAGGTAATTGACTCTGAATCTCGGCTGGCGTTCTCACCGGGAAATGATCAATTCGCAAGATCCGATGGCTGGCAACAATCGATATACCTCAATTCATAGATTAAACGGGAAGTGGCTAAATCCTTTTTGTCTACACCTTCTTTGCCAGACTCTATCCAAATTGGTCCAGTACAGTTGATCTCGATCAAGCCATTATTCAGGAGAATCGGATCCAGATCCCCTCCTAGAGCAAAGACCCAAAAAATTGAATGAATGCATAAAGGATTGAGAGAGCACGCTTACCCACCATCATTCCGGTCTCCACTCACTCAAACAGGTCAATAGCCATCGTCGGCTCCAACTCACGTCAAAAGTCAAACGCAAAGACCAAGGCACACCGGCTGCATGTGCGTTTGCAACTTTGCATACCTGTCGGACTTATCTAGGGTCGCTTCAGATGCGGCACAAGTGGGACGTTATTTTAATTACTTTTTTCTTTCGTTTTCCTCCACTTTGGCTTTCTATTTGCTTTTCCTAGATAATTTATTCATCGATTTCGATTTTTCTCCTCTTTCTTTTAAGAGGTCATTGCTTTTTTTTTTTTTTTTCTTTTACTTAATCTTATTTTTCATTTCAGCTCTTTCCGCTAACTACCCCTCGTTTCTGACTGACTTTGCCACTGGAGATGTGAAAAATCATGTACAAACCTCGATGGCTTGCATGATAGAACTCCCGGGAGATGACTGCTGTCGGAATCAGTCAAATTTGACAGGCCTCTTAATATAGAACTACGAATCTGATACACAATGCAATGCACGTATCCGTATCTCTTACTTAAGTGTTTTCTATGGCATTCTGGGTCCGCAATCGGCACCTGCATGGAGTGATCTATGTATAAGAGCCAGCTGTTATATGTAATCTTTAAGAAATGTCCTTGGTGATGTGGACGAGGAGGACACCGCCAGATGCGCGTCCGGCGCAGTCAAGGAGGTGGATTAGGCGATAACCCGCTTGAAGTCGGTTGAGTTTGATACATGCCCAGGCGGCCATGGAGTCGCGACCGAATTCGTCGTCTTTGACTTTGAACCTGCAGGAGCAATCGTGTGTTAGCCGGTTGAGATCAAGTTTTGTACGGTATACTACATAACGCCAGTACGTAGGAAACAATCTTCGGTGAGGGCCCCTTTGCTTTTGCTTTTTCCTGCGCTTTCCGCTTATCTTTTCGTCGTCTCTTTGCCTTTTTCTTTTCTTTTTTTTCTAGTGTCGCTCAGCGCGCCGAGCCAATGTTGTGTGACACACAATGCTGGGAGCCCACACCGAGATATTACTTGTACTGTTATGGTCATAGTAGACGTACCTGACAAAGGTCAACTCCTCGATGATTCCCGACAGTTTCGGGAATTGAAGCTTCTGCCCGCCAAAGTCCGGGTTGGATCCGGAGTCGCTTTTAATGGTCCGCTTGTAGCTAGTCTCCTCGGAATCGGTGCTATCGTCTGCGTTGGCTGATTCGGTCTCCTCCTCCGGCGGCGTCTCGACGTGCAGCGAGCAGCTCACGTAAGGATGGAACCCCTTTTCCCTAGTGTCGCCGGGAGGTAGCGGAATTGCTTGGCCGGCGAGGACCTCAATTGTCAGGTCAAGATGGCTACGGACGATGTTGCCTCCACCAGGGGGGTCGGATCCGCGATAACCCTGAGGCTTGAGCACCCAGCCCTGCTCACCGTCAAACATGGCGTGATTGAGCATCATTCCTTTGTCTAGGTACTGCCAGTTCAGCGCGACTATCTGGGCGCCACAGCGCCAGAAGGAGGTCGGATCGTAATTGGAGGACGTTACGCGCAGCCCATACGGATAGACCCGCATGAAGTGGTGGCGGTTGTGCTCAAAGAGCGCGTCCCGCTCCTTCGCATATGCTGCCCGAGCCGCATTTTCTGAAAGGGAAAACACGTGTCCGGGGACTTTGGCCTCTGTCAGACGGGGAAAGGAAAGTTAACTTTTGCTCTGTCCCTGCCTTTGGTCGATACTGGGCTAATATGTGGGCTAATATGCGGATAGTCGGATCCTTTGGGGGTGGGGGATTGAATTCGAACCGGGATGTGGGAAAGTGATCGGGTAGCCATGAAGCTAGTCTTTTCCTTTCGTTCAAACTTACCTGGTTGTGCAAAGTGGCTGAAATGAAATCCTTTGGTGAAAACGGCCAATTTACTGAGATCGTGTAGGATCTTCGAGGGCTTTTTGGGCGGTGGGGCGGTGGGATCGCCGGTGGTAGCTAAGCTATTGGATACACCCTGACTGGGTTGTTGTTGGCTCGAGGGTTCGAGCTCGTCCGTGCGATCATCCTCCGCGTCGTCCGCCTCTCCTTGGCTCGTTTGAGCCACATACTTCACCTTAATCAGGATCTTTCGTTTCAGAGCCTCAGGCGCTGGAAGGCTGTTGGTGGCTGCGATTTCGGGTGTGACTTCGACCAGCATCCCCTTCCACGTCTCCTCCATGATCTCCACCATTGTGACCTGTTGCTCGAGTGATGCATGCACTTCCAGACTCACAATGACCGGAAGGTCACTCGTCACGAACGCGTTATCTCGAATGACATGGCATACGTCCCGAAACGTTATATCCTTGGTCAGCGTGTGACCATGGAGCACTTTGGGCTCTGGGCGTGGCGGCACCGGCACTGCGGTACTAGCAGCCACGCCAGTTTCTTTGGGAGCAGACTCAGCATGATGAGGCGACCTGCGACCCAACAAGCCTCCCAGTTTGGACGAAACGGATTTCATGCGGGAGAGCTTTTCCTTCTTTGGCTTTTCTTGCTTCTGACGCCGAGCGACCTTCTTTTCGTCGGAGCTGGAGTCGTCGCTACTGCTACTGCTAGTGTCATCGTCATTGTCTGATGGGTCACCGTCCCAGATGTCAATTTCAACACATCGGCAACCAGTGAGAAGAGCCTATCATGCCATTAGCTGCTATGTATCTGTGCCGAGAAACGTTGACCCAGTTTGGTTCTAAAGACTAATGCTTTATGCAGGGGACACAGTGACGCATGGTTACACTTTGTTCCGCACAAACGCTCCAATCCGAAGAAACCAAGTAAGCACCCATACACTGCAAGTGCAGTGCAGCCTCGAATGGAAGGGCCTCTAGACTTTCAAGGGATGAGGGCATACATTGGCATAAGCGCTCGCAGCTGCGTCACTGTACAGTTGGTTGCCGGTCAGGTAGGTATTGTGACTCGAAGAGATGAAATAGTCCGCAATTGGCGAAGAAAGCTCCTGTCTTGTTGCGGGGCGTACTGCAGACGACGCTGGGCTGGACATGTACGCAGCAAATGTATCCAAGGAGGTGAGAGGGTTTGCTGGCCCCTGGCGAGTGGCAATCACATCTTGGGACTCGTGTTGCACATCCCGAAGGAAATCGGACTCCGGTGATTCTTTTAGGGTTTTATAGATACGACCCAAATGGGTGGATACGGGAGGTGAGAATTCAGAATTTAATCTGCTGTCGGCGGGCCCTGGAGAGGCTTCAAGACTGATATGGTCAGTATGGTGGGTAAGTTCGACAAGCTCTTTGACTATTCCCATAATTGATGATGAAAAGATAAACAAAATGTGCTGTGCATAGACTGTCGTCTGTTATGTGCAATAACCACAGCACGTTTGCCGATATGCGGTCTCCCCTGATGACGTTGGATCGGTGTGTGGTGGAGGATCAACACTCTGTCGTACCAAGCCCTCAGAGTCACAGTGGCCCAGGCACAATATCTTCCGGGAAATAGTGGACCTTCAAAACAACAGAAATTATGGAACAGAGGAGAGATGGTTGAAATGCCACCAACATTCGACGTGATGGACGACAGGGCACAGAGGAAGGTGGGCTACCGACCCGGGTTATCTGGTGAGTTGGCGGTGTTTCGTGATTTGTTTTTGGTGCTCCACTCGGGTGCTTGGCTTGATCACACGGACTGTAGATTCAACGGCCCAAGCTAGTCAGTACATGAGAGCTCAAATGCGTTCTTTGGACCAGGATATCCTTGGTTTCAAGAGAGTTTTTGTGCGACTGTACATATGTGTCTTGCCGTTGGTCGGAAGTTGTTGTTGGGAACGAAGTGGGGGTCACAGCGAGATGAGAGAGACGAAGGGAAAAGTGCCAGAGGAGGGTTGTAAATTGATGAAAACGATGAATGAGAGAGAGAGGTGTGGATTGGAGAGGAAGCCACCAGACCCGGGAGACGCAAAATAGCAGACCTGAGGCAGCACAGGCAGGTGACAGCAGTCCAGTGCTTCTTCCCCCACCAAGACTCCTTCCCTCCTTCTCCATACTACTCCGTAAGGCCATTTCTTTGGCTGCTCTGGGATATCAATCATCACTTTGCTTGTTTGTCCTGTCTGCTTGGATCTTGAGAGAGTCTTCAACTTGTGTTCCAATATTTTCCGCGAGATGTGTGAAGCCTTCTAGAGGGAGAATGGCCGCTCTCATGGGCGTCAGGATAATCGGCTCATGATCAGCCTTACCCGCCGTCCACCCAGCATGCTGGATGAGAAGGAAATTAGCTCTAGGAGACCCAATGTTTCGGGCCCCCAATGCTTAATAAAACAAGCTGTACTTGATTTAGACGGAGCTTCGCCGCATCGCTGATAAATCAACGGCATCAACCCCGCAACGCTCTCAATACACTATCCTCACCCAGACTCTGATCAATTTTATGAAAAGAACACAAAACAAACATGACCAGACAACCCCCAGTGCACTTTTTCGATATTGAATCAACTCTCCCACGTACGACTTCCATGGTAGACAAGTATTTCTCCAACTCTAAACCCAGCTAGCTCACGTTAATTGCAGGAGACTTGAAACCATGGTCCCCCAATACGATCAAGACCCGCATGGTTTTGAACTACAAACGCATTGTTTACACACAGTCCTACGTCTCCTATCCTGATATAGCTCCTCTACTCTCCAACTTGGACGTCCAACCTAGTAGGGAGGGCGTGCCGTATACCCTTCCCGCCATCTATCACCCGCCATCGGTGACGTCAAATTCCCAAGGAGCTCTGATGGATTCTTTCGCTATCGCAGCCCATTTAGACCAGACATATCCATCCCCGCCTTTATTCCCGTCCCGAGATGCCAGTTACGCGCTCGCTCTTGCGGTCGACAAGCTCGTAGCAAGCGTCAGATCCAGGTGTGCTTTCCTGGTTATCCCCCATGTGGCGGACTTTCTCGATCCCAGAGGTCGCGAATATTTCATCAAGACTCGGTCGGCTCGGTTTGGGAAGCCTCTCTCTGAAGTTCGTCCAAAAGACGCCGACCAGGTTCAAGCGGCTATCAACGCCACGGTGGCCGAAATGGCACCCTTGGCGCAGATGTTGCGAGGCAGGTTAGGGAAGAACGGGCCTTTTCTGGAGAGTGAGAGACCAGGGTATGCGGACTTCTTGATTGTTTCGTTCCTAGCTTGGGTCGAAAGAGGCGATAAGGAGCTATGGACTGCATTGGTGAATATTGGGGAGGGGGAGGTTCGAGCTCTTTGGGATGCCTGTTTGCCGTGGATAAATGGTCAAGGCGAAGATAAGGATTGGGAAGTCCCTCGGTGAATCGTGCCTAGGGGAACACACGACACGTTAGCAAGTTCTCTTCGATCGCTTGTTTTACCTACAGTTCGTAGATATATCAGGTTTCTTCCTAGGTCAAGTCCCGTGCAAATGTCGTATGCACATGCCGGAATGTGGGACACAAAGTATAGCCTTATGGTAAGCTGTGGAAGGGGGAGTGCGAACAATCGTATACAAAAATGGCATTCCATTCAGCGCCTGATCTGCGAATTATAAAAGAAGATGAATACAAGTCACATAAAATACATCTGGAATGTCCCAACACGAGGGTCCTTTTCACACGCACACGGAATGTCAGTCAACACAATTGTACAGAGGTAGCTTGAAATAGAATTCCACGCAACAGAGCCCTGATGACCCTCGAGACAAACCCAGTTATACAAGAAATTAGAGTCCGCGCAGGAAGTTGGCCTCCCGAATAGCCTTTCTGCGGGCATCTCTGGCACTCTTTGTGATCTCGGCCCGCTTGTCGAGACTCTGCGCGGCCTGGTCCAAGATGCTCTCGGTCGCCGATTCGCTGCGGTTGTATTCGGCAGGGGTAATATCGGTAGCGTGGTGGTGGATGGGGATCTGAGGCGGGAGGAGGGCAGCGCGAGCAGACATCTTCTTCTCGTAGCGCTTGCGCTGTTTCTTATTGAGAGCTAATAAACAAAGACGTGGTTAGCAAAGGCTGGCACAACAGGTAGATCGGAATGGGGATGGGAATGGAATGTCCATACTGCTTGGGTCGACTCCGCCCTCGGATTTCTTGGACTTCTTGCTATCGTCCAGCAACGTCCACAGCCAATCCGGATATTCGGAGTCCTCCCGGGCGACGACGTTCGGCTTGTTCTTGAAGTAATTGAGACCATGCAGCATGGAACCGGCCGGGCAGGAGCTTTGCGTAGGTCTGGGAGTGGGCTTGGTGGGCTTTTCGGGGTCCACGTCGGTGTGAATGCCCTCCGGTGTGCTCAAGGGTTGCGACACCCCGGGGGTAGCGGACGAAACGGCCGACGGGATCGAGATGTCACCCGCGACGGGCTGTCTAGGGGAAGGAGGCGGCGGGGGAGCGGAAACAGTAGGCTTGCCATCCGTGCTGTAATTCCGGAAGAGGCTGCGCTGGATTGGAAGCTGGCGGGTGCATGACGGAGCAGACCAGGCAATCGAGGTTTGCGGCTGGAGTCGAGAGAGGATGCTGGTTCGGCACCGTTGGCAGATCATCTTGTCGCTGGGGTTTCAAAGACCGAAGAAACCAGCAATGGGGACAATGTAAAAGACAATAAATTTGCCCGACGCGATAGATTGGCCCACCGAACTGTCAGCGTAACGTGAGTATAGGATTGAGAGAGACAGTCGCCGGCACGGAGCAAGCTAGATGAAAACTGCGGGATGAATTTGATGCCAAGCATTATAGTCACGTGAGTTCACTCATGAGATTGTACACTAGGTCAATCTACGGCAGTGCTTGCCAGGTTGGAGAACTTTGGATATCTATTCAGCTAGATCAACATTTCTTATTGTTTTTGCGAAGCCAAAAGCCATGGATTTGGCCATCAAAAGCGGCGTACATCGGGTGTTGGGCCTGCTATTTGCGGCAGGCTATCATGTGACCTTGCGGCTTGGCGACTGATCGCGCGCCCAATGTGGGGATAGACCGAAATTGCCTCTCTAGGAAGTAACTCAAACATCATGCGCAGATTTCCTTAGTCAGTATAGCCGAGAACGCCTTTTTGTGATATTGTATTGCTAAATCCAGGATATTAATGTAAGTAGGTCTCCTGTTACGCTCTTCAGGCATACTAATGTTGACCTAACCGTTACGAAACATACATTCAAGGATAACTTTGTCTATTGTTCGCTCTCTCCGGCTGCTGTGATATAGCATGACTCTTACCGAGGGGTACAGTATAACTTTTCTTCGCACTTACAGAGCATACCTAATACTTTGCCTTTCAACCGTTCTAGATCCTCCTTTCGTTTCCCTGTCTCTCCTATAGGATAGATGCCTATTCTTCGGTTCCATCATCGTCCAATCGGCAAATGTAAGCGCGGATTGTCGATTTTCTGCTTTTGACTGAAGGTCTTTGCTGGATCCCTGGATATAGACCCTTACCATCAGAAAGTCTCTGCCCTGTTGTGAATCAATCCCGGCCGCTGTAACCAGACACTACCGATCAATCTCACATCACATCCCCTCGTACTAGCCCACTGATTCTCAGAGCACAGGCCCTAGTACAGAAGCCTGGTCTTGGGTCCTTAATCTTCTGTGAAAGAGAGTGTGTCTCCAAGTATTCAATGCAGGGCCACCTCAACACACTTGCACCAGCCGTGGGATGCAGTTCGTATTCAAACATCACAATATGCAAAGGTCTTACAACGAGGGCTCTTTAAGCCATCTAGACTCCTTGGTGTCTCGGTGGCGGAGGTGAAAGAATTTGGGGCGTTCTTGATACCTATTTTGCTGATTATCCCTTGCTGGATTGTCGTATATATAGATTCACTATCCAAGGAGGCAACGGCTGTGGAGAATATGTTCCCATCCGCCAGTCAGGAGACAACTCACTTCCCACCGAACTGTTTAGTGAAGACTATGCACTCTATTCATCTTTTGGAAACCTCGAGGAACGGAGATCTGCTGACCTTCCACAGCCGAGTGGAACCCTGTTCGTTATAGTTGGTGGCGCCGACAATGAGCATGTGAAGTCGACTCGGCGCAAAAGAGGCACCAGTCTACCAACCAGTCTCTGCAGAATATTGCCTGGCGGATGCGTAATAAGGCCATTTTAGGTCTTGGAACCACCTGTTTCCGCGCCTTTTTGTTTACTGGTTACGTGGGATATGCCACTTTCATGGATGTGGACAGGGCCCTGATAAGAACACACATAAAAAGGGAAGCAGCCCATCTGCTGCACGCTTATCGGTTCCACGAAATAGTGCATCACTCTAAAGAGTCGAAAGGTCAGACCATCGTACTTTTTCGCTTTGCAACGATTGCGCATATGAGGGAATATAATCCTTGTTGGAACAGTTGATGATCAGCGGTATCGAGGGGTTGAAAAGGAAAGTGATGCTCGCCATGACTAAGCCACGCCCCCCCCCCCCGATAACGACAATCAACCGCATCCACAACTCTCATTTTACTTATTTTATGAGGAGTCCCTGCCCCTCTCTCTCGTCAGATCGTCCAACTTGTCAGACAACACCAAGCTCTTGCTGTTCAACCGCCATCAGTCTAAGGTGGCAAAAATTTCCCTTTTGGCAAGTGCTACCAAAATATGAGTGACCGCCGGGACCGTTGCACCCCACGGGGTTGACACTCTTAGTCAAAGTCTCAAGTTCACTACCAAGGACCTACCACCCTATGGTGCTAAGTTCAGGTTGATGAAAAGTCGATCATCTCGTTGGAATAACCATCTACTTGATGAATTAACTATCATAATGAGATACAAGTGCTTCATGTTTTGGGTCGACACAAGGCTGAGGAATATGCTACAACGATATCAGAGACAGACAACGCTGTGTGGGCTTGGATCTCGAAGGGGTGCCTTCTATAATGCAAAAAGAACAGGTAGGCTCATTATGGAACTGCCGAAATATGTTGACTTGGAACGGGTTGTTGACAGGAACACAGATAAGAGTGATACACACGATGAATTCGGGCATGAAAAAGCAAGAGAAGAAACAAAAACATCAAAACAGAAAAGAGGTATTGAGAAAAGTGAGGGAAAGAAAGGAAGCACCACCAAACGCCGCCCCATGAAGAGAGCACATCCATTATTCAAAACATTATAGATAGTCCCTAGGAGGACAGACCGCTAACTTCCAGGAAATTACACAAGTTGACACAAGCATCCTTCAGTGTCTTTTCAGTCTTCCACTGAAGCTCTTCTTGCGACCGAGTGGCCACGGCAACACAGGAGCCCACATCTCCTGCACGACGGCCAGCAGCCTTCCGTGGGATGGGTTTGGATGACACACTTTCCATGGTATTGACCACGTCCATGACAGAGTGACCCTGCCCGGTTCCGAGGTTGAAAGTGCGGAAATTCTCGACAAGTCGTCCATCATTAGCAGCACCAAGTGCCGCAATGTGCCCTCGGGCAAGATCGGTGACGTGAATGAAGTCACGGACGGCCGTGCCGTCCTCTGTGTCCCAGTCGGTTCCAAACATTTGGAGCTCCTTATACTCTCCAGTCATGACCTTGACAACGACGGGCAGGAGGTTGGTAGGGATTTGTCTTGGGTCTTCTCCCAGAACACCGGACTCGTCGCAACCTATGGGGTTGAAGTACCGCAGAGCTACAATAGTCCACTCAGGGTCAGAGGCAGCAAGGTCCGCTAATATGGCTTCACAGATCCACTTCGTGCGTCCATAAGGATTGGTGATGCCCGTGCACCCCGGCTTCACGACTTCCTCGGCCCCTTCATGGCTTTGGAGGGGCTCCTCCTTGTGGACGCAAAGCTCCTCCTTGAGAGGGAGACCAGAAGTTGCCAACGTGCCGTACACTGTGGCCGACGAAGAGAAGACAAAAGTTTTGATGCCGAATTCACCCAATGTGGTAGCAAAATCCACAAGACCTCCAACATTGTTTGCATAATATTTCAACGGGTTCCGGATGCTTTCCTCCACAGCCTTGTACGCAGCAAAGTGGATGACGCCGGAAATTTTTGACTTCATCGAGCCCCATCTGGACTGGACCTGGTATTGCTCGAGCAGGCCGCGGAGGGCAACCGTGTCTCGGTAGTCGTGGGCGTGCAGGTGCATGGACGGCATCTTTGTGCCATGTTGCTCATGGTGCTTTGACGCTAGAGTTTTGATGCGGTCGAAGACGACTTGGAAGGAGTTGCTGAGGTTGTCGATCACAATTACGTTGTAGTTGGCTTTCAATAGCTCCAATGTTGTGTGACTTCCGATAAACCCGAGGCCTCCGGTGACCAGAATGTACTGTTCGAGAGGGAAGTTCCGCAGCAACTCCTCGAAATTGCCATCAAACAAGACGGATGATTGCGTTGCCGGCGTATCGACGCACACGGGAGAGCATGGCTCCACAGGAGTGCTTGCATCTGATCGTCGAGGGCTCTCCATCATTGGTGGTGGGAAAGGGCCAAGGGCAGTCAATGCTGAACGAAGGACGAGGAAACGGGAACAATGAGAAGCGCCTGAGCAAACACAAGAGGAGCTTGTTTAAATGAAGATTCCGGAGGGCGGGTGACTCCGAACTGGATACTCGAAAGACAGACAGGAGTCCACAAATTTTATACTCTCTGAGAACGAAAGGCGCGCACTGCCACTGGTTCGCCGATGTAACCGCCGTATTCAGCTAGGTCAGGCGAAGATATCTGATTTGTGACGTGCTTTATTTACAACGAACGATGGGCATAATAAAAGGTCTGGATGCAAGGTAAAAAAGAGGGATATACTATTGACGCAGAGAAAAAGGAAAAAATGAAAAGAAAAAAACAGAAAAAAAAAAAAGGCCAGGAAATAAACAACCACCCACGGGTGTCAGATTGTCGCATGGGAAAGCGGCTAAAACGTCTTACTGTCTCCTTCAGTTGTTCTAGACAGAGTTCGCCTCTGTTGGGGGGCAATAATGAACGAACTCTAGCCGCCTCCACAGGACCGCATTCAGTACTTTGGTACGAGAAAATGAAAAAGATCGTGAAAAAACAAGGGCAAAAGAATTATTTTTTACGAAAAAAAAAAAGGGAAAATTCCAACCCTTGGAACCAGGGAAAAAGGAATTGTTCGAGAGCGACAGCTAACGATCCAAGACCTACTCTGCATGGGTAGATTCTGCCCCGCTCTATTTTGGGCCCGCGGCAGGCATAATGACCCTGGGCCATTACAATTTCTGCTAATCACCAGGTTTTAGAGGGCTGACTTCTACTTATTTCTTAGTCTTCCGGCTCCGTGTCTGGCATATTTTCGCGACGGCCAGACAAACCCACTCACTATTGCTTTTCGTTGCACTTTAATGCCCTTCGTTTCTATTACAGTCTTCTATAGCGAAACAAAATGGCGCTAGAAAAACACGTGAGCAACCGCCGCTGCCTTCAGAGCCGGCGCTCTCGCATTATTTTGGCCGTCCTTGTTTTTATTGCAGTCCTCGCGGTCGTTATACCTCCGGCAGTTGTGGTTACCCTACACAAGAAAAACAGCATGGGCCCTAAAGCTACGGTCTTTGTACCGCTCTATGTGTACCCTGCTCCCGGGGCCTGGACTCCATTGGAAGAAGTGTAGGTCTTTTTTCTCAATTTTCCCCCCTCTCTCCACCAACCAGATTCGAAAATTCTACCCACGCCATGAGCCATCTGGATTCTTCCATGGCCTGACATAAAAAGTGTATGGATGAAGTAGCTGAACGCCACAGGATCTCTACTCATCCGGATGTCAACTTTACGGTCGTGATTAACCCTGGGAGTGGCCCCGGGCCCGATGCCCTGCCCGACGCCAATTATACCCGAGAAATCCCTAAGCTCGTCTCCTTTGACAACGTGCGTGTCTTGGGCTACGTTGCTACCACCTGGGCAACACGGAATGTCTCTTTGGTTCGCAAGGACATCGAGACTTATGCGGCGTGGCCGACTAACAGCTCCAATCCCAAACTCGCGGTTCGGGGAATATTCTTCGACGAAACACCCCAGCAGTTCAATACATCTGCACTGAACTATTTGCAAAATCTTACTGATTTTGTGAAGGATACGCCCGGGCTTGGTCCGGACCACTATGTATGTGCGACCCTTTTCCCTTCCCCCTCCCCATACCTGATTGCCAAACGGAGTAATCCGTAATTTATCAATTACCTTTATCCTTTTCTTTTTTTTCACTTTCAGCACCTGGCAAAAATCGCCCTTTCATCCCCGCCCCTTTTTTTTTGTTGTGTATTTTCTTTTTTAATTTTCTTTGACTTTCCTTTCATCCTTTGTCGGCCTCGTTTACCCCGTCATCAAATCTATACGATCTGGAACCTCGATTGGGTAGATCAGCAATGCTAATTCTTGTCGATCTAGACTGTCCATAATCCTGGGGCGATTCCTGATTCTCGCTACCTGCCTACCGCTGATTCGACGGTGGTCTTTGAGGCAACTTATGACACCTTCCAGGAGCGCCATGGTGCCAACCTGTTCGAGGAGATCCCGAACAGCACTCGCAGCCAGCTGTGCGCGGTGATCCACTCGGTGCCAGATAATGTCGAAGGATCCGAACTTCGCTCGCTCGTCAAGCAGGTCCGCAAGGTTGCAGATGAGATTTTCATCACCCATCTCAGCACCGACTACTACGCTAGCTTCGGAAGCAAGTGGAACGAGTTCGTGAGCCTGATGGCGAAATGATCTTTGTGATTTCCATATTGGATGCATCTATTACGACATTGGTTTGTATCTCTGGAATGATTGGTTATTAATGATGTATATGAAAGGCGGTTTCTGATCTTGTTGGACGAAAAATCTCTGCACTTGGGCTTCATTATTATCATTGTTACTTCTTTTTTGTCTATTTTTATTTGTTTCCACTGAATTTTCTATCCACTAGAATTGACACAGTACGGGAATCGCCCCCAGCCAAAGAATCCGAGGAAAAATAGTAAACATAGAAAAATGCTGGTTACCACCAAGGACCAAGGTCACTACTTGGTCTTGGCACATGTACTTATCCATAACAGGCATAGTCCGGTATTGAATCGATACTGACCGGACTCAGAGTCGTAGGTAATTTTCAATCCTGGCCAACCCGCTAGTCCAATACCCACATACAAGCCCTAACTCAGACATGAGACCCGACCTTCAGACAACCAGTCGGCCAAGATCCCTCCATTTCCAGGTTTAGAACAGTCCCAATTTTTTTTCTCTCTTTCTTTCCTTTTCCATGTGGGGGTGTTTGAAAGTGGATGTATCCTTACTCTTAGTCACCTCAATCATATCATTCACAAACCACTGTACGGAGTACATACCTCCATGCGTTCCTCTCTTACCATCTGCATCAGGGATTAATAATAGCGCCGACGCAGAATGAGACCTGACCTTGTCACCCTGCGCCCAGGACCAGGGCCAGGGCTAGGACCAGCGAAGCGCCCAAACGCATTACCTTTTTTTTTTTCGCCCTTGATGGGTCCCATCCCAGTAGGATATCATTTGTTCGGCCCGAGCCAGGTGTAACCAATAAGGTTTCAGAAGCTGTGCAAAAATGATGGAAGAATAATCAAAATCCAAGTGAGTCCTGACCAGTGATTTAGAAAGATAGCCTAGACATGGGGGGTCCCGGATGGATGTCGGAATGGGCTGGAAACTAGTGGTGAGGAAAATTTTCCTCGTCGGCATGGCTTCTTGTTTCTTTTTTTCTTTTCTTTTCTTTTCTTTTCTTTTTTTTAGTTTGTTTTTCTATTCTATTCTGTTCTATTATCGACCGGGTTGCCAATTTGGTCGGTCGAGGGAGGCGACGTCAATGGAGAGTGATGGATGGTGAACGACTGGTTGAGTCGGGTGGAATGTCTAGAAAGGATGCAAAAACAACACAAATCAGAGTCAGCCACCGGAGTTCCTGATGGAGTAGCCCGCTTCTTCGTCGCCTGTTCTGCGGTGTGCATGCCATTCACACTTTAGCCTAGAGTGGGATGGGATGTTCCACGGCTGGGTCTAAAACATATACAATGAGTGACGGACAGATGGACGAAGTGGCCTGGTTGTTGTCTTGGGCCTTAATCAAATCCTGAAAGCGAGAGCTGTCTGCCTTGTCTGCCATGCTCTGCGTCTGAGGGAGAGTTACCTACAGTAGAGGCATCTATCTAAGAATCTAGTCGTTTAGTTACGTCCTTCTGCCTTGGAAATCCTGGTGGTCAATCTCCTGGGTAAGACATACATATTTTTAGTGTAGATTGCGTGCAGTCGGGATGAGACATGGGTGAGGGTGTTTATTTATAGTGTCTTGTTCGGCTGTTTCGTGATGCGAGCCGAAGTATCATAATAATGACCATAATAGATACCTATCCTACCTCATGAGGTAGTAGTATTGTTTGTATCATTGTTTGTGTGTCTGTTAATGGCATTCATTTCTTCAATACGTGCTGTACCCAGTGACGAAGTCACGCGGACGTCATCTCGCTATCAAGAGACTCATCAGGCCCGCTCTGGTTTTAGGGCTCCGTTAGGGGAGAGAGGTTACATTGTTCGGAGTAATTATGCGACGATGGTATCCCCCCGGGACATCGAGAGCATGCATGTCGTACTCGATAGGTAAATGGGGATCGACTGATCGATGTCCTTCGCTCCAGTTCCTCTCGCCCCCCACGCATGTCCCGGATCTGTCTAAGGGATGTGACCCCCTAGTACATACGGGCTTACCTACATACTGTATACAATCTAAACACAAAGCAGATATTTCCGACAAACGCCTCCAAGCTGCTGAATCGGGGCGGGAAAAGAAACACAAGGTCGCAGAAATAAGGTGAATTAGGGCCGGGGCCCGAAAGGCTGAGTCAGCCAGCCCAACCATCGCGAAGACCAAGTCAGAAATAGTCAAAATGTAGTTTAAAAGTACAGTCCAATAAGCCCCGGGATGTGCCTGCGGTCATGCCTTCGAGCCTCGTATTGCAATATGATATCCGCCGGGCCTGGATCACAGCACAATGTCATCCCAACGCAGTAACCTCACGGGTATCATGTCTGTCTGTCTGTCAGTATGTATGCAGTCATCTCTTGCGCCCCCTCCCATACAGAAGTGAGGTATCATCGCCCCAGGCTGAAAAAGTCACCATCGCCATCCGGACCAACCCATCCCCGTCGACTGACAGTCAACGCCAACGTGACACATCCACCGCCTCGATGGCCTACATCGTTACAGCACTGGATCTAGCATTATCTGCATCCCAATTCCGTACTTACATCCTTAACTCCAGACTCACACAAGCCATACAGTAGATGCAGCCTTAACTCCCTCTAAACCCCTTCTAAACGCCGAACACCCAGACAGAGACCAACAGGACAGAGCAAGCATCTCGAGAACACTTGAGTGGGAAAAGACCGCCCGGGATATCTCATATCCACCGTTCTGCGCTATCCCCGACCATCGACCAACCTACTGGTCTACTTTACTCCCGAGGGTAAGAAGCAAACGCATGCCAAGAAGACCGGCGGACAGGAATTTCAAATCGGGCTCTCGCTTCCATGCACGCGCAGGGAAATGAGTGAGCAACCTTGGCCCCCCCTTTTCTTTTCTCTCTAAGACTGCCCCATACACTTATCCGGTCCCTGTTTATGTTCTTTCGGTTGTCTGGTTGGAAACAAGACTACCAGTGAATCCGATATAATTAGATAAACAAATATGAAAAACAAATATCGTAGTCATCAAAAAGAAAAATGAAAAAAAAGAAGAAAATCTTCTAAGCGCCGCCTCCCCGATGATGGTTCCTGAACAACGACCCACCCCTGACCGATGACCCAGAGATCTCAGCTGGTGTGAAAAAACTCAAAAAACTAGAAATTCAGGAACACCCGTCCCGCCGTCCAGGAACGGACCACTTTTCAAGCCGGTTTTCTTTTTCTCTGTTCGGTTCTGCTTGTTTCTCGTAATTGTATGTAGGGCTACTCAGCGTACAGACAGAGAGGGAGAAAGAAGATCTTGCTTTGACCTCGTCTAAGCTGGGTTTGTTTTTTCTTTATCTGATTCTGGGATTCGGAATGATGTATGGTAGGTATGTTAATCATACCATGTAATTTACGACGTAAGTAAGTAATATAAGCTATGTATGTATGAAACGCAGAAAGATACACTAGAGCCTGTGTGCCAGTACACTGCTCCATACCTTAGTGCCCCATCCCATCCATTAAAGAGGCAATCGGGAAAACCTGACGCATTGGCACAAAAAGAAGAGCTCCATCGTGACACCAACACCGCTACTTTCGTATGCGAGGTTGTAGAAAAGGCTGGCTGGAAGTGGTGACGTTTGCGGCCGTATTCCTCCCTTTGTTTTTCTTTGTCGGGTTGACCCAGTTGCCTCGTATGGGAAAACTCTGACTCTCTGAATGAGGGGAAAAATGCTTTGAGACAAAGGACTGATTCGTGACTTCCTTGTCCTACTTTGTTTCATGCTGGAATCTAGATACTTACCTAGGTGGGTAGGTAGGTACGATGTATACGGTAGTCTATCTAAGCGCACTACATCAGATACCGAGGCCGTAAGATTGGTCATCCGGGGTGGTTGAAAAATACCTTCGTACTTTCTGCAACGTCCAATCGGTAATTATGGTAAGTAATGAAAAGATCAAACTTACCCCCCATTAGGTACAGTAAAAGTACTTTTAGCGCCAGGATACAACAGGCTAAACTCCATCCCACGGTACAACACATCTACTAACCTAAACATAGCTCAAGTTCTTCCTAGTGTCTTTCCTAAAGAGTAAAGCCCCAAAGATATCCACGCTAGCCGACTTCAAAACATCCCTCTTTCGCTCCAATCGGCCCTAACACTTGCCGCTTGAGCTAAGACCTGGCCAAACCGCCAACTACATCGCCTGTTGAGTCGGAGGAGGGGGCAGGTCTCCTCCGATGCTTGGCGCGCGATTCGCCTTGGTCTGGTCCGGGATGGGAAATTCTCATGGGGAGTTGGGATTGGTAAGTGGCAGGTGACTGGTCTGCTTTTCTGACTAAAAGATGCTATACTAGTTGTACTAAACTAAAGTGTACAGTAGTTGGGAGCTATGCGCCCTGTAGTGAAGTACTCCGTAGGTGTAGGTGTAGTCTTGTTGTGCTGTGCCTTAATCCAATAATGCAGGATCGGGTTCGACTTGCTGGACTCCGGCCGGTGACCCTTTGAGTACTACTCTGTATGGGTATGTTCGTCGGATGTTTTATCTGATTTTATTCCTACAGTACAGTACTCCGAATGGTTCTCGCCCGCTCGGCTACCTCCGATGCATAGTTCGTTTTCCTGTACGTACTCCGTCTGTTGCCCTGTTCGTGAGTATGCACATAGATCCACGGTTCTAGCCGGCTCCGAGACCAGATCTAGTTCCATCTCAGCGCCAGACTTCCAGTAGTTCCGTACCAAAGTTGTCGGCTGTTTGGTTCTGGTTCTTCAGGAACGGAAAACCCGTTATTGGGTTGGGTGCCATTCTTAGGCGAGTCGGAGTGCGGACAAATACAAGCAAATTCAGTGCTGTAGGTACGGAGGACGGAAGTTTTGCGGAAGGCCAAGTTTTTTTTTTTTTTTTTCTGAGTGCCAAGACTTCGGACGGCGAAGACTCTGATTTCGGGGGGTCGTTCCGCTTGGGTTCTCTGGTAGTCTCTACTCCGTCCTCTACGCTCTAACCACGGAGTGTGTAGAAAATTTTTCTGTCTTGTGGTTCTGGGAACTCTATTTTTGGTCGCTCGGATGGATTCCTTTCGGGTCTCTGTCTTTTTTGTGTGTTTGACTGTTTGATGATTCTTTTCCTTGGTTTCCATTGTTGACCTGAATAATGGAGTTTGTTGCCCACTTCGCGGTTTGAAGTTGAGACATGGTGTGAGTCGGTTCTATTTTCGCTCGCATTCGGATACCTCGGGTGGGATGGGGTTCATTGTTGGTGATACATGGTATGTAGACGTTATAGAGGCGTAGGAGTATGGGGTGATATTTGTTGAATTGAAGGAGACATGTAAGATAGCAATGAGGAACAATGATAGGAGAGTAGGATTAGCGCGCGTCTCATCTAGTCTCAGTCTGAAAGTCTTGGATGCTGGAAATAGATATCTTCTGTCAGCGATGGTTTGATGCGTGTATACTATGTGATGAAAGGATACTCATACCTGACTGGTGATTTTTACATGCTACGCTCGGTCTTCTTTCTGGTCAGGACTTGTCGTTTGACGATTGTTTTGTACTTACTCGCTAGTCCGTCACTATCTACCGTGTAGCTAATTATATACATGAGGATTTGCATATTCCCCGGGCGGGAAGTAAATTAATATAGATTAACTAGTATGGGGTCTCCGTTCCTTGTGGCACTCGAGCCATGAGCCGCGAGCCACGGCAGAGAGAATGAGACAAGCTCAAGATTTACATAATACATTAGTTCTGTCAGGATGTGCGTACGTACACACGTCAACGTTATATGGGTCTGGTAGATTACATCATATTCAAACTAGGTACATAAAGGTAGATAGTAGTAGAAATAGTAGTGGTTTGCAGATCCCAACTCCCTGCGCCCGATGCTCATGCTCATGGTCATGGTTCATGGTCATGGTCATGGTCATGTTCACGCTCAAAACAGAAAACTTACAAGATGGCTTTGCCCTGATCTACTGATCCCAGCTTAACAAGTCTGGACCCAGTTGTTCAGGTTCATGTTCTTGATCACCGTGGAGAAGTTGCCCGAGCCGCTGAATTCACAAGCCTGGTCCTTCTTCTTCGTCGAGACGTTGACGTTATTGTTGGTGTCGTCGCCCTTGGGGTACTCGATGTGGAAGACCGGCTTGTCCTTGTGCACAAAGGCGGCGTACGTGTCGCATTCCTCGTACTGCGCGCACTGCTCGTTGACGCTCCACTGCATCTTGTTGATGACCTTGGGGATGATGGCGCCCGCGTTCTTCAGACCGATGGACATGTTGCGCTTGTGCGTCTCGTCGGCCAGCCAGTTCATGAACGTGGCCGAGTCGGATTCCTTCAGGTCCAGACCGTTCTCGTTGTCGTATCCGTCGACATTGTCGGGGTCGACGCCGTCGCAGCCCTTCTTGACCGCCATGTCCAACCGGTCGGTCATGATTTCCTTGACGTTGTCGCTGCGGATGTCGATCCACTTCTCATCCTCCCAGCCGTCCATGACCGAGCCGAGACTCGACTTCTTGAACTTGTCCTTGTCCGGGCGCCAGTTCTCGTAGCTGCCCGCGGAGAAGTAGCAGATGACCTTGCGGCCCTGCTTGTGGAGGTCATCGATGGTCTCCTTCTTGTTGGTGAACAGGTCAATGTCATAGACTTCGACATCATACGAGGTGTCGTTGAGCGGGTACAGCAACTCGATCTGCCAGGTGGTACCGGCCTTGGGCTTCCATTTGACGCTGCCGCTGGTGGTGTTGCCGCCGCCGCCTCCGGTGGTGGGCGGGGTGGTCTCGTTATCACCGCTGTCGCCTTCGTCGTTGTCGCCGTTGTTCAGCCCTACGCCGAGGCCAACGCCCAGACCAATGGCCAGGGCGATGATGGCCAAGAGGACCGAGCCGATCACCAAGAGTTTCTTCTTCGTCGACCAGGATTTCCAGCCTCCTGCCGACTGACCCTTCAGGGCCGCTTCTTCAAAGTTGCCTACCATCGCGCCGGATGGGTAGGGAATTAACGATTGATGAGTTCAGAAAAGAGATAAAAAAAAAGTGAACGAAAGATCGAATAGATGAAAAACGAATGGATGGGGTGGCGAAGCGACTAGTAGAAATTAATCACGAGAAATGAAGAAGATAAATTAAAGCATAAAAAAAAAGGGTCGAGTATAGAAGACGAAAAGTAAGGGAAAGGAGAGAAAAAGTGGGTAGCGATGGAGGGGCGTATAAGAGAGAAGAGTGAGGGAAAGGGGACGAGACAGGGCTGGTCGATCAGGCGATAAGATAATCGCCGCCTGAAAGGCACGTTGCTTCGACCTGCGCCACACCCCCAAATTCCAACAGTTCCAACAGGGTCGCGAAAAGGATCCCACTTGAGATGGAAAGCTTCGACTTGTTGGTTACACCACTGTGCCTGACGCCTCGTCTGAGAGGATCAATAAAATGAAATCGGGATAATGAGGGCCAAACGGGACAAAGAGAGAGGAAATGAGAATGCCGTGAAGGGGGGGAGGCGATACGACTCAAGTCCGGGATTGATGGGAGTTTGTGCAACCCCAGATTGCCTCGAAGTCGCTATATTCTCCAGGGAAGTCCAGACTCGATCTGCAATGCGACCCTACCGGGCAAACTGGAGACTAATTAAGACTTAAGAGGGCAAGAGAGAGAGGGTCTAGGAAGAACGCGGAAGCCTAGCGCCAGGCTATTTGCCATGCGCCACACCTCCGTTGTTTGCCCTTGGATGTGACTTCGTTGATGCCGTCGGCGCGTACAACGACCCTGACTAATTATTTTCAAATGAACTTGTGGCTGAAGCAAGTCTTTTGGACTGCGGCGTGGCGGGCTGAGGGCATGGATATTTCGGACCAGGATTGCTCTCCTTATTCTTGCGTGATGTGACACCTTTCGAGGCTAACTAACTAATGCTGGCTATTGCTAGTTTCCTACCGGGTGCGACCAAAGAACGAGACTCTGCGCAGCTAGTCGAAATGGCGACTTCGGTATGCAGCTTCAGCCATCTCTAACAGGACTACTCCCTGGACCAGACTTGGGGCTGAACTCCCCCCTAAAGATGCAGGGATTCAGAACCAAACATACCGAGGGAAAAGAGGAGTGAGTTCTCCGTACTCCGTAGAGAGAGCCAGGGAAAGGGATAAAGCACAAAGAAAAAGCACCAAGTGGTGACCAAACAGTAGCGCCGACAGAAGAAGGACCAAGTCACTTTTCATCCGTTGGGCCGCTTTCCTGACCGGTGATGGGGCCTGGAACCTCGCCAATGAACCTGCTGTCTTTGGGGCGTGAAGGGAATCTGATCAGTCCAATCCACTCCGGCCACGGACACTAACTGCTAAGTCCCGAGATGTCGCCGATCCGGTGGATTCGGTCAGTACGGTACATACAGTAACATGATACAGACGGAAATACGGGAATACCGTCGGGTACGACCCAGTCTGACCGTGTATCTTGCAATTCCCCGCCGGTACGACGCTAGTTCGGCCTAGTTTTAGGGCTAAGCGGACGGGATCTGCCAACTTTCGCCTATCAACCGACTCGTTCTCGGCTCGCCATCGCAGCACGTCGGCATCTTGCCTCTCTCTTTGACGGTCTGACCTCGTATGATAGGGCCTTGGCACTTTAACACATACGGCAGCGGTTTGGAAATCCGAGAGCCGCAACGTCATGACTCGTCGCATTCCGGTGGCGGTCCAGGCTCTCTTTTCCCTGGTTTAGTCCGGAGACGCTAGTCTTACTTCTCTCCAGGGATTTGATCGCTCGGGTGTGTCCCACTTTGTCTCGGACGGTCTGCGGACATTGGACGGAAAGAAGAAGCAAAGAAGAATGAGAAAGAGAAACACGGGACAAGGAGAAAAAACAAGGAAAAGAAAAAGAAGGCAACGGACCATGGATACTGAGGAAACAGTGTGTCCCATCCTACGAAGTGCTCCGTAGTCTTTCAACCCCCCTCCCCCTTGCTCCACTACCACGTTTTGGTGGCGGACGTCGCTGTTTACACTTTCGCACTCTAGTGCCATTTTGTCCAATGGGATACTTGGCATGCTGATTATTACCCCGACCTGTCGGCCAATCATTTTTCGCTTTGGCTTTCGATCGCTACAGATGCTTTGCGGAAACGCCGTGTGAGAAGTCATACTCGACGCGAAGGGTTAGATGCAATGCCGTCGGCCGGAAGGCTTTTCTCACGCCGGAAAAAGCAGCAAAGGTGTAGGATGAACAAAAAACAACAACAGGTTAAGCCGACAGGATAGAAAAGAGTCATACTGAATCCGGACCAGTCATGCCCCGCCAACGCATCATCCCCCTGGTCCCCTGACATCTCTGGCTTGAAGCTTGTCCTGCAGCGATTTCCTTCCGCGGTTGCCAACGACAGTGCTTCCCTCACTGGGCACGTCCACCGCCTCATTACTGGTCCCAACTCAGCGCGTTGTTTTCCACCAAAATAGCGGGGAAGAACGCCATGCTGAAGGGCAAAGATGCCAAAAGCCGACTCCAAGAGATCTTTCGAGGCCAGCTCCAGACCCCGCAGCCCAACGCAACAATTGGGTTTGGTTTTCGCCTCGCTCTCTTTGTCTCTCGTCGGCTAGAAGGTCGTCGGTTTGCCGCCTGTCCGTCTGTCCGTCTGCCGTCATCTTTTAAGGTTGGGTCGGAGAGGGGAATCGATGTGAATACGAGCTCTCTGCGAGGGGAAAGGTCCATGGCGTGCGCGCCTTGTGGAAATTCAATGCCGCACAAGCTCTGTGTTGAGTTTCGATTTTCTCCGAGTACGAGTCGAGTCGTACATGACATGACATGGCAGGGCGTGGCATGGCATGGCATGGTATGTCTCTCCCTTGTCTTATTTCCGTGTTGTTGTTCGGGATATGGATCGGATCCGGTGCCGGATGTACCTACGTAGAATGTACGGTGTACAGCACGACATACATATCATATCATATCAAGTGCTATTATATCATAACCTTCGGAAATTTTAATGAAACGCTTTTACTTTTTCCGGAAATGCCAAGCAGACATGGGTTCAGATGCACCTTGGCATAAGATAATATGATCCGACCTTTCCATTGCCAGAAAGACTCCATGAGAGTACCTACGGAGCACAAATATATACATCCACCAATACCAAACATCTAGACCACAACCCGGAGCAAAAAAAGGAGTAGAACCCCAAGACGAAATCCCTACGACCGAAATTCGTCCGAGACATTATGCCTATAATTCATTTCCCTAAGATTATTCCGAGTACACCAATCAATTAACTACCGCCGGTTAGGTTCTCATCCATGCTAGCGCGTCCATACGCGGACATGGGTATATCCCTAGGGCTTATTTTGTTGTGTCACTGGTGCGTCATTAGGTCGACGTCAGTCAACAGTCAACGTGGCAGTGGTAGGGGGTAGACATTAGAACACTAAGGTGGACAGGCAGACAAGCGAGAGAGGGCTGTTTGCGGGGTGTTGGACTGTTGTTGTGTTATTATGGGCAGGAATGTTGGTGTCATGGTTTCTTGGTTGCTTGTTGGCTTATGCGAATCATGGACTACCTACCTTATGGTTGTACCTGTTGTATGCCCAGACGTCGGGGTTTGGTGCACCAGGTACGGGCGCTCGTTTTGCGGGGTTTCTCCCCGGAAGTTCTACGTGTTAGGCAGGAATAAGGAAGATCAGTTGGGAACACGTCAAAATAGATCGTTGAATTATGTATTGCACTACGGAGTAGAAAGTCAAAATCCATCGCTGGTTGGGTGGTACAACACTTGAAAACAAAACAATTGGTGGCATTCCTTCATGAAAGCTCTATAATCCATCAATAAACATTAGTTATTATGTGTTTGTTGGTGTTTTCTCAGAGCTAGCATAGTTCCTGGTTCGTGCCCAGTCCGTAAGGCTGTAATCTTCGGTTGGATCAATTACAACGGAATAGGAGTGGACAGAGTGAAGGTGACCGGGGAGCCGGAGAGCTTGGCCCAGACGGTCAGAGGGTCGCTGCCGAGCTGTTCGGTGGCGAAGCTCTGGGTGTTGGTGGGCGCAACGGGGAAGGTCACCGGGATGGGGGCGCTGCAGGTGTTGCTGCTGGAAGACACCGTCACACCGGTAATCTGGTGGTTGGCAATGGTGTACTGAAGAGAGTAGTTGCAGGCATCACGGGTGTAACGTTCCAAGAAGTTCGCGGACATCTAGATAACAACTGTCAGCTTGGCAAGATTCTCTAGCATTGTGGGGAGGAGGGGATGAGGAATGGAAAGGGTAACGTACCTGCTGGTGGGTGATGGTGACAATGGGCCACTTCACCAGACGCACGAACTCCTGAACCTGGGTCTCAACCCAGGCCTGGAAGATCGAGTACTGGGCCGTGACGCCGTTGACGGTGATCGGCGTAACGTCGGCGTTGCGAAGGTTGGCCTGGTGGAACATGTAGGGATCGTGGTGCAGACCGAACAAGTGACGCATGGTGTCGGCCTTCTCGGTGGCAAGCAGGTCATTGAAGTCACCGCTGCCGGCAGACGTGTCGATCCATTCCTGGACGGTGCAGTCAGGGGTATCACAGTTGTAGTAGATACGGGTGGCCCAACGAGGGTTGACCTGGATGCCGTCGAATCCGTCGCTGTCAACGGTAGTAAAGTAAGGCCACATGTCGTTGACCTTGTTGAGCAGAGGGGAACGAGTGTTGTCACCAACGCAGTTGGTAATACCGTTATCCCACCAAGCCTTCAGAGCATCACCGTTGTGAAGCCCAGTGATGGCAGGGGGGATGATACCGTTGCTGGTGAAGTACTTGGCCGAGGAAATGCCATTCTGCTTGAGCCAAGCCTGGTTGTAGGAGATTTCCTTGTTGATATCGGAGTTGGTGGCATTGTTCTGTTCCAGGTGGGTGAATGTGTGGGAGATGTGACCGAACTTATCACGGTTGGCCGGGTTGGTCACCCAGATCAGAAGGTCATCCAGTTGAGTGCAGTCGGTGGTCCAGCCGTAGGAGGTCTGAGTCGAGGGCCAAAGGTCGGTTCCGGTTCCCAGGGGCTTCTTGAACTCCAACTCGGTGTCAGGGGGCGAGTCGTACTCAATACCGCCGCCGTTGCAGCGAGACTCGCCGTTGGTCTTCTGAGTAGCGGCTTCAATGTTACCGTTACCGTTGTGTCCCAGTTCGACCCAGTAGTCACTGCCCTCGTTCATCTTGGCGTTGATGGTGGGAAGCCAGTCGGCGATTCCGTTCATGTCGGCGACGCTGATACGGAAGTTGACTCCGGCTGGCTTGTAGACCTCAGTCTCCAAGAACACATCGTCAATCTGGGTGTTGAGGTTGATACGACGATGTCCCACATAGAGACCGCGAGTGATCCAGTTGATCCAGGCGTGCTGCAGATAGTTGGAGGTGGCACTCCAGACCGTATCGAAGGAGATAAAGAAGGCCATCTGCTCTCTGCCAGCAAAGTTGTTGATGACAGCGGCAGTCGATTCTCCCGAGGTCACCGAGTTGGCAGCGAATTTGGCGATTTCCTTGGTGGTAGTGGTGTTGCTGATGGTAGCCGGGTAGTGCCAGAGACCCTGGGTGCTGACGCCGGCGCCGGTTCGCAGACCGGCCGTGGGGAAGTCGTCGACATTGGAGAAAGAGATCAGCTGTTCCACGCCGGAAGCACAGCATCCGTCGCCCACGGCAGAGGCGCCGAAGGAAGGTCCCGGGAAGACATCGTACTGAACCATTCGCACACCGAAGTCGAGCTGGTAGGCATACAGCTGGTTCCATTGATCGGTAGTCAAGGCACTCTGGAAGCCTCGAGTGCCACCATAGTCATAACTGACCTCACCAGCCACGACGATACCGCCGAAGTTTCCCCCTGAAGTGGTGTTCAGGTCGGGCAGACTGGCGCCAGCCTGAGGAACCAACAGAGTGGTGAAGGGGATGCCATATGCGTTAAGTCCCGAGGACGCGACGCCGGCGGCAGCCGTGTCTCTCGCAATAACGAGAATGTTACCCGCAACGGTGCCCTGCGCGATCGGCGAGGCCGAGGGCGTGACGCTGGGGATGATGCTGGACGAGGTGAGAGACATCGTGCGAGATGGGCTCACGGCAGTGCTCGAGGACACGGGAATAGTAGAGGAGACCCGAGTACCGGAGGACAGCGAAGTGCTAGAAGAGGAAGAACCAGAAGAAGAAACAGAAACGAATGTGCTTGCAGACGAAGTAGAAGCGAACGAGGTCGAGGCAGAAGATGTAACGAAAGTAGATGGGTCCGAGACCAGGGTGGACGAGAACGAGGTGTCAACCAATGAAGTCTCAACGAAGGAAGTAGTAAACGAGTGCGCCGACGAAGTCACTCCGGGCAAGGCGGTACCAGTCACTCCAGTGGAACTGGAAATAGAAGTCCGCGATGGAGGCACAGGAGCGATGACAGTCGGGAATCTACCAGGCCAAACACCTGGGGGAGTGGTGCAAGTTATAAGGCCGAAGTAGCAGCCAACACGGAGGACCCAGAGAGGAACCATTTGAATGTGGTCCAGGGGTCAGACGACGAGACTGAAAAAGATACAGGAGTCTGCAGGCGAGCAAAAGAGAACGAATGACAAGGTGGACCTTTTCCGATCCAACCACGATGATGCAGCAGAGTTAGACTGGAGATCGTCGTTTGACTGCGGACTCAATCACATTTATGTATGGCTATTTATGCCGGTTGGAGACCAAGAACGGAAATTTTCTAGCTTATCGTTCCACACGCCACCAGGGACAGTCCGACGTCCAAGCCCTGATGGTTCCACCGTCCGATCAAATCGAGAGTTCTTTCATATCGGACCCGGACTTAGGCCGCCCCTAGCAAACCGGCAAATCGACAGGTCGCCAGCGCCTCAAACGGCGGCAAGTTTGTCATTGACAATGCCAATATCGACCGATGGCTTGAGAAGGTGGAAATTGCCCTGAGACCTTTTCTGGTTCATTCATGGTTTTCGATTATTCTGAATTATTTTTGGGCAACGGAGACGGACTGTCCGTACCCACGGATCTCGCGCTAACTACTTTGCAGACGTTGAAAGGAGGGAATTTAGACGGAAGGGCGGCGAGATGTCAGAAATCAGAAATCATCATTGCCCTAAACCCGAGATAGTGGGACGGAATCCAATGGGAGGGACGACCCATGCCAAGGGGAACAATGGGCGAAGGAGCCCTCTAGCGAAGAAGGGGATGTATCCATTCATTGACGGTTCATTAATCACTAGTTCTTTATCCATGACGGACCAAGGGCTAAGCGCCTAAGCGTGAAAGGAGTTGGAGAAGGACGGAGTTGATAAGTTGGTTCGTCCAAAATTAGAGTCGCTAAGATCTTGGAAGGTGGGAAAAGAATCGATGAAGGGAGGGATGTGGGGTAGCAAGACGATAATAAAGGAGGGTGGGAAGCGAGTCAGTCGGACTAGGGACGATCGATTGGCAATTCGTTACACGAAGCTCGCTGACCGAGGCAATCCTGAGAGAGCGAGAAGGAAGAAGATGGAGGACGGGGAGAGTAACCAAGTCGACACCGCGTTTCGATTAGTATCACGGGGTATCGTCAGACGGCGGTGATTTGGAAATGCCGAAATTTGAAAACCCGGTGAGGATTACTCGTATTACCGTACGAAACCTGTTCAAAAACAGGGTACGGTATGTACTGTATCACCATGGTATAAAATACACCTGCCGACGTGCAGCTCCGCTTTTCCTTTTTTCCTGTTCTTTTTTCTTCCTTCCAAGAGATGCTCTTTCGGTCAGCAACGCAGTCCATTTGGGCAAAAATGCACGTCCTGGTCGGACTCCTGCCCCCAACCGGGGGTAACGCCGACATCGTGGCTCATCCTTTGTGTCGCGGGTTTTTGGCATATTATTTTGCCTTTGCACAACTTGCTCGCGTCGGCCCCCCAGCAGTTGGGGGTTCGCAAAGGGCGGAACGGTTCTTCCTCATGATCGTCATGATCGTGGTCTGGATTATGATCGACGGTGGTCAAAGCCTGTCAAATGATCGCTTCTATCATGGTTCTACAAGAATGTCGCTGGACACAAAGAACAGAGTCCGTAGTTACTAAAAGGCATCGTCAATCGCTCTTCCATGGCGACTGCCACGCTGTCGATGAGCCTTTGCCACTCTCATGGCTTCTGCCCGAGACTTAGTTTCGCCTGTCATCCGTTAACTTTTTTTTTTATTAATATTAGACTCAGACAGTCCTAACTACTTAGCGTCGAGCTAGTCTTGCAGGTTTTGGTCCTTCTCGCTATTTTTGTCCCGTTTACTGGGACTTGCCTGGAGCGTCGCCACAGACCCTAAACCACAGTGGTTCCATCGGAATAAGACATTGGGCGAAAGCAAGAAAAAAAAGATCGAAAAAAAAAGAGAATAATTATTACGAGAAGATTTAGTGCTGTCAGTCTGTCACCATATCACTACTACTGAAGTACCATCTGCAGCTAAGCCAGTACTTACACCCTTTGCTTTTAGAAGTCCAAGATCGCAGAGGCTGGCATTGGATGATTGATCGTCCTTTCTCTCGTTGAACGCCAGCCAACTCTGTGCTAACTGATCCGATCTTATTTTGCATTTTTTTTTTTTTTTTTTCTTTTCTCTCTCTTCTTTTTTTTTTCCCTTCGACTATTGCGCCTTCCTTTCGTTTATCATTCTTATTTTCTTCCTTCCTCGATCTTTCTACACGGTATCTTCCTCTCGTTAAACTTTTCGGCGGAAGTCTTATATCTCCATCATATTGGACTTCTCGCGGGGACCAGTGCATGGCACCGTCATGGTTCTCTTGAGACAGTGATTGTGACCCCTCAACCACCCCAGTCCTTGAGGGCGCCATCGTTTAATAGTATAATTTTCTCCTTATTTATTCGGTCTCTCGTTTACGCGCATCTTATTTCTGCTCGTCTATCTTAATCTCTAATCAACATGGCCGAGATCCTCGACGTCTCACCCGTGGGGTGGGATAACATGAAGAAGAACTGGTGGCAGTTTGTAAGTATCCTGGGCCCGATGAGAACTGTTTGCTCTAACCCGCCAGTAGGTCTTCATTGCCATCTTGCTTGCTTGTGTTTCTATCGGTTCGCTCAAGCTCCTTTACTCGGGGGTGACGCGCCTCTGGAACTGGCATAAGGTAGGCAAAGTTATAATTCGCGATCAATTGATGATCTATGCGGGAATGTTGATCTGACTGCATATCCTTGTGTCTTATAGACAAGACCGCGATCAGAGACCATACCGTCCGACGTCGCCCAGCGACTTGAAAGGCTTTCAGACCGACAGCTGGTTTTGAGGAACTTTGAACGACGGAAGCCGTCTTCTTTTGGCGTCTACCTGGGCACTTTCAATTCGCCCCCGACCCAGGACGAACTGCGCGTTCTGAATCAGTGGGATTTACTAATCGTCGACCCTTCTCAACCTGGTACTCTGGAAGCGATCACCACCGCGGAACGGAAACAATTGGTTGGCCGAGTCGACCTCGATCGCATCATCTCCAAGGATGATTCATTGCTGCTGGCCATTGAAAAGTTCGAGAATGTTTTGATGGGAAGTTTCAACAACTCGGTCTTCAGCGGTATTCTGTTCGCCAACTGGGAAGACAAATTCACTCCGACTGTTTTCTCCAAGCTTATCGAGGTTGTCGACGAATTGTGCCTGGCGGTTTATTTGGAAACAGGTCCCGAAAAATTCCTGAAAGATCACAAAGCCCTCCAAAATGGCGCCATATCCGGACTCGTCATGCGAAACGCTAGTATCATGCCCCAGGGTGAGAAGAGGGATTACTTCCAAATCGTGAAATTGCAGCCGACGATTAAGGCTTTCGTCTCCGAAGCTTGCATGAGAGACTTTGTGGTACTGGCGTGGGAAACCGTGGACGACAATGCCCCGTTGTCCAATGCCGTGGTTCAGAGATCTCTTCAGTGGTGCAATTTCTACAGCGCAATCCCTTGGATTGGCCGGCAGTCTGCCTTGCAAAATGCCGCCCTGAACGTGAAGATCACCGAGCCGCTCTCTTCTTTCGGTTGGTTGAAAGACGCCGATGTTATGAAGGCTCACGATCGTTGGCGCTCCAATTTACACGTGAAAAATACCGTGGCCGACCAGCACGAATGGGACACCCTCGCTCAGCTCTTCCCGGCTTTGAACGATGTTCTTGATTCCTCTGAAACTCATGCGACTATGGCCGACGGCCTGAACACCTCGGTTCGTGATCCGCCAGAGTGGGTTGCCCAGATCAAATCACAAGGGAGTCCATTATCCGTATCCATGGCCGGACTGGAATACAACTCATTGGGATGCTTTCCGCTTGGGTCAGAGGCAACACCGACTGCTTTTGCCGAAATTCTCCAGTCCCAGCTACGCCTCAAGTCGCTCGCACTGCTCCATCCGGTCCCCGCAACAACGGTTCCTGATATCGGTAAGGTTCTGAAGAAATTCCTCCAAACCTATGTCGCCTCCGAGTTGAATACTTCGGACCAGCTCGTTGCCTCACTCAGGGAGCTGTGTAATATGGCCTCGAACGACTCTCTGCGAGTGTATCTTGCGTTGGATTCTGGATTGCGCAAGAGCGTTGACATGCGTTTCTGGGCTGTTTACCAGATGGATGCCGATGGTTTCGAAGTGTTTGCTTCCAAGAACGCTCAAGGATTGGTTGGCACGGTGCTGCATACATTCTTATCCGCAAAGGGTCATCCTCGCCATGTTTGCTTCGAGACAGAGATTGCCTTCGCCAAATGGTCAAATGATTTGGTCGATGACACGGGGCTTCCCCGTCGACTTGTTCAGGATATTGACGCTTTGAGCCCGGAGGAGCGACTGCTCTTGTTGCAGCACCTCTCCTTGACCGATTCCAAGAGCGAGGCTTCGGATACCATCTGTGCATATATCCGGAGACAGCTCATCGATGCGCCTTCATTTGTCCAGCTCAAGGAACTCAACACCATCTCTTACCTCGAGGGATCTGTATCTCCCGAATCCTTGATTAACACTCGTGTGGCTTGGTACCAGGAACAACAATCGTCTTATCCATCTGCCTCTAAATGTCTCGCTCTCTTCAATCAGACCGATGCCGTCTTTACTCAAATCTTGAAAGAGCGCCGTGAGAATGACCTTGCTTTAATTTCCAACAGTCTGTGCAAGCTTCTACAGAATGATGTTATTGACCCGTATGCCGACATATTGGCGCTTTCGCTTTTCTGCGCCGCAAGGAAGGGTGCTCTGGATGAGATCTACGCCGAGGTGACAGATCGAAACCCCTTGTTCAACAATCAATCCGATCAGGCGGCTGCTTTTGCTGAATCGTTTGCCCTTGGCTCGCGATGCGAGGCGTACTTTGACATCTCGCCCAGTGCCTTCGGAAAACTGCTGTCGGATCGCTTCAGAAAGCAGTACACGGACGAGAAGCTGCCGGATTGGATCAATGGTGCTCCTGAGATGGCTACGTCGTATGCCGGTGCACAGATTGACGTGAACCCAGACGACAAGGTCAAACCAATGAGGGGGTACCAGCGATTTACTTTCCTCAGTGTCTTCGCCTTCCCAGCCCTGATTGATATCATTATGCTCACCATCATCGGTCGCGGATTGTACCTGTCCGCATTCATGACGTACGAGGAGCAGGAGAGCGCCACTATTGCCCTGATGATATCGCTTCTCATGTCTGGAGCCATCGGTACATGGATTGCTTGCGGCGGACCTTACTACCTGATTTCCATGGCATTCGCTGCCTCCAACATGTTTGTGCTCACCAGACTGATTGCTGGTATCGCATTCACTGTCGCCGGTGGTCTGATCGGATTCGTTGCCATCTCGGGGGTTAACGGTCCTCGTGCTGGAATTATCTTTTACCTCTATCTCATTGCGCTGACGATTTACTTCTCCGCCTTTGCATCCCTTGCCAGTTTCAGTTACCCCGGATCCAGCTTTTTGTCCGGCCGCACCGTTATCTTCGCTTGCATCCCCATTCTTTTTATCTCGCCAATTGTCACAACCTTCACTGGTCACGATTCGGCCATTTATCTCGCCGTCATCTATGTCTTCATCGGCTTCCTTCTCTTTGGTCTGCGAACGATCGCCTCCAAGTGGGTGACTTGGTATCAGCACATCCGAAGAACCGATGACACTGAAATCCGGAAATGGTACGTTGCCACCCACGGTGACGGCAACGAGAAGGTCTTCGGGAACTTGAGTGATCCTGCCGTTCTCAAACTGTCAAGAGAAGCTCTGTTCAAGGATGTTATGGCGGAGAAGGAGCGGTGGTTCTTCACCAAGGCAACGCCCGACACGCTGGTTCTTGAGCTTGCTCGCGATTGGGATTCGACGAACTTCCTCCTCGACTGGTACTGCCGTTACGCAGACGTGCCCCGTCCAATCCCGTTCAGTTCTGGATGGAACATCCAAACCAAGGTCGCTCTTGACACGCTGCGCAGTTCTCAGAAAGGTATTCGATCTCACAACGCTTTTATCCACTGGCGCCAGTCGAGCAGAGAAATAGGTTGTGGCATTCTGTACTTCGTCTTGGCCCTGCTTGATAAGTGGGTGGAGCTGCTGAGTGGTGGACATCTTGTCGGTCTCTCGGCCGCGCTGACGGATGCCTACCGAATGTCTGTTGGTTTCGGTCTGGCGTACTACCTCATCGGTGCGGTGTTGATTGACACGAAGGCCCAAGAGCTCCATGATCTGATCGGTAAGCACTCGGCTGTCGCGGTCGAAACCGCTAAGGACATCCGACCTTCGCAGAAGCGGGACATCAAATTCAAGAGGAAGGTCTACTGGAAGACGTTCGGTAAATATCTTATGTGGCACGTCTGGAGTCTTGCCCTGGCCACCGCTCTCATCTGGAGCTTCCAGTCTTCCGTGGAGGCGATGATTATGTTCTTTGCCTACGTCCTGGCCTATACCGGTTTGCTTTGGTATCAGTATACGAAAATCTTCACTGGACCTCATGCTTTGAAGCCCTTGCTAGCGGGAGTCGTCGTGGGTCTTCCAGTTGGTATTGCTCTGAAGGTCTGTCTCCCAGGGTTCTTGTACTCCCAGGTGATTGGTCTGGGGTCCGCTACGTGGACAACCGCCATTCTCGCCCTCTTTGCATCGAAAATGGGCATGCCAAAGAAGGTGGAATCCCCCGTTGAACTCGGCAAGACCTTCCATGCTTTCACTGCACCATGGGCGGATCCTGAGTGGTCTCAACAGGAGCTGCAGACCTTTTTCGAGGGGATGTCTGTTATTCCCGCCGACGCCAGGTTGACTCTCACTCCCAGCATCCATCCCGGCGTGGAGGTGAAAAACATTCTGCTCATGCGCAGAAAAGAGCCAAGAATTGAAGAGGCGTTTCCACAGTCGCAGGAGCTGGTCAACAAAGCCCTAGGAGCCTGGGAAAAGGGACAAATTGTGCTCGAGCTTGTTCCCTTAGGATCCCTGGGCCCGAACATTCAGGCTCTGAGCTGCAACACGTCAACTCAGCTTAGGATTGCGGTGTGTGTGGGACGTGGTCTCGATGAGCGCATCGACGTCAGTGCCAATTGTCAGGTCATTGCCGAAACCCTCCTCCACGCAGTGGCGGAGTGTATGCTGCGGATGCCGCACGACTATGCGGTCCTTGCCGAGTCGCTCGTCACCGCAGGTGTAACCGAGACCACCGCCCGACAGCTCCGTGAGGAAACCAACACGCCGCTCGTCGTGCGCTGGGCCAAGAAGGAGCTTCTGCGCCAACTTTGCCTCGGGTTCGAATGTGACGCTCACTGGGAAAAGCTTCCGAAATCCGTGCGAACTGCCCTGTTGGATCGCTGTCTCGGCCAGCCATCTGAGTTCCCCGATCATAACCGACAGTGGCTCCAGGAGAGCTTGCGACAATTTGACACAAACGACTTCGAAGTGCACGTTGCGCGGACCAATCTCGGCGCTGCCACGGCTGTTAGCATCCTCGACTATGCGAACTACGGTACCGGTGAAGCTGCCATCATCAAGGATAACGAATCTCCAGCCTATATCCCGTACATCCCCAAGAGACCCCAGAAGGCCATCTCCATGCTAAAAAAAATTGGGAACTCCTTCCATTACTGTCTTTCCTCAATGATCAAGTTCACTGTCGTTGCTTTGGTAGCTGACCCCGAGTTCCAGAGGGAATTCGCCCACGTCATGAGTGATCGCCCTGCGGCCATCCGAGTGCCCCTTGTCTTCGTGCTGAATATGCTGTGGTCTTATGCCAAATTCTTCCAGGATATGTGTCTTACATTTTTCTTGTTCGCTGGCCGGACGAATGTCAAACGGCTTTGGGACGAGACAAAGGGCATGACGATCAGCATCAAGAAGAGCAGGTACATCATCCAGAGCCTTGATGGAACATTCACTGCTTTCAGACACGACGAGGCAGATGGTGGATTCAAAGTCTACATCTACCTTGGGGAGTCTAAAACCGAACCTGAAGGAACGAAGCATCTCCGATACATCAACACATACTCCAAGGAGATCTTGTTACTCATCCGACAAGAATTCAAAGACGGCAAGCTGCTTAACGAGTACCACTATGACTACCGCGCTCCGACGAAAAAGAACTTCGCGCTCTCGAAGACTTCAGACACCAAGATTCCAATGGGTAGGCGTTGCGTGCGTGGACAGAACAACCTCCAAAGCATCCAGTACAACCGCAAAGGTCTCATCGAGGCTGGTTCTTACATGAAAGATGGCAATCTCGTTCGCTTCAAGTACCACTACCGCAAGAATCCACGATTCGGTGACGAACTGCTTCGGGCCGAGTTTGCGCTTTCGCATATCACTTGTACTGTCTCCTGGTGTGCACCTCCTCTTCGCCATGCTCAGAAGGTGGATCGATGGATTCCTCATTCCAAGGTCACAGAGGCCACTTTCGTCCAGGGAGCGGATGTTTATGAAGCTCGTTGGTTGTATGACCACAAGTTCCACCCGATGATCTTTACCACGCTCAACGGACAAACGGTACAGACCCCGCCCATGATTGAACACGACTACCTGGCCGTACTTGCGAAACCCAGGCATACCAGCTTTGTGAATGACAACCCCCTTGTCTACTGCGAGAGATTGAACTCAAACATCTTGACCCGGTCTCTCGGACTGACAACCAAACGCTTCCCCGTGTCAACCTCTCGTGCTCGTTCACTGATCTGGAAGGCCTGGAAAGACCGTGCTGACTTTGATGGTATCATTGTTCGATGGATGGACGACCGACTTCTCCGGCGAGACAAGACCCTTGCGCCTTACTGGCGCAGCCGGGATCGCGGAAACCTCGCGGCGGCAAAGAAATACTTGGATCTTCGTGCGGATACTATTACAGCCAGTGCCGATCTGGACGACGACATCTCTAGCTGGACTCCTCTTGCGGTGAAGATGAGTGATCTGTTTAATTTTGGACCTGGAGGTGATGCTGTTGTCAACACTCGATCTAAGGACTTTGGCTCGGACACCGAGAAATCGTTGCATGTCATGGCTGCTGATACAGGTACCTGGCCTAACGAAGGCGGTGGTGTCTCTGCCTGTCGACGTGATATGATCAATTCCCTGCGGTCCATTAAATGGCACATGATCTGCGAGTCGGCCAACGATTTCGGCGTACCCAAGCACCAGACCGAGCAGAACATTCTGTCCTTGAAGGTTGTCCCCCTCTGGGGTCTGGATTTCCTCACCCCTACCCATGGTCTCTTTAGGAACAAGCTCGACTCCGAGGTCGAGAACGTCACCTCTGCCAGCGACACTGACATCAAACTCAACTTCATTCCGATCCTCACTGCATTGGTCAAGGGAGCCCGCTCCGTCCATCTTTCAAAGGCCGACATCCATCAAGCCACCCGAGCCCTGGTCAACCTCAACACCTACTTCCAGGAGTCGCGTCATTGGACCCAAGTGTGGAACAGTGACATTGTCAAGGAGAGCTGGCGTAATCTGTGGCTTACTCAAGAGATGCCCAACGCCACGCCATCTTCCGAGTGGTTCCGTACTGAGCTTCCCACACTCGCCTCGCTCGACGTCGCGTTGGAGCTGTGGTACCGGTATTTGTTCATCTTCTCCATCCCCATCCCGGAAAAGATCCCGAGCGTGTTCCAGGCATCTCACCACAGTGTCAGCGCCTCTTATGGAGTGGTCTGCAAGGTCAAGAAGAACTGCACCTTGCAGATTTGGGACCATGCCATCAGCTGGAGAGAAACCAACCTGTGTCTTTCGTCTGCTTTGTGCAAACTGTCGCCGTTCGTTCGAAATGCATTGCTGGGCTTGATGCGTATCACCTCTGCTTTGACCCTGCACCATGCTGATATCATCCTTCCCTGTGCGGATTTCTTCAATCCCGGATGGGAGGCTGAAATTGGTACCTGTCAAGGAAGTATCGAGCATCGCAATGTGTTCCGCCGCAAGGTCGATCCCGTCGTCAATGGTATCACGGATATGCAGAAGTTTGCCCCCGTCAAGGAAATCAAATCCCAGCGCCCCACGGTTACGATGTTGTCCCACGTTTGGTATGCCAAGGACATCAAAACGGCACTCCTCGCCGCCGACATCATCATTAACCAGTGGAAGTTCGATGATTACCACCTGGACATCTACGGCGCCATTGACAAGGCCCCGACGTATTCCACGGAATGTCAAGAAATCATCGCTTCCAAGGGTTTGCGTGGCAAGGTTACTCTTCGCGGCACAGCTGACCCAATGAAGGTGTTGGAGAACACCTGGCTCTTCCTGAACTCGTCCTTGTCGGAAGGTCTCCCGCTAGCCTTGGGTGAAGCTGCCCTGACCGGTGCGCCTGTGGTCTGTACCGACGTGGGTGCGTCGCTCCGAGTTCTCAGCGACCCCGACAATTTCTCTCGCTTCAGTGCCGTCGTTGCCCCCAACGATGCTCTGGCTCTTGCAAAGGCGCAGATCTCGATGCTCGGAATGTTAGGCGAATGGAGCCAGCACGCCGAAGACACGGAGCCTGCCCCTGTGCTCACTTCGTCTCCCACACCGGAAGACGTCGAACGGATCACCCGCCGTATGTACGAGAAGAGCGACCACCGTCGCAAACTCGGGATGATGACGCGCAAGATCGTGCAGAAGTCCTTCAGCGGCGATCGATACCTTCGTGAGCACGAGCAGATGCTCTGGATCGGCAAGTCGGCCAAGATCATGTCGAGCCGCCCCGGCGCCGGCATCAGCGACCCCGTTGACGTCGCCACGGCCATGCAACAAGCGCTGCCCATTGAGGAGGAGGTTATTACCATTCCTCGCAGCGCCGTCCACTCGTGGCGCTCCTCCGCTGCCTCCGGCATGTCGACCATGTACAGCAACGACAACTTCCCCATGCTGGGCGGCAACCAACGTGCCTCCTCCATCCGCTCCGGTCTCAGCAACGTCTCCACAGACACCGAGTCCTTCCTGCCTCTGCCCAGCAATGCCTCGCTCCCTGTCTTCGCGCCGCGTCAGGCCCTCTCGTATTCCGGCATGTCGGGCCGTCTGTCGCCTTCCGGACGCGCTTCGCCGTCGGGTCGGCTTTCTCCTCTGCCTCATCGCCACTCGCACACGCGCTCCATCTCCACTGCCGGCCGAGAACAGCTGCGCGGTCTGCAGCGTGAAGACGTGCACCCTTACCGTAACTCGGATGTCAGTACTATCATGAGAGATGAGTTTCTTCAGTCGAGCATCTACCGGGGCATTGAAGGTGGCAACAAGTCGAACAATGTCTAAGAACTTGTGACAAGCTCGAGTCCGGATCTATTTCTAGTTTTGGATTGATGTCTGGTTTATTTTGGATATCAGACTTTTCCCCCTTACCCTCCTCCTTTCACTCTTACCTGCTCTCTCCCTCATCTTCTCTCTTGGTCATGATCCGCCCTGTACATACATACTACATCCACTTCCTCTTTTCATCTTTTCTTTTTGGAAATATTCCCTCGCTTACCTACCCTCCCTCATTCTTTCCTGACTATTGTCTACTCTCCTTCTCTTGTCTCAAATATTCCATTGTTCTTTGTATTTAGCATGTCATCGAACGCTTGCATCATACTGCGTCTTTTTGTACAGAAAAGGCTGGATTATCACAGTCCTTAATCATGTTATTCATTTTTGTTGTTGTGGATTTTGCTTTTTGCATAGAACCTTCCATATAGATTGAACCAATCAAATGAATGATGATGACCAGATAAATCAAACTGTGCTTTCGTAACATGCAATTTCAAGTCATTTCGTACGAACGCTCTCAATCTTTTGTAGACATAAAACGTAAAAAACACATTGATTGACCTGCCCTGTTCTCTCAGCAACAATTCTTCACCTGCAGCACATCCTGCACCAATCGAGTCACTTCCTTCGCGGATCCAAAAGCAAGAGACCACCCTGCGCCGCCATGCCCGTACGCATGCACAATCCGACTCGGTCGCGTCCGCGGCGTCAGCCTCTTCTCGCGCTCCACGCGCACATGGCCCGTCCTCATGGGCCGTCGTCCCTGCACCAGCGGACACAGCGGATCCAAGCGCGCATTCTTCAAACACGGCAAGAGATCCTCGCACCGGCGACGCATCTGCACGACCTCCGCGCACGACGGCGTTAGATCCAGCTGCCACGAGTCCTGATGCAAGATCGACCCCAGGAGCAGGGTCCGGTCGTTCCGCGGCACCAGGAACGCCATGTCCTTGAAACTCCCGTCCTCTCGCGTCGGAGACGACACCACCATGCTGTTCTCGATCTTGGGGAAGTCTGTCCCGTCGTTGATCACGCGTAGGAGCCCGCCTCGGAGCGGATAGACCGAGGCGTCGTTGGCCGTGTCGCCGGCCCACACACCCGTGGCGTTCACAATGGCGTCCGCCTCGTAGATCTTCAGCAGGTGTTCTTCCTGGTCGAGGAGGTCTCCGTACACTGTATCCGTCTCCATGCGGCCACCCTTCCGTCGGACCAGGCGCATCAGGAACGACATGGCCACGTCCGTGTCGATTACAGGTGCGAGGTGCTCGTATGCATCTTCTAACCCGCCATGCGAGTCGGCGTTCACCCCGTACTTCTTCAACAGCTGCGTCCCGTGCGAGAACCCCTCCAGCTCGGCTTCTTGTATATACCGCACTTTATCGCTCTTCACGGTATCCTCGTCTACGCGGTTCATGTGGAACGCAGTGAACATGCGCATCTGGACACCAAAGGCCCGCGCCAGTTCCCTGCGGTCTGCGAGCGTGCGGTATATGCGGAGACTCTCGAGAGCCCACCGCTGCGCCATGGGGATCTTCGCGCCGTACATCTGGGGCCCGCAGCCAGCAGGAGGCAGTTCCCAGAGAGCGCCGGCGACTTGCGAGGTGAGTCGCTCGTTGCTGTTGGCCCACTCGCGCGATATAATGGTCACATGGTATCCTCGGTCCAGGAGAGTCCAGGCTGTTGTGAGGCCTGTCACACCGGCTCCGATGATGAGGACTCGGGGTGATGAAGGGGTAGGAGGGGTCAGTGGGCGAGGGGAGGCGGAGAGATGGGCATTTATTGGTTTTTCGGTGCTGAGATGGAGGTCTTTCCGGGCCATGATTGCTTTTCGTGGGGTTGGGTGAGGTGGTCAGAATGGCAGATGTGTGGTGGGTCAATTAGTTATGTGTATGTGTCTAGTCAACCTCCTGACCCCAGATGGTTCTGTCTTATATCAGGAGAGAAGAAGACTAGGGGCTGATTGGAATTCACGTTAAGGGCAAGGGTATGCTCAGTAGGTTGGCAATCGCGGACAATGGCGCATGCATAGGGAGCCCATTCGAGTTAGAGAGAAAATATCAAACCCAGCAAAAAAGAGCATACTTGCCGTCATTATATAGGCATGGTGAAGGCCGCATTTCTTTTCTGCCCGCTCATATATACTCCGCACCCAAACACGGGCGTTTTCTAAAATCAGAAGCCCGGATACCACCATGACGCCACAGTTCCGTACATATTGTGGCCCATTGTCCTGCTTCTGTGGAACCATTGTACCACTGAGATCAACGTTGGCAACCCGTTCGCGGTGGCTGGCAGCCGTGACAAGCCTACCGGTAATGCGGCCTGCGGGCGGCTTAGATTTTGGCAAAAGTAAACCGAGGGGGGTATTGTCAGGATGGGAATAGTAGCTGTGGCTGACCAAGTTTAAATCATGCGGTGGATCCGACAGTTTGATGGAGCGGAGGTGGTCGGCGGGGGTTTAGGTTAATGAGAACGAGTGATGGCCATGTTGGGCAATAGATGGCATTTGATGGTAATTGTAGGGATTTGGAGGGATATGAAAGAAACCAGCGGGGTCATGCGACCTTGTTAGATGAGCAAGAAAAGAACTCGAAGAAATTGAACAGAGGTATTTGGATGGAGCTAACATCCAGCGGAGGTAGGTACAAGATCGGGGAACAGAAAGTTCAATTTACCCTCGTGCGAGACGCATCCAGCAAATCAGCAGAAACCTGATATTGGCCCTGGGAGCGGTAGGAGTGGCCGGTTCTGCAGGTAGGCAGATCGAAAGGCAAGTTGTGTCGAGAGGAGAAGTGAGGGGACGAGAGAGGAGCAGAAGATGCGTTTCTTCAGGCAGGAACGACCAGGAGAACATGTGACTTGGCATTGTGCCATTCGAGGCATAATCACCTCTCCGGAGGCAGGATTGCGTTATAACCGAGCAAAATGAGGAAAACTGCCTGCCCCTCGATTGCGTAGGTATAAATCTCGAGGAACCCTACGAAATGGCCCTGGCTTGTGAATCAAATCATTATTCATTCTTCTATCCGATCGCCGTGTCCAGTCTATGCCCATCCGTCATAAACAAATATCCCATATATACATGCGTGCAAAACAATCATTCATCCATCCCGGATATTATTCATAAAGCCTACAAAGAAAACAATCACATGCGATCAATCAATCAGTCGTGAAGATCCCCAGAAAGCCAACAAGGTATCATCAAGTGCGCGACCTCGAAACAATGCGCCGAAATCTAGAAAACAAAACAGTGGAGGTCATTATATGGCATCAGGTGAGGAGTGTCGAAGATAGGAGGTGACCTCCGTGGAAAGGTGAAAGTAGGGTAATTAGGGAGTGTCGGATTATAGAGGCGGGATCGCGGCGTCGTGGAGACTCTCGTCGCTAATCGAGGTCGCCGGCGATGCCAGTCCCGAGATCACAGACGAGGTACCGCCTGGCGGTTCAATCTCGAGGATCGAATCCTCCAGCTGCGTTGCAGACGTGATGCGCGGCTGGGTCGTGGTGATCGGCTTTGCCGCGCTCGTCATCAGCTCGTCAATACCCGGTTTCTCGGGGACGTGTTGGTCGAGGTTGGTGGCCTGATCCAGACTATCGAGAGCGAACTCTAGGAACTCGGCGTTCTTCTTACTGACGCTCAAGGTCCAGCGGTATTCACACAGCCGGAGACGGTAGAACTCGCCCTCCTCTTTTGTCGGGGCGGTGATGCGCAGGAGCACTCCGAAGGAGCCGATCAGGGCAAAGTTAGTGCGCGATGCAGCAGGCCAGAAGGATCGGAGATGCGGAGGTCGGAGACGATTGACAAAGTCCATCGCTGAAATCAACCGCGTCTTCGCAGCGGAGCGGCAAATGTGAGACAGGTAAGCATCCGCCGTCTCCTGGCCGAGAGATCTCACGATGCAACGGTGAAGGGTGATTTCCGTGGCGAAATACGACAGGTGCAACGCTCCGTTGCGGGCGTTATCCTCGTTGATCGTTTCGAAGAGGTCGCCGCCCGACTCCATTTTCAATTCGGCAGGCAGACGTCCAAACCAGTCCTTCAGGCGGATCTGTGCGGGTTTGGCGCGTTCCAGGATCATTCGCGTGCGGTTGATGCCGGCTGATTTGAACTCCTCGATCGCCTGCAGTGTGTAAAAGCGGTCCAGGATATCGGAAAGGATGGTCGTCAGGGCCACCATGTGACAGAAGTAGAGAGGGCCGTGGCCCACGGGAGCATCATCGGACTGGGTTGACGGCGAGGGAAATGCATCGGTGAAATCCTGCTCCACCAGATCCTTCACCGTCCAGTTAAAAGAAAAGATGTGAGACGGGCGTCCGTGTACCAGCGCGGACCATTTATCCTGCATGTAAAGGGCCCAAGCGAGACGCTTGCGGAGACCCTTCTCCCAGGTCTCCATCCTCCATTCCGAACAGTCCTGGTGCAGGCCAAGCTCGAACCCGGCGGTGACTAATTGAGCGTTCAATGCGGATGTGGCGATGGTGGACTTTTCCATGAGCAACACACCTGCCTGGATGGTTGAGATGGAGGCATGAGGCAACGACTCGTTGAGCAGTCTCAGGGCCGTACTTTCCAGGCGGCTGACATCGGGTCGTCGGGCGGCTTGAGACGCCGGGCCCACGTCCACAAACTTCAAGGCCAGCACGTAGACGGCACATAGCAAGAGAGGGGGCATGCCTTGCCGGGAGCGGTACGACTGGCGGAAGGTGTCCTCCATGAGAATGGGGAAGGTCGGATGAACATTTTCGAAGAATTTATCGATCAACGTCGGGCCATAGGGAGCGACCAGGCTTTCAATGGCATCCAAGGGAGGGGGCGGCGGTACGCCCGCTTGGGAGAGGGTGTTGACCACCCGCATGAAGGTCCCGTCGTCAGCGAACTTCCGGACGCGGGACGAGGCGACAGATCCTTCGAGGTTGTGATCCAGGGGGAGATATTCGAGGAGAGTGGGTTCCAGTTCGGTAGTTAAACCGATGTGCTGGGTTTGCTGATGCCAATACCCCGACGTGATTCGAGGGTGGCCGTTCAAGGGTGCACGAGAGAGTTCAGGTTTGGAAACTGGGGGGACGGTTGATTGCCTGTCAGCGGGGACAAGATTAGCGTTCCCACGTCTATCTATATGCAATGTCCGAAATCGGACTGGGATGTCCACTTCGAGGCTTGATTCATACCTCTTGGAGGATTCTACATCATCCGGGGCGGAATCGTCCAACTTTCGTTTCTTGGACTGCAAATCGGCGGTGCCAGGACGGCTCGCCACCGCAGACAGGGTAAATGTGCAATCCTGACGATGAAAATCGCACGAGTAGCACTTTTTCACCATTTCATTCATAGCGCACCGGCTTTTTCTGCGCAAACAAGCGTCGCAACTGGGGCCATCCCGACCGGGTACAGGGACACGGGGAAGGGTACCAATTGATGCGGAGGGAGAGATTGGCGTGGAAGTCGAACCGGGGACTCGGGGCCGGATGATATGATCAGAGGATGGCTGCTGAAAAGAGGCCGCCGTGGTAGCCGTCGGCCCCGTCGTCGAAGACGACTGAAGAGTGATAACGGCAGCCATTCAGATCCGGCCAGAAGGATGCGACCCCGATAGATAATGCAGAGGGTGAGATTGGGGGGGAAAGGCGAAAGATAGGAGATATGATTCCTCACAAAGGTAACGCGGAATGACGATATGATAGGAACCTCTCCAATCGCAACGGGGATTTTTCGACACGTAAATGACCCGGGACGTTCGGAAACTCCACCAAGATGCTCCGCACAGGGCTCAGAAGGAAGGTAGCTAAGAGTAAGAACCCCGAGATATGATGAGGATCAGGCAATGATGAGGAATATCCGGGGTTGAGCTCGAGGCTGGAGTCCTGGACGAAGCGGGAAGGAGAGTGCGCGGCCAACGGACCAATGACGGGCAGGCAGATTGGAAACGGCCAGGGGGCTGAATGGACGTGCGAACCGCAGCGGAGAAGCTTATCAGGGCACAGCAGGCGCAACGAGGCCAGAGGAAGATGTCCAGTCGGGGAGTACAGAGAACAGACACAAGAGACCACCGAGCGCAGAGCACCGACCACAGCGGAACCGGAGCGTGGCAGATCGGGGAGGAGTCTCGGCGCAATGATAAAGATAATACGATTTGACGAAAGAAATCGGTGATTAGGGAATCGCGGTGGATTCGGGTCGCGATGCTGCTTGCTGCGCTGCACGCGAGATCAACGACCTTCCTACCTACAGGCCTCCCGGGAACAAGAAAAACGACGGGGAAAAGGAAAAAGAAAAAGAAAAAGAAAAAGGAGAGAGAATCCAGACGCGAAGGGATGAAAGAATGACCCCGTCGTTGATATTATGACAATTGAGATGGCCATGATAATTCCGGGTCAAGCGAACAGTCATCAGGATCAATAAGAGAAAAGTCCGGAGCTTCGAGGCAAAGGATTTCCCACACGTAACAGATATGCAGCGGTTGGACGTCATGAACAACCACCGCTTTGGTTCCTGCTGCGGTTCGAGATAAGCCTCGCCCAGCTGATTGGGTCTGCGATCTGATGGCGGCCGAGCTGGGGCTTGGTATTACGTACTGGGAAAGGGCGGTGGATCGACTGATTAATGAGTACTCCGGAGTATGGCAGGACTCTGGAGTCCCGAGAGTGCAAAGTATGTACTTACACTTGAGGTATGTGAAGGGGATGAATTGATCAATTGAAACAGAGAAAAGATAAGTCTGCCGGCAACCCGCACTAGTCCTGTAAGATCCTGACGAATAAAGCTCAGTCTCATCCTCTCCAAAAGTACCGCGCAAAGCCGACAAACATGCCGAGCGCTCCAGTCACGGGTGATTACTCATCTACTCCCACCAATCACCATGCTCTGATAACACCACCCCCGCAGCCAATCACACCAGCTCGCCTCCAGCCAATCTGGCCTAGTGCCAAACCGGCAACGGGGATCGGCCCTGCAGCCGGCGGCTTTCCCCACAGCCTCCCAGGTCGGTCCATGTGGGTGAAGGGAGAATAAGAGCCATCTCCGGAGCAGACTGGCCCTAGGCGGAGTTCCTGCTGAGTTCAAGGTTGCTGGGAACTAATCTGCCCGTCTCCCATTGGTCATTCGCCCTTGGGCAGCACTGCTTTGGATAATGTGAAATGCTAATAATAACCTAATAAGAATGCCTTTCTCATCCTAGAAGAAAAAAAGACAGCAAGAGCCCCACCTCTCTGGAGATGAAGACTACTACTAGACACTACTCGGTAGTAGTTCCCTCGCTATGACCAAATCATGATTCATCTTCCCCGTCTTTCCTCTGCTGTCCGGACGGGAAACTGGAACGGGGTGACTCGGAGAGGCGATCGATCTCCGGAGAATTTGTCTATGCCAATCTTTTGGCAATTTCCTTACCGCGGACGGAGGTCATTGCCCAGACTGTGTCCCCTCGCTATACTTCCAATGAGAGGCCTTGGCCGAATAGCTGTTATATAATGGATATCTAATAGCCTCTATCCTGATGGAAGGTGGCACGCTCGGGTCTACCGACCAGGCACCTGTTTAGGTAGTAGTGTTGTGTGAGCCTGTGACTCTATTATGCACTCATAGCACCATAGTGGCAGATGTATGTACTCTGTACCACCTTTTTTTTGCTCCCTACGGGATGACTTTCCCCCCTTACCGAGATCTCATTACTTAATGCAAATGGTTATCATGCATCTCATACAGATTTCCGCTGCTCAGACGACGTCGGTGCAGTCCAATTAATATCTACAAATGTTTTCATCATTATCAAATCCCTTGCGTCGCAGCCAGCTGTATGATTGCGACTTCCCACTAAGCATAACCACATGCCTTGACGGAATGCAGTGTCACATTTTCTTTTTCGTCATCACGAGTCGAGGCATTTTTCTGTCTCATGCAGCCACCCTCTAATCGCACTGCCTTTGTCCTTTTTTGTTTTTCAGAGATTCCCGTACAACGCGCGACCCTTTCTATGTTATCCGTCGCCCGCTGATCTCGGAATGTAATTTCTCCCAGATGTCCGATAAACTCCCATAACTCCCTGCTATACGAGGCTGAAGCCGTCGTTGAAAATGAGACAAATGTCACAGACAAACAGACCATGAAATAAATGAAAAAAAGAGAGGCCAAGTCGCCAAGCAATAGATGACACGATATAATCTGTCAACAGTTTACTCGGTGAAATTCCGCAGCTTGGTCAACTCATCCAGAAGTTCTTGCAGATCCCCATCGGAGATTTTGTGCTGCAGACTAGGAATGAGTGACTTGGCTTCTTCGGCATTGTCGCAACACAGACTCCCTGTACAACGTTAGACTAGCCTCTTGACATGTGATAACGACGGAAGTGGCATAGACATCGACAACAACAACAAATCAACAAAGAGAAAGAACAAAAGCACCAAACAGGAGAAAGAAAGTAAGAGGATAACCATACCCAGCTGAGACCGCTCGAACATCTCCAACTCCGTATGCGAATTAAGCAGTCGCTCAACAGCCTTGATATTCTCTTCGTCCTTGAACCTCGCAAAGACCTCCAAGTAGTCCAAGGTTTTGGTAAGGTTTCTGCATGTGTAAGCATGGGTCATTCTTTATCCCAGCCGGCGGGCGTCACAAAGAACGCTTGCCCGCATTCCTGCAGCTGCCGTAGAACTGAACTCACTCCGGCTCCTCGTATTTCTTGCCCCCTCTCCGTTTGTTCTCCAGCACCTTGTTGATGACGAGACGCGCTTCGGACAGCGACAGCGTGTGGGTGTTCTGGTCCGCGCCAAGTTTCAGCGTCGAGGCGGCCTCGAGCTCGCCCTGGGGCAAGGCGCGTTTGCGATGCGTGGCGGGGGGTAACTGGACGCTCATTTTGAGGACCTAATACAAGTCTGTGCGCTTTGGGTGGGAGTTCGTTATTCGTTTCGGTTGGCGGCGGTAAGGCGCGCGATGACCCTCTATGGATAATTTGACTGAACGGATCTCGACTCGACAGAGACAATTTCGCTGAATGTTGAATGTGAGGTCCGCACGGCACGGGAAAACTTCCTCTATGAAGTTTGGCTCTGGCAGTTCTGGGCGGTGAACTTTCCACCGCCTTTGTTATCAACAATGAAAGAATCTACGGATCGGAAAATCACTGAACAGATCGGTGTCTTTATCTTGTCATGCAGCATGTAAACATTCCATTAAGCATGGTTATATGTGGTACACAGTGATAGGCCACCGGAACTTAGAGAAACAACTTGCCAATATGCTGGGAGATTCCAATATGCATGGTGTTCTGCAATACTCTGCACTATACAGTTCAGTTAAGCGAAGAGGGTATCGATTGAAAATTCACTATTTTTCTATCCAGGCTTTATATCTCATGTCCCAAACGCCTCATGCTATGCGGCCATTCTATACAATATGGTCCTGCAATCTATACTTTGCGGAATGCAACCTCTTTGGGTAGACGGAAGCTGGCACAGAACATTTGCTTGTTGGGACTGACCAGTCTCACGTTGTGGATGGAGAGTTCCAGTTCCTGATTGCCACTGCCCCCAACTCGGTCCTCCAAATTGACGGGGTGCCCGATTCGTTCGGTAATGCGCTTGCAGATGTCGGCGTGGTCATCGGTCTCGTCTTCCGAATGGCCAGAGAAGCAGTAGACATGGATCATGGGAAGAGCCTGCGAGGTGTGCGGCGCAAACAGCGACTCTTTACCGGCGTAGAGCCCGGGGAATGCATCGAGGAATTCCAGGGCAATGGCAGGTAGATTCATCACGTAGTGGTCAAAGACAGTGGGACGGGTCATGACTTCCGGGGGCGGCATGGGGGGCTGTTCCTCCTTTCTGGCACTTCTCCTCTCCCTGCGCTTATGTGGCAAAGACACCTGCTGAGGGCCTAGTTCCACGAGCTCCTTAGCAGACCAGCGGATGAAGTCTCTGCCGTCCTGGTTGAACGGAGTCACAAACGGTTCCACGCGGTTCCTCTTGACTGCATCCTGCATGACTTCGTATCCGTGCGGGTTGAGATCATTGGCCCAAACAAAGATCTTCTTCTTGCCGGCAGGGACCGCGAAGGGGCCAACGCCGGCCATGACATCGCAGACCATTTCGCCAGGGCGGAACTTCTGCACCAGTCGACGGTGTTCCGTCTCCAAACGACTGTTCCAGTAGACTCGCGAGTAGTCGAAATGGAACACACAATCCTGCTCGCTCTGAACGACATTCATATCGTCTTCACCGGCCAGCAACTCGAATGGGAAAGTGCGGAATTCGCTGTGCGCGCCGACGTCTTCCGTCTTTCTAATCACCGTCTTGATGTTCACATTTTTGTCCATTATAACCTGCGCAATTATGTTCTTATAGGGAAGATATTGTTCACGTAGGTTGAGATGCGCTAGAACACGTCAGTTTAGTGGCCGGCCATGTTACCTGCGTCGAAGTCAGAGTGACATACCAACATGACCAACTTGCGTATATCCTTGCGGGAATTCCGCCAGCAAATCTTCCGGTATGATGGCATCCATGATATCCGCTGTACAGACAATTAGTCCCGTTCTCCCTTTCAGAGTCTTCCATAATGAAAGCAACACTCACCATACGCCCAATAATCATACTCCAAGGTCAAATCATAACCTCTCATAGCAACCGTCCCCTTTTCCACAAGCTCACTCAGTGTCGGCGACCAAGTCGCAGCATCTGCCTCCTATCAGCACCCGCCTGGCACATATCATTCAATCATAACCAACCATCATGCTTCACCCCATCCTTCAGCAACAGACACTTCTTCACAGCGTCGTCGACTTTCACCTCCCGGATAATGTTCAATCTCGGCGCCTCCAGCAAGTCCTGGCTCTTGTTCAGCGTCCCGCGCACCTTCGAGATATCCGAGTTCTTGAACACCGTCGCAGCGGAGAGCGGTAGCGTCTTCTTGAAAAACGATCGGTCCAGCGCTCGCATGGCACGGTTCACAGGCGGCCGAAACATGGTGGGGAGAGCGCTGGTCGACGGGTTCGAGGGCTCGGAGCGACTTGGTTGGGCCATGGACTGTGGTGGTGAGGTCGGAGGAGGCGAAAGGGTTGGATTGGGGCTGATTATCGAATATTGGGGTATCTGGTCGTTATTTGATCATAGCGTGGGGTTTTCTTTTTGAGGATTTTCCCGATTTGCGTTGGGTTCGCGATTTTATCGGCACGTGACAGGAGCGATAAGGTTGGATCGCGATCGCATTTCAAGCAATTTGAATTAATATTGATTGACTTACCAGGGAGGGAGGGGGGTTGAGGGTCGATGAGTTGATTGTAAGTGTGGGTATTACATTCTCAATTCGTACCTATGGCTAAATAGCAATCGTACAGGCATACGCTATCCTGCATTCTGGAATAACAAAAAAGTACTACAGTACCAATGCGAACATTGCCGCTCCCCAGACACCATGCGAAGTACAGCGACAGGTCCATAAACCAGCTATGGCGAGCTCAGCTCATTCAGCAAAGCCTGGTCCAGCTCGCGTTGTTTCTCTAGGACTTCAATCCTATCCTGGAGCTGTTTGATCTCCTCGTTCTTTTTCTTTATCTGCGCCCAAGAGATCTCCCGCCCGCGGATGACCCCCTTCGTTCTCAAATCATGCTTGTTCAGTAGCTCGGCAACCTCCTCCTGCGCTCGGCGTGGCAGCACCGCATTATGGCTCTCGAGGATCTTCACCACCTGAAGCGCAAGGTCTGACGGTTCCGCCCGCGGATCGCCCGATAGCGCATTTTGGTATTTACTCGGCGTAGGAGTCATGCACAGCTCCGCCGAAGGTGGCGGTAACCGCCACGACTCAGACTGCGACCACACTGATTTCGGAGTCTGGGGGATATCGTTTTGCATATCAGACAGTTTGCGTTTGCCAGGTGAGGTGAACGAATCCGTACGGGCCGCCTTCCGTGGACTTGACTCGGATTCGAAGGATTCAGTCCCCAAAGTCGAGCTGGAGCTACCAGCCGATGCGAAAAGCCGGCGCGGCTTGCCCAATAATTTCCCCGGTGTCTCATCAAACGTATCATCCCATTCGAACTCAACCGAATCCTCAGACATCATTTTCGCCTTTGCACTCCGCGGTAGAGCTTGTGCTCCAGGGGGTCCCATCGCGGGCGCGGTGCGGGACAGTCGCTCGGTCTGCGGCGTGAGAAGCCCGGATCTTCCATAACCGGTTAATTTCGAAGGAGTTTGCGGGTCGATCGGTTCGGTGCGCGAGTTCGAAAGGACGGCTCTTTCTTCGCGAAGTTTGGCATCGGTTTCCCAGAGAAAGAATCGGCATTGTTGCGAAGGGGGTTTCTGGCATTTGTAAACTGCGATGTGCCCTACTAGTTAGTCGCTCATGGCTAACACCGCCCAATCTAAAAGGTCACCTTACACCACTTTCCGTGATTTATCCCGTGGTTCTTGGTTTGCAGTTTGACAGCAGGGGGCCGTCCGGAACAGTCACAGCGCCAGACCCCGTCGGCAAAGAGACCCCGCAATGGCACCGAGGTGCGCGGAGAAAAGCCTTTGGATGGGGACTCCTGAGGAGAGAGCATTTTGGGAAGGTGATTTGAGAGAGAAGCACATGGTGCGATCAAAGACAACTCCCCTGCCAACAATGGTCTTTGATATTTAGATGCGATGTCGCTATGGTAACTGCCTTCTTTGACAGGCTGAGTCAGCGGGGTGCGGGGCAGCTACGCTGGAAGAGGTCTAGCGTCCGTACTTAACCAGCAAACCTTATTGGCTAAGTTCCTTATGTCATCATGCTCAGTGGCCGATTGCTGCCTCAGGCATCAGATGCATTGCTTTATCTCTTTCTTTGTCTTGATCTATGAAAAGCCCATCGGACTATACAAATCTACTCCACGCTTTAACAGACGTCTCTCTTCATCAGACAATGCAATGCAGAGCACAAAACAATAAATCAGACAGAAGGATGGTATATGATGGGGTATCACAAGGAAACTACCGAATCTATTCTGCAAGAACCTGCCGCAGCATCATGCTGAACGAATCGGACAGCTTGAGTATCTCTTGGATTTCGGGCTTCACGGGTTCTCCAGCTGTGCGGCGGAGCTGATCCTGTTGCTTGCCCCGGCGTTTTCGTTCGGCGTTGATGGGGTCAAGGTCGTCCTCCTCATCGAGCTCCTCCGAGTTCTCCGATTCATCGTCAGAGATAGCGAGATCTTCCAAATCACCCTGAATAACAAGTTAGTATTGAAACAAGTAGCCACCGTAAGGTATGACATACCTCATCTAATCCAAAATCGCTTCCCCTGAACGTGGCGCCAGGGAACGTTTCATTTCCAGTGCCTTCAGCCGCCATCTTTTGCCGGGTCTTGTTGAGGTGCCAACGTTTACGATCCTCATGCCATTTGATCAAGGCATTGATCTCTTGTAACGCCTTATCCTTATCGATTTGCCCCACATCTTTAGCCCCATGCAAGAGGGCATTCATGTCTAATCGACCGCCTTGTGGCCCGTGGCGCAAGAAGTCCAGAATATCTTCGATCCACGCCATCAGAGAGCCGAACAAACCGTTGTCATGCAAGTGAACCTCATGCACAAACTTGTAGAAGCTACTCTGATGGCGTTCACAGAGATCGATAAAGGCCTGGACGGTTTGGTTCGGATCGGCGGACACGTCCTGTCGCTGGCACTTCTCAATGACAGCGATCGCATCGTCGGCGAACTGGGCAAAGTCCGTGATGCTGTTGTAGACATTGGCCGACTTGTATACTCGTACAAGAGGCTCGTAGAAAATGGTGAAGAGATCACGGAATAATTGAAGAGTGACCGGCTCTTCAACGATACTCAGCATCATGGCCTTATCGCGCTGTCGCGTATAGAGCTTGAGTAGCTGTTTCAAGTGAGCAAACCACTGAGCACCCTCGCGCATCTCTTGGTCAACATTCTCGACGGCAAAGTTCCAAGCAACGTACGCATTGAACACTTTGCCGACTTGTTCGGTGGTGATTTCCGGAGCGATATATTCGGAACGGAGGATGGCGACAATGAGATCCACGTCCTCCATAGCCGCCTCGTTGCGGATCTCATTTTTCACCGTTTCGTCGGCGTCGGTGAATGCCTTCAACTTCTGGCAGAGAACGGGGTCGTCAACTTTGGCGGCCAGTGCATCGATCGATTTTTGGAAGGCCTTGATGCCGTCATTCAGAGTCATCGAGAAAATGCGCTGCAGGAGAGAACGTGACCCAAACGGCTGGGCTAGGAAGAGATCTAGAACCCCAGTCATAACAGCGGCGGGGTTGGCGATACGGATCACGTTCTTCATCAAAGTATATGGGACAAGAGAGTGAATCCGCTTAAACTGCGCAAATAGTTCCGGCGAATTGTCTTCGGCTAAGAACAAATGGTACAGCGTGGCAGCAACCCTAGCTGTTGTTAGCGATCGCATCAAACATGGTCATCCTCGGCTGGAAGACGAACTCAATTCGAAGCCACTCAGCAAACTTCTGGTACTGGGGGCTGAGATCCTCTACTGTAGACTTCTCTCGAATCTCGGCAAAGAGCTTGGTCAAGCCATCTGGAAGGAAACAGTGCTGTTAGTAAAATGCATGATAATCGTTTGGGCTGCGGCACATACTGCTCTCCACGATGTCTCGGCGAAAGTTCTCCATGTAAACATCCAACTCAGCTGCTCGCTGTCTTGCAATCTCGTAGAAACGCTTCTGCTCTTCTATTCTAATGGCATCCGCTTCCTTGCGACGCTGCATGTCTATCATCTCTTCCTCATTTAGAGCAACAGGCTGCGCAGTGAGAAATTCTTCGAGAGCCTTCGATTCGGCCGCCCGTTTATTTTGCAGTAAGGTGCGAAGGAAGGCTCGGAGCGACACCCGCTGCTCTTCTCTGTATAGAACAGTCTCGCGAGAAACCTCGCCTGAGGCTCTCGGGGACTTGGGGGACTTCCCCAGTGCGGACCTCATAGACGACCTTGATATCGAACGATGAAGATTGTGGTTCCCGGGTGTCAGGTTTCTCGAGCTCGAGCTCTGGCTTTGGTTTTCTTCCGGAGTACTTGTACTCTGAGTGGACAACGACGATACGGAAGACGCATCGTCATCTGCCGAGGAGAAAAAGCTGGACGACGTAGAAGTCTTGTTCTTTCGTGGCAGGGGAGGAAGAGGTTTTCCGGGGAATTCAGTTTGCAGCCGTTTTTGAAGCTTTGAAAATTCGCCATACCGCCGGGCCACGAAGATGTCAGACTTCCCTTCCCGTCGCACGCGAATAATGAACTCCTAGTTCCGAACATTAGTAGTAGACCTTGGTGCGACATTGGTCAAGGTTGCTCACCGCATGCTGATGGTACCGTACTGTTCGTCTAACGGAAGCGACGCGCACCGCAGCCACATTGACGTCCCAGCCATGGATCGCATTCCCTTCAGGCATATTGACTAGAAGTCCTGACTCGTTGGCACCACGCTCGACAACCTCCATCTCCGAAAATTGTATCCGTTCTTCATATCCTGATGCTGTAGGGATACCAGACACCATCATCAGTTCAACGAGCTTCTCGCACTTCCTAGCCAGCTTTCGCCGTTTTGTCTCCTCCAATCTATCTTCCGACGACGAAACATTCTTCTTGGCGAAGGATTCAAGAAACTAGGTCCTTGACATCAGCTGCTGCGGGGCGAGGAGAGGGGGGAGGGGCCACACGCACCACCTGCAACTTGTCCTGCCAAAACTCCTTTTCGCGGGCTTTATCGAGAAAGGGGAAGTTCCGCACATGATGAACGAAGATATGACGGAGGATAGGGAGTTCTGAATCCACGGGCGCGACTTCGCCGAATTCCGACTTGAACGGGGCACCGAAGCGACGGAGGGCAGTTGGCGAGTTCAGCTCGGCGATTTCGCTCTGCACCTGGCGTGCGATGAGTTCGCGCTTCAGGTCTGGAGCCGTTAGAAATGTGACATTGCGCGCTTGAAAACAAAAGACCAACAATGTTCTTGCTTTCCCGTCAGGATTTGACCTGGCGGGGTAATGTTCTGGGATTCCAATGGAGCGCCGACCGACAGGCCATCGGAGCTCTGGGCAGGGTTCTCAGAGGTCATGGTGAACGACAGTTGCGTACGATCGCTCAACACCACTCGCCCAAACGACGGATCCTAAACTTATAAGGAAAAAGAAACCCCAAAGAAAAGAAAGTCCACGAGAGCCACAGTTAGTTAAAGATCGGGGACGGTTCCTGAGTACAGGGCAGAATCCGTCTGCCTAGTGGCGTAATGCGAAAATGACGTTGATCGGGCCAATGCCGAGATACGAAGGTGCTGGGTGGCTTCTTGGTATTTCCCAGCGTAGGAGGGGGAGAATGGTGCCGATCAGACGGAGGAAAGGAGGGCGGCTAAGGGAAAGGGAAAGAGGGAGAGCGAGAAGAGGACGAATCCGTGGAGATGAGTTGAGTTCAGTAGAAGTTGGGCAGTCACGGGAAGTCGATGATCGCGATATTAATCTTTCCCCTTCCGACCACCTCTTCTTCTTCCTCTCTTTAGTCTTTATAACTAAGACCACGCTAACACTCATAACATTTACGATGGAGAACCCCCCATCGTCAAAGCCACTCCTCCCTTTCTTTCTCCATACCCTCTTTCCCCCTTTGACGCGTCCATTGAGGGGGCTCAGCCCTGTAGCCCCGCAGGGTCGAGAGCGGATCGACAGCGATACTATTTATTGTTGGCATTCGCAAGATGATGCCTCGCCAAGTCCCTCTAGTAGAGTCAATATGGCTCAGTTCGACATGCGCCAAGTAGGCAGCCACCAAACGATGGTCGCTGCACCTTTCCCATTTTCATCCATCGATCGTCTGCAACAATTCCCCGTTTTCTGATAGTTGTGCTTTCTCCAATCTCACTCACCAGATGGCACCAACTAACATAGCCACTCTGGCCGCCCCCTGAGGGGAAGACGGAGTGGACCGAAATAGAAAAGGGTCACAACGGACACTGAGACTGACAACTGATAACTGAGTCACCTACAAACAGCCAAGCAAACAAACAGAAAAATCCTTTTGTGGGAAAGAAAGAATGTCCAAATTACTGGGCTCGTCGGCCATATCGTTTGCACCAATTCCGGAGGTCCTCTTGCCGATTCTACCCAGAGATACTGGAAATGGCCTCGTTCCGCGTCATGTTTCGTTCATCTAATGGTCATATGATAGAAACCTGAATTGGGAGCACTTGGGAGCACATGAGTTGATCGACTACATTTGATCACTCGTCAGTGCTAGAGTCTTCGGTTGCTCACGTTGACCTAATCGACCACAAACAACATGAAGCCAAAATCGGGCGAAGGCAACTTGTAGTTCGGGTGAATGCGTTGGTTGGCACCGGAATTCTCGTTTACCACGTTTTGATACTCGCGTCCGGAGATCCGTCTACCAACACATCCTGCCATCACATTCACATCATCGAAAGCCAGTATTACATGTTCACAAGTACCTGGTTTGGGCACGAAGGCCTTTGCCTAACTTGAGGGGTCCCTTCCTTCCAACTCACACCACTCTTTCCACTTAATAACCTAACCCATCTTCCTCCATCTCAAACATTTCCCCTCATCTTAGGCCAAGGACAACTACAAATTAAGCATAATGTTATTCAGCAGACTAAGGAGATCTGTGCGAATCCAAAAAACGAGTCACGCGACAAGACATACTGCAACGCATGCCACAGTTACGCCAAAACCCGACGAGCATAGGCCGAGCTTCGACTCCGCCTGGACCCTGACAAGGGACAGTAGCGTGGACTTATGTGAATGCAAACAACTGGGTATGGAGATTCTCCATACCATTGCCGGCATCCCCTCCTTCTCCGAATTCGAGACCAAAGAGTCCGGCTTGCTCTGCCTTGAAGATACGATCAGCCTGTTGGAAAAGATGAGCCTTTGTCCAAAGTGCTCCGAACATGAACATTCTCCCGACTTTCTCAGCATCCTCTGCAACAAGGTTCTAGCCCAGTGTCAATTGTTTCGCGGGTTCTTGAACGAGATGTTAGAACAGAAAGATCAGGAGGACCACCAGTCCCTTTTACAGCGGGACTACACAGTCGCCACAAGTCAGGAACGAATGAGTCTTCTCTGCTCACTTACCTACCTCCAAATGAAGAAGCTCCACGGTTGCGTGGCCCGACTAAATGAAAAACTTGAAGAGCAATCTACGTTCGACGAAGACTCCTGGTTAAACCTAAGGGGACAATGTTTCCAGCTGGCGATGGATTCGGCCACCCTCTGCTCGCGGGCGACTTATTTTAGGAATTCTGTGTTTTGGTGATATTTCGACGATTGAAATGATTTACGATGCGAATGTCTGGGCGTTCTAGGTTTGGTTTTCTAGTTTTGGTTTTGGTTCTTAGTTGTTTGTCCTCCGCGATATGGTTGAAATTGGTTGCATGGGCTCCATGGCGTTGAGGCTGTCTGGATAATCTGGAGAACAATTGGAAACGTCATAAAAGGTATCGGGCGGGGTGGATAAATGCTTGCATTTCCCATTTACACCGTAGAGTGGTATGAAGCTCTGGGCTCTGGGCTCTGGCATCGTAATAACCAGTCCGTCATCGAGCCAAGCAGCTATGCCGAGGTATGCGATGATAGTCGTGTGCAGCACTGCAACGACGGTCTATTGCCATATCAGACAACGATCCATATTACATGCGAGGTTGGCTTGATGAGTCTAACTAGTGTTGGGGCTCAGTAGACCGACCGGGGAAATCCTGATTGATGGCCGGGAACGGTGCTCAATAATGAGTCGTGAATAATGCCCGCAAAATAAGGCTGACTGCCAAGGCTTCGTCACCCTCCGCCTTTCCTCCTGTCGCGGCGTCTCACAACATCCCCAGCGTCCCTTTATAACGTCCGTGGTTCGACATGGCCCATTTCCCTTCGGTCTTGGGTCTCTCTCGTTTTCATTCTTATATACTAGAGGTCCATGAGCCTTAATTGCCACATCGCACCCACCTGCGTTCTGTCCATCGTGGCACCGATAATCGTCGAGCCTCGGCTGTACTCCCCTATCTCAGCTGCCTAGTCCGAGTTGTAATCCGATATCGCGCCATCATCGCTGTCGTCATAGCTGACTCTCATCAATTCGTTTTCTACATGTTATTCTGATCATAATGGCTAAGTCAGACGCCGATGAAAATACAGAGTTCCTCCCCATGGCTCGCCCGAGATCCACGTCGACCGCCTCTCAAACCTCCTCCGATTCGGGCCTTTCTGTCGAATCGTCATTCTTAGGAGAGAACAAACGCGATGCGACAATGACCGAGAATTTCAGTGTAGCTGAGGAGGCCAGATACCGTGATATGGAAGATGGGGATGCTGCGGCGGATGACCCGTTCCTCCCTGGATCGAAGAAGCCGACCACTTCAAGTCGAACCCGCCGGATATTCTGGGCTTTAATAATCCTCTGTGTGGGAGGCTGGGTGCTGGCTTTTGTGCTATTCCTCACCCAGGGTCGGTCGAAGTACCAGACCGCTTCCGATACTCTGCAACTGCACGAACCGGATTCCAACTCAGGGAGCACGAGCGCGGGGAAACCCGTGACGCTAGATCAAGTTCTCTCCGGTGAGTGGTCGCCTACGTCGCACTCCATTTCCTGGATTGCGGGGCCGGAGGGTGAAGACGGCCTCTTGGTGGAACAAGGCGAGGGTGGAAACGAATACCTGAGGGTTGAGGATATTCGCAGCCGCAAGGACGGTGAGGATACGCTGGAGGGAAGGGTGTTGATGCAGAAGTCCATTGTAAAGGTGGATGGGCATGCCTTTGTGCCTTCCAAGACCTGGCCGAGTCCCAACCTGAAAAAGGTACTACTCATGTCCGACCGGGAGAAGAACTGGAGGCATTCGTACATTGGGAAGTACTGGATCTTCGATGTGGACACGCAAACCGCCCAACCTCTGGACTCTAAAGTGCCTGATGGGCGAGTGCAGCTGGCAACTTGGTCGCCAACCTCGGATGCAGTCGTCTTCGTGCGTGAAAACAACATGTACTTGCGCAAACTGTCGTCGGAGTCCGTCATTCCGATCACTAAGGACGGCGGCAAAGATTTGTTCTATGGCGTTCCTGACTGGGTATACGAAGAGGAAGTGATCTCGGGAAACAGCGTGACCTGGTGGTCGAATGATGGGAAGTACATCGCCTTCCTTCGCACCAACGAGTCTGCTGTTCCCGAGTTCCCTGTCCAGTATTACCTGTCGAGGCCATCGGGCAAGAAACCTATTCCAGAGCTGGAGGACTATCCCGAGGTCTCACAGATCAAATATCCCAAGGCCGGAGCTCCGAATCCGGTCGTTAACTTGCAATTTTACGACGTCGAGAAAAACGAAGTGTTTCCCGTTGAGGTGGCCGACGACTTCGAAGATGACGATCGTATCATTTTCCAAGTGCTGTGGGCTACCGAGGCGAAGGTTCTCATCCAGGTCACCAACCGAGAAAGTGATTACCTGAAGGTATTCTTGGTCGACACCAAGACTCGGACGGGAAAGCTTGTCCGAGAACAAGACATCGCCGCTCTTGATGGAGGGTGGATAGAACCGGCGCAATCCACCCGGTTCATTCCTGCCGATCCCGGCAATGGGCGCCCAGAGGACGGATATGTTGATGCCGTGGTCCACGACGGATACGTGCATCTCGCCTACTTTACGCCTCTTGACAATGCGGATCCCGTCATGCTCACGACGGGTGAGTGGGAGGTCGTGGACTCGCCATCCGCAGTGGACTTGAAACGAGGACTTGTTTACTTTGTTGCGACGAAAGAAGCTCCGACCCAACGCCATGTTTATCGAGTGCAGCTGGACGGGAAGAACCTCCAACCTTTGACTGACATCTCGAAACCGGGATACTTTGATGTATCCTTTTCCGATGGATCTGGGTATGCGTTGCTCAGCTACAAGGGGCCTTCGGTGCCGTGGCAGGCGATCCTCAACACCCAAGGCGATCAGCCTATTCTCGAGAAGACTATTGAGGATAATCCTCAGCTCTCTCGCATGGTGGAGGCATTTGCTATCCCCACAGAAATTTACCAAAACGTAACCATTGATGGCTTCACGCTTCAGGTTGTCGAACGCCGCCCGCCGCATTTCAACCCTGCAAAGAAGTACCCTGTGCTTTTCTATCTCTACGGAGGCCCTGGCTCGCAGACTGTGGATCGTAAATTCGCTGTTGATTTCCAATCCTACGTTGCTTCCAGTCTAGGCTACATCGTCGTCACCGTTGACGGACGCGGCACTGGATATATCGGTCGAAAGGCCAAATGTATCACCCGTGGAAACCTAGGGTATTACGAAGCCTATGATCAGATCACGACTGCAAAGATGTGGGCTGAAAAGCCGTATGTTGATGAGGCCCGCATGGCCATCTGGGGCTGGAGTTACGGTGGCTTCATGACCTTGAAGACCCTCGAGCAGGACGCTGGAGAGACGTTCCAGTATGGCCTAGCCGTTGCTCCTGTCACCGACTGGAGATACTATGGTACATCTTACTCTTTCTGTTTCGAATGAGCCCTTACTGACCTATCTTACTTCAGACTCCATCTATACAGAGCGTTATATGCATACACCCCAAAACAACCCCTCGGGGTATGATAACTCGTCCATCACCGATATGTCTGCATTAGAGCAATCAGTGCGCTTCCTCGTCATGCACGGCGCCTCGGACGACAACGTACATCTTCAAAACACACTCGTGTTAGTCGACAAGCTGGACTTGTCCAATGTTCAGAATTATGACCTACATTTTTACCCGGACTCGGATCACAGCATTAACTTCCACAATGCTCATTATATGGTCTATAGCCGTAAGTATACATTCAGCTACACTTGGTAGTATCTTTCAAGGAAATGAGACTCACTCTTCTGATAGGTCTGTCGAGCTGGCTCATCAACGCCTTCAATGGCGAGTGGCATCGAACTGCCAACCCCGTTCCCGACGAATCGATGTGGGGGCGTATCAAGCGATCGATCCCTATATTCGTGCATTGACATCGGTTCATTGGTATTTATGGGGATGCTATATACTCAGATACATAAATCCAATCGGGTTAATAAATCATGATCCTGGAGTCAGATATTTCTTTCAAGCGTCGTTATCCATGGGGCAACCATTAAACGCGTACACATCACTATAAATATCTATAAAACAAACCAGCAGCAACCTTCATAGGTAACTAGAACAAATCCATGGCCGCCGGATTCTCGTAATCGATATTCTCCTCCGCACTCTCGATCCTCGCACTGCAAGTCCTAAACACCCGATCCCACACGCGCGTCTGCTTCCCATAGTTATGGCTCTTCTTCCACCCCTTCCGATGATGAAGGTCATGATCCTCAATCACCAGCTCGGCATCAAACATCCGCATTAGCCACGTCAACGGATTCGGCGGCGACGCATGGATTCGAAGACCGCTGTGCCCCGCCAGCTCGGCGAACAGCACGTACAGCTGACAGATGTACCACTCGTAGAAGCCCATCGGCAGGCCCATCAGACGCATCGTCCCCCACGTCATCAACGGGATACCCGCGATGTCGAAGAACTCTTGCTCTGAGTCTGCGTAGATGGTTAGGAGCGGGTTCGGGTGTTTCGTGAGGTGGTGCGTGCGGTGGTATTTCCAGAGCCCTGCCACGTCGTGCATCAGGCGGTGGTACCAGTAGTACCAGAAGTCGAGGATGATCCCGTATAGGCTGATCTCGAGGGGTAGGTATCGCCAATCCAGGGACGCAGGGGCCTCGTTGGCCCGGTACGTGAGAAGCACCATCATCAAGGGTCGCACGAGCCCTGCGAGCATAACGGATGTGAGGACCTTGCCGACCCCGACATCTGGTACGCCGTCGCGCTCGTGTTTATCGCCATCCAGGAAGCCATACTTGTGGCCCATTTCTCGCAGCTGGCGCAGTTCTCGCACCGTGAACACCCGCGAGGCGTAGTAGTAGTATAGGAAGGCAACGACGGGGTGGAAGTTCTGGCCCGTGAGGGCGACGTAGAGTTGGTGGAGAAGCAGTGGGATGCTGCCGTAGACGAGCACCCAGCGGTGGAGATGCCAGTCCGGGACGTAGGGCACTTTCTCGCTCTTGGAGTGCTTGGGCACTTCGCGGTCTAGATCGACGTGGTAGACGTTGGCCCATTCGAAGATCCGGTGCGGGAGTTTCCACTGCGAGCGGTCTTGTCGCCGCCAGGTGGACTTCATCGAGTCTTTGGGATTTGGATGGGTGCTCATCGTGTACGCTGCCTTCGGTGATGTTTTGGTTCTCGGTCTAGATAGGCGTTATTTGCATCTTCGATATCGGGTCTCCGAAGTGGGAGTCCCTTCATATAAATATAACTCATGCCTAGGGCCCATGACAGACCGCTCATTCAAATAAATCACCATGAACCGAGGTCATGCAGATCACTGGACAGGTTTCAATTGCTATTGCCTGAAGGACTAGAAATTTTGGAGCTGGCAGCCATTCGTTAAGGCTACGGACAGACCGGGTCACCGTTGAGACAGGCATCATAACGTTAAGCCTGTACATGTGATAAGACTGGAACCCGTAATGTAGTATGAGACTTGACCCAGTAAGCAGAAGAGTATCATTGTGGGCGAACACGAGGGGAGGGGGAGTTCCGCGGTTATCCCAGATCGCAAGGATATCCAAGGAGGGAATAGACTGGTCAAAAGCCATCCAAATCGATATGATCAAAGACAGAGACACCATCGGTCATTCGCAAGCCTTTCCCGGGCAGGAATAGTCCCAAGTTTCGGGCGCGAGTCGATCACCTCCACTCGATCCCCCAGACGGTCAGGATCCAAATTTGGGCGCTTTCTCAGCAACCTCGCGCAAACCGTATCTTCTGCAACATATAAGACCGACATGCGGCCATTCGAGGTGCTGAATGCGAATCGAGATCTTGGCGAGGTTCATGCACAGTGTGCAGACGTGCATCACTCAAGAGTCGAACCTTGAAACTGTACAAGGAACAAGCAGCATCAGTTCGTTGTAAAGTATATATTCGAGCGGAAACTAGAACTTGATGTCATTTGAGCTTCAATCGTGATGTGGTGATTATCTATTACTATGGAGAATCGACTTTTCATTTCTTTCTTTCTTCCAACCTTCTAGATATTCGATCAGATATATAATTGCCTTTTAAGGCAGTCTTTCTCTTATAAGATCCCAACCATCTGTTGTTGATCGTCAGCTTATCATCCATATACTTGTGGGCTTATACGTGTACACCATGACACAGTGCACCGAGTCATAGTCTTACCCAACGATGACCTTACGAGTTCCCTGTCTTTGTTGTAACTTTTACTCTTATCTATTGCATCAACTACCTAAGTACCACACACAATTTGTTTATGGGGCCGTCCTGTTTAATCTTGATGATCTAGATTCTCTGGTGGCAACGTCAGCAAGCCAATATCCAAATGTCTTACCTCACGGGCGCAGACTTGGGTGGAATCCCAGTACCAATCCTCTGTCATCGCGATCCCAGGAAATCCCCAGTCATAAAATTCCTCTTAAGTATTACAAGCCCTCGTCATGGTCTAAGGGATCGGCTGCCGAATGGTCTGCAGTATACGCCGGCGCATGAACCACAGAATTTTCCCACCCACCTGGAGGGATTCTTCGCGACTCAAAATCTATTTATTCGATGTGGACGTATCAGTTGATGATTATTAGATTGCATATGATTTACCCACAAGATGGAGGGTTATTGCCTTGTTATGACATGCATGACACTATTGAGCTTACGGTGCTGCATGAGAGATCCGGAAAGTACAGGCGACTCGGACTATTGGCAAGGAAAATGCATGAGGCTGCTGCCTCGAATCCAATGAATCGGTCATCGCCTGTGGATGGCAAGAGCATTCCTCTTTGCTCCCAGTTTCCCATCTCCTTCTCGGGGTCTAGTTTACCCTCCCTACATTCCAGCATTCCTTCCTCTTGCGCTTGTTCCGATCCGCGGAGGAAGACACTTATCAACATTGCATCGCCTCCATATTATAGACTATACGACCTCCAGTTTTTTGCTCCTGTTCGCAAGGATATCCTTCCATCATGCGCTTCCTCCCGGGGCTCGGTCTAGTGGGCTTTGCAGCGGCCCAGACAATCTCCCATCTGGACCTCTTCGACTATGGACAGCGCGGACCTATTCTAGGATCCTCCTTTGGTGCGCCAGGGAACGCAACCTATGACTATGTGATCGTAGGAGGGGGTACAGCCGGGTTGACTATTGCCAGTCGGCTGGCTCTAAGTCAATCGAACCTGAGTGTTGCCGTCGTCGAGGCCGGCGGCTTCTATGAGGTTGACAATGGGAATGTCTCCGTCGTTCCTGGATACGGAGCGCAGTTTTCGGGGCTTGACCCCAGAGACACCAACCCCCTCGTCGATTGGGGTGTAAACACCGTTCCTCAACGGGGCGCCGCCGATCGAGTCATGCATTACGCGCGTGGGAAAACACTCGGGGGTAGTTCGGCCAGAAACTACATGTTCTATCACCGACCCACGGTTGGAAGCATGCAGAAATGGGCCGACGAAGTGGATGACCAGAGCTTCGTTTGGGACAAAATGTTGCCTTATTATAAAAAGTCCACCCATTATACGCCTCCGAACCCAGCGCTCTTCGCAAATGCAACGAACGCATCCATTCAGGCACCGGACGCCTTTGACCCAGCCGGAGGGCCTCTTCAGGTTTCCTACAGCAACTTTGCCTCTTCTTTCGCCGGCTGGGTTCGCCGTGCCCTTGTTTCCGTAGGCCTACCGCAAATCGAGGGCTTCAACAGTGGCAAACTCCTGGGCTCGGGGTTTGGAACGTCCACGATCAACCCGAAGAACGCACATCGATCAACGTCCGAGGCCAGCTTCCTGCAAACGGCACTCAACAGTGGTTCCAATCTTGTGGTTTACAAGAACACCCTGGGCCAGAAGATCCTTTTTGATGAAGATAACGTGGCCACTGGCGTGCAGGTTTCGACAGCTGGCACATTCGGAACGCAACCCTTCACCTCCACACTCAGTGCTCGTGAGGAAGTCATCCTTTCCACGGGTGCCTTCCAGTCTCCTCAGCTTTTGATGGTGTCTGGTGTCGGGCCATGCGATGAGATTTCCGAGTTCGGAATCCCCTGCATCAGCGATCTGCCTGGTGTGGGCAAGAACTTGCAAGACCACGTCCTGTTTGGCCCCTCACATAGAGTGCACCTTGAGACAACGTCCGTATTCTCGAACAACGCAACCGCTGCGGCACTCGCCGTGCAACAATATCTGCAGGATGCCTCCGGTCGGCTCTCCATCGCTATTCCCAGCTATTACGGCTGGGAGAAGCTGCCGGAGCCGTATCGCTCACAGCTTTCCGATGAGTCCATTGAGGTGCTTGCAGACTATCCGGAGGATTGGCCAGAGGTTGAGTGGCTCCCTCTCGATTCTTTCCAGGGCGACAACTCCTTCAGGACTGGCCTAGACCCGGTAGACGGACATAATTACGCCTCGATTTCGGCAGGACTCGTGGCCCCGCAATCGAGAGGCACTGTTAAATTGAACAGCTCGGACATGAACACTCTTCCACTGGTTGATCCCGCATTCTTGGAAGACCCAACCGACGTCGAGTTGGCCATTGCCAGCTTCAAGCGTTGTCGCGAGATCTGGGGAAAGCTCGTCGACTTGGGGATTGCGGAACCGGAATACTATCCGGGTAAAAATGTCACAACCGACGAGCAGATCCTCGAATTCATCCAGCAAACCATGTCGACGATCTATCATGTGGCCGGCACCTGCAAGATGGGTAGTGAAAGCGATCCCATGGCTGTGGTCGACAGCAAAGCCCGGGTGTACGGCGTGCATCGCCTCAGGGTCGTCGATACCAGCGCCTTTCCGTTCTTGATCCCGGGGCATCCGCAAGCGACAGTCTACGCTTTGGCAGAGAAGATCGCGGATGAGATATTGAACGAAGAGTAGCTTGGAGATGAGACCTTGGTCGCCAGTGTATTAGCGCAGACTCATCCGCAGGATCCATAATCTTAATATTGTTAGTTCATGCTGTAAACATACCATGCGGCTCAAATCAAACATTCAATTGCAATTATAGAGTACAAAATGCAGTCAGTCTATATCTGTACATGCCAATCTCAACCCAAGTATAGGATACAAAACACCCTCTTCTTTTATAACAGATTTTCCATAAGGTTGTTCCTCAAATTCCTCGTGTTCACTTCTTCTGAGCCATCTCGGCATCCTCCACAACAACCGCTCCCTCTGCCAACAACTCATCGGCCGTCTTGACCTTCACATCCATGACCTTCAGAATGGTATACCGATGCTTGCTCTTCACCCGACGAATATGTCTCTGCCTCCTCTTCGTCTTCTCCTTGATCCGCAACGGCTCCGACTCCGTCCCCATCACACGCATCCGACACTCAAACAGCCGTTCATCGAGGTACGGCGCGCCACGCATCGTAAACTCACGCGAACCCAGCACACTCGCGCGGTTGAACCGCAGCACATCGCCGGGCTTGACCTTCGGCATCAAGAACGGGAGACGCAGCTGATCGCCCTCCGTGAGGAGGTAGGGCCGGTCGTGCAGATGGGCGGTCACGTAGTGCGGTCGCTGCGATGTCAGGTACGGCAGCTGCTCGAACAACGACTTGCTGATCTTCAAGGGCTCGGTGAATTTCGGCGGCCAGGGTTTCTTGCTGCGAGGGTCCGCGTGGGTTTGTGTTTCGATTGGGAGCACCGGGGAGGTCGATGTGCTGGGGGGTGGTGTGGTGGTGCTGGGGGGTTGCGTTTCGTGGCTGCTCGAGGCGATGGAGGTGATGGGGCGGGGGGCGGCGGACGTGCTGCGGAGGAAAAGGCCTTGTTGGATACTGCTGCTGATGCTGGTGCTGGTTGCTGGTGCCCTTCGGAGACTCTGCGAGATGGGTAGAGCGAAGGCTCGTGGCACCGCGGTGGCGCGGGAGAACATGGTGAGTGGGTGGATTGAGGTCTTTGGCGCGAAACAAATGGTTGAGATTAAGTGGCAGAAGTAATTGAATTCCGCGGCTGCTTGAGACCGGTTGAAAACCCGGGTTGCGCAGGATTGGGAGAGTTGGGTGTCTGGTGAAGGTGAAGCGGTTGCCGAGTCGAAGAAATTCCCGATGAGAAGGTCACGTGATGTGGCTGGTGGACTGGCGGTGCGGCTGCTTGCAGAGCTACACGATAGAAGTCGGGTTTTCTCTCAACGAACAAGGAATCTAGCTCGATTTATTACAAACCATGATCTTGATAGAAATTAGTTCCCGCTCAAGGACAGGGGTAAAAAACCCGTGACACCTGACCGATACCAGCCATATCGCGAACCATCCACAGAGTATGATATACCGTTTCCTACATGACTCCCAGGTCTCAGGTACTCGATAATAATTATTATATTCCAATATGCTCCACATATACCACCGCTGACTACAGCTTCCAATGCAACCCTGACGTATAAAACATCTACATGCAATGCTGAAACGCGATCACAAAACACCAAGTCCCCGTAAGCCAAAAAAGAGGGTAAATGTATAGATCCAAAGTGGGAATGAAGTGAGAAAAGGATGAAGAAGCACACAAAAGAGACCAATCCAAGTATTTAGGACTTGAACGCCGGATCATCGGATCATTCAGGATATCAAACGCATAGTAAACCAAGGGCTAAAGCAAGAAAGAATTACAAAGGAAAAGAAAAGGTTGAGTCCAGTATCGTCAGGAGTCTTCTTCCATGGCCGCTTTGATTTTAGCGAAGAACCCAGCAGGCCATGCAGCCAAGTCTTCGTCTTTGGGTACGCCCCGAACACGACAGTGGTTCACGACGTTGACGAGGATTCGGTTGAGCATTTCTTGAGTGATTGGGACAGTCCCCTCAAGCTGTGAATCAGGATACAAGAACGGGTCCCTTTGGCTAAGAAGCTCTTCCACGGTTGGTCGTAGTGTCTGGTCCCGCTGTAAACAACGCTTGAGCGTTCGAATCAATCCTGGGGGGACCAACACCCCCCCAACGCCGTACGACGGGAAATCGATTTTCACGTGAGGGTTCGGGATCGCAAGGATGCGCTCGTAGTATTTAGCGATTTTCGCGAATGGAGGTTGGCCGTAGACCATCTTGTAAAGTATACAGCCCAGACTCCATACGTCACTGGGTTTACCAAGCTTCATCACCTTGCCCACACTAGCTGGGAGACCAAGAGATGCATTCGAGTCGATCAAGGCTTCTGGTGACATGTAGTTGGGAGTTCCCACCTGCTGTTCGCGGTGCACATTGACCGTGTTATCCTGGATGGCATTCGCGATTCCGAAGTCAATCAATTTGAGTCTGCCCTGGACCAGCAGGAAGTTGGCAGGTTTGAGATCCGAATGCACGATGTTGTGATTGTGTACAGCCTGGACGCACTCGAGCATTTCCTTCCAGTAGTATCGGGTGAAATTAGTGTCGAACACGGCATCTTCCGCGTTCAGACGATAGGTAAGGATCTTCTCCAAATCCGATTCACCGATCTCCATGAGAACACTCAGCGTGTGCTTGTCCGAGTTCAGTTCCCAATCAAACAGACGAACCACTCGGTCGAGGTTTTCCAATTTCTTCAAAAGGTCAATCTCGCCCTTGTAGCCAGCCAAGGTCACTGGATCCACATCCTCCAGGTTGACCCTCTTCAGCGCAAAGATCTTGTAGTTCTCCGCCATGACACGGTACACACGCGAACTCCCACCACGGCCAATGCAGTCCAGCCGCGTAAATGGCTTGTGGTTTACTGACACTTGATTGCGCTTCCTGCGAGAATGAGAGGCTGTGGCCGCCCCTCCGGCTGTAGCCGTCTCGAGGACTGACATCTTGGGAGGAGGTGGTGCCGGCCTATGCGGCGTGTTGCTGCTTCTGGTGGCCAGAATCTTTCGCGGCGAATTTCCCGCCGGAGGGTCCATATTTTCTTTCTTCTCTTCTCCGTAAACAACGGAGGGTTTCTCGGGCTTATCAAGCATATTAAACCCTTGAGGCTTCACGCGCTTAAACGTTGGTGGTGGGTCATTTTCCTGGTCTCGGGCAGCAGGCAATGTGGGCGGCGGGGGAACCTTGAAAACAGGCTGTTGCTGTTGCTGTTGCTGTTCCTTCCCGCTCGGAGGCTTGGATGACATCTCCGAAGATGATCCTGGTGTTGTCTTGGAATATGAACCATATGACTTGGGCGACGAGGATCTGGAGTAGGGCGCATTTCCAGACGAGGTGCTGATCGGCTCCGCTCGGTGGTCCTCCCTCTGTGGCGGGCTGGGGTCTGCCCATGATATTTTCGGGGAGGATGATCTTGCTGTAGTCTTGTAGTTGTAGTTGTATTCATCGCCGTTGTCGGTAGGGTATAAGTCTGAGTCCTTCACTCCGTGCTCGGGAAGATAACTCTGCAGCTCATCGTTTTCTTCACTCTGGCGTCGCAGAACGCCGCGCCGCGCCGGTCCATTCAAAAAGGTGCCGGTGAGTCTTCCGACTCTTTTGACGCGCAAAGAGCTTTGGGCTCCGAAATCCTCCAGGTTGCGGGTACGGAGCACTGATGACGTGCCGATGCGAGGGGCGTAATCATCTTCATATCTCGTTTTACTCTCGCTCTCCGATCGTTCCGCACTTCCCTGTTCATCTGAAAAACTTCTTTCCGTCGATCTTTTCTGAGACGGCGATATCGATGCCGGGGACCGTGTTTGACTACGCGACCCGTTGATGCGCACACTGCGATGTCTAGGGGCCGGCGTAATGAAGTCCTCCGTTTGGGTTCTTGGTTCAGGTTCAACTTCTGCGTTCTCGGCGTTGGACAAGAGCGATCCTTCCCTTCGCGATCTGGCGCTGGGGGCCAAGGCGGGTGCGATGCGTACGACTCGGGGTGCCGGGCTCCCATTAGATTGATCAAGGGGAGACGCTGTGCGGGATCGCCTTTCTTGACTTGTCACGGCGGATCCTGCACGTTCGCTCGAGTAGCGATGTCCCTGACCGCCATTCTGGAGGCGTGGGGAAGTCTCCAGGCCGTCTTCGTCGAGAAGCGCCTTCACCGAAGCACTGAACTTGGGCTCTGGGACTTCGTCGTCGGAGCTATCCCCAGCGGAATAGCGCTTCGAAGCCGACGTACCATTGTTTCGAAATGCAGCCAGGTTTTGGAGTTCTGGTGAATTGCGCCTGGAACCGGAGCGAGAGATCGACGAGGCGCGGGACATTTGTCGGGAAGAAGGTTGTCGACGCAGGCCGCTAGTATAAGCTGCAGAGAGAGAATCGGGGGAAACCATTATCGCAATTCGGAGAAAGACCGCATGGACGTGTCCGCCAATGCGTCGGTCCCAAATCCCAGACGGTAAGGGGAGGGCTGGCTGTCGGAGGTTAGTCGTCGAATTGTTGTATGCTGTTAGTTAGTTTTCGCCCCGGCAAGAATCAACATCGCGGGTGGCTGGGAAGACCGCCTGGTCACGTGATGGCGTCTATTGCTACGGCAACCGCTCGAGTCACAACAACAGACCTCCACCTGTCTCTCTTCTGTCATTCGGATTATGCGCAGTCATATCGCCGGAGGGGACTAATCAGGATTGCTACTGACAGGTCAATTCAACTCACTCCACTGCACCACTGCATATTGTCACGTCAAAGACCTTGTTTCGAATGGTTTTCAGTCTGGAGGGGATCGGTGTGTCACTGTCCTGGGCCTACTTCCACCCGAGATATATATTAATGATTACTCAAGGTTGGGTGTGTCACCTAGATTACCGAGTATAAGAAACGAGGACGCTCAGAAAGATTTACCCCAACAACTCTCGTTAAGGCAAACTTGACAGCAGGTGCCCGTCAGACAGTCGCACCAGCGACCAGTACTCTCACTCTCTGGCTGAGAGTTATCCGTACCACTTCCCAAAACACATTTCCGGGCGAAATTGGGGCGTTACATCATTGATCATCTCTCCCGACACTCTACTGAGTACGCCACTAACGTTTTCCCCCAGTGATCGATCTCCGTCCAACGCATGGAGCAAAGACGATGAGCCAGCTAGACTACCGGACAATGTGTCTTGCTCGGTATGTTTTGCATGGGCACGACCGCAATGGCAATGGACTCCACAATATTGCTCCGATTCTTCCTCAAATCTCAAATTCTACCAACTTGGTCGTCCGGAGCCACATGGACCGAAGTGGCTGAAGACCATTGGAAAGCTATTATTGTCCGCAACCCACGAGGACTAATGATTAGGGTTCGCTCTAATCCGTATAATCTCATCTCTACATCTTAAATACAACGGAGTATGTCTCGTGATATCCTGAAGTCGAACCGACGAATGCATCCAGGCCTTCCGAAGTTCTCCCGTATACCTCCGTAGCGCTGGAGGCAGCTAACCGGTCCATCCGAATGTCACATACCCTACGGTAAGGTGCACATACAATGGCATAGATGGCACGGAGTATTCGGTAGGATGCAGATAGTTAGATGGTAAACGTGCTCTAACTGTAAATTTGATATAGTAATTAGTATGCTTCATCCTCAAACACCGACAGATGTCAGTCGGGCGCTGGCACTTGACATCACCTGACATTGCCCCGACTCCTCCCTTTCTTCCTTTCCATCGTCCTTCCGAGTCCTTCGACTCCTTCGATTTTGCTAAGTTTGCTGCTCATTTTCGAGTCGGTCAAGGGTCGACCTTTCTCTCCATCCAATGAGGTGTTCCGATCCATAGGCCGAAACACTGGCCAACTCTATTCCAATCCACTCATTCTTTTCCCATCACTAGTCGAGTTTGCTCAAATTAGAGATCTTGAGACCTAGCGTCGAGCTACGAATCCGCTCTTCGTAGGGCTAACTATCGCAGAACCTCCGTTTCCCCTTCCAGAGTCGAGATCTGACTTGGTAAGGGTTGTTTTTTCTTGGGTGCCACTGCGATCTCGCTGGGAACGGCCTTTGGGTGCCTCGCTGGGTGGAAGCGGGCTGCTCAGGCCACTCACCGTCACATACAGAGATGTGGAGTTGCAGGAACCATGGCTTCAAGCCAACTAGGCCAGGAACGCTTGTTCGGGCAGTGATCTCCACCTCCCCCGGTACCTGAATATCAACCATTGTCAATTTAGCAACTATCGGCGTGGGCAGATTCGAAGTCTGGATTCTAGATTCTGGACTCTGGTCCCTGGACTTCTTAGCAGCGACCTGGATGCAGGTTAGTTTGCGTTGGTATGTGACTCGGCACGACTACTGAGGCACTGACTCGAAAAGTCAGCCATTCCGCCCATCCAGTGTTTGTTGTGCGGTGGGCCGAGGACGTGATGGCTTCCGTGCTCGTCCCTGACTAAAATCGACTAGTGATTTAGACGCATCCACTTAGCTCTCCTTTTCCACCAAAACCGCCCCCCTGTTTTCCACTCCAGGCTCTCGCTTTCCGCGTCGACCGGAGAGAAGGGAAAAAGTACGGATAGACCGGGGTTTCATCACGCCCAGGCAAACCCCAGCCTTTCTTTGATTGAAGGCTTGAAGGAGGGTGTTCGTCCCTGAGAAATGACAATTTCTATAATTGGATTCTAATGCCAGTTTTCTGCGGCAAGCCGCCCATCATGACGAAATGAGATCGTACTCGTTTGCGTACATACTGAGCAATGCCGTCATCACGGGGATTGTGGAGGAAGGGCTTCTCCCTGTTCATGCCAACAGGAATACAAGGAAATCATGCACTACGGCAGAGATACTGCGATCTGCCCCAATGCATTTGTCACCTCACATGCGCCCTTTTTGTTGCCTCCACCAGCCTCACATCTGCGCTACATTTCCATTAAACACGCCTTGAGTGAGAAAAAGCAAAGCGACCAGGGAAAATCGCAAGAAAAATTTAATCTTCGATAAAAAAAATCAACCTAAAGCATACGAAGTACATGGAAGAGCAAAAAGGCAAAATCAAGCTATCACAAAAGCCCATGTTTCAGGATATCTTTTTTTGGGCTCCAGGGGAAGGCAACCTCTGGAGTCAAGAAAAGTTGGGACAAAACACCGGTCATGATGATCATCCATGGGTCGACTCGGCAACAGACCGGACTCTACGATTATCCTGATCCCCTTCCCAATAGGGATTGGCAGACCATCTCATTATTGGCTCAAGTCGAAAGCAAAGCCACGATCGTTGCGGTTGGCAGACCATCCCCTGGATGCAGTTGTGCTACCCTGCGGAATGTTTTCCATGCTGACTTTACTGCACGAGCTCCACTGTCATCCACAATGCTTTTCTTCCCCTCTCCTGATTTTGATATGGCTTGGCACGGATGGTCCATGAATTGGGAGTTTTCAAACCACACTATTTTGCCTCCGGCGGAGCATTTACCAGGGGATTGAAACGCCCAAGGGGGTGCTTGCACTGCTTGGTCAATTGACCAAGACAGGCTAATGCTTCTCGCATGGGGATTCATGTTTGCAGGTTACCAAAAAAGTCCTAGGTGGCGGACCCATAGAGTGACCCGCAGTGCTCGGAACTCACACCTTCCCAGTTAGCAAGCTCCGTTGCTTGAAATAGTATTCTCATCCCGGTTGGACTGTTTCGAATGTTCCCACCATCAGCGTTAGCCTGATATCATTTGCCTTTCGAGTTTCCACTGGCAGCCGACGCTCCACCTGGCTAGGTTGGCCTTGAAGATCCGGGTCTTCGATCACAATGGCTCCTCTGCTCCAATCGTGGAATCCGGACAGAGGGCTGGAGGCTCCATCGCACGAAGGCTGTGGGCACGGGGGAAGAAACCCTCAGGGGTATATAAACCTCGCCGAAGATCACCTCTCCGGACAGAACGTTCAAGCCTCTGTCAATCGCTTCATTTTGGTCTCGTCCTGTCGGCGGACCTGTCCTTCTTTTTTGTGTTTGTTCGATTGAATTATTTTCATCAGTCTATCGTTAAACCGTTTTGGCTGTTTACGGCCATAATACTTTCCTTTCTTTTCCCACGGTTACACAGTCATTCCCTGACATCTTGTTGACTTAAAAACATTTCTTTTTCCTTCTACGCATCATGCGTTCCAACAACCTTTTGTTGCTCGCCAGTTTGGCGAGCTACGGTGTCGCTCTTCCCACTGCTGACCTGGAATCCCGTACCTTCGGTCTCATCCCCGGTATCGTGTCTGGTGTCGCCCATGATTTGACCGGTCTCATCGGACTTCTCCTCGGCGACGGTGGTCATACTCCCGCCACCATCCTTTCCGGTATCAGCGCTCGGGCAGCTGCGGCCCTGGAAGGTGGTGCTCTGGGATGCAAGGCCGGTGACATCCATGCTCATGCCCGTGCTGAGTTGGCCGCCTGGGTTCGCGCCCACGCGGACCTTCACCTTGAGGCCTCTCTGAAGACCGCCCTTTTGGACTGGTGTGACGGCGAGGAATCCGCCACTCTGTCTGTGGGCACCTGCGCCGGTCTCTCGCTCTTCATCCCCACCTGTGCCGACATCGCCGCCAAGGGTGATCTGTACGTTACTATCGACGGTATCTTCTCCACCGCCGAGCTCGCTGCCGAGGTCGTTCTCAACGCCTCTGCCCAGACTCACCTGTCTGCATTCATCAAGGGCTCCATTGGTGCCGCTCTTGATGCTAAGATCAAGGCTGGTCTTGGCCTTTGTGCTGGTGGCGGTGTTGTCACCGACCTGTCTGCGGACATCAAGGCTGCCCTGAAGGTCTGGCTCCACGGCTCCGACTGCTCTCTGAGCGCCTCCCTGAAGGCCTCCGTGATCGCCTGGTTGGAGGGCAAGCTGGAGGGCGAGGTCGTTCACCTGGGCTCTCTCCCCACTGGTGGAGTTGCCACCATCTCTGCCGGTGCTGCCGTCGAGGCTCTTATCGAGGAGAGCGGTGCTCTTTCCGCTAGTGCCCAGGCCTCCCTCGCTGCCTTCCTCAAGTCCGACGTCTCCGCCGGCATCGAAGGCGATATTGAAACCGCTCTCAACCTCTGCATCAAGGGAGGCCTCGCCTCCAGCCTCGACATCGAGGTCCGCACTGCTTTGGCCACCTGGCTCTCCGGTTCCAGCTGCCGTCTTGGAGCTGAACTCAAGTCTGTTCTCATCCTCTGGCTCTCGTTCGCCGTCTCTGGTGAAGTCTCTATCGACATCCACAGCGGCATTATCTCCGAGCTCACTTCCTTCCTGGAGGGCACCGTTGAGACCACCCTTGGTGGTAGCATCCGTGGTATCATCTCTCTTCTCATCTCTGGCGAGAGCTTCATCAACCTCTCTCTTGAGGCTCGCGCCCAGCTCGTCGCCATCTGCGGTGGTGCTGCCAGCGTTGAGATCGACAGCCACATCCAGCTCATTCTCATTGGCATTATCTCCGGCTGCGACACCGGTGCCGGTACTGGCACCAACACCGGCTCTTCCTCCTCGGGTGTTCCCAGCATCCCCGCCGTTACTCCTTCGGGCTCTTCTCCCGTCATCCCCGGTGCTTCTTCCACCGCTGGTGTCCCTGGAGTCTCTACCCCTGGTGTTCCCGAGGGCCCTGCTCCCACCGGTACCGCCCCTGCTGGCGGTGACGTCCCCTCCGGCACTGCTCCCGTTGAGGCCACCTCCACCCCCTGCGACACCCTGACCTCCCAGAACGTTGTTCCCATTGTCACCGGTTCCGAGAGTGTGCCCACCGGCACCGCTCCCGCTGAGCAGCCTGCTCCTTCTGGCACCGCTCCTTCCGGTGGTGATGTCCCTGCTCCTTCTGGCACTGTCCCTGCTGGTGGCAACGTTCCTTCCGGTACCGCCCCTGCTGGTGGTGATGTCCCCGCTCCCTCTGGCACCGCCCCCTCCGGTGGTGAGGTTCCTGTCCCTAGCGGTGGTGCCTCTACTACCCCTTGCGACACCCTGACTTCCGAGACTGTCGTGCCCATTGTCACCGGCTCCGAGGGTGTTCCCACTGGTACTGCCCCTGCTGGTGGTGAGGTTCCCGCTCCTACCGGCACTGCCCCCAGCGGTGTCAGCCCTACCGACTCCGTCAGTGTTCCTGAGGGCCCTGCCCCTACTGGTACCGCTCCCGCCGGCGGTGAAGTCCCCGTCCCTAGCGGTGGTGCCTCTTCTACCCCCTGTGACACTCTGACTTCCGAGACGGTTATCCCCATTGTTACCGGCAGCGACTCCCCCGCCCCTACCGGCCCTGCTGGTGGCGAGGTCCCCGCCCACTCCGGCACTGTCCCCGCCGGTGGTAACGTTCCCTCCGGCACTGCCCCCGCTGGCGGTGATGTTCCTGCTCCTACTGGTACCGCTCCCGCCGGTGGTGAGGTCCCCGTCCCCAGCGGTGGTGCTTCCTCTACCCCCTGTGACACTCTGACTTCCGAGACTGTTGTCCCCATTGTCACCGGCTCTGAGGGTGTGCCCACTGGCACCGCTCCCGTTGAGCAGCCTGCTCCCTCTGGCACTGCCCCCGCTGGCGGTGATGTCCCTGCCCCCTCTGGTACCGCCCCTGCTGGCGGCGACGTTCCCTCCGGTACCGCTCCCGTTGAGGCCACCTCCACCCCTTGTGACACCCTCACCTCGCAGAACGTTGTCCCTATCGTCACCGGCAGCGACTCTCCCGCCCCCACCGCCCCTGCTGAGCAGCCTGCTCCTTCCGGCACTGCCCCCGTTGGCGGTGAGGTCCCCGTTCCCAGCGAGGGTGCCTCCACTACCCCCTGTGACACCTTGACCTCGCAGAACGTCGTTCCCATTGTTACCGGCAGCGACTCTCCCGCTCCCACTGCCCCCGCCGAGCAGCCTGCTCCTTCCGGCACTGCTCCCGCTGGTGGTGACGTGCCCGCCCCCTCCGGCACTGCCCCTGCTGGCGGTGAGGTCCCTGCTCCCAGCGGTGGTGCCTCCACCACCCCTTGCGACACTCTGACTTCGCAGAACGTTGTCCCCATTGCCACCAAGACCGATGCTCCCGCCCCCAGCGGCCCCACCGGTGTCTCTCCCGAGATCACCACGGCCCCTGTGCCCGCTGCCAGCTCCGGCCCTGGCCCCAAGGTGGTTACCATCACTACCACCGTCAGCGTCTCCGCCTGTGAGCTCTAAGCTCCTCAGGCCGAAGCCCGGGATAAATTACGAGATGAATCGCAATGCAATGGCAGAAATGGTGAATATACCTGTACATAACTAATTCTAATTCTAATTCTTCAGAACGTGTTTCCGAACTCTTCAATATCAAAGAGCCAATATCAAACTCATTACTTGGAACGCGTGACTTGTCTGAGGATCATGTACTGTTTTATATTATATTTCACCTATTTTGGTTCTTTTTCTTGATTCCCCCTTCAATGGAGTACATTCCTTATCCGTTTTTAATGGGATTCAGAGATCTTTCAATGTACAGTACTTGGACTAGACTAGAAGTGTGGTTCCAAGTAATTAAAAGTTCAACGGCTCTAGTCATGCTACTTGTATCATTGTAGACTTGTCTTCATAGCTTGACCAGTACCAGTAGACCATCTAAACTTGATTCAATTGTCCCAAGTCAAACCAAACCCAGTGCAATCGATCACTACCGAAACGGGTAACTAGTTAACCATATGTCCCTCTTTACTCTCCCAGATGAACACGCTAAGTTCAAACAACCACATGAATACAGAATACTAATTAAAACCGCCTAGGTCTTCAATGCAGAGACCGAGAGGAAGGAAGCAAGGGAAAGTCCCCACGAACCTAAATAAAGCAAACCAAGCTCTCTTACTCCGTACTCCGTACATAGTAACGAATCCTTCTCGCTCGTCTGACCTAATCGCTGATGTGTCGCGGTCGATCACAATAATCACTAACTGGGATCCAACGTTGGGTGGATTTTCTACCGAAGGATTACTGATCATCGCTTGTCAGAATGAAGATCGTAAAATAAAATAAAATGTTCATATTCTACGGTGTACGTGTTGGTACTTGGTTCTCTACTGAGTAGGATCTACGGGGCGGATGGAAAGGGGGAGTGGAATTGATTCCGTCCTGTCGGTCGGTCTACGTAGCTCGTAGTAGGTACGTGATGATGGGTCAGGACTTTTTGACGTTCATGTCTATCATCAAATAATCAGGACAATTTTTCGAAATTTTTCGACTTTGGCGGCACTTGATAGCGACATTACTTCCGTCTTCCGTCTTTCGGACTATTGATGACTGACGTTCTCATGTGGATGGCACTATGGAGATTATACTGGGGTCGAACCGTTATTGACAATCGATTTTCTAGCCATGTTCACCAATCATCATCCCGTTGACTCCAGTCTAAACTGATCTATTGGATATTGGACTGATTTTCGGTCTTCGTGGATCGTCATTTGTCCCTCGGTTGACTGTTGATTTAGTTCTTCAGTAGGAGAGACACGGACAAGGAGAGGGAGACTAGGCGAGGGCCGTCTAACTATTTGACTTTAGAGGAACCATGGGATGATCTTGGGGTTATTTCGCTTCCGGGGGGCAATAGTTAGGATACTAGGGAGACTAATGAGTTCTCCGTTCAACTTTACTTCCTGTATATCGACAGCGGTTTAGCTAGATATTCAGGAGTTCGTGTATAGTAGCTGCCAAGTATTTAGGCAGACTGGACTCATAAATACAGTGTAGCTATTGAAAGGTGAACCGAGAACAAGATCGAAAAATTGGGATCAGTGATTCGAGATAACAAGATCACTCACTACATAGATGGCTCAAGATTGAAAAAGGAAAGAGAACTAGAAGAACATTGCTGCAGATGTACTGTTCATTGTGCTGATACACCCCTTTTCATTTGATCATGGGTGTTTGTATTTTGAATTTTCGCTAGTTTTGGGCACAGAATTCAAATCAAAAGTCAGATAGCTGACTGGGACCTTCCTGGCCGGAATATTTGACCATTTTCATGGAGCGAGTAGCCGAGTGAAATCCCAGGTGGTCGTGAGTGTCCCTCCGTTCATCCACTGCAAAGAAAACTACCTACTTCGATGGCTTCAAGTGGCTACCTACCTGGTCAGTGGAGGCGTTTCGTCGCATGGCAACCAGCTTTTCGCGAAGAAGTTTCTCGCGCAATTCGGTGCGAGAGATACGGGCTCGAGTAGTGGTAGTTCGATTCTAAGAGTTTATCCGATTAGCCTTTTGAACAGAAGCTCTAGGGTCACGGAAGAGTAGATTGTGGACGATGTTGGGACACACATCAGGGTCATACATAAACATTATTATCTCGGCGTGTAGAGTTTAGAGAATAGAATACCTTCGAAAGTTTTTATTCACCCACCTCTTCGGTATCCTTGGGCTTTTGATCCGCCGAGCTTGTTTTCTCAGGCGGCGGAGGCGAGGCCGAGCCTCGTGCGGAGGGTTCTTCCTGATCAGTCATCCTCTGTCGTTTATCACTACGGACGGATACGGAAGAGGTGTTACGACGACGTCGAGCGGCAGGCGCATATCGTTGTAGAGAACGACGTCGCTTCCTGTCTCTAGGGCCACGGCTGCGGCTGCGGCTGCGAGTTCGACTGCGACTCCGACTGCGCGAATCTCCTCCCCGCCTCGGACTAGAACTGGCAGTGCGAGAACGGCCTCGACTGCGACTGCGACTGCGGCTGACGCTTCTGGAGTATCGACGCCTGCGGTGGTCGTCGCGCTCTCTGCTGCGACTCAAGCGGCGGTGGTCACGGGACTTGCGGGCCTTTGCAATATCAGCGGGGGATTCTCTCTTATCAGCTCGTGAAGAATAAGGCGAAGATCTCCTCCGTCTAGCGGCGCCCTTATCCTCCGACTCTAGTGGCGACCGGGATCTGGACCGGGATGAACTGCGGGAAGACACGGATCGGGGTCTCCGTCGGTCTCTTCTGGGAGAACGTGAGCGCGATGAATCACTGTGGGAAATGGATCTAGCTCGATCACCGTAAACCGGACTGCGCCTTCGCGGCCTTTTGTGGCGGTCCCCTCGTTCCGAGGAGACGGAGCTGCTCACCGACCGGCGGCGTCTGGGTTTGTCTCTGTTCCTGTGTCTGTCTCTGTCTCCCCTGTCCCTGCTTGCGTGGCGCTGCCGACGAGGAGGGGGCGACCGAGACGAAGATACCGATCGCGACCGCGACCGCGACCGACTGGGCGATCGTGAAGGGTAGCGACCGCGACGGGGACCCGAGGGCACGTAGGAGTCGAATTCGCGGCGAGCGGGCGGCTCTCGGAAACGCTCTCGACTGTGCCTCCGCGGCGGAGACCGACGTCTATCAAAGTCGCGCCCTCCGCGGGCCCCGCCCCTTCGGCCTCCGCGGCCGCGATCGTTGCGCTCTCTTCTCCGCAGCTGTTCCATTTCGCGTTCTCGTGTACGCTCTTGTTCTTTCTGTCGACGAGCCTCTTCCGCAGCTTTCTCCGCTTCGATCTATGTAGGGGCAACGGGGTCAGCATATCCAAACAGGCAGGGAACCAGAAAAAAAATACTCTACCTTCTCCTGAATGAGTTCCAGCTTCTTCGCTTCCAAGAGCTCCTTCGGCACGCCCTGAGGGTTCTCCTGCGCACTCAGACATAGAGACCAAAGCTCCTTGCAGAATTTCGCCGTATCCTTATCCAAGAAGCCCGTAAGCTGGATTTGTAGGGACTTGACATCGGGCTAACAAGTAGACAGAACGCATAGTTAGCGCAATCCACAACACATGAACACAGAAACCAGACCCCTGTTAGGAAAGACATACAAAGCGGGACCCCTCCAGCAGATTAAAGCACAGCTCAATCACGACGTCATCTTCATTGCCTAGGATATCCGAGATTTTGCCCGCAATCCATCTGTGGAGCGTTATCAACCGTCAGTAAGATATTTCCTTCGCCCACCTCTGGTTGGGGAAAGCTGCGACACTCACTTCTTCATAACCTCGATATTGACCTTGGTCATGTCCACCTTCCGACTGAACTCGGGAGGGAACTTGGTCTGCTTCAGCAGCTTGGCATCCACGGTAGTCGCCATGGTGTGTTTGCCCTGCCAGCCAGATGGGAGATAGTTATAATTTCCAGTAAACAAGGTGACGCGTGAAAAGCCGGTGGAGAAGAAGAATGACTGATCGCTGGACAGGATTCGGAAATTCTTCGCTTTGGCTGATCGCGCCGGACGAGGCTGCGCGGCTGGTCGGAATGCCTCACCGCACTATATCGGAGATCGGAGGAACTGTCCGCCCGGGATCTGGGATGGCTTCAATCTTGCCTGTTTGGGATTGTTGATCTGCTTAGACAGGATGAAATACACAGGTCTATACTCTCTACGGTGGACAGAGGGGTAGTCATACAGAGTTTCAGAGTATAAATAGCTCATGCAGGGACTGGCTAGCAAGCCACCAAACAAACATCATAACAATAGGACCTACCACGGCAAAACCACGAATCAAACCCAACACCGAAAAACAGACACCCAGTAATTATACAAGCATTATACCGACCAACAGCAACTGTCAAGACCATATCTACCTCCCCAGGTCTCTCAATACCCGGTCTACCCCCTCCCTCGCCTGCGCCAACTCTCCATCCACCCGTCCATCGGCATGTCGCGCTTTGATCTCATAATGTAATTCTACCAGCTCTTTGGCGCGTCGAAGGTCCTCGTCGGCCGAATCGCCGAGGTTTTCATCCTTCGAAATCCCGGAAGAAGGATGCTCGGAGGGTATTCTCGAGGCAGAGAGTCGGTCGTTGACGGTGACTAGGGCGAGAGCGTCATGGTGGTCCTAATTTCGTCAGCTGAATGGGTTTGTAGGTGATGCGTGTGATGAAGTCGTGGACAATGTGCCTGGCCAAATAACGAGATGATTATTCGCGCAGAAATTGTGAAGTATTAGACTCCATGTGACATGACAGGACTGCGGGGAGTGGGACATGATCTACACGTACACAAACTCGTAGGGACGTCAGATCGGATAGGATCTCGGCAACTTGCATGGCTCTCTAGGGTCTGGACTCGACTCGAGTTGGACTTGGGATTCAAAGATGTGAGTCAATTGACGCAATGAAGTGCTTCGAGGAGGAAGACTGCGAGGGATGCAGGGGTGAGACCAAGCGCATGTATCTGTAGTGTAGTACAGACAATGATTAGTGACGTAACGCCGTCAGACGAGCTCAAGTCGCAGCCCTGCTGCTACAGCATTTCTATTACACATTCCCCCACACAATCCTACCTAGACATATCAACACATCGATCAAGAGTATATCTACCTCCTCCATCGCAATGACCGGCAAACGCGCCGAGTTCGGAGAAGCCGACCCCAACTCCGCAAATCGTCGCGGGCCAGCGTCCCGGCGCATCGGCTCCCTTCCGACGCTCTGCCCTTTAAATTCCCGCCTTCAGTCATCGCTCGTTCCTCCTCCCCTCCGCACTCTCCACTCTCCCCAGCCTCTGACCCCGACCCGGACAATCAATTGAATAAACACAATGGCGGCCGCTTTCAAGGCTCAATGCCGCAAGGTCATTTGCATCGGTCGCAACTATGCGTACGTGAAGTTTTCCTAGGAGTCTTGTCCCCGCGGAGTTCAAAGTTCCCCGGCTAATCGCAACTCGTTCGTCCGCAGCGACCACATTACCGAGCTTAACAACACCAAGCCCAAGCAGCCCTTCTTCTTCCTGAAGCCGGCTTCCGCTATCCTGTGTCCCGGCGAAGGCCCCGTGCTTCGACCCCGCGGTACGAACCTGCACTACGAGGTGGAATTGGGTCTGGTGATGGGCAAGACCGTTCGGGATCTGGACCCGAACGACGAGAAGGGTGCCTTGGATGCGATTCACAGTCAGTGCTCCCCGTTTCTCTTTTAGTACTCTGCACCTATGCGTTATGTGCGGCTCTTGAATTGCCGTGCTAATGGGTTTCTTAAAACCTAGGCTACCTCCTCGCCATTGACATGACGGCGCGCAACGTGCAAGACGAAGCCAAGAAGAAGGGTCTCCCCTGGTCGATCGCCAAGGGCTTCGACACCTTCCTGCCCATCTCGCAGCAGATCGCGAAATCGCGCATCCCCAACCCCCACGACGCCTTCCTGCGGCTGAGCGTCGGTTCGCAGCAGCGCCAGGCCGATTCGACCAGCCTGATGCTCTACCAGATCCCGCGCCAGCTGGCGGAGATCTCGCGCGTCATGACGCTGGAGAAGGGTGATCTGGTGCTGACGGGAACGCCGAAGGGTGTGGGGGAGGTGAAGTCGGGAGATGTCATGAGGGCGTCGATCGAGGTGGATGGAAAGGAGATTGAGGAGGGCCGTATCGAGGTCGAGGTTAAGGATCGGGAGGGTCGGTATGTGTATGGTGAGACTTAAGAGGTCTTGACTGGGCACTGGGATTTAGTTATGATGCGCGTGAGTAAATAGAGTTATATACGTATATACATACCCTTGCAATGCAACAAAATTCATTAGACGAATGCTCATCCTCTATTCAGACACTACCTATCTACCGACAACTGCCTCTGATATACAGGTCATGAAACACCAGACCATCCCCGCCCATACGCATCAATCACAAGCTGTTCATCCTGATCAGGCGGCACGATGGGAATATACCTCTTCCTCTTCAGCGCCGACTCAACCGGGATCCCATTCGTCGTGGTAACCTGTTGAACATCAGCCCCAGGCTGCATAGCACGCTCACCAACTGCAGCATCACCCTCGCTATCTCCAGTCATCTCCTGCACCATAGCTCTTAACTCATCCCATGAGCGACACCTTGCAACATGCATCCGTGCCTCCAACAACACCCTCGTATCGGTATCATGGATCGACCCCACGAATACATTCATATTGCGCCCCTCGTCGTCTGGATGCGGCCACCCCATGTATAGAGGACTGACCCGGTGATAGAAATCAGCAAGACGGCTTCGCTTCTCCTTCGTGAGCTGGTCCCATCGTTCTGTTCCTTCCGGGTTTGGATTGGTATTGGCACTGCGTGTCTGCGGTCTGTTGTCCTGTGTCTCTCCGTCTTTGGATATGTAGGAAGAGGTCAAGGTCGTTTCGGAGAGCGAGCGCACGTAATCATCCGGACGCAAGAGCGGGAGAGGCGAAGACTCGTTGACAGGCATGGAGTCTGGGGCGAGGATCTCCGAGTCTGTTAATGGTTTTGATGCTGTGGTGTCTACACCTAGACGACTGGATTAGTGATCACTGAAAGAAAGGACAAAGCAAACCAAAACCCAAAGGAATCGTCATCCAAGACCAAGTGAGTATACTTACGGGTATCTGGATCTTGGTCTAACAACCCACAACTCCGTGCACGCTTAAACACACCATTCTCGCATGCGATCCTCAAGACCGTGGGCTGTCGAACCGGCGACTTCTTTTGCCTCTGCCTCTGGGACACTGTGCTAGTTGCTTCGCGCTCATGGTGCTCCCCTCCACGCTGACGCTCAGCTTCAAGAACCTCAACTCTTGTCTTCAGAAGCCCGTTCTCCGACTCGAGACCATTGATCCGCCCGAGCATGGAATGTAACCGTGTATCCAACCGGCCTTCCAACTGAAGAAGATTCCCCTGTAGCTGAGCATTACATTGTCTGGTGTCCTCAACCTGGCGGGTGAGTTCCTCAAGACCCTGTTTCAGATCATTCATGGTATCAGTAGCGACGGCGATATCGGCCTTCAGAATGTCGATCTGCTGGACGAGGTGGATGTGTTCGCGACGGATTTGGTGCGCCCAGAGGAGAGACGAGGGATTTGAGATCGGTGGACGGGATGGCTCCATGGATGGGTACGAAAGAGATATAGATGGATATTGTAGAGGATGTGATGGTGAGAAGTGGTTGGTGAGATTAGTGAGAGACAGTAACGGGGAAGAAAGTGGAGGGGCCCTCATACATCCTGATCATTCGAGTGGAGGGCATGACTATAGCACATGGACCTACGAGGAGTGAATAAGCAGAATAGAATGGCATTCCCTCTTGTCTATCATACTGAAAGCAGGTACATCACCATCCCAATGTCATGGGGCACGTTGCATCCACCCAGATCGTGTCGAGACCAGCTTTTTGGAACGAACAAATCACATTTTTTGCTCGATCTTCTGGATAAGCATGAAAGATTTCCATAACAAACCAGAGCGAGCTAGGTACAAAATGGGAGGAAATATAGTAATAGGAAAAGGGTAAAAAAAAAAAAAGGAAAACCGATTCCGGCAGAGAAACCATGAATTACAGCAATCATTCGCACAAACATGACGCATCTCCGTAAGCACAGAAAACAAAGGAAACCATTAGCGAGAACCAAGAACCTGACTAGGGTCAAAACACCATGCTAGTCTTTCCTCGATAACCCCCGCCAGTAAAAAGAAAAAATGCTGGAGATACAGAAAGCCACTTTTTGAAGGATTCTCCTTAGCCAAGAGAAGCAACGATGATGTTAAAACGCCTTTTCCACCGCAGCTTACCCTTGGACCGTGATTGGCAACTGCATTCGTAATCCGCATCGAGAGACATAAGGTGGCTCGGAATTGAGAAGTTTAGATGAGGTCTGCAAGAGATAAAGGTTAGCCAGTGGAACAGGATCAAGAAGTGGACAGGTTGAAGACATACCAGCAACGTTCATGGGCATCTCCTCAATCTGGGTGCTGTAGAACTGCTCGATCTCACGCATCATACGGACGTCATCAGCAGTGACGAAGTTGATGGCAACACCCTTACGACCGAAACGACCACCACGACCGATACGGTGGATGTAGTTCTCACGGTTGGAGGGGAGGTCGTAGTTGATGACCAGGGAAACCTGCTGGACATCGATACCACGGGCCAGCAGATCGGTGGCGATCAGGACACGGGAAGATCCAGAGCGGAACTCCTTCATGATGATATCACGCTGGGACTGCTCCATGTCACCGTGCATGGCGGAGACGGTGAAGTCACGGGCAGTGAGCTTGTCGGTGAGCCAGTCGACCTTTCTGCGGGTGTTACAGAAGATAACAGCCTGGGTGATGGTGACGGTCTCGTAGAGATCCGACAGGGTGTCGAGCTTCCACTCCTCCTTCTCAACAGCAATGTAGAACTGCTTGATACCCTCAAGGGTGAGTTCCTGCTTCTTGACAAGGATACGGACGGGGTCGCGCATGAACTTGGTGGTCACCTCGAGGACATCCTGGGGCATGGTGGCGGACAGCAGGGTGACCTGGGTGGACTGGGGAAGAAGCTGGAAGATGTCGTAGATTTGCTCGGTGAAACCACGCTACAGAGGTCGTTAACATCCATGCGCCTCATGCACTTTTTGGGAGATAAACTTACGGACAACATCTCATCAGCCTCGTCGAGGATGAAGAGCTTCATCTGGTCGGTCTTGAGGGCACGACGCTGGATCATATCGTGGATACGACCGGGGGTACCGACAACGACCTGAGGACCCTCACGGAGGGTGTTCATGTCCTCACGGACACCGGTACCACCGATACAGGCGTGGCAGGTGATGTTCTCCATGAAATCACCGATGGCGACGACGACCTTCTGGATCTGCTGAGCCAACTCACGGGTGGGAGCGACGATCAGGGCCTGGCAAGCCTTGAGGTTGGGGTCGATCTTCTGGAGGGCGGAGATGGAGAAGGTGGCAGTCTTTCCAGTACCGGACTGAGCCTGAGCGATGACATCGTTACCTGTGATGCAAAACCGTCAGTCTCAACTCTGCGCCTCAAATCACTCTTATCAGAGTGATCAAACCCGAGAGAAACCTACCCTTGATGATGGGCATGATGGCACGCTGCTGGATAGCAGAGGGACGCTCGAAACCATAGGCGTAGATACCTGTAAACCGTCGTATCAGTACAAGAAAAATCTTTTTCCACAAGTCCGACCTCACTGTCGTTGCAGGGAAATCACATACCGCGAAGGAGCTCGGCCTTCAGGTCCATGGAGTCGAAAGAGTCGGTGATCTCATCGTAGTTAGAGTCGATCTGTCCTGTTGTTGGCGAAGAAATGACATTAGTTACTGTATCTGAGGACTTTGTGTGGTGCGTTTGTCTCTTTTTCTCTCTCTTCTCTTTCCCTCCGGCGTTGGGCAAGAATCCCGCCACAAGGTAATCAAGACGGAGAAAAAGTCGAAATCCAGAACAAAGCAGGAAAAAAAGGGAAGAAGAGCATACCCTCGGGGATCTCCTCCAAGCCCTTGTCGTTAGAAGCCATGATTGCGGTTGTAAGATAGAATGATCACAGAGCGAGTTGTGCCTGTGACCGGAAAGAAAGATGGTGGGGTTTTGGGTGAGAAGTTTGTAGAGGTTTTTTTTCTTAGCGACAAGACGATTCCCAGTGGGGGTTGGTCGCAGCGGCAGAAAATCACAGTCAAGAAAAAAGACGGGAAAAAAACGCTGACTAGTCCAAGCAGTCAGAAAATTTTCTAAGGGAAACTAGTCCGTGGGCAGTCGGCAATCTGGAAGTTTGGTTTCACCGAAGTGTGGGTTTTTAATGGGGAAAGACCGATGAAAAAATTGATTCTTGGCGCTCATTCTGCCCACACACAATCCTGACCGCCTGCTGCTTTGAGGCGTGCTAACCGGAATTCGCCTCGTGGGGTTTTTTGCCATCGTCCATTTGTATACCTAGGGTTGTTGGCCGGATGCTCGCCGACGGTTGCTGGGCTGTTGGTTCTTTCTGATTGAATGATTGTATGAGTTTTGTCATTCTGGTTGAAGTTTTGATTTGACTCTGGCAACTTCAGCGACTGTCATCTGTGGGTAGCAGTTACTTTGAGTGCGTGTTTGTGCGTGTCATCAATCTCCCCCACCAAAAAGGGAAAGCCCTGGCCTGAGGCTGTCCAGTCATGCCTGACACCACCTCCATCGACAGCCACTCGGAACATGGCTTACTAGAGGATGTCCCTGGACACGATACAATCCCTGGTCATCCTATGGGCGTGAAGCCCAGTGGCAATGCCTTGCTCGCCACGGAGAATCTCCGAAATGCTATTGGCACGTTCAAATTACTGCCCGATGAACTGATCTTGATGTTGCTGGAGTGCCTGGATGGCCCGGCTTTGCTGAGTATAGGACGCACGTGTAAGGCATTCTATGCGTTCACTCGCGCGGAGGATTTGTGGAAGGCGCTTTTTATCCAGTAAGACATCATCGTACCTGGCTATACTATACCTACGTACTCGGCGGGCGCAAATGGCCCCCAACCAAGTATGTAGTTGATATGCTCCATGCCGTACTAAACGCTATACCAGGTCGCCTCCCCCTTCGTTTGCTTGGAGAGGAACATGGCGGTCAACCTATCTCAATTTGCCTCAGACCAAGGTCGCCATCTTGGACTGCTCGAATCTTTACTCCGATGCCCTACACCGACCCTTCTATTGCGCGCACATATCCCTGGACCCGTTCGTTCGCAACATCCCGACGAGAAACCAGATCGCTCGCTTGCCGGATCTGTCCCCAGACGAGTTCCAAGAGAAGTGGACCGACACGCCGTTTATCCTGACCGAACCCGTCAAACAATGGCCGGCTTATCGAGATTGGTCCGTCGAGTCGCTGTTGTCGCGGCACGGCGACGTAGAGTTCCGCGCGGAGGCGGTGGATTGGCCCTTCAAGACCTACGTGGACTACATGCATCACAACTCGGATGAGAGTCCCCTGTATCTGTTCGACCGGGCTTTCGTGTCCAAGATGGGGATTAAGGCCGGTCCGCTAGACCAGGAGCCCGAGGCGACGTACTGGCCGCCGCCCTGTTTCGGAGAAGACTTCTTCTCCGTTCTAGGAAACGACCGTCCGGACCGACAATGGTTGATCATTGGACCCGAGCGATCGGGGAGTACATTTCACAAGGATCCGAATGCCACCAGCGCCTGGAATGCGGTCGTCCGTGGCTCGAAGTACTGGATCATGTTCCCTTCGTCGTCCAAGCTGCCCCCGCCGCCCGGGGTCTACGTCTCCGATGACCAGAGTGAGGTGACGTCCCCGCTCAGTATCGCGGAATGGCTTCTCGGGTTCCATGCCGAAGCCCGGCGCACCGCGGGCTGCATTGAGGGCATCTGCGGCGAGGGCGAAATCCTGCACGTGCCTTCAGGGTGGTGGCATCTCGTCGTCAACATTGAACCGGCTATCGCGGTCACGCAGAACTTTATCCCTCGTGCTCATCTGGGCGCCGCGTTGGACTTTTTATCCAACAAGGCTGATCAAGTGTCCGGATTCCGAAAGGACGTGCACGATCCATACAACCGGTTTGTCAATCGGATGCGCGAGACTCATCCGCACATCCTAGAGCAGGCCGAGGAAGAGCTGAAAAAGAAAAATGACGGCAAGAAACGGAAATGGGACGAAATCGTCCACGGAAAGCCGGATGGCGAAGGAGCCGCAGACGCATCGGAAGGAGGAGGATTTAGCTTTGGCTTCGGAGACGACGGAAGCGACGTGGAAGTTCCCTGAAATTCAAGCGGTCAATCGTGCGACAAGCATGGACACGAGACTGAATGGACGATACTCGGATAAGATTGTGAAAGAAAAGCAGAATATACTATCATGACAAAGCACACGCCTGCTTCCGCTGTTCAGTCTTGATGTGCAACTTTCACAAGCTCAACATGGGTCTCGAAAACTCGAAGACTCAAATATCGGAAACCAAAAATCCCAAACATAAAGTGCATACGAACGCTTAATGACAAGCCACCGTCTTAGAAGCCGACGTATTGTCCCCGAAGACCAGATATCCCACGAAGGCACCGATCGCCACGGAAATCATAACCCAGCCGTTATAGGTCATGAAAAGTAACCTGGGAATGGCTTATGAGCGGTCTGCCGAGCACGCGGAGAAGGCAGGTCGGTAGCACTCACATGATAAAGAAGCTATAGAACACCTGCACGGCATACAAAAGGGCCATGATGATCTTGCCCCTCTGCTCCAGTCTCCGGCGATTGTCGCTGCCTACAAGTAGCGGTGAGCTCGCGTCGGGAAGATGAGTCGCTGGACGATAAGGGGAGCCATCCGGGGCAGGATCGTCGGCGAAGTCATTGCCTTGATGGTGTCAACGAGACTGGACTTGAGTCCGGTGCGATATCTTTTGACCTCCGATGGGGTTCCCATTACGATACAACCATAGCATAATCATAGCATAAAAGAGATATAGCATGGAATTGGAAATTGACGAGGAATCAAGATGAAAAACAGACTTACCCCCGGTCGTAGCAGACGACGTAAATGCATTCAACCGTCTTGCATGGGCCGTCTCAAACCGCCTCGTTAGTTGACGCACGCCCTCGTACCCGGCCGTCAAAAGTACGATCACAACCAAGGAGCCCAGAAGAGACGCGAGCCCGGTTACCTGCCACTGGCGAAAGACGATGCAGAGGCCTTTGCTGGACCAAGTGAATAGCATCTAGCGGGGTTTCATTAGTACCGCCATAGTTTGTATCACACGAGCATGCCAATCATCATAGATACGACTGGAACGATAAGTGCCATCTTAGGCGGGGAGGGTATATCTGGAGAAGGCTTCATACATTCATACTACATTGTCCTTCGCCCATATCCATATCACCATGACCACCATGACCACCGTGGTCCATGTCCATGTCATGGTGCATTGCGTGGTGATCCATGTTGAAAGCCGAGGAGTCTAGTAATGTATATGATCGCGAAAATATAGAAAAGAATGCAGCGCTTCAAGAGTATACACAAGAGTATGTGAGAATCGATAATCAATAGTATTCTCAGAATGCTGTACACAGCGGGAAAGATAAACCGGGGGATGAAAGGGAGGAGAAGTAGGAGTAGAAGCAGCAGCAGCATGGAGAAGCCGATCGGGTTGCGCCATCATGCAAACCAGACAAACACACCGATAAGATGCGGAAATCCAACCACCACCCACCGGCACGGCTTCCAGTACCTCTTGCAACCGCCGACCCATCTACCAAAGACCAGACCAGAGCAGACCAGACACGATAAGACCAGAGAAGGAAAAAAAGACAATTAGACACCGACAATGAGCGAATCCGCCCCTCCAATCCCCAATCCCAACATCCAGGGCACGAATTCCTCCGTCGCGGTGACCGCCACGGGTACTGGCTCCAGCGCCGGCAGCAATGCAGATCAGACCGGGAGTCGCGGACTCCCGTACTATGAGAAATTAAGGCGCGAGCTACGCGACACGTTACAGAGGAAGCGATTGATGGATAAGGGCATGGTGAGTTTCCTGGCTGGCTGCCTACCTGCCTGTCCCACTCTACCTATCTCATCGGAGGTGCGATAGGATGCGACGATGGACGTGGATGCCTTTCTATCTATGACTACGCGCATTCACCACATTTACATTAAACCCCCCATCACCAAAATCATATACCATAAGCACAACAAATGAAAGGGCTAACCAGAGCAATCCCCTCAAACCCCCAGGCCCAACTCGAAGACCAAATCTTCCGTTTCGAACAATCCTACCTCGAAGAAACCACCGCCGGAAACATCATCAAAGGCTTCGACAACTACATCAAAGGGTCCTCGAACACGGGGGTCGGCGCGACCTCGCTCTCGTTCTCCGGCGGCGTGGGCGGCGGCGGCGGTGGCAGCGGCACAAGACGCAAGGCCCAGGTGACGGACGCGGATCGCGTGTTCTCGAGGAGTTCGGCGGGATTTATGCGTGTATGTTTCTACCCGTCCTTTCTCTCTCGCTCTCTTGCTACGGGCTCTCGTATTCTCTCGCTGTGTTGCGAACTGGTGGATCTAACTGTGGTTTGCTGCAGGACTCAACGCCCTCTTCATCTCACACGACACCCTCGCATGCACCGACGCCAACGTCCACGTATAACGGATCCACAGGGAAACCGAACGGCGAGACGGGCTCAGCATCTGGCAGTGTAAAGGGGGGATCATCGTCCAAGAACAAGAAGAAGTCCAACAATAACAGCAGCGGCAATAACAAAGATAGCAAGAATGACGATGACGAGGAGAGCGGAGATAAGCCGCCCACGAAGCGGTTGAAGATCAGCTATGGGAGGGATTGAGTGATTTGCCTGGATTTCATCTTTGGGAGTAAAAAAAGGTCTGGAGTTTTGTTTGTCTGGGGGCGGGGGAGCTAGGGCGTTTTGTTTCCCCATGGTATTCTCTGGTGTAGTGTATGATTATATGGGTAAGGTTTCTCTTCCTATTTCATGATATCCTTTGTCTTATGTTTGAGAGGCTAGATCATAGATCATATCAGATCAAGTCAAATATGTCAGGAAAAAACCAAACTAAACTGTAGCAAACGAACTACTGTTATATATACGTTTCATGCCAAGCGGGTACTAGCTAATGGGGTAATGTGTCGAGGCTATAGCTGCAAGCGGTAAGTAGCCACTTCATAAGCCCTCAGCTCGATGTCAACATCAAGGGAGTCGCCTTTCTTAGAAAGTGACAGCGAGGTCTCGTTATCCTCAAGCACATTACATTTCCAGACCTCTTTAACGGGGAGCTTGGTGCGGATAGTTCCCCGGCTTCTACCGCCGAGAGACTCGTAGATGCGGAGGATAATGCTTTTGCCTGGACGGCGAGGCAAGTTGTCCCGAGACACGTCCTCGTCGTCTTCTCCACGTTTGACGGCGTCCAGGATGAGAGACGGTGATCCACCGAGGGAAACAGATGTGAAAACGCTCGCGTTGTCTGGACCAGTGGCAGGCTCCAGCACCAGAGGGTGATTGAAGTTATATCCAGCCCGAACAATACGAGCATCAAGGGGACCGGCATGCGGCACAATGGCATAGCGAATGTGATGGCGGCCCATATCGGCGTGAGCGTCGGGTGCTTTCGGTGCACGGAGCAAGGAAAGGCGCATCAGGTTACCGCAGGTTGCAAAACCGTACTTCGAATCGTTCAGGACAGACACACCGTATCCATTCTCGGACAAGTCGGCCCATTTGTGACAGCATACTTCGAACTTGGCCATATCCCAGCTAGATGATATCAGTGTTACAACTAGCTGAAAGCACTTGAGATAAATGGGGGGACATACCTCGTGTTGTAGTGGGTTGGGCGCTTGATAATCCCATATTGAGTCTCATAAGATGCCTCCGTGTTGGTGATGTCGACAGGGAACTCAACCTTGAGGAATTTCATATCCTCCTTCCACTCAATCTCGCTGTGAAACTCCACATACGACGGCTGATCCTCTGTGGGAGCGGCAAGGCTGATGGTAGTCTTGACCCAGCTCTTGTCACTGATCTTGGTTTCAGTGATCACACTGGCACGGTAGGGGTCTTTCTCGGAAATGTTGCTCTTGCCGGATTGCAGCTCTTTCCTGGACTCCAAATGGAAGACCTCTACATCCCAAGCTTGCCAGTACAATGGCTTATCGTCAAAGATGACCAGCTGCCCAGCCTTGCCATCCTTGGCAATTACCTCACGATCCTCCTCGACGTCGTACAGTGAGGTGATCACACCGTTGTGGATATCAACTCTTAACTTGGAGTTTTCAAGACGGAACGTGCCAGGGCTGATTTCCGATGCCGTCACAGCAGAAGCCGGGCGCGTGACGGATGGGTTACACTCAATAGGTCCAGTTTCACCGCTGACGAGGGCAAATTTTGAACCCGCCGAGGTTGTGAATTCAGCGGGAATTCGGACTATCTCAGAGCGACGCCAAGGCAGGGTATTGATGGCCTGAAGAGTCTGACCACTGCCTGTACGACCATATCCGAGAGCCTCGAGCGCTTGACGCCTGGCCTTCTTCCCTGTCTTGAAGATCTCCGCATAAAGCTGATCGGAGTCATCGTAACACATCTCAATACAGCTTCCGGGAAGGCAGTCATGGAACTGGCACAGGAGGGTTCCCTCCCACATGTCGTCAATGTCTTTCTTGGGGTATTCATATTGACTTTTGGTCTTAGTTATGGACGCAAGAGTGGCCAGATATTCAAGCTCGCGGAGCAAGAACTCAGCCTTGCGATTGTTGCGCTTGTTGTTTGCTTGCGTGGTATATGTACCGCGGTGGAGCTCGAAGTAGAGCTCACCATACCACGTAGCGAATTCGGTGCCATTCGCGGCTTTCTTTTCCAATTTTTCAAAGAAGTCGTCCACGGACTCTCCCATCTTCACGCGCGGGAGTAGGCCCACCTTGTCACTCAGACCACGACATCGGCGAAGCTTTTCGAGATGCTCGAAAGTAGGTCCTCCACCGCCATCCCCCTTTCCGAACACCAAAAGCGACGTGTTGTCTTGGTCCATCGACTTGTGTTGGGTCACGCTACGCTTGACATCACCGAAGTGAGCACTGGCAGTGTATGTCTCCGAAGGGGACATATGGCACATAACTTGGCTGCCATCCAGGGAAACCCATTGGAAGGTCGTATGGGGAAAGTTGTTGATGTTGTTCCAGCTGAGCTTCTGGGTGAAGAAGCGGCTCATTCCTGCCAAGCGACAGATCTGAGGGATTTGGGAGGAATAGCCAAATGTATCGGGAAGCCAGAAAGTTGTGGACCGCTCTCCGAAGTGGCTTTCAAAGAACCGCTGTCCGTAGAGAAACTGTCTGACCAACGATTCTCCGCTGGGCAGATTGGTATCATGCTCGACCCAGCTCCCGCCAATGGGCTGGAAGTGACCTTTCTTCACCCAGCTCTTTACGCGGTCAAAGACGGTCGGATAGTACTGTTTCAACCATTTGAACTGCTGGGCCTGTGAGCAAGTGAATCGGTGCTCGGGGTACCGGTCCATCAGATCACATTGATTCGACCACGACCGGGCCACCTTGCGCTTGGTTTCGGCCCACGGCCAAAGCCAGCACGTATCGATGTGGCAATGACCAATACCGTAGACAATCGGCTGAGTCTCCGTGTTGTACACATCGGACGAATCGACTTTGTTCCCGATATACTTCTGAGCAATCTTGCGCGCCTCTTTGATCGCTTCATTGCTTCCATTTCCGGCAATGAAAGCATCCATAATGGCATTACCGACCATGTTTGCCTCGTGAGACTCCCAGCCATCACCAGGGAACTCTCTAGCCGCATCTGCATTATCCATTAGTGAGCCGTACTCAACACACCCATCTAACCGCACATAACCTACCTCCAATAATCCAGAAATCGTAAAAGAGAGCCCGCGCCTCAAGATTGACGGCAGTGATGCGGGCCGTATGAAGAGTATAGTACTTATTCGGGGCCGGCGGTTGGATCGAATCGCCGCCGGGGGCATTGCCAAACATGCCATTGCAGGCCATCTCGATATAGAACGTATGCTCCTTCCCATCGCGCCAGGCGTCAGGGATCACCCACTCGATCCGCTCACCTCCGCCCGTAAGACCCTGCAACGGCCGGCCGTCCTCCGTCCACACCAAACCCTCATTGTTGGCATCCCAATGGAACTCCAGCCGTTCCTTCTGGCGCAAGTTCTCCGGGATGGTTAGTCGGATGCGAAACCAATGTGTAGACCAGCTGGGACCAAATGAGGCGCCGATATGAGTGGGCTTGAACTCGTGGGAGGTAGCCTCTTCGAACGAAGGGCGCTGCAGGTTGGGGGCAGAGTAGACTTCGAGTTTGACGTGGTCTTCGTCGGAGTTGGTGGCCTCGAAGAGCTTCCTATATTAGATTGAGGTCAGCGATGAATCTCGATAATTGGTGATTTAATAGCAAATGGATAGAAACCCACGAGATCAAGTTCTGGCCCTCGTACTGGCCAGATGCAGTGAATTGTTTCAACCGATCGGTGTAGATGCCCTTGATCCGCTGGCCAACGGGATGAGCCGGAGTCCGGGGAAGAGAGCTTGGAGCTTGTCGGGGCACGTCTCCACCCATGGTTGTGCGGTGGGTACGGGGGTGGGTTAAGATGGGTCTATCTGTAAAGCGTAGGCCCGATGATGGCATCAACAAGCAGATGATAAATTGAAGGGGATGGCGATAGAAGTGGGTTTAATGAGGAATGGGGGGAAGAAGGAGGAGAAGAGGGAAAGAAAGAGAAGGCTGGAAGTGCGGAGGAATGCAGGAACGGAGGGGGGGAGCAGGTGACGTTGTTTGCGGAGATCAGATTTACTTAATCATTTCAAGGCGGGGGGATTTGGGGGGATCGTGAGAATGTGACCGGTGGAGTTTCAATTCACACCGTTTTGCATGCAGAATATCCTGCAATAATCCTAGATCAATCCTGGACCATGATGACCTTTGCCATCAGATGATGTTGACCTAGTAGTGGTTAACAGTCACAATGTTACATTCTGCCCCTCTTGGCCCTTGCAAGCCTGCATCTACTCGCAGGGGTGCACTCGGATGATCTACTTCTGTCGAAGGCAACATGTCCACAAGATATGAGATCCAGTGTCAAGGATAGATAGATATTCATTCTGGCTAGAAAGCAAAGTATATAATCATGCACGCTATTGACCTGGATATATTGTGAGAATGTAAAATCACTGACGGAACCAATCCTTCCGGGGAGACGTCCTTTCAGCTCCCATAACGCCCAGCGTACACGGTCTTGAAACCTCAAAGATAGATGCAAAAAGAGATGAGAGAGTGACAAAAAACAAAGGGTTAACAGAAAGATATTTGATGGAAAGAAAAGCGCTTGCCAAAAGAGAGTGCCGACCGGGACAAGAAAAGAAAGATCAACGAGGCTATAATAATAGTAGTAGTAATAACAGACCAGGATGAAATGAAGACAAAGAAAACCCATTCGTGCACTAGATCCAAGGATCGACTCCATCGCGTTCAAAGGAATTCGGTGGGCTGACCGGTCCGACTAGGCGGATTTGCGATTTCAGCTCCATCCGTTTTCGATCCACTCGAGCTCCGATCATCTTCTGCTTCGCTGCGACTAGGACTTGACTCGTTCCATCTTGCAGAGCTCTCAGCGGATTCTGTTGGACCGGTGAGCGTGGTGGTGGCGACAATGGAGCTGTGGCATTCACAATCCCCTCTGGTTTAGAAGACGAGGGCTTCTTGTGATACCGCGGGAATCGTACATTCTGGGTTTGTCGGTAGCTGATTCGCTTCTCGCGACCCGACTTCTCCCAGATTGCTGCACCATACTTTTGATACGGTGACATAGGTACGGCCAGCTGTTTTCGTCGATGGAAAGCGACCGGCTCCAACGGCTTCCCCGGACTCTCGGAACTAGATATGGTTGATATGGATAGCCGTGTCAGATTCTCGGCCGAATCGAGGTCGTTCCTTGGGGAAACAATGCTGTCATTGTCGGAGTAGTTGCTGGACGGTACTCGAGGCGTCGGGTGACACTTCTGCGTGTATTCCGAGGGGGCGGTAGCTGGTCGTGCCCGTTTTGCTTTCTCTTTATCGACGGAGTGCTTCGAGATCCTTCGTTGAACATACGATCGGATCGACTTCCGCATGTCATGCGCCAGGGTGAGTCCGCCGCGTTCGGTATTCCAGCGACTTCCCTTCTTCGCAAAGTCGAATGTTCCCAGATTCAATCGACTGGCATCCTTCTTCCGTTGCTTGGACGGAAGCTTGGGCGATCTCGGTGGCAGCTCCGACGGAATGGCCAGCTCCGGGAAGAAATCCCACTTCTTCTCTCGGAAATAGTGATTGGGACGCGACCGATTGGGAGTCCAGGGCTGAGAGCTGGCATATGGGTCCTGGGATACAGTTGCGAAAGCCAAAGGTGCCGGACGAGGCTTGGAGAAAGGCTCGATGGGCGACGAACGATCTAGATTGGCTGCCGGGGTATGATCGACTAGCTCGGCCAGATCGTCGGAGGGTGACCGAACGACGACCGGATAGCTGACGGCCGATGCGTTCGAAGGGCGTCGACTCTCGAAGCTGTCGGCGAGGCTGCTGTCGTCGCTCCATGCCGTCGAGACTTCCATTGACGGGGTCGCCGGCAACGGCTTCGAGGGCAGATCGGGAAGAGGCTTGTCCAGCTTGAGCGAAGGACGAGCAGGCGATACGGGCGGGATGACCCGCTCCATGCCCTCGAGGGATCGAGACGGCCTGACGGGAGGAGCCTGCCGGGATACGGCAAAGGACGTTGGCGACGGCATGTTGCAATACTATATGGGAAGGATATAGAAGGTATCGTCGAAAGGGATTCCCGAACAATACGCGGGGGGGATATCTAAGAACCCTTCCCCCCGGGGGACAGGGGACCGAAGAGACGGGAGAAGGAGAGTAGAGAAAGCAAAAGAGGGAGAGAAAGAGAAGAGGAGAAGGACAGTAAAGAAGAGGAGCGAAAACGAGAAGAGGGGAAAAGAAACGAGGGACAAATAAAAAAACGGCCGACAAGAAGACGGAGGCGATTGAAACAATAAAAAAAAGGCAGAGCAGGCGACCATTCACAGCCTTGTGTCACGATGGAATGCTGGGATTTTCCGGGCAATCAATCCAATTATATGATTAAGATTCCGAGAAATAAAGAATCGCGATGCACTTCAGATCCTGGTCTTCCTTTTCTCGTTTTCTTTGGGCCGCTGCGATCACAAGACCCCGCCAAGTGTCGCTCGAGCCCTAAGTCGGGCCTGCAGAATCCGTTCGTCCAGCCAAAGATCCGGGAATCGCATCGTTTAAAGAATGCAGAGAAGGGGAGACTCGGGCGGACCGGAGAAAGAAAACGAAGCAATCAATGACGACGACAAAGAAAGCCTCGATAATGTGATATAAAGGGGTGGATCATGCAGCTAAACGAGGGTCTCCCCCTAGTTAAGCTGCGAGAGAAGAAAAGAGAGAGAGAGGGAGGGATCCGAGATGGTGGCCCCCAACAAATGGAAGCTCAGAGAATAAATCATAAATAATAAACGATAAATGTTAAGTAACATAGAATAAATAAGACGGTAAATGATAAATATGATAAATGGTAAATAATAAACAAATAATGGTCAACTCATCCGAGCCAGAGCTCTCCGTTCTCCGGAAAGGGAATGGACTATGGAGAAGGGAAAAAGAAACGAAGAGTTTGGCTGCAGGATCGTCATCAGCATGAGCGGCGATAACCTCATGGACCGGCCGAGTGACACACCACCATGCAAGGGTTGTGCCAAAACAGCCCATCGCAATCATCCCTGGAGGAGTTCGTCCCCGGGAGGAGGGAGCTCTGAAACATAACAAATCGTGGTCGAATTCTCGCTTGCTCTCGCCAATGGCTCCTCTGAATGGAATCATCACAGTCCATTTCCGGCGTCGAGAGACCGAAGAGAGGTGTCGCGGTGGAATGGGGATGTAGATACCGACCAGGCTGTAGTCCGGAGCTGAACAAATCATCGGGTTGTCGTGGACAACTTAATGAGAGAGTGGAGCCGGGCCAATTGACAGTTCATAGTCCACTCCGTTTAGTGTCGATGATTCCATGGGAATTCCCTGGGGCAGATCAGAGCACAAAAAGTGGAGCCCCCGTCAGCTCCCAGAATAGCGAACGAACAATGATGAATCAACTCGGCGACGCAATTGATTGATTGATTGCGCGGGATGGCCGTCTTCGCAGGAACAAAGAAACGCATGAATCCCGGTCGCCATGACTTACTCGGGCTACTAAATTCTCATCCTCGCTTGGTTGCCTTTATGCGGCCGATGTGCAAGAATTGGGAAGGACAAAGATTGATTCCTGCACGGGGGAAAAGAAAGCCGCCCGGCCGAATTGACAACGCGACCATTCTGCATTTTGGGGCCTGGGAAATGGCGTGCAGTTCGGATCCATCACATCCTCTTTCTAGCGGTGAACCATTTGATCTCATTATTTTATTTTTATTTCTCATCTATTTACTTTTTCTTCTTCTTTTGTGAACTTTCAATCTTCTCTCTCCAGGGGCAAATTCTCCTGCAACATTCTTCTGGCGTCAGAAGTGCATCATCCATAGCGACCTGTTGGCCAGACCTCGACGAGTGCCACCATCGCCAACCCTAAACAAGATCTGGAACTTGGTAGCGAAGCGCGGTTCGCCGAGTTAATTCTCACTTTCCAGGATCTACCTGTATCCATCCATATCCATGTGTCCAGGATCTACGGTGTACCTGTACACCCGACAAGTTTCGCAAGCAACGCGCAAGCAAACAAGTAAACTGAAGCCCGAAGCATCAATTAGGAATACTCAGACTAGCAGCACCTTGACGCCACATTGACCGCCGACATCCACCCTCCAGCTCTCTCTTTTTTTTTTTTTTTTTTTTCGCTCTCTCCCGTCCAGGACTCCGGGAACTATCGACGGAGTTGAATACACATCTAATAACGAGCAAGCAAGGAACAGATTCAGCGACAGGTACGGGACAGCCACGTACGGACTCGGACTCCGGGACATGGTCGATGCTGCACGAATACAAACCACATGGCAAAAAAATTGGCAATCCATGAGGCTAGAATCTCGATAGCCTCGACCCGAACCCTCGATCCTCTGGTCGGAGTGGGGGCGCATTTCTCGCCTCTTGACATGCCCGGATCTGGTACCTGCTTATAGCCTTATCTGGAGTAGTCTATCTTCCTGGTTCCTAGGTACTGGCCTTACTTACCTTCCAGAGCTACCTAATCTTACCAGGTCTAGCCCAGTCCGGACAAGTCTTTCTCGTTTTCCTACCGTAGTTCGTTTAGACCATCCCCAGTCCAAGCCAGGTTCAGGACAATTTGCCCCCTTGAAATATATCTCACCCTCGGCTTTACCCCTTCCCCTCTTCTTCTCCCTTTTCTCCTTCCAACGTGTTGTCCGTCCGCGTGAAAGGGAATTAATCTCTTAGACCCCTTTCGAAAAGAATGGATTGAAAATAGAGAATAAAAGGGAAACTCTATAACGCACCATCCCTGGAACTTAGGACCCAAATTGCCGGAATTCTCTCTCGGGCCCCTTCCTCTCGGGTGGCCGCTCCCTGTCATGCCCTTTGGATTACTTACATTGTGCACGATGCAGATGCAGGGAGGCAGGCAGGCAGGCAGCAGTCAAACCTAAACAAGCAGACAGACTATCTACCTAGAGTGACAGCATTCCACTGCAGCGCTCGCTTTGTAGAGTAACTCCGTCGTTCACATCGGCAGTGAAACTATCTAGATTAGATCTATACCACGCGATGTGTCCCATCCCCACTCAGAAAGAAAAAATAAGGTCCCTTTAGTTCGTTCGGATCTGTCTAGTTGACTGTTGACATTGACAGATACCGTTCTGGATCTAGACCCTCGCCACTAGCTCAGGGCTGCCTGAATCATTCAGTTCACTCGTTCCTCGAATCGTTCCCCGGGTCCGTCCGTCCCCTGGCAAAGTGGTTAGTTACCGTTACCGGCCGAAGGGAGGAACAAGACTAAGAGTCAGTGCAGGGACTGGCTAAACCGTCAATAATACCTACCTTAGTTAACTAGTCCCCTTACCCACTTAGGTAAAGCCCACCAAGCAAAGCAGAACTAGTCTAGGCCACTTAATCAGCCCTCTTGACCAGGACCAAGTAAGCTATGTACAGTACGTTACTGGAAGATCCGATCGCAAAGAAAACTGTGGCTGGCGTCCTTGAAAACTTGAATGTTTTCTTCTGTCCAATCGGCGCAGGGCGTGGATGGGGAATGCTCTAGATTGTCCAGTTGGGGCATTCCGGGGCCTCGTGGAATACGAATGAATGGAGCCGCACAATAATGCAATTCACTTGTCTGGCGTGGTCTTATCCATGGGGCTTGGTCTTGGAGCCTGTCGGAGATCCCGAGAGTTAAGAATCTATCGTAGGTTACTGGGTGCGTGGTTGGTCGGGTGGCGAGTTTGAGTTTCGTGGGTTTTGCGTCGCTTATTTGCGCTGGAAGTTGGGATGGGGGATGATGGTGGCTTTGCATATCGCTATGACCATCGATATGACTATATTTATATGGTGGACTCATGTCGGAAGGTGTTACTCCGTGTTATTGTCTACATTGAGGTCGACAGTAGATATGGATAGAAGATACAATAACCTCAACCCATCGAATGAAAGTATGATCATCAGAAAAAGGCTAAACAAAAACACCGTTACGTACTCTACCTCAAAACCTGAAACAGTCTTTGTCTACCTACTCCATTCATGCCCAAATCTCACGCCGTGTCATCCCCCAAACCATAAACAAAGTTATCATCCCCAAGGAAGATCCCTAGATTTAGATAACCAGAACCCCGACCAGAAACAAAACAAGTCCGGACTATGACCCTTCAGCCACCTCATGCCACGAGGCTGTCAGACCAGACCCGTATAGATCCGGCCTGATTGGCTCGGGGACCGGTGACTTGGGCCCAAAAGGGCTGCACCTGCTTGCAAATATTTGTCATTATACATATTGTGGCCAGTCAGATGGATCAGGGATGGTATGGGTTGATTCGTGGCATGTCCTTGTTTATCGTCAGGGTCTGTGGTGGAGGGAGAGGAGGGTACAGCAGGCTGAAGCTGAATGCCGTTCGGGGTAATTGAGACCCGTTTATTTGCCGAGGGATTTCAGCATTCGTGTGCATGGGCTTGTGGTGTTTCGGGGTTGCCGGGATGGGGAGATGGATATACGGGGTTGAGGTTGGTATGGTTGTGTGATATGGATGTTTGGGAAGGGCTGGTATATTGCCGGTAAGAAGTAGAATGAAAGAAAGATTCCATGGTTATATTGTCTGCTTGCTAGATCCAGTGTATAAACAGTTCTAAGAATAGCGGTTTGAGGCACTCAAAGCATATCAACCATATAGACACTATTCTACTCAATCACTCAGAGATATTCTGGCTCACCTGGGTATCGATGTTAGCTCAACTTTGCCGCCTTCTCCATATCCTCTCTCGTCAGCACATCGCCCGACCTCCGAATCGGACTCAGTCGTCCAATACGCCGCAGCCTCGCAATCATCTCCTCATCCCCAAGGTGGCTATTGTGCTCGAACGCTGGCTCCCGATCATATGCCACCCGGGCCACATCCACCACCAAACGAGCCGTCATGCCCCAAACGCGATACCGAACCACCTCGCCTGCCTTCTCCTTCTCCTCCAGCTCATTAAATGCCGTCTTCAGATGCTCTGACCTCGTCCTGGCCCGCGGCTTCACCACCGCCTCCGGCCGAATCGGCACAAAGAACTGATGCATCCGCCAGTTCGACTGGTGCCACTCGGTCCAGGCCCCTTGGTACCAGTCCTCCGGCTTCACATGATTGCTACCCTGGTCTCCCACCACCCACTCCTCTTCATCCCGCATGCTTAGAAAATTACTAAACGGCGCCGTGAACACGGCCGCTACTTCGCGCGCATCCAGCTTCGGGATCAACGACACCTCCGGGTCGGCGTTGGAGTTCGTCGTCTCGTCGTAGGAATGCAAGAGTGCCACGCACGGTCGAACAACCAGTTCCGTACGTGCTAGGCTGGCAGGGAACTCGCAGAGATGCTCGACGGAGAACGGATGCGGCAGGGGCTGGCCGATGTCCGCTAGGCCGATTTCTTCATGTGCTTCGCGGCGCGCGGTCTGAAAGGGTGTCTCTTCGACGGAGTCCGCCTTACCTGGATTTTGGTTCCGTTAATATTGTAGTCATATTGGGCTTGGTGTTCGCGTGGTGATTGGTATCACGTCATCTCGAGAACCTTAGAACTGTTGAGATGTAGCTTACCTCCAGGGAGGGCCGCTTGGCCGGCATCTGTATGAATACGTTAGCTACTTGCTCGCCGAGTGTCTTATCGCCATCTGATCCAATCCATCAGGACAATCATAGAGAATCAAACTAGCATACAAGAACTCAAAGTTTTCGCTCGCATGGTCAAAACCACCCGAAGGTCGCCCTTCGAGTCAGCATAAAGCAGGACGAGAACAGCCGCTCGGCGTGACAACGGCACCAAATCATAGCTGGTCGCCGGGGGCTGATACGATCTCAGCCGATCGATTGCTTTCTGCAGATAAAATTAGCCGAAGTGTCATAATAATCTCTAATGGTGCATGCCTGAAACACCGAGGATGGTGGGCATGCGATGGTTTCGTATGTCAAGGAGAGCAGCTTCAAATCAGTACCTGAGAGGCTGGGTTTAACCGCGGCATTTTCTGCACCAGGCTAGAGGAGCGTTGGGTACTAAAATTGCGGTTTATCGATAGGAGCGAAAGAAGTCGTGGACTCCGCATGGCCGTGTTTCGATCTAAGACGGGGGTGGTGATGCATTGTGGTAGATCCGAAGGGTCGATTGCCGAGGTTAGATAAATCCCAGCTGGGGCCGATGATTCATCGGTGCTTGATGTACGAAGGAGTTATTGTATGATAATAAGATACTAGCAGTCAATCGGTCAACACTTGCTTTTTGTATTCAGAATAGCGTGTTCTATTTGATTTTAGGGTCCTCTCTACTAACATAATACACAATAATCGCACCACCCAAAATAATATCACGCCGGGAAATTGTCCAAACTTCGGCCAAGCTTCGAAGTATCAGCCGGGTTGATGCACCACAAATCAGAAACATGAGAAGAGCAAATATAATAATAAACAGTAGATCATCAAGCCAGGTGGTAGCCAGGAGCCGCAATCGGTCAGAGAAGAGTTATAAAAAAATCTATCGTATCAACACTAAGACAAGTCAAGAAGGGAGAAAGGGGGGGACAGAAAATAGTCTATAGCACAACCATGTCACAAAGGGAAAATTACTGAGAAGGCGTTTCCTTCTTTTCGGTCGGCGCCGAAGTGTTTGTGGACTGCGAAGCCTCGGCCTTTTCACCCTCCTTGACGGCCTCAACCGCCTCGTCGGACTGCTTCTCGTACTTGGCCTCGATGGTGTCCTCCTTATCATCAATGTCCTCGTTGTCCTTGGGCGCCGACATACCCTTCTCTTCGTTCTCGCTGTTCTGCTCGTTTTCTTCCTCAATGAGCTCTTGCTGTTCCTTGATAACCTCGAGACGCTGCTTGTTGGTGGCGGCACCCTCGGCATTATGCACTTCTAGCTCGATTTCGTGGAACAGCTCCTCAGGAATGCTGGACAGAACAGACTGAAGAGAGTCGATCTGAGAAGACATTTCCGCTTCCTTGCCTCCCTGTGCGTAGACGTACGCATTGCTAAGAACCAGAAGCGTGGACGGGACGCCCTGCTTGAGACGAAGGTCCAGCCACATAGAGAGATCCTCACGCAGGCGAGCGGGAGAAACCCCGTGAGTGCGAATGCCGCGGGAGGCAGAGGCCATCTGCAGCTCGGGAACCGAAAGCGACGACACTCCCTCGTAGAAGATGGCGCGGTCATCGCGCTTGATCTGGCGCATACGGTGGCGAATGTTGTATCTGAGCATGGCGTCGGTTCCGAAGGAGTTGAGGTTCATGTACTTGCAGATACCGACAAGCTGGGGACGGGACAAATTGTCGAGGGTCAGATCATCCTTGAAGATCTTGCAGACCTTAATGACATCCTCGGTCGACGGCGTTTCTCCCGTAGTCCGGATCTTCTTGAAGAATTCCGCGAACTCCTCGTTCTTGACGGTCGCAGCTGTCACAGGGAGACCGCTTTCTTTCAAAGTGTCCTTCAAGAAGGCAGAGACCTCTTTCCGCGTCGAACTGAGGCTCAGCGCCTTGGTTTCACGGGCCTTCTGGCCTTCGTAGGTGCTGGGAAGCAGGTTGGGGAAAAGCTTAAGGGCAACGGGAAGGAGCAATTCGGCGAAAGGAATGATGATGAACATGGAAAATGGCACCAGCCGACCGAGATCCTTGACGGTTCTTTGCAACTAAACGACAAAAGCAGTTAGCATATGTACTAGACCCAACCGACTGCGTGGCAATTAACTAACCTGACGGTGTTCACGACGACTGAGCTCGTATCCTCCGGCCATCTTCAATGCCAGCCTTGAGCTGATCTTCACCTCTGTCGCAAGAAGTTTAGTTCCATCCCAGTAGTGCTGGGCCTCCTTCTTGATCTTTTGACCAATTGTCAACTTCTTCTGCTCCTTTTTCTCCTCTCCAGCCTTTTTGTCATCCTCCGCGGACTTGGCCACTGCGACCTCGCCCGTGTTGTTTGTATTAGCGACTGCCGACTCGCCCTTGGTAGCAACTTGCTGGGTTGTATTGGCGCTTGCTCGTTGCGCTGTTTCGGGCGAGAGAGGCTTCTTGGCCTGTTCTGCGTTGAATCCTGGAGGTGGCAAATTGTCGGAAGATGAAGAGGTGGATTGCTCCGTGGCATAGCCACGCTGAGAAACTAAGAGTGCGATAGCTGGCACCTGCGATGGAATACCCCGGCCGTTAAAACGAAGGTTTGCGGCGGTAGAGGCGCCCAATGCCCCGGAAAAGCGCGGCCGGGCTGCGTAGGGAAATCTCATGTTAGCCATCCGCATTGCTCAATGAAAGCACAATATGCTTAAGATTTCATGGGTATAGAATCGACAGAGTCTAGTCACTTACCAACCAAGCTCGACCGCAAGGCCGAGTTGTTGCGCACAACTCTGGCCGATCTCATCGAAACGGACATAGCGGATGACTGGATAGGAGGTGCTCGGGAGAGCGGGCGAAGAGATAGAGTAAAAACCACTATTGGGCAGTAGAGATTCGACTAGAATTGAAAGACCTCAGAAGATCAAAGACACAAGACGGGAAAAGAAAAGATTAAAGATTGACCTTCGGAATGATGGTCACGGCTCGCCGTTGTCGCTCTCCGAAGGACTGCGAGGAAAGAGGTGGCTCTGCACGTGATCTGACCGGCCTCGGCGTTTGCGGCCCGTCGCCGCCGGAGATAACAGCGCCAAGCTTTCTTGTCTGCGGAGGTTATTTCAGGGCAATATCGGTTTTTGACAGACTTTAATGACTATTGTTGTTGATGGCTGAACAGTCGCAAAACAAGATATCACATTGTCCAGCGGCCACATTTAGTCTATATAATCATATTAACATCAAGATGTATTTATTTAACAGGTCAAAAACCAGTAACCCCAAGTAGAAACGCAAAAAACAAAGAACGGCTGGTGGTAGGGTTGGGTATCAACGCAGTTGAATAATTCGAGCCAAGTGGAAAGAAAGGACAGGGGGCGAGGGCGTGCAAAGACGACAGTGAGAGCAAATTCGGAGTAGCTTAAAATACAAAGAACATCCAAAAAGTCAAGTGCGTCATTATTTCCTTTCACGCATCGATGAGTCGCCTGCAGAGTTCTGGTCTTGCACGCCCGTCGAGGCAGCACTGGAGTCAAGAGGAGGGATCTTGTCAATACCGGACCGGTCAGACAGCTTAACACCGGCAATATATTCCAAGCCGTTCGGGGCTGGCTCTCCTGTTGTGGCCTTCTCATCGGGCCCGGCGACCGTGGCGTTGTTTTCGGGAGACGACTGCCAGCGTGCAACATCCTTCTTCAGCTCCTCCAATTCTTTCTGGAATCGTTTGCCAAATACATCGATATAATAGGTTGCACCGTTATGAATGCTCAGAATGAACAAGCAGGTCAAAAAAGCCCCACTGGCCCACCGGTACCACAGCCACAGTGGACAGGGAATCATAGTCAGCATGGCATAGAGGTACTGGATCAGCATAAATGCTGGAGCCTGCAGTGACTCCGGAAGGCTAAGCACAATCTTGCCAATCCAGGCTTTCGAGTAAGATTTGCGAAGCCAGGTGAAGCTGGTCGGCCGTCCAGCAGCGATCTGCTCTGCTCGGCGAACGGTGATAAAGCAATGATAGGCAAGCTGCCAGACAATGTACGGTACGGTCGCCCAGCCCATCATAGAGAGAAGAGTAAAGTGTTCTGGAGACCCAGGATCGCTAAATTTGATGCTATACACCGCGGGGAATCTCTCCTTCAGTGTTTCGGCCGAGGTCAGGTGAACTAGGCAATGCAAAGTCATCGGAGGCATAATGTGAATGAAAAGGCTGCGAGCCCGGTTAGTCGGTCGACATTATAATAATGTTCAAGATAAATATGCCATACCTCACGACCTTATCCATGCTATGGAATACCATGGAGTTCCGCCACATGGCAATTGCAACCGCATTATTCCCGAACACCAGGCAAAACGTGCTAATAAAGAGTCTCGGCGAGCCTGGAAAGACCCAGAGACTCAACAGACAAAGCACATTGGCAAAGTAGCACAAGTCAGCCAAGAAGTAATGATACCCCTTCTTGTGGTATCGGTAATACCGAATGGGCATGAAGTACGCCAGCTGCGCGCTGAACCAGATGTAGAAATATTCGGGGTGTGCGCCGATGAGATAGCCACTGATAAAGATGTTGAGAACTCCAGCGATGAATGATATCTTTTCTCGCAGAGTGACTGTGGCCGCTTCGTTCCATTGTTTCCCTAGGCGTTCAACCCCGACCTTCATCCGCCGGCGATACTTGTCCAGGCGCTCGTCGGCCGTAGGAACCCGCTTTTTCCATTCGCCCACGACGCGCTCCTTTGCATTTATAGAGGTATACTTCAGTTTCTCGCGTTGTTTTCGCACTTTGTCTTTCTGCGCATTGATCGCTTGCTGAAGCTTTTCGAGCCGTTGCGAAAGGGAAAGGTTGTCGAGCAAGTCGAAGACTGACAGCTGGTCGAGGGATGGGAAGGTCTCCCAATCATCTTGGTACGAGAACGAGGGACTCCGGGACAACCTCCCTGGCGAACCAGGTGGCGAATAGTAGTTGTCGGAGTCTGCGAGCTCGTCCATATCAGATAGGTCGTCGTCGCCTGCGGCCGCGCGCAGCAAAGGCGAGTCATTTCGTGAGGGGAGCTTTTGGTCGTAGCCACCGTCCTCCATTATGAGTTTCTGTTGAAAGACAAAAATTGTAGGACCGTCACGGCGATGCGGATAGGGTCGACTAAGGAAGCGCCCAAATGTTAGCATCACCATATTTTCGGTTATGAGCCAAGCAGCAATTGCCCCGAAGTTGGAGTGACCGAGGAATCTCGAGCACCAAAGACCGAAGACAAGAGGGCAAGAAGCGAAGGGCCTTGGAGTCATTAAGAAGGTCAGGACAGGTCAACTCACCGGATCGAAAAGCGATACTGCCAAGCAGATAAGTAAAGTATACTATAGACGTGCTATCTCCGATAGGAAGGAATGGAATGAAAGGAACCGTGGGCCAGAGAACTCTGGAAACGATCAGGTGGGATTTGCGACGATTCAACGGACCAGTGTTCTTCAACGGTCGCAGCGCATGACAGAGGAAGATGCACTCGGATGAAGTCGAGAACAGACAAAGGCAGACAAGTGGGAAGAAGGAGGTTCTGGGTGTGCACGCGTTGCAGCTGGTGGTTGGCCAGTGCGGGAGGGTCGCGTCAGAGCACGGGATCGGCAACTAAAGTGCCTAGTTGGACCAGTGAGAGAGCCGAGTTGGAGAACATGGTCCAGACTACAGAAGTATGGAGTACAACTTTACTCTACTCCCTTGCTACTCCGTACGACGTACGACAGAGGACAATGCATATTGGTGACTTCCTTCTCTTTTTTTTTTCTTTCTGTTTTGTGCTATGAATGCTTCAATGAATAGACCCAATGCAAATGTGGACACTTTCTATATCAGCGTATATTATAACACAACCGAAGCAACAGGCTCTAGAATATTTCGAGGAAAAGTCACATCACACGCCTGGAAAATGCAAAACAAGGAAAGAACTCTTCAAATCGCTTTGAAAAAAGCATGAAACAAAACCCATAACCTATCTGTACACCTTGGAGTTAGAAAGCAAAAGAATGTGAAGAACGAGAGCGAGAGGGAAAATGGCCTTGCCCACTCTCAGTACCCTTGAAATCCAAGTGGCTGATGGGAGTGTGAAAGTTGACCCCAGAGTCCATTTTGAGGGGTTTGGCCAGAAGATTGAGCATTCGACTGCTGCTCATAATAATTTGCCATAGATGGCGGCCCTGAAGGTTGCACGGCTCTGATGGAATCATTCGTCGCCAGCCCACATGGGGTCATATTGTGCGAGTAGCCCGTCATGTTACTTTCTAGCGAGCTTCGTCGGCTGACGGCTGGCGACGTATTTGGAGTTAGTACAGCATCGGAGCACTGGCTTTGCGTCTGGCCCGGTGGGAGGTGATCAGCGCTTTGTACCGTGTCGTGGTTGTTGGATACGGCGATCATAGGAACGGACTGTTCGCCAACGTTGTCACCTGTCACTTGCTGACTGGGCACCGAGGTCAGGCTGGCCTCAGGCATCTGCACTTGAGAGACATGTATCACAGTGTCACCATCTGTAGAGCGAAATCAAGGTTAGCGTCAGCTCTAACTCGAGAATTAGGCCGTGCCCAAGGGTGCATACCAATTTTCCCGTCCAGGTATAACTCCTCCATGTCTCGAACATAGTAAATCTCGTCGAGAACTTGCAATCGTTCTTCAGGCACAATTCCTCGTCTGACATCCTGACCGGCGTCTTTGAGTTTCTCCGAAGTAATGTTGTGGCTCTCTCTAAGTTCACACAATATATGAACGAGAAGCCGAATTCTCTCTGTGTCGATAATGTTAGTAATGGGAGATTTGATACAAGCTACGCTTTTCAATCGCGGTTCTTACCAAACTTTAGAAGATGATCGGGCTCTCTGTGTCTTATTCCTTCAGGCCACCACTGAGGCTTGGTCAATTCGGGGTCCACTCGTTGAGACATTCCGGCCACGGTTGATCGTCCATTGTAAGGGTGGTGCACCTGCTTGCGAGGCTCTACCAACTTGACGAAGGCTTTCGCAATTGCTCTGCAATTCAGTTGCTGGAAGTTCTCAAATGCCATTTCGTAGTAGCGTCGCAAGAGGTCCTTGTTCCCAATGCGAAGTGGTGTCCATGTGATTGCTGGCGTAGGCGAAGGAGAGTCCGGGCCAATACCCGAATCAACGCGCCTCAGACTTCTCCTGTGACGCCTGTTCTGAACTGATTGCCATTCAAATGGAATGAGCCCGGGCTGATACCACCCCGAGCCGTGGTGCAAAGCCATGAAAGAGTTGCTTGCGGTCGGGAAGACCTGCGTTCTCCCCGTGACATCGCCTTCCATGTGACCCCCGGAAGCTGCTACCCGTTAGTATCAAGACCTGGCGAGACATTGTTGCGCTTCGCATCCATCCGCTCACGTTCACTTACTGGACTGAAAATTTGGCATCCCTGGATGCCAGGTTGTCTTTGCTGCTGCCCTCACAAATCTTTCCCTCACGTCCGGAGTGAAAATGGCCGGCTCGTACTCCATGATTGAGGGCGACGACTGAACCTGAGTCTCGCCATTACGATCGATATACATCATTGTAAAGTGAGGATACGGGAATGCATCTGCTGTTGATGGTGGGGCTTCAAGTTCCTGTGTGCCAGATCACATCTATCAATGACACGTCTATTGGGATGGAAGAGTACTGTCTCATACCGTTGGCTTTGGACGAACAGTCGCATCATGGAATGGTAGCATCTGAGATTGTCCCTCTTCTCTCATGACCACGGGCTGACCTGTCGTATCCATATTCAGGGACAATCTCTTCCAACAGTTGGAATTCGCAGAATGCTAGTAGGAGAAGTCACAAAAAGGCGGCCGCTGACCAGCAGGACAAGATATGTACCATCGATGAATTTATAATGCTCCACGGCCGGTCACGATGGCTCGGCGATTGCCATTTATAACGCACTGGCCAACATAAAACAATAACTTCGACTGGCATGCGCAACTAAGAGAGGAGAAAAAGTACGTTCTCCGACATCCTGGCCAACGGGTCATGTCATCTGAATGCTACGCAATGTGTGGCTGTTACGACCCCAAACTAATGCAAGGAAAACAAATACATACAGAATTGAACCATGCACTTGATTTTACAGCCAAGGCGAGTCTTCTCCATAACTGTACGTGGATGGGTCTGTCGTCGGAACCCCCTTTTTTTCCTTTGGATATTGGTTTTTTTTTTTTTCTCTCTCTTTCTCTTTTGAAGAGAGTGAGAGAAATGCAGGAAAGTGTTTCCATTTTTGGCATGATCACATTAATCTCCACAGCTTTTTACGACCCGGCAATCGATCGGATTATCAGCTAGGGAGGCGGCTTAAGAAAACAGAGATACACTGCCACCCTAGAAGTGAGTCTAGGCCAAGAGTTCACAATAAAGCCTTATCTCTACAGGAACTAGCGTTCCGAATGGGCTTTTCTGCGTTCATTGGAGAGGAAGATCTACGACCATGAATGAAAGCTGGACCGAAGTAGCCGTGAATGATTAAAAGTGACGACCTGAGATCCTACAACATCCAGAGCACCGAAACTTTCTAACGGACTAACCTGAATGAGTGAAAAAGCTGACTTACAACCTGTCTAGGCCCTACGGAGTAGATCGTCAAGTATTGACTGTGAGAGTCGGGTTCTGACAAGGTGGTGACACCTGTGCGCCTCTGAAATCATGCATTGCGCACGTCCTGGTTTGCGAGGCCCACCGCTCCTGATTCATAGCTAATATCATTTCTCGATCGACATTTTAGAGAGGGATACGAAGAATCGTTTGGCGGAAAATACGGCTTCTGCTTCTCGCGAAAATCACCCGTTAAGACAGGAAGAAATTTACTATCATATTGACGTTCCAGACCGTTGGCATATTATCGGTGACAATGAAGTCTACACGGAGTACCTAGAGACTAGGGGTGCGAGCTTCAGTTATGATGAAGGCCATGGGATCTTTAAGCAAAAATGAGGCTATGTTAGTATAGCCTGCTCTTGTCATTTTTCTCGCGGCTAACGACAGGATTGTTGACATTGCGTCCATCATAGAGTAGAACACGCCGAAGCTACGTTTATTCCAATACCTTTGCGGTCATGATCGGAATCCAGCCAGTGGGATAGCCTCCTCGATGATCCGCACTGACCGAGCCTTACAGAAAAGAAAAAGAAGAAAGAAGAATTAAAATAAAAACAGAAATCGGGCGCACAGTCAAAGCGCGCAATAGGCATACCCTCGCAAAGGCGATACCTACGGCTTGACCGCTGATCGCTGTCACTCCGTGACAGTGGCACCCCAGTGTCTCAACAAATAGAGTTCAACTTGTACATAATGAAACAAATCCACGCCGTCATGCCTAGGCAGATGGCGCGAAGGTCTGCAGGACTCGACCATTTTGACACGATAAGGTCCGAACGGGCTACATCCATATTGAAATCGAGACGAGGGGGTCGTCAATTGCTCCTATAGACCACTGCGCAGACCGGAAGCCATCCATACCACTGCGGATAAAGCTTCCAAGATTGACCATTGGACCTCCTAATTTATTTGTGCAACAGCAGGAATGAGGGGGAATGGTGTGCGAAAGCAAACATTTCGATCCTTCAGGTCTCAAAGGGGTAAGCCGGCAAGTGGTCAGCCGCGGAAGGCTGCCGATATTGTTGTGCAGCAGAGTCTCAGCCAACGCCACAGTTGACACCAATGCCTAACCTAATGTCCACCGGGCCTGTGGGCGAATCAGCGAGATCAGAGAGGGGTCACTCTGGCTCTCCCTCACGTCTACGTATGCGGGAGAATGGATGCCTTTCGCAGTTTCCTTTGGTTCTGACCCTGCTTTTCCCTCATTCTGCTTAGTTGGAACGATGGAAAATAGGGCCGGCCCCGTCCCGATTCCCGAGAGACCTGCATATTACAACTACGGAGTCCTAGCGACAGTGAACCAGAAAAGCCGCCACGTATTCTCTGAATACCTGATGCAGGAAAATCGGGTACCAGGAATTTGCTACATGATGGCTTGCAGTCTGGGGATCCGAGCGAGGCCCGTCAGTGGCGCCGAGAAAAAGGGCCAGCGGGGAGCCAAAAACAAGGTAAATTGACAGCTGAGCAGTGTGGTAAACGTTGGGCTTCCATTTGGCGCAACAGGCCCGTCGAGGGATTGTCCAGCGAATGACATGACGCCCTTCGATTAGTGGTTGCCTGCATGGAGGACAAGCGTGATGTCCGAGCACTGGCAGGAATGGATGAATCTAGTGAGAACTTGCTACCTGTAAGTTACAGAGACCGTCAGCCACTTGGATTCGTTGGTCCGTGAATCGATCAAAAATCGAAGATCCGATGGATAATCAACTCCACACCGAATATTCGATCAATAAGATCCAGACTGTCAATGTCCCACTTCCTCGACGACTGAGTCTTGTAAGGCGACCAGCATGAATGCTTACCGCTCTGGCTCGAAAAAAAAAAGAGAAGGAAAGAAAGAGAGCCAACACTAAAGAAAGCGATTGTTTCAAGAGACTTTGCCACTGTTGCACCATTTTCTCGATTATTTTTGTCTCGCAGCACACTATTGGTTTCGTACTTGCGGATATTGATGCAAAATGCCCGGCCGTATTTTCAGCGTTTTCCATCCCATCCTCCGTACGGAGTACGGAGGATGATCCTCCAAATTCAATGTCGTCGCGCCGTGGCTGACGCAACGAAACCCTACATGCGACGGCAATGAATCATGGAAGCCCGTTCGTCCTGTTTGATAAATGTGAGGTATCGTCGGAATAGAAGGGTGACAACCCCTGAGCAGCACGGCGGATAGTGTACTCCGCAATCCGGACTATGAGATTCTTGTTTATTTAGGTTTAAGCCGAGAGCTCTTTGAGCTCCCTCCCCCACTGATTGACACTGCTTATTACTGTCCCTGAAGAGGTCGATGCTTTGCCTCGCACAAATGGGAAGCTCACCACCGGGCCCAGTCAAACGAACTCCTTTCAAATGACGGCGTGTTACGGAGCGACTCATGTTTTAGGCGCCCAGGATTCCATGTCTTTCAAAGCCCGATCGAGATCATCAGGTGGGCAACGAAATGGATACATATGCTATGGGGGAATTGGTTATAGTTATCCGGATTCACCGTGCATATGTATCTATTCCCGGCAACAACCGTCCTCGGATAATGCTCCACCTCCAATTTCAACGAATGATTGCTCTTCAAGTTCATGATGATTTCGCCGGAGAAGAGCACTGCAATCTCCACTGCCCCGTTCTCGACCACTGACACCGGTTTCTCCTTTCTCAGTTCATACTGATACGATCTGCCAACCCAAGTGATCCCGGTGGTGGCGTTGCCTCCATTGGCCAACAGGAGCCGGAACCTACCCTATCAAGGAGATGTCGATGGAGGCAGCCAGAAACAATGGGATTTCTTCGTCAATCGGCGGAACACTTTCTTGCCCGAGTGAGTCGAGTAGTTGAATTTCAGGTCATCCGGGCTAGGCTTCTACATGCGGTCTTCGTCTTACGGGCCACTGGCGGATGGGTATGATGCAGACGTCTTCGCTGCCGTGTAGCATCGCCGCTACTATGATGTTCTCATACTAGGGGCTTATCTACGGTAAGTGATTGCTCCAAAATTACGAGAATGAGAGTTCATTAGACTTGGCCGGTCCAACAGCTTTGGATCCAAATGAGCACGGAGTACGGAGTAATCTATATATAAACATCTTGGACTAATAGCTTGCTTAGCCTTGTATTTGTAGGCATCCTACATGCCTAAGGTGCAAGCTGGCAGGCATTTCAACGTTTGCCTATCCCTCGATGGCCCACCGAGCCTGTTAAGAACAGTATCTATGTAGTTGTATGCTGCATAAAAATACCACTATGCATTATCTGCTAGGGCTCAAGACGAGATGAATGACGCTGCGCTCGCTGAAACTTGAACATCTGGTTGATCTCTCTTCAAAACGAGCTTGGCTGTTCCGTTTCGCTCGCTTCATACAGTGCCACTAGATCTGAACCTCATTGTAGATCGACCTCAGAGGGTCGTAACCATCTAGTTTTATGGACGATCTTCCAAGATATAAACAAGATTGGAGCCAGCACCATCATGGTATAATCCAAGAAAAAGCTCTCGGCACTCCATGGGGCAAAGGTGCGGTATCCATAGCAGAACAGCATCAGCGTCATCCACCCAGTTGAGACGTAGCCACAGTATGGCTGGAAGCGAGCGTAATAGGGCAATTGAGATCGGTCGAGCCCTTGTGCTTGGCATGCGCGATAGAAGCACAGATAGGTGATCGAGATGACAACGTAGTTGATGAGGACGTTGGTGGTCGTTAGACGAATGAGCCAGTTTAGTCCGGTCTTGGAGTTTCCTGACATCTGCATAAATGAGAGGCAGCCGAATGCCATGGCCACTATGAAGCAGTAGATCGGGACGCCTCGAGCATTGGTCTTAAGGAATAGACGCGGAGCCCGGCCACCAACTGCCAGGCCGTATAGGGCATGCATTGCAGCATGACAGTATGTGTTTCCCGCAGAGAAGACAGCCGTCAGCATGAGCGCCGTGGCTAGATGAGACAAACCGATGATGACGAGATTCTCCATGGCGATGATCCACGGCGACGAGGCAGCGGAGGAGGTTTCACTTTCGATGGCATCGACCAGCTTGGGGTCGTTGGAAGCTAGGATCACCCCGACGCAGATCGCACCTCGAATAAAGAAGACGCAGAACCTCGAGTAGACGCGTATGTTGCAAAAGCATCGGGGGTGTTCCAATAGCGAATATGCGTCATGGCTTGGATTGCCTCCGACCATTGTTATGAAGGTGAAGGCAAAGAGGATGAGAATCAAGAGGACCCTTCCCCCTGAAAGCCAAAACTCCGCGTCACCGTAGGCATTGACAATGAAAAGGTGCGTTGCACTGCAGTAAGATAAGACAAGAATCAGCATAAGCTCCGTGAGAATCAATCCTACTTTGACTTACGAATAAACAGCAAGACAAGTCAAACATACAGCCCACGTGGGAATGTCATCTCTCCAGAAGGTGAGAAGCACATTAACCGCCGAGATCTCGAACGGGATATTGAGTGCCATGAAGATGAAGAAGTTCTAACCAGCGAGAAACCCCAAGCATCGTCAACCCATTTTCCTGCGAGTGCAGTGAAGTCACCGGTGACGGGTATGTAGGTTGTAATGCAAATGAAGATACTCTAGAAACAGTAATTGAGCCCAGGCTGCATAGATACATTCTATCTTGCCTCGTAGATCGGTCATGGTGGGGAGGGGCATTTGCGAGGTGTGTTCTGAGAAGGGCCTCTGAGCACTGAGCAGTCACGACGACATGTGATACGGCGCGGCGTTTGGCCCGGCAAGCGGCGACCTTGTACTACGAATTTCTCCCCTGAGCATCCAACGAGGCAGGATGCAATCCACCCCGAGAATACCCAGCCTAGTTGCCTGTCTGGCCTGGTCAGTTTTCTCATCCACTGTGACAGTTTACCGCATGAAAATTAACTGCTCTTGCTTAGCCGCACGCGCAAAATTCGATGCGATGGGCGGAATCCTTGTAGCAGAGTAAGATCTCTCGTCGGAATTTTCACCATCTTGAAGTAATGAGTCAATCTCTAGTGCTCCTATAGAGGATTGAGCTGCGTCTATCGCCCCAGTCGTCGAGGGATAAACCGGCGCGGTACGAAGAAGCCGATCACCGAGTCTCCGTCCCAACCTCACAACCTCACGTCGTCTCCCTTGGTCCCTTTCCCTATCTCTGCGTCAGCCAATGAGATGAAAGGGGATGATCTATTTAGCATTCCCATCTGCTAAGCCCCCTTGGCGGCGTTCGAGATCTGGATGTGGACGTGATCAACGGGTCGAGACATGAAGATTGGAGCGGCGTGCCAGTCACCGGGAACAATGGCCTTCTGGGGTCCAGTCATGTCCCCTTGCGCACATACACGTCCGATGAAGACATGTCAGTATCGGCATCGAAGCTGTGGCCTGAGTGACCGATGGTCCGTAACTGACGCTGGCTTTAGTCTGAATGCCTACTACGTACACATTCATCCCGTCCTGTCCATACTCCCGCCTCCTCTATCAGACCAAATCAGTGATCGGCCCGTATGGGTAGAGGTCATCGAGGTCGAAAGGACCTCTCTGCCACACTGGCCGGCTTCTGCACTTACACTGGCAATCTCTGCCATACTTGCTTCAATTGCGCGGCCTCAGGACGACTCTGATAAATTTGCGGAATCGAGGATATCTACGAGTCGTTCGGCTGCACAACTTTTCGCAGAAGCGGCCTTCCGCGAGGTGGAAAATGAGATTGATCGGATCTCTCGAGTATCGAACCAAACAAGCCTCTTCACAGGGTCAGACACGGATGCCGGCGCCATTTCACGATTATCTCCTGTTATTGCTCTTATATTACTAAGTATTCATGAATATTGCCAGAGAGGAAATGTATCCCGCATGCGGCGTCGCGCCAATCAGGCCATCACCACAGCTATGGACCTTGGCTTGAACAGACTAGGAGCTGCAGCGACCGAAGCACAGCGTCGGGCATGGTGGAGTGCGGTGTGTTATTCTCTCTGTTGTCAAGTGCCTGGTTGAGGGGTTCTGATGAGTCCTGCAGATGTTCATGCTTATTCTATCGTCCATTGATCATGAAACCGTAAGTGCTCCTATAGTTTCATGCACTTCCCTCTCTTCATTCCTTATTGCCAACTCCTGTTCTGACAAGTAATGCTAGCCACCTATAAATTCTCTTGGTGACCAGAGAATAACTACTCCTTATCCTTCATTTCACAATCAACCAGAGGTATGGTCGGATCTGTATAAACCCAAGATTCAGCATCACTGATTTTTCTTTCAGCTATGGCCATTGCTGCTCCAGGCTGGAGCCGCCATCCTATCTGTCTCGCAGACTCTGCGTAACCACAACGCCCACTCAACAGTAGAACCGTCTTCATCGTCGAATATCTCCGCGAAGATCACACAACTTGACTCTAATCTATCCAAGCTGACGCGGAAGCTAGACCGCTCGCCACAGCTTGAATCCGGGATTAGTGTCGACACACAAGGGCTGCGAACTATGTGGGCAATTGCCCAGGCCCTGGCCTATTCGTAATGTTCCCAGTTCTCCCAGCCCCTACATGTCTGACTTCCCCAGGGCCCGTGTACGATTACATCGAGTGCGTGTCTTCACCGACATCCCCTTATATATCAACAATCACTGTGACTTGATTTCCTACCAGGAGACCAGAAACCCGTCCCAAACACTCTCCAGTGGGATCTTTACGTCAAGCGTATTCCCGTTCACGGAAGCGCAATCCTCCCTGATCTGTCTCAAAGCATCCCTGGCCATGGTGCGTGCCTATGAAAGAGTCGCAATATTTGCTGAGGGTGGTCCTACTGTTACTTCTCGTGCTACAACTACCCCACCCCAAGCGCATATTGTACTGCCATTTTTCATGTGCGGAGCGATGCAGGCTTCGTATGTCTTGCTCATAACACACTACCGACTCCAAGTGTCGCTGCGGTCAAAGGATCAGGGGTCGACATACAGTCACCTGCTTCATCATCCCGAGCCGGGATTCGAGGTCCAGGATACGGAGCGATTGCTGCGCGAGCTGCGGCAGGGCATTGACTCGGTCCTTAGGGTTGTGAGGTTGGCGACCATGTTTGAAGGGATCAGAGGCATGGGCGAGGAGATCCAGGCGGCGTACCACGGTGTTTGTGCGGGGGACTTCTGAGATTAGCCGCTCGGTGTTTATTGAATAGGCTAAAAGATAGATGGGGAGGCCAAGCGTGGAAATATTTTTTAAGGATAGCGCAGGCGAACGGGCTGTCGGTGCGGCGATTGATCGGTCGCCGGGGTAGGGCCAATGTGTGGGTATCAAAGCCCGCGGTGGGTCTATCCCTTTTTATACTTCACTCTCACGTACTGATGAGGGGTTGTCAGGGCGAAAGAGGGAAACTGGCTGATGATTTATCTAATAGCCAAACTATGACGACTCTGTGTCTTCATAGACCGCATGAAGAGACTGAACAAGGTTCTGCTTCAAGTCTTCAACATCCTCCAAGCCACAGCTCACTCGCAGCAGCCGTTCATCGCAGCCCTTGTCACTCATCGCCCGCCACTCAATTAGACTTTCCACATCCCCTAAACTTGTCGCATGCTGAAATATCAGCATCTTACTTGGCAACCGCTTCGCCTGCTCTGCGCTCTTCAACCAGATGGAGAACAACGGCGCAAACCCTCCGGGCATCTGCCGGCGCAGCAAGCCGTCCTGCAAATCCTTCGTCTGCAACGATGCATGCCACACGCTCTCCACTACCTGCCCTACCACAGAAGAAGCCCCCTTCTGCATCTCCTCCACCAACCAGGTCACCAACTGCTCTGCCGTCTCCGATTACCGCCGTACGCGCAACTCCAGCGTCCGCAGCGATCGCAATCCAAGCCATCCCTCCAGATTTCCCATCACAGCCCCCAGCACCAGCCGCTCCGCGTACGGAGTCTCCAACCACCCCTCGCGGACCCGATCCGGATGCACGACCAGAATACCGCACATCAGGTCCGAGTGACCGCCGATATACTTGGTCCCGCTGTGCAGCACGAGATCGGCCCCGAAGGACAGAGGGTTCTGCAGTGGTGGCGGCGCCAACGTCGAATCTACCACCAAGTACGCTCCGGCTGCATGAGCCCGGGCACGGTAGTAGGCCAGGTCTCGTGCCTCACCCGTGGGGTTGACGGGCGTTTCGATATGTACAACGTCGCCCGCGCGCAGCTGATCCAGGTCATGATCCTCCAGCCCTAGTTTCTGCACGCCGCTTAGTTTGCCGACGAGTACAATCATGCTGTGCACGCCGTGGTATCCGGGACCGACGCACACCCTCCGCAGGTTCAGTAACACCATGGCAGCATGGAATGCAGCGAGTTCCGTGCGTAGGTCATTATGCCGCCGCCGCCGAAAAGGTGCTTGAGGACGGTTTCGAAGCGGCTTGCGTTAGGGGCAGAGTAGCGTCCGTAGACGTGAGAGTCGAGGGAGGCATTGGGCTGATTGTTAGGTCGCTTTTGGTTAGTTCTTGGAGAAGCCGGACTGAGAAGAGAGATGCATGGGGACGTACGTCTTTGTTCTCCATTTGGATGAGCTGGGAGGGTTCTCGCGCATATCGATATGTGACGGCCACATGCATCGCCGGCGCTATGGCTCGGTGTGCGCTGACACTGTCGTCCGCGTGGATGGCCTTGGTGGCCATCGCCATGTGCGGCAGTGCTTTGGACAGGTTTTCCGATGAGGATGCCATGGCACTTGCGATATAGAGTTCCAAAATCTGGGCTTGACTCTATTGCAAGGGGAACTAACCTACTTATCAGCAATCATCGCATATGATGAAAACTATGAAGATTGACCCACATCAAACGCCGCTCCGATCTTGAGTCGCCGCTCTGGGTCTAAGGACTTACGGTGTTTTCCCATCTGTTGACTCACACTCCAGTCGACCTGGTTAGAGGCCACCTGATAGACCCAGGTAGGAGTATTTTCTTGGCATGCACTAGATAGCCTCCTCGGGTTGTGCTATACCATTTTCCCTTAAAGTTAGGTTCACACCTGTATCTGCAGTCCCACTCCCCGAAGGTGACACTTCAATCTGCACCGTTGGCACATGGTTTCGACTGCCTACCAACGGTTGTCGAGCACCTTGCTTATCCGTCGCTCTAGCCTTGATATTATGCCTACGGGGCTGGGTGATAGAGATCTGGAAGCGAAACAGTTGCCACTCAAACTGCTTCCGCGGTGCCACGCTCGCCTCAACCCAACTGTCTCCATCCGGGCTAATTGCGACGTGCGCTATCTATTCTGCTCCCCATGCCCGTCCCCAGCCCTCCACGTATGCGGGACACGCAAACGCTTCCCGGGGACGAGGCCGTACAATGATCGGGTTTGGCTGAACCGCCCACACGGGCCTGGTGCGGTTGCCCTCCAAACCCACCGGATCAGGCTCGTTATAAAAGACAGTAGTGAACGACCCTCTAGCTCTGGTCTCCTGCACCGACAAGCGACACAACCACTTTGTAGAATTAGTCCCAAACCATCCCGGCACGACGAGTCTCACCGGCCCGCCGCGCTTCTCATTCAACGGCTGTCCATTCATCTCGTACCCCACCAGCACTTCCGGACACCGGGTCTTCTCAATAGGCAAGTCCTTCTGATACCTGTCCGCTTCTACTCCAGCAAACGTCCCCGAGTCCAACCCGTCCGACCACACAAATAACCCTCGATCAGCGTGTGGCCGCGCAAGCGAGAGGAGATCCCACAACGGTACCCCCGTCCATTGCACGTTGCCAATTCTCCACACATTCTTGGTCGGGGGAGGGTTGAGCGGACTTCCGTAGCATTCGTGGAACGAGATAATTGACTTTGCAGGCATTTGTCGTAATTGTGCGAGAGTGATGGAGAATGGACGCTCGACGAGCCCGTCGAGGACCAGTCTCCAGCGACTCGTGTCTACCAGTGCAGTTCCCATATGGATGGTTTGGAAGAGAAGAGCGTCCGGGGTCAGCGTCTCGTCCAGCTCATGCTGTGCCGGAGGTAGACGTATGAAAAAGCCTTTGGGTTGAATGTCGATTAGGGCTTCGCGCGCCGTGTCCATGATGATGTCATCTCCACGAGCGATGAAATTGACTGTAGCCATATCACTGGCGATGGGTTTGCTGGGGAGCTTGTAATAGCGTCACTTAACAACAAGGAGATTGGGGCAATGACTGTTTTCCTTATTCTGATGAGAAAGTCATAAAGTTCTGGTGAAGTTTGAATCTTCTTCTCCGCTAGTGCCGCAATAACCGTGCGCCTTCTCCGAACATCCAGAGCAAAGGCCGCAGCAAATGCCGCGAAGCATCTCGAATAGTAAGAGCACAACTCATTTCTCTGCACCTTCTGGATCAAGCAACACAACCAGCATGAAAACTGTTTCTGCCCGAGGCCGATCATTCGCAGCACAGCAACCGGCCTTCCGCGATGTCTTGAGTAACTCGTGGGACCCGCAGTCTAACCCTAATGGCATTGTCACTCTGGGGCTGGCTGAAAATGTAAGCACGCAGGACAGACTTTGGTTCAGATAAATGAGCTAACCTCTATCTAGGCCCTCATGCATGAGGAAATGCTAGACTTTGTCAATTCCAAGGTATTCCGTGCAGCCCCTCTCAGTTACCCCAAAGACGCTATCCTAATTAGGGTGAGATCTATAGATTCAAATCGACGCACATACATTGACATACGGCGACGGATTCAGCGAGTCGCATCAGCTCAAGAATGCCCTCTGCCGATTCCTGAATCGTTCCTTTTGCCCTTGGACAGCGCTCAGCACTTCTGACCTAGCTATTACATCGGGTGTTAGCAATGCACTCGAGTGTTGCGCGTGGGCGTTGGCCGACCCAGGTGACTATATCCTCGTCGGACGGCCGTACTTCAACCCCTTCAAGTCCATTTTTGGGACGCTACCGGGGTATGAACAGTTGTTCTAGTTTCATCCTACTGGCAGATAGGCTGACACAGTTTGCAGGGTTGAGTTACTGAAGGTCGCATTCGCAGGAACAGATCCGTTTAGTTTAGCTGGAGTGCAGCAGTATGAAAAAGCTTATGTCGAGGCGAAAAGCCGCGGTCTTTCTATTAAGGCGCTTTTGTTGTGCTCGCCACATAATCCTCTTGGTAAGTTGTTCAAGGGTCGCTTATAAAGAAGGCCGAATATTCACTGATCACTTTCTCCCAAGGCGCTGCTACCCGGAAGATGTCCTGCAAGAGTATATGAAGTTGTGTGCGAGGAATGAACTTCATCTGATCAGTGATTAAATTTATGCCCTGTCAACCTGGAAGAATCATCGTCTTCCAGATGCACCGGGTTTCAAATCGATTTTGTCCCTAGATATCGAGAATTGGATCAACCCGAGCATGGTGCACGTTGTTTGGGGGCTCAGTAAGGTACGAAGCCTAGCGATTAATCTCCCCAGGAAAACAAGACAACCAATGCCTCTTATACAGGACTTCGGCGCCACAGGCCTACGAATTGGATGTTTAATCAGTCCATCTAACACGTCTCTCTTGGAAGCGGCCGAGGGCATTTCGTGAGATCTCCCATGGTTCTGTGGTTACTATCCACAAAAGGTCTTGCTAACCACCAGCCATCACCCTCATTATAACCTTCATGATTTCCCATCTAGCGTCGCCGATCGAATAGCATCATCTTTCCTCCTTGATGAGAAGTTCACGAATCAATATCACTCGACCAATCGACGTCGGTTGACCGCGAGCTATCATTTCGCTGCTGATTTTCTCCGCGCGCACGGAATCCCATACATCGAGTGCTGCGCTGCCTTCTTCATCTGGATGGATCTGGGAGCCATGGTGAAAGATCAAGGGGCGACTGACGCAGACATTGTGGCTCGGCTGCGACGGGAAAAGGTCTATATAGCGGCGGGAAAGGCGTATGCGGCGGAGGATGCGGGATGGTTTCGTTTGGTATTTGCGCATCCTAAACACGTGTTGGAGGAATGTTTGAAGAGGATAATTCGTGCAATTCGAGTGGTGTAGTTAGACTTCCTGCTCTGTGTCTCATAAGGGATCTGTAGTCGCCAGGCGCCCACACTTAGGGCTCAGGGATCTCGCGGGTGGATCATGCCTAACCCTTTCAAGATTCCCTTTCTTTTCCTTTCTTCTATCCTTATGTCTGCATACCCTTGGACCTCATATGGTCGGTCAAGTAGGTGTGGAGTGTATTGTACACTTTGTGATCTGGACCATGATGATCTGTTCGGGGTCACTGAATGAAGGGTCAACCCACGAGGTGCTGCTCACCATAAGACGTCTGTTTCTTATGATAGCTACCTAGTTTTCTGTCCCAGGACTGGCAATAATCCCCAATGTGGTCTCCACTCATCCTGGATTAGATGCGGAAGGATGAGTCTGGAGCGAAACGTGCCCGGTGCCTTCCACCGAAGACTCCGTCATGATGACACGAGCGGCCAACACAGCAAGGCATGAAACAAATAACACAGGGCGAGCGGGATTCGAACCGTGGGCTTTAAAAAAAACGGTAGCTTTTTTTCCTTGATTGAGCGTACCTTCCCTCCTAAGGGGGACCTCATCGAGCAGGCATCGGGCGGGCCTTGCCAACTAGACCATCAACCCGCCCAAAGGAATATTTCAGACAATTCCAACCATGGCTAGATGAATTGTAAGCCTGGCTAGTTGCTCTGAGTGCGAGTGCTGGGGATAGCGTGAAGCTCAAGCCAGCGCCAATGTCCAACTGCGCCGTTGAATCGACGAAGTCCATCCGAGTCGCTCGCAGGCTACTTGAGAATTCCAAACATCTTCCAGAATCAAAAGAGTCCTCGCAATATTTCCAAATCGCAGTCTATCGTAGAGACCTTTCATCTGATTGCGTATGAAGGTTTGCTGACCTGCCGTGCTACTGGCCAATTTGCAGGTTTATGCATCTATATTGCATGAAGCTCGGCAACAAACCTGCTAGACGATTGAAGATTCAAGAGTAAGCAGACCATGAAGAGTGAACGTCACATCCGGAGTTCTGCAAAATATCTGCCTGATGGGGGCAATGCTTGGTCACGAGATATGACGCATTGCTTTTCTATACTCTGGTTTTTATTTGGCATGCGAGATTGTTATTTCTTTTCTTATTTATTCAATGCCAGTTATAAGTGCTATGTACTGATATAAATACAACTGGTCCATTGAGGACTTCCGGCGACACCTCGACCGCAATTAATACCTAAGGAGACTGCAAGAAGTCGCATACCGCTGATATAGCACATATAGTCAGTACCATGCCTGGCTTCGGATTTAGGGTTCCTTACTCTGTCTAAATTCTTCCGGCTTTTCTTGAACGATCCAATGCCCACAGTTCATATCGACGATTTTTGAGCGTGGGAATAAAGAAGATATAAGTGGAAAAGCACTGTCCGGTATATAGTAACTGCGACGAGCCCGAAGAAACAATGCGGGTTTGAGGAACTTTGTAGAACTAGTGTTATAAGGAAAATCACCAAGTGGGCCCAATGCGGTTTCCAGGATGTCAAGGGGAAGACGTGACCTTAGGTATTTGTGGTGACTGTCCTTGATAAAGTTGCTCAGCAGAAATAGTCGTACAACTGGGGACTGTCGAATAGTTAGCCAAATACCAAACATGCATCATAGGCTGACGGAAAGAAGGAAAAAAGAGAAAGACTGTACGTGCCTCCTCGAATTTTGCAAGAATCCGCTCTCCCTCCGCATGAGTTCGGACATGGGCCTGTTCTACCTCTGCCAGGCCTTCCATATACCTTTTGAAATCGCTCGGTATGGGCAGAGCAATTGGGCCGTTGTCGACCGCAACGACATTTGACACAATGTCGGGATTATGAAGAGCTAGAGTCAATGCTGCTTTAGCGCCCCTAGTACCAAAGGTTAGCATCCAGCTTCATCGAATGCAACAACAGCGGAAAATGTGTCTTACATCGAATGACCGATGACTGTTGCGCTCTCAAATTTGTGCTTCTTGATGAATGACTCAACGTCCAATGCCATCTCCATGTAGTCGTGCCTCTGGTGGTGGCCTGAGTCACCATGGTTCCGGAGGTCCTGATGTCTCGTCAGTTTTTGGAACTGATGTAGTCAAGCTATAGCTTCCTACCAGAGCAAACACCCGTCGCGATAGATCTTGCGACAAAAGCCTTAAGAGGTCGATTAGCGCAATTCGCAGGAGAACAATGAGGATTGTGACTCGTAATCGTACCTGCTTACCCGCGCATTCTCCCTCTTGGATCCCAGGAATCCATGGAGAAAAATGATCGGGGGTCGATGTTCGTCTGGTCCTTTGCTCTTTGGCTCATGTACTTCGTAGGCCAGGGGGACTCTGGAAGTTGCACGGGAAGCGGAGGTGTGCATACGTCGAAGATGTTTTGTCAATTGCCTAGCGACCATTGCTGTGCGAATGTCCGGATATAACTGACTGGTAGATGATGCTATCTCATGGCCAAAAGACAATCAGGACAAGCCAGTCGGACATTCCATACTTCGCACCTCTGGCGGTCTCGCCCCTTTCGGCTGGTTTTCTCGGAGTCTTGCAGTGGACTGCGGCACATCCAATCACAGGGCCAGGGCGACTATGGAGTTTGAGTCCCACAAAAGATATTGGCGTTAGTCCGGATGGGGAATGAATCGTCGGGCTATACTGGGGATCCTGTTCAAGCCCTGGCCATCCCATGTTCCTACTACTCTGGTTGACTTGGATGGTATTGACTTATTACTTGCTGTCTACGTCACATGGGTGATCAGGAATTGGCTACCTCGATGGCAACTATGTCTTACCCATACAGAAGAAAAGAGCCGGTCAGAATGACTGTCACGATTCCAGGTCAAACGCCTACAGCAGGAATCTATTAACCCCCATCGAAGCAAAGCAAGAAAAGATTACCCATAAAAAATCATGTCATAAGCGGGCAAAGTTGACAGCTATTCTACACGCACGTCGCAAGAAATAAAGGAGCAAACCCGTAGGCTCATCGCAGAAAGTAAAGAGATAATGAGATAACATTCCTAGCCATTTAGTTATATTTCCGTAGCTGCAAGTAAACAAAGAGGTCAGTAATCGGCCAAAGTCACGCCCGGAAAGGGTGTTGCTTACATCAAGCGTCAGTGATTTACTGCTGTTCTCAGTCTGGTCCCGGTAGATACCCACCAGGGCCTCACTGTTCTGGAACAGGCCAGTCTTCAAACTGATCACAATGAACTGCATTCCAGGGGCGGCGTGGTCATGGATGTAGTTGGCAATTCGCGCCACGTTGGTGTTGTCCAAAGCCGCATCGACCTCGTCCAGAACGAAAAACGGCGATGGCTGGTATGAGTGGATTGCGAACAACAAAGCCAAAGCAGCCATGGTTTTTTCACCACCGGATAGATGTTCCATGTCGCGGAAACGCTTGAGTGGGGGCATCGCATGGTACTTGATACCGTCAAGGTAGGGCTCGTCCGAGTCCTCGATATCCAGGTAGCTGCGAGACGTCTTGCATCAGTATATGAGTGGCTTCATAGCAAAGAATAATGATCGACTTACGCTTGTCCACCCAACGGGTAATTGGCACTCTTCGTCAACTCGCGGTAAATAGGAGCGATTTGATCAGAGATATGAGTGAAGGCCTTGTTGAACAGGTCGGATCGCTGACGCATGACGTCCTCGAAATCTTCCTTGGCCTTCCGAGCATGTTTGCGGGCGTCGTCAAAGTCCTTTTCGGTGCCACGGAGTTTGTTCTCGACACTCTCCAGGCGCTCAATGGCTCTCGTGTTGGGGGCCATCTTGTCGAGTTCGCTGCTGAGGTTTCGTACTTTGTCCAACAATTCTTCTTCAAGCTTGTCATCGTCCTCCTATCCTCCCGTAAGCGTCAATCTTCCCACAGCCAGGACCATATCTCACTCACCTCCTTAAGAGTTTCTCCCAAGGAATCAAAATCGACCTCGATTCCGTAGTCTTGCACAGTAAAAGTATCGCCGGCGCCGGCGCCATCCTCGTCAACGTCCATCGCATCAGGATCGGATGCTTGAATGAGATCATCAATGGGAAGCTGTTCAAGAGGGTTGGAATCCTCTGTCAGCGGGATATCAATGTCTTCAAGCTTGCAGCGCCGTAGAAGAGCATATCGGCTGGATGAATTGCGTTGGACGTCTGTTTCCAAGGCGTTAACATTCTTCAACGTCCCTTCGACTTCCCTGCTGCGCTTTTGAAGTTCCCTGCGGTGTTGCGCCAAGTTCTCGGCGGAGTGCGCATAGGCCTCCTTCTGTTCTTCAAGTCGCTCCCGGAGAATGTCAAGTTCAGCATTGTATTCGTCCAAACGGTTTCCGATTTCTTCCTGTTCTGCTTGGAGCTCCTCGATCAAGTTTTGATCGCGCTGGTGTTGAGCCTCAAGACTGGCAATGCGATCACCAGTAGCCTGGAGTCGCTGTTTCTCGAAGCTCAGCTGGTTCTCGATTCGACTCTTCTGTGTCGTGAACTCCAGCTTCTTTTGAGCAGCCTCTTCATGCAGGGAGCCCTGTTGGACTTCATATTCGCGGATGTTGCTGTAACCAAGGCGCTTGCAGAACTTGCGGTAAATCTCGTCCTCAACATTGCTAACCGATTCCTGCGATTCGGTGATGGTCTGGTCAAGTTCCTCCAAAGCTTCTTGCCGCTCAAAGTACTTCGGCCTCAGCTCTTCCAGCTGGCGCTTAACGAAGTCCAACTCCGTGCGCTTGCTCTCGAGGTTCCTTTCCAGAGCCTTGAGCTCATCTCGAGCATAGGCCAGACGCTGCTCAAGACCGACGAGCTCACCCTGAAGGGTTTCCTCTTCGGTTCCGCGGCGGTGGCCCTTCGGAAGATTGGTGAGATCGGCCAACAGTTTGTCCTTGAGCTTGTACAGATTCTCCACCTCGGAGTCCTCCCACCGCTTCGAGTTTTGCTGAGGACCTTTACCACCTGTCATCAAACCACCCTTATGAATCACCGTTCCATCGAGAGTGACCGCCTTCGCGTCCACGTGTTTCTCGTAGCACAGATACTTAGCCGTGGCCAGGTCGTCGCACACGATGGCGTTGCCACAGGAGTAGCTGATGGCTCTCGCAACCGAGTCATCGTAGTCCACCGTTTCGATGGCCGGGCGCATTCCGCGGTGCATTCCCTTCAGGTTGGAATTAAAGGCTTTCACCTGAATTGTTTCCAAGGGAATGAAAGTGGCCTGTCCAGCTCTCTGGTCACGCAGGTGTTGGATACACTCCTTGGCAGTCTTCTCATTGTCAACGACAATTGCGTCGAAGTGCCGGCCCAGCACGGTGCTAACAGCTTCGGCGTACTTTTTCTGCTTCGGTTTGCAGAGGTCACTGACTCGGCCCTTCACACCCGGGAAGATACGTCTCAAGGTCGAGATCAACTCCTTCGCTCGGAGCTCCTTCTCGCTCTGCTTCTTGCCGTCGTCAGCCTCAAGCAGCTTCTTCAAGACCGCCTGGAGCTTCTCCTCAAGTTCCGTCCTCATCTGAGAGACACGCAATCGCTCGGACGTCAGAGTGTTGAGTTCCTTCTTTTTACGGTCGATATCCTTAGATGTCGTTTTGACCGTATCATTGAGAGATGTTTTGCGTTCAGCCATAGACTGGGTGTCAGTCTCCAGAGACTTGAGCTGCCATTCCGTGCCCTCGAACTTGGATTTGAGACTGTTGTAGGCCTCGGCTTCGGTCTTTCGCTGGCGCCGCAGGTTGTCCAGGTTCAGCTGCTCGGCCGAGGATCGCTTATTGACCTCTTCCTTAAGCTTGTTGTATTCTTGCTGGTCGGCTTCACTCAACTGTCCACCCTTCTTGCTGATCGTCTTTTGCCATTCCGCTTCCCACTGGGCCTGGGCTTTCTCGACAACCTTGAGGTCTTTTTCCAATTGCTTCGCGTTGGATGATTGAGCCTCCCGTTCTTTGCCGATTTCAGCAATTCGAGAAGCGAACCGTTCCACCTTCTTCATCGTGATGTCGACTTTCTCATCGACAGGAACGAGTGCGTTGGTAGACTCCTCGATATCCTTTTCTTTCTTCGTGATGTTCTTCTCGGCCTTCGCCACGTCCCGACCAACCCTAGCGTGCTCTTTCTTGGCCTCCTCAACATTGTGCTCATATTTCTCAACGTTGCGGCGGAATTCCTTGAGCTCGTCCTGATACTTGAGAATCTCGGCGCTGGACTCATCGATCGTGCGCTGGAAGTGGAAGAGCTTCCACAGGATATGGGTGATGATGGCTTGGTCGCGCTCCTCTGCCTTGCGGGCATAGTTCTCGGCCTCGCGCTTCTGCTCCTGGTACTGCTTGATTTCGGAATTGATGCCTCGGCGGCGATTAAGCTGCACAGTCTGTTGTTCCGCAGCCTCCTCCGCCTCCGCCTTCAGACGCTCGTATTCGGCCTTGTATTCGAGACTGCCGGAGATCTGCTCGATCAGGCGCGTAAGATCCTTCGGAGATTGCGATGCGATCGCTTCCACATCACCCTGGAAAACAAGGAAGTTGCGCGCCTTGATGAGGATGTTCTCGGCCTCGAGAGCCTCGTTGTACTGTTGCGCCGTCACCGTGCGGTTGTTGATTCGGTATTCGCTCACACCTCCGCTGGTGATCGATCGTCGCCATTGCTGTTCCTCGCCCGCATCATCCTCGTAGACGGCCATCACCCAGGCCGTGCGTGGGTCATTGGATCCGCTCGGGTCCTGTGATGGCTCGATGTCGTCGCCGTCCTGCGCGTCCCCATTTGTTTCTCCATCGATGGCATTTCCATCCGCATCGACTCGGGATGTGCGCAGTACGCGGCCGCGGTAAACAAGATCGCGGAGGTTCGTTGATCGTAGATGGGAGGACTTGATACCTAGGACGAAAGAGATCGCATCCATACTGGGGGGACGCATTAGCGCAAACGACACTTGCGGACTGGACGGACTGAACGCGGATGTGGACGAGGGGAATATACGTACGAGTTGGACTTTCCAGACCCGTTAGGTCCGATGATAGATGTGAAGTAGGCATCGCCAAACAGGAGAGTATGGTGGCCCTTATAGGACTTGAAGTCTAGAAACGCCCGTCAGTAATGATCAAGCAAATCCACAGAACGGGGATCACTACGTACTGTACAGCTCGAGACGAATGAGCTTTCCCATCTTGCAACAGTCCGGCCGCTTTCTGGCGACCACAGAAGCAAGGACGGAAGAGCTGGGATGTCGGCGAGGTGGGTGCCAGGTGAAAGTGGAGGCGCTGTTTGGAGGGGCCCGCGCGATAGAGAGCTTGAAGGCGCGTCTTCCGCCGGCCGACGGGAGGACGCGCCCCGGTCACGTGGCACCCGCGGATTTCTACAACACATGGCCTACCTTATTCTCTTTCTTTTTTTCTCTTATTTATGAAAGATTCTATTAATTACACTTCCCGAATGGGCTTAGACCTTTGGAAAGAGTTGATTTGTATATGTACACGGGAATCTGCTGTAGATGCTGTAAAGTGTCGCGGCAATGAAGTACAAATGAGTAGTTAGACATCGACAGAAGGAGAGATAGATCACCAGCTAGACGGCCCTTAGACCTCCAGGCTCACGACCTGTGAGAAGGCGCAACGCTCAACGGGTTCCCAACGACCAAGAAGTCCTCCGATACGAATCCCGTGGAGTCCATTCGGAAAGCACCCTTCTGGCCTTCCACCTCGAGGAGAATGAAATCCTCACCAGTGAAAATCTGCCGCACGGACTGGAAAAGACGCCAGAACAGAAGACTCGACCTCTTCAGGGGTGCCCTGAAGAAACTCGGCTGAGACGGCGGTTCGATCGAAGACATGCCACCCTGCTGCATGCGAGCGACAGATTCAGGCGTGACTACTAGACGGCGGGAAAAGGCGATTTGACGAGGAACGGCATCAAACTCATAGGGCCGGCGGAAGGGGATCGTGCTTCGGACCTGGAAGCGAAGCTGAGCTCCGGCGTTGGTGCTGACGGCCGTGACAGTCTTGATCAAGCGTTGGGTTTTCATGAGAAAGACGGTGCCCATCGCGCTCATCACGATGCAGATTCCGCCAAATAGAGTCTTTTGCCACGTAGGAAGAGGCATGATAGGGTCGTGGAAGACAATTTTGGAGTTGTATACTGAGTAGGCAAAGCAGAATGCGGCGATACCGTAGGCTCCTAGAACATAACTGCGATGCGACGGCGACCGGAAGAGGAGAATCTGCCCTTCCCTAGCTACCTTGCGCTCGAGTTTTCCAAATCCCTCTGGCCGTCTGCCAGCAAACTTCAGTGTCTCTTCAGCGTTGGCTATGGGCTTGGTCCGCGCCGTGGGTTTCGGGGGTAACTGTGGTTGCTTGCCCTTGGCCGCGCCTTTCGTTCGCGCCGCGCTCGAGGCGAAATGTCTCCATATCGAGTTCGATGGAAAGACTCTAGGTGACACGGCGACCCCGGGACACTGGTGCGAGAAAGCCCGGAAGGCAAACGATCTGGCGAACATGGTGCTACCTGCTTATCATCAATGGGCCATTAGCATACTCTGAATGTAAGTGGAGCAATTGGGTCTGTGCCACTCCTGGGAGACAGCCAGAACATGTCTAGGCATGGATATCTACGATCCATAAACCCAGGACGCATGAAAATCAACAAAGGTCATACAAAGACGTACCGGAGTTTCAATCGGAGAAGCCGATGGCCCTTTTAATGTCGTGACGGGCAGGAATCCCGAACTTCTCCGCGGCAGAAAAATGTTCCCGTCCGGGCGGCCGGTGAAGCTCCCAACAACCTCAACATCTCCAAAGCGAACGCCCTGCTCTTACGCCGACGCAGATACCCCTATTTCGGATCTGTCAATTGATCTCCGATTGCGACTCCCCGACTTGACTATTACGGACTAATCTGGGATTTTGGCCCCGTCGCTCGTGGTGGTGGGTTCTTTGATCGACGTCCCTTGCCCGCCGAATCCGACAAGCATACCGTTGCGCAAAGAACATCGATCAGAGAGAACTCTCGGTTTCATTTCTCGTCACCAGACCCTCATCCACTACCTTAAATATGGCCGCTAGCTTGCGTCAGGTCCCGGCAGTTCTTGCCAGGCGCCAGCCTCGAGTGATCGGTACCACCAGACGTGAGTTTGGCCCGCGGAGAATCATTTTTTTTCTGGCGATAATAGTCGCTATGTCCATCTCATTTCCGAGAATACATCTCGCTAACAGAAATCTCTTCGCTATACTTTACAGGCCTGGCATCCTCCTCGTCTATCCAAACCCAGAACCCCGCCTATCCGCTCTATCCATCGGTCATCCAACTCCTCCACGAAAAGGGCATCCCGGAGTCCGACATCTCCAAGATCCCCGCCTCCGGCCCCAAGGGCCGTCTCCTGAAGGGTGACGTTCTCGCCTACCTGGGCGCCATCGCCTCCGACTACCCGGCGATCCAAGCCGCGCGGATCGCACAGCTCGCCCACCTCGACCTCAGCAACATCAAGATCGTCGGCCCCGAGCCCAAGGCTGCCGCGCCCGTCGTCGAGGAAGCCCCCGTCGCCAAACCCCCTCCCACCACCTCGGTCGCCGTCTCCATCTCCCTGGCCGCCGTGTTGTCCGCGCAGAAGAAGCTGCAGGATTCGCTGGGCGTCAGCGTTCCGCTGTCTACTTTCCTGGCCCGCGCCGCTGACCTGGCCAACGACGACCTGCCGCGCTCTCCGCGCGCCACCCCCTCCGCCGACGAGTTGTTCAATGAAGTCCTGGGTGGCGAGCCCGTCACCACCTCCCGGGGCGACTTCGTGCCGGAGTTGAATGCCGTCGCGGCGCCCGTGGAGACCCGGTCGGTCAAGCCGGTCCAGGAGGACATCATTGACATTCTGAGCGGGAAGGCGTCCAAGGTTGCTGCTGCTGGCCGACGAGCGTCCCGGGCAGAGTCGGCTCCTGCCGAGCAGGCCGCCAACGTTTTCAGCCTGACGATCCCCGTGGGCGAGGAGAAGCGGGCTCAGACTTTCTTGGACCGTGTTAAGACCCTTCTGACGGTTGAGCCTGGCCGGCTGGTTCTATAGATCTCTCTCCATTTTACATTGTAAGTTTGCATTTGGCACTTCCGCGTGACTGGGAAATGTGGATTCGTTGATTCATTGGGGGCTAATTCTAGTATAGTTGTAGCATAGTAATAAACTACCCGCGGGAGCCGCTTCGAGCTCAAAGATTTCAACGGGACTTGGTCTTTTCTTCCTGTTTTCTTATATAGGAATGTACTCGAGCGCTATATGATTGTTTTGAAATAACATCTGCAGTTTCATTCTCATTACCAAGGACCATGCGCGAACGCTCTCGTAATTTGCAAAGATCTCTTAAGTACCTAGTAATGCAGTCCCCCGAAGCCATGCGGCGAACAAGAAATAGAAGGGTGGACAAAGTCATCTCATCATAAAAACAACGCGAAGAGAAAGAAAAGGAGAAAGAAACAAGAAAACCGCAGTCGCAAGTGAGAAAAAGAGACACATGCCATATACGGAGGGGTGATGGGAAAGTTCAAATCATCCTTCAGCCAGTTATGAACATGGCCTTCGTCCGCCTCTGAGAACGCCAGGAGCGCCATGGATTGGTAGTCGATTCGCATAATAAAATCAAAAAGTCAACGCTGAATGCCGACGGTCCCGAATGCCCGAATAGACAAACACGGGTCAAAAAGAACACAGATGGGCTGAGAAGACAAGAGGGAAAAAACTGCAGCACAAGAAAAGGGCCCAAGGTACATGTCGAATATCGAAGGGAAATTGAAAAGGAAAATAAAGGAGCCCACCTATTAATCGCCTGCAAAATGCTGTAAACCCACAAAATGCGAGAGATGCCAAATTACACCCTGATAAAACCCTGCTTCAAACCGACCAAAGATATACCCAGGTTTGAAACAACGCCGAATCCCTGGAACGCCGCGTCTAATGCATGTTGCAAAGCATGATAAGAAACCGAGTGACGCCGTAGCATCAATCTCATCGAGACGATCGACAGCCTCTATCTACCGGATGGTTCCCCATTCGGCCAATTTGCTGCCCTCGCGTTCCTGATTTCGTCCAGGTCGTCGATTGAATATCTTCCAGAATCTCAAAGTCTCGTCTCCAGCTCCCGTGACTACCGTTTGGCCGTCAGGGCTCATGGCTAAGTAAAGAACACGGAAGGTGTGGCCGGTCAGCGAAACAACCTGCTCCATGCGCGGATACTTCCAAATGACGATCTGGTTCTGGCTGTAACCATGAGTGCTGATGATCTCATCGGAGTTCTTCGACCAGGCCAAGTTGCAGACCTGGCTGCCGGTGTCGACCTCTTTGATCATGGAGCCGGTTGATGTGTTCCAGAATTTGATCGTTCTATCGGCCGTTCCACCACCCGACGCAAGCAGATGGTGCTGGTGGGGTGACCAGGTTATGGCCTTGACGGCAGCGGTGTGGTCAGAGAAACGATAAAGAGGCGTTTCGTTCAACTTGTCCCACACCATCAGTTTGTTATCATTACCACCCGAAGCTAATTGACCGTCTTCTGTGTTCCATCTCAACCCGCAGACCTCTTGCTTGTGACCGGACAGCCGACGCAGGTATTGATCTGGAGAACGGACATCACGATGGAAAATCAACCGATCTCGGGATCCGGACGTGAGGATATGGTCGTTCCATGCGAGCGCCCCCACACGATTAGTATGTCCAACCATTGTTCGAAGTCGTCGGCAACGTTCCGCATCCCAAATCTGTACAAGACCTTTTCCGGTTCCGATTGAAAGGTGTGTTCCCTGATTATATACCGGTTAGCCGTTACGTGGTGCGTAGGAGCTAGGTTGCCTGGCTTACCCTTTGAATCCAGCTAACGCTAGTGACTGTGTCGTCCTTCAATTCGCAGAGCTTAGTGACTCGCCCGGACTGAGAGTTCCACATGTAAACTGAGTTGCCCAGTCCCACTCCCAGAACGTTACTACTGCCCCAGTCCACCAGGTTGAGATAGAAATCATCTTGCAAGTCAGGCGCATCTAGCACCTTATACGGGACTTTGTTCACGTAGCGCGGTTGCTTGCGAGGAGTTTCGAGAATGCGCTGACTATCATAGCGAATGGGAGAGAGGCTGTAGAGTTCGGATCGGACGTTGAGATTCGGCCCATGTTGGCTGCGAGGCGTCTTCGAGGGTGTGGGATGGGCGGAGCCAGTGCGAGGGGAGGCGTAGTTAAAGAGGTTTTTGTGCGGCGTGGAGGGGGTGATGCTAGCAGGAGGTTTATTCGACACGACGTGTGAGGGAGGAGTGTGAGAACGAGTTTTGTCAAGGATGCCGCTGCCGAGTCCTAGTAATGGATCCGGCGATAGCGAGTCGAGTTCCGCCTGCGGCACGGTATTTCCGAACAATTCGCTGCGCAAAACCCGCGAATACATTCGATTTGCTTCTTCGGCTGAAGGGCAATATTAGCACTTTGAGTTTCGGGCTGGCGCCATCTTCCCCAGGGGGTTCAACTTACTCTTCTGGAAATGGAGTTCTGAATGCGGGGTTCGACGCTTCGATTTAGACGGAGTCGAAGGACAACCGTCTTCATGAAGCAGACTATAGGTCGCTTGAAGATCCTGTCCGTCCCGGTTTGGGATGAATCTGTGGCAAGCGCCGTAAATCAGCGACTGTCTTTCAAGGACACACCCGTGGCGGTTACTCGCGACGCTGCAAGGGACCTTTCCGAGTGGCATGGACCAACACCAAAACAGAGCGCAAAGAAAAGATAAAGACTAACCTATCACCATACACTCTTTGTCTTTTTCGACTCGGACTTGTTCCAGGCGTTCTTTCGCGCGGGTTGCCAGCATCCTCATATTCTTTCAAGGCCTTAGCTAGCGCATTGGGATCAATGGGCTCGGAGCTATTGCGACTTTTCTGTCGGCTGCCCTGCAGGTCTGGATAGAACAGGGTCTTTTTGGAGGGCATGCTCGGTGGTGTTCTCGACCCGGGCGGGGAGGCTAGGTTCAGTCCATTCGCTGCTGTAGACGTTGCCTTCTTTGCACCCCCAGCAGCACTGCGACCGGCGGTAGCATCGGGCTCTTTCTTGCCCTTGCCCATAGCTGCTAGATTGGCGCTTTCGGAATAGCTTTATCGGCGATCGAATGCAGGAGATTTCGAGGCTCAACTGAGGGATTGCGACCAGGGCCTAGAGTTGAACTGCGAAAACGGCGGGGTTTACGGTGGTGATCAAACGGGGGATTCTTTCACAGACAGAAACGACAACACAACGGTCCTGCTTGGTTGCCCTATCGGGGGGAAATTGATCGTTGGATTGGCGAACGTAGACGTTGCTGGGGAGCTGCAACCGGCTTTGCTCCGCTCTCCGGACAATAATAATCAAATAAACGAACTGAGCGGGAGGGAAGAGACAAGAGGGGGAAGGAGAGAAGATAGAACAATGACTCTCACCAGACCCAGTGCTGAATGGAAGGACACAGACAACTCGGGCAGGTCATTTGAGAGCGACCTGGCCACCGTCTGGTGAGGAAGAGAGAGGTGAAGGGACAGGGAGGGAACCAAGGGCTGGCGATGGGATCGCCTTGGGGGTGACGGACCTGCGAAGGGGATTCCGCCCGGTCACGCGTCGGCTGCGCTAAACCCTTCCGAGACAAACCTGCCAGGGAGGTTGGCCCGTTGCTTTGTTGTGATCCTTCCCTACAATTTAATTCGGGATGCATCATCTTGGATTCTGCTCTTCTTCTCGCCGTGGACGGGGAATGGCATCCCCGTTGGAGTCTGTGGATGTGGGGTGTGTGACTATCTCTGGCTGCCGGTCATGAGCCAGAGGGACTCCATCTGATAGCCCGACTGGTCATTTTTACCAGTCAGGTACATCCAAGCACCTGTCTCAGAAATCGAGGAACAGGTCAACTTACCATGTTTCTCAGGTATCAGAAACCCCTCTGTCCGATCGAGTGGATCTCTCACAAACCAAGTACAATGGTTATTATGATCGTGAACTATACTGTTATCCTGACACGCCCGTGACGCGAGCTGCCACCGTTGCACGCGCGGGAGAAACGCGAAAAACGCTTGGGCCACGGGATGGAAATGTTCCCCGGCGATCGTGTCGGTCTCGGTCTGTTCATGGAGTTTGGGCCTGCCTGCTGGGGCGGTTTGGAATTCCCCAATCCCCGTGCTTCTTGTTGATTTCTTAGACATGGGCTAAAAGATGATCACTGGGGTTGGTCTCTTGATTAAGCTCTTCTAGTTTCCAGCTTTCTCTTGGTCGCGTGGAGCCGATGTCATCCCGGCATTTAATATTCTTCTACAGACTATTTCCTAGCTGTGACTATATTCAGAAAATTTGGTCAAGCTCTCCTCCTATACTTGTATACCTACTTTTTCAAGGCAATTGGTGCTCTCGTTCAACTCATATATTCTAAAAGAGAATACTTCCAAGCCTGTCTAGTGTACTATAGTGCAACAATGCTCGTAAGGCTAAGTAATATCTCCCTATATACTCCGTGGTATGTACTCCGTAAATATTGCTAAATGCGTGAGACATATCGCCGACAGTCTCCCCTGCATGATCTGAGTAATATCACGATCATGGTCACTGAGGGCGAGTTCTCCCAGCACGAGGCTAAGTTGTCTCCGAACCACAGACAAGGCCGACCGCCAAGCACCGAAGCAGCCCGAGTGATCTCATTGCCAACGGATTCTCCTCCACTCTCCGTCCTCCGATTTATTATCCTCTGGGTTCCTTCCCCTCCCTAATTGTCTCTCCACAGTCCCCAAGGTCCCGAACGATGACTTCCAAACTCGCCCAAAACCTTAAGCAGCCGGCTCTGGACTTCCTGTCCTTTGTCAATGCCTCGCCTACCCGTACTGTCCCCGTCCCTGTCGCTCTGGTCGTTTGTTTTGCATGGCTGACCTAGTCCCCATCTAGCTTTTCATGCGGTCCAATCCGCCAAAGAGCTCCTTGCCAAGGCTGGTTTCCAGGAAATAAAGGTTCGTAGATCAGGGGAAGCTCGTTTTCCTGTTCTATCACTGACAGCCTTCTTCAGGAAAAAGACTCCTGGGCCTCCACGTGTCGGCCTGGCGGCAAATACTACCTGACCCGCAATCACTCGACCATCGTCGCTTTTGCTGTCGGTAAAAAATGGAAGGTCTGTCTAGACCACAGTGTCACCAATGTCACGAAACACGAGGTCCAAAAATGCTAATGTCTCTTCTAGCCTGGAAACTCGATCTCCATGATCGGTGCCCACACGGACTCTCCCGTGTTGAGGATCAAACCGGTGAGCAACAAGCGCGGGGAAGGCTTCGTCCAGGTTGGCGTTGAGACCTACGGAGGTGGCATCTGGCACACATGTATGTATTCAATAGCTCTCCATGCTGTTGCTCAACGATTGCTAATCTTTGCCTAGGGTTCGATCGTGACTTGGGTGTTGCCGGTCGGGCTATGGTCCGCACAGGTGATGGCTCTATCACCCAGAAGCTGATCAAGATTGACCGCCCCAGTATGATCCGTCCAAAATGATATCACCGACAAATAGAACCCAACTGACGACCCATAGTTCTCCGAATCCCGACTTTGGCCATTCACCTGGATCGCCAGGAAACTTTCTCCTTCAACAAGGAAACCCAGCTCTTCCCTATTGCCGGCCTTGTTTCCGCCGAGCTCAACCGCACCGGTGCTACCAACGGTACCTCCAATGATTCTAAAGACACCAAGACTGACGAAGAGGAGAAAGGAGAGTTTTCTCCTCTGAAAGCGATCACGGAGCGTCACCATCCCTACATTGTGGAACTCATTGCCGCCGAAGCCGGAGTGAAGCCGCTTGACATCCTGGATTTCGAAATGATCTTGTTTGACACCCAAAAGTCTGCCCTGGGTGGACTGCTTGAGGAATTCATCTTCTCTCCTCGCTTGGACAACTTGAACAGCTCCTTCTGTGCCACCGTTGGCCTGATTGATTCGGTGGCTGATGCGTCGGCCTTGGATGACGAGCCTTCCATCCGTCTCATTGCACTCTTTGACCACGAAGAGATTGGAAGCCGCACTGCCCAAGGTGCCGACTCCAATATACTGCCCGCCATCATCCGTCGCCTTTCCGTCTTGCCCTCTTCGGCCACTGACAATGCCAACCTGTCGACTGCCTACGAGGAGACGCTGTCTACCTCCTTCCTCCTTTCGGCAGACATGGCACATGCGGTGCACCCCAATTACTCGGGCAAGTACGAATCCGATCACCGGCCGGAGATTAACAAAGGACCTGTGATCAAGATCAACGCCAACGCTCGTTATGCTACCAACTCTCCCGGCATCGTTCTGTTGCAGGAAGTGGCCCGGAAGGCGGCCCAGGACGGCGGAGAGGGCGTTCCGCTGCAGCTGTTTGTCGTGCGCAACGATTCCAGCTGCGGAAGCACCATTGGTCCCATGCTGTCTGCAGCTCTTGGCGCTCGTACCTTGGACCTGGGTAACCCGCAGCTGAGCATGCACAGCATCCGCGAGACCGGGGGTACCTACGATGTGGCTCACTCGATCCGGCTGTTTACCAGCTTCTTCCAGCACTACTCCCAGACATCCCAGACCATCTTTGTTGATTGAGTCAAGGGTTGTCCCCTGTAAATAGCAAACTCAATTCTACCGTTCTAAATTTTCTCTCCTGGTTGTAGAAAGTGTAACTCGGAATACTTGCCTCCTCTCCCCCAGTAGACGGATCGGGCCGAGGAAAGTCCGCCGCCCGCACTCTCCCACCTGACGTCCATCCTCCCATCGCCGACCTCCACTACTATCCTTGCATCTTCCTCATCTCCTCCGTCCGTTAGCTCACGGATTTCCTTTCGTTATTCTTCTATCCTGATCCCTCCTAATGTCGTTGATGCCCTCATGACCCTCTATGACAACCCCAGATGTCTTTCGAGATGCGGAATACATCGCTGACGTCTCCGGCTTATCATATGGAAGCGTCGCGGACGTCCCTGGAGGACGGTCGAGCTCCCCCGACCCTCAGGATGGGCGCATAAAGAAGCTGCAATCGGCTGCGAAGGTCGCGCTGATTGATAGGCTGCTCCGCGATCTTGATATCTTAATATATTGTCAACTTTCTGCGCTGTATTATATGGAGTGAGCATTCCCCTGGATATACTTCCTCTCCCATTCCCCACACTTCAATACTCCGGAGGGCTGCCACCTCCCCGATTTGGATTTTAGGAGCCACACTCACAGTCTCTAGTTGTTCCATTGTCCTCTTCGCCGTCCGTGCCATCGTCCAATTAATCTTCTTCACCCCTAAAGCCCCCCCGTTCGACCCGACTCGAAACCAGCCCTTCGTCGGCGCCATATTCGCCAGCAACTTATTCTGTATGACGTTCCACTACTTCTTCGTTCACCCAGACGCCGGGGAGTCCACGCGTGGCTACCTGCACGGCGGAATCTTGATTGACTTCATTGGCCAGAAGGCGCCCGTGCCGGTCGCTCGGCTCCTCTCTTTTGATATGTTGGTCATGCTGCTCCATCTTATCATGCTGGGTCTTATCGTTGAGCGGGTTAAAACTACCGAGGCAACGGCTGCCGCCACTACCGCTGCCGTATCGTCGTCGCCGTCGTCGTCTGCGCAATCGCCTATCGCCGAGCGAGATCAGGACCATGATTCCGAGGAACGCGGTGTTCTGCGCAACGACAGTAACCGCACCAATGACACCTCGGGTTCGTCGGAGACAACTAGCCATGGGCTTGGACTTGAGGACGCTGTTGGATCCCGGGAATTGGGGTCCGGGTCCCAGCCTCGACTCGACCTGAACGAGGAGTCCGAACGGGACGAGCTGCTGGCGGATCCCTCGGAAAGCGGACATGCCTCTGGTAGTAAGAATCATCACCCCGTTGACTCGTTCGCCTCGGGAGAAGCGGTAGTCATGGATCTTGGTTTGTTCGACGTGATTCGAGACCAGTGGCGGTATAGTCCCGTCGCTGCGAGACGCACCTCTGCATACGTTCCCTCCGACCAGACGGCGGCTTTTCTGCGACAGCGATTCGGACTTCAAGTGCGGCCGGACGGACGGCTAGAGAGAATCGGACTGGGCGGCTCATGACCTTCCTCTGGCCTGGTTTTAGACCTTACAGCTCACTGGCGTTGGAGTTGGTATTGCTGTTTCATGTACATATGACAATATGAATATAAATGATCATGATCTATTGTTCCTCGTTTCGACCCAATCCTTCCATTATGAAGAGGGTCAGACCATCTCCCGAGCGATCATAGTTATACAAACACACAAAACAAGATAAGGGTATGCCATGAACCATAAACCACAAACACGTATCCTCGACTTTCAAAACCGGTTCCCGAATCAATCACTCCTTCTCCCCCTCTACCCCCTGGACCCTGCGATCCAAAATCTCATCCACAATACCCATCTCCAGCGCCTCCTGCGCTCCCATGAAATAATCCCTCTCCATCAACCTCTCGATCTCCTCCAGCGACATCTCCTTCTTGCCCGTCAAGTGCCGCTTGTAGATTTTATTCAGCTGTTCGCGCACACGCAGGATCTCCTTTGCGTGGATCGCGATATCGCTGGCCTGCCCGAAGTATCCGCCCGAGGGCTGGTGCATCATGATGGACGAGTGTGGCAGGCAGTACCGTTTTCCGGCGTGACCGCCACACAGCAGCAGCGAGCCCATGGAGGCGGCTTGGCCGACGCAGATCGTGGAGACTGGAGAGGCGATGTAGCACATCGTATCGTAGATTGCGAGGCCTGCAGGTTTGGTTTAGATGGCGTTGTTAGTGAAAGGTGGGGAGGAGGGATCGCTTCGCGGGAGGCGAGAGGGAGTGTACTAACCAGCCGTGACTGATCCTCCCGGAGAATTGATATACAGATGAATGGGTTTCTGGGGGTTATCGGCTTCGAGGAAGAGGAGTTGCGCGACGATCGACGCGGACATGGATTCGTCGACTTCGCCGTTTAGACAGATGATTCGTTCCTGGGCGGTCAATTAGCACGAACTAGACTGAGGGGGTTCTGTCTAGTTATGGGGAGTACCTTGAGGAGTCTAGAGAATATATCATCTGCGGTTTTTAGGAGGAAGTAGTTAGTTACCGCTGCGGTGAGCGCTGACCGGCATAAGGATCAGATCGATTGAAATCATGACGTACAAGTGTGCCAACCACCTCCCTGACATCGTTAGCATTCTTCCTTGCCAATGTGCACAAATATTCAAAAACATACCACAGTCTCCGTGACGAACGGCGTAGGAGTCCATCCCCGCGGAGAGCTCGCGCCCTTCGATAACGACGGAATGGAGCTGGTGAAGCTGCGCGATGCCGCGGGAAGACCAGCAGCAATGGAAGAGCGAGGGAGAAGGCGACCCAGTCGCGATACCGAGCGGGCCGGATTCATGTTGTATATTGAAGATGTATTTATAATCGAGAGAAAGACGGGAGGGGTATGTGAGAGAGGAAAGCGGAGGTTGAATTGATCAAATGAAGTAGATCGATAAGGTCGGGGCTGGACGAGAGCAAAGTCCCGCCAAGCTTTCGGAGCTTCTTTTCTTCTTCCGTCGCGCTTTCTCCTCTTCTTCTCATCCTCTTCTACTACACTCGCTCCAAGGCACAGTTTCACATAATGCAGTGTCTGCATCATGTTCCATACACATCATGGCGTTTGACCGTGTACCGACAGCTTTTTACAACCCCTCGCCCCAATACCTTGTCTTCCAGCTCTCGACGTACCATCTCATCCACGACGACTCAGTACCAAGCACAACAGCACGACCAACAAGACGCAACACACGCAGAACAACCCAACAATGACTCTGAGGAATCACCTACACCCCGACCCTCCGACCTACTCCCTCAATCGCCGCTCCTCACAGACCCGCACATCAGCCCCGTGAAGAAGCGCAGAAAGGAACGCCCAACCGATGAAGACCCCAGCTGCCTCCGCAGGAACCCCTGGGCCCAAGCCCTCGCCTCGCCCATCCGAATGTGTTGCATCACAGGCGCCCGAGCGCCGCGAGATCTGCTGACAACCTGGGGCCTGGTCCAGCGTCCCAACTCCAGGGGACTGTGGATGATGCCCGTGGATTTGCTGAAGGATGAACTAAGCGCAGACGAGTCCCCCAAGGACCAGAAACCCGCGCCGTCAACCGAATCCTCTCAAGAAGAGCAGGCCTCCGTCTCATCTCCGCCCCGGGCTCTGCGGCACCTGTCGGTGCGGCTCGTCGATAGTATCCAGCTGCTGCGGAGGCTGTGCAGGTCCATGGCATCGCATGAAATCGGAAATTACTCGGCCCTGGTCAAGGCCATCCCGTATCGGTATAAGCATCCGGTCGGCCCGCTGACCCCGTCCCATGCGCGTTCGCTGATATGGAGGCAAGATATGCCGACGTTTGTACTGAAGAGAATGCGAATGGAAGCCGTGAAGCGGCTGGAGAAAGTCACCGTGAATCGCCCAAAGCTGGGTCATCATAACGGAGTGTGGCAGGAGGTTGAAATCGAGGGCCAGGTGTCGGAGGATACCCTGAAAAAGGGGTTGGAGGGTATGAAGGCGGTTGATCGCATGGAGTGCGGCGCCGTGATCGTTATGAGAGAGCAGCAGATCGAACAGGATGCGCTGCCGCGGCTAGTGACTCTCCCGCAGACTGGGTCGCGTGTTCCTGTATTTGATCTGTCCGTGTTACTTTCAGATTCTGACCGAGAGGCACTGCGCAGCGCTGATCCGAGGTTCCAGAGAACAGGTCTGTTTTTCAGACCGCATGGTCCCAAGGCTCGTAAGGCGATGATGGCCTTGTGGAAGCTGCAAAATTTTCTCAATGAGGACATTCGATTTGATTAGGCTCATCTAGGGCTCAACTGGGCTTTGACTATATACCGCGTTGTATGCAGATCTATGAAATATCTCCAGTATATCGTTCTATCAACAAATGCCATGTCATATACATCTCCAATATCGTTAGTCATAGCCCGTAGATTCGAATGTTCCTCTATCCCACGTCTATCTATTTACTGCGAATCCAGCAGATCCGACAACTTATCCAAGTAAGCCGCCGGTCTGACCTCACCACTCTCGAAGTCCTCCTTCGAGCTCACACCCGTAAGCACACCCAGCGTGCCACCCAACTTACCCTCCAAACCAAACCGAATATCAGTATTCGCGCGATCCCCAACCATACACGCGCGGCTGCGATCGAACTTGAATTTCCCCTCAATAGCATCCATCATCGCCTGATTCGGCTTCCCCAGGGACACCGGCTCCTTACCGAGCATCATAATCAAGGGCGCACTCATCGACCCAGCGCCAGGGAACAGCGTCCCGGAATTCGGCAACGTCGAATCAATATTCGTCGCGAGGAACACCGCGCCGCGCCGAACATAGTGGAACGCCAGGGCCAACTTGAAGTAGTTGATGTGGAAATCCAGCCCGACCAGCACGACCCCGACCTCCGGGTCGATCAGCGAGGAATCACCCGCTGCAATCCGCTTGTAATCCTCGGGCGTGATATCTCGTCGATACGCGGGGTCTGTGCCCCCGATGAAGGGGACGTTCTCGGAGCGGAGTTCCTGCTCGATGCCGGTTTCGCCGAGGACGAAGACCTTGGGCTTGGTTGGGGGGAGATTCAGGATGCGGGAGATGTAGATCGAGGCGCTGTAGGAGGAGGAGAAGATTTCTTCCTACAGGAGGGTGTTAGTTTATCTAGCTGGTGGCGATAAAGGCATGTTGTAGTCTGGAGGGGGAGAAGCATACCGTCGAGGCGGGGATGCCTAGGGACTCGAGTTTCTTCTTGTAGTCTGCTCGGGACTTGGTGCTGTTGTTCGTGACGAAGACAACTTGCTTGCCTGGTGCGGAGAAGGAACTGTGTTAGCTAGAGCTCGATTCGTTGCTTCGTCTTCGAAGAATAGGAGGGCTCGGTTCAAACGGGCGTGTCGTACCTCGACTTCTCAACAATTCCAACGTCTCATTTGTTCCGGGGAAGAGGTGATCGCCGGACCAGAGGACACCTGCATCGATAATACCCACTTAGTATTGCCATTCGCTATAATCCGGTCGTGCAGAAATGCGATTCGAAGAGTGCCGGAGAGAACTCCGAGAGAAGAACGGGGACACACACCATCGCAATCGAATAGGAATACCTAGTTTTCGAAGGTCAGTCACTCGTACACCTACACAGTCGCATAAAGACGTCGTCCGGTAAAACTCACATCGAACTTGTCCAAGAACTCACGGATTCCAGCTCCGTCACCGCTCAGATAGCGGGGTACCGCGGGGTTGGTCTGCGTTACTTCTGTGGCAGTCATGGCTTGTCTCGGTCACCCTGTGCTCTGCAACCGGGCAAAGAATGTGTTCAATAAATGGTCTATAAGTTTTAGAGAGATTGTCAAAGAATTGGAGAGTTCATCGGGGTGGCGGTCGAACCAACCCAAAGATATCGGAGAAAGGCGGTCCCGCACGTGGTTTGGCTTGACTCAGGCACGCTCGGCGTTGGTCCGATCTGATATACAACAGTAGACAAGGAAAAGGAGACAAGAGAGTGTTTGATGATACAACTAATATTATACAACTTGCACTAGATATCATTAAGCTTCATACAATCGTGACTTTTTAGCAGGGCACTTGAAGGCAAGGCAATATCTCCAAGATAGTCAGATCTCAGCGCCGGACCTCTGTAGTCCTGATCCGCTGCCTACCCAGCATTGGTCAACCCTGCGATGTTCAAGGGTGAGGATCTCTCAGTTTGGCAGAACTAGCAGGAACCAAAAGACCAAGTAATTTGGTCCATTGGTATAGCTCTGTCGCTACGTCTGCCTGTCACCGAGGATGTTTGTTGTTATGCCCAAGAGCTGCTACCCCCAAGTATTTCTGTATCCCAGGATGGTAGACCATTAGGATTCACCAAGAATGCCAGAGATCTTGAGAGAAGCATCCAACACTGACAGGTGTTCATCGGCTCCATCAATCAGTCGCTTATCCATTTCTGAGAATACCATAACAATCTTGTTCTTCTGGCTGTCAGGAATGGCATCGTTGTAAACAACTCGTCGGTACAACTGGGAACGAATTAGCCTGGCCCGATGTGTCTGTAAAGCACAAAGCCTGTCTTACCTGCAAGAGAAGCTGCGTCGCACTCCACCCATCCGCAATAACATCCGTAATGACCTTCGAGACAGACTCGTATGAAGAGCCGAATTTCTTAGGCTGCATAGCCTGAACCAACCGGTCCAGAACGCTCTCGGGCACCACGCCGGCAATCTCTTCGATCATGTTCACAGTGACTGCCTGCGAGCTGGCATCCGGCATCTCGGCATCGTCATCACCGTCTTTCTTTCCGCTGCCACCCGTAGCACCCACCAACCGCGCCGCACTCTGTAGGTACGTAATTGCGCGTCGCAAGTCACCCTCACTGCATTGGATGAGTTTATCCACCACCCCTTCTTCCACGTTCACACCCTCCAACTTGGCAATATCGCTCAACCGATCACCCGCAGCGGCATTGTCCAACGGCTTAAAACGGAACTTGCTGCATCGACTCGCAAGAGGCTCAATGATGCGGGTGACATAGTTGCAGACAAGACAGAAACGCGTGATCCGACTGTACTGCTCCATGGTCCGTCGGAGAGCCGACTGGGCATCTTGGGTCATGCTGTCGGCTTCATCCAGCACGATGATCTTGAACGGCGGGCAAGGGTATTGGTCGAAATATGACTTATCTCCGGTCGGCTGGCTCAATTGCATGCGGGCGAAGTTCTTAACTTTCTCACGGACAATTCCGATACCACGTTCGTCGGAGGCGTTCAGTTCGAGGATTCGTGAGCGGTAGAGTGCAGGGCCGAATAGCGACTTTGCGAGGGCGAGGATTGTCGAAGTTTTTCCGGTACCAGGAGGACCATAGAAGAGCATATGGGGAAGCTGGTGTAATCAGCAACATTAGCACTTCAGGCTGGATTTGAAACAACAGGAAAGGACATACGTTGGACGCCTGCAGTGTTCGCTGGAGGACTTTCGTGGTATGATCTTGGGCAGCGACATCATCTAGCGTCTTCGGGCGGCTGTTTGTTAATGTTAGCAGAATATTTTGCCAATGCTCTTGCGAATGGTCTCCTCGTACTATTTCTCAACCCATGGTTGATTTTGTGCTTGCGCTTCTTTATCAGCGCCTTTGGGTTTGGAGCTGCTTGACGTCCCTGCAGCTGCAGCTGCAGCGCGGGCTTTGTTGTTGAAGAAATTAGCAGCCATAGCTAGCTATGTGAATAGACAGTAAGTTTAGAAGCAAAATTCCTTGATTCATAAAAAAGAGTCAAGTTGAATATGCTTGACGAACGACCGACGACACCCGCAGATGAAGTCGTGTCGAGACGCGTCCCCACGTGATACGCGCATGAAAGCCAAGACTTTTATTGTTCTGCATCCCATGCGGTCTACAGAGCAGAGTTCTCTTATTAATTATTCTATAGTACTATTGATATTTTCGTAAAACATTATCTCATCTATCTATAGTTCATCCCTTCTATTCTCCAACACCTCGGTAGCCTCGTACATCCGCTTTTTGGTGTTTCGAGGCGGTTCATCCTGCGTCCGCGACTCTTCCGGTAATGGCTCTTCTTTGATAAAGGTTTCTTCATGATCGGCGCTTGTTTCCACCATTTCCGCGATCTGGTCGATCATTCGGTCACTATCCAACTCTTCAGTTGCCGGGGGCTGGTCCCAAACGGCTTCGCTAGGCGCAGTCTCGACGCTGGGCTCTGCCTTGGGAGTCACAACTGGCGTTTCTTGCACAAGCGTCTCACTAGTGGTGATAGAAGCAGAGGATTGGACGGCTGTGCTTGAGATGCCAACAACGCCCAGAATACCGAAAATGAAACGAAAGACGAGCTTGAGAGGCAGCCACAGCAACCACCACAGTGGCCCGTAGAGTATGCGACGGAAGAGAAGCCAGGTAATGGTGCCAACCAGGATGTAGAAAGCCGTCTCAAGGTACCATGTATCGGACTTTTGAGAGCGAAGCAACGAGCCGATAAGATTGCGTGATGACGAGAGAAGAGAATCGAGACCAGTGTAGGACTCGGAAAGAGATGAAAGGACTGCGGTAGATTGTTCTGTGCGTACAGATCAGCAACGGTTCCAACTCACGGCGCGCTCTAACCTACCTAACGTTTCCTGCGCGAATTGGCTGCGGGAGAGTTCGGCCTGCATCAACTGATGTGTTCTCCTCAACGCCGCGGTCACGTCGTTCGATGCGTTGATGGTGATATCATCCTGTGTCAACTTCTCGTTCGACTGCTTCTGTCTCTCCCCGCTCTGCGACCTCGAGAATAGCAGCTCTCGTTCTTTCCGTTTTGCGAGTTCGGCATTCCGTTTGGCTTGTAGCTGGGCATTTCTAAATTCGCCTCGCGTTCTACAATCAGGCATTAGCAAACTCTTCGACCGTTGATCTGGGCAATTGGAGGGCACTCACTTCTTCAAATCATCCGTCAACCTGCCGGCCCATGCAACAATTCGCTCCCTCTCCAGCTCCTTCTCGTTATCCACAGTCTTCCTCCTACTGTCCGAGCCAGACTCAAGCGCTTCGACATCCACCTTCAGCAATTCCAGTTGTTCCTCCGCCTCTTTCAGCAGACCGTGGATCTCGGCGCCCAACTCTAAACGAGCCTCATCGCCTTGCCCAACCGCGGCGGTGAAATTGCCTAACCGAGAAACAAGCGGGTGGATTCGACCAAGAGCTGCAGATAGCTCTTTCAAGCGTGATTGTAGTGCAGAAGTAGAAGACATCGTATGTAGTGTGGTGGTAATGATCGCAGTCGTATTCTGGCCGATCAAGAGTGGGGGATAACGAAGCCGGCGTGGATTTCGGATCCAGAGATGTCGATAATTCAGAGCAGACCGCACGTCGACATTCTAGGCAGATGAGGACGGTTCGACAGCAGCGTAGAAAACAAACGCGACAGCTGGCATCAAATAAGAGGGATTCTGCCGATATGGTCGAGCTGGCCGCAACAGCGTCATCGGGGCCCCGTTCCGTTCCTGAGGCCAGCCAGGCCGCAGACGTGTTTGCATCTCCGTCAAACACACCCACTGCTTCTTCTCTTCCGCTCTCCGCCAGGCGATTTTCCCCGGGAGATACAGCGACAGCTTTTGCGCCGATTGCACCTCCTCTTTCGACTCGGGCCGGATTGCGAGGCTTCGTGCTTTTAATTTCCATATATTTCCAGCGTTCTAAGGCCTGGTTTATAGGGTTCGTGAGGGTTAGTCGCATCCATGCTCTCCAAGCCGATCATTTATCCTCTCCCTCCATCCACTCTAAGTGAACGCTGAACTAACATCTACTTCAGAAACAAAACATAACTACCTAATCCGCTCGAATAAACCCCAAAAGTCCGCCCACCATGACGATCCCCGTCCATACTATCGCTACCCTGCAAACCACCTTCAACCCGTTCCGCGCCTCCTCTCGGCCCTGCAGGCTTTTACTCTCCCTGCTGCGCAACCCATCCACGACCCCGGCGGCCAGCCCGACGCACGTCAACATCAAGGTCAACCAGCTGCCGCGTCTATCGACCCAGGAACCCGAGATCCTGGTCGGATTCAAGGGCGGCAAGGAAGTCAAGATCGAGGTGGGGAAGCGGAAGATGAAGATTGGCGATGTGGTTGAGGAGCTTGCGCGAGTGGGACGAGCCATTGAGAGAGAGGAGAGTTTGAAGGGTTAATTGGATTGATTTCTCTGTGTCTGAGTGGGTGCTTCACGCGTCGATTGGGTCGGGCGTGCCTAATGGCTCGAGATGGAATGGACATCTCTATCCTATCCGTTGGACCCTGTTTCGGTGCTGAACTTCTGGGGATGTTGAGATTGATGGAGAAGACTGTTTACTATCTGTAGCATTACGATACCTTCATGTGTATATACTACCATAGCTGTTGAAAGATACTTTCATGTTTTCATAAGTGTTTCTATGCTGTCTTCTTCGAAAGCAGTGTTTATAGGTCTACACAGGCAACCAGCTTAATGTTATCTAGCTCGCAATTGCGTGTGAATTGTATCATGATTCCCGCATTGGACGACTACACGGAAACGAGCAGCTAAGTTTTCAAAGCACTCTATGTACTACATGGACGAGGAAAGACGTTGAAATGTGTTCACCCACAGGGTGGATATGAAGAGTTTGATTTTCTTTTTTATGATTTTCTCTGGGGATTGACTTAGACGGCAGCACCAGAGATGAAGAACCACTTGTCAACGCTGCCATCGATAGGGGCAGGAGGCAAGTTCTCGCCCTGGGGGATGGCGGCGATCTTGCTGGGGTCAGCACGGTCAGCGGAGCCCTCAACGGTAGAGTTGGCCCTGCACAGGTTATTAGCATCCACGAAATTGATAGGCAAATCAAACGACGGGTTCTTACAGGCTGATCTCGCCACGGGGAGCCTTGCCGGAGATGAGCTTCTCCCAGGCGTCGGCGCACTCGCGGACAACGTCCAGAGCGTACCTAGACAAAATCAGTCAGTTTTGTTTTATTACACGACAGCACGCAGCGAATGATCTCACTTCTTGTTCTTGCACTCGCCGGAGAAAGCGAACTGGTTCTCGGGCTTTCCGTCGGGGATCTTGTAGATACGGAACCACTCGTTGGTGGCACGGAGAAGGCCGGGGAGGTGGCGCTCGACATCCTCGATGTCGTGCAGCTTAGCGGCCAGAGGGTCGTTGACGTCGATGACAATGATCTTCCAGTCGGTCTCCTCCTCGTCGAGCAGGGCCATGACACCGAGGACCTTCACCTGCTTGACCTGACCGGGGTAGCCGACGAGCTCACCGATTTCGCAAACGTCGAGCGGGTCGTTGTCACCCTTGGCCTTGGTCTCGGGGTGGACGGTGTTGGGGTCTTCCCAGGTCTGGTTAAACACAATCAGCATGGTGACACAAAACCAACGGAAAGGACGTGCGCATGCTCCAACATACCTGGGGAAAGGCACCGTAGTTCCAGAGGTAACCCTTGTGGGGGAAGCAGTTACGGACGTAACGGAGCTTGCCCTTCTTGGTGTCCTGCTTGATGGGGTTGAGGAAGTCCTCCTTGGAGATCTTTTTGTGGAATATCAGGTCAGTATGTCGAGTTCTCGCCACGAACCAAATCGGCGGTTATATCAGATCGCAGTCGGGCGGAGTCGTACCTCCTGCTTGGCGTTGGTCCAGCGAGGGATCTCAACAACCATGTTGAGGATGGTCTGCTGCTCATTGGCGTAGAGAGGGATGTCGTGGAAGGGAGAGACGGGCTGGCCATCGCGCTCGATGAAGACACGGTGCTCCAGGGTGTTGGCCTGGCCAATCTTGCGAACGGTGTAAGACATGTTGGGCGAGGGTGGCGGGGCAGTAGAAAAATGTCTAGAAACAAGAGCAGCACGAGTTGACGCCGAAGCAAGCGAGCGGTCAACTCTAGGAAGGGGGGAAGATGAGGATGAAGAGGGAGACAAAACGGCAGAAGGAAGAGAAGAGGAAGAAAGAAGAGAAGGAGGGGAGAGAGAAGAGGAGGAGGGAGGGGTGGCTTGTTTAGTGGGGGGAGCCAGCGTTGCGGATGTGCGCGAGAAGCGGGCGAGAATCGGAGAGGCGGTGGGCAGCAATCGGCTTAATGGAGCTCGTCTGGGCACCGATGACGACCCCAGGGACATTGAGTGTGGACAAAGACTGCAGTGTAAGACTGTAAAGTCAAGCACTAATTGATTGGCAGAGCGATTACAACCAATTGGTCACGCTCGAGAGATCTCGTCTTCGCTGGGCTTCAATGGATGGCCAAGTGTCTTTAAACTCCCGAGAGAAAAGGAGAAAGGAATTTGTCGGGAGGAAAATCGGTCTCCCGGCATGTCCTTCCGAGGCTCCTGATTTCCGTCTTGCTTGGTCTCTACCTTTTTTCTTTATTACAACCTAGGAACTACTGATGCTCGGTCTACAGCTCTCGTGACTCGGGATAGGTAAAGCTCAATCCCTACCGTCAGGGCCGAAACATGTCGATGCGGATTGCCACCCTCGACCATAAATGACTCCAACTCCTTCCACCAGGTTTTCACCTTCAATTCGGACTGGGCCTGTCCTACCAGGTCTTAGGCGCATTGTCAATCCTCCTCCTTGTGTTCTCTTTCGGTGAAACTTCTGGACGAGCTCCACCGGGTCTGACCCGTTCCACTCATTATGGGCTGACGAATCGATGAGGTTCGGTGGTTTGCCATCCTTTTTTAGTCTCGGATGGTTGGAATAGACTTTTAACTTTGTAGTGGAAGCAAGGTCCAATAACCAATTCCTGTGGATGCGGACAGCAATCAAGTTGAGGGGGCAGTTTATTCTCGTGCCACCATGGGAACTATCGAATCGAACTTCGTAGAACGCAAGTAGTTCTAGACAGCATGTGCGCAAAGATTGCCCAGAATGGCATCATTGCGGTTTCAAGACTCCAAGACTTGTTCTGTTCTTCCTGGTCAGAAACTAGTCAGACCGTAGCTGTCTATGGAGTCGTTGACGGTGGTCGGGGAGTGTTGGAGAGAGAGAAAAGAGAAGAATCGATGCTTGGCAGGAACAGCGTCACGTACCGGTAACTTACACGATGGTAATCTGTATTTTTTCTTATCGGCTATCATCACGTGTACTCGACTTTTTCTCTCCGCCTCCATGACTAACAATTTAATTAATTTATCCATATACCAGATCGTGGAGTATCTCCGAATAGCCTCAGGACCGACAGATAGGAGTCTCTAACTAGACAAGTGCGTCTGCTCCTCAAGGTCAGCTCTCTCATCACCTTCTCACCAAGCTATGCTATGAAAAGATTCCTTCGCACCATGACCTCGCTCACTGCACCACCCCGTGTGCCCATCCCCGCCAACGGGGTGGACTACCGTGGCAAGCTCGTTCTTGCGCCGATGGTTCGATCGGGAGAACTTCCCTCTCGCCTTCTCGCCCTCAGATATGGTGCCGACCTCGTCTGGGGCCCCGAAACGATTGACCGCGCCATGATCGGAACCACCCGTCGAGTCAACCCCCGCAACGGCACCATCGAGTTCTTCAGACGGCCCTCCAACGGCGGCCGCCCTGACCGACCCATCTACGACTCCGTTATCTACCGCATCGATCCGGTCCGGGAGAAGGGCAAGCTCATCTATCAGATCGGCACCGCCTCGCCGGAGCTGGCTGTCGAAGCCGCCAAGATAGTCGCCGCCGACGTGGCCGGCATCGACGTGAACTCGGGATGTCCCAAGCCGTTCAGCACGAGTGGTGGAATGGGTGCTGCGTTGCTGCGCACGCCGGATAAACTGTGCGCGATCCTCGAGGCGCTGGTCCGCGAGGTCGGAACCCCCTTCCAGATCGGCATCTCGGTAAAGATTCGCATCCTTGCGCAGCCCGAGGAGACGGAGCAGCTAGTGACAAGACTTGTCAAGACGGGCATCACGGGCCTGACGGTCCACTGTCGGACAACGCCCATGCGACCTCGGGAGAAGGCCATTCGAGACCAGCTGCGCATGGTTGCCAACGTCTGTCACGAGGCCGGCGTGGCGTGCGTCATGAACGGCGACGTGACCTCGCGCGAAGAGGGCCTCGCGCTAATGGAGGAATTCGGCGTGGATGGCGCAATGATCGCTACCGCCGCTGAAACCAATCCCTCCTGCTTCCAAACCGAAGCCCAGGGCGGCCTCCTCCCGTGGAGGGACGTCGTTCACGAATACGTGCGATTCTGCTTGGAATCCGAGAACCGCTTCGGCAACACCAAGTACCTGCTCAACATGATGATCCCCGGCAAGAACAAGGAGTTCAAAATGGCCAAGAACGCGCGGTCCTACTGGGATTGCTGCCACCTTCTCCAATTCGAGGACCTCTTGCCTCTTGCCGAGCAGGTGGACCAGACACTCAACATCGCGGACCGATCCGTCTACAAGGAGGAAGCCCGCAACAAGGCCGTCCAGAACGCCCTCGAGAACAACGAAACTGCTCGTGCGGCCGGCGGGGCCCCTCGTTCCAAGCCCACCTCGCCCGTCGTCGCCGCTGCCGGAGGTCCCATCCGCACCAACTCCATCCCCAAGCCGACGGCAAAGCCCGAGACCACGGCGACTGTTGAGACTGCCCCTGTGCCCGAGCAGACGACTCAGCAGCCTGAACTTGCGGCGTAACTTCTTCCGCCCGCTTCCATCCTCCCTTCATATACATATTCGTTACTATGCAGGGAATCCAATTCCCCGCTGTTGCATTGCTTTTCATTAAAGTTCTTCATTCTTCTGGTCTCTCACGTCCAGAGCGCATTATTCTGGTGTTCAAATACCGGTTCGGTTCTTACTAGGTAGTTTGGAGGTTCTCATAGATTCCCAAGGTGTTTCGTTTCAATTCATGTCTTCTTCTTCTTCTGTCCCCACTCATACATACATACACGCAAAGTCCACTTAAGATAATTTCACCCACATACACGATCGATCAAAGTCAATAGAAACGAAAAGTTATTCATCTATCTAATTATTCCAAAAAGAAAGTGCAAAACTCCCGTGCAATCAACCTCGGTCATGTATAATACAGTACTCCGTAATGTCTTTCCGGGCCATAAAAACGCTCGCTTGCGAGTCCCCGAACAAAAAGATGCACGAGCCAGATCTTGTGCAATGATCTATTAAGATTTCCATCTGATCGTGGAAAGGTAGTGTCTCTAGCTAAAAAAGAAAAACCAGTCGGACTCCTTTTTGTAATGAACAATGAACGACAGGGAAGAAACGAAAGAGAGAAAAAAAAAGGAAATGGAGATGAACATGAACAGCTCCCAATACACCGTATAACACCAAGTTTCCTCTTGCTCCGACAAAAAAATGTTCACATCAGACTCCACTGGGGCCATAGAGGCTTCGACAGGATCGAATATCCTGGCGGGATCAACGGCATGTAGATATCCAATTCGCTAATCCGATGGATGAATGACGTCGATTCAAATGAAGATCATGAAACAGCTCCAGGTCAAACAAACAAGCGGTATGTTCATAGCAAGAGGAACAACAGGTGTTTTCAAATGTTCTTTTAAGAAAAGATCAGCCAATGACAGAGATATGAGATCATGTGCTTTTCTTGTCTTGGTTCATGTCCGCGAGGACCATGTCTTCAACGGCTTTCATCCCAGCCTCCTCTGTCTTCTTAGACTCCGCGCCATCTTCACCGGCAACTGCTTGGTCGAGGGCAAGTTTGGTCTGACCAAGGGAATAGATTTGCTCTTCAATAGTATCCTTGGTCACTAGGCGAATGACCTCGACCTCCTGAGTTTGACCCACTCGGTGGGCACGGTTCTCGGCTTGCACGTCCTCCTGGGGATTGAAGCTGGAGTCGAAGATAATCACTTTATTGGCACACGCCAGGTTGATACCAGCGCCACCGGCTTTGGTCGAAAGAAGGAAGACCGGAATTTCTGTCCGTTCATGGAAGGCGTCGATGATTGACTGGCGATCTTCAACATTTGTTCGTCCGTCAATCCTGACAAACTCTATTTGTTGGTGTTCAAGCACGTGTTCCAGGATATCCATAACCATGGTGAATTGAGAGAAGACCAAGGTGCGATCCCCCTTCTCTTTGAATCGCGCAAGGAGTTCGCAAAGCTTATCAACCTTGCCCGAATCCATCCACTCGTCGTTCTTCAAAACAAACTTTCCTAAGGATTTAGGATAGGTGACGCACATGGTATGGCATTCGAAGTCGTTGTAAGCTTTCAGCTCGTCGAAGATGATGTCCGGGTTGGACATAGACCATTGCTCTTCCTTGAGGCATGCCTTGGACATTTTGCTCAGGGTGGTGTCATTATAATGACGTCGGTAAAGAAGGGAATGGATAGCGGCCTGGCGCAGCTTCATCAGAATGTTGGCAGACCGATTGCCGGTCTTCTTGCCAGCTGCTCGGTCAGCCAAAAGCTGGCGGACCTCCTCCTGCTCGTGCTCGTAGATTTCTTTCTGAGAGGCATTGAGCTCGCAATACTCCACATGAGAAACCTTTGGCGGAAGATCGATGACTTGGTGCTTCTTCCGTCGCAGGACAAAAGGCTTGAGCATGGACTTTGCCCGTTCGATGCGTTGAGCAGACAAGAGCGCAGAGTGCGAGTCGTCGACAGTCTTCGCTTTGTTCGCAAAGATATATTGAAGTTCCTCTTTGCGCTCGTGGAAAACCTTTGGCAGGATGAAGCCCAGCAGGGACGCGAGCTCCTGAAGGTTGTTCTGGAGGGGAGTACCCGTCAGGAGTAGCCTGAAGCGGGCCGGAATCCTGATCAACTTTTCATACAGGACAGACGTCGAGCTCTTCAGCATGTGTCCTTCATCGTAGACGCAGACACTGAAGTTCATATTTCGAAGGAAATGAGCATCGACCTTGCCCTTCGCGATGGTGTAGGTGGTGATGATGACATTGATGTCGTCCCTGTTATCCTCGATTGTCTCCCGAATCACTCCCCGCTCATTCTGGCCGGCATAGTAGGGCATGACCTGGAGGGTGGGACAGAATTTCTGGAACTCTCTAAGCCAGTTTTCGATTGTGGAGGAGGGAACCACAACCAGATGAGGGCCCTTAATGCCCTTTTCAAAGAGATGGGCTAAAAATGCGATAACCTGGCAAGTCTTTCCAAGTCCCATGTCATCCGCCAGAATACAGCTAAGCTCCTTTTCGAAAAGCAGCGACAGCCAGTTGATGCCGACGATCTGATAATCTTTCATCTTCAAGTCTTCGCGCATAATTCCCGGTTGCGAGATGAAGCGCGCCTTGCATGATCCGGAGGCAGGGCCATCGCTGTCTTCCTCAGAGCGCTGACTAGCGGGAGTGCCAATGCCGGAATCGTGGGAGGCCCCAGGATCAATCGATACCAGCTCTAGTTCACCATCACGCTTGCCGAAGATATCCACGCCCCATTTCTTCATCTCGGTCGCAATCGGTTTTCCTAAGGCTTCACACCGAGCGACCAAAGAGTCCACGGCATCGTACCCCACCCACATGTCCAAGCATTTGTCAACAATTTTGTCACCAATCGGCTTGGGTGTCTTCCGCCCACGACTCCCTTTCGGCTTCGCGGGCTGGTTGGCTGTCGGTGCAGGAACCACGCGCACCTCGTCAAGAGACGCAAATGGTCGATGGGAGATGATGTGCTCGGCAATATCTTCGGTGATCGCGGCGATGTCTGCAAGGTCAAGCATCTGACACTTGTTGAAGAAGTTCAACACCTTGGTTTCCAGCGGTCCTCCTTCCTCGGGACCGTCCTCGACTGCAGAGTCGGAATCGTCGGAAATCTCCAAGGGCGCCTCCGGTGATTCGGAGCGCTCAGGAGAGACGCGTTTGCGACCCTGGATCAGTCGACCAGGCTTCTTCTTCGGCGGCGATTCCGAGCGAACTGGGCTTGGAGATGTGGCCCGACTTTTCGGTCCTCTCATTAACCGTCTTCGAGGTTTCAATTCCTCCTGGGAAGGCTCGGCTTTCTGGCTGCCCCGATTTTGCAGGTTCATCGCAGCCCATTTGTCTTGGATCGTACCACGAGCTTTGATCTGCTGCTTCACCGGCGCCGACGCGTGTTTATTCGTACTTAACTCATCGTCCGACGAACCATGCGCATCCACTTCTTCGCTATTGACCAAATGATCTAACGCATCGTCGTAATTCCCACGCTTGAAAACGAGGGCCTGCAGACAAGCCTGCACAGACTTTTGCGGCATCACCTTCTGCATTCGTTCAACTTTGACTCTCATCTGGTAGTCTTCGATTTCTTGTAGCGATGCGATGTTCGAGGACACAGGCTGCGCGCGGGAGGGGCCGTCCTGGCGGATTTTCTTAACCGGGATCCCCTTGGGCGCAGGGTCCATTTGAGCCGCAGGGCGTTTGGCGGTCGTAGGGTTGTACACTGCCGACGCCGTGATCTCTTTGAAACGATTCATGGGATCGCTCCCACCTTCCGAGATTCGAGCAGATTTGGTAAACGTGGAGGGTTTGATGTCCGTGTTCATGACCATTTGAGCATCGTCATCGGAGGAACCACCTCGATACATCGGAACATCGTCATCGAGGTCAATCGCTGGCGCACGTTTGGCCGGACCTGCGGAGACAGGGGGACGAAACTGCGTACCGTTGGGCGCCATGACGCTCGAAAGACGACCACCGACCGGGGTCGGTCGCGAGGGGGACGAAGTAGGGCCCGGAGGAGAGGAAGCAGCGACCTGGACGATGGAGTTACTTTTCGCAGAATGAGGGGGCTCGATCAGTTGAGTGGGCTGCGTTAGTCGCTGAGAAGCCGGGGTCAATTGGGTGGTCGGGGGATGGTGGAGGTTTCCCAGCGGCACGGTGGCAACCGTCTCATATTCTGCGTCGGCGGGCGGAGGAGTGCTGTGAATGATCTTCTTGTCACTCACAGGCGTATCGGGAACGGTGTCATCCATTTTGAGAGGATGGAAGAGGGAGAGGGAAAATTCGAAGTGAAAGAACACAGAGAGTGAGTGTGGGGGGGGAACCCAGTCAGGGAGGACCTGCTCGATCGACTGAGTGAAAGGCGTCCAACCTCTTCAGATCGGATTGGATTCTCCGCAAAAGAGAAAAAAAAAAGGGAAAAAGCAAAAACGCGCCCAGACGCGCAGCCCGTCACGTGGGTTGGCGCTTCAATTAAGACCGACGGGGAAAGGCGTCAAAGTCTGGGGGGGAAGATAGAAGTCTAAATGTTCTTTCTGGTTGAATGAATAAAAGATCACGTAGTATATAAGTATAGGAAGAGAACAGAACAAAACCGCAACGAGTGAAAGAAGCGTTGTTCTAGAAAGCAGCAGCCGCGCCACCGACCGAACGAGAGGCTCTTCGTCGTGGGGAAGAACCGTCCAAGCTCCGGGGCCCAATGAGATCCGCGTTCTCGTCGTATCTCCTCCGCCCAGATGAATTAATGAAGGAATCTACTTCCTTCCGAGAGACTTTACATTCCAGTCGAGTTGAAGACGGGGTGTTTACAGCGCCTCTAGATCTGCCTATTTGATTTTCACTTTCAGCAAAACCCTCTATACCCTCTGCTATCCCAACAGTTCATCAAACTCCCCGAATTCCTCCGTCCTGGGTTCATATTGACCACGGAAACACACATCCAACATGGCCAGTCGTCGCCCTCACTCCCAATCTCCAGCAGATGCTGTACCCCCATCAGTATCCGAGAAACCGTCGGATTCTGACGTTACGCCTGCAGTCCCCACGTAAGTGCTACGCTCTCCTGCCTGATGCCACATGGCCACTGCCCAATGATCACGGATGAGAGATGAATGGTCAAGCCGTGCAACCACGTCGGATGCGCATTCACCAACCCATGGGATCATCCCTCTCGTGTATATCCTCGTCGATTGCATATGCAAGACTGACTCGTCTTCTCTAGTCATGTGATCTTCAAACTGCTCGGGTTCACGGCAGCTATGATCTCCGCCCCCATCGGCATGTATTTCATATCAGTATCTTTTGGTTGTGAGTAATAGCATTTGAACCTTCCTTCTTAACACAAGGCCCCCGATCTAACGCCTGCACAGCGAGCGCAACCATTGCGGGCGTCTTTGCAGCCATTACCGCAAATATAGTCCTCTTCGCCTACATCTTCGTCGCGTGGCAGGAGGATCAAGAAGAGCGGGAAGCCTTGGCAAAGAAGAAGGAAAAGAAGGCCCAGTAGGCTGGTCTAAGTCTTGTTGACTACATTCACTGGATTTCTGCTCCATACCCATGTCCTTTGTTATTTGTACTCGTGGGAATTCGGGTGTTTGTTCTACATTTTCAGTTAATTGGGCGTATTTAGGCTTATATGGCAAGCCTGGTTGTGTACGAAATGAAGGATTTCCTTGACTATGTGAATCAGATTACCGATTTTGTTTGATCGTCTTTGTTGTTTAATCTTCATTCACCAGAATCTTGAGTAATGCCGCTAATAGATACTTCAAGCGTACTTGAACGCCAGTAATTCGACTACAATCGCATACACTTCGGAAACATCAGTCTAGTGGAGTCCGCATAGTATATATTCAGTCCATGTTGAATAGCTGCGCCTGGAAATGCACTAACGATATGTGTATCAAACATGTAACATAATCCCAAGAAAAGAAATCCGCACCCTAAGAACCAGCACGCCATCACGGCCGTCTCTTGACAAACTCCTCCAGATCAGCCTTCGTAGCCACCCCCAGCACAAACTTCCTCGAGGCATCCGTCACAACGGCAAAGCCCTGCTTCTCCCTCTTCTCGCCGCTGGGGCCCGCCTCGCTCTCGAAGAACTGTTCCAGCTCTTCCAGCGGAGTCTCCATCGTGATCACCTGGTAGGTGCCCCGCTTGCGGTTGAATCGCTGCATCGCGGCGGACACGGAATCCGATTCCTTCACGGCGCCTTCCTTCAGCAGCTCCCTCAACCGGGGGATACTGAGGTATCCGAGCAGAGATCGTTTCGTCGACGAGATCACGGTGAGGTGGGTGTAGTCGCGCTCGTAGGCGGCCATCAGGGCGGAGGAGATAGGGTCGTTGGGGGAGACCGATAGAGCGAGAGGGGGGTCCAGGTCCTCGACGGTAGCCTGAAACGAGCAATGTTAGTATAGTGGGTTTGTGTCGGTTCCCAGCCCCGAAGGATTGTTGGGCCAGGACCGGAAGGACGGTTAGAGTAGCAGGGAGAACTAACTCCGCGGTACTTGTCGGCCCAGGAGGCTTGCGATGTAGATTTGTCGGCATTGGGGGAGAGCTTCTCGCGGGCAAAGGCCTCGCTAGCGGACATGTAGGAAGCCATGATGATCGGTTAAGTTGTGCGAGAGGTGGGTGCGCGAAAGAGGTAATTGAGTCTGGTAGCAGCAATGGCAGTTGAGGATGCTGAATATATCGGGGTTCGGTATGTTGGACTCCGTCTCCGTCAAGAGAATGGTGGTGCGTATTCTGGAGGGAAGATTGAGGGGTGACCCAATGATAAATTTGAGGCGGCCCACCCTCGGGATGTCACGCTGCGACGTCATGGTCGCTGAGTCACGGGGTCCCGGGGTCCCTCGCCCGCAACGAGGTATTTATTTACGGTACTTTGCACCCTTCCTCCCCTGTTAGCCCCTGATAGCAGGGTTTCATCGGGTCCTGTCAGAATCAAGGTCAGTGGCGTTTCCAATCTCTTTTATTCTGCCCGCCTCCCTCTCCATTGATCGTTCTCAATGTCCTTCCGGAGTACCTACTCTTACTGACTTTAATAAAAGTGGAGACGATCTTCGGTCGCTTCTATAGATAGATAAGGAACCATCAGCATTACGGAGTACGCCCATCAATCTCGAAGTTCGTCTACTCGGAACGAGATAACTCTCATCGCGATTGAGTTGCAATAACGGTCGTCGCCATGCTACCCTCCGAGAGCGTCGTTGCGAGCGCTTTCTCCCACCATCCGCTGCGTCGGGCTGAAGAACAGTCGGCTGCTCCGGCACCGAAACAAAGGAACCCTTTCCCCGCATGGAGTGTGATTGATGACCCCAAGAAATCGGCACAGTCTTTGGCAAAGGAAGCAACTCGCGAGTTCAATGTCGCCAGCCAAAAAGTGCAAGCTAAGACAGGGCATATTGAACCGTGGACTCCCAAATACTATGCGGCTTGTACTGTCGGTGGACTGCTTGCTTGCGTATGTATTTCTTAGGCATCATTCTGTTCCCGCTATTAACTGTCCATTCTACAGGGCCTGACTCATACAGCAGTAACGCCGCTGGACTTGATCAAATGTCGGCGGCAAGTCGACCCGCTGCTTTACAAGAGCAATGGGGAGGCATTCCGCAGAATCCGTGGCGCCGAAGGCCTGAGAGGGGTCTTTACTGGATGGAGTCCTACCTTCTTCGGTTACAGCGTAAGCTGAGGGGATCAGAGTGTCTACCGATATTCCCATCACTGATTGACTTTTCAAGGCGCAAGGAGCGTTCAAATACGGTGGTTACGAGTATTTCAAGAAGTTCTACAGCGACTTGGTCGGTGCCGAAAACGCCAACCGCTGGAAGACCTCCTTGTACCTGGCAGCTAGCGCCTCAGCCGAGCTCATCGCCGATGTGGCCCTCTGTCCTTTCGAAGCCGTCAAGGTGCGCACGCAGACCACGATCCCGCCAGAATTCAGGTCGACCTTTGGCGGTATCACCAGCATTGTCTCGAAGGAGGGCGTTGCAGGGTAAGTATACTCCAGTCCGATGCGGCTCGATGAAACTGATCGGGATCAGTCTCTACAAGGGTCTGTACCCTCTCTGGGGTCGTCAGATTCCATACACTATGATGAAGTTCGCTTCTTTTGAAACCATTGTGGAGATGATCTACCGTTACCTGCCTGGTCAGAAATCCGACTACAACAAGGGAGCCCAAACAGGTGTTGCTTTCATTGGTGGTTATTTGGCCGGTATTCTCTGCGCCATTGTATCCCACCCTGCCGACGTGATGGTGAGTAAGTTGAATGCAAATCGCCAGGCGGGTGAGGCTTTTGGTGCAGCCACCAGTCGGATCTACAAGGACATTGGGTTCAAGGGCTTGTGGAACGGTCTTCCCGTCCGAATTGTTATGATCGGAACTTTGGTAAGTTTCTCTGACTCGCTAGGGCAATGCTTTTGCTAATCATGGACATTGTGACAGACCGGACTGCAATGGATGATGTATGTGTTGCCTCTGCTCCGATTAGATTCCTTTGCGAAATTATGCCTGCTAACGGATATTAGATACGATTCATTCAAGATCTTCATGGGTCTTCCGACCACCGGTGGAGGTCCTGCTCCTGAAAAGAAGTAAGAGTAAGAATACTGAATGTCGTGGTCGGTCGGTAGGGTCCGTGACGGATATATTGTTAGGTGTAGTGCTGTAGGGTCGTAGTATGAACATTTGAGCGAAGCAGACTGGCTACGGGCACGATAAGTTGTCACTGATGAATGATATGACACTCTCCTCTCTTCTATCCATTCCTTCTCCCTAGGACTACCTTATGTACTACTATCCCTAATGCAACTAACTGCCATGACTGACGAGATCCTCGCCAAGAATTGGTTATCAGCAACCGCCGTTAGTCACGGGCGGGACCAATCACCCGCCGGGCCTTATCTTATCATCAAAGGGACCCGACGTCATTCGTATTCCCATTTTCTTGTCGCATCGCCTCCAACGAGGGCTCGTCCCTGAGATCACCCGGAGCTGATCTAGTCTCATCTGGCCCGTCTGACTCTAAGGGACAAGGTTGTTGGTTTTATATAAGATCCGGTCCTTTCCTTTGATGCCCGAAGGGCTGCATCTTACGACCTTTGTCTCCATACACCCACCATCTGATCTAGAAACCCTAAACAGGCGCCTAACATTTGCGATCCATTCATTCCAGGTACGCTGCTTACACCATGTATCGCGTTCTTTTCCTCCTGTGTCATAATATAAGACTGTCTCTAATCAGCCTTTTTTTCGCGTTTCTTTGTCGTATACTGACTCCGACCCCTCGACTAGACCCCCATCAACATACAGCCCCGCGATCCATCATGGGCGAACATGAACCTGTCGTGTCGCATGGCCGAGGAGGTGCGCGCATCCCTTGAGCTTATCTATCCCGGAACCTCATGCTCATATGTCATCTCTCTAGGTCAAGGAAACATCGGCGCTGACTCTACTCCGTACACTCCCTCCCTCCCTCCCTTCCTACGTCGTCTCCAAGAATGTTCTCCCATCCTTCTAACATCCCACCAGCTACGTCGATGGCGGTATAGTCCGTGAAGGAGTCTACGGCGACCAGGGCGATGGCGCCTATTCTGCCGGTGTAAGTATCCAAAATCCATACGGACTGCGCAGAACCATACCTTCACACCCCACCTCTATCCTCGATTCATATCAAATGACTGCATCTCGCAAAACACAAGCATCCCATCTAACAGATATCTAGCGAGGCGGTGCCGGCAACATCGGCTCTCCACATGTGCGTCCGACGAGCAGATCCCCTCACGACGCGGAGGTAATTCCTGAACTCGCGATCCGCAATTCCGGCGACGGAGATTACCACGTTGGGGTATGTCATTCTTCCTTCCCATCGGATCTAGTCCAATACCTACCTATTATTCCGTCCGCCTGTCCAGTATCTATATCTAACATGGCCATGACAAATCCAGCGCGGCGGCCAAGGCAACGTGCACCTCGACGAAGAGCACAAGAAAGAGAAAGAAGAGAAGAAGCACCAGAAGTCTCTAGCTCATGAGGGACTGGCGGATAAATTGAAACATAAGTTGCTAGGGAGGAAGTAAACTTGACTCTTCCTACTGTGTCTTGACTACCTAAATAGTCTGGATTGTTTGGAAGGCTGCTGTGCTGGGTTGTTCATCCACGTTCAACTGCCGGTCTGCATTTGCCTTATCCACTTGACTTGTTGAATTGTCTTTGATGTGTGTGTGTGTGTATGTATTAGTGTCTGTGTCTGCGTCTGTTTCTCTGTTCTTGTGATTCCCATTGTCGGTTCATTGTGTTCTAGTGTCTGCTTCTTGTCTACGGGGTATTTTCAACAGTTACCTTATAAATCTACAGTATGCTAGTCATCAGACCAGCTACTTTCATTATCCCATATATCACAGACTCGACAAGATGAAGATCTTCACGGCCTACAGTCTCTGGTGACATTCTATCACAGATCAACAGGGAGCTGCCATCTGACTATATGGATCATCACCTTGTAATTGTGACTTATCACATCTTGCAGTTTCATCCCCAATTCCATGATCAAAGATGTATTTTCAATTTGAGAAGATTAAACTTGAATATATCACTGGAAAGACAAACAGAAAGAAAATTCAATGAACCCACCCATATTACTAGACATGGTCAAGAATGGTGTTCATGAAAACGAAGAAAACAAGATAAAATAGATAGATTCCGTCGTGCATCCCATGTAAGTCTCGTGGTCTCGTCAACAGAAAATCAGACAGAGAACAATAAACATAAAAATGCTAATAGAAAGATAATCATGGCAAGCTGAACGCAAATATTATTCCCAGGTTATCCCGTTCCGAAGTTCCCGTTGGCTGTACTCGAGAAAAAGAAAGAAAGCAAGAAACGCCAGGTCAATTATTACATGGGTAGAAAGATAAAAAAAGGGGGGAAGAGGACAATGACCACGCATCAGGAGAGAGAAAGAGAGGGATGGAAAGAGGTAACAGAAAGGAGGGGTAAAGGTAGAAAAGGGAGGTGTGGAGAAGATCGACTAATTGTTCTTGCTAAAGCGTCGCTTGAACCAGCTCTTGCGTTTTGTGTTTGTATCGCTGACGTCCGAAGCATTGGTCGCTTTGCGCAAATGGCGACGAGTGGGTGCGGCAGTCGCAGCTGATGGTCCACCAACAGGCCCGCCCACGGGGCCGCCAGCTGTCGGATCGGTGGCCGGGGAATCTTTGCTCAGGTTGATCCTTCCGGGCGCCGGCCCAGCCGCCCCGGACATTGCCTGACCCTCCAGGTTGGGCCCTGGGCCAAATCCCTGGAATCCGTAGTTCTCTGCCATCGCTCTCTCTTCCATCCGTTGGATCTGCTGTTGTTGCTGGAGCTGGTCGATAGAACTGTTCACGGAACTGGGATCAGTCGAATTGCCCCATTGGTCGGTGTTGCTGCCTGAGCCTGACGCCGCCGTTACATTCTCATAGGATTTGTGGTAGCCGTTCTGCGAGTGCCCGTTCGGAGCATAACCATTCTGACCGTAATTTTGCCCGTACATTGCGTGCTCGGACTTCATGCGAGGATGGCGTCGCGGTCTTCTGCCACCCTGATTATAGGGATAATGGTTCTCCGGAGGGGGCCCGTCGCCATAATTATCGACGAAACTGTCCGGTCGCGAATACGTCCCTCGGCCATTATGGTATGCGCCTTGTTCGCTATAGCCCCGATTCAGATGTCCATTGGGTGCTGCACATTATCATTTCGGTTAGCTAGGCGACCTTCAAGCCAGCACAGGAAACTGAATCAAGAATAGGATGAGGTACCTCCAAAATAGCTGCTGCGTCTACTGGTATAATCAGGTCCGGGAGTCGGCTCATAGTCTGGAGACAAATATCAGCAATTGCAATGAGACAAACGAAGGGCATGTGTCCCACCTGTTTTCGCGTACGAAACTGGTCGACTACTGTAGGTGCCATATATTGCGGCCTCAAAGGACCGAATGGTGTCCAACGGGCGCTCAAAACGAGGACGGGTTGGATTGGAAAGATCGGGTTCGGCTAGATTCAGGAGAAAAGGGGGAGAAAGTCAGTATCGAATTCAGTAACCAAAGATCCCGAACGGTCTCAATAGGGGGGATGGGAGGAAGGCGCCAACGAACTTATTGCATTCCCGTATTGATCCTTGTGCTCCATGTCCCTCAACGAGCCCAGATTCGATTTCTCCAGAGCAACCGTCACTAAATGAGATCTGTCAGTCGGATCATGGGTGCAAATCGGTCGGAAATTTTCGACAATGCGGTGGGGGTTGGACAGGCAATAGCTGGATTTAAAAAGTGAAAGAAAAGGAGAGAGCGCGACTGCCAAAAATGTGTGGAGCAGGGTAGATAAGGGTACACATACTGGGTTGCGCTTCGCTCATAGCAACCATCGGGTCGGCTTTGGTATGTAGATTGCGTTTTGCCTTCTCCTCGGCGGATTCGGTGCGATGATGGGTTTTATTCTTGCCAGAGTTGTTGGAATTATGGGAGTTCTCCGACCTCAGACTGAAACCTCGACTGCGCCTAGGAGACGCGACCGGTTGGGGGGCCGCCATTTTTTATTATCACCCCGTTGTTTTTAGCGCCTGATAAAACGGGTTTCCTTGGAATCCTTGCGATCTGCTAGAACTATGGCGGCCGTTGTGGAGCGCAACCACGATGGGGTGGAAACCGCCAAGGAATGTATGATGGTGCACACTGATTGATCGAGTATCAGGCGCTTCGAGACATTCACTTTCACGACTCTGCAGCGCACGAAACTTTGACTGTCAAGTGGGGTTGAATGGGCTCCGTTGCCTGAAACTGGCTCGCACGTTTAATTTGATTGAAATCTAACTAGAGAGACAACTGAAACCGATGCTGAAATTCGAGTCAAGTCGATGAGCTGATCCTGGTGAGTTTTGGTTTTACATAAGTCGTCCAGACAATCGGAAGATGCAATGACAGGAACGAGGGTTGCCACCGCAAAACGAGAGCGTCGAAGAGGTGGTCGTGGTCAGACCACAACTGGCTGCAAATGAACCCTGCAGGCAGGGAAAAAGCGATGGTTGGAGGGGTAGGAAAGCAGTGGCAATAAGCAGATTCGGTATTGTAGTAGTAATACAGATTGTAGGAATAGCAGGAGCTGGAAGAGAAAGCAAATTCGGCGAAAAAGTTGTCGCTGTCCAAACGAAGGTGGGATGAGGAGGAAGAGAAAGAGGAAGAAGAAAGAAAGGCCAGGCGGTCTTGAGAGGACAAGAGAGGCTTTTTGACTAGAAGAGGACCATGGTGTTGACGACAGGCGCCACGCAATGGGAGGGGACTGACAATCGATGAACAATTGGAACACCTCCTATCAGCTTTGGGTCGGACGGCGGCGTGAGAGCCGAAGCCACCGGACTAGAAGTCAATCGGGTTCTTTCTTGTTTGTTCTGGAAATAACCTAGCCAGTTCATTGACCCTCCGCTGCTGTTTCTTTAGAGAACCAGGATAGTCGACTGCTGGGAGATTAGATGAAGGGTATGATATCTATCAATTGGTGTCTCTCTGCCTACCCCAGAAGTCTCGTGGACTCTGCTCCCTCGGGGGAAACAATAAAATCCACCTTTGCATCTGTCATTGACTCGTGCTCGTTTGCTCCAAAAATGAAAAGAAGATAAAAGAAAAACGTGCATGAGCAGCTGACGGTACCGATTACCAGACGCAGGACCCGGAAATAGAATAGATTACGCCACTAGCCCAAGCTAAGAAAGCAGCTAGGCCCGATCAAGACAAGCGGCGGCGATAAAATACCGCGCCTGGCCAGACTTTCGTCGACGTTACGCAATTTCCCCCTCAGTTGGCAGAAGTCTCCCATGGTTTGCCCTGCGCTGGTTACTCAGGCACGGGAAAACTTCTGCTTATCCATGTTTTCTTCTGTTTTCACCACTGAGCGATTCCAGTCTAGTCTGGTCTAGTCTGGCAAATCTGCGCACTTCTGCTGCTCCTCCCATGGACGTGCCCAAGACATGTCCTTCCTTAGTCGGACCGCTAAAAGGTCGACTAACCCGGCGCTTGGCTCATCCGTCTTCTTCCCATTGGCTATGTGGCACTTGGAATGAAACAGGATTTGTCTCTTGTCCAAGATTTCAAGAGGGATGGGTGGCTCGCAGCCAATCCCTTATACATGCACAAGCTGTTGCACAACAATCTCTGCTGCAGAAGTCCAAGGTGGGCTTGCATCGTTGCAGTCCAACCGGATCCTAACCTGGTCTGATGAAACTGGCGACGAGCTGTATGCATCACGTACTGTATTGAACTGAACCAGCCTCTTGCATTTCGGCCTAACTTCATTCGCTGCAGTCGATGCCGGCGATCGCCTAGGAAGAGTTAATGAAGGTTACGGGCATTCTCATAATTCATCGTATTCGCATAGCAGGTCGGGTCCCTCTTATCTGCTTTCCCCAAACCTAATTGACGTGCGGAAGACAGAGTTGGCCACGTCGAAACCGCTAGTCGATCAAGTCGGCGGCTGGCTGTTGGAGGATCCGTGACGATCATCAAGGTATCCTGGTGGGTCATCGCGGTGGGGGATGGCGCCTACTTTAATCCCTATTAACTCGGGGTAAACAATGCAAGGAGTCCCCTTTCCAGAATCATTTTTCACCCCTACTCCGGATTGCGGGGAGTCGTTCGATCTAGATGGCTTTCTGATATCATTCTGTTTTCAGTTGAAATGGATTTCTTGGTTCTGGTGCATATTCGGGCAGATCATGAGGAATATATATCTGGGTCCTGGGGTGTTGGTCTGGAATGGGGGCTGTAACTAACAACTGATGCTTATTTTAGGCTGAACAATCACATCGAGGCTTTCAAAATCGCATTGCTGGCAGTTGGCTCGCGTATTTTGAAAGCATACTATCCCCAGACCCAGGTGATACAATGATAGCGAACCCCTTGAATACAATTGTGTTTATCTCAGCTGTCTGGACAGACAAGACGCGTCAGGCTCTGACACATGAGTCTCAATTTCTCTTGTATACTTTGCCCATCTTCATGAGATGTGTGATTTCTGATTATCAATATTTGGCTTCTTAGAAATTAATCATCACCTAGCAGTAGTTACACATCCCGGAATTAAAGGCAAAGCTAAAGCTTCCCCTTAGTTTGAGGTATTTGTCAATCATCAGACATATAGGTAAAACTCAAATCCGCGCCTTTTCTCGGCCTAATTCCATGGACCGAGATATATCCTCTTAGGTCCTTTCCCTGGTCCTCATGTAAATACCTCTCAGGGGCATACATAGGCCAATCCAGGGCGCGGGTGAAATACAATTGCAATCGAACTACATAACATATGAACCGAAGCCTTACCTTTGTTCAATCAATTCAGCGTTTTCGGCCCTCATTCTGCCAATATGCGCCCTTGACTATACCGACCATGAAAGCATGACTCTGGAAGGCCATTAAATGCCAGTAAAGGCCAAAACACCTTTTTTTCTCGACCTGATAGTGCTGGATGCTTTATGTACAAAACAAAGGTAGCCGTCTGTTGTCTAGAGGTCTCGAGAGCACATATTTTATTCCCTTGGATAGATCCACGCGGTCAAGAATATATCAAGTTTTGAAGGGAAACGGCATAATGCTATATAGATGGAGCATGCAGCTGAAAGCCCCGAGTTGAAAACAGAATTATTCCTAAAATACAGTTGTCTTAAGTGATAGGATACCCAAACTAGGTATATAATGACAAGGCCTGCTGTGAACTGGACTCCTTCCAAGATCAAATAGATCGCTAGCTCCGCGCCTACGAACTATAGCAGTTATAACATCTGTTGGAACTAAGCTGGCCGATTTACGAAGCCATATATATTGATACTGATGAAAACCGCGGTTGAACATATTCCCAAGCTGCCTACGGAGTACAACCTTGAGTTTGTGCGAAGGAATGAACTGCTTGAAGCACAGAATTCATATAGCTCTAAACAGGTACCCGGAGAATAAAAGGTGTATCTGTTAGCCTAAGTTAAAACCGGAATGTCGAGCACCAAATGTCGCATATGGAATGGTTCGATAACGAGCGGTCTTGATACATCTGGTTGGTGTCTCATGAAAAAGGCGAGCGTGCTGCCGGAATCTCAGGTGTTGCTTATCAATCGTTGTCAATTTTCCAGTTGATTCCTGTACGGTAGCACGAAAACCCGAACTTTGTTGAAATGGTATTCATTGGTGTTATGATCATCAGTACAGATGGGAGAAGCCACGTTGTCAGACAAGACATAGGATGCTCGCCAGTACCAAAACAGGCCAAGCCTTTCTAAATGCCTAGTAACCGACAAGAATAACCATGCTGTAAAGAAGACAAGAGTTCTTTTATTTTAATTCGTAGGGCTGGACGGCCCTGCCTCTCCCACGAACATTATCATCAACCCGCCAACTCCATCTCAACATCGGCTCATACCGTCGACTCCTTGCCCGACTGTCTGCGCGAAGATTCCGGAGTGCCAACTAACACATGAAAAGAGAAATTCGACTCGTTTAGATGTTGGAGGGGTAGAGCATGACGCGGACAGTAGCACCGAAGGACTTGGGGGGGAGGTTGTGGCGGAACTGAGCGCGGACGACACCGGAGTTGCCTGTTGCAAGGAAATCACTGGTCAGCCTTCTCGCCGATTTCGATTCCATGACCCGATATTCTCGCCATCGACAAATCGCATCTGTTTCGCTGGATGCATCGAGTTCACGTACCGTGAGGGCGGGTGACCTTGCCCCAGATCACCCGGATGTTGGAACCCCGAACCTCACGCTTGGCCCGGTAGACGAAAGCGACCTTCTTGCCCAAGTAGAAGCTGCGAAACCAGTCTTAGTAACCTCGTCCATATCCAGCACGGCGTTCCAGATGTTACTCACTTGGCGGCCTCGGTGGTGTCAACACCGTCGATCTGGATCAGACTGTACCAGTTGTCAGAATCCCTGTCCCATGTTCATCCCAATATCATATGTAAATCCGTACCTGGTGTTGGGGTTGACCGCGCGCTTGGAGCGCTGGTAGCTCAGGTGACGACCCCTAGAACAAACAATTCGTATTAACCCTTCTGTTCTGATGATATGTCGCAGCTCGACCCATGTCCCGATCCAACATTGAATTCGAATTTGATCATTTTCGGACGTGCGCGACACGACGGTGTAGACAATCGAAACTTACTTGACATAGACTGTAAGAAAGAATGAATGTTAGCCTGAATGTCCTTTGTGGGTGTGGTAAAAAAAAATCCCAATCGATATTCGCGACCGTCCCCGGATCTCTTCATCTCCAACCGCCGAGATCCAGCCATCGCGCACATAGGATATCAAATGGCACCGGGCAAAAGAAGTTACTCACGTCTGTGACCTTGTTCCGAAGGCATTCTGACGGCGATTCTCTGAGCAACAGCGGGCAACGCAAACAAGTCGAAGGAAGGCAGATATGACCCGCAAAAAGTCGTCCGGGTTGTCGTGGTTGTCGTCGCTTCGATAGGTATCAGTCGACGCACACACAAGGCTTACAATTTGCGAGAGTGTGTTCGGTGCGCTAACCTAAACGGGATGCTTAGCGATCAGGGCTAAGCGAAGTCCCGTGATGGAGACTCGAGCAGGGGACCGAACACCCGCTATTCCGCATTGGGAGTGCGTCCGGAACAACTACAATCTCCGGGTTCCGAGATAAACGGGGAGTTGAGAAAATCGTTCAGATCCCAAGACCGACCGACCGCCAACCTCCAACCCCACCATCGTCGCTATTTTGCCGTCGGGCTACTGTAGTCCGAGAGTGGTTCGCCGGTTCCTGCAACGGATGGGGGAACGTTCTGTCTAGAGCGCCTTTGGCTGACAAAACTTGCTGATTCCTCCCTCCATGACGACAAAGGGCTCCATCATAGTGCATCGTGATGATACTTGTCAAGATGGGGGATTTTTTCAGTCTTTCCCTCTCGGCCCTCAATGACCCCCGAGGTGGGTGAGATCATCAAATTCGGGGCGCTTGACCGATGTACATTGAGTAACAGCGTATCTTCATATTGAGGCGTGAGATAAGATGCCGAGTAGTATAGTCCTACTGTCATGGGTGTCCTCTGTACAGTACGGAGTATATAACCCAAAAGATGAGACCCTTCGGTGCCATCATACCGGGAGCACTTATTTGGAAATATAGCGAGTTCCCCGCCCCACCCTCTAGGATATCGGCAACAATCTTGACATGACGCATAGCACGCAATACTGCTTGAAGCTCTTGGGAAATTTTACTGGGATGATTCTGAACCTTGAGAACACGCGAAAAGGGGAAGAGGACAGGCAAAATTTAGTCAACGAAGTGAAAGAGGAAAAAGTACCAAAATCCAATCACAAAGGTCCTGGACACATCGGCCTTGTTGATATTCCTCACATTGTCCAGAACCAGGGATTCCCTTCCTCGGGATGTAATCACTAACTCCGGACTGCACTGGGCCGAAAGATTCGGTCTGCATCTACGGAGTATAGTTTTTATTATTTTTGTTTTCATTTCTCTTTTTTTCCTGTTTTAGACCTCCGGGAAAATAGAATCCGTATCGTTCTTTCCAGATGACAAATCCGCCGATCCATCTCTCCACGAGTAGGGTCACCGGGAGGCGCTTCAGGAGACACAGTAATCTTCGCTGCAGCTTCTGGCGCGATCTCTGCAACAGTCCCATGCGTGGAGACCGTCCGAAGTCGCTGTTGTGTACCGCTCCGGTATAGATACATCCGACGGCAAGCGAACGCAAGCCCGTCGCAAGGTTTCATGGATGTACACACTTCGCAGCACAAATGCACCAAACGAATGTCGATCATTTGATCCCCTTGAAGATTAATGTGTCGGTCCTTTACAATGAATGGCAGCAAGTGGCCGGCTTCTTCGGGGCTAAACTGTGATGCTTTGTAGCTCCACCCTTCAAGCACTGACATTATTATTTCATTGATTGAGGTAACATTGACCAAAACTGCCCGCACTCCGCGGATTCGCTGGGAATCCACGATAAGAAGCCATAAGCGCCGTTAATTTGTCCTTCCCCTTGTCACGCGGACCAACTTGAGTCAGATCATCGTTGGGAAGGCGTCGAATTGCTAGGTTTAGCGCACGCGGGGTCGGCCATTCCAAAACGTGCCTTAAAGGGGACATCCACTCGATGGACGGTCCTCGGTGGAGCGCGCTGGGATGAAATTTCCAGCGTCGGTGGTTCGGATAATATCAGTAATAGTTACTAGCTAGTCTCTCTCACCCAGACATTAATCGGTCAGGAGGTACGTGATTAATTGATTACTGATAGGATATTATTAAGATACGTGGGGGGAGGGGACTCGGAGTTACAGGCTTGATGACTATAGAATTTCCCATGCATTCTTTGTATCAGTGTATAGGATTGAGCTGATTTGATTTCCCTTGCAGTAAAGGTTGGTTGAGCTATGATATAATAATGCGAGACGTTGCCACGATAGGAGATAACTTAATATCCGGTGAAGAACCAGTCCCTCCGGAGAACGGATAACTAGAAAGAGACCAAAGAGGGCGGGAAAAAAAGGGCCAAAAGAGAAAACATATAGGATCCCATGACCTTTTATTTTAAACATTTATAGCTATGTGATTATAAATCCCGCTCAAATGGCAAGCATCTTGAAAAGAAACAAAGAAAGAAATAGAAAAATGTAAAAGAGAGAAAAGGAAAAAGAAAACATCCACCGGAATTAATTAGATAAAAAAGAGTCGAATCATCTCGGACGGGGTCTGGCGGCAGCATCGACGTAGTGGAAAGGAAAGCTGCCCCACCACGCGCTGGTAAGGAAAGTGCTTCGCCCACCGTCGCAGCAGCAGCTCCTCACGGCATTAAAACGTACCCTGCTCCGCCGGAACTGTTGGCCATTTTCCCAACTATTCTCTCCTTTCTCCCTCTTGCTCTCGCCCTCTTTTTCTCTTCCTCTTTCTCTTGTCATTCATCATTACCATTGTTTCATTAACCTTAAACACAACCATGGCTAGCACGATAGCAAACACTGAGGAACACCACAACGCTGGGTGAGTTTGTGAACACTGCCGTTGCCCTCTCTGACATCACACCCCCTCCTCCTCCGGTTCTCTGTCGCCCGCTTCCTGCTCTTTCGCCCACTTCGTGCGGAATTGTCGGCCAACGTCCCTTCGCAAAATATCCCAACCTCATATTTTTGCATTGAAATCACCTTGTTTTGAATTTGGCCATTTCACACCAATTGGACTGCGCGCTCAATATTTACCCCTCTTTTGATTGCCCATTCATTTCGCCGCACGCAGATTTTGTAATCGACAGCCAGCAAACTACCCTGCCTCACGAATCCCTGCCTGATTGACTGCTAACATGGATGTCCATCTTAGCACCGTTGAACTCAAAGATGACACCGTCATTGTGGTACTAGGTGCGTCGGGAGATTTGGCAAAGAAGAAGACGGTAGGTTTATTCTGAGTTGAATCCGATGTGAGAAATTAAAAAAAAAGCATGGATAAGAAACTGACAACTCGATAGTTCCCTGCTCTTTTTGGCCTTGTATGTTCCTATTGAGCCTCTAGAACCGGGATATACCATGATCCTGCCCCCGCCCAGGATGATTTCCAATTGACCATTCAAATAGTTCCGCAACAAATTCCTCCCCAAGGGTATCAAGATCGTCGGATATGCCCGGACGAACATGGACCACGAGGAATACCTGAAACGTGTGCGATCATACATCAAGACCCCCACGAAGGAGATCGAGGAGCAGCTGGACAGCTTCTGCAAGCTCTGCACCTACGTCTCTGGGCAATATGACAAGGACGAATCGTTCCAGAACCTTACGAAGCACCTTGAGGATGTCGAGAAGGGACAGAAGGAACAGAACCGAGTCTTCTACATGGCTCTGCCCCCTAGCGTCTTCATCACCGTTTCCGATCAGTTGAAGCGGAACTGCTACCCCAAGAACGGCATTGCCCGTATTATCGTAAGTGGCTTCGTTGCTGAATTCTCGGACCGGACACTTGCTCATGCGCACCTCGTCTCGTCTTAACAGGTTGAGAAGCCCTTCGGCAAGGACCTTCAGAGCTCTCGCGACCTCCAGAAAGCCCTCGACCCCAACTGGAAGGAAGAGGAGATCTTCCGTATCGACCACTACCTCGGTAAGGAGATGGTCAAGAACATTCTCATCATGCGTTTCGGAAACGAGTTCTTCAACGCCACCTGGAACCGTCACCACATCGACAATGTACAGGTACGATATCATCAATTTCACAGGGATTCGACCAAATCATTCTCTAACATGCGCTTCTTTCGAATATAGATCACCTTCAAGGAACCTTTCGGCACCGAGGGCCGTGGCGGATACTTCGATGAATTCGGTATCATCCGTGACGTCATGCAGAACCGTATGTTATCGGCTCCTGATCCCCCATTGAAGACCGCTTGGCTGATTTATTGTCCCAGATCTTTTGCAGGTTCTCACCTTGCTCGCGATGGAGCGCCCCATCTCTTTCTCTGCGGAGGACATCCGTGATGAGAAGGTGAGGAGTCCGGTGCCTAGAATGACGGAGAACATGAGTATTAACATGACCAGGTCCGTGTTCTGCGTGCGATGGGCGCGATTGAGCCCAAGAACGTCATCATCGGTCAGTACGGCAAGTCCTTGGATGGTAGCAAGCCCGCCTACAAGGAGGACGAGACTGTTCCCCAGGACTCTCGCTGCCCGACCTTCTGCGCCATGGTTGCGTACATCAAGAACGAGCGTTGGGACGGTGTGCCTTTCATCATGAAAGCTGGTAAAGGTATGTTCTTTCAAGCTTCGGACTTCGCGCCCAGCATACTGATCCATTATATCCAGCCCTGAACGAGCAGAAGACCGAGATCCGCATTCAGTTCAAGGACGTGACCTCCGGAATCTTCAAGGACATTCCTCGCAACGAGCTTGTCATCCGTGTCCAGCCCAACGAGTCGGTTTACATCAAGATGAACTCGAAGTTGCCTGGTCTGTCCATGCAGACCGTGGTGACCGAGCTTGATCTCACCTACCGCCGTCGCTTCTCTGATCTGAAGATCCCCGAGGCCTACGAGTCGCTTATCCTGGACGCTCTAAAGGGCGACCACTCGAACTTCGTCCGTGACGATGAACTCGACGCTAGCTGGAGAATGTTCACTCCTCTCTTGCACTACCTCGACGATAACAAGGAGATCATTCCTATGGAATACCCTTACGGTACGTTTTGCGACTCTGGGGATAGTAGCCTCGCATGTTGGTAGTGTTCTGTTGACTGATTATTTATACAGGCTCGCGCGGCCCTGCCGTCCTTGACGACTTCACGGCATCATTCGGTTACAAGTTCAGTGATGCCGCTGGCTACCAGTGGCCCGTAACAACCCCCACCCCCAACCGACTTTAGATCGGCGCATGGGTATGAGACAAGAAAAAAAAAGCATTAATGATATCACTACTGAAGATTTTTGTTCCGTTGTTATGGCACGATATGGGAAATTCGGATTGATATAGGTGTGCGACGATATCATGTATCGGACAACTAGGCTACTACCTACCTCGGAAATTTAGAAACGAATGCAGTGACCGTTACGAATCCTATGACATGGACCATACCTATAGGCAGACTCCTTCCGATTGACTACGTAGTGTATTCATCGCATAATATTAATTAAAAGAAAGACGAGCGCAGTGGGGCGGCCTGGGCACCGCTAGGCTGACGGCCGGGGGCCCGCATGCGTGTGTTTGTGTGGGCTCAGCCCGGCTTGCTTCCTCGCGGCTCTCCGCCCCATCCCATTATTCCATCCCATTCTTTTTTCTCTCCCTTTTCTTCTTCTCTCCGTCCCCTTTCCATTGATCAGAGCCACTCTCGTCCGAATCACGGAGATTTCTTTCGTTCCCACCCTGCAACCATCGAGAACCATAACTGTCTGGCCAACGGCAGTAGTTTCCGCTGCATCCCTCGCATCTATTTTTAAATCAGAGACGGACCGTGCGACGAGCGCAATCAAATTACCCACCCTCCATATTGCTGGACCCTTTTTTTGGTTTCTCCAACCTCGGAATTGCTTCTAGCCCTAACCAATACTTCAATTGACGCCGGGGAATCGCAAACAATTCTACTACACGGCGCGTTTTGTCGGCCTGATTCGAGTCACGAGACCACGGAACCCGGCGCGGTTCATGGAAAACGAGAAACAGCGAAAGGCGTCAAGTGCATGCAGGCACCTGGAGGTTAAGGATGCCGCAAGCTGCGAGATGGGCGGGCTCCCCTTCAATCAAGGGACGGTCAGAGTCGGCGCGTATGGCGCTGTTGACTTTCAGCTTGGTGGGATTACAGTACGTGCTCGATTTCTGCTTTTTCTTGGGTGGCTGCCTTGGGCGGCGTTGGCTAGTTCCTGCAGACAAGAGATGCACTAACTCATCCTTGTTACATATAGGTTTACCTGGGGCATTGAAATGACCTGTGAGCGACAGACCCTTTGACCATGACCAACCGACCGTATAGCTCCTCTAACAACGCGCTCGCGATAGATTGCACGCCGTACCTACTTCAGCTCGGTCTCACCAAGTCGAAAACCTCGCTCGTCTGGATTGCCGGTCCTCTATCGGGATTGATCATACAACCGCTGATCGGTGTTATTGCAGACCGATCGCGATCAAAATGGGGGCGACGGAGGCCATTCATGGTGGTGGGTTCATTTGTTGTCACATTGTGTTTGCTGGTTCTGGGGTGGACCTCGGAGATTGTCGGAGTGTTCGTCAAAGATACAGAGAAGGTATGGTCATTGCCTATAATCTTGCGCATATGCCTGGGTCATTGGTACTCACGCGGGGGTTTCATTTCTGCTAGGCTAAAAATGCGACGATCGCTCTGGCGGTTCTTAGTATTTACGCCGTAGATTTCGCGATCAACGTTGGTGAGTATAGTACCCGAGGAAGCCATCTCTTACAGCTCACTAACATGTTACTAGTCCAAGCATGCTGTCGCAGCTTGATTGTCGATACATTGCCTATTCCCCAGCAGCAAGCTGGGTCGGCATGGGGTTAGTATTCTATCCATTTTGGGGTTTATAAGATTAGGGACTGATACCATGAAGCTTCTAGGATGTCGGCTATCGGCCAACTTATTGGATACTTCATTGGGTCACTGGATACAGTTAGCATTTTTGGTACCATAATTGGTGACACGCAGTTCAAGCAAATGACGGTCATTGCTGCACTCTCCCTGATCGGAGCGGTCATGGTCACATCATATTCCGTCAAGGAAAGAGTTCTGATCACTGCCAGGTGGGTCATAGCCAACGATGTTTGTAGGATCCGGTGCTAACATTGGCTTACAGAGACTCGGATGGTCAGGCTGGAGCTCTCCAGGTGCTTTCCCAGCTCTTCAAGACGACGATGGACCTGCCTCCTCGGATCCAAGCCATCTGTTGGGCCCAATTCTGGGCCTGGATTGGTAAGGGACTATGTTTTCACATGATTATCCCTCGTGTTACTTATTCCTCCTTTAGGCTGGTTCCCCTTTCTGTTTTACAGCACGACTTGGGTCGGGGAAACCTATTTTCGATACGAGGTGTCCAAAGACGAAATCCAACAAAGCGACATGCTGGGAGAGGTGGGCCGTGTTGGTAGTCTGTCTTTGGTGGTTTTCTCATCTGTAACCTTCATCGGCTCGGTTCTCCTACCGTTCTGCGTCCAACCGCCGGATAGCAAACGACTTCGGTTTACTCCACGGCCCCCGCCGGGCATGGCTGCGATGCTTACCAAAATAACTTCAGTCCGGCCAGACCTGCAGACGACCTGGTTAATTTCGCACATCATATTCGCCGCCACGATGATTTTCGCGCCACTGGCCCGATCGCGCGCCGTCGCCACCTTACTCGTGGCCGTCTGCGGTGTCCCCTGGGCAGTCAGCTGCTGGGCCCCATTCACCTTCATGGGCGTGGAGATCAACAAGCTCGCCACGGGCGCCTCTCAGCCCTCCCGTTCCGGAGTAACCATGATTACCTCCGCCAGCGTTCGCTCCGGCGCTTACGACCCGAACGGCGAGACCGAAATGGAAACGCTCCGACTCAACCACCACGATCCCGACAGCGACAGCGATGTCGAAGACGGCGCCTCGAACGCACCCTCCACCGGCGAACTGGCCGGCATCTACCTCGGCGTGCTGAACGTGTACACCACCCTCCCCCAATTCGTCGGCACCTTCATCAGCTGGATCGTTTTCAGTATCTTCGAACCGGCCAGCACCAAGCGCGATGAATCGGCGTCCGAGACGCAGTGGATGGATCTCGACCAGAACTCCCCCAACGCTATCTCCATCTGTCTATTCATCGGTGCCTTGAGCGCCATCATAGCCGTGGAAGCGACCCGCCGACTACGCTACGTTCTATAGTAATTCCTTTTCTTTTGCCCTCTTTTTTCTTACTTCTCCATTCTTTATAAGCAAGCATCAAGCGACTGATCGCCCGACATCTTTGCACCTATATTTAATCCCCCCAGGACCCATTGGACTTGGGGGGCGGAAACATTTGATCACGAGAGTATATTGATTAAGCACATATCGACGACCATGGCCACAGACATGGAGGAAGACCAAGACCATCTTGCTTTTCTGGAACTCTTTTTTCTGGCATGCATATATCTCGGCGTTTAGACGATGGGTACATACATAGTCTACATTATGCATTGGGTTAATGATATCTAGTTAATATTAATTAAATATATCTAAATCATAAATATGCCTGAGTCCATCCGGAATTGTCCCTTAGGTTCTCACATTGTGAAAGGAGCTGAGAGAACTACTCCACATGCCGACCTTATCTTGAGAACCAATTACAACGATGTACGCTTAACTGATTAACTGATTGATTGATTGATCTGGTTTACATAGCGAGAGTCTGCTGAGGTATATTGCATATATCAACAACACCAACAAAAAAAAAGACGAAGCAGAATTAAACAGATATCGGGCAAAAACAAGGCAGTCAGCACGAGCGAATGGGGAATAGAACAAGCTGAACGGCGTAGAGGAACAATGGGGAACAAGGAACAAGCATAAGAGAATATGGTGGTCTGGTCCTTCTTCACGATTGCGATGAAGGTTGAAAAGCGCATTAAAGCCACCATTGGATGAACACGAGGAGACACGTATCCGGGCTCGAGCCTGCACGGATTCGGAAAGGGATCTCCTGAAATACAAGGGATTAAAGGGGGAAGGGTTGAAAATTTTCCATAGAACTGAACAGGCACTAAGGTATCAAAAAGGTGGAAACGCAGATCGGACGAAGTAGAATCGGACTTGGGAAGAGAGAAAGGAACAAGGGAGATAGATTAGGCTTGCATATTGCCGGTCAGCTCGGCAACACGGGCCTTGATACGAGCGGCACGAGTCTCAAAGCCTAGAAAGAAAAGAAGTCAGCATGGGAATGGCTGGATGAACGAAGCCATATCTGGATTTACTTACTCTCTTCCTCGCTGGTATCATCGCTGTCATCAGCGTCAGTGGGACGGGTCTGCTCGCCGGGGACCGGACCTTGTTGAGCTCTTTCCGCGGCGTTCTTGCGGATCTGGGCCCAGCGATCATAGGAGGGATTGGTCTGTGGACTAGGACCGCTGGTCTCAGCGTCGTTGGCCTCGGGCTCTGTGGGAACCTCAGACGCGGCTGCGGCTGGGTCTTTCTTTTCCGGGAAGTTTGGAGAGACCGGCGAATCCTCTGGGACAAATGCCGGTTGTTCCATCAAGGGTCCCTGATCAAACCTCGAAAATTCACGGTCAGCTGCTGCCCTTTCATTGGTGTCGACGCGTGAGAGAGCATCGATTTCGGCTTCCCGCCGGCTTCTGCCGTGGTAACCGTTGGTGCTAGGCGGGCTGGGGGCCTCATGGGAAGGCTCCTTGGTCTCTTGAGATTGGTCTTCGGTTTCGGTGTGCTTGGTTTCCTGTTTTTCAGGCGTCTGGGGTGATTGCGGTGCCCGCGGTGTAGTAGCCAAATCCGCGCTAGCCTCCCGAGACTCAGCAGTTGGCGTTCCAGGAACAGGTTTCTTCTTCAGAGTCGAGGGGCCCTTAGGGGAAGACCGAGGGGGTTGCTGCTGCGCAGCCATGGCCTTGCTCTCCAGAGCGGCGCGAGCCGAGGCGACGGCAGACTTCTCGGCGCCAGTTGGTTTCATAGGTGGTCTCGGTTCGGTGTCGGGAATATTCTTCTTTTTGACCGTCCCAAACAGGCCCTTGAATCCCGTATTTCCGGCCTTCTTCTTCAACTTCCGGCCCGGTTCGTCTGCCGATTCCATGGATTTCTTGGGGATCGATTCGGCGGCTAATGGGTCACTCGTGCTATTGTTACGGGTGCTGGAGGTCTCCTCGGGAACCTCTTTGGACGCCCTAGGTGCTGGGGAGCTAGGAGCTGAATCCTTCGGCAATGGCGGAGGAGCCTGGCGGGTACTAGTCGTCGGCGATGGCGGCACGTCGTCTCGTGCAAGTTCCCTCATGCTGTCGGACGCGGCCCCGGTTCCCGCACGGTCATTGCTTAGATATGCCTTTCGGTAAGCATTCTTGTCGTAGTTGTTAGCCCATTTCATTGCCTGCGAGGCCTCGTTCACGATGCCAGGTTGCAAGGTCAGGACAGAGTTAGTCTTGGTCGAGTAGCGATTATTTGCGAGATTTGTTTGAGATCCGTTCGCAGACTCTTGCTCCCGATGCTTTCTCTGGAGAGCGGCAGCAGCAGCCTGAATGCGCGCATGCTGGTCAGGAGCAATGCTAGTCTTGCTCTGTGGCGCCTGGTTATCAGGTCTTTTGTAGGCATCTTCGACCGCGTTAACTTTCTTAGCCGAAGACTTGCGGCGCCCAAGCCTTTTGCGCGTCGAGAATCCGAAGAAGCTCTTCTTCTCGACGATGTGCGCGCCAGGCTCGGGTTCCGGGGCTGCGCCCTTGACCTGCTCCTCTAGAACAAGCCATTTGGCACCCTTGATGATAGTCTCCAGAAGTGCGCACCGTCCGAACACTGCTTTGCGCAGCGGCGACTCCTCACCCGCAAGACTGCTGATCCATACCCACCAGAAAGAGTCATCGAGGTCAAGAGTGGTGATACTTGCCAGCTCACCCGGATCCATAGAAGTTTCAGTATCTAGGGTACGCTTATGAGACTGCGAACTCTGGCCGCGAACAGTTGCAATAGGAGGCAGGACCTTGTCCGGGGGAAGTAGCACGGGAGCAACAGGAGACTTGAAGACATTCTCGTCACTGAAGCCTGATGACATGAAGTCTGCCCATGATGGGGTGGTGGGACGTCCCAGATCACCTCCGCCGGACTGCGGAGCGGAACGCAGACCATCCCCGAATTCTTTCCTCGAGCCAGGTCCCTTTGCATCATCCACGTCATCCTCCAGGGCACCACCGAAACCGAAATCCTCAAATCTCGACCACGAAGCTTCCCGGGCAGACTTGGTCGGATCCACTTCGCTGGATTGATTGGTGGAAGAAATGCATTTCAGCACGCGGAGACACTCATCGGTCAGAGCACGAAGGGGGTCCTCGAGATTAGAGAATTCCTGCAGATGGTGATCGCTGTCTCGGTACTCGAAGTTCTTTGCGCGCCGGAGAAGAGCAAAGGGGGTAGGCGAGACCGTGTCAACGATCATGACGACTCTAGTAGTCGAGACCTGGAGAAGGGCGGGCATCTCCGGCGGGTACTCCGTGGCTTGAACCAAAGTCTGCAAGGCAATAGGTAGGGTGGAGATGCTGCCCATCCCTCGGGCCTCCGGAGACATCGAGCGCAGGTAGGCGAAGAAGAGGTGGCTCGTTGCGTCCGCAGCACTAGATGTCAAATTAGCCAACGATTTACTTCCTGGGAATCCGGGCGATCCCCAAGGGAGGGCTCAAGGATGCCCACGTACGCCATCCAGTTCTTGTAAGCGGCTTCAAAGCCATTGCCCATGTCCGTATGCTCAAAGGCCCACCACCCGGCGTATCTAGAAAGCTTTCGACCTCCAAGGCCATTTGACTTTCCGTGGGCTGCGATAGCCGTCAAGAGGTCGAAGAAATCGAAGATGATCTTGGTCCGGGCGTCTGAATCAACACTGATTGGGATGAATGTCGTGAAGGCATCGCGGGCGAATTGAGCATCTAGTCTTATCAGCACACACACCTCCCCAAGACCATAACTGGTATGCGGTGCTTAACCATACCTTGCTCGCCGACTTTGAACAATTCGTATGCCTCCCAAGTAACGACTCCGCCAGGCAGTCTAGCCCAACACCACTTCATCACACCGCAAAGGACCTGTATGATGTGTAAGGGATATCCTCCAAAACCTCATGGCGCTTGTTCGGTGTGGGGGGGGGGGGGGTATTCCGCTCACCATGGGGTCCGAAAGCCGTAATTCTCGCGCCAGGGCATCACCACCGAGAGGCGAGCCTTTCTCGACTGACTGGTTGAAGTAGTTGCGAATGAAGGTGCGAGCGGCCGTGGAATCGGAACTGGGACGGAAGGGCAAGAGAAGGAAGGGCGTTTGTAGAGCTGTGCAAGAACAAGACAGTGATCAGCAAATGTCAAGAATGCGCGGGCCTCCAATTTCCACAGTTGACGTCAATTATCGCGTGACAAGCATACCTCGCGACTTCAGTTCTTGAGTACAGCCCCGGAGTAGCTCCTGAACTTCCTCGGGGGCCACCTCGGTTCGTTGCCACGCGTCAGTCCATGTTGGCTTCGCGGGACCAGTTTCCTCCGCCACGGGGGTTTTGGTCGCCTTCTTCGTAGAATTGGCGTCCTTGCCCCGGAAAACACGAGTGAAGAAGGGCATTTTGGTTGGGGTCTCCGAATGCCCTCCGCTAGCAGGCGCGACGAATCGATAACCGGTGGGGAATGTGGGAGACAATGTCCACAGGCGCCGTCAAGATCGCGTCTCTTTTACAGACTCAGTCGATCCCACGAAGGCTCCAAGATTCAACAACGAACCGTGCGAGAGACGACTATCCAGTAAATCGGCACGATATAGGAGGGTTCAGAGGAGAGGGGAGGGAGCAAGAGAAAAAAAAAAAGGCCGTCGGAGAGGAGGGGAGAAGCCGACGTTCCAGCCAGGGTGGGTTAATTAATGATCGAAGGCGTAAACAATCGAGACCAAGAAAGAAGCCGAACAAGAAAAAAAAGAAAAAAGAAAAAAGAAACCTTTTCCAGGTGGCCAGAGAGGATCGCCTGCAGCCCAGGACGGGGCAGCACGTCTAGCGTGCAGCAGCAATGACCACGGTGGATGGCGTGGACTAGAATTTGGGAATTGCTGAACGGATAGAATCCGATCAGGATAGTATTGGCAAATTAAAACAACCTAAAAAAAACCGGTCCAGGGGACACGAGCGAGAGAAGTGGGAGAAATAATAGAAGAGAGAGAGAGAAAAAAAAAAAAAAAAAGCGAAGCCCAGGGAGAGATGGTGATAATGAGGATCTACTGGGCAGCTCGTTTCAGGGGTGAAATAATAATACGCGTGCAAAACACGCCAGGAGCCATGGTTCTGCGGCCGCGACTAATCCCAGCCGGAGATCGATCCCCTCCATCGAGCTGAAAAGGAGGGGCATTGGATCCATTATTGCAGGAACGGAATTCCCGTCTCTGAAGGCACTACATAATCATGTAGTATGAATATGATAATCATAGGACGGGTCTTCGTCCAGGAGGAGAGCAACGGTCAGCATGACATAAACCGTCTGGAGGGATCCATCGTGGGTACGGGATGGAGAGGTACCGGGTCTACGGCCCTTCTAGGATAAAGTACCAGACCCTCGAGTCACTACTAAGTCACTAAACAAGTGCCTTAACCTAAATCATCCTCACCTGGAAGAGAAGGTATTGTAAGGCGCCATACGACCAGTTCACCTAAGTTACCGGATACCCAACCAGCGTTTCATGCGTTGGTCGTCGTGATACTGCTATCTCTGCCCAATGTGCATTATTTTGATGAGTAGTCGAGGCAGCAGAAGTAAAAGCAGTCAAGGTATACCGCATTTTGGTCTCGACTCACTATTTTCTAGGTGCATGGCTAATACATGCATACGCTCATGCGACTTGTCGCATGTTGCTGCATCGACGAAGCATTTGCCATGCGCTGAAAGTGGTGGTTTGGCAGGTTGCAAGGGCAAAGTGTAATTTCTTTGTGTTCGAACAAAAAACCTCAAATGATAAACACAATCAAAAATCAAACAAAAGAAAAATAATCAAAAGCGACAGGTCCAATTTCTGACTGATCATGGATCTTAGGACTGGTGGCCTCAGGCAATTCCCGTCCCGGCGGTAAACCTTTTCTTCTTGTCGCGAATCTGATATCAGATTCAATAGACCGTTGAACGCCCAATGGGTCCGGGAATTATTGATTGAAATTCAATAGGGCACGACGGACGTTACTCAAACCCCAAAGAATGGCCGAATCCATCCGAAGAACCACCACTATGCTCCCCCGTTCTTTCAATATATAAGATCATCTCTGGGATCTATCCAATCCAGACCCCAACCGAACGGGGTACTCTTTCCCTTTTCTATAGACCCCATTGTATCCCTCCCATTCCAAATAATCCCGGCCCTAGCTTTGCGATAACCTCTCACTTCCCTTCTCGTGATGGCTATTCAATCATTGAGATTAGTGGGCAGCTAGTCAGACTGTTTTGGAAGAAACCCTTCGCGACCACTCTCATTACCAGAAGATAGTGGAACGCGTGATGCCGGATGATCCTGTCGCTGAGATATGTCGGAGATTGAATCAATCCATCTGTAGACCTGCCCTTAAATGAATGGCTCTCTTGCGATGTGTGGTCGCTGTATGAGCGATGCCATATACCCGGTTCACGTCAAGCGCCCCAACAATCTGTCTGTAGGCTATCCAGCTCTGCAACTTGTCTCACTATTGTTCAAATTCGATGGCAATTACAATATTCGAAGATCGGGGCCTGTTTTGGCGAGCGAGGTATGCGGCTCAGCTCGGATTTCGAGGATGCCAGATGCCTCGCCCTCTCCACGACCTCTGCCACCACCCTGCCCAGCTTCCGACTACCCCAAGCATTCGCTACAACACATAACATCCCACTTTAGAGATGCTGTGATACCAAGCAAGTACTTGCTAATATAGGAAATCCCGTGGCCCGTTCAAGATCGTTTTACCAGTCGAGATTCTGGGATCACTGACGCGGTGAAAGTGCCAGGCGAGGGATGTGCGATCGAGGTAAGTAGTCGAGGTGGAGGCAGGGCTTTATGAAATGCACGTTGATGTATTCCTGGGTTGTAGATCAACAGTTCAATTGACTGCAATGCACGAAGTATGCGGAACCCACTTTTTTTTTCACCCACACGTAGACGTGCTAAAGGTACAACAGAGTCCCATGTCACGACAATGCGCTCTGCAGAGTACTTTTCTGCTGTGCTGAGCCAGTAAGAGCGAGTCAGATGTCGGTGCTTCCGTGGAAATTGTAGATGGGACGTCAGACTGAAATGTGTTGTCCAAATGATGAGTATGAGTAGGAGGATGGCGATAGGCATTCCTCCCATCACGCCGATAAGCTGAACAGTCTCCAATCCACCGGTACTGCTCCGTTGATGATAGAATATCGGAGTCCATTTGGACGGGGAAGGATCGCAATAAATAGATTGAAAATGCCCCTTGAAGGCCAAGACTTCAGCCTATCTGATCTCCCTCGCGTTCGTATTCTAGTTCGTTATCGATGACCCACCGATGCCCTGGGAGAACCCGTAAGAGAAAGAACTTTAATTATCAGATCTCGGAAGGCATCCATCTTTCAGCCCTCTTTGTGGCCTATCAGAGCACGAGCGTATTCGTTTTTGGGCCTTGTGGGGACCCTGGAAAGTCCATGACCCTATTGCCACGAGAGCACCGGAGGTACTCTAAGTATAGCAGTCGTCGCCGCAGTGGGTCACGTAGGAGAGATATTGAACCTACTCTGTGCATCCATCTTATATTCCTGAGACCAGAATGGATAGCTTGGCTTAGCTGGTCAAGGGATTTCAAAGTGCCTGGACCATATTCTGCAGTGCTAGTGTCCCCAGTAATAATAGACTAGAGTTGTCAGCGTCTAATAACAAAGTCTTTGGAGACAAGTGGATCAGTTAGTCTAGAATAAACAACGTAGATGGGGGAATGGAGCTTTGAACAGAGAATGTAGGCGCCTTTAAACCTGACCTGGTGGCACCTAAGAGCGTAGTTGATGGGAAAAAAATATATAAGATACTGCTATCTAGTCTCGGAGGAAACATCTTTCTGTTCATCACTCATTTTACCCTATCAGCAGGCCAATTCCTTTCAACATGGCTGATACATCCAACGGAGAATACGTGGCGTTCTCCTTTTACCATTATGATCCCACCAAAGCTGGCGCCATCATCTTCATCCTGCTATTCATCGCTACGACTGCGATGCATACATTTCAGATGATCAAAACACGGACGTGGTTTTTCACGCCTTTCGTCATCGGCGGCTTCTGTTAGTACAGCTCGACCTCAATTGATCTCTCCAAGGCTAATATACTTCTGCTCAGTTGAATGGATCGGATATATTGGACGAGCCATGTCCAGTGACGAGTCACCAAATTGGACCCTTGGCCCGTACCTGCTACAAACCTTGCTCCTCCTCCTGGCACCGGCATTGTTCGCCGCGTCGATATACATGTTGATGGGTCGCATTATCCTCGTGCTACAAGCCGAGTCGCATGCCATGTTGAAGAAGAAATGGCTCACGAAGATTTTCGTGACAGGCGACGTGCTCTCTTTTCTGCTCCAATCGGCCGGTAAGTCTCACATTGCTTTACAGCAAGATGATTGATATCCTTCCATTGCAGCAGATAGACCGAGCCCTAACTTTATCTGGCCAATACAGGCGGCGGCATCCAATCCAGCGGATCTCTCGACGGCATGAAAACGGGAGAAAAGATCATCATCGTCGGACTCTTCGTGCAGCTCGCTTTCTTCGGATTCTTCATCTTCGTGGCATTTTCGTTCGATATGAAATTGAAGAACTATCCCATCCCCCGCTCCTTTTCGCCTGATATCCCCTGGCGAAAGCATCTAATTGTGCTGTACGTCTCGAGCGCGCTGATCATGGTCCGCTCGGTTTTTAGGGTGATTGAGTACATTCAAGGCAATTCGGGGTACCTGCTGAAGCACGAGGCCTACATGTATATTTTCGATGCCTGCCTTATGTTTTTGGCGATGGTGATTTTCAACTTTGTCCATCCGAGCGAGATTGGGAAACTACTGGATGGGATGCCAAAGGACACCGAGTACATGGGTACACCCATGGTCTGATGGAATTAGATACCACTGGAAATGGTCATTTTAGCACTATAGTTTTGGATAGGAGAGAAAAAGAGTTTAAGATAAATCTAGAAAAGTTTAACCTTCGCTCTCACGCCGTGAAAAAACCCGATTACGGAATGATTCTAGAACATCCGGAAATTCACCGTGGGAAATCAATCTTTGCAACTCACCCACGAATAGGTAGCTTGAGAACTCAGTGCGAGGGTTCGTTCGCTGAAAATCCGCTGCCTTCTGAATTTCTGAAGAAGTAGGTCCATGGATTGTCGCGCCAAGTATGCTGATCCAACGGCCAATGCCTGTGGGTCAGGAGAAAACACGAATATACGAGGATACGAAAATGCGAACACGGCGGCAAAAATGAATACGAAACTAATATATACTACTGAAAAGGACGATGAAATGAAGGCTGTTTCATAGATCATACTTAGGGGTCAATATAAGTCGAGTGTTTTTAATTCATTCACTCATTCACTCATTCACTCACTCATTCATTCATTGTTGTGTCTACTTCATCATGAGCTCCGACGACCAGTATACGGGCATCGACTTTGAGCTCTATCGCTACACGCCCTCCCTGGCAGCCGGAATTCTATTCCTGATCCTGTTCACCCTTACCACTGTGTACCATTTATACCAGGTCATTTGCATGCGCTCTTCATACATGCTGGTATTTGTGACTGGTGGAGTCTGTAAGTGTTATAGATTCCAAGACTAGCGCGTTGGAATTGGCTGACTGACACCCACTCAGTCCAGATTATAGGGTACATATGTCGGATTTTAGCACATTACGATAAAGAGTCCATCCCGATATACTCAATCGGAACGATCATGATCCTCCTCGCCCCACCACTCTACGCTGCATCGATATACATGACCCTAGGTCGACTTATCCGGTACCTTGACGCCGAGTCGATCAGTGTCGTGCCCACCAAGTGGTTGACGGGGATATTCCTCACGGGGGATATCGTTGCGTTTGTCATGCAAGCTGCAGGTATGACTATCAACAACCTTCAGGCGATCTTACTCCCCAGTACATTCTCAGTCTCTGACAAAGACATTTCATCTAGGTGGTGGCATCATGGCCAGCGGCACCATCAGTGCCATGCACACAGGCGAAAAAATCACCATCGTCGGTCTCTGCATCCAGCTCCTCTTCTTCAGCGTCTTCATCATCACCTCGACCATCTTTCATTGGCGAATTTACAAGCAGCCGACCCGCATGTCTCTCCAGGGGGCTCTGAAAAGCTGGAAACAGACTTCCTGGGAGACCATCATGGTGGTGCTGTACGCTTCCAGCGTACTGATCCTGATCCGGTCTATCTTCCGGCTTATTGAGTACGCCCAGGGGAATAATGGCTATTTGATCAGCCACGAGGTGTTCATGTATGTGTTTGACGCGATGCTGATGTTCTTCACTATGGTTGTGATGAGCACTTATCATCCGTCTGAGTTGCTGGGGAAGAGAGCGAAGGCGGCGCAACTATCCTATGATTCGCGCGAGACAAGCACGGAGTTACGGCCTGTGGAGTCTGCATGATAAGATTTTATTAGCGGGGGGCGTTTGGTAGAATATCGAATTTTCTTTCTCATTCATATAGCGTTCATCCGTTTATAGAATTTGGACACAGTTTTCATTTCAAGTAGGAAGACAGACGCTGTTGCGTTTCTTGATCAGAGTAGGAAAGTACATAAGCAATCTTTGGATGTGATTAAAGTTCGCGAAGACTGCCAATGGGCAATTAAGGTTATTAAGCGTTCAAAAGAGACATAGAAGTGACAGGACTCATATAGATTGACCTCGCCATTAATCATCGCGAGAATCTTCCAATGGCAGAGGCCTCCTGTCAGACCTCTCCCGCATTCTAGGCTGTATTGCCCACCCGTAAAACCAGTAAACACTGCCAAACGAAAGCACCAGGACTGATGTCACAGGAGTCATCCATACTGGTAGACTTGAGCTGCTTTCCGCCGAACTTGAGAATGTTGAAAAGAGCAAGTAGATCTGAGAAGCCATGAATATCAATGCAACGCTCGTCCAGACCCTGAAAGTCCGCTGTGGATATGTCATTCGTCTTCGGATGATGAAGAGGCCAATAACGACGAACAGTTGGACAATCGCCATTGCGTATTGGCCTACATCGAGGATGAAGTTGTAAACATCCCCTGTGTTTTCGCGTCAGTGGAGCTCGATGGAGAGGAAGGTAAAATGAGTGTATGTATGCATGTCTTTTGAACAACACTAGTGGCGTACACTTACCAAACGGTACACAGATAATCATAATGAACGATGACAAGAAAACCAATATGAAGGCAGCGGCTGGTGAGCCAAAGCGCGATTTCTTGGCAAAGAATGAGGAGAACGGCAGAACTTGCTCCTCTGCAAACCCTTGAACCACCCGCGAGATTGAGAACGATGCTGTCATTAAGTTCCCTAAAGAAGAAAGGGCAGCGAGGACGGCACTCAATGACTGCATTTCCTCCCCAAAAACCCTACCGATGAACAGCGCAGCGACTGTGACGCCAGTCTCGCTCAGCTCTTTGGGGGTTGCGGCAGCAAAGTATGCCACATTTACCATGAAATATAGAAGACCCACGGAGGTAAGCCCTAAGATGCCAGCGATCTTGAGGGTCCGACGGGGGTCTTTGACTTCGTCTAAAACATAGCCAGCATTGCACCAGCCCTGGTAACTGGCTAGGACTTTATAGAGAGCGAACGTATAATCACTGACACGCGAAGATGATTCCGAGAAGGGATGTTCAAAGCTGGCTCCTGGATGGGGTACATTTGACACATCCCCATGGAGAACTATAAGGCCAGTCAAGATGATGAGGACGAGGACTATGAGTTTGATCGAGGCTAGCGTATTCTGGAAAACCAAGTCATTATTGGGTACAAAAACAATTAGCAGCTGTTTCAGATCGCTTACCATTAGCTTGATTCCCCAGTTCTTCGTGTAAACGTGCATGGCTGCTATACATGCCATGATAGCGATCGCTATACCACGTTTCACCCAGTCATTTGTTGTGACCCCAAATGCCAGAAGCATATTCTCTGCAACGACGACAGTCCCAATACCTACACGGGGTTTAGTAACTCCGCGTATGCGATGGACTGAGGGTTCAGAAATACATACCAGTAAAGCCGAGAAATATAACATGAGTTGCAAATACTGTACTCACTAGCAATGGTGGTCGGGGATACGCCGCCTGAAGATAGACCTTCTCCCCACCATTGTGAGGCAGCAGACTGCCCAGTTCAAGGTAAATGAGAAATCCACAGAAAGACAGGAGAAACCCAACTAGCCATAACGTCAGGGCTGCACCAGCGCTCCCAACGGACTGTGCGATAGATGATGGCACAGAGAATATTGCGGTGCCAATCATGCGATTGGTTCTGTGTAGAGTAAATTGTCAGAAATCTACATATCTCCATTTGGGGGTTTGTGAAACCGCGTCAGGGCTACGGTTACATGACACCCACGCACATCAGAAATGTCGTGGAAAGAAGACCAAAGCGACGATGCGGTCCCGACGATTCTTGAATCGGGTAGGCTTCATCATCAGACTGATGAATTAAAGATGATTCCTCAGTTGAATGAATACTTTCGGGCTCATCATCAATATCGCGGCTAGAATGGAGGGTCCTTCTGGTTGGTCGGCTTTCGATCCCATTCTCAATTGAGCCAGGATAATCTTCCTGTAATCGTTGTGATGACATGATCCACAGCTATGAGTCTGGTAAGATGCTGAAAAGTTTCCTTTAAGATGATATATAAAGCACAATTTGATGATTTGAAACAAATGGACTCTCAACCTGTGATGATGCTACTAATTGCATTCACATCCGTGGAGGGATGGCAGGCCGCCAGTTACTGCATGGTTTTCCTGAGCTTGTAATTGAGTAGCTCTATCAAAAGGGGCCAGAGTCGTATACTCAATGCAGTTAGATCTCGATAAACAATGTTGTAATTGTGAAGGTGATGATGTTGTTCGATTTCCAAGGGAGACTGACGGTCAGTTAGCATTAGATAAGCAGGCTTGGCACATGTTGCTTCTCTCAGGGAACCCCTGGTACAGCTGTTTGTTAATTCCGGACTTCCCGGTCTATTCGACGTAGCTTATAATGATATCATGCTATTAATAGCTCTGAGATAGATGGCAATCCAGCTAATAGCATTGGAGTAGGATCCTATGGAATTCTAAGGTGGACGGGTAGTATGTAGCATAGAAGGGTTACTTTGACAGCCATCACGCTATTGTCAATGAAGCAACGACTCCATCTAGATAATGAAAATTCAAATTGGCTAGGCTTCACTGGAAAAATGCAGCATTGAGTAGAACACTAAACAAAGGACGTTACTCCGTATACAGAGCCGATCAGTGGCGGGGTTGCCTGCTATCGCGTCCCCACCAGACTCGACCTTATCGTCAATCGTCCCTTCTGGCTTATGCTCGCTTTAGCCTTTTAGGTTTCGGATCTTCCTTCCCCACCATCCCAAATTAGAGCGCTTTTTCTTTTTCTTTTCCTCTTTCTCACCTCACCCTGATGTGGTCAAAGAGACCTAGATTTGTCCACGTCGATGACATCAGTAGAATCCCTATCCTCGGAACTATCTACGACAACGCAAAAGCCTGGTCAGACCCAGTGATGGGCGATTGAAATTTTTTCTATCGCATTACCATTGGGGTCCACCAGATAGTAAGGAACAAAGGCACAAACACGCTGCACCGCATCATTTTCTATTATCAGTGAAGGTTAGGATGATACCTAAACTCCCCCTTGTAAGGATAGTTAGTCTTTTAACCTTTTGGAGTCACTCAAAATATCAGAAAGTGGGCTATGTATAAGAGTGAATGCCATTGAACAAGATGCCATTGGTAAGCAAATGCTAGCGCACAGCCATTCTTCATGGCTTGCAAAGCAATACTCGCTGTAGAACAGGAATCGATGCCCCTTGATGTCTCCAGGAATTCATCGCAATCAATGAAGGAAATCCAATTGAATTAGTTACCTTACATCCAGAATGATTTGCTTTCGATAGTGTTTTGCTGAGAGAAGTTCGGAACCCTGGCGGGGATAGGATTTATGTAACCCTAGACAAGAGAACGGCACAGGGCACAAAGGAAAAAAAAGGGGGGGGGGGGGCATATAGCCTGTGTGACATAATGGTCTACAAGACCAGATACTAACGGCTCAATCAATGGCTTTTACGGCATAGTTCCTGGTCAAATAATGAATCCACCCTTGTTAAACTGGTTGATCATTGATCGGTCAACAATCCTGGCGCAATTCGAGGAATTTGAAGAAGCCAAGCCACCTTGTGTGATAGATTCGAACGAATGGACAGATTGAAGGATTTAAAGCTCTCCGTAAGAGTGATGCAATCTAAAAATAGCGGACGGCGGCTACGCAGCGCCAACGGCGGCAGGGCGACAAGCGACCCGTCTATCTTTAGAATCTTCTGCATCACCCGCGTGTTCCAGTCCAGTCTTCCCATCCATTCAACCCAAACTCATCCTCCCATCTCCATCCCAAGATTTTGACTTTCGCCTCCATCTTATCGTCTTTGCCTTAGTTTCTTCTGTTCCCTTTCTTTCAAGGTAGGTGTTCCTGAGGCCGCTGCGGTCGCGTTTTCTTTGTTTCCCAGCCCCTTGTTCATTGCTGGCCCCCCGACCGGCGCCGTGCCCTCGCTCTACGCGCCATCTCCAATCTCACCCCTCTCTTTTCCTTCTTGCGCTGTCCTCTCATTCCTTTCCCTTTCTTTCTTTGTACCCACTCTTTTGCAACTGAAACGTCCCCTCCTCGGATTGCGGGAAGAAATTTTTTATTTATTTTTTCCCTCAAATTGTCATTTGGAGTTTCTTGAAATCCACATAAAATACTAAAGGCCAAGCGCTTATTCTGCGAACTACAGTCGCTGCATTCCAATCGCATCTCTCAATTGTTCCCCCTCGGGCGGTGTCCTTCGATTCCTACTCGCGCCACTCCTCGATCCCAGGGCTCCAAACGTTTCCACGCCTAGTCGCTGTCGATCCTGTTTATCGTTCTACTATTTCGTGCTTCACCGACGGTTCATATCTCCGTGTGATTCGGTCACACTCTGCCCCTGATGGGTCGAAGAAAGATCGAGATCAAGGCGATCAAAGATGATCGCAACCGCTCAGTGTACGTTTTAACTGCTCGCGTGCCCCCCCCTGCAGCATCGTATGGGAGCTAACATGGTGTGTGTGTTTCAAGAACGTTTTTAAAACGGAAGGGTGGCTTGTTCAAGAAAGCACATGAGCTCGCAGTTCTATGTTCCGTAGATGTCGCCGTAATAATATTTGGCCACAACAAGAAACTTTACGAATTCTCATCATGTGATATGCGCGAGACGTTGCATCGATATCAATACGTGTGTTTTGGCACCCCCAATCTCAACCTTGGACATCTTCAGCTAACCTCGTCATTCTAATTCAGCTCGGTCCGCCGCATGAGCATAAGGGTCCGGAGGATTTTAACGGCAGGCGTGATGACGATGATGATGAGGATGAAGATGGCACCACACCTGCTCCGGAAGATATGCATCCCACGCCCCCTCAGAATGCCCCCCCGATGATTCCGCCTCATCTCCAAGGCCATCCAGGCTTCCAGCATGTCAACCACGCACCATCAGCCTCTCCTCCTATCGGCAATGGCATCCCTTTCGATCCCCGCCATGGAACACCTCAACCGCAAGGTGTTTCTAGGCCTTCCTCTCGAAATCACCTTCGACGAGTGAGCTCAAATATCGGTACTCAGTCGCATCATGCTACCCCCCCGCCGCCCCCGCCGCCTCAGAATGGATTCGCCTTCATGCCCAACCCATCCGTGTATAATCCCAACGCCCACAATCTTAGCCAACCGCCCCGGCCCGCTCAGTTTGCGCATTTTGGGCCTCCGCCTGGAGCGCAACATCCCCCGCCGCCTCAGCATCAGCCCATGCCTGCGCACTCTTTGCCACCGCACTCTATGCCCCCTCAGTCAATCGCCCCGCACCATCAAACACCCCCGCCGCACATCCAACACCAACATCATCTTATGGCTCCCCAGGCGCCTCCAATGGGTATCTCGCAAGCGCCGCATGCCCCGGTACCGCAGGTCGCTCAAGCCTTCATGCCTGAGCAAGGGAGAAGCTCAATGCCGCCAACATTCACGTCGGAACATCAGCAGCCGCCCCCTCGAACGGTCTCCCTACCCGAAGCGCCCTTACCAGATCAAATACCTGGTCCCATGAAGACGGAAGGGAGTCAGTCGCCACCTCACCAAAGATCACTATCCTCCAAGTCGCGGAGTATCTTCACACCCATCGACGATCGGGGTTCGGTTCTAGCGCGGCATTTTGGAGTCGGCCCTCCTATATCACCTGGCTCTCAAGCAAAGCTTGAATCGGCACAGGCTGAATCCGCTGATCCAAAGCCTATGAGCCATCCAGTCGCGCCTCCGCCCCCTCTTCGCGCTGCGACGGAGACACCATCTTCGCAATCGGCTGCCGATCTCAAGCCGCCGCCAATACGAACAAATAGTGGTCAATTGCCAAAGCGCCCACAACTTAAAGTCCAGATACCAAGCGAGAACTCGGATCACGGCAGTGCGACGGCGGAATCATCCTCACGCGACTCCGCGGGAAACAAGACGCTTACGCCGGCTAAAGCCAATCCCGATACCAATCACTCAGGAGTAGTTTTGCCTCCACCGTCACCATCGGCCGGCGCGATACTCAGTGCGGGGGCCCAAGGGCCCCCAAATCCATTCGCGAGGCCACCGCCTCCTGCTGCGGCTGCTGCAGCCGCAGCCCAAAACAATAGCGCGTATAATAACAACAACAATATAGAGACACCGATATCCGCACTTCCTAGTCGCTTTGTATCGGATGCACTCCTTCCGTCACCGTCCAGCTTCTTCCCAGAGTGGGGTTTCGGTCGCTCTGGCCCGGACAGTAATATGCTTCCAAGTCCTCTCACTTTCCCGACGCCAGCAGTTCAAACGGGGCCCAGTTTTGGACGGGAAGACGAACAAGACAAAAAGCGCAAAAGCCCAGATAGTGGACCGAATGCCGAAGGAACCACGAAGAAAACAAAGACGTGATCTTTACGATCAGTCTCCTATGACGATTCTCAATATATCTTCACTTGTCTTTACTATCTTGGCATCTGTGGCGTTCTAAAGGCAGCCGTGGGTCTCTCAATTGCATGCATGGGTCGGGAAAGTTGAACTAAATTTGGCTATATCCTTTCATTTCCCCTATCATATCTCCCTCTCTTCTTTGCTCACCCGGGCCTTGGCTACTTGATTGATATTCCAATTGAATGAGCCTCGTTTTGATTGTCTCATAGCTGCTCCTTTTTTGTCAACTTTATACCCCTTCCTTTTCTTATCGATATCTTTTTGTGAGTCTGCAATTTTGTCATTGGACTTCTTAGTCAGTGCTTTGTGTATGTCTTTTTCCTCCGGCAATATTCTCATCTTTTCTTGGAGAGAAAACCGAAACCCTCGATTTACAACCTGGCCACATCCCTATCCCTCTCACATCCTGACCGTTTTCCTTCCTTCCTCTTCTTGGTCGCTACAAAAATCCTATCTCTTTCCTTGTCTTTTCTTTTTCCATTTTGTGTCTTTTGGTAGTGATTGCTTCCTGGTGATGGCGTTTCTACAGTCTTCTTTTCCTTTACCTTTTCCAATTTACTTATCTTTCCTCTTTTGTTCAATAATGTATATATGGTTGTTTTATTAGGAATATATTGGCGATGGTCATCCATTTGACATTGGAATGAATTCGATAGATCAATGCTTTCAATTATGCCGGGAAAAAGTTGAATTTTTAATACTTCTGTTCTCATTAATGTAGACTTGAAAATGAAAGCTCATATCTCGTACCTCAGACCGTTATGCCATAAGATCGACGTATATAAGTCCCCGAGAAACGTAACCCATCCAGCCCAAAGGGGCAAAAAGAGAGACAAAAAAAGGCGTGAATATCTACAATGGCTTTTTGTTCAAAGCATGTGCAACAGGGCATGTATATTTACATGCAGAACCCAAATCGAAGAATGTCCAACTCCTTTAGTATGATTATATTGGGGGATGATGTTGAAGATATAAAGTGTGTATCGTGGAATATTAATCCATGGCATCATGAGTCAGTTAAGAGTAGGCCGAAATGGTAGGAAGTATTAGACGCTTTCCTTTTCGGGTGACGGTTTGTTCTTGTTCTTCTGGGCAGCCAGGACTTCTTGTCTAGCGCGCTCCTGTTCTTCGAGACCGGTCTTGGTGAACGTATGCGCCTTGCTGAGCTCGACGGGCCGAATGAAGAGACTGACTATGAGACCGAAGCCGGCGACTGCTGTATAGAAGATCCACATGCGGCTCATGGTGAATGTAAAAGCTTTCAAGACGACGGTCTTCTGGTCTTCGGGGAGGTTCTTGACGAGATCTGTTTGAGATCCGGAGAAGGTCTGGGCCACGGCCGCGGCCTTTTCGGCACCGAGAGCGGCGGTGATGGCTGGCATCTGCTGGCCGAGGACATTCTGGTAGATTACCGTGCCGAGGACAATAGATATAGCGGCGGAGGCTTGGCGAAGGAAGCTGAAGGTGGCTGTTGCGGCGGCGACGTCGGCGCGGTGGATGTTGGCTTGCAGTGCGACGAGCGGGGCCTGGAAAATCGGGCCTGTACCGATACCACCGATCAACTGATAGATGACGATGCGAGACCAGGAAGCGTAGTATTTCAGATCGATAAGCAGACCATAGCCGAGCGTGAGGAAGCACATCCCAGCCACTATCAATTCATGGTAGCGGCCAGTCTTTTTGATGATAAAACCTGTGGCTGCTGACACGAACGACAGGCTGAGAACCATAGGGAAGACATAGACACCGCTCATGATGGGGTTGGCAAGAATGACGGTCTGGAAATAAAGCGGCAGGTAGTATGATCCGGCGATGAAGACGAAACTGTGACAGAAACAGACAAGGAGCACCAGGACGTTGTGCCAGTTCTGAAATAGGCGGGTAGGAATCACTGGATATCGGGCTATTTTCCACTCATTCACCATAGCGAGGCCCCATGTTACTATGCCAAAGACAATAAGACAAATCACCGTTGGCGAGTTCCATGGGTAGCTGACACCACCAAACTCCAGGCCGAAAAGAAACATGAGAGTTCCGCCGATGATGAGGAGGGTACCCGACCAATCGATAGATCGGAGTCCAGCTAGAAGAGGGGTCTTTCCTGCTTCGATCTTGAGGAAGAAGAGAAGCATCACAAATGAAAACCCGCCGATAGGTACTGTGTGATACGCTGTCAGTATAGGAGATAGCTATGGGTTATAGAAGAAGCCGTACAGTTGAGATAGAAACACCAGCGCCAGCTGACATCCGTGGTGAATGCACCTCCAATGATAGGGCCCAAAGCACCTGCGATCGCCCAAACCGAACCAAACAGTCCGTAGTACAGAGGTCGGTCCCTGGAAAGGGTTTATTAGCGCTTATCAGGGTAAACTGTCATATTTAGGGGAACGATACCTGACACTGAACAAGTCAGACACAGAGATATTCACTAGGACAATGATACCACCGCCTCCCGCACCTTGTATGGCTCTTCCAGCCAACATCATAGGTAGGTTGTGGGCGAGGGCGCAGATGAGACTTCCTACGAGGAATACAATATTCGCAACCAATAGGATTAGTTTTCTGCCCCAGATATCACTGATTTTACCCCAAAGAGGGACACACGCGGCATTTGCCAGCATGTACGACGAAGCCATCCATGAATATCCACTCTCCGAGGCATTGAAAGAGCGCGCCATGGTGGGCAATGCCGTAGAAACGATAGTCTAGGACACGTCAGATTAACCGCATAGAGATGGTTCTCAAATCTTGATCACATACCATATCCAGAGCAGCAAGGAACAAAACTAGCTAAAGGTTTGTCGTGGTTAGCGGTCTAACTTTGCTGGTGGGGATGGTGGCAAGAAGTAACCGGCATACGCAGAGGGCAGTCATTATAATGATAATTTTCTTCTTTCCCAACTTTTGCGCTTGGGAGGGAACACGATCCAGCGGTTCCCCCGAGGGAGCTTTCTCGTCCGATTCATCCTGAATAGTTGATTCATCCGGGTTCTGATGCTCTGATGATCGTCGGCGTTTTTCCGAAGGGGATGAACTGTGCAGAGAAGAATGCTCTGTCTCTACTGGAGAAATCTTGTCCGCCCCAGGCGGAGGCGCATTTCCGGCATCGTGAGGAGCGATGCGACTTGCGTCGGTGGGATCCTGATGCACCGACATTACTTGCAGGGAGAGGGGATGAAAGAGAGAGAAAGAAAAAATTCCCCAACGTACGTCCGTCCACAAGTGAAGAATGACTAGGATCGGAGCCAGGGAACACTTAGCGCCGAGCAATAATTTAGTATAAGATCTGCTCTGGCGGGTGGAGCCGACGTTGCGACCCGAGGGAAACAGCAAAACACCGAAGGACGAGAGAATTGGTCCAGACGGATGCCAAGTTGGTGCAAGTTGAAGCTTGCCGACGAGGTCTTTAGGTGACCGTGCTCATGGTCGGAATTAGCCTAGCGAGTTGGAACACTGTCCAAGGGGCGAACAGATCGTCCCTGGGCCCTCGCGCTTTCGCGTGTCCGAATGGCCGAGACTAGAGAGCATCGAGCCGTACTTATCATTGAAAGCAAGGCAGAACGTACAAAGCACATCAGGATTCAGGCTCCGGGAGCCCAAAGAATGCAGGGGCAAAAGACAAGTACGTATGTAGTGCATGCCGAGCTTTCTCTGCAGGGTCGAAGAAGACTCGGAGATTAAAAAACGGTCGAGGTCGAGGATAAGCCAAGTTTGGCCTTGTGTCTCAGGCAGCCGGATACCTCAGGCCACAAAATGTTTACGGACTACCTTCAATCTACAATACTGTACAACAATGACATGGCACTTTCCACCTCGCATTTATCATCATTTCCCGCTGTATAGTATACAATAATGCTACAATCAGTCAACAAATCCAATTAGAAACCTACTTTTGTGGTCATGCATCCCCGACTCCGGAATAATAATATTTGGGGGAAAGGGTATAATGGAAGAATATCACACGAAAATCACCGTAGACGATCGATGACAAAAACATAAAAAGAGACAAGGCCAAACAATGTCCAGAAAATCTAACTCATCCTCTAGTCCTGTAACTGTAGAATTTCTGTTCATCATATTAGCCGCTGCGATTCTCACTTCCTCGGCAGAAAATCAACTCACCCGTCAAGAACTCCTCGAAGCTCACTGTGATATAACCATCACGATCGTCATCATATCGTTTAAATGCATCCGTCATGCGCCTCAAACTAATACACGCTTGCACGAACAAGTCGAAACTCATCCCCGTCGAAGGCGGACCCTTGGGAGGCCCGTTCATCTGCCGTCCCTTCGCCTCGAAAGTTGTGAATAACACCGTGACAAATGGCTGGCTCAGGCGGTAACCGAAGGCAGTCAGCGCATTCTCGAACTCCTGCAAGCTGATGCGACCGCTGCGGTCGACGTCGAATCGGTCGAAAAGCTCGCGCCAGGCGGCCAGGTAGCGCCACAGCGACACGAATTCGTCGAAGGATATGGTCCCGCTGCTATTACGATCGAACATGCGGATCATCATCTTCACGGTCCGCGGGTGAAACGAAGTGTAGTCCCCGTTGACTAGAGCGGAGCCCAGCTCCATCTCGGTGAGCGACCCGGAGTGGGATGAGTTGGCGGCGCGAAACAAGGGAAAAAGCTGCTGCGGATCATCATCGGGGACCCCCAACGGAGGCGGATTGGGCGATCGAGGAGGACGCGACGTGGGCTGAGGGCGATTGCGCACTGGTTGAGACGGGGGAGGGCCGAACCCGTAGTTCTGGGGAGGGGGCGACGGATGCAATGGATGCGTGTGATGGTGATTCTGCTGGGGCCCCGCGGGGAGCGGCTTATTGTTATTTAGAGGGCGCGAGACCGGTGCAGATTGGAATTGGGCGTTTGGGGCGCCGGATACGGGAACTCGAGGCGGAACGCCGCTGGAGGAGGGATTGGGAGACGGCCGAGGGGGTTTCTGCTGCTGCCCGGGACCAACTTGCATGGCACCGATCATCTGAGCCACCTTGAGGTCGCGTTGTCATCTTGTCAGTTTATGAATCGACACCACTGCGAATCGGAATTCCTTGTCCCGTACCTGTTCAGGCTCTGCATGTCTAGTTCGGTTCACGACAGGTTAGCGCAAATCTCCCATAATGCAGCAATCCCCCGATCTCTGATCGAAGCAGGGCAGACTGGACTTACGCAGGCAGCGCATCGGGGTTGTAGGACTTGTTGTAAGCCATGACCGTGACAGCTGACGTAACAGATGTAGGGATGGAAATCTGTAGACCACAAGATTTCTGGAGCAAGTCCCCCTTATATGGGGTCAGTAGGAGATCTGGGGAGGAAAGGAAACAAGAGAGCAGCGAAACAGTCAAAATATGAAAGGAAGCGAACGGTCAGGAGTTCAGGAGGAGGGGAGTCAAGTGTCCATCATTTCGCAGTTGAAAGCGGAGCCGTGGGGCGAGTGATTTTGGTTCCCCAGCGCCCGCCAAGAGATAAAATAATAAATCAGAAATCCTAGTCATCGTCGGGGGTGAACAATACTGCCACTACAAAGTACACAAATTAGTGAGATGTTTCAAATAGTCCCTTGTATTAATATGATAATGGTCGGTCGAGGGCGCTACAGGGAGGGGCTCCGGCGAGACACAACCCTGCTCGTCAGCCCTGCCAGGTGCTCTGTTCGCTGATTTGTTTGGCCCACGGGTTCTTTGACTGCGACGGGTTCGACTTTTGTATCTGAGGTTTCTCTCGCGGGTGGAGCCCCGTGCTAAATTTATCCCCATGACGCAGTTCAAAATGTCAACCGGTCGGACATACAACCCTGCACTTTAAATCAAGTCGACAATGTCTTCAGATTGCTCCTGCAAAACCTTTATGATTTCCGCCCATGCTTTCTCCTGGAACTGCTTTCCTTCTGCGCCCACTGTCAAAGACGTCGATTCGCTGGCATCCATTATTAGCACGATGTGGGGGGAAAAGACACTAAAAAGAGCGCGCGGGAACGAAGAGAGAAAAAAAAAAGAAAAAAAAAAAGACGTACTCCAGATATCCATCGCTCCGCCAGCATTTTCCATGCGACTCGGCCCCCTGATAAGTGGCACTGACTAGCGAGCGGCTCCCCTGCTCCGTCGTGCGAGCAAATAGCCTGTGCCCCAACCAAACCAGCCAGCGCTCGTAGAATCGATTATATTGCCGCCCCAGTGACGATACGCAGAACCCCGGACTGACTGTCTTGATGATGACCGGAAGGGTTCCGTTCTCATTTCGGATCCGGCTCGCCACAGTTTTCAGCACGTACTCGAGAAGAAGTTTCGAAGCGCCGTATTGTTTTGGGCCAACAAATTGCTCCGAACCATTCAAATGCTCCAGCAGTGACCCGTTCGTGCGGAGGGTTGCTGCCTTGACGCGGACAAACTGTTGGCTGGACACCACCGTCAGTTGCGCCGGGCTCGACGTGGACGAACTGTCTCTTAGTTTCGGTAGGAGTAGAAGCGCCAGCAGTGATGTGGATAGTGTATTGACCTGCAGCGTTTCTTCCCAACCCTCGCGCGACACGGTGTACTCCCGGTTCCATAGGCCGGCGTTGAGCAACGCAATGTCTAATTGTTTGACCTCCCTGTTGACCCGAGTCGCGAAGTCTTTCACACTTTGGAAGCTGTTCATTTCCAACTCCCAGACCTGGACCACATCTCGTCGGCCAGTGCGTTCTTCCAGCACAGCTTTGGTTGCCTGACCCCGTTCGAGATTGCGGCTTCCGATGATCAAAGATTCCACGCCGAGATTCAAGAACTTGATAGCGGCCTCGAATCCCAGGCCCGTCGTTGCGCCGGTCAGAACCACGGTTTTACCGGCAAAGGATGCCCCTACCCGTACTGGGTCCGTCGGGGGAGTATATTGCATTCGGAGCAGACGAAAAATGCCAGCCATGACGAGAACCGGAGAAACAGATGGAGGCAACGAAACGGGAAAAGAAGACGAAGCTTTCGTATAGAACAGTTCCTCAACTGGTAATTGGCTGAACGACGGGCGTTAACAGGACCCGGTGGCCGAAAGGTGGATTTTTGCCCGACTGGCTTTAGTCCCAGGAGTCAGGAGTCAGGACTAATCAGACCCTGGCGTATTGGAAGTTTGGAACTGGGATTAGTAGAACGCCGCGAGGCAAGAAATTCAGTCGGGCATACTGCGCTCCACTGGATAATCCTCAGGAATCGATGCAGTTGGCCAACTTGCCGTGGTTGACTGCTGGGGCCCGCCTTCGGTGGCTCGGCACCCCGCTGAAACCTCCCGGGCAATTAATTTGGACCCTCGGAGAAGGATTCTGCACCGCAACTCGGTCGATACGAATTACGAGGTGGCCAATAATGATGTGGGACTGGGTTGTTGTTCAGTTACAGAGGGAACATTGCCTGCAGTGATAAAGCAATCGGCCGCAAATCACAAGCTAAATGGAAAAAAGTACCTATGCCCGACGCCACCGCACGTACACCGTGTAGGTAAACAATCACCGCAATCTGACCTTTGAGAGATAGATGCACACGGCGATTATATCTTTCGCCAGTGCTAGCGTAGTTAAGACAACGATGATGATTTGGCGGATCTTGCATCAACTTGCGCCATCCGGAATAGTTGGGAAGTTGAGATTGGATCCGTCGCGAATGAATTAATCATCAGCATCGTGACGAACAAACGATGCAAACACACCGGGTTTTCGACATCATCTTAGCTACGGTGTACTCCATCGCGGGGCTCTGCCAACGTATCCCCTTCTCAAGGCACTGGTTCGCAGGTTGGGTAAATTTTGGCTCAACCGGAGATCATTGCTTCTAATTCTTGGCTTCTGGAATCCTGTCCTAATTGATTTTCTCTCCGTCCATGGGGTTCTTCTTTCACCTTATATCTTTGTTCTAGGGGAAATAGTATCCACCACTTCTTGAGCTCTTTTTTTTTTTTTTAAAAAAAAAAAAAAAGAAAAGAAAAGAAGACGCTTTTCTGTCACCTCAATATTTACTCGTGTTCTTGCATCTAAAAATTCCCGGAAATGGCACCAAGCAAAGAAGACCACCAGACAAACGGTCGAACATGGCGCAACCATTTTCCTGATGGCGATCTCTGGGTCTTTGGTTATGGGTATGTCAAGCGCCACGAGTCCCCACCGCTAGAAATCCGCCATGCAGAGGCCCGTCATTTCTTTCAGTCTATGTATTATATCGACAGTAAATAGACGAAGCTAATATGATCTGCAATAGGAGTTTGATTTGGAAGCCCCCGCCACACTATGGTACGTCCAAGCAGGCGCGGAACGAAGCATCGCGTGTCTCAATTCACAGACACGGGAAGATTATAGAATATGCTTATCCGTTCTGGGTATGATCCCGGCTGATTGATCGTGTTCGCGTAGATCAAAGGGTGCCTGGTTATATCAATGGCTATGTACGGCGGTTTTGGCAGGTTTGTAGACTCCTTTCCTGAAGAGCCTTTATACACATGTTAACCCTAACTAACTCGTGTCATAGGCCAGGTCTGTTGCATAAACGGACCTACTGGGTTTGACTGTTTGCTGATGCTGGATGCTGACAACTCCTGTTGTAGTACCGACCACCGAGGCACTCCAGAGGTTCCCGGCCGTGTGGTGACTGTAATTGAGCGAGAATTCTGGGAGACCTTGGATGACCCAGTATGCGTTCGTTGTTATTGATATCCTTGACGGGGCTAACAGCCAGATAGTTGGCGCACCTCGAGACCGCGGACTCGTCGACATCCCGAGTCTGGGGTGCGGCGTACCATATTCCCGCCTCCCACGCCGAGGAAGTCCACGACTACCTCGACGAGCGTGAAATTGACGGATACACCGCGCACTTCACCCCATTCCATGCCTTTGGATCGACCGATGTGCCGGAGACCAAGCCGATCACCTGCATGGTCTACATCGGCCAACCGACAAATCCGCAATTCTTGCGCGACCCGGCCCGCCGTGAGCCGCAGGATGTGGCTGAAGTGATCAGCCGCGGACGGGGTCAGAGCGGGAAAAACACCGAGTATCTTTATTTGCTAGAGAAGGCTCTCGAGAGCGTGGGACTTGGAAGCGCCGATGGACATGTCACCGACCTAGTTCGGCGAGTGAAAGCGATAGAGGGTGCGGATGAGGCAGCGAGGGAGGAGAATGCCGCTGAAAGAGACCTAAAGAAATCACTCAGTCGATCTGAGGAGGAAGCTCATCAGAATATCGGGAGTGAATAAGGGCCCCTCTCCCCCGTGTTTATAAAGGGGATCTGCGATGGATCAATACAGGGCTCGGGAAGTGACAATGAATAGACGACTCATAGAATACGCAGATGCAAGAAACTACGCCAAAAGAATGTTGAGGACAATCTCATATTATTTGCTCGCATGAATAAGCGCAGGGTGGTATCAGATGGTAGTTGAAAACAAAACTACTAGCCGAGAGCAAAAGTTCACTGCAAATCGAAAAACAGAAACTATCGTAGCACTAGTCAAGGCAGCAGAGTAGCACAAAAGTACCAATAATTCCACGAATCGCGTGTATCCAGAACCAAACTGGCCAATATTTCCATCAGATCGTGTCTCGTAGTCATATATTCGTAGGTTGAATAAGATAACAAATCAGCGAAAGTCTGAATTGAGCTTCTCATCGTGTTGGACGTTAAGCACCGGGGTTGGTGGGAGCTTGCTGAGGGTTGCCACGCCAGCCTATGCAAAATCAGTTGAGAGGCCCATTTGAAGGCTGCGAAGCCTTGAAAAGTGGGCAGAGTTATGACTGCCGAAGGGTTTCTACTTACCACCACCACCACCGGCACCGCCTCCATAGCCTCCGCCATAGCCTCCGCCTGTGAATGCATCAGAATAAAAGCCGTCTGGCATCGTGGATCATCGTGCGCTCACCGTATCCTCCACGGTAACCGCCACCATTTCCATTGCCCTCTGGCCGGTTGTAACCGCCGCGACCATGGTAGCCACCGTTGTTGCGACCACCGGGACGCTCAGAGGCCTTGTCGACGCGAATGGTGCGGCCGTCAAATCTAATATGGATCAATATTTCACTTTAAGAAGAGCATTGTATCAGAACGGCTTACTCCTGGTTGTTCATGGCGTTCATGGCAGTCTCTGCATCCTGTTCCTGAGAGAACCGGACAAAACCGAATCCTCGACTGCGGAAGGTGTCATGATCTTTGACGACGACCTATTGATTATGAGCCATGTCTGAATCAAGTGGGAAGATGGGCAAGACTGACCGCTTCTTCGACCTGACCATACTTTTCGAAGCCCTCGCGCAGGGTTTGGTCAGTGGTGTGCCATGCCAGGCCACTGCAAAAACAAGACAGTCAGCCGATTGATTAAAGTTGAGCCAGATGGGTGAGACGGCAACGACGGTAAGCATATGAAGACAAGAAAACCGACCCAATAAATAGTTTGGCCATCTCGACTGTCTGTGAGATGAAGCTAGGGGACTGGTAGGAAGGTTAGTATCCAAGAGGATGAGCGACGAGATGGAAAAATCAAATCAAGCAAAAGGAAGGAAATGTGGGTAGCGAGTGAGGCAGGGGGGTGGTCCGAGTTCACTGCAGAATGAGGCTGCTTGACACGGATTCTGCGGCCAGATGGCTCTCTGTCACCTACATTTCAAGTGAAACCACCCAGTCAACGTGCAGAAGAGGGAAATAACGTTAGACCTGTCAGCGGATATCCAGAGGAAAATCAGCTGCAAGATGGAGGGGAAGTCAACTCGTCAGTGAAGGAGACAACGGAAGTGGGATGCGGCAGATAAAGCGGGGGGAGAAGGAGAAGGCGAGACCCGGATTGCCTGACGGTGGGTTTGTGGGTGTGTGGCCTCAAGGATAATAGCAGAAAAAAGCAAGTAATAGTAGGAAATTGGAAATTATAAATTAGGAGAAATTAAAAGAAAAAGGTCGCCGGAGTAATCAATCAAATGGGGGCAGGGAGAGGAGGGGGGGACCTAAGGAAGGACAGGAAAAAGTGAAGAAAGGCGCTTGGAGGCGGGGGGGGGGCCCTAGAAAACAGGAGGACAAGATGGAACTGACTGGACGGATTGGAGAGGCGCTAAACTAAGCCCATCGATGGCGCACCTCCGGTTCCCCTCATTTGCTGCTTTCTGCTGCGGGCGAGGGTTTCCCTGGTGGGATTTCGTTCTTTTCGACGGTGAGTAGGAGGGATGTAGTCGTAGTGGGAGTGGTGAAGGTAGTGTCGGCGTAGTCGCCCGGTAGTCGTCTGGAGTGGATACCAGGGCTATCTGACAGGGGTCTTTCTATACCATCGACACCTCTCCCTTGAGATAATATACGATATGAAAAAGGGTGGCCTCGTTTCCGGCCGCTCTGGGGGATTGGGGAATGGACTTTCCCGTGGAAGGGGGTGTACCTGTTACATACAAACATGAGAAGATTGTTTTGTTTTCCTCGTTTGCGTGGACTGGGAAAGTGAATCCTCAGGCTTGCATCCTTCCAAGTCTTTCACTGCGGTCGTGTTGCCTCTTTCACCTCTAAACAATTCATCTCACCTTCTTCCCATATCCCCTCCCTTTTCATCACCAATTCTATCTTAATCCGCCTACCTCTTTCTCCGTTCCTCCTGACAAGCATCAGTCTTCATCCTCTGTCAATATGGCCTCCGAACTGGACGCCCCCAGTGCCGAACTCATTATTCAGATCTTACAGAGTGATTTGGGTGAACTGCAGGATGCTCTGGGACAGAATGGAATACCGAGAGATCCCCAGACCGACCGCGACCTTGCGCTTAGAGATTGGGAAGCGCAGCTGGGGCAGTTCATTGCAGCGTTCACCGATCAACAAATGGCCCAGAGTATATCCAATGCGGTCCAGGACGATGGTGTGGCAGTGACTATTGCAGTCGAAGAGGAAAGAAGAGCCCTTGCAGACCGAGTAACCGCCCTCAGAGTCGGGGGTCACGATGTCCCGCATCCGGAGCAACTGGTGATGCGCAACAATGCTGCTATGGCTGGCCTCTTGGGAAACCCACCTACTCTAGTCGATGCACAAGGCTCGTTTCTGGACGCACGTACCCTTTCTACAAACCATGAGCCAAACGAGGCCCTCGAGAACCACGAGAGGCTTCCATGCGCGTCCTGCATGACAGTGTACGTTTCATCGGAGCTCATGAAGGCACCCTGTGGACACATCTACTGTCGAGTTTGTGCAACTCAGTTGATCCAAGCTTCCTTTGTGGACGACTCACTCTTCCCGCCTCGTTGCTGTCGCCTTGTATTCCCAGTGTCGGCTGTGCGGCAGTTCGTTGGGCTTGATATCGCTAACCGCTATGACGAGAAGTCCATTGAGCGAAGTGATCCCTACCGGACCTATTGTTCCAATCCGCAATGTGCGCAGTATATCTTCCCGGCTCAGGTGAATCTCTACATCGGAACTTGCAATGCCTGCGCGCAAAAGACTTGTACCCTGTGCAAGCGGGCCGAGCACCCTCAAGGTCCATGCGCCGAGGAAGATACAGAAGTCCTAGACCTAGCGGAACGTGAAGGATGGAGACGCTGCCCTGGATGCCGGAATCTTGTTGAACTCAAAGATGGCTGCAACCACATAACGTAAGACCGTACAGCCATTGCATTGACCTATATCCATCTGACGTACATGATCATCTTCTATAGGTGCCGTTGCCGTTTTGAGTTTTGCTACGTTTGTGGCACGCAATGGCGTCGTTGTCGCTGTGCAATATGGGATGAGAATAGGTTGATTCGAAGAGCCGAGGTTCTTGCTGCTCGAGACCAACATGGCCCTCCAGCCCAGGCCGAAGTACAGAGAGTAGCACAGTATCTTCGGGAGCGGGAGAGTTGTGATCATGAGGAGGAGTGGACCCGCCATGATGGCGTTCATGAGTGCGAGAATTGCCTGGACGAGTTGCCCTATTTCATATTACGTTGTTCACTTTGCGGAATATGCGCCTGTGTTCGCTGCAGATACAACCGGCTCTGATTGAACGGGAAGAGTTGCGATATGTCTGGCTTGACTTTTTTGAGATTTCTTATTTGTTGTCTTTTTCTACTTTTGTATTTGTTGATCTTCTGAAGAAAAAAGGGTGGGGAGCGCAACGGCGATTGAAAGGGCGTCTGGTGATTCGAAAAGCAACGAGGCCGTCTGGGTTGAACGAATGCATCAATGGTAATGGCTATGAGTGTATGCTTCTAATAAGTATGATGCATGAAAAATGGTACGAATGGATTCAAACGTGGTATGCTTTCCTTGAGGTAGTTGCCCGAATCGGAAGGGAGAAGCTTCTATAGTCCCGTGTTAATTTACCCAACTCTGATGTCACAATCATTGTCAGAGACGTCGCCGCCCATGGATCATACCTCTTGCAACATGCACCCGTCAACCTTCTCTACACGTCAAGCAAGAGCTCCATGAATCTCATTAACTTGTCTTCTGCTTTAACATGGATTCACAAACGCGGTCTCACATTCAAGAATGGCTATCGGGGACGCTAGAAGAACCACGAGACACCAACACTCTGCCGGGCGCGTTTCCCGACGTTGTTCTTGCTCAAACTACAATACCTCAAGGTAGGCTTTCTAACTCGTCTGTTTAATGCAAGCTCAGGAAGGCTCATTTGAATGGTCGACATGTAGCGTTCAGAACAAACGATGCCGCCGCCGACCTTTCTATTGCCGATGCAAACATAGCGAGCCGAAGAAGGCACTCTGACATTGAGCTAGGAAGACGTGATTACGTTCGTCGGGCACGGCACAAGACGAAAGAGGATCGTTACGAGTACAAGGGAAAAGGTGCCCGGGCGAAAGATACGTCGGGGTCGAAGAAAAGAAAGAAGACCACGAACCGCATTCGAAAACATACAATCAATGACTACTTCCACGCTTCAAATGTGGCGGCAAATAGATTGACTGTATGAATTTGAAGTTCGAACGTTCGGGAACTCACACTAACTCTACGTTAGCTCCGTCAATCCCTGGACATGGGCATATTTAATAAAGGGAAAGCATCGGCTCCTGTGAAGTCTCGTCGAGGTATGAAGCTTTTCGAGGCTACTATGTTTACTTTGGTCACGAGGCTTATCCTAATTCTAGTTGCTGAAGTGTTCTCGGAAGTCAATTTTCTATCTCGATCCACAGTGTCGAACCGCGAACGGTTGTCTACAGTCCAGCGGAGTGATACAGAATGCCTAGAAAGGCAAAGGACGAATTGCACCTCGAGCAACTTAGTGCGGGAGAAGGGCATTGAAGAACGATTTTGTTTTTCGCCAATTGAAAATTTGATTGGCAATGCGCAAATAGAAGAGAGTACAGCAGAGACTTTGGAGATATATACAAAGGGACTCTTATATTTTGACTTAAGTGCCAGGGAGACAAGTGAGGTAATATCCAAAGTGGGTTCATCAAAGAAGTACTGGACTCTAGAGGATTTGAAATTTCTACTGGAAGAGCGAATACAGTCATGGCACTCGAGCCAAGAGCAATGCGAATACGAACGGCTTCCGTTCGTTGAATCGAAGGCAACTATGCCGCAGCAGCCTAGCAAGACGAAAAACCAAAGCCAAGAAGACCAGGTAGAAGTGATTGAGACCGTCAAGTCCAGAACTGAGAATGCGGCATTCACTCCCTCAAGGATTTCTCAAGGGATTCACAATTATGTGTGTGAGGACCTTGAGCAGGATGGGCCATGCTGGAGCCTTAAGCGCAATCAAGAATGCCATGACTTGATGGCGTTCGATCAAGAATCAACCGATCCTTCCAAGCTCGCAGAACCGATCAGCCATGAGCGAACTAAATTTTACCATGGGGATGAGTGTGAAAATTATGGTACTGAAATTGACTGGGCATATGATAGGCCGGTATCGAATGGAATGGAGAATGGTCCAGTGATGGGTCACTACGAGGATCTTGTCTTCCATGCTCTAGATATGATTATCGACTCAGACAAGTGTTCTCTATACGAGACTGCTGGTAATGGTGGGTTGAAATTAGCAGATGGCTCTCCGATTGGGGACAATGAGACCACTGGGCTGATACAGCAAGGCTGTCGATCTTGGGGCAATTCAAACCAGGCATGCTCGCTTTTCCCTCCATCCCTCGAAAAATACCCCCAATTCAATATCGGCTTACAGGAGCAATTTAATGGGGACTCATATGCCCAGGAAATTCGCCAACATCCCTACGCGAGCAAATCACCGGAAACGAGACGCTGCATTAGGCAACCTCCAACAAGGCAAGAAGAACGTTCTGGCCAGCAGTTTGCAGGGACATTTAATCCCGAAGAGGAACTGGTCCATGGGTTGAAAGGGTTTTGGAGGCAGAATAAGCTATACTAATCCCGGATTGGCTTTTCGTTACTTTGCTTTAATATTTCCCTTCACTTTACCCAGCACCATTCGATAGCATATTAGTCCCTAAATTCTCTGCATATCTAGATGTTTGATAACCCCTTCAACACGATGGAGATGCCATTACCATCTATGCTGTATATATAAGGCGATTGCCAAATGGGATTCACACTGTACAGCAGCTCCTCAAATACTGCTGAACCCGAGGGAATGGATGCGTCAAAGCCATCTGGTTCTAGGCAGGTACCAGTTGTTTCTTCCGACTCGTTCATTCGTACCAAGGCCCACTCTTAGATGCGCTTAGCGCCACGACCAACGCGGAAACGATTCCGTATATTGCTTTTTATACCACGGTTTACGCGGACGGACTGAATGAGGAATGTGATAGTCGGTGCCCTAGTCATGATTTAGTGCGTTCCAACATATGCAACCATAAGCCCACCCCCACTCCCCGAGGTCCGTGTTCGTCCCAAGTCTGTGGTAACGTCCAGTGCATTGGTCACTCGAGGGTCCTAGACTTGCTACTATATTCGAACTATGACCGTAACAGTGCACCCCGACACCTGACTAGAGTCTCTGCCGAGTTCGTCCCCAAAAGTACCATAGACGCAGTTATCTAGCGTGAAACCCGAAAAAAAGAAAAGAAAAATAACAAGCCTACCGATATACATCCTTGCCCCTAAAACCAAATCCCGTCCGGCCGAAGCAGAAACCAAAGACCGGCTCACTTACGGGCAGGGATTAATATGCAGTGGGAACTTAGCGCACTAGAATCCGGCGGGTCGGTCATTTCTGCCTAGATTTGTGGGCGTGCATCGTGTATGGTGTAGGTCTTCGTTGTCGTCGACGGATGCACTTAAGTGTTGACCCGCTCCCTTGGGTCAGGGGATTTCCCTTTTTCTGTAGATCACTTGTGTTTTGGCTTTGTTCTTCCGTTTTTCCCTATTATACAAAGGAAGAAGGTGCTATGCTTTCAAATCAATGACGAGCCCTAGAAGACCGATGGTCTTTGTCGGATTCTTATTGTTGGTCCCCATAATGGACATTGTTAGGCTGGACAGTCAACTGCGGGAATAAGCCGTTGGCACATATGATGAGAGTCGGTTCACCCGACGGAGTGGTAAGCCAAGAGCATGGTGGGTATCAAGTAATTGATAGGTAGTCTCAGTCAGGCCCCAAACCTGCATAGTGACAGTGACGTGGTGAAGCTAAGAAGTACTAATGTAACCTTAGTAGTATCTGCCATATTAGGGCTCAGTCTCCATTCCACCGGTTTTGGGGACTTGTCTCTCTTCCACATCCAATGATAAGAAAGATCAGCCCATTTCACGCTCGCTATCGGCGCAGCTAGTTGCTCTCTCTAGGTGGGTCACTTTTATGTGATGGCCTAAGGACGCATGTCCCAGGGCCCGTTGCATCGGGATCAAGTGGACGCTTACCACGACTACCGCTGTTTCTAACCTGCATCATGGCTGAGACAGCTGACCACTTGGAACGAATGGATCTTCTTGTATCATAGTTGGTCTCTAGCTAGGGAAATAACTTTGCCAAAGTACCTCTTGGCGACAATGTGCTCTTTGTTCTTTGTATCTACTCCCCCTTTCTGTCTATTGTTGTTGGCCCTTGTCCCGGGGGAGATAAAGGACACAGGGGCGACATAAAAGACTACTTCCTCCCCAAGCGTCCGCAGGACTACTATAGAATAATTTATTGAGATTCTTATTTTGAATTTTCAAGTACATCTCTCAAGAAATACCCTGCATTCACCTTCTTGTTACATCCAAGATGCCCCCAAAACAGCGATCAACACCCACCAGTGATACCCCAATGAGCGAAGGAAGTCGAGCGACCAAGAACCTCGCTCAAAAGTGTAACGATCCAAATTTAGCTCCATCTCAATGGGCCGTGAACGTGGCCAATCTTGCATTGCACACGGACCTAACCGGCTTGGCCACGGCAAAACCGTTGAATATTCTCACATCCGACGTTTTGAAGTACGTACCAGCGAGGCCTCCGCTCATTTGGGAGCTTGGAGAAGTCATGATGAGGGTTATGAATGGTGCCATTTGTCCGGATTACCTGCTTGTGAGTACTCGCCCGTCCTCGTGATATATTGACGATTATAGAAGGCTCACAGGCCGGGTCATTCTGTAGAAATTGGGGGAGTGGCACAAGGGGAAAAGCAGGGACGAGCTGTTCCGAGGCCAGCTGATCACCCATCAGCCTGATGAGAACATGATCCTACAATATCTCCAAGCGCAGGAGCTGCATCAAGCATTTCCACCGGACAGCAAGAGACGCTCGGGTATCATGTATAAGATCATGCACAAGATGTGCGAACAACACGACAGTATCATACCCTTCGATGTGTAAGTTTTTGAGAGCTTTCAAAGAACTATGATCATACGATGGACTAATCATGCTTTCAGTAAGGACTTTAAAATCCACGAACTATACAAGCCTCGCCTAGTGGACAAGAAGCCTATCGATCGAATGGCGGATTTCGCGTTTATCAGCCGACTGGAGGGCACACACCACAGGACACTGGTTGATCTGTACAGACAAATGACCCAGTCACGGCTTCCACTCAACCCTATCCACAGCAAATTCCTCGCTTTTTCTCCCATGTGCGGCGGAGTTGTAGTCCGCGAGGGCGAGGGCGACATCATCCGGGCCGAAGCTTCCTTGCACATAAACGCCTGGCACGCAGCAACAATCCTCCACATGAAGCGCTTATGTCGATATATCCGACTGGATTACGACCAGCATCCCGCGCCGGCGAGTATAGGGCTGAAAATCGTCAACGACACGTGGACGGTTTCCGTGGGCTATTCAATGCTCGTGGACGACGAAGAGAAACTGGTAAGTATGCTCCCTTTTATGCATCCCCTTCTCACTACTCTTCTGGAAGTGTATCACTCTCATGCTAAACTTGCAACCCTTCTAGTGCATTGAAAATATTGCTGAATTCGAGGTGTTACCGGGTAACGTCGCGGGCATATACCAGGCCCTTCGCACGATGAACGCGATACTCGAGTATTTCAGATTCTTCTACTTGCCCTGGATGATCAATTTTGTGATTCCGGCTGCCATCAAGACATTCTCGGTAGTACCAGCTAAGAAGGCCGATATATCGGATCCCCCTACTCCGCAGACAGAAGATTGATTGATTGATTGCTGACAGCTTCACTTGCAGAACCACGGCATCGGTCTCGTCCCATGGGCCGGTTTGGTCAATTTGAACGAACGAGTCCGCCACGCCCGGTCGTCTTCTGTCTCTACTGGGTTGTGGTCGAGGGTGAGGATTCAGTCCGGTGGGGAGGAGACCTCGGCAGAGCGCGAGAATAGCCCGCGATTCATTGCGCCAAGATGGTCTCGAAGAGGCGCGCTGCGAGGGGACATCCATGCTGAGGGCAGTCATGGGTTTATGCTGGTGTCAGAGTATGATGTTCTGGGCTGCGGGTCTGGGTTCGCGAGCACATTCCACTATCTCGAGTCTTGGTGATCGCCTATGGGTGATATGATTGCAGACTTTTTTGTTTCTTTCGGGATCATGTCATAGCAATAATGCTCGAAGATTGAAGTCGGTGCCAGTTTTCTCATATATAATCTTGATTCTATACAATAATGTTGAATTAGATATGATTGTGTCCCATAGCACGCTCTATTCCTAAACGAAATCAAGTTGACCAGCCCTTTTTTAAGCCCTGGACCTAGGGTTTGCTGGTTCACCGAGATTCTGCAATGCTCTTGACGCAGGTTTGGCCCAGTGAGCATGCTTTTGTCCTTTATAACCCTCCACGGTGTACCCAAATAAGGCCAGGGGCCTCTTGCTCACGATCTGTTAAAGATCGCTGTAGGAAGTAGATAACTGCTAACTATCTAGCAGCGAAACCAGAGGCTGGGGAGAAAACCACGAGGACAAGGAGGTTTATCATCGCTCTCCGACGAAGATGGCGAGGGTGGGTATCATTATGTATGTATCACAGGAACGGGAATGGCTCATGCACAAACGAAACTTGGAAGGAATGACGAAGATATAGCCCTCTCACTGTCTCCGAGAAAGAGCGCAGAGTCTGTGGTGTTTGATGCACGGTATCCAGCTCATAGTGATGCAACAACTCCCGTTCCCTTATACGCCGATGGGTTCTTCATCACCACTTCGACGGGATATTTCCATTCCATGAATCTGGTCCAGCCTGGTCGTGCAGAGTCAGTAAATCGATCTATAGTATAGCCCTAATAGGGGACTCTCGAAGTTGTCCTCGGGACAAGTGTAAAGAAGAGAAGAGAGATGCGTACCCCAATAAGCACACTTCCTCCCAAAGTATTTCCCCACGAACGGAACCAGGACCATGGTCAGGAGGAGCTCCAATTGCTCAATGCTTTCGCGCCATTCCTCCTCGGCGTCGGAGTAGTCTGAGAGGGTGTCTAGGTCGGAGGCGGAGGTGGATTCGGATGGGAGAGAGGCGACGTCTTCGTCGGAGTAGTTGTCGCGAGAGGAGACCATGTAGGCGGAGGTGGTGAGGGACGGGTCGGAGGCGGAGGGGGATGGGAAGGACATGGTGGATGCTGGTCCGGTCCGGTCTGGTTTCGGTCCTGGTGTTGGATTGATGCGGTTTGGTATCGGGAGGAGGATGTTGCGGAAGAAGAGAGGCAGGTATGCAACAAGGATTCGAGCAGTGGCCTGCCTACCGCCTGAACAACGATGGAATTCGGGATGGAAACGAGTCGAGTATGGCGAAGGAGAGGACGGGAATCGTCTGATGTAATCAATCACTGGACGAGACCCGGTGACGGTCCTTGTCACGTGCCCGTAGAGAGCCTGAGGCGACGACCGTACGGGCTGTACGGCCATACGGTATCGATACGGCGCACCTTGAGTCAGAGGGGGTCACGTGCCCGATAACAGGTCGCCATCGCAGCCTCTGAATTGCGAGTCTGGCTCGCTGCGGACAAGCAAAAAGCATCACTCTGTGTCAACGCCAGACGCTCCATCGACACGACCAGCCGAGTCGCTACAATCCAATTTTGTGGCGTGTTTCTACCCCTGCTTTCCTGCGAGATACTGCCAATATGGCGGAGACTGTACGTCACAAACGCTCTGTTTTCCCTTTACCGATTTGCCCTCCCACATTTTCTTCAACATTTCACTTCCCATACCTTTAAGTTACCTTTCCGCCCAAACTTCCTGTGCTTTATCTCCTTTTCCCCCGCGCTGTGAGAGTTGTACGCTGCTGCTTCCCCAGCTTACCGTGACATTTGACTCTTTGTGTTCTTGGACCGTTCTTTGGGCCTTGATCTTTTGTCCTTCCACTTCCTTTTTTAAATCCTCCACCGCTAACCTATTTCTCTGGCGGGGCCAGGTTGAACCGAAGCAACGCAAGTCCGTCGCATTCAGCGAAGGCGCAGTCATCATGGATACCAACGGTGAAGTCACAGAGGCCCCTCAGGTCGAGAAGCCTACTACGGAGAATGACGGTAGGTTTTTCATGATGTTCTCTAGATCCTCTCGTTATCACCCACCATCGCCCGGAGGAGTGTGCCTCATCGATCTCACCACTGCCCGAACCTATCCGTTGTCCAACAATTGCTAATTTTTTTTCCCGCTTTCACCTCAACCAGCCACGGTAGACAAGTCCGTCGATGATGTCACCGAGATGTTCAAGGGTCTCTCGAAAAAGAAGAAGTCCAAGAAGCCCAAGGAGTCCGAGGGCGGAGAAGGCGACGAGGCCAGCCCCGCCGCCGACGGCGAGTTCGACCCCACGGCCCTGAAGAAGAAGAAGAAGAAGCCCAAGAAGGACGCCGGTGATTTCGAGGCCAAGCTGGCCGAGGCCGGCGCCACCGAGAAGGCCGGCGAGGAGAAGGAGGAGGAGGTGCCCGAGGGCGACCTTGAGGCCGGAACGGGCATCTGGGCCCACGACGCATCGCAAGCCATCCCCTACTCGCTGCTGGTCTCGCGATTCTTCTCCCTCATCCAGAGCCACCACCCCGATCTGTTGTCGAGCGGCGCCAAGTCCTACAAGATCCCCCCGCCCCAGTGTCTGCGTGAAGGTAACCGTCGTACCATTTTCGCCAACATCTCCGATATCTGCAAGCGTATGAAGCGTTCCGACGACCACGTCATGCAGTTCTTGTTCGCCGAATTGGGTACCAGTGGCAGTGTGGACGGTAGCCGACGTCTGGTTATCAAGGGTCGTTTCCAGCAGAAGCAGATTGAGAACGTTCTTAGACGGTACATCGGTATGTTTTTCTTCCCCTCTCCTCCGCCCCCAATCATACGACCAAATAGTATGAATAACATCTAACCTCGAAACAGTCGAATACGTCACCTGCAAGACCTGCCGCAGCCCCGACACCGAACTCAACAAGGGTGAGAACCGTCTGTACTTCGTTACCTGCAACTCGTGCGGATCTCGTCGTTCCGTCGCCGCCATCAAGACCGGTTTCCGTGGACAGGTCGGCCGCAGAAAGAGACAGGGTTAAACGGGGAGGAGAGCGCAAAAAAGAGACGAATGGTGTTTTCTTGTGGCTGGATGGTTTCTCGGGGAAGAAAATTGCAAGGAGCCCGGTGGTCATTATTCCATATTATTTTCGCTATCTTTGGCCGTTTACGATTTTCTTTTTTTTCTTTGTCCCTTCCTCCTCCCCCTTTATCTCGTACAAAGCTCAGTTGATATGAGTTATTATGTTGGAGATGAAAGCATGTGTGATGTTGTGGGGCGCAACGGGGACGGGAACGCGAGTGAGGGAAAAAAAAAGACTTTGGCCTTGACGTTAAGAAGAGACGAATTGAAGATATAGCATGGCATGATAAGTATATGACTTTGTTGGTCGTCATTTTTTTTATTCTTGTGTTTCGAGTAGATATCGTAATGAGTCGGTAAGACTCTTCTCAAAATCTACATTGTCCAGTTTACGTTCCACTCAAAAAAGTATTGTTTAGAAGAAATATTGAATCTTGGTATGAGAATAACCGACAGCTATAACATACAATCAAGCATATAAAACTGTTTCCAAATCTGGATCGAGTATAATGTGCTTTGCTCGCAAGATCACCAGGAACTTGAGGGGCATATAACCAACAAATGGCTCAAAAGAATAGAAGGGAAAAAGAAGCGGCAGGGGGTAAAAAAATGAGAAAGAAAGAAAGAATCAACTGTCATAAGATCGTTTGAGATATCCAAACCTCAGCCACTAGCCGTAGAAGCCCCAATATGGGCTGCAAAGGTATTCACGTTTCTCGTCTGCAAGTAGACCGTTCCGGGGCCTATGAACCGACAGGCAAGACCTTCGCCAGAACTAAGGCCGGAGACGATGCCGCCAGATGCGACTCGCTCGATCTTGTACTGGCAATTCCAAGTCACCAGATGACCATTATCGACGAAGTAGGTTTCGCCATCGGGGATCTGGATCAGAACAGTGATTAGCCGGAGATTTTTTGGAGGAGGTTATAGAGAGACCAAGCATACGTCTTTCCTGATGATGGCACCGAAGCTTTGAAGCCAGACTAAGCCGATTCCAGTCATCTTGTAGACGAATAAGCCTTCGCCAGAGAAGACAGCCTTGCTGATGCGCTGGGCTTGAAAGTCTTTAACTATGCCGCTGGTCGCGGCGAGGAAACCGTCTTTGCCGACTTTCCAAGAATCAGAACCCGACAGGCGCAGCACGATTATATCACCTAGTGTCGAGGGGGCAAGAAGAACTTCACCAGGTCCAGTGTATGTGGACAGTGTCATTTCTCCGGCGAGCAATTTCTTCCATCCAAACTTGACGCTTCCCATCAGTTGAACTTCATGCGACATGGCGATCATCGCGCCTAGTGATCCAAGTCAGTTGATTGCTTCTCAAACATCACGTGGTGGGAGAAGGGACTGAGCTCACCAGGCTTGGCCTCAATGGGGCATCCCCTTGCCAATTGCAAGGTGAGAACAGAGTTTGTGTCTCTGTGACTAATTCTGTAGCTGCCGCCATTGAACGTGCCCACCTCGTCTGCACTAGATACGCTTTGAACTGGGCTATGTTGGACTGGACTATACTGCACGGGCATTGTAGATGCTCTTTGCGGTTGTTGCACGGCGGGAGGAGGGGATTGGGGAGGCGGTGATACAGAAGTCGGCCGGGCATAGGGATTGTCAATCCCAGAATTGACATTGTATGCTGCATTATTGGGATCGGATGGGGGTGGGCTGGCAGGCTGCTGCTTCGGAGGAGGGGGGTAGCTGAAGTTTGGTGGTGGAAATGCAGGAGAGCTTTGAGGAGCAGGGAAAGCTATACTGTGCGGCAAGGCGTTTGCAGGGGGAGCAGGTGGTGCAGTATTTGCGGGGTGCACGGGAGCTAGATTGACAAAGCTGTGTTAATTACAATCAAACAGAACGTATTTTAGGAGCCTAAGGGACTCACGAGGGAACGAAGTTTCCTGGTTGGGGGGAGGAGGGAAAGCTGAAGCCATTGCTTAGGGCTAGCTATGTATGCCTGTGTCTGAACTTTTCAGCGAGCTAACCAAGTCGATAGAGCTCTCAGTTCGGGGGGGAGTAGTCTGTAGTTGTAATGATATTCTATAGCTAAGGAGAGAAAGAAAATGAGTTGAGAAGGCGACCGGAATGCGTCTAAACAGCCTATATATATATGTTCGATCTTAATAGCCCACTTAATCCTAACACAGCGGGGAAAGAGAAAGGGAAAAGAAAGAAAAGACCATCATGCGAAGCGCATGGGAGCGATAGTGGTCGGAGACCACATGCAGTAGGACGAGTAGGCGCCGAGGGGGCAGCAGGACGTCGCAATCTGATTGCATGACGAGAGGGACGTCGGCGCTTAGAGAGCGTTAGACTGTGAATCTGTGATAGCAGCTGCAGCAACGCCGCGGCCAATCGACAGGAGAGGAGCGGGGTAGAATATTAATAGCAGCGGCCCGTCCGATTCTCGCCCTCCATTCGCTCGACACCGTCCCTTGGCGCTGGTCTTCTTCCACTTGGCGGTTGACTCCACCCATAGTACTCTTTGGGAGTACAAGGTATTTCGCCTATACTCCCGGCTCGCGCGCCATCGCTGCTTCGAGGAGTTGTATCCCCTCCAGGTAGTGCATCCCCCGTGCCCAGTCAAGGGCCGTCGGTCCGTCCGAAATACGTCCACGAACATTGGCGCCATGTTCCAACAGGACTCGCATGGTCTCGGTGCCACCATTTCGTGTGGCCAGCATCAGAGCAGTGCAGCCTTCTTGAGTCTGCGCATCTACATCAGCTCCTCGAGAGAGAAGGAATTTAGCCATCTCCGCGTGGTTGTCTGCAGCAGCGGCTATCAAAGGAGTGTCGCCGCCAAAAGTACCCAAATTAACATGGGCACCGTGCTCCAGGAGGGTTTGTGCAACGCCCACATGGTTTTGGACGGCGGACCATACCAGAGGAGTAAGTCCATCGTCATCATGGGCATGGACAGTGGCTCCTCTGCGTAAGAGGAGGCGAACGATATCGATATCGCCTGCATAGCTGGCAGTTATCAATGGCGTGGCTCCCCTTGCAGCCGTGCCGTTGACATCTGCCCCTGTCTCGAGCAGTTCGCAAATTGCTGGGAGATCAGCAACCGCAACCCTGTTGATAAGAGCAGTTGCACCATCTTGGTAGGCCTGCTTATCAAGGTTTACTCCATGGCGACGGAGTGAAGTGATCGCTACCCGATATCGCCTCTCAGCAGCCCACAGAAGAAAATGGTAGATGAAGCCGGGGTACCGCTTCTCAAACTGGAGCCATCTTGCAAGGAGCCAATTTATTAGAGCATAGTGATCGTTCTGGCATGCCCAGTCGAATGCCAGCATTTCATCTGACCCTGGAAGCTCCCCATTGTACAGTTTTTCAAGCTCCCGATGGGATAGTTTCTCGTCGCTGTCAGTCAACCATAGTAGGGCGATCTGCTGTCCTCGTGCTCCCTGGTCGACGCTGTTGTTGACTTTGCCTGACGGTATAGACTGCTCATTGATACCAAGTGAGTCCAGGTCTCCCTGAATTGAACGCTTGTCGCAGTGGTTTCTTGCGATATGCCATGCAACCCATCCTAATTGCAAAGAGAACGTTCTCCAATCCTCAGGCCTGTTAGACATCCAACCGTCACGACGAGAGGTTTTTGAATTCTTCAGGAGATTCGCTCTCGGGTCGCCTTGTATAACGAGGAGTGCTTGCTTGAAACCCTCGGACTGGACGCTGGCTTCGGTATGAATCATTGCCCGTCGGCAAAGATCGCCTAATTCGAATAGAGAATATTCAAATTCAGCCCCTTCACATCGCTCACAAATCCATCGCAGAGTTGCAAAGGCTTCGGCCCAGTTTTCGTTCGCCATAAGCTCATCTATGCGCTCTCTTATGATACCCGAGTACCCAGCCAGCTGAGGTAAAATACCTTGATGTTTCAGAACAGGTACCACGCATAGCAACGCGTCTTCTCTAGAACCCATCCCACCAGATTCAAAGCAAGAGACAAGCTCATCAAGGCGGCTGCTGTATGCAAGATACCCGCTCTGTGACCCAGGAAGCAATTTAACATCGCCCCCGAGCTCTTGCAAATCTTCCAACGCGCTGCTGAGAAATTGTATGTAGATGTCCTGGGCGACCATGGTCTCTAAATCATTGTCTGTTTTAACAACAAGGATGTCCTTATCATTCGAACTTTCGTCCGGCGAAAAGCCGAACATCTGCTCAGGAAAGGATATCGTTTTGGATGAAACCATCCGTGCTTGCGTATGGCGGTATATCCACTTTTGAAAGTATAAATCCGTCTCCTCTGCTCTGGCCTCGGACTCACTCAGTCCCACAAGACGGTCGAGACCCTTCTGGTTCCAGTTGGGGTTGGCCTTCAATAGAGACCATGCCCGCAGCCCTATTATGGCCTCGAGCTCGTGATCCTTAATGCGCCATTGGAAGGTGTCGTCCGACCTTTCTAGCGTAATTGGGTAGGTTTCAACCTTGGGAGCAACGAACTTTTTGCGGGACTGACACACAAGCGATAAATCAAAGCTAAAGGTGTCGCTAGATGATTTTTTCCAGTTTGATATCACATCCATGGTCGATTCAATTGTTTGTGCCAGATTTTCTGCTGCCAGTCGAATGGGAAGGTCCTCCCAGGCTCGGTCGGGATGTTCATCGGTATTAGATGTTAGCTCTGCTAGTCGAGCTCTTGTCTGCACAAGTCGTGTTCCCGTTCGAACCTGTTGAATGGAGCTTCCAATTGAGGAAGTGGATGACGCGGAGCTCGATTGGGAAGGAAGGGGGCCGCTGGCAGCTGTAGAGATAAGGCTGAATGATTCAACGTCTTCAAGGTGGAATGCGAAACTATCTAACTCTTGGTGTTTATAGGAACTCAGCTGACGCTCTGTTGAATCTAATCGGTTCTCATCTGGACCAATCCGCTTGGTCCGAAGACACGTTCGGACAATAGCCATCAGAAGCGTGGAGCCCATTTGTGCTAGGATGACTGAGGCATGCAGGCCTCGGAGACCGACAAATTGGACCACAAATCCGACCATGGTGATTGCTATGGCAATTACCAGCAGAGGACCCTTGTTGTTGTGTCCTCGGTCGCGGATGGATTTGATGTATGTCATCCGCGATCCAGGACCCTCAGTCACTCCGAGAAAGGCACCAAAAGGCTGGTGCCCAACATCCTGTTTGCCAGGCTGCAGCCAGTAAATCTTACTTGGCTTGGTCGGACGAAGGTAGAATTCAGTCGATGCGCGCTCAATCATGAAGGCACAAAGGAACATGCCCGTGCAGAGAAATATCGTCCCAAAGAGGAAGAGCGGAAACGCATAACTCGGAACTGGCTCGTCGTCTTTCTCGAAGTCATCGGGATATAAAAATACAGTAAGACCAGCGTATGCGAGAACACCTGCCAACTATGTATCAGCAATTCATCCCTCAGTAGGAACACTTGAAAGCCCACCTGTCTGCAGTGCAAACCCTAGCACGGCAGCACAGTAGAACCAGACTTGACTTCTTCTCTCAATCCCTTTATTTAGAGAAAGATTGGGAACATCAAGCTCCAGTGGATAACCCTTCTCGTCTTGCAACTTCGCTCCGTCTTTCACAGACCAAGCATTCTGCTGCAGGGCATCTCGCAGCGTCCCGATTTTCCGCGAGCCCTCTTTCCTCTCCGTTCCTTCCTCGTCCCAGACCACTACCTCTAGAATTCGTGGCCGACCAATAACTCTGGATATACCTCCGTCATTGAACAGCTCAGCTGTGGTCTCCGATACGCAAGAAAGAAGCTCATTCTCGGCTTCTCCGGGACCTTCCTGTGCTCGTCCAACGAAGGCTCGTAGAGACGAGTTTCCGCAGACGCGAATGACTGATACGACCGCCGTTAGGATACCTAGCGGGGACACGGCAAAGATGAAATTATCTAGGACGCTGATTGATTCGGACAGAAATTGTTTTGTCAGTCGTTCTCCGAATAGGGAGATGAGGGGTGCCTAGTCACGTCAGTATTGACCTTCCATTTCCACGAGACCTATTTTCCACTTACCAGGTCAGTGGCAAGGTTGTCCGTGAAACCATCCCAATCGTTTGCTCGCACTGAGGGAAGTAGAAAAAAGACTATGAAATTCAAATGCCACAACATGACTCGGAACTATGTTTAGAAGATAACAAAAAGATCCCAACCGGATGAGCAAACATTTTATCAAGCCCATGGGGATCAACCATTATTAGTTAGAAATTCGAATTCATATGCCTTATGATTATGCGCCGGCATTCAGCTCCTGCAGCTGCGGCATCGATCAGCCTTGCGAAATGCCCCGCTTTGCATGTCGGCGCTTCGAGGGCTCCAACGGTTGCCTGCCGCCGGGGTTCAGAAATGGGTAGGGGCTCTAGACCCCCTTAGAGTGACATGTCGAGCCCCATGATGGCGCTTAGATACGCGCCGTGTTTCATCGACTGGATCGAGTGCTGGATCATTAGTCTGCCTACCTACACTATCGGCCCTCCTGAGTGGGCAGCCTATTGTTGAATAAAGGTTGGATGATCTACGGCAAATCATGGCTCAAATAGTTGAATTCAAGCTTATTCAATAACGCCCCTCCCAGAAACCATGGCAGCACACTGTTCCAATGATGTCCACTGGACCACAAAGAATAATTATTCCAGGAATTAGTCAAAGAAGCATCCCCAACGCCTTTCCCATGATAAGCAAAGATAGAGTGAAAGCGATAAAACAAGACGACCCCGCATGTTATGGGAACGGGCGATAACAAATAGGTATTCGAGCGATAACCAAGACATTAGAAAATGCTATTCACAATGTTGGAGCCAACAGTAGCACCAGCACCGAAGATGGCTAGAGATAGATGTCAGTCATGCATTGAATGGAAGGTTTTGAAGATGCTCATCCGTGTGGAAGCATCTGCCATGTAGAGAGTACGTACCGGCATTACCCAATTTCTTGCCAAACTTCTTGCCGTGTTCCTCAAACTTGCCGTTTTTGCCTTCGGGGTCGGCCGAGGAGCCACTCTGGCTGACCTCGAGGGGCATGTTGCCATAGCCAGATGGCTGCGGCCCGGCCACTCCCTTATCCTGGATCACATTCACATAGCTACGAGGGAAGATACCCTCGAGGTTGGTGCGCTCATTACGTCCGCGCCACCCTAGTTCAAAATTATCAGTTGTTTGATCATGAATATCCCAAGAGGAGACGGGGCGTCATACAGTCGGCATTCATGTGCTCGAGAACCTGAACCCGGTCGTTGGGCTGCAAAGCCAAATCGCCGGGGTCCGTCGGGGTGTATGCATACAGTGCAGAGGCAATGGATAGAACTGGCGGGACTTGGGGATAGGCCGGCGGGGGAGGGGTTGGGTTGTACTGCGGCGTCGGCGGCTGCTGATACGTCGCCTTCTCGTTCAACGAGGCATTGGCGAACTGGTTCGTGGGAGGGGAGTACGGAGCAGGGGGAGGCTGCGTCTGAGCCGGCGCTCGCACGGGAGCCGGGGCCGGAATTGGGGATGGAGCGACAGCCGGTGGCGATTGATGCTGTCGAGGCGCCGAAGGTTGACGTGCATCCTCCGACGGCAGTTGCGAAAGGATGGAGGAGAGTTGCTGTGGCGTGATGACCGAGGCATCTGCAAGGAACTCAAGTTCCTGAAAGAAACGAGCGTCAGTAGACAAAACCAACGACAAAAAGGAGAGGTAATGCTTCTAGCGACACGAAAAGGTAGATGGGACGGCATACTAATCGAACAGTGCGGACCGACCGGTTGGTCATGGCCCTGACGAAGTCGGGCTGGGACGCCATGATAGGCAAAGGGGGGGGATAAAGAGGAAGTCTGAGGTTTCCAAACAAGCCGACAGAAAAATATAGGAAGTGAAAAGAATGGAAGAATGATGGACCACCTTATACAAAAAAGAGAGAAAAGAAAAGAAGAGACGGAATGGATGGAGGTGAAATAGGACGGGGATGGGGAGTTGGATAATAATTAATGCCGTGCATTATGAGCTTTGGTACCTGAGGCCAGCCAGCCTGTTCGGTCATTGGCGGACAGCCAAGGAAGTCACTGGGGCTGTTTTCCATGTCTGCCTAATAATTTGAAATGCCAAGTCTCAATATATTCAGTCTCATGCCTCAGTTTAACTATCTTGCTCGACTGGTACTCAATTCTCAGACCGCAATGAATCGCGAGCCTTCTCATAGATCGTGGATCCGGCACGTGGTCAGATTGTGGTGCCGCTTCACTAAATCCCCTGCGTGTTCTTTTCCTTCTCCAGCCAGAACACCCTCAGTATATCTCGACATTCGATCTGTCCTTTGGAATGTCTCCTCTGCATTCCTCTTGGCTTTCTCAGACATGACCCATATATCCTAAAAGCTAGTCCCAAAATGCCCAGTAGGGCCAGCTTTAATGGTGCTAAGGACATAGGCATCATACTAGTCCGGGACATTGAGTGGGTTGTCCCTTTTGCGAGCTAAAAATACGAATGTTCGCGAGTTCCTTGTCGGAGGCCCGAGTATGCTTTTTTGCTATGTGCATATCCATGTTGCTCATCTGAGATCCGGTGTCTTCCGGGGAGAATGAACATTGCTCTGGTGTGTAGTCCGGCATTGTCCATTGTTGAGGCATGACCATCCAACGTGATACTACCTAGATAGGAGATATCAGAAGTTTTGAGTAGTCTATTTATCAGTTGCCTAGGTTGCCTTGCTCTTGGTTGCCGTCTCTTTCTCTATCGCCCACTCGGTGTTGCTGTACTGCACATTGCCAGCATGAAGATAATTGAAGACACTCCATACCATTAGTTTATACTGATGCAGAATAACACGAGTTAGAGTGAAATGCATACAGAGAAATAAAATTCTCTAAAGGGAAGGTAACAGCGGGTTAGTTCATCAGAGTGAAACAACACGATATGTGAAGCTGCTCCGTAGACCTTTCGGATATGTGTTTCGGAATATATAGAATGTCCATATTCTGCCCTTTAAGACGTAAAACATAAAATTATACCACCCTTCTAAAGAGCAAACACGGGAACAAGAATGATCATATGTAAGAAGAGTGAACAGTAATCCAAGGGCCAGCTTCAAGTAGGTCAATTGGCTGCTTTCGTCGTGATTCAATACCCGATAGATTTGGCCGTGATGCTGATTAGTGGGGTTGTAGAATCCAGTACGAGGCCGATAAGAGGACAGTGACGTTGTGCTATGGAGGCACACCCCATTGAAGGAGAACCGGGAGACCATACGACAGGAAAAGAACTGAAATCAAGCGCAGCTCAGAATGACTGAGCAATTAACTGACTCATTCTGACAAAGAGAGCACTCACGGAGAAAGGCAAACGGAGAGTTCCTTTACAACCGCAAATGCGACGGCGAAGCGAAACGTATGATGTCAGCGGGCCTAACCAGAGTAGGGCTAGCGCCAGTGGCCGTAACGGGACTCCGCCATCCCAGGGCTCGAGAAGCTTCTGTGTCATCGATATAAATTCGGCGGGCTGAGAACATCCCTTCTTCTGAGCCACACAAAATATTTACACGATCTGAACGCCACCTCACACCCTCCACCGTCCACCATCACCACGACCATCACCGATACCTTTAATCCTCTATAATCGTTAGACTTTCTTTCAAAATGAGCGACTGGGACTCCGTTACTCGCATTGGCGCTAAGAACCGCGGCGGCGCTGCCCCTCGTGAGACCGTCATCAAGGGCAAAAGCGCCCTGAACGCCGCTCAGCGTCAAGGTCTGGTCATTGGCACTGAGAAGAAGTATGCTAGCGGCAATGCTGTATGTGTTTTTCCTCCTTATTTCTCTCCTCTTCATCCAGATGAGGTATCTTCTATTGTTCTGTTAAATCAGTGGCTAATCGGATTTCGTAGGCTGGTCGCTCAGGAGCCCCCGAGGGCCAGCACTTGACCAAGGTCGACCGCAGCGACGACATCGTCAAGCCCAAGACCGTGGGTTACCAGGTCGCAGACGCCATCAAGAAGCGCCGAAACGAGGAGGGCTACAAGATGACGCAGAAGGAACTTGCCACCAAGTGCAACACCACCCCCGGTGTCATCCAGGACTTCGAGAAGGGTACCGCTACGCCCGACCAGAAGGTCCTCAGCGCCATGGAGCGTGTGCTCAATATCAAGCTGAGAGGCTCGGACATCGGCAAGGAGAGGTTTCCCAAGAAGAAATAATTTCGGGAATGGCTTAGAAACGACTCTCTTTTCCTTTCTTTCTGCTTCTTTTTTTTTTTATAACATATCCCGGGATCTTGACCTATTTCATGTCTTTTTCCCGTTCATTTTCGGTTGTTACGTGACGCAACATGTGCAATGAGGATTTCATGTCTGTTTTGTTATTACTTTCTGCTGGTCGGAAGAGCGCTGGCCTGGCATCAAAATGGGATTCCCTTTAAAGAAAGATCATTTGATAAATTGTGCTGTGCTTCTCATTTAGTTGAGAGACGTTGGTGTTGGCTTATGTCTAGATATAATCATAGTTCATAGAAATGCTGCCCAGCAAATTGTCAATCAAATTCAAATATGAAGCAAAAATAGTAAAATATGAACTGGTGAAAGTAAAAATGTGTTTCTTTTATTAGGACACAGAAAGCGACCAAAGAAAAGGAAATGGTACCAACTCCGATTTATCATGGAATCAAATGAAATGAGAAACTCATGCCCTAAAGCCACCCACACCCCCCTTTCATATCGCCTCGGCCTTGCTTTTTCTACTTTTTTTCTTCCTTGGGTAATAAATGTCTTTGCCTCATGACACATACGTATATGCGTAGAATAGAAAAAACCTCGATTCATCGACCAATTTACCGTCTCAGCTGCTCCCGCTCGACCTCGTACATGAAATCAAAGTACGACTTGTCGAAGTGGTGGACACGGACGTAACCGTCCTCTCCGCCGGAGGCGTAGGCGGTACCGTTGGGGTGAGCGTGAACGGTGTTCAGGGGACCGAAATGGCCTCGGACACGGCCGATCTCGTCCTCGAAGACCTTGTGGTAGAAACGAGCTTCGAATTTACCCTGGCGAGCAGAGGTAGTGGTGACATCCATGGCGGCCTGACCACCTCCCAGGATCACGTACTCCTTCTTGGCAGTAATGGTGGCGCTGTTCAGGGGCGTGTCGGCAACGTAGGTTTTGAGGATGGCGAGGTTACGGGTGGAGATGAGCTAGGTGCGATGGTTAGTTTGCATAGCGCCGCGCAGAATGTCGCAGGATAGAACGTACTTTGGCAGATTTGTCTTTCGAGGCGGTGATGAAGTAGGTGCGGTCTTCGGAGAATTGGATGTCGTTGATCTGGTGGTCGAACTCGTGAGCCTGGACGTTCTCCAGCTGCTCACCGGTCTAAATCATCGAACAAAGTTAGCTCCTGCGCGCCGGTACTTCTCAAAAGAACATTACGTCGGCCGAATGCGACAAATGGACCCGGGGATCTTCGTAATGCGCACCTTGGCATCGTACTGGCTGATGCTGCCGTCCTCGTGGCCGGCGATGATGTACTGGCCCAGATAACTCCAGCCCGCAACGGTGGCCTTGCTCTCCGTGCAGGTGATTCTGAGGCTAGGCTCCTCGGCCTGAACCTCCAGGTTGCCGCCCTGACCATCTCCGTAGTTGATATCGAGCACGGCGATAGTGCCCAGGAAACCCATACGCTTTTCCGTCACAGCCAGCAGCCTGGTTCCGTCGGGGGTGAATTCAACGCGCTTCACGGCCGTGGGGAAGTCCCACACCTTCACGCACTCGCCGGTCTTCACGTTCCATAGTCGCACGGTGTTGTCTGCCGATCCGGTCGCCAGGAGAACGGTGTTGGGACTCACGTCGACCGTCCAGATGGCACCCTGATGTCCGTTGTAGGTACCGAGTCGCTCGCCGTTAGCCGACCACCAAGCACACACAATTTTATCCTTTGCCACGGAGAAGATGAGATCGCCATCGCGGTTGAATTTGATTTGGTTGAGGGACCGCTCCTATAGGTAGGCTTGACTATCAGTACATCTGAAACCTCTTTCAAGGTAGAATGAAAAAATGATAAAACTGCAACACGGGCAACGCACATGGCCCGAAAGCAAAATAGGCCTCATTTTGGGCCGACCAGGATCTGATTCCGGTGAAGGCGACGGAGAATAGACTAGGGTAGATCACAGAAAGATCGTCTGTGACCGAAGATGTCTAAGATGAGGCGGAAATGCTGGCGGGGTGCTGGCGGACTGCTCTCTTCGTCGGCGTTGGTTAGACTAGTGAATTTCATCGCACAGTCCGGACTCGCGCGCCAAGACCTTCCTGTTCGAGGCCGTTTGTACGGTAAATCTCACGTAAGGGAACAATGCTCGGCCCGGTAACGATGATTCTTCTGCACGTGACAGTCTCCAGCCCTGAATGGCGGTCGTCCGCATCTGGCCTAGTGTCCAGATCCCGGAAAATGCTGGGGCTGACATAATCCCGTCGTGCTATTTCCTCGGGAAAATTCGATATCAAACTGCAGACAGCAGGACCGAGAAGGACCGATGCCATCATAGACCCCGGTAATTTGAAGCTTCTTTTTGGGTTTATTGTAATAATAGGAGTGTCTTTTTTACTTGTCTTTGGTATTGCGTGTTACTTGTTTGAATTCCGGAGTTGGGTTTCTGATTATTCATAAGCATTATTGATCTCGGTGCTTGATCGACCTAGGAGTTCCCCTATCTCCATCCACTCCGCCCGAGGAGAACCTGCAGTTGATGCCATTTCCCCCCGCCCGTTCGGCGACCCTACCCCGCTGCGCTGGAAAGGCAAAGCATTGCTCCCGTCATTCGTCCCTCTCACCTTACCACCTTCCTTCTCTCTTCGTTCCCTTCAATTCTCGATCTTCCTCCCCTCGACGCCGGACCCAGCCTCTCGTCACTGGTACTGCGGGGTTTCAAGAGCTTACCTGTGGATTCCTGCGCTCTCCCCACCGGCTGTTTTCCAGCACTTCAACTGCCATGGCGGCCACTAAGATCGATGGCACGCAAATCGCCAAGAGCATTCGGGCGGGCCTGAAGACCGAAATCAAGGAGATTCAGCAGTCCAACCCTAGGTTCAAGCCGAGCTTGGTGATCTTTCAAGGTGTGTGGTCCTTCTGGCCCTTATGAAGCTATACCGGGATATGCAGGAAGGCTGACGGAACCAAACTAGTGGGTGACAGATCGGATTCGAGTGAGTCTAGTCTATCGGACTTTCACAGGCCTTAGGTTTGGTGTGGAGACGGGACTAATATAATCTAAAGGCACCTATGTGCGCATGAAGCTGAAGGCTGCCGAGGAAGTACGTTGTCATTCCCGAGTCGTCACGCAATGCTAGTATACTGACACACCCGTTCTTGAAAGGCCGACATCCTCTGTAAAGTGGTCAACTTCCCCCAGGCCATCAGCCAGCCCGAGATCCTCCAGGAAATCACCAAGGCCAACAATGACCCCTCCGTGCACGGTATTCTCGTCCAATTGCCCCTCCCTCAACACCTGTCCGAGCACACCGTCACTTCCGCTGTCGCCGATGAGAAAGATGTCGACGGATTCGGTGCCATCAACATTGGAGAGCTGGCCAAGCGCGGTGGCCGTCCGCTCTTCGTTCCTTGCACACCGAAGGCCGTGATGGAGCTCCTGCGGGTGAGCGGAGTCGACCCGGCGGGCAAACAAGCGGTCGTGCTTGGTCGGAGTGACATCGTGGGTAGCCCCGTCAGCTACCTCCTGAAGAATGCAGATGCTACTGTGACACTGTGTCACTCAAAGACCCCGGACATTGCGGCAATCGTGAGGAATGCCGACATTGTGGTAGCCGCCATTGGGAAGACGGAATTTGTCAAGGGAGAATGGCTGAAGCCTGGTGCCGTTGTCATCGATGTCGGTATCAACTACAAACCCGACGCTTCCAAGAAGTCAGGTCAGCGCCTTGTTGGAGACGTTGACTACGAGTCCGCTGTCCATGTTGCTTCGCAGATTACCCCCGTCCCCGGTGGTGTTGGCCCTATGACGGTGGCCATGCTTTTGCAGAACGTGGTCAACTCGGCCAAGGAGTATTTCGAAAAGCAGAAGGATCGTCACATCACTCCCCTGCCACTGAAGCTGGCCCAGCCTGTCCCCTCTGACATTGCCATCTCGCGTGCCCAATACCCTAAGGCGATTACCGACCTCGCCTCTGAAATTGGTATTGCCCCTCACGAGCTCGAGCCTTATGGCCACACCAAGGCCAAGATCAGTCTCAGCGTCCTCGACCGCCTGGCCCATCGCCGCAACGGAAGATATGTTTTGGTGTGTGGTATCACGCCCACGCCTCTTGGAGAGGGCAAGTCGACGACTACCCTGGGTCTCACTCAAGCCATTGGTGCGCACTTGAACCGCATCGTATTCGCCAACGTCAGACAGCCTAGCCAAGGCCCTACCTTCGGTATCAAGGGTGGAGCTGCTGGTGGTGGTTACAGCCAAGTCATTCCCATGGACGAGTTCAACCTTCACTTGACTGGTGATATCCATGCCATCACGGCTGCCAACAACCTTCTTGCCGCGGCCATTGAAACCCGCATGTTCCACGAAGCCACGCAGAAGGACGGGGCGCTCTACAAGCGATTGGTTCCCGCCAAGAAGGGTACGCGCCAGTTCCAGCCCGTCATGTTTAAACGATTGAACAAACTGGGAATTACCAAGACCAACCCCGACGAACTTACTGAGGAGGAGATCAACCGTTTCGCTCGTCTTGATATCGACCCCGAAACCATCACCTGGCGTCGCGTGTTGGACGTCAACGATCGACACCTTCGAGGCATCACCGTCGGACAGGCTCCCACTGAGAAGGGCCTGACCCGTGAAACCGGTTTCGATATTTCCGTTGCCAGTGAATGCATGGCCATCCTTGCGCTGAGCAACAGCCTTGAGGACATGCGCGAGAGACTGGGACGTATGGTTGTTGCTACGTCCAAGAAGGGCGATCCGGTTACGTGTGATGACATTGGTGCCGGTGGCGCTCTTGCGGCGCTCATGAAGGACGCTATCAAGCCCAACATGATGCAGAGCTTGGAGGGTACCCCCGTCCTGGTTCATGCCGGCCCCTTCGCCAATATTAGTATCGGCGCCAGCTCGGTGATCGCGGACAAACTCGCGCTGAAGCTGGCGGGTACGGAGCCCGACGAGGACCACGACGCCAAGACTGGTTTCGTGGTGACCGAGGCCGGATTCGACTTCACCATGGGCGGCGAGAGATTTTTCAACATCAAGTGCCGATCCTCCGGCTTATCCCCTGACACTGTGGTGATCGTGGCTACCGTTCGGGCCCTCAAGGTCCACGGCGGCGGCCCCGAGATCAGCCCCGGAGCTCCTCTGAATGAGGTCTACCGTACGGAGAATGTGGACATTCTCCGCAAGGGCTGTGTCAACATGAAGAAGCACATCGAGAACGCCCGCCAATACGGAGTCCCCGTGGTGGTGGCTATCAACCGGATGGAGACCGACACGGATGCCGAGATCGCCGTTATTCGTGAGGAAGCCATCGCTGCGGGCGCGGAGGATGCAGTTCCCGCTAACCACTGGGCCGAGGGCGGAGCCGGCGCGGTTGATTTGGCCAAGGCCGTTCTTACTGCCAGCTCCAAGCCCAAGGACTTCAAGCTGCTGTACGAGACCAGCGGTAGCGTGCAGGAGCGCATTGAACACATCGGCAAGACCATGTACGGCGCAGACAAGGTTGAGTTCAGCGAACTGGCGCAGAAGAAGGTGGACACCTACACGGCGCAAGGCTTTGGCAATCTTCCCATCTGCATTGCCAAGACGCAATACTCGCTCAGTCACGACCCTGCTTTGAAGGGCGCCCCGACCGGATTCACCGTTCCCATTCGGGACGTTCGCCTGGCCGTGGGCGCTGGATATCTGTAAGTTGTTACCCATTTTAATGCTCTGACTGGCGACATCGCGCTGAACTATTTTGTTTTTCTTACTTTAGATACGCTCTGGCGGCTGATATCCAGACCATCCCCGGTCTGCCGACCGCGCCGGGCTACTTGAACGTTGACATTGATCCGGAAACCGGAGAGATCGACGGCCTGTTCTAGACGTAGGCTCTATATCTGGTCTGATTCTCTGTATATTTCTGATTTGTTTCTCCACCTCGCTATCATAACCTTTTACTTTTTTTTTCTTTCTCTCGATACCATGCCGTTCACATTTACATTACAACCGGAACAGCATTTGCGGGCATTATTTACTTCAACGTATACAAGCATGATGAAACCACGGCGGCGTCCCCTGGGAGCGGAGGACAATTGGGAGGGGCGCAATTTCAACAAAAAATGGAGTCGGAAGACGGCTGGGCCAGGCGATTGATGGATTAGATATGATTATGACGCTAGAGAGAAATGCACCACTCCGTAGAATGGAGTCGTTGTTAGTGTCTCTAATTGTCACCATGGATCAGCGGCGGAGTTGGACTGTTCGTCCCCGAAAAAGGCGACTTCGGTGAAAAACAAGCCGGGCGGAGTCTGCGTTACCGCGGGAAACGGCGGTTAGCGAAGGGATGAGGTAATCCCTGTTATACTTCGCAGGGAGTAGCTAACTAGTATACCCTGCACGTCAACATAGACGGACGGACTGAGAAACAAGACGGGCGGAATTCGGATGGACCGTCCTGGTGATCAACTGAGGTCGAGTTCCACGACTGCGAGAGAGTGCAACGTAGATTAGCAACGTAGCGACCGCCGTAGAGAGCAGAGCAGACGAACGGGGAGGAATCCACCACTCCGGCCGGCTTCGGCGTGACTTGCAACGGTGGGCGGAAAGAGTCAAGTCACCGGGGCAAAGGCCTTTTCCTTTGGGGATAAGAGTCTCTTCTTTTCTCCCTGACCTTCCTCCTCCGTCCCATTTCTATCCTCTCCTCTCCGATTCTCTCGACCTTCCTTTTCCCCAGAAAAGCAGAAAATACATTTGCCGGACTCTCCGATCTCCCCCATTTATCCATTACCCGCGAACGGGCGCTTCCGATCCTCCACCGCCCGCTCCTTCCAGCCGAGAGCTTCAGCTGCGCTTTTCCCTCGGGTATTGTCTGCTCGTCCCAGATTCCGTTGGATATCGCCTCGTCCAGTCGATCTGCCATTACCGATTGTCCCTCCGTTTGGGCAATCCGATCACGTTGAACCGCGATGATGAACTCCCTTCGGCTGCATTCCGCATTGGCTCGCCGCTCCCCTCTGGCTGCCCCTCCTACCTCCACCTTCCGCGCGCTCTCTTCTTTTACTTCTTCTTCCTCTCCCCTTCGCTCTACTTCCTCTTCCTCTTCCTTCTCTACAGCTTCCCGCTCTCAGAGAACTCTTGCGTCCGCTTCGACTGCACTTCCTCGTTCCGTTGGCTCTGCATCCCGTTGGTCCTGGACCCAATCCCGCACGATGGCGACCGAAGCTCCCAAGATCAAGGTTAAGAACCCCGTGGTGGAATTGGACGGAGATGAGGTACGTTCCTTTCCCTCAATTGTTTTTTTTTTCTCAATTGAAACTTTTGTCCCGTGGGCGTGGCGTTGTATACATTTATATACCTGTCCTGCGATCGACTCTGCGCATTTTCGTCATGAAGCCCGAACGCGGGGAAACACGCCGGGCGTTCTCTTTCTTCCGAGGCTCGACCAACGAACATGCGCGCACTCCTCTTTGGCACATGTGGCTAACCATACCTGTTCTTCGGTGGCTTTAGATGACTCGTATTATCTGGAAGGAGATCAGAGAAAAAGTAAGTACCGCGGTCCCCCCCCCAATCTTGCGTCATGCGCTGCCGTCCCGTCCCGACCTTGTGAAACTTAGCTAACTTTGTTGCGTTGCATAGTTGATCTTGCCGTAAGTTTAATTCGCCCTGTCTGTCGCCCTTCTTCGGGGACAGCGCAGCTGAGACACAACACTAGTTACCTCGACATCGACCTCAAGTACTATGACCTGGTACGATCCTAATCTCTACCCGTCGAAGGACTAGTGTGTTTTTAATTAACTCCTCTTGCAGGGTCTTGAATACCGTGACCAGACTGATGACCAGGTCACCATCGAGGCTGCCGAGGCCATCAAGAAGTATGGCGTCGGTGTCAAGTGCGCCACCATCACCCCGGATGAGGCCCGTGTGGAGGAGTTCAAGCTGAAGAAGAGTAAGCTCCAACGGCTCTGTGGGCGCGATTGAGTTCAGGAACTAATGATCGCGTGCAGTGTGGCTGTCTCCCAACGGTACTATCCGAAACATCCTGTATGTCGCTCGCTGTCTGCCACGCTTTGCACTTGTTTTCATGCTAATCCCTGTACTAGCGGCGGAACTGTTTTCCGTGAGCCCATTATCATTCCCCGTATCCCCCGTCTGGTGCCTGGCTGGACCAAGCCCATCATCATTGGTCGTCACGCTTTCGGAGACCAGTACCGTGCCCAGGACCGTGTGATCCCCGGCCCCGGCAAGCTGGAGATGGTTTACACCCCGGCTGGTGGCCAGCCGGAGACTGTCCAGGTCTACGACTTCAAGAGTGGTGGCGGTGTTGCCCAGACTCAGTACAACACGGACGAGTCGATCGCGGGTTTCGCCCATGCCAGCTTCCAGTTGGCCCTGTTGAAGGAGCTGCCCCTGTACATGAGCACCAAGAACACCATCCTGAAGAAGTACGATGGCCGCTTCAAGGACATCTTCCAGGAGATCTTCGAGACTACCTACAAGAAGGACTTCGATGCCAAGAACATCTGGTATGAGCACCGTCTGATTGACGACATGGTGGCCCAGATGGTCAAGAGCGAGGGTGGATTTATCATGGCCCTGAAGAGTAAGTTGCTATTCTCTATCCTTGGTGGAGAACGTGCAATCCTAATTTTAGCTATATAGACTACGACGGTGACGTCCAGTCCGACATCGTCGCCCAGGGCTTCGGCTCGCTGGGCCTGATGACCTCGACTTTGGTTACCCCTACCGGCGAGGCCTTCGAGTCCGAAGCTGCTCACGGTACCGTGACTCGTCACTACCGCGAGCACCAGAAGGGTCGTGAGACCTCCACCAACCCCATCGCCTCCATCTTCGCTTGGACTCGGGGCCTGGTGCAGCGTGGTCAGCTCGACGAGACCCCCGACCTGGTCGCTTTCGCTGAGGAGCTCGAGCGTGCTTGCGTCGAGGTGGTCAACGAGGAGGGCATCATGACCAAGGACCTTGCTCTGGCCTGTGGCCGCAAGGAGCGTGAGGCCTGGGTTACTACCCGGGAGTACATGGCCGCCGTCGAGCGCAGACTGAAGTCTAACCTCAAGGCCCGCCTTTAAATGCTTTAGCGATTTTTTGAAGTCTATTACAATACCATTCTTAGCGCGCGACTAAACCGGCCGCACTCAGTCACAGAGTTGAAAAAGAGATGCACAGCTGTCTTTTGTACATTGGAATCCATGAGGACAGGGCGATCTATCAAGGATTTCCTCCCCTGGGAGTGAACAAGGATGAACCGCCACTCTCTAATTGGGGCTTCCTTTTGAGTTTTTGTATTGGGTTTGGTTTACTCTTGTTTCTGTGCTTGTCTTGATTATTCTTCATGTGCCATGAGATATCAATATATGTGTTTACTAGATAATGCAACAATGAGTTTTTGCTCACAAGCCAGGCGCAACCTCGAATTTCCCCACAAACCTGTACCATGGATACTCGCCTGGCGCCCGCATTCCTTGACGCAATTGACTCGGGTGCTGGACGTCATTCCCGGCGCCATTCAGCCACCACGCCAACTTTCAGGCGTTTTGGTTTTGCCTCCCTCGAGGGCTCCGGTGTCAATCGTGCCGAGCCAGGTCAAGGATATGGCGAATTTACCTTCAAACTTAGTTCGAAAATTAACACCCTTTCAAACCATGTGCGCAACCTCGAGCTCTAGTGATTTGAACCACATCGCACGATGTACGTACTGGGCATCGCGATAGCCTTCATTTCTCTGACAGTGGTGGTTGTTGCTCTGCGACTGTTCACTCGACTGTATTTCATTCGCACCCCAGGTTGGGACGATCTGCTGATTGTCTTGTCCTTGGTATGACCTGGAGCAATATATTTTCCGGGTTGATAGTACACTGACCGACTGACAGATTGCCGACATCCTCTTTTTTGCATTCCTAGTAATCGGTAGGCGCTGGTTTCCCCTGGAGGAACTGAGAGGAGAAAGATACTAATAGTATTCAACAGAGATCCATTATGGCCTGGGGAGGGAAGCGGCAACGCTGGAGCCAGAGAGAATTCGGTCCCAGACGAAGGTGCTTTTTGCCAGTTCACGCCATAGAACCGCCCCTTGATTGACTGAGTAACAATAGGCTCTTTATACTACCATCATATTGTACAACTCGTCGCTCAATCTGACCAAGATCTCCATGATCTTGCTATATAGACGCCTCTTCCCGACCCATCGCTACCAGATCATTCTTCTTATCGCGCTCGCCTGTGTCGTCGTCACCGGCCTCTGGATGGTCTTCAGCGCTGTCTTCTTCTGCATCCCCGTCCATGCATTCTGGGATCCCAGGGCCCCGCAGAACTGCCTGCCCAAGCCGGTGGTATGGTGCCTCAACGCCTCTATCCAAATTGCCAGCGATTTGATCATCGTTATCTTGCCGATGCCGGTCCTCGCCCAGTTACGGCTCCCAAAAAGACAGAAGGTCGCGCTGATCGTGGTATTTGCGCTGGGGCTTTTGTAAGCAAGAGACCTGTCCTGTCAGCTTTTCTAGGAAACTGAACTGCATCTAACGCGTTTATCTCTCCTTCATCAACAGTGCCTGCGCGACTAGCGTGGTTCGTCTCGGCGCAGTAATCCGACTGATCAATTCTAATGATCCTACCAGTAACGCCTACCCTTCTCTTCCTATCCTCTCACACATCCCCAATATCTTGCTTACTGTCGTCATTAAAACAGAATCCAACGCCCAGGCCGCCCTCTGGTCCTTCATCGAGAGCAACGTCGCCATAATCAGCGCCTGTCTGCCTCCCCTCCGTCCTTTCCTGGCCTACTTCTTCCCACGTCTACTCCCCCCTCGCATTCGTAGCTCTTATGAGCGCGAAAAGACCACCTGCCAAACCCTCGACTTCTCCAACCCTTTCAACTTCACCAACACCAGCTACTCTGCCAGTGTCACGGGGAACGTCTCAAGCCACCATAACAATATCATTGGGGACGGGGAATCCACGCATTGTCCTCCTGAGTGCGAGAGTATTCATGTAGTCAGCGAGTTACATTTGGAGACTGCCTCGGTTGACGCGGTTGAGGATTCTCATTCGTATCATCTGTCGCCGTTGTCAGTGTCGAATTCGGTGTCGGACTGGTAGAGAGAAATGTTGGGGGCTTTTCTTTATTGCATATAGACATGTACTTGATTGTTTCTGGTAAATCTTGGGGCTCCTCTCTGTTTCAATATGTATCTCCTCTCCGCTTTTGCTTACCGAGTAGAATCATGGCATGAGCCCGCGGTGCTGTTGTAGCATCTCCGCACGATGTTTCTGGATCTGGTCTTCATCATCCGACAGACTCCAAGCAGAAAGAAATTTACGCAATGATTCAGCCATATTGCAGCCGATGGGAACCACCCAAGTCAATACTTCACCTGTCCGGTTTCTACTTTTTTAGGCTGGACCATGACTGACATTGTTAGATCAACAACTTTGCAGATGCTGATAAGGGCGGGGTGTGGAGTCCAACATGGGGACGGAGGGTCACTCCATGCGCTATTGCCCGTTACTATTCGGTCGGATGCTGCGAACATTAGCTCGTCAGCGGTGTGGTGTTTGTATCCGTCAAGAAATGATAACAAAAGAGGGAACTATCTCCAGCCGACCATTCCGGGGGCGATAATAAGGGAAGGTACGAATGGTATCCACACTTGTCCTGAATGTAGCCGGTCGATCTTTCCCTATCGGTGAATAAAACAACACAGGAACTACCATATTATGGGAGAGGCAGTTACATCGAACTTTGCATATATCCACAAGGACGGTGGAAGATACAGAACTGTATGCTTCCATTGTCAAGGTGGCAGTGTGGTTTCACGTCACAGGCTGTCCTCCGGATGATGAAGTCTACACGAATGTGTGCCTTGCGGTGCGGCAGTTTAACATAAAGACCCATTGAAAGACTTGTTTCTAGAAGTTGCCCAGCGCGTAGAACTGGAGATATATATGAATTATACGGCTAAATCCTCATAACAGTTGTTTACAGCTTAGCTTGCTCATCGGGACGCAACTGCCTTAAAGGAGGGGCCCCTCTACTTCCATCTCTAGCCTTCGGTCCCTCCAGTATCCCATCTGGCAGCCTGAATCTCCACTTCTGACGAATATCGGGCGAGGCTTTGTTCTCATAGACGTCCGCGATGTAACGTCCCAGGATGGGCATGTATTTGAAAGAGCTGAGATGCATGTCAGCCATGTTACCTGAAGTTCGTTTGTTAAGAAGGCTTCCTTACTGTCCAGCACCGCCGGTCGCGAGAAATAGGCCGTCAATCTGCGGATGACGATCCACGATGAAGTCGCTCTCGAGAGTATCAGAGTACCAGCACATCCGCTTCGTGAACCATGGGCGGTTCGCAAATCGGGGCACGATCTGGCGCAGTCCATCACGAAGCCCGTCGGCGGCATCGTCTGGGAGGAAGCCCGAAGTGGCATTGTTCGAGTTTAATTTGGGCGAAGACACAGTTCGGTGGCCCCCTCCAACCGAGAAATTCGTCGCGAACCTAAATCCATGGCGGACCACTTTGAGTAGGTTCTTCCCAAACCGTCTTCGAGGGTACGGGGGGGTGGGAAGACGAACAGCCCCGTACTCCAGTTCTAAATAACGGGTATCCCTTGTAAAGAGCGGGCCTTTTCGTCAGTAAGCTCGACAAAGCCTACTAATTGACCTGACGCTATGATGGCGTGGCTCATTGGTAGGAGACGATTTGACCACGCCCCAGTCGACAGAATGACTTGAGCAGCAAGAATTGGGCTTCCTTGAGCAACGTTCACGCCGACTACCTTTCCGTTATAAATCCGCAGGGACGTGACTCTTCCGCGGGGGCCCGTGATAAAGCTGACACCAGCCTGGCTGCACACCTGTGCCAGTTGCCCAAAGGCTGCTCCAGCGTCCGCCCACCCGTCTTCGAGATTAATGTATGCGAGAAGCCCATTCAAATTGGCTGGGAAATTCTGATACATGGCCTTTAGCCCGGCAGAATCAATCAGGTGAGCTTTAGTGTCGCCAAACTTATCGTTCATCTCCTATGTCTTGTTGAAATAAGACATGTTATCGTTCTTGTCCGCCAGCATGGCAAAGCCAGCTGGATAGAGATGGCTCTTGTACGTGGTATTCCACTCGGCGAGTGCCTGGCGGGCCATTTTGGCATAAAGCTCGTCGCCTTACTCCACGCAAATGATCCTGGTAAGATCGACACTGCTTCCATCGAGAACGGGAGCCTGGTATCGATCCAACACTGTGATGTTCGAAAACCCACGCCGGGGTAGCTCTAGGGCAGTTGACAGACCAAAAATCCCAGCCCCGACGATGACGACAGGTTCGTTCTTGCGGTAGTTCGAAGGAGAAGACATGATGTGCGCCGAGAACTCGAACAGGAGTATCGGAGTAGGAAGACAATGCGACCGATATCAAGTGGAAGGGAGCATTCTGAGCTTAAGCATTTTATCTTTATATCTACCTACCTACAGTACTGAGAGATGTAGAAGTATACAAGATTGGCCAATCGGTGCCATGGCCGCGGTCGATGGGCACGGAGGAGCGCCGCGTGATCTCCGGGACCTCTGACAAAGGCAAACTTGTGATTGGCGCGATTAGGAATTCTCGGCATGGGTCCGTCCCCACAGCTTTTATGGCCTGAGGCAGCTATCAGCGGAGAAGCTCACGTTAAGCTGCGTTTCCCGACATCATTTTCGGAGAAGTCATCAGAACCGGAGAACACATCGTTTAGGGAGACGACTTCAGAACTGAAATCAAGGGGACTGGCACCTGTCTCTCATGACATATGCAGTAATGAGCCAGCCTAGATTACTACGAGCTGCAGCGAGGGGCTTAATCCGTTACCCGGCAGTGTCGCCGATTAGAATCTCCTCTTCACGATCAGGTTTGGCACTTCACAATGCCGTCGCCATCAAAGCAATCGGTCATGGTCCGCAGCCTCGGCTCATGAGCGCATCGGCAGCTTCATCTGGCAATGAGGTCGAGAAGGAAGACAAAGAATCGGGCTTGTACTCCGAAGCGCATCATGAACACGCCGTAATCTCGACTTTCGACTTGTTCTCTATCGGCATCGGCCCTTCGTCCTCCCATACCGTGGGACCCATGCGTGCCGGTAATATCTTCATTTCAGATCTTCTGAAAGCCGATATATTACAACGAGTTAGCAAGATAAAGGTGTCAATTTACGGCAGCCTGGCTCTTACCGGGGAAGGCCACATGACGCCATCGGCCTTGCTACTGGGACTTGAGAGCGCTGACGTCGAGACGGTCGACACAGCCTATGTGCCTGCGCGCTTCGAGCGCATCAAGGCCGAGAAGAAGCTCCATCTAGGTCACGGGCTGCCAGGCACAGATCAAGGCAAGGAGATTGCTTTCGATTACAATGTCGACTTCAAATGGGAATGGGCGAAGAAGCTACCAATGCACAGTAACGGCATGCGGCTTATGGTGTTTGATGAAAGCGGTGACATGCTTGCCTATAACGACCTGTTCAGCGTCGGCGGCGGCTTCGTGGTGAACGGCGCCTTGTCAACGGCAACCACTGCGGCCAAGCAACCGGATCAGGGGAAGCTCCAGCCGAGCACCGTAGGCCTTCAGACGGAGGCCCAGGGAGCGCATCCAGCTGATTTGACCGAGAATGTGTTCTACAAGGAGATCCATCGCGAGGAAGCAGTTGGTGATCGCAGAAGCGGCCCGGAGGTCAACGATGCAGGCGCCATCCCTCAAAGCTCAACTGGGCTGGCTGAGATCAAGCAGAAAAACGAAGCGGTTGCTAAAACTGGAGACGAAAATGGCGAAGAACGTGCATCCGCAGCGGCGAAGCCGACTTATCCTTTCCATAACGGTCGCAGTTTACTGAATCTATGCAAACATCACAACTTGACGATTGCGCAGCTGGTGTACGAGAACGAGAAAAGCCTTGGGTATACGGATGAGGAGATCATGACGAAGCTGCTCCGCATCTGGGATGTCATGGACAATAGCATCCTCGAGGCTGTAATGGCCCCACCGGGCTCTACCCTGCCCGGGTCGCTTAAGTTGCACCGACGAGCACCGGCGCTGTATCGTCGACTAGCCCGTGGCCTCTATGCGTCTCATACCCAGCCTGTCAAAGATGTGGAGACACAGCAGATACAGGCACGGGAGCGAAAGCAGGGACAAATCTCCTCTTCAACCGAGGGCAGCTCGGAGGCCCTTGAACCAACCTTGACTTCTACCTCAGCCGCGACATCATTTGGTCAGCGACCCAAAGGCAAACGAGGTCTACCGCACGTTCACGGCTCATTCTACCACCCGATAATGCCTTCCCCTCAGCGTCGCGTCGCTCTCCCTGCCATGGATTACCTTAACGTCTACGCGATGGCCGTCAACGAGACCAACGCGGCAGGTGGCCGCATCGTTACAGCCCCAACCAATGGCGCAGCAGGAATTATACCCGCAGTACTCAAGTATATCGTCGAGTTCATTAGCGACGATCCGGATCATGACGTCCCCGTCTTTCTGCTTACTGCAGCAGCTATCGGCATGCTGTACAAACGTGGTGCCACCATCTCCGCCGCTGAGGGTGGCTGCATGGCAGAGGTCGGCGTGGCTTGCTCCATGGCTGCAGGAGCCTTTGCTGCTTGCATGGGCGCGAGTCCCGAAGTCATAGAGCAAGCGGCGGAGATTGGGATCGAGCATAATCTGGGGCTCACCTGCGACCCGATTGGTGGGCTTGTACAGGCCCCGTGTATAGAGCGTAACGCCCTGGGTGCAATCAAAGCGGTATCGAGCGCAAACCTGGCTTTGAGTGGAGATGTTGGCACGCAGAAAGTCAGCCTGGACAACGCCATACGTGCGATGCGGCTGACGGCTCGAGGTATGAGGAACGAGTTCAAAGAGACGTCGCTAAGCGGGCTTGCAACCAGTGTACCGCTAAACATCCCCGTCAGTGTGCCTGACTGTTGAGGTTGCTCAAACAGTTTTAGTAATTAGATAGTACTGTTGTTTCCTTACCCATGGAGCCTCTTGCTTGGCGTCCCTTATCTTCTGGTAAAAAATAATTCGACATACAACTGAGCGTTCTTCAGTTTTTCAGGGTTTCTTAAGCTGCTTCATCAATGTTCTTTTGCTAGATAATTGCGAGTCTGGTATAGAATGGATAGGGCTTGGAATAGTGTAAGGGATTTGTTAGGGTTCCGTGGGTCGCAGCCTACACCGTTAGGAGGCATGCCGAACATTGGTGCTGGACCGCGTCACTGACGGGAAGATAAGGCTGTCAGCTTTGCAATCTCTCTGTCTTCTAAGTATGACTTGTTTTGCGGGTAGGTTTCACTTGGAGTCTTCTGTATTCGGCGAGAACTGATGTGAAACATATAGATGGCAATGTGATGCAAGCAGGGCTTGATCTTGGCATGGCTCATTATTTTGCCAGTAGTCTCCCACCAGGCTCAATTCTAGGGGACCCCTTGGAATGCTCCCTGTGTATTCGAGGTATATCCTTACTGCAGCGCCTCCAATGAACCATCCCTGATGCAGCAAAGAACAGTCATGCGGGAAGTTGGTTCAAAGATGCCTATCAGCTACCCGGGTCACTCAGTTACCAATCTACCAGATCCCCCTTGCTCCGAGAACCCAGCTTTGGAGACATTGACTCAGGCATTCTGCCCTACATGTTCCAGGCTTCCGAGGTCTGGCACATGGCTTGAGCCTACGCGTCCTCCCAAGGCGCATCCGACAACCCTCCTCCATGGGACCCTCGATCCGACTATTCATTTGTGATGCTGCGCAATCTCGAGCTTGACTGTCGCTTCCAACTCAAGTTTCGTTTCGCAACGAGTAACTTCGGCAGCTTATCGCCCGAGGCATTGCAACAGCGAAGAGATTACTGGGGTTCATGGCTGTTCATCTAGTTCATTCATCATGCAATTCCAACCCTGTTGAACCACCCTTTCCTATTATCGATGCGTCTGAAGAGTTTCCGGCACATGATGCCACAGACTTTCATGCATCAATGCTTTGACCAGATATCACGGCATACTGCCTGGACTATCTGTTTCCTGGACCTCGTCGAGAAGCAGCATTTTCAAGTATCAGACCCATTGATTGCGCACTGTGTGGCTATAGTAGCTTCTATCCATTTACAGCATAGCTTTGTTAAAGACGATACACTTCGTACGAAAGCGCGGAATGGGTTTGATACATGCATGCGATTTTTGGATCGCATGGGGTCAATCTGGCCCTCTGATTCCTCGATGGTATGTTCCGTACTCATGATATCACAACCGTGTAGCTGATTTCTGTTCATGTAGGCCCGGAATCTCCGAAAGCTGCAGGAAAGCATCACAACCGTCCCTGCTCCTGGCTCTCAAGCCAATCGGCGGGACGGACCCAACGAGTCCTGGTCGATCGATGCGCAACTCCTCTGGGACGTACTAGTCTACGAAAAAGCCGGAAGACACAATGCGTCCGCCGACGAAACCATGTTCGACAAAATCATTGACCTAGAATTTGTGCGTCACGATTATGTTGCTGAACTTGCCATGGTCGGGTCCGCCGGTATATCCGGTCATAAATCAGCCTGGAAAGAGATATCTGCGTATGCACCCGAGGACAGCGCGCCTCACCCTCCTCCGTCTTCTTCAAGCAACCCATCATTCCCACCGGTTCATTCAGTGGCTGATGGATCGAATGTTCCTGATGAACGGCTATTCGAAGGCTTAGGGAATCTGGACATGATAAGTCAAGGAGACTATTTATTTCAAGCTGAGGACTTTGGAAGGGCTATCAATTGTTGGTTTAACTTTAATATGACGGATCATTCCTAGTTGAAGCACTGTCTCAAGGACTAGTTATAACGACTAGAAAGCACAACCTTTGGTTTTCCCATACCAGAGGAAATGTGGATTCATGGACATAAGAAAGGAACTTTTAGTAGAAGAATAAAAAACAGTCAGTTTTCAAAGTTAGTCGCACTTAAGTGGATCGAATCGCACTCTCTTAGTCCCCCGCCGCGAGCTCGAAACTGTGTGGACGATGATCGACCTCTTGGGAGCCACGTTCCTTGCGGCCGAGCCCTCATCCGACTGCACAGGCTTAGAAGGCTCACTTGCACCTTCGAGATAAGGCGAATCGCGAGGGAAAGTTCCATATCCAAGTTCAAGGTCATCAAATGATGCATCTCGTGCATCCTGTCTTAATCTGTTCAATCCTTCCAACAAAGGTGTCAGTATTGCCTCTTCGATATCTGATTCAACTTCGGCCTCTGATGATGAAGTACTGGGAAGACGTCTTCTTCCATGCCGTTCTTCGTTTCCTTGCCCCTCATCGGTATGATCTCGATCCTGATTCTGATCCTGGTTTTGATTCTGATTCTGGTCTTGATTCTGATCCTGGTCTTGATTCTGCTCCTGATCCTGAGCTGTCGACCCGAGCCGGAAAGGCCATCGCAAACGAGGAAAGCTGACAAGGCACATACCTACGAAGGGGCTGTACAGGTTCGCGTGGAATGGTGGCCGCTTCGAAATCGTCGACAAGAGAGGCACCTTGGTGATCTGCGAGGGAGCCGGGCCCAGGGCCGAACCCGACATGCTGATGGCATCTCCGTAAGTGAGAGCGGGGAGGGGCATCGAGATGCCGAGGTCACTCTGTTCTGAAACGCTGCGATGGTGTCCGTCGACTTGTGCGAAACAGTTGTGGCAAACGAGGTCGTACTCGCCTTCCCGAGGGAAGCTGGTCAGACTGGCTGCGTACATGTAGGAATACATAGAGATGTCTTCCGGGTCCCAGTTGGCAAAGGATACCCATTTAGGGAGTTCGTCGACAGGTATCAGAGGAGTAAGAGAGCCATCCGGGCGGATAATGTAGAACTTGGGGAAAGGCTGGGTCATGGAGTCTTGCAAATGGAAAGCTAGTGATGCCGTAGCGGCAATACAATGAGATAGTTAATGGACGGACGCACTGGCGGGAACGAGTGACTGGGGTAAGACCTGAAAACGAGAGATAGAGTAGCAGAGAGTAGCAGAAGTAAGTTGAATGGAAATAGTGAGTCAATTGAAGAGCGACAGCCGCTCGAGGTGTAAGGAAAAAAGTAAACATGGCGCATTCGGAAACTACTATACTATCTCCCATTTCAGGAAGGCATGCCTTTAGGGCTTTGGAGTCACGTTACTATCACGGTTGAATAGGTGTGTATGGATTATGGAACGAGGCGGCCGCTGCATACTGCCGCCAGGGGATCTGGCGGGTTATCATGACGGAACGAACGGCTAAGTAGTCTACTACCGCGTTATAGAAATACAAGGTACAATGACAGCACTTTTAAAAACATCTAGGGACAATTACCGGCCGCGATCAAGGTTAGGACAGGACCCAGATGCCTGCAACAGGGGGCGGTGTTGTATCCCGATATTGTCAAGTCAGAGGGATTGGAACCGGACTTAGAGTCAGACTGGGAGCATAAGGGAACTTGAGGAGGTGAGCGGACGCCGTTGAAGGGCTAAGCGACTACTGGCAATAGACAAGGATAGTGATGGACGCCTGGGCCGCACCATATACCCCATCCGATGTAGATGCGTGGTAGCTAGGCCTCCGAAACAACTAAAAAGGATGGAGCGGCTTGACAAGGGTTCGATTTCATGTACACGGCGCCTGGCGGCAATCGGTACCTCCCCCGCGATAGTCCTTACATATTACATTATAGATTAGGACCCTATCGAAATCAAAAACAATTTTCGCTGTATAAAGGATAGGTGTGTGTCTATGTACATGAGACGGGACAGGACTGTTCATCAGCCAGATAGTGGTGTGTACGTGCCATTCCGACAATCAAATCCCAGGTCGGGGTTCAGTTCAGCTGTGGCATCGATGCAAATCACGGTGGGCGCGTCGTGACTCTGAGGATGGAGATTAATGTTCTCGGTCACAAAGTTCTTGCATGATTTGTCGGTATTGCACTCGATAATGATTGCTTCCGTGTGATTCAGATTGGAAAGGCCGGCATCATACCAGCAAGGAGTCGTGGCGCACGACCCATCACCCGGCTGGAACGTGTTGATTGATCCGCCGAAGTTGGCCCAAGTAAAGTCCTCCATCATCACCGAGGAGTCGGTATCCACATCATCTCGCGTGACGCTTTGATCCAAATAGCTCTGGGTAACGAAGATTGGGAAGGTGACATTGGACACCCGGATGTTCTTCCAGGTCACATTCTTGACCAGTCCCTGTCCGCCAGCCCAGGACTTAAAGCGGGCGGCATAGAGTCCGCCGTTCACGGTGACATCTTCAAACCTCAGGTTGGTGATATTGGTAATATCTGAGGGATCTTTTCCTAGAGATCCGATGCTCATGCCATGTGTCTGATATCCGATTGTGTTACGTTCGAACACGATGTCATGGGATTCGGATCCCACCGCAATGGCATCATCTCCATTGTACATGATGCTATCAGAGATGCGAATGTTGGTCCCCTTCACGTCGAAACCATCCGTGTTGAAAGGGAAACTGCTCGTAGAGGATCGTGCGTCGACAATGGCATGAGTGACCGTGATGTCCTCGCCATGAAGCTTCGCATTCCAAGCAATGGGCTTGCGGGACCGGAAATACTTGAGCGTCGCCTGGCTCGACTTAAAGCTCATAAGATGCGGACGGCCGTCGATTCCTGTGCCATTAGCAGGATTGGCGTCCCACCAGGCCTGGCCGTACGAGTTGATCCATCCGTCATCCTCGTCTTCGGGACCAATCCAGTCCACGCGCGGCCCCTCCAACGTGATCCACGTTGATTTACCCCCGCTGACAATTTCTTTCACGGCGGTGATGTTCTGCGGAAGATGTAGGTTTCCGTGCATCCGGATTTCCACGTTGTTCAGATTGGTGGCCTGGATGGGACGGAAGATGTTATAATTGACACCCTTTTCAAAAACAATGACCGAATCGGTCGCACAGCGTGCAAAGGCCTGGGAAATTGCTGGCGAGTCATCTGTGGTGCCGTTGGTCGACCGAACGACACATTGATTGCTTCGAGATTGCGTAGACGTAGATCCGGTTGGGATTCCTAGTGCCGGGGGCACGGCGGAGAGAAGCGCCAGTAAAGCTGCCGAGGGGACTAACATTGCGAATTCAAGGGAGTTGGACGAAAGTGTGTGCTGGCCTGAAATCCAACAAGTTTCTCTCTTTCAAGAACTTAGTGCATACTTATAGCTCCGGATTACCTAGGCATGTGGCTTTGAACGGACTCGGAGACTGTTCCCCAGGTCAGAAAGCTTTTTTGGACAAGCTGAATGGTAAAGAGCTTGATTGATCGATCCACCAGACGGAGAAACTCCCTGCTGGTCGTCATCTCATAGTTTTGCACGTATCCACATGATTGGTGGAGAAACCCACGCCCCGGACATGGGGACAATCTGGAGGATTGTCGGAAAAAGTCCTCCGGTAGTCCTGTACAAAAGTACATCGCAAGTGGATTAAGATGTCGTCATAATATCCAGGATCTTCTGTTTAGAGAATGCAGGGTTGCTGTGCAAGGGGTTGACTGGGCTTTGCTGGTATGTTCCGAACCCTAGTCGTTGCTCATGCGCCGGCGGTTCCATCAAATGCAACAATAAAGATACTAGATCTGGATGCGGATCTGTCCAATATGCATTCAGTTGGAATAATGTAGACATTAGAATTCATGGTTCTAACCTAAAGAAGACGGGATCATTAGCATATATACCTAAGCGAATGCTGGGGCGAGTGACTTGCCAGCGACATGCTGTTTTCACCTTCTTTTCCCTGCGTTTTTTTTAGCAACATAATTACCGGAATCAGACTTTACCTTCGGGAGGAGGTGTATCATCGCCAATTTAGGAGCGCACTGCATCTTGTCATTGACTGTCTTCAGACCACAAGTGACCCTAATGCAGAATATTGCCTTTCTGCGGCTTCGCCGTAGGGAAGAAACTCCGTGGAAGGAGAACATAAGCGGCACAGCGTTCGTTATCCCTAATCCATCATCTACATGGAAAGTGACCGATCAGCTCCCAAGAATGGGGACTTCCTGGACCACTTGATACTCCCAGCGAACGGCTACTTATTGAAGTTACTGTCCAAGCTCCCGGAACAGTCTCTCAAGGGACTGATCTGGGGATTCCCATCGCAATTGCAACACTACGGAGACGCGTCTGAATTATGCGCTCGGAGGGTCGATACGTACAAACCGACCTTGTCTCTAGTCGTCTGCGAAGTTTTCGGCCAATGGCGGCCCTTTGCCTGGCGAACATCGCACTGATGGGAGCGAGGCCCCATTTGCTAGTCTGCAATAACGATAGACAAAGACACTCAGAGACACATCCCCATTGTCAAAATGGCGAAGTCAGTCGCTTGTTAATAGAACAATCAACTGTCCAATAATGACAGACAGTGAGAAAAAGACTTGAGATGCGCGTGATGCCGATGATATGGGGCGACGTGCCACCGCCAGGCGACAGGCGACAAGTTGCCATAGTGCGGAGCAAAGTCATCATGTTGATGACCAGGATTGGTCCCTATTCCATGCATAACAAGCTTATGAAGATGAATGCCTTCGATATTTAAGAGTGACAGCCAGTGATGTATTATAAGACTGAACGAAGGCGTGAATCTTACAGAACCGTGCATATGTTGTAGGTTCAAGAATCCAGATACTCGTGAAAGCATGTCAGCAATCGAGTTAATTTAGATTGAATATGACCTGCGAGTCGTGAGTTCCATGTTGAGAACAACTTATCGAAAGCTAGTTAACTAACTGACTAGTTAACTAGTTACGGTAGTGGCCGAAGATTATCAAGCATGTTGTGTATCAGACGATGGAGATTTCGGACGAAGGCATTCGGCCACGCCGAGTTAGCTAGTATTGGACAGCTTTTAGCTTCGGAGTTTAGGTAAAGGAATAGAGCGAGAACTGTTGATTTCGACGAAAGAAGAAGCGAAAAGAAGGAAAGGTGCGACGCCAACCAATTACACGATTGGCCCCAATCGGTTGGCGCTATTTGCTGATCACAAATTATTAATTCAACACTCGATGATTAATCGTATATTCAGATCGAGGAAAACGTATGGAATCGCAATAGGAGAGAAAGTTATAAATAATGCTTCGATTTCCGGTCTGATCGGTGATTAGATCATTCACTGTCCAGTGTATTCTATTATTCCATGCTACACAGCAATCAACTTCTCATCTATTTTCTCTTCATTCATCTCAAGACCCCAAAAACCCAACAATATGAAAGAAGCTCTCGTGGATCTGGAAAGCGCTGCTTACCCCCGGGTGTCTATCGTGGACTCACCGATTCCCACCCCAGCCGCAGATCAAGTAGTGATCAAAGTGGTCGCTGCTAGCCTTAATCCCAAGGACTACAAGCATAAAAGCCACGGCATTATTAACCAAGGTGACGACATCGCTGGTATAGTTCATCTGACGGGCGAAAATGTCACCGAGTTCAAGGCCGGCGACCGCGTGGCGGCTTTCCATCAGATGGGCACTCCTCATGGCGGCTTCGCTGAATATGCGGTGACTTGGGCACGCACGACTTTTCATATACCGGAGAAAACCTCCTTTGAAGGTACGTGTCCGATCTTTCTTTTTCGCTGTTCCCTGATGGCAGTGTCATGCTAATTACAACCAGAGGCATCAACTATTCCGCTTGCTGGATTGACTGCCGCCCTGGGGCTTTATCAAAGCCTCCGATTGACGCCTCCCTGGCTCCCGGAGACAGAGCCCCATCCTTTGGTCGTATACGGGGGCGGCTCCGCCGTCGGGGCCTTCGTGATCAAACTGGCGAAGCTGTCCAACCTCCACCCGTTGATCGTGGTTGCCGGCAAAAGTGGCTCGCAGATAGAAACCCTTCTGGATCGTTCCAAGGGCGACGTTGTCATCGATTATCGCGAAGGCGACGCGGCCGTGGTGAGAAAGCTGCGCGCGGCGCTGAATGGAAGACCGCTCCTTCACGCATTCGACGCTATCACCGAGTTCAACAGTTATCAGAACATTGCGCAGGTCATCGACCCCCAGGCCGGGCGCGTTACCACCATTCAGCCCGTTCGAGAAGACCGAGACAAATTTCCAGCGGCTGTCGACGTTTCGTTCACTTTTGTGGGCCGAGTGCATGGCCCTGTCCCGGAGAAGAAGGAAGGAAGGGTAGTTCTGAGAGAGCGAGAATTTGGCGCCGTCTTTTCCAACTTCTTTGGCCAGGGCTTGAGAGATGGGTTCTTGTCTGGACATCCTTGGGTGACCGTACCCAGGGGTCTAGAGGGATTGGAGAAGGCATTGGGAGAATTGAAGGATTGGAAGTCGAGCTACTCCAAGTATGTGGTGCGCATTGCGGACACGCCTGGCGTTCAGGGGTGAGAGATCGTTCAGATTGTGTATTAGTAAGACTAGTTATTTTTTGAGAGAATAGAATGCAGAGGGCCAGGCTCTGTTCCTCGGCCATTAACTGAAGAAGCATCTGTCCCCTTTGCTAATAGGCAGTTGAGCAAAGGAGAAAAAAGAAATGGATTGATCCGGTTACACACGACGAGGCCGCTGTCCGATGAGGTCATCAGGGCGGTTAGTCAGGTACCTTCGTACCCACTCGCTTTCGGCGCTTGAGCTTCGCTTTGTTTCTGTCGATCCCCTGCAGCCCTTCCTTCGTTTATCCATTCCATCCATTGAAAGCTTGTGCCTTATAATCTCAACAACATAATTTGGCAGGCATCTACAATGGCCACGTTTCCGTCTCCATCCTCCGAGGCGACCCTGGCGGCCAAAGCGACGCCCAACATTGGTGCCTCGGACGCGGTCCTGCACGTCAATAGCGCCTCGCTCATCGATGCCTCATCCCAGGATGTCTGGAACACGTTGATCGACACGTCCACCTGGCCATCATGGAATACCTTCGTGCCGCAAGTTACCATCCGTGAGCAGCCCGGGACCGACGCACAGCCTGCCTCTTCCGAAGCTCTTTCTCCGATCCTCCAACTTGGAACGAAAATGACATTTCATGTTCAGATGGACCCGTCGTCTCCCAAGCCGCAGAACGCACAAGGGGTGGCGCTAGCGGTCATCGAATTTGACCCACCTGATGCAGCGACGCAAAAGCCCGGTCGGATTGTCTGGGCCAACGACGTGACAGCCAAGGGCGGCATTCCGTCTTTTCTCTTGACTGCGGAGAGGGTGCACGAGGTGCAAGAGGTGGTCATTGACGAAGAGGGAGGACCGACCCGACGAGTCACCGAAGTGCGGAACTGGGAGGCGCAAGTGGGATATTTGGTCTACGTGGTTCGGTGGATGTATGGCGCGCAACTGAAGAAGAACTTCGAGACGTGGGTGCGGGATTTAAAACAGTACGTCGAGCGACAGAGATCGGAGAATTAATGGGATTCCCTATCGCTAGACGGTTGATGATAACTGGGGGGTGGCTACCACGCTAATACGCGGGGACTCGTTCGACTACTTTCCGGGCACATAACAGTTTAACAGTTTAACAGTTTAATTACCATTGAATTTGAGGAAGCTGCGGGGTGGCAGTTAGTCGAGTGTAGGATGACAGGCACGACGAATCATGGCAGTTCCGTACCAGCCTCATTCTCGAAATGCTACACCTGACTCGCATCATGACTTGTGTGGATCTCAGCAGTTTCCCGCTAATTATGCAGGATGAATCACCCCGGTCGACAGCTCTTCCCTCAAACCGGTTGAGGCGGGATTCAATCGGACACTAGGCATGGTGTACATACAGTCATACAGTCATACTCGGTCTAGTGAATAATGAGGATGAGGCGATTCCTGTCTGCCTGTGGACAGTCAACAGTCATGGGATGCTGGCTATTAGTATTTAGTAAACATTTAACATTTGTTAGTAAATTGTTAATTTCGTTGACAGACGAGAGACCCACGTGGGGGTGGGGATTGGACCACAAGCAGTGTTACCGTTTCATACGCCACTATCGGCCGAACAATCGAATTGTCTACAGGATAATATTACTATTGAACCCTAGGAAAAAAGTGGACGCGTGGACAGCGACGAGGGTGTATCGGGCCTCACCTTGATTGGCACAGGTCGGAGGTAAGTCGACATGTCCTGACATGCATGGATGTACATACATTATAGTGATCCTTCCAGTTGGAGACTGCGATAAGATCGAGTCGTCCGCTACGTCATTCGCGTTGAGAATCCTCCTACAGTAACCGCCGGATTACTGCATTCGGGCCGCCGACCAGGCTTAGTGTCCGTGCCGCGAACTGCAGAATGAAGATAACCCTTTTTACTATTAATACTATTATCGGGATGATAATCAGAATGATAATCTCTCATCCGGACTTGACGCCGAGATCCATTCTCGGAGCGGCCAAGTGTGGGGGATGTCACGGTAATATTCTCTGAAGCTGCATTGGGCAAGGTAGTAGCCAGCTTGTCTGGTTCCATCCATGGTTGCTCCTCGTCCTTAAGCTATTCCGTCGATCGTCCATTTGCCCTCTTTTTTTTCTCTTTTCTTTTCTTTTTCCCTTTTTTTTTTCTTCTTCGCCCTACGCGCGCTTTCGTTTGAATTTATTTCAAAAGCCGCGCTGGTCTTCTATTATCTTTTTCTTCCCCTGTTCCCCTCTTTCTCTCTTTTCTCGGTCTTGATTCCCACCATGTATGTTCCGCAGGCCTCACTATTCGGTCATTCCTCTTCCCAAACCATGTATCGCCTTCCCATACTTCGGAGTCATCATTAGCAATCCTCGACGTCAAACCTACGCAGTCTTGCCACCAGCTTGAACGTTATATCTGACTCACCTACTGGAAGAGTCATCCTCTCCTCTGCAAACACCATCTTCCCAGTCCTATCCTACTGCCAGCCTTTTTCCGCGCCTCTTTCGTGACCAAATTACTTGCCCCGAGAGTGCCTCATATACACTCCCTATATCATATTTTAGCTTTTATTCCCTTTACGGAAGCTATTCTGAGTCACACTGGTCATACTTTGCATCTCGGCCAGAGGTGCTTTACCATCTCACAGAGCAATCTATATTCATCATCCGACCGGCCCTCTTTGAAGTCACCATGCCTTCTCGACTTTCTATCTGCACGGCAAATAATGAAAACCACACGGCTCAAGTCTCGCCCGATAAAGTGCTTTCAGGTCTGACTCCACCGGTGACTCCAACTGCCGGAAATGGCAAACCGGGTGGCAAGAACGACTCGTCCACTCTGCTATCGCCGGTCGATACAAAATCGCAAGTAGTCGATGTAGACATTCGCTCCGTCTCAGAGCCCCTCAAGTATGCCGACGACCTGGAGTATCATTATGACCCCAAGGGTCGTCCGGTCGAATTCGGCAGCGGGGTTTGGAGTATCGTCTACGAGGCGTCATCTCGACCGCGTCCAAGCTCTTCTCTCATCACTCCGCCTAGCTCGCCAAGGGCAGGGGGTCACTTGGTGGCTGTCAAGTCACCTGCTCGTCGAGATGCCCATCAGGTCCTCGATGCCGAGGCTCTCACTTTGACTCGACTCAGTATGATGCCCGGATCCGAGGCTCACGTCGTCCCCTTTCTCGGGTATATCGCCAAATCCCATTCCATCGTCATGTCCGCCGTGCCTCTCTCGTTCTCGTCTTATATAGAGGAAAAGGCAGCAGCGGCCAAAAAGAATCTTTCCACCAAAACCATGTTTGAGCCCATCCAGGGCTTGACCCAGTGGCATGACCTAGCTGAACGACTTATAGCCGGTCTTCACTGGCTGCACACGGAGCCCCAGATCATCCACGGCGACATCAAACCGCATAACATCCTGCTCCAACCGCAGTCCGACGACTTAGATTCCACATCCGACAAATTCCCATTCGATCCGCTCTTCGCGGACTTTTCCTCGGCCCACAACATCGCCGGCCCATCCTTGTCTGCCGAAAAACATACCGGCACATCTCTGACCGCATTAACGCCGCCGTTTGCGGCCCCCGAGCTGTTATCTGTGTCATCTCTGGCCTCCCCGGACTCGGCCCCCACCGCAGCATCAGACGTGTTCTCCCTCGCCGTCACTCTTCTCGCCGCCGCAACGGGCAACCTGCTACTATATCCGGGTACCAGCAACATGCAGCGCCTTGCCATGGCCCGCGAAGGCCACCAAGTCATCGAATTTGCGCGATCCGGTCCCAACGGCGCCCGAATCCCTCGCAAGGGCATCGTCGAACAGATCATCAAACCGGCCATTACCAAAGATCCGGCCCAGCGAATCAGCCCCGGTGAATGGTTGAAACTAGTGCAGTCTTTGCATTGAGCAGTCGGTTGTTATTTCAACATACCCTACGGTATCCCATTTCAACAACACATCATCTTATCGTCTTCTTTACTATGCATGGATTTTTATTGGGTTATATGTGGGAGTTTTATGGGGTGTTCATGTTCAGATCTACTGTTTTTTTCTTTTCCTTTTTCTCTTTCTCCTTTTTCCCAATTTCTCATATACTTTGAAGATACCCTAAGACCTTTTTCTTTTCTTTGTTAACTTGTTCTGTTATGTGATGGGGCAATCAAAGGTCAAACCCATCTATTCTACCAATGTCATATAAATAGAGTCGACTTGTTTTCGCAGCTGGATTGTATCTCAAGAGCATCTACGCTATCATGTATTTTCTGCGAAACAAGATCTTGGCTAGAGAAATCATCCGTCAAATTAATTCCCGCTTAGCATAAAATGCGAGCGGTTTAAACCAAACAAAGAAACCTGAACACATTCCTCGGTATATTTTATCATATTGGTACATTCTATTCTATAGTATTCGGTCGTATCGCTGTTTAGCTCTATAAGTAATTATCGTACAAGGTCCGGCGGACGGAGGGATTCATAATTATACACTGTAGTGGGGGTGGTGCAGGTAGGTCAGGAATGTGGGCAGGAGATGAGATGATGATGGTGAAGAAAGGAAAAAACGTAAGGTGATTTGTTCACACTCGATCAGTAAGGTAATCGCCTGTCCGGAACGAAGTCAGCGTACCGCCTAGGAGGCGATTCAGGTGCATGGCGGAATGTTGCTGGTCTGATTTCTGATACTCGAAGCAAATATCCAGCATGGTTTTGGTCGATAAGGAGCGAAGCCGTACGTCGCTAAGGTCGTAGTCGAGGTTTTCCTGGTAACAGTCGGCCGGGTCAAGGGGCTTGCCTCCTGCATCTTTGGTGTCACCGTGGATCGTCTTGGGGAGGGAGTCGAAGTCGGGCTTGAGGGTTTTCGCCGCGAACGTGGCCAGACTGGGGACAGCCTGGACGAGGCTGTTGATAGATCGGTTCGGGAGCACGATCTGGAACATCTCGGTGACCGAGAGGAGCGGGCGAACGCTGAGGGTGAAGGTGAGCGCTTCGAAGAGGCGCAGCGCCTCGTCTCTCTGCGCCGGTTCGAGTTGGTTGAGCTTACGCATCGCCGGGGGGTTGAGGTCGGGCTCGAAGTAGATCATAGTGCGTTCGTGCTCGCGTGGGTAGAGTTCCTCGGGTCGGATGGCGAGCGGTTCGAAGGGGCGACGGTCCCAAAGGAGACTTGCGTCGTCGAAATTGCCGGTGGGGAGAGCCGCTCGTCTGTCATCCACAGCGACGGGCGCCAGCTTGATGATTGCCCAGTGAACGTCCGCGTGCTGTTGGGCAATGGCTGACTTGACGGCCTCGATCTCATTTACCAACGGACGTAGGGTCGTGGAATCGGCTTGGGGATCGGCGGCCGCTCGCGAGAGCGACCTCGTCAGTTCCTCAAGTTTCGCGTGACGCTGGATGAGCTCTTCGCGAATAAAGGCATGTCGGTTATCCTGGTTCAGGAGAGTGATGCAGCGCCCGTGTTTCACGCTTTTCTTCGGCGGCTTGCCGTTCTTGGTAAGTGGTTTCTTGGCCAGCAGTTCTTGTTCCGCATTGATGGTTTCCATCATGCGAGTATGAAACGAGGTTTTGAGACGCGGCACGTAAGGACATGGTATTGAGCCCGGGTCCGGGCACTCTGGTGCCAGTTCGTAAGGGGGCCATTCTCGGTCTTTCGGGGTCACTATGCCCTGCTCTGCAGCCCTCTGAGCCACCCGCGCAGCACTCTGACTGACAAGGTCCCATCCCTTGTACGTTATCCAAGATCCAGGGTCCTGGGCTGCTGCGACCTCGAAGGCATGCAAGGTAATGCATTCTGTCAAGAGCGCTGGTCGTTTTATTTCATGGGTGGTTCGGGGGAGAATGGTCTGCGCATCGGCCGGCGGAAGGACGGCGATTAACCTCACACTCCCGTACAAATTTATTTCAGTGTTTCGTATACAAGAACTCATGAATGATGCCAACCAGCGTGCTGGGGTAAAGTGGTCCTTCTTCGAGCTTGGAGGAGGAGGATGGGCGAGGACGAGTAAGGTGTCATTCTTCGTCAAGGTACCTGTCCGATCCGAGTTTGACGGTCCTTGCTCAGGAAGGTGTTTGGTGTAAAGACTGTGCCAATCAACGTCGAGAGGATTCGAAGAAAGTAGTTTATAGCAGGAGCGACTGTCAACCAACGGCTGCAGAACTGGCTTGAATACCGCGTTGGGCTCGATCAGGATGTGCCGTCGAGGTTGCAAGAGGTCGTTAATCTTCGAGGACCAGAGCCCAGGCCCAGGCCAGAGGTCAAGCACGTCTACTGGGCGGTTGCGGAGCAAGAGCGGCGACAATCGATGGAGAATGTCATCTGGGCAGTATCCATGTTAGACTTGACTGGTCCTTTACTCTTCCCAGTGCGAGACTTACCGCATAGCTTCTCACTCACAATTTCGGAAGATTTGGCTGTCTTCTTTGCGCCTTGTGGAAAGGTTTTGTTGAGAGTCTGCGTCAAGGGAAACTGTGGCAAGGGAGTCCACCGGTTCGAACGGGTGTTCAAAATCTTCGAAATCGACCTCATCTTGTGCCGATGAACAGATCGAGACTGTTAGGCGTGCTTAAGACATCGAGAACCTGGATTCATAAGTGCATACACCACCTCCATACCACAAGCTGTGTCGTGGATCCGCCAGAGCGCGAGGGTCGAAAAGAGTGCAAAGAATGAAAAAGCAGCGACTTCCCGCGTGGATCGATAACCTCCGGAGTCACTTCGCTCTCTTCCGCTTTGCGCGTTTTCCTTTCCTCATCTCCACCATGACTCGGCCAGCCGTATTGAAACATCACACTCTCGCCATCTCCCTTTGATTCAGTTCTTATGTCGCGTTAGGAAGATTTTCTTCTCGTTCTTCTCGTCCTCAAGGTGCCCGCAGAGAGCTTTTGGCTGCCTAGATGCGGCACGTCCCCACCACGCCTTCTCCTGGTCTTCACACCAGGCCTCGATGATCCGCAGAACCATTCATTTCGACTCCGACATCCTTTCCCCCATCGCTGGTCCTATCACTGAAGCTTCTGCCAAGCTTCGCTTGGACGCGCAGCCATGGCAACGAATCTCCCTCCGCCGTCCGGCTCCCCGCCTCAGAGTGTGGAAAAGATCACTCAAATAGCTCAAGATTATGAATACAACCCCTCCGTGCCCCTCCGATATTGGCTGCGGACAGCAGCAACGCTCGTCCGAGAGGTAAGTGGCGCTTCTCCGGCAATATTCTCCGATATATTTTTGCTGACTGAAATTGGTGGATTGAATAGGCTCACATTTACGAACGAGAAGGACATGACGAGCAGACCTATCTACTTTTGTTTCGACACGCCCAGTTGGTACTGGTCCACCTGGCCAGCCATCCCGATGCCAAAGATGAAGCAAACCGCAAGGCTTTGATGGATGCCGAGAAGGAAGTGAGTCGAAACCTCAAAAAACTTGAGACCCTGAAGCCTCGCATCAACAAACGTTATGAACGCTACACGCTATTGATGCGGGATCGTCAATCTCGCAGTCCGCCTCGTGGAGCGGTTCATGCTTCTCCCAGCGATCGGCAGCCGCATGATCCGGCCCTGGTGGGAGTCGCCGAACCCTTAGAGGCCGGTGAAAATCGAGATTTGGCCGTGAAGTTGGCAAGGACCGAAATCAGTCGACGGGCCACCGTGCGGAAAGCCTTCCGACAGGCAGGAGTGTCTCCGGAGGAAGAGCAGCAGCGCCGGGCGGCCGGTCTCTGGGGTAATTGGGAAAGCGCCTTGCATCAAAACGGCGCGGACGCCGAGAATGACTTGAGTCAGCGAATCCAAAATGTCCGGGTCAATATGGGCGAGGGACAACGGTCAGACCACCGCGTACCAAACGCAAAACAACCCATCGCTCTGCCACCGTCAACGACATCCTCCACATCGGCCTACAAGTATCCGACTGTGCCTCGCCAGAAACCTCTGGAGTATTCGTCGCCTCCGCCCCCCAAGGCCCCGCGTGAAAGGATACTGCCCCCTGAAGCACCTATACTACCTCCCAAGGAGAGTCTTGAAACCGCGTTGAATAAACCGTCACCACCTCCTTTGCCTGACAAGGTAACTTCAGTAACTACGCCCGCTCCGCCTGTTCCAGCGAACACGCCGCCGGTGGCGGGTAATGATGCCCGCCCTGAGCTCAACCCCTCCAGCTTCACTTTCAAGCCGTCCGCCTATCTCGAGAACGGCGCTCCTCTCCGTACTGTCTTTCTACCACCAGAGCTGCGAACTCATTTCTTAGCTTTGGCCTCCTCGAACACACGACGCAACCTGGAAACCTGCGGTATCCTCTGTGGGACACTGATTTCCAACGCCTTGTTTATCTCAAGACTTCTCATCCCGGAGCAAACGTGCACGTCAGACACGTGCGAGACCGTGAATGAATCGGCAATATTTGATTACTGCGACTCGGAAGATTTAATGGTGCTTGGCTGGATCCACACCCATCCGACGCAGACATGTTTCATGAGCTCGCGAGATTTGCACACCCACTGTGGATATCAAGTAATGCTACCGGAAAGCATAGCGATCGTTTGCGCCCCCAGTCAAACACCGGAGTGGGGTGTGTTTCGACTGACGGATCCTCCGGGCTTGAAGTCGATCTTGAGCTGTACGCAGAGTGGGTTATTCCATCCTCATCCCGAAACCCATATCTATACGGATGCCCTTAGACCGGGCCATGTTTTCGAGGCCAAAGGGCTGGAGTTCGAGACGGTGGATCTACGGCCTGACGAATCGTAGTCGCCATTGTGACATCTATGTTTTGTTCATATAAACACGCATCTCTTATGAGTTATGAAAACCACTGAGCCCTCTGTGTTAGACGGTTAGACCGTTGTATTCGTTGCTTACGGAATTCCCAATCTGAGCGTCCTTAATCGAAGCCCCACTGTATTATCTCTTTATAGCCCGGTGCCTTAAAATGGGATGAATGGTATGAATGCATCGTTTATCTAGAGAACATTCGGCTGTAGGAAATTGGTAAATGCTGAGCAACACTGTGGAGTCGAGGGTGACGTTGGAAGGCGCGTCGGGGTGTGACGATCTCCCCACCTCGTCCTTCTCTTTCGGCTTTGTTCCCTCCTCTCTTTCTCTTTACTCCTTCACCCCTCGAACATTATCGTCGCCTTCTCATCCCCTCTCTTCCAGCTTTTCCGGTCCAACCCAATTGAATGGTTGCCTCATCATCTAATTATCGCCACTTCTCCCCCTCTTCACATTTCTCTTCGCCGCCCGCATGGAGTCCACCTCCCACGGGGATCCTTCTTCATCCTCCTCCTCTAGGTCAACATCGCGCACTCGACAAAAAAGCTCCCAGTCGAATCAATCCACAGCCTCTTACTTCTCCTACCCCGTGACTCACGTGGTATCTGGTCTCTACCGTCGACTCACCGACCCACCGTCCAAATCCAATGCCATGGGCCGCTCCCAGCGCGATTCCAAATCGTCCCTAACCTCTCCCAACGAATCGTCCTCCTCACTCTTTACCCCCGTTCGCACCATATCGCCTTTCCAGCCGCCGCCCCTCACTCCCCTCACCCTCACCGGCGACCCTTCCAATCTCCAACAACAGCTGCTTACGCGCGCCCTGGCCGAGGAAATCCGTTTGCTGGTCCCGGCTCGCCTGCAACTCGTCGACACCTGGCGTCTAGCCTACAGCCTTGATCGCGACGGCGCCTCCCTCGCCACTCTGTACGAAAATTGTCGCGAGATATCCAACCGCAGCCCGCGCGCTGGTTACGTGCTTATCGTCCGGGATTCGTCGCCCGCTGGCGCCGTCTTCGGCGCTTACATGACCGACCCTCCTCATCCGAACCCGCACTACTTCGGCACCGGCGAATGTTTCCTCTGGCGTGCCAGCATCCTGCCACCCCCTGGCAATCTTTCTTTCGCCGCTGGCGGCCCGCCCCCGTCGGAGGACTTGCTCGAGATGGCGGGGCTACCGCCTCCTCCGAGCGCGGATACCACCCATGCAGGTCGCTCAACGACCCTGCGCGGCGATAAGAAAGGTGCGACGCCGGGTCAAGCTGAGGAGAATCGCCTCGCGCCGCCGCTGTCTAGCGGCGGGGCCAGTGGTGCGAGCACGCCGGACCGGATTCGATTCAAGGCGTTCCCCTACAGCGGCGTGAATGATTATATGATGTTCTGCGAGACGGGATTCTTGAGTTTGGGTGGAGGGTAAGTCGGCTTCCTACTATCTCCCTGCCTGGTAGATGATAATCAGGTGATGGAACTAACTCGAATGCAGAGATGGCCGCTACGGTCTCTGGGTTGACTCCAGCTTCGAAAAGGGCGTCAGCTCCGCCTGTCAGACCTTCGGAAACGAGCCTCTCTCTGACGAAGGGGTTAAATTCGACGTCATCGGCGTTGAGGTGTGGTATGTCGGCGCGTGAACTTTTCATTCACCCTCGACCTGCATTCTTCTTGTCGGCGAAAAGACGAACATCGCATATAATGGATTGATTACCAAGACTGCCGTGCCCGGTTGATCATTTTCAGTTTCGCAATTGGCTGAGTCCAGACGGACGTGGATTAATTGGTGACTCGCTGTGTTGACTTCTTTTCTTTTTCTTTACTTTGGCGTTGTCGTTTACGTACATAATACCCGAACACGATATGGCTGGTCCCCATCGTGTCCATGCATCATCATTGCAAAATTCTATCTATATAGCCTTTAACGCGTTGGGAAGGACCAGGAAGCCCTATAGTTTATATCATGGAGATGGCTGCGGCCACTGGGGTGATGCAGTGCCAAGTTGAGAATATTGATTGCTTTGCATGGCCATCAACCATATTATGGTTGGAGTTGCGAAAACAAAAGCTCTCGTGAATCGTAATCTTTGATTAGCTACCTATCTGGAGATTATAAGTTGCTAAAAGTGAAACTGCTTTAAATCAAACCCGCCTTTCGCCAGTCCCGTCCGACTCAGCCGTCATATCACCATTAATGAAAATCCCTAACTGGGGTATGGGGTGTAAATAAATCCACCGAGAAAAAAAAATAAAATGTATTAAAGAGAAAAAGAAGCAGAAGCAACAGACAGTGCTACCACCAAAGTGGCCAGTCATATCAATGCCAATTAGTAAGGAGAGTTGACGATCTCGTCTCGTCCCAGGCGGCTTCCCCAACGGGTGCTCCGACGACTCGGGGTAACAGGAGGACCTGCAATGCTCTCACGAGTGGGTCTCTGGAGGCTCTTCTTTGCGACCATGTTGACCTCGTTTGGCAGGGCGACGATGACATTCTTATCCGACCCGAATCGGAAGTTGTCCGCCATGACTTCTTCCGAGTATCGCTTAATGGTGTACGGGTCTCGCCGGCCAGTGGTGACCTTTTTCAAGCTCCAAGTGATAATGAATGGGCCCGTCGCCGTGATGATAGACGTTTCTTCGCTGCCAACTCCGGTGTTGAAGCGAGCAGGGGTGAAAGCAAGGGGCTTCTTGGTTTCATGCTGGAACTGGGCAACATGTGCAGGCTGAAGTCCCAGGCGCCGAGGTTGGGGCTTCGAGTCCTTGGCGAACGAGCGCTCAAAACCAAGCTTGCCTTCATTCTTGCCCTCCTTTTGGAGCGAGTCGATCAGGAGCAGATAGGTTCGGCAGGTTGCCAATACCCAGCGACCATCCGCAGACACATCCAGACCGATGATCGGCTCTCCAAGGGCAGGAATATGAGTCTTGGCGTTGATTCCCAGGCGGTCGAACATCCGAATATCACCCTTGTTTGATGCGACAGCGAGGTATCCCTTCTCGGTCGTGGCAACAGACGAGAAGTCGTTCTTGCTGGCATACTGCTTCAGCTCCGCATCCACCAGTTTGTTCCCGGCTAAACGAGGATCAATCCGATATAGTGCGTTCTGGGAAGCACCGATGAATGGCTGAGCCGAGGTCATTTGAGAGAATTTCTAGATACAAGTCAGCAAAAGCTTTCCTTTTTGACGGGATGAGACAGGATGCGCTACTTACGTTTTCGGGTGCGAAGGTGTGCACTGGAATATCGTCGTGAACCTTCCACTCATCGACAATCTTACCGTATTCCAGGTCCATACGGTACAGGGAGTTGGGGTCATCGCCGTTCTGGAGAATCATGTTCGAGTCTTCCGCGTGCAACATGACCTTCTTCGGGCTAAACAACTTGCCCTTAGGGGTTTCCACCTTGGAAATATTGGTCGAGAACTCGAGGTTGTTGTTCGGAGTGTGCTTGAAAACTCCGATCTTGGAGCCACGAACGACAAACGACCTATCGTGTTTATAACCAACCGCAAGCTGAGAGTTGACATTTCCATCATCGTCGCGTGTAACCACATCTTCTTCCTCTTCGTCGGTGTCATAGTGTTCGCTCCGCTGGCCATCGTCCTGATCCTCTTCCTCTTCCTCTTCGGCTTCTTCTTCCTCTTCAGCCTGCTGCTCTTCTGATTCGGTGTCTTCCATGGTGAGGTCCTGGAAGGCATCCAAAACATACTCCCGGTCGTTTTCCTTGACCTTGGTCCACTTCATCTCGTTCAGCTGTTCCCAAAGAGCTTGCATAAGACCTTCCTGGAACCTCTCTTCCGTTTCTTGATCACTGAAGCGCAAGAGCCAGGAAAACGCGGAGCCATCTTCACCATACGCGTTGAAGATAAACGAGAGATATTCAAAGTTGAAAACGGGGTTGATATCCGCAACCACGGCTTGGCCAAGCCACTCTTTTTCTTCGCCACTGATTTGGAGCCAGTATTGCCAGTCACCGACTTCCGACACGGTGGCCACAATCTTAGAATCCTGGAGGACGAAAGTGCCGGACTGGAAGTCAAAAAGATGCAGTTCCGCCGTTTCCTTAGCAAGGATTTCTCTCGCCTCGGGTTGAGCCGCCGAGGGAGGAGCCACGATGGACTCTTCGCCATCACCGGCAGGCTTTATTTGGCCCTTGGCCTTCGCATATTCCACGTCTCGCGCCATGGCCGCAGTCGAGTCTCCGGACGCTGATGAGTGGGTACGGGATTTGGTAGGCGAAGCGATAGGACTCGCAGAAGGAATGGGTCGTTCTTCCTGGAAAGAGAATTCTTGAAGTTCTTGTTCGGTGGCTCGTTGAGCGCTGCGTCGGTATTTCCGCTCGTACTGGCACTGTAGCGCTGCCAGCTCGAAAGTGGTTACTTTATCTGAGGGCACCGAAGGATCGCAAACGAATTCGAAAAGGTCACCAATATCACCACTCAAATCTCTCCATGCCAGGATCTTAGCACCTCCTTCGCGGACCTCGGAGCGGAAATGTAAGGCCTGGTCAAGGAGAAAAGTTTTCTCGTCTTTGTCCAAGCCGTCGGCTCCACCCTGTTCGTCGTCCTCCTCAGCCAACTCCTCTTCGCCTTCCTCGTACGCTCTCTGGATAACAAGTTGATACTGGAAATCCTGGCCAGTGCGTCTGATGGAGGCAGCAGCGTCCTTGAATATAAGCTCGGAGTAGCCCTTGGGCGATAGAGGGCGAACTAGGTATAGCTGGCCTTGCGGAATCTCGATGATGGATTCCTTGGAGGTGTCTCCAAAGATGTACTTGCTCACTATCAAGAGGAGGATGTGATTAGCCGAAGGTGTGGCAAACAAGAAGGATGTGAATGGCAAAGTGACACAGTATGCGGAGGAGGGGTAGAAGGTGGGGTAAGACAGAGGTAGCGAAAGGACGAAAAGCAGAGAAGACAAGAAGAGCTAACTAGGAAACCTTAAGGACAGGTAGGATCACATACCGTTGCGGAGCATAAACATGGTTGCGGTTTCCCTGGCGGCGGCACAGGCGTTGTTGTTTGTTGTTTACTTTCAACGATGGAAGGTGGGAGGGGGTGAAAATAAAAAGGACTATTTAGTGATAGACTGAGCAGGGTAGGCAGAGACAAGGCAGCAGGCTCACTACCGGGTTAATAGTACAGCAGACCCCACGGCCTGGATAGAGATAAGGGAAACGATCAGGGAAGGCGACTCGACGGAGGGGAAGAAAAGAAGTTGTTGTGCTTCTGTTGATCTTCCGTCATCGATCGATCGTCGGTGGCAACCGCTGACTCAGCCGCCCTCGGTTTTTCCAACTACTTTTCGGAATACTCCATGACATAGCAAAGAAGCACGTTTCTACAACTAACATGGCATCATCAAAAGATCCTCCTTGATATCCTTCCGTTGGTCGGACGATTCCTCATTCCTCATGCATAACGCCATCTATAATGGTGGTAGTCATTCGATAACTGCCAAATACAGATAAAAACCAGGCTCTACAGGGTCATCAATGATCAGGGGCTTGGTCAAACACCTTCGCCCAGGCTTTATAACCGAGTGTCCGTTTAACCAGGTGATGATCCTACGGTACATTGAATCCGGATGTCTGCTTTACAATAGGCAAAAGACAGTGCAGGCAATCTCTACCAAGAGATACACCACCCCCACGAAGTTCTATTCTACTTCCCCGGCTACAGCCCCTCTGCATTGCTTTAGACAAGCCCGTGGGCGAACTCAACTCATCGGAAGACACAGGAGTTCGAAGCCAGTCGACAATTGCCGGTTTAGATATGAATGGGCTATTCGCTTGGATGCAGGACCGGCATCTAAGCTGGTAGAAAGCGATGGTCAGATGTCCGGAGAAATCATTTTAAGTCATCTTCGATCTGCCTAAGCCGCCATATGTCAATATTCCAGCGGTTCGCAAGGACTTTTCAAGAACAAATCCAAGTCATCCCAGCATATCATAACTGGAACCTCGCGTCTCAGGCGTCCGTACTTGAACATTTCATATATGCTAAACCCAAGATACAGTAACTTGTTGACGATTCCGAGTCGTGGATTTTCTACAGCAAGATTTCGAGCCATCGGTTGGCGACGCTATCGACCAGTGGCCACTTACAGGAAACCTCCAAAAGAGACTCGATGGGTTTCAAGAATTTGGACTTGTTTTCGCTGGTCTTGTCCTGGTTCCAATCCTCTCTTTTCTTGTCCTGTCCTTCTATCCGATCTTACATTGTTGAATCATTTCTATGGCGTCCGACCACCCGATCGCTTTACTTACCGTCGTTTCCTCGCCCTGACTCAATTCTAATCAATCGTCTACTTATTGTACCTTCGGATGCTCCGTCCTCTCGCACGGATGCCCCCATTATTTCCCTCTACCAGGCTGCTTAGGGGCTATAATGCGCTTTTCCTAGCGGGAACTCCATACCACTTTCAGTAAATCGCTGTCACCGCAGTATAGCCATAAATACAATATCACTTTTCCCTGGTATTTCCATCATATCTACAGATCATCCATCGCGTAGTCTCTACCCAGATGTGTGTTTTTGACCGTTCTATGCTTCCTTAGGTGTCGCCTCTTCCGGGTCATCCTCGGACTCAGCTTCTGCGCTATCACCACGCTGCACTGGATCTTCCGAGTCACGCTCCGAGTTCTTCAAAGCCCCTCCTTTTCTTTGAGGGATCACTTGCATGAACGCCTCACCCCAGTCCCTGACTTCCAGCCACTTAAGCATGATTTCCACCACATGGTTGGTTGCCAGCACCTTGCGCGACGCCATCTGGATATAGTCTCCAATGGGTAGCTTGGCGGTTTTGATTCCTTTTTCCTCCGCCGCTCTGTAGCAGATCCCCTTGTGCCGGTTTTTGTCGACCAGTCCGCCAATGATGTACGTGCTGTACGGCTTCAATTCCGTCAAGGTGTGAGGGCTGTCGCTGCTGAGGTAGATGACCTCTCCATCTTCCGGTTTGGCATCAGTCTTGTCGGCGAATACGCCGGCGAGCTCGCCGCCCTTAGGTCCCTGCATCAACTCCTTCGCCTGCTCAGCGGCAACGGCAAAGTCTTCCCCAATGAAGCTAACGCCCTTCCAACTCTCGTGCGTCTTCCTCATCACGGTGTCAAACCGCTCCTTCAACAACTTATCGAATGTGGACATAATCATATGCGCGCGGTATGGAGATCGGGCGTTGTCGGAGTAGGAGCGTGTGATCTGCGAAGCGAGGGACTTCCGCTCCTTGTCGTTCATCAGGTCGTCGTATCCGCAGTCCATGACCAGCGTCAGAGGGAGCAGGGTTGACTTTCGAAATCGGTGCCGGGTCGATTCTCGTTCTTTCCTCAGCTTCTCCACAGCTTCCGGTCCGGCCTTCCGTGCCTCGTCCCATTGATTGCGTACCCGATCCTTCTTCGCCTGCATGTATTCCTTCCGCTTCACCTTGCGCAGTTCGCGCTGGGACTCCCAATGCTCTTGTCGGCGGAGTTTCTTCAGCTGGTTCTTGGACAATTGGGGTGCTGATTCGCTCGTTTCCCCTTCCTTTGCTTGTCCATTTGCTGCACTGGAATCGTTGCGCGCATCGGTGTCGTCGGAAACGCTCCCCACGGCGCCGGTCATCACAGGGACCGATTCATCCTGGGCACTTTCCTTCGCCAATTTCGCGATCTTTCTGGGTCGCTCTCCGTCCTCCATGATGTCAATTCTGTAGAACACCCAACGTAGACACTAGACAAACAGGCTCAATGGGTGCCGAAAAGAAAAAAAGTCGCGGAAATCGAGCAGGCGCGGCAGCAAGAAAATCCAGACCGCAGCCAATGGGAGCCGCCGCAGCCCGCATTACCAAACGGGAAGGGCACACGTGACATGCCGTCCAACTTCGCTCGAGCATCATCGGCCGATCTTCCCTGAGAATCCCTCCCCAGACTTCGATAAAGGGTGCTGCGTCCGTCTCTCGTCAAAATGCCTCAGGATATGCCCCCATCGGGGGGCTACGGGCCAGTCCAGTATAAGGTACGATTGTTCATCGGCGGTCTCCCGCCCTTGCCCCGGCTTATTTCGGTTCATCGGTCGCCCTGGTCGCCCTCCATCTCGATGCCCTTGATTGATCTCTACGCATTCGCACACGCATCGCCGTCTCCCAGGCTCAATTGCACGAATAATGGCTAACGCGTTACCCTCTGTAGCGAAACATCCCCGCCCGCGGATTCCGCCCCGTCTACTACCTCCTCGGAATGCACATGTTCATGGCCTACGGCATGTACAAGCTCTTCTACGGTATCCGCGAACAAAAGTACGTGACAGGCTCGATCTCAAAACCCCTCAATTGACTTGGGGTTGAAATCTGCATACCCAATTCTCGTGCGCTGACTCTCCCTCGTCTAGCGAACTCGCCCGTGAGAAGATCTGGGGCCGTCTCCACCTGGTCCCTCTCCTTCAGGCCGAAGAAGACCGTGACCAGGTCCGTCGCTACTACGCCGACAAGGCCCGTGAGAAGGAGCTCCTCGGATCCGAGACCAAGGTCTACAACTCTGACCGGTATGTCACTTCAATTCCTTGTATTGGTACCAAGGGTGGGATTGATGCTAATAACCCGTTTGAACAGCTTCGTCCGCCCTACTTACGCCTACATGCCGTCCAAGGTCACTCAATAAGCGACTAGAATTACAACGGGCTTGGGCTCGTTTACGTTTATTCTCGCTTCCTTATTTGAGTGTGCGATGCGTGAACTGATCTTATACGGATCTTGAGTGTCAAAAAAGGTCGAATGCTCCGGCGCGGAATTCTTCTAAACAGGAGAGAAGAGAGGTACCAGGAAAGTGGAAAGCAGAGCTGTATGATGTAGATATACCGTTTGAAAGAAATTAACTAGTCCCGCAATCTATGCTTTTTTGTTGTTTTCTTGGGGCGTTGCTCGAGACTTAGTCTGGAGACCAATCCAAACCGAACATGAGCCAGCTTGAGGCCCGTACTCTCAACCGCTCTAAACCAAATTCATTGTCATGTTTCTATATTCTTTTATGCTCGTGATGCGGAAGGAATGTAACAAGGCAGGCAATGGAAGTGAGAGACGTGGTGTTGGGAAGATAGCGAACGCACGACACCAAACCATTATACTATACAATCGAGACATTGAATGGACATAGAGACGGGAAGCGGTTCTTTAACCAAACATGTCCGCTACCCCTGCCAGATCGGGTCCGTCATTGATGTCAACCTTGTTGTTCTGCTGGCCCTCCATCTCAGCGGTCATATATCTCTCCTGCAAGGCACTTCGAGCCTTGCGACGCTCCTCGCGGCTGCCGAGGATCTTGCCTTGTTCGGCGATGCTGACCCCGCGTAGACCCTCTAGGAGATCCAAAACGAGGGCCCGTTGCTGCCGTGCTGCCGTCGATCTCACGAGTGCAGCTTCGGCATTTGCAACTCGCTGCTCATCCAGACCGGGAAGACTCAGAATCACCGAGCGCGGCGTCGGGCTGCTCGAGCCGTAGAGAACCCAGATCGACGCAATAAGCTGGGCCAAGTCCTTCTGCATATCCACAAAATAAGGCTCATGTACAGATGTAATACAAGCTTTGAGTACTTCGGAACTGATGAATTCGCGGATCGTCACAGTCGTAGCGGACTGGTTGGGAGGGGCGAAATCCTGAAGGATGGAGCGAATAACACGAGTAATGATGCTACAGCATCGCGTATCACGCATGCGAAGGGCGTGAGTACAAAACAGCATCACCGGCTCAAAGATCTCGGGCGACGAAAGCACAAAATGTCTTATCGAGTCAGAGAGCGCCGGTGCTTGCTGCGGAGCGCTCGGATCCGCCGGTTCGCCGTCGGGATCTATTCAACATGTCAGTCATGGAATATAAATGCACAGGTAGCACTGGGGTAACTCACCTCCTCGTTGCGGGTCGAGGAGACTTGCCACCATGATGACAGCAGAGTATGTCAATTGCCGAAGAATGCTCTCTGATTTCATCTCATCGGTCAAATCACCATCAGCCAGGCCTTCCCTGCGCTGTTCAATAATTTCCCACTCGGTGGTGACTTTTCGGTCAATGTTGGTGAAGAGGGTTGCCAGCATGGGAGGTAAGAATTGTGCTCTGAACCGAACCGGGCAGTCATCGATCAAGCATCTCGAGATGTTCAGCAAGACCGAAAACTGGTGAGATGAGAGATAAGAGGAATCTTTGAATAACGCCTGGGAAAGGGGTCCTGGAAGTTCGGCGAATCCATAGAAATGTTCCCTGAGCCTGCTCATGCTGAATAACATTGAATAGCAGGATTCCCGGACCGCTCGAATTTTGCCCCTGACAGAGGACGCAAACCCTTCAAGGGACACCCGGGAAGAAGTGATTCTAGCATAGAATTCGTCCCGACTACCCGTAGAGATTCCTGCTTGCCAGAACCTATCGGTCAAGATGCGTTCAACAACGGCCTTCATATCAACCGACAGGCCGCTCCAGTTCTCCGGGTTATGGAAAGCATGTGCGTTACTAACAAGCGATAGCAGTGTTGGTAGTACGACGGGGATAATGTCATGCCAAACCCCACATGCAAGTTCATAGGCAGGCTCGGTCTTTTTCAACTTCTCCGTAGAGACTGCGAGCATGGTCTTGGTGCCACGCAGGGGCAATTGCTGGAACTTCCTTGTCATCTCCTCTTGGATACGTCTGCCTTCGTCATCTAGAGGCACTGAGGTCCAATCTTCCAGTTTCTGCGCCTGCCTGGTCTGCATATATGGTCCCACGCTTTGCAGACCTAACATATCACAAAACCCTCCGAAGGACGAGCTCAATTGTCGAAGTTCCTCTTCTTGCCATGCTTGATTAATGGGTTCCACAAAAGACGACAATCGGTACTGGCGAACCTGGGGTTCCACGTTGTTCGCACGTTGCATGATAATTAATAGAATCGAAGTCAGTTCCATCTGTAGCTTGTCATCCACCCGGTTCGCCTGGCTTATCTCCTTGATCTTCGGTTCAAGCAGATCGTAAAATGTGGCGAAATAATCGGCATAGCGCATTGCAAGGCGTCGAAGCTCATGGCTGGCCAGACCGTGGAGCTCTTTCACGGCCTCCGAGTAGGCAGGAAATTCGGGTTGATCAGGAAGGCGCGTCATAAGAATGTATTCAAGAACTTTCAGCGCAAAACTGGGAGTCTTGTCAAGAGCTTTCGAAGAGACATCAACGATAAGCTTAATGATTCGTTGCTTCAAAATGGGATCCTGTATCTTAATTAGCAACCTAGAGTTCTCTTCCACTATAACTCAAATTCTTTGGAATCTCACCTCAAAATCTCTCTGCATCAATTTGAATGTCCAAGTCTCCAAAATGCTTTCCAGCTCGCTTCTTTGTTGCTCCTGCGAAATCAGTCAGACTAGTGTAATGGAGGCTTGCTAGGTATACATACGTCCTGCTGTGGCATTTTACCGTGTGCTGCAAGCCACCTATTGTATCCTCTCAGCAAAGCCTCGACGACGGCGAACTGGGTGTCGGCACGCATAAGGGGAAGCGAGCTTTTCGAGAACGATTTTACTGGTTGAATTTGTTAGTGAAAATGATTACTTGTCGTCAAGCCGAATCTCACCATTGAAAGGCTCAGCCCCATTGTATAGGTTATCCAGGTTGCCATCGACGGTTGACAGGATGTGAGGAATGGCCTCCTGGGGTCTCTTTTGGACGGTGGTGTCGATGATGGCGGAGCAATAACGGCGGTAGTTGCCCACAAACGCATGTCTTTCGGGAATGGTGTCGATGTCCTCAACGAGGAACACTACTGTAGGGTCATCGGAATCGGCTGGAAGAGACTCCCAGCGGACCAGCCGCTGGGTACAAATTTCTAGCAGGGCGGGGATCAGGCCAGTGACCAAATCAGTGTTTCCAATCCTCTCAGAAGCTAATAGTTTGGACCACACATGAAGAACAGGTATCGAAACTGTTAAGCTTCGATGTTGAATAACATTTAACATAAGGTGGAAAAAGAACGGGAGGTTCATGCCATGAACGCTTTCCAAAGAAAACCCCTTCTCCTCAAGGAATCCTGCAAGGTATGACAGCATCTTTCGATGAGGATTAGCATCACACAGCACGTTCAACAGCATAGTCTGTTCTTCGTACCTCGGAGATCTTCTTCGAGATCATGTATCTTGTATCATCGATGTCATCGGGTCCTACCACAGACCACTGGTACAATTTCTGCAGGACATCCAGGTAGTCTGTTTCATACATCTTGTGTACGAGTGGCTGGAAGCTTCCGATGTCGATATTGGATCTGCTGTACAAGGAGTGCAAGGCTTCGACGGCAGCCTTGATAGAAACTTAGTTTAACACTCCGCTATGAAGACATCTGATAGGCATTTCTTACCAGCAAAACCTGCTCGTCGTTGCAGGTCAAAGCCATGGCTATAGTCGGAACGCAATTGGAGGAGATGATCGCTTTGGGGATCGCCCAGACGAGGACAGACTTCAGCGTTGCCAGCGCTTTGAGTGCCGCATCTTTCGCTTGCTTCGAGTTCTGCAGGTTCTCGATGCAGTATTGAAGGAACTCGTTTATGCGGGCAAGCCAGGAATCAGTTCCGTATCGTAGTTCAACGTGGTGCTCCCGCTTGGGATAGAACTCCTCAAAGACCGACAGCGGAGTGAAGATCTCCACCAGGGCTCTGTTCAAGTCAGTCCCCCGCAAGGAAGAAACGGTGTCTTCGCGGTAGAAGATGTCTTCAGACAAGGTTTCCAGGACGGAGAGCACCAGCTCCTTGTGCACCAGGCTTGCCTCCCAGAATTGAAAGAGGGTCTGGTCCATGTCGATCCAGTCCAAACCCCAGCTTCTCTTTGCAACCTCCGCCCATAGTTGAGGAATTTTGTTGCGGATATACGGAGGGTCTTCTGGGCGGATGGACTCTGCCAGTTTGAGAACCAGGTCTTTCAACGCAAGCACCTGCTCCGAAGCCGTAAACGACGTGTGTCGCAAAACATGATCCAGAAGACCTAGGCCAAAATAGCGAACCAGCGGATTCTGGTTGGCGCCAGATGCCAGTAGAAAGCCATTACGAGCCGCCGACTTGCTTTCCTTTTGCGATTCGACAAACGTCAGGGCCTCTCTGCGTAGATCATTCGTGGACGAGGGGTTGTGGATGAGCTCCAAGGCGCGAACGATATCGGCCATGCGTCCTTCGGAGAGATCTTCCTCGGCCGCCATTGCTTCCAACCGAGCTAATAATTTCCCAAGTTCCGGGTTGGGTCTATGTGATATTGGGGGAAAGATGAATAATTAATGATTACCTCTGGATGCTGTTTCAGTTGTTGTTGGACAGTATGCTCATGATCCAGATTTTGGTGCACGGTCCTAAGATATTTTTTTTTCTTCTTTTTCTTTTCGTTGCCCCCGTTTCTGGCGAATTCTCTTGTGGAAAGTACCTTCCTTTTCCCTCTGATCGGAGAGCGTTCAAACCACCAAACAGAGCGTGGGGAAGCAAGCCGAATCACACCGGTCAGCTCTCCCGCGGGCGGACAAAACGGCAAGCGCCGTTCAGAAGAAACAGTTGCGGCTCAACGCCTGATGTCTGCCCGAAGGAACTCTTTTCTTAAATTGGGACTTAGTGGCGCAAGGGGGGAGGGGGAGAGACTAAGGCTTCTTCACGTGGTCAGGATGATCTGGGGCTTAGATCTTTCTAGCTTGACGCGGGTGTTGTTTGGTGGGAGGGAAGAGAGAAGGAGAGAGGGAGAGGGAGATAAGAAGGCCCGCCGTTTGTTTTTTGGCTGCCTCGGATTTTCCACGGCCTCCCGCCGCAATCTCCACACGCTCACCGCCTTCTTGTTCTCCTGTTCTCCTCCATAATATTCAGTTCAGTTCAGGGGGAATCTCCAGTAATGCATGGATCTTGCTGAAGAATCATTTTGGGGATCATAATTGCCTCAGAGCACGCAGAGTACTCAGCATAAATAGGGTCTAGGAGTGGGGGAGGCCAAGACATCCAAGAGTCGTTTCGTTCACCCGCCATATATACTTCGGTGTATAGTTCTCGATTTAGAGTAACTATACCTTCAACTACTCAACAAGCACGCAATGCATAGTCCAAGCCATCACACAAATTCACATTGATCCTTTGGACAGCATATACCTGTTCTGAAATTGTCGATCATCAAACTAATTTTACCATCTGCAGGGTTCCCCGCACAATCAATTCAGTCCAGTCGGTGTCTGCCAAAACTGTCTACCGCAGGTTCCCCGGTACCTAAAGGACCGATGAACGAAGGGACATAGCATCTCTCGTGGTGCATTTGCGCCGAGATGCTCATGGCATCATAAGATGAGCCTCGACCAGTGAAATGATCCGACTCCCGGTTCCTTTAAACCGAAGCTCCGCAGGGGACTTTATCCTGAATGCGTTCATTTACCCAGGAGAACTATCCACGGTTTGTATATTAACTGGAGAAGCACCCAGATATGCCATTGGGTTTTCTTTTCCCAGGAAAATTGCAAGATCCTCTTTTTCATATAGAACGGTTTTGTTGTCAATACCTGACCCTCCATCATGCTCATCAGCATCATTTTCCAAGCCGTCCTGTTTGTGGTTCATGCTGTTGCAGCGCAGAATTCGAGTTTCTCTAACCCTATCCTACCGGGATTTCATCCTGATCCTAGCTGTATCTTTGTCGACGAGCTAGATAGTACTTTCTTCTGCGTGACGTCAACTTTTCTAGCCTTTCCCGGGATTCCCGTTTACGCCAGCAAGGATTTGAAGAACTGGAACTTGATCAGTCATGTCTTCAATCGACCTTCTCAATACCCAGGTTTCGGAAAGGTCCTTACAGCAAGTAGCGAAGGTGGTATCTGGGCACCAACGATTAGACGCCATGACGGCACCTTCTACGTTGCTGCCACTCTCGTGGACTACTACGAACCCGAGAAAAGGACTTTCATAAATCTTGTTTTCAACTCAACAGATCCCTCCAACGACGATGCATGGTCTGATCCCGTTGAAATTGACATGCACGGTGTGCAGGCGATTGACCCCGACCTTTTCTGGGACGACAATGGCCAAGCCTACATGCTCACCGGATGGGGCAAAATATACCAGTCTGCCGTGGACCTCCAAACCGGTGCGTCATCGAACCCAATGAATGTCTGGAACGGCACTGGCGCCGAAAAGCCGGAAGGACCACACATGTATAGAAAAGATGGAGTCTATTATCTCTTAGTTGCTCAAGGGGGCACTGGAATTACCCATAGCGTGGCAATAGCGAGATCTGAGCATGTCTCGGGACCGTTCGAAGGGTATACCGGAAATCCGCTATTAACGGCCAAGGACACGCAGAATTTCTTCCAATGCGTTGGCCATGCGGATTTGTTTCAGGACGCCAACGGAAGATGGTGGGGAGTGGCCTTGTCAACGCGTTCAGGACCGGAATATCGATCCTACCCTATGGGCCGGGAAACGGTGCTATACCCTGTCACATGGGACGATGAATGGCCCATATTGGATCCTGTCTATGGGAACATGGAAGGCTGGGAAAGACCAGGAAGCAACCAGCAACCATCCAGTGATCAACATGCTACAGGGGACTCAGAGTCTGTGGACTTCAAGCCGGGATCATCCATCCCTCCGCATTGGAAGTTTTGGCGCTTTCCCGAATCATCATCGTACACGATCTCTTCTCCTGAACACCGTAATTCCCTCGAGCTTGCACCCTCCAGCTCAAACCTCACTGGAACTTTGACCGAGGCCCATTCTATCACTTTAATATCCCGACGTCAAACCGCCAGTCTCTTCAATTTCAGCGTGGATCTTGAATTCTCACCCACAGAGGCCGGAGAAGAAGCCGGCGTGTCCATCTTCGTCACTCAACTCCAACACATCGACTTGAGCATCCAACTAGCCACGAATGGAAGCCAGGTCCTGCGTCTTCAGACCACAGCATACGGTAAGCCAAATCTGGAACCTCCAGCACCGAGAACGTTAAATATGCCCCGATCGTGGATCGGAGAAAGGTTGCGTATATACATCGAGGCGACGGACCCGACAATCTATTCATTCCATGTGGCACGTGCCAATGATCCGTTGGATGTGAGGCAATTCGGCAACGTCAGTGCGGAATATGTGACTGGTGGTAGTGGGAGCTATACCGGTGAGTATGAATTCACTTCGTCTGTGGAGGTGCCCGATTGCTGATGGTTCGTAAAGGCACCCTGCTTGCTGCGTATAACACGAATAACAACGGAACTGGTACTGCAAAAGCATGGATCAGTCGTTGGAGATATGTACCACTAGCCCAGGAAGTTGCTAGAGGTGTTTTTGAGCCCGTGAATAACGCTTAGGTTGAGACTATCAGTGGCGCCTAGGTTTACCACAAGGTTCTAGGTCTATCATATGCACTTGAAATTGTTACGGAATGCCATGACACAGAAATATGGTCAATCTGGTATTGTATAAACGACTATGCTAGTATTCTGAAATTGACCATGTGCGGAACGTATTATTTGCCTGGAATTATCGAGGGCTGAACACATTAAGGAAGAGGGAAAAACCAACCAGGTTTCACAACGGAGGCTAATAGAAATCTGAACCCGAAAAGCGCCACTGAGCCAATGGTTCCATAACAATTCATGATTGGATTACATGACAGAACAACCTCCACTCTGACATTGTTCAAGATAGGTCACGTCCTCACTGGAGGCACCACCTAATTCGCCAGGTTTGCGTTTGACTCCCTGGACTTTGATGTCTTGTTCACCGGCCGGATGCCACCATCGAAGCCGCTGTATTTTCAAGGAGCTGACTTCCAGGTAGTCGATAGTCCATTCCCCGCTGCTGACCGACACCACAGGGTGTTGTTCGGGGAAATGGAAATTTGGCAGATAGATTTCGGTGGGTGTTCTATCTTCAGAAGAGCGTTCATTTCCGGTCAGAGACATGGTGAAAGTGCAGTTGCGTAGATCAAATCCGTAGTTTGTGACGATGCCATTCGTCACAATAGGACTTGGTCGTATGTACGCCTCTGCAGCACGGAATCCGACGTTGTCCTTGATCAGCTGAGAATGTTCTGTCGATATAGATGGGGACCGAATGGCATCCTTCAGGTTCCCAGGACCAACATGCTGAGTTTCGATGTTGCTTTGGCTCTCCGAGAAAGCTGGAGATCGAGGATCCGACAAGGGTTCGCTCTCAAGCACCAGGTTCTTCCCGTTTGGCAGCTCCGGATCGTCAATAGAGAAGATCGACAAATCCTCACCATTCCAATTATCACCCCACTCATGGTTGTTCTGAGGAAAACATCAATAAGCTGCGCACATAAAAGCTGCTGGAGAGTAGGTTGGGCGGGATTTACCTGAGAAGTGTACAGCCATAAAGTAAAGCCGTTAGCCGTACTGCCTTCGATAGCGAAGTGGTTGGCGTCCATCGCACTGATCTGGCTGCTGTAGTCTCCAGTCCTGTATGCATATTTGTCATCCATGTCGTAAGGGATGCCAATTTCGGTCAGTACCATGGGATGGTCTCCCATGTAACGCAGACTCTCATCTCTAAGGAATTTCAGTTGGTCGCGCAAGCAGTTTCGGATGGCCGTCTCCCCGATCTTAACAGCAAAGGCAGGCGTAAGATATTTCCCGCGAAGCACTCCGATCACGTCCACATTGTAGAGTCGATTCCTACAGCTGTGAGCAGTATTCAAATAGCATTGTGGAAGGTTCCTTACCAATGTTTCGTCAACAAGGTGAGTCCATCGTAGTAATGTACAGCGTGGACCATGTTGGGGTCATCGTCAAATGTTCCCTTCAAGTCGGGGGGAATTTCCATGACCGGAGGCTGGCAAAGCATGATGGACTCAGGCCAAACACTCCTGATGGCATCTCTATACGCCCTGTAGTGCTCTAGGAAGTAGGAGTTGGTGAATTTATCGTAGTCCAGAGGTTCTCCAGTTTTGGGGTGGCTAGCGAAATAATCTTTCCGTAGTAGCTGGTCTGACGATGGGTCCCAGACTCCATGCTGAGCCCACAGACATTCACCCAGTTTCCAGCCCGGGTCTCGGGTCCAGCCATACTTCTTGTCATCGTAATCGGCGGGGAGCCATGCAGAAACACCCTCCGGGTCCACAAGTGCCCTCCCTGTTTGATGAGGACCGAAGCCGCCAAATGCCCAAGTCGTCTCCTCGCAAGCTCGACCCGATCCCGTCAGGATTGCCTGGAATGGTGATGGCGAGGTACCTAGCTGTAACTGTTGATCGGCTGGAACGACGGAGATATCCTGAAGACCAATAAGTCCTCGGTGAGGTTCGTTCATGCTTTCCCATCCAATGACCACTTCATTTTCAAGATCGCCGGCGTCGTGGATTTTTTGTGCTAGGTATTTGCAAGCAGCGATGAAATGACCTTGGAGATAGTCCTGGATATTGACGCCGTCGATGATCGCCTTGGGAGCGAAGTCACGCCCGGCCCAGAACATGGTAAAGATAGTCTGACAGACCAGGCGAGTATAGTTCGTGCTCCAGATCATTTTGGGGAATTCCTCGGGGTGGTCATAGGTATTCTGAACCAGGGCGGCTTCGGTTTTCTTGAATGTCCGGGGGTTGAGTCCTGCCGCGTACAGAGTCCAGCCCGGTGCACCAGACCCACCCGAGAGTCTTGACCACTGCATGTATTCAGTAAGTTAGGCCACCAGCGTTTCGCTGGGATAGACAAGCATACCACATCCTGATGAGGGTCCATAAACACGAAGAACTGGTACTGCTTTGCAATACGGAGCACTTCGATAGTAAACGCAACCCAGTCGTCGTCATACTTTCCAGGACCAGCATGCTCGATCGCTTCCCAAGTGAATATGTATCTTATTGTGTTGTATCCCCATTTCCGCAGTCTTCCAAAATGTGTATGCGCCTCGTCAAGGGAGAAAGGTCGACCGACGAACGAAACATTGTCGGTGTCGAAGAACTTATCGGGAACGTAAGATGGGGTATCGGGATCCTTTGGATACTTGGATTCGCCAGCAACGTTGATCCCCCTTAAGGTGATTTCTCGATTCTGTGGATCCTTGAAGGTCTTGCCATCGATGCGAAGTCGAAGAGGGCCCATGATCACCAACTGTGCTCAGGATTGCTCCGGTAAAGGAAGGAATGAGCTGCCGATGGATATGAGGAGAATTCCCGGAAGGTTGGAGCTAAAAATAACCCTGTCTCGTGGCAGGTAGCCTATGGAACAAGAAAGTCAGCATACATGAGTGCATGAATGCATTCCATCCAGTGAATTCCGCAGACCTTCACACAGCTAGCCAAGACGTCCTGCGTCAATGAGGATTACTGATCAGGTAGGACAGTACATGTACAGTGAGGAATATCAAAAGACCCAGGTAATATCCAGCACCACTTCTGGGGAGCGGAGAGACGATCCAGCTGCAAGGGGCAGGTTGAAGACAAGCTGGGCGGAGAGGAGAAGCTCGGGAAGAGGAGAGGGCGATAAGCGGCCACGAGATCGGCCCTCTGACGTATCACCCGCGGTCGGCCTTCCCCACAACCGCACCTTTTCGCATCCCGAACAGGCCATCCTCGTCTAACTCTTTCTGCTCTCAAATACGTCCTTGAGGTAAGGCCATGCTGCCATTGGGTTAGGATGTCCAACAAGGCCGCTCTTAAAGCTGTGCGCACAGCGCTGGACTCGAAGGATTTCGATCAGGCAGCCCAAAAAGCTAGCGATCTTGTGCAACAGGAACCTCAAAATTATCATGCGTACGTTGAAGTCTACATTCTAGGCCTTCCCTGCTTCTCCTTGCTAACTTAAGACCCTCATTTAGGAATGTCTTCTTAGGCCTTGCGCTGGACAAACTCAATAAAACCCAGGATGCTGAGAAGGCCTATCTCGCAGCCACTCGCGTGAAGGAAGGCGACAAGCCAGCATGGCAGGGACTTATCAGCCTCTATGAAAAACAAGGAAGTCTGAAACTCGACTCGTATCGCGAAGCAGTGCTGAAACTTGGCCAAATATTCGCTGAAGCGTAAGACCGGGAGACTGTCCACAAACAATCCTTCATGGCCCCCTCCCCGCTAATTATAATTTAGAGATGACAAGCACCGCTGTCAAGATGCCGTCGATAAATTCATCAGCTTCGCCAAAAAACATGGCAGTCGCTCTCAGTATCGAAAAGCGATCGAACTGCACCTCCCCTCGAGCCCATTGTACGACTTCCTTGAGGGCCGTGTCCCGCATCCTGCGCATACATACCTTCGTCTCATTGAAATGACCGAGGCAGACGAGAAGGAATTCATAAATCGGGAGATAGGCGAGCGACGTACACGATTGGGAGCCAGGGTTGACCAGGTTACCTTGGAGGTCAAGCGAGAAGCTTTCAAGCGGAGTGAGCTAGAGTCACTCTATCGTGGAATAGTGAACTGGTCCCATGACGACCAGGTTCGACGTACGTACGAGGAGAAGCTGCTGGAACGTGGATGCGATGTTCTTGCAGTTCTTCCTGCAAATGAAAAGGCGGACAAACGGAATGAGGTTTGGCAGGCCGCCCGTGACATGGTCATTATCAAACATCCTTTCGAACTTGCCTGGAGGATCTACATCGAGTGGCAAGATATCCAAAGCTTTTCGGAGTGGGATCATGGGTTCTTGGAGGATTTCATCGAGTTCTTTCCCGAGCACGGCCTTACTAAAGTTCTCAAGGGATTTCTGGCCAGTGATTTCTCACCATTTCCCAAAGACCCGAAGAAACGGAAAGGGTCGAAGAACTCTCAGCAAGCAGCCAACGACCAAGACGCCGATGGCAGCAATGGTGAAATCGTTGAGCTAGCAGCTCAGGATAGCTTGATATTGATGGTCGAAGGTCTTGAAATGTCGTCCTCATCTGTCGTTGCGCATAGGATCGTCAGTGATGTCTACTTATCGCTGGAAGAATACGAAAGCGTGGCTGATGTAGCCAGGAAAGGGCTAGACAATTTACAGTCACTGGTGAAAATGTCTGGGATGAAGCTCCAGAACACGACTGATTCGATGAGAATCACCCTTGCGAATGCCCTGATTTATTACCAGTCTCCAAGAAACCACCCAGAGGCCAAACGCATCTTCGAGGAGATTCTCCGTCGAAACCCGAAATCGACGAGCTGCTTACTGGGAATTGGTCTTATTCTTAAGGTCGATGAAGATTACGTGGAAGCCGTTAACTTCCTGGGACGTGCTCTAAACCGGGACCCGACAAATATCAAGGTCCGGGGTGAGTTATCCTGGTGCAAAGCGCTCAACGGAGATCTCGAATCGGGTCTCGAAGGTCTTCAGGACGTCCTCTCCGAGCTGCAGTCCTCACGCTCCGAGAACCGAGAATTCAAAGCCGAGATCCTCTACCGGTTAGGATACTGCCAGTGGGAAATCGATCCGTCCTCGGCCGCGCGTAAAGATCGCACTGGTGCCTACGCCAGCTTTTTGTCCTCAATTCAAACCAACATGAATTTCGCTCCCCCTTATACTTTCCTCGGTCTGTATTACGCAGATTACAAGAAGGACAAGACGAGAGCACGCCGGTGTTTCCACAAAGCCTTCGAACTGTCAGCCTCGGAGATTGAAGCCGCAAGGAGACTAGCAAAGACGTTCGCCGACCAAAAGGAATGGGATCTTGTTGAAGCAGTGTCTCAGCGGGTCGTGGACTCGGGCAAAGCCAAACCGGCACCCGGCTCGAAGCGGAAAGGCTTCAGTTGGCCCTATGCAGCTTTGGGAACCGTTCAAATCAATAAGCAGCAATACCCTAAGAGCATTGTTTCGTTCCAGGTGGCTCTGAGAATCTCGCCGGGAGACTATCATTCGTGGGTGGGCCTAGGTGAGAGTTACCACCATTCCGGACGGTTCATCGCGGCCACGAAGGCATTCGAGCATGCCCAGCAATTGGAAGGTGCACTATCTAGTTCCGATAAGGAGCAGATTTGGTTCGCACGATACATGCTGGCGAATGTTAAGCGGGAGCTTGGTGAATTCGAAGACGCCATCTCGAGATACGAAGAAGTATTGAGCTTCCGGCCAAACGAGTTTGGTGTTTCTATTGCACTGCTTCAGACGCTTACAGAAAGCTCGTGGAAGAGTCTTGAGCTGGGGCTTTACAACGACTGTATCGAGCTGGCGCGCAAAGCTATCTTCGTGGCGACGTCGCTTGCCCTCGAAAGAGTCGATATCTTTAACCTGTGGAAGGGCGTTGGGGATGCATGCTCACTTTTCGCGTATGTCAAAGCTAAATCTGGACGGCTGCCGATCAGTGAAGCTTTCACCTTGCTCTCTACTCAACTCGAACCCACGGCCTTTGATATTCTCGCCGATGTCGACGAGATAGGCCAAAGACACCTTTCGCTGCTTAAGGATGAAAGCAACGAGGAGACTACACTGTCTGATAAATGCATGTATGCCTCCATATTGGCGTATAAACGCGCCATCCATGTCTCTGTGCACGACGTGCATGCCCAGGCAGTTTCTTGGTACAATCTCGGCTGGGCAGAATACAGGACCTACAAGTGTACGCAGGCTGCTGCGGGCACGACGGGCCAGAAACAGTCGCGCAAATTCTTGAAAGCCGCGATGCGTTGCTTCAAACGCGCAATTGAGTTAGAAGCGGGTAACTCTGAATTTTGGAATGCTCTTGGTGTGGTGACCACCGGCATGAGTCCCAAGGTAGCGCAGCACGCGTTTGTGAGAAGTCTCCATCTCAACGAGCGAAGTGCCCAGGTTTGGACTAATCTAGGAGCGCTCTACCTCATCCACAATGACATCCAACTGGCAAATGAGGCATTTACCCGTGCTCAATCAACGGACCCGGATTACGCCCAGGCCTGGATTGGCCAGGGTTTCCTGGCCCTTCTGTTCGGGGATCCGCGGGAAGCTAGAGGCCTCTTCGAGCACGCGTTCGATATCTCTAGCTCATTGTTGGTCTTGCCGAAACAGCAGTATGCTCTCAGCTTGTTCGACCACCTGATGGCGGATTCCTCGGTTTCCAATGAGATCTCGCAACTGATCCAGCCCTTCTTTGCACTTCATCAACTCTCTTCACAAAACCCCTCGGATCTTCCCTTTGTACATCTCTCTGCTCTTCTTGCGGAAAGGATTGGGGAAATATCCGACGCAGAAACCAGTCTCCGAACAGTGTGCTCTGCTGTTGAAGCCGAATACGAGGTGTCCGAATCAACTTCCTCACTTTCAAGATTTGCGCAGGCGAACGCAGATATTGCGCGTGTTTTACTGGCGCAGCATGAATTCGAGGAGGCTGCGGAGAAAGCTGAGATGGCTCTCATGCTGTCCGGGGAGGAAGACGCAGGAAAGTTCGATTCTGAAACGAGTAGGAAATTGCGCTTGTCGGCACACCTGACCGCTGGTCTATCGCATTACTATCTGAAGTCCATGGACAGCGCGATCGACATGTTCCGCGATGCTCTGCAGGAGGCAGACAATGCACCGGAGGTTGTGTGTCTTCTTGCTCAAGTGTTGTGGGCGAAGGGCGGAGAGGAGGAGCGGGCTGTGGCTCGCCAGCAATTATTCGACTGTGTCGAGGCAAACCCCGATCATGTCGGGGCCGTCACACTTCTCGGAGCCATTGCGATCTTGGACGCAGACAAAGATGTCATCGAGGCGGTCGAATCGGACCTCCAGAACATGATTACGAGAGACGATATTGAGATTCACGAGCAAGCCAAGCTTATCAAGCTGTTGACAGCGGTATCCACGTTAGGATTCAGCGACAACTCAGGTGTACCCGAGGAAACAAGACGCGTGGGCGAGGCCGCTGCCGCCGTGATGAGAGCACCACATCAACCACAGGGCTGGATGGAGCTGTCGGCAGCATCTGGCGAGCCATACACTGCCGAAATGGGCGTCAAGAGAGCTTTGCGGAGCGTTCCCCCTCGTGGCCGACTCGAAGCCGAGGACCTTTCTGCTGCATTTGCCCAGACTGGAAAGGCCGGCGATGCTTTCAGAGCCATTATGGTCGCGCCGTGGAAGCGAGACGGATGGGAGGAATTGAACCACGCGACGTCAACAACAGCCTAGACCTTGAGAGTCCGAAGGGAAGTTATGTTATATAGGTAGATGACTTCTCGGGATCAGCATAAGAAATAAGTTAGTTTAGAAACGCATCATGAAGAATTAAATGCAATGCATTCACACATACCTCGAACAATTCGGACCATTCCCACCTCATTGCGTCTGCTCTCCAGCTGCTGCTGTAATCCTCGCCAACAATCTTTCCTTCCTACCATCCCTCCAACTCTGATCCAGCGCATCAATCTTCCCTCCAAGAATAGTCACACACTCGGGCGTCAACAGCACCATTCCCCGCGCAACCGTCGCATTCCGCAAAAGCAACTTCCCTCCGATAGCGAGCTTCCCGATCCCGATCCCATGAACCTGTCTCAATTCCACAGCCACGGCCTTTGTTCCCTTCGCGTCTTGAACAATCAGTCGATGCGGACCATTGCTATTCCCTAGCTCGTTTGACCCCGCGGCGGTACCGTTCGCGCCGTCGGCACCCTCCCCCCTGTCTTCGCCTACGTTCACCGTCCGCACGATCTCCCGGCCCCGTATCGCTTCTCCGCGTTCAACGCGCTCGATGGCCTCGACTTGGCTCCACAGACTAGAGCCGATGTCTTCGACGTCTAGGACCTGTACCGGGATCGGGCCCTGGATCCGTCTTTCCTGCACCGTGGGGTCGGATATGTCGGCTGGGAGGAGCGAGGACGGGGAGCTGGTTGTCAAGGAGTCTCGGAAATCTGAGGCCAGGACGCGAAAGACAGCGGTTTGCGTCAGGGCTGCGAGAGGAACATTGCGCTGGTGGGATGTGGAGGCCACGAAGGTGTTGAGCCAGGACGACGAGACAGGGAGGGATTTTCCCTGCAATTGAGCAGAGATTTGCTGGTTGATGTTAGCCATGAGGAAGTTGGAGGATCGAATTGGGCGGCTGAAAGAGTGTTGATTGATTGATTGATTGATTGATTTGCGGAGGATGAATTGACGCTAAAGAATCCGGGGAACGGACCACCACCGCTTCCTGATTTGGCCAACAATCAATCAGTCGCATCTCCTATTCCTCTTCCCCCATCCTCGTCATCCACCTGTCTCATTCTTCCTCCCCTCCTCGCAGCTTGCATTCACCCATCATGTCGACTTTATCTTCTCCACGCCCCTCAATCGCTTCGTCCCGAGCTCACTCGCCCACCCCTGCCTCCTCACGCCGTCCGTCCCTCGACACTCTAAACACCCACGTCGGCGGCGGCGGCCTCAGCGCGTCCTCAACGCCCTCCACGGCGCGCGCAGTCTCACCCTCACTCCGCCCGAAACGCAACCGAACCGCCCTCCGAGACTACTACAACCTGAAGCCGTCCGCGGCCGACCCGTCCGGCGGCCCGCGCTCCCCCAGCGTCCCCCGACACACAGATGCCGGCGACATCTCGAGCCCGTCGGTCGTGTCGACCGGCACGGAGCTGGACAGTCCGGACTTCGATCCGCAGCGCTACGTGAACCACCTGCTCGCGACGTCGTCGCTGTCGACGATCCTGAAGGCCGAGAATACGCTTGTCGGCGACATCCGTACGCTGGATAGCGAGCGCAAGGCCCTCGTTTACGATAACTATTCGAAGCTGATCCGTGCCGTTGAGACCATCGGGAAAATGCGGCGGAGTATGGATGATCGGGGAGCTCCGTTGACGATGACCAAGACGTTGGGGCCAGCGATTGCGTTCGTGGCGGAGACTGCCGGGGGTCTGATTCAGGAGGGCGAGGAACAGAGAAGACGGATGAAGGAGGCGAAGACGTCGGATGGGGCAGATCGCAAGAAGGCTGAAAAGCAAACTGTGAAATGGGTGCTGGCGGCGCCGGAAAGGCTTGAGAAGCTCCTTGCCGATGAGAATAGGGAGGAGGCTGAAAAGGACTGGGAGGAGGTCCGCAATCTGCTTGCGAAGTGGGGAGAGGTGAAGGGGGTTAGCGAGATCCGGGAGTCCTGCGAGAAGATCATGGCGAAGGAGGATGAGGCGTCTTGAGGGCTGGATTAGGACGGAAAAAACCTTCATGTCGACGGACGTATCCTGCGTGCGTGGCAGATGCTATGATCTTATTCGAAGCTCGTCATTCGAAGCTCGCTGGGGCTTTCGAGATGCGGCGGAATCCTACAAGTCGTCGAACGGACTGTCTCGCAGGTCGAGAATCCGTAATACACCAGGCCATGCACTGGGCTTGGACGCCGAAATGGCAGGCAAACCATCAACCCAAGAGACCACCCGCACATACAGTCTCCTGGTCTCAGACACAGGCCTTATTGTGGGCTTGAGAAGTAGGCCAACAATCTGCCTAGCTACCGCAAGCACTGGGTCATGTCACCACTTACTTTCATCACTTGCTCGAGTTTAGCGCAAGACATGTACAGATAGAAACAGCATAAACATAACATTCTTACTATGAGACCATCTTTGAACATACGACTTCAGACAAGTCCACTCAGAACCCTCCCGCCAATATGTCCCTGCTATTGTACATGCTCGTCTTCAGCCCCCAAGCGTTACCAGAATTAATGTCCAAGTGCGTATAAGCATCAGTCTTGTAGTAAATCGGTCGATCATAGGGCTTGATCAGGCCTAGATCGACCAGTTTCCGCGCCACCCTCCTTATATCAGCCACGTCGTCGAAATCATACGTGTAGACTGCAATCATGCGTGCCTTGCCCGACCCGTCATTTGTGGCTACTTTCGACGACGGCCCCAGCTCTCCTCTCTCCGTCGCCTGCGCAATCACGTTCCAGACATAGTCCACCCGGTCCGGCGCCATAAAGAACAACCACTTGCCCGTCTTGATGCCTTCCCTTCTCGCCAGGTCAAGGATACTCCGTTCCATGAACTGTTGAGTCCGATGGTTTTCCGCTGACGAAAAGCTTCCTCCAAGGCGTCTTATCGGGGTGCTGCTGCCAAACCCTCCCATGTTATCCTCCGACGCTTCGACCCAGAAGCTGCTCGGATTTGGTGGCTGCGGCCCCCGGTAGTGAGGGTTATGCACGAAGATCCAAGGTCCGGTGTCGTGCATGTTTGCAGTGGAGGGCGGCATGCTTGCGACGAGGTTGGACATCGATTGATTGGGTCGGCGCTCTCTCAGGAGATCGACGTCGGGACGGCGCATGACGGGGTCTGCTTCGTCTGGGTAGTAATCGTCATACTTGCTTTCGTATGGGTCCGATTCGTCCGGGTCCTCAGTAGATGCATCGTCGCCATAGGGTTCCGGTTCTTCAGTTTCCTCTGGGAACGGTTCTCGGGGCGGAGACGGCGATGGCGATGGCGAGCCCGAGTCCGTAGATTCGGGGGACTCAGCCCTCTGCGCAGGCTTCTTGTTGGGTGGAGGTGCAGAGTCAGAGACTGCCGGCTGAGGACTGTCTGCCTTGCGTTTCTTTGGGTTGGATCTCTTCTTGGGTTCGGGAGTGAAAGCATCCGAGTCTGAGTCTGTTGAGCTTGGATCCTCTTTCCTGCCTCTCTTTCTGGTCGATTTCTTTGCAGGCTCCGACGCAGGTTCTGGATCTTTGGCAGATCCTCGACCCTTCGCCTCACTTGTCTTGACTGAGGATGTCTTCTTAGACGTGGAAGTAGACTTGGACGCGGATGCCTTTTCCTTTCCCTTTCCTCTTGACGACCGTTCTTTCGGCGGAGAGATGACCTCGACGTCGGAATCCGAATCAGTACTGGACATTGCGATTGCGGGCTTGGCCTTCGATTTAGACTTTTGCGTTGTCTTTGACTTTGACGCTGGAGAAGCCATAACCAGTAAGATCAGCCTTTGTCAATAAACAGGAACTTTATCACGAAGCGAAAGTAGGTTGGAAAGACGGAAGAGATGATAAAAATGAAAATCCCTACAGGATGACTTCAAGGCGTCGTTCCTGACTTGTTCTTCCAGAAGGGACCTTTCTTCGTCATTGCCTGTGAATGAAAGTGAGCTCTGCCCTTTCTGGTCTATTTATAGATCTCTTTCTCTCTCCGTCGTTTTTTCTTTCCTTCCTTCTTCCGTCCGTTATTATCCTTGGGTGGGAATCGACGGAACCACATACCGTAGAAACTGGATTCCTCGGAGATATCGTGCCAGGGCTTGTCTGACTTTTTGGGCATTGCTGATGGGAGGGACTATCCAACCCATCCAAAAAATACTCTTTGATGTGTGATGGAAGAAGTTCTTGGTTTACCTAGACTTGTTTTGATGAAATTGATAAAGTGCAGCGGTGGATCTTATCGGGGAGGATGGTGGGGACGCCAAGCACTTTTATACCCCTGGCCAACCTGACAAGTGCTGCGTTTGTCTTCTGTTTGTTGCACATTCACTGAGTTATCCTTTGCGTATCTTTATGCGTTGCATTATTTCCCTTCTGGATATGAGCACCATGAGACTGCATACTACATAGTACACATGATCGAATGTCCAATGAAATCAACAAGCCACCAGCATCTAGTCAGCCTCCACGTCCAATCTAAAATGCTAGCTCATTTTTAGATTCACAGCCTAGGCAAGTCATTTCCAGACCTGTGAAATGAATTCGCTCAGGTCCTCCTTCAGCACATCGGGCTTCTCCAGTGCGGCAAAATGTCCACCCTAATCACTGTCAGTTGTCTAGGTACCAATAAGCCACAAAGACACATACCTTTCGATGATCCTTGAAATAGACCACATTGCCGGTTCCCTCCAGCCAGGACTTCGGTATAGGCATGATTTCTTTGGGGAAAGACGAGAAACCGAGCGGCTTGCGAATGAACCAGCGCTGTCGCCACTTCTCCGGGTTGATGAAAGCGTCGAGGTTCTATTCCATATAGTTTAACGATCGAGGCTCTTATCCTGGGATTCCCCAAGCGTGCGCATCACTTACCTCGCGATATGGGTAAATCGCTCGCGGGAACGACTCCGTAAGCCAGTACAGCGATACAAACTCCAGGATGGTCTGGGATGGAAGTGGCTCGTCGACCCATTGGAGGAATTTCTCACCACACCTGTTTACCGGGTCAACCACGGACACTAGCTTTTCGAGTTACTTGCCCTCTGGGGGACTTACCATGCCAGCAAGGCTATTGGACTGCTGGATAGGACAAGGCCAATGGTGCTTGGTCTTGTGGCGTGCTCGTCCGCATAAGCCCTACCAACGGTCAAGAATTCCTCCCTGCGTTTCAGGCCCTGTTTCTCGTAGTTGTTGAGACTGTTTTCAGAGACTCCCGGGGGAGGGGCCGGGATGCCATTGAAATTCACTATGATGGTTGGCATCATTCGCACGTTCTGAGCAGGGGGAAAGTCAATCACACTTACGATGAATAGCTATGAAAATGTGTCAGCTTGATTGAGAACGCACATATTTCAGATGAATCCAAGACAAAACTCACCTTTGCAACTATCATAGTCCACCGCGAGCACTCGAGATACCCTACTTCCGATATCGCCGCCCTGCGCAACATAGCCACTGGCAAAGCCTAGACCTTTCATCAGTTGATCCAGCACCCGGGCTGCATCCTCAGTGGTGTAGTCCCTGTCGAGGGGAGGTCCAGAGGAGAAAGCGTATCCCGGGAGCGAGGGGACAATGAAGTGATAGGGCAGCTTGCTGGGAGTAAACTGCTCCCGGAACAAATCCAGCATCGGAAGAAATTCGAGAAAGCTGCCTGTAGTCGGTACATGAGACAGCAGTCTAATATATCTGAAAAGAGTGTGGCATACCGGGCCATCCATGAAGTAGAAGTACGGGAACCGCATCCGGCTTCTCGGAGAACAGGGCGAGAAAATGCAGCTTGATGTCTTCGATTTCCGTGGTGAATTGAGGGAAGCTATTGGTGCGAGCCTCCAATGCTCTCCTACAAAGAGTCACTGGTTAACTGTACCGTTGATTGCATAACGTTCGGTATACAGAGCACAAATACCAGTCAAAGTCACCCAGCCACTTCTGCTTCATGGTTGTCAGCCAGTCGGACGTGACGCCAAAGCGACCATCCGGTTGGACATTCTCGTATGTCGGCGGGGCGATCTTGGATAGCCTGACGAGATCATATAGTTCTTCAAGCTGCTGCTGGGGAATAGAGACAGTAAACGGGGCCGGCGAGATACTCGCGGCCGCCGGGAGCTTGCTATACGGTGCAGACATGGTGGATAGATCGATTAGCTTGAGAAACTAGGCCTATGGAACAGGATTACTGGTCAACCGTTTGATATTGGAATTTATAGAGGCCTTTTAAAAACAATATGCGGGGTAAACGCCCTCCGCATTTGATTGTTAATCATACGAGGGAGAATGAATCATTCTGCGCCATGACAAGGATCCAATCGATTAGATCGGCAGGCTAGGCTGGAAGGGTACGGGGATTGACCAGGCATCAGAGCGTTGCCTAGAGTTGCATACAAAGTAAAAGAGAAATCTAGACATGATCGACCGTGAATATGATGTAACGGTTCAGGATACACGACGCATGGAATGGTTCACCGCCTGCCGCGGCCAGTCTCTGAATGGAATCAAAAATTCACTCGAGATGCAACGTCGACAGAGGCAAAGAGAGTATTGACAGAAAAGCCAAACCCCAGCAGAATGACTGCTGCACGTCCCGCGTCCGCCACGACCGTCTTCCTCGACCAGCCTCCGAGCTGCATGCAGTTCTGCCCGGCTGCGCCAAACACTTTCGTCATCGGCACCTATCTTTTGTCCGAGAAGAAGGACGACGAGGGGAACGTCGTCGAGCAGTCCAAGACTGGAAGTTTACAGCTATGGAATATTGAGCCCGAACAAAACAACCTGTAAGTAATCCCCACACACCTGATAAATTGAATGAAAAAAAAAATCCCATGTCTGACCTCGCACATCAGCACGCTCATCCACCGGATATCCGTGCCCTACGCAGTCTTCGATCTGCATTTCCACCCGCGAGATCCCTCGCTCTTGGCAATCGCCTCCAGCGTCGGCTCTGTCGCGCTGTTCCGCGTCTCAGGCCCATCACCCACTGAAATCACCCATCTCTGGGCCCGTCCCGTCCACGATGATCCGTCCATCCCGGCTCTCTTCCTGGCCTGGACGCCTCCGCACTGGTTGAATCGCGAGCAGGCCGACGGGTTCGCCGTCACGTTCTCCGACGGCTCCACGGTCGTCTTCGGATGTGATTCCACCGCCACGCTCTCCGAGAAGTCGGACGAGATCGCAGAACTCGGCAGTTTTGCAGCGAAACAGCCCATCGAGGTATGGTTTGTCGCGCTGGCTGCGGTGCAGGACGAGGAGTCGAGCTCGGCGTCGACCACTACTCGGTTCCTGTTCACGGGTAATGATTTCGGTTCTCTGCATACTCGTCGTCTTGCTCAAGCATCTGAGCAGGACGAGGACGAGCTCTTGTCTCCCCTACTTTTGGATCATGATGACCGAGGGAGACACCATACTGCCGGCGTCACGTCCATCCTGCCGCTGCCGCTGCCGCTGGTCGACGGGGCACCATTGCTGCTGACCGGTAGTTACGATGAGTATCTGAGAGTATATCATGCTACGCGGCCGGGCGATGTGCTAGCAGAGGAGTGTCTAGGGGGTGGAGTGTGGCGACTGCAGTTGCTGAAGACGACGCATGAATCCGTAGAAGGGGGTGCGCGATGGACGTTCCTGGTCCTGGCGAGTTGCATGCATGCCGGGACACGAGTGGTGCGAGTTACGGGGGAAATGAAAGAGGGCTCAGAACCTCAATGGGGGATTGAGGTTTTGGCGGAGTTTACGGAGCACGAGAGTATGAACTACGCTTCGGACGTGTGGAAGCCCCGCGGTGGGTATGATTTGCAAGGGCAAGAAGGATCGGAGTTGCTCTGTGTGTCCAGCAGCTTCTACGATCGAAGGGTGTGCATCTGGCGAACGAGCGTATGACCAACACAGGGCGTAAAATGTTTTAGTTCATGAGATAATTCGCTTGGTGAATTCGTGATGCAAAGCGACGGTATACAATTAAATACAACCTACCCGAGACCCTAGAAACGATATGAAGATTGAAAACGCAAAAAGAAAAATCCGTAACGTAGATAAATCTATCAAACAATCGTCTCTAGTTCTCGGGCGTAGCCAATGGCATTCTCGATGATGGTTCCGCTGGCCACCAGAATGTCCTTCTCCGAACGAGCAGCGGCCTCGGGCTCGACCGGGAAGTATATCCGTCCATCACGAAGCACCCATCCGCGCTGCTGGGCGAACTCGATCACAGCCCCCTCCGACTCGAGAAACAACAGGTTCTTGGCGTTGGAAATCGGGAGTGAAGGGTACGCCTTCTCGGAGCAGTCTGCAATTTCGCTGCGGATGGTACCGACCAGGACCTATTCCCCAGAAAAACGACACATTAGCACAAAGATATCCCGGATGGCCGCAGATCTCCAGCATTTCAACTCACATTCGAGAACAAAGCAAAGTCCTCCGAAGGCACTCGCTCCGAGTTCGTCTCCCGCCACACCTTATCGTAGCTACCCTCCATCAAATTTCTCTCCAGCTCCACGGGGTATTTGATGTAGGGGTCATCTTCAACGCTGTGACCCTTCAAGCTCGCCTCCTCAACCAGGCCTTCCAAGACGGTGTGGAAGGTGGTGCTGTCACCCATGCTCAACAAGAGCAGCATATACAGTCCCGTGATTTTGCTGCGCTGGCTGGTCTTAAAATCCACATTGCCGGAGTTCGAGCTGTCCCGTTCCAGGTCGTAGAAGGGCTGGAGCTGTTGGTAGTATCTCGTGAAGGTGGGTGCGTCGGTTTGCCGGATGGACGCCAGAGCGCCGAGCTCCAGGATCTCACGCGCAAGAGCAATCAGCTCGGGCGATGTCGACGGGGTGGGGATCAGGGCGTTCTGGAGCAGAAGAGTCCGCTTTGCGCGGCTCATGAGGTTGTTGGCAGCATCGGGCTGTTTCTGGTTAAGAGCGTTATGGAGCTCGGAGACGAGGGACCGGAGGTCGGCCATGGTGGTTGTGTTATGTATTATGTCGGGGAAAAAGTTGAAGAATTTAAATTGATAGTCTAGAGAGATAGATTGAGAGATAGCAAGAGCGTAAAAGGAAAGACGACAGAAGATGGAATGGTATTGGGGAGGATAGCAAGTGGTGGGTTCGTTAGTTAGCAGTCGGGTTGACGTTGTCAGCAGCTTCCAAGAGCTTCGCCGGCCTTGGCAGATTCTGGTCACGTGCCCATATAGAGCGCCCCTGGTCGCAAGCCCGTGCGGGGCCCGGCTGCTCAAGAAAAAGATATTTGGGTAGAGCTGATGGTACAGCTGGCAAAGTTCACCTGATATCTAGTGCAAGGGCTGACCATTGTCCAGGTGGACTTTTGGTCAAGTTAGCAAATGCCGACCTTTCATCTCGTCCCGACGCTGCAAGGAAACGATATAAGTTCAACTCGACTCTAGCATATAGTTCAATTACAAGAATATGTTTTTGAGGTTGAGCTGATGGTGTAGTTGGCAAGGCTCTCCTTTTGCTATAGCTTTTTGTCACCTAGTTTCTATCTCTTGGTCGGTGGTTCGAATCCCGCCCAAGTCTCTCTCTTTTGCTTTTTCTTTTTATTTTTCTTTTTTTTTCCACTCACTATACCAACACCGCACTCTCTCGCTCTAAATCGCCCCCAACTTCTCCATCGTCCCGACGACCTAGCGACTGCACTGGCTATTGTTGTCTCTGGAATGCGAACTCCGTCAATGTGAATCGTCATTCGACCCCTGCGCCCTTCGTCCTCGTCCGTTCATTTGCAATCAGTCATTTAGCCGTAATTCTCACCATACAGACTGTATCATCTCTACTTCTCTCTCCCCCGCTTTTTGAGACCGAGACATGTTTCAAGGTAATTATATGAGTACTCTGTACAGGAGATAGATGGGTATTATTTTCACCTGTCACTGCTAGCGCCAAAAAACAGAGAGCTCTCCAACAGCAAGATCTAGCACTATCTCGCAACAACTTAGAACAAAAGCACGATCCTCTGACTCTACTGCAGGAGAACCCAGGCAATTCTCTTCTTCAAGTAGCCGGACATGCCGACAGTATTGATGAAAGAAAAGGTGGGTGTACAGACGGGGGAAGTGTAAGCCCGAATGGATATTTCAAAAATTGCTTGCCCCCGAGAGGACAAGACGGTGCACTTAGACCTACTCTAAGTTTCCCCGTATAGAGGGGCATGGCGCGTCGAACAAAGAGAGCTGGGGAGAAAGAAGAAGAAGAAGACGACGAGGGGAAGTAGGCGGTAGATATGCTGGAAGAAGTGTCCGCACCGGGAAGGAATGACTGGTGCAAAAGTGGAAGGAAGAGAAGTCCAGATTAGGAAGGCAGTATGGTGGAGGACGAGCGGCAAGAGCAGTTCGGGCCACGGGTCTACAACCATCAGTTTCAAACAAGAGCTTCATGCAAGAAAGGAGAAAAAGGTTGAATTAAAAAAAAAAAAAAAAAAAAAAAAAAAAAGAGAGAACAAACAAGCTATGTGAGTGCCTCCAAACATATATAGCCGGCTATCATTCCCAGGAAACAATGTCCGCCCCCTCCTCATGACCACGGCTCATATAGATTTTACGACTTTCGCCAGAGTGTTGTAAAAGGGAGTCCCCAAGCCAGTCACCGGATCCCAACCCTTCGTTGCATTCCAGCTGGCATAAGGAACCTCTGAGCCAGGCCCACTGCGACAACCAACCGAACCCCCGTTAACGATGTCGGTGAAACCAGTTTGGTTCAGAGAATAGAGCCATGGGTTCAAGAACCCCAGTCGTGGCTTTTCATCTTCCAGCCGTACCGCATTCAACCGAGAGATGATAGCGGCAAAGGCGGGCGCCGAGGCACTGATCAGAAGCATGTTAGCCGGCAGTCTCTATATACTCGGTCCTGGTGCGGTGACTTACCTAGTACCACCGATCTTGATGATATTTCCTTTATCCACCACGAGGAAGTTGGCGGCTTGAGCGGCAACGTCGGGAATGGCTCTCCCAACGCGGTTATATAACCCATCCCATCGATCCCCAAGTTCTTCGAGGTAACGACCGATGCTTTCGTCTTGATATCTGGGGCGCGCGAATCGTTCAGAGAAACCACCTCCCGAAAACCCGATGGCTTTTTCGGGATCGATGCCGTAGGTGCCGCCTACGGAAGTCACGAAGGGACACGAGGCCGGGAATGTTGGCTGAAAGCGAGTCGTGTTGGTCCCGTCGTTGGTGATGCAAGACTCCCCAACCCCCGAGTCACCGCTGCTGAATATCACGGAGACACCACGTGCGCCAAGCTGGGCGAACAGGTTGCAGGTCGCGTTCGAGTACGATTCCGGTACGGTCTGCTCGTCCTCGCCGTAAGAAGTGGTCAGAACCGCGGGAAGCTCCTCGTCCGGGAGATTGAGAAGATAATGGAGTTGTTCCAAGTACGGTTCGTTAGTCGACTCGCTGTCCTTCGATTCGCCGACATTAGGTACGGCAGGACCGCGTCCGCCAGTGGTGTAATACGTCGTCAGCGAATTATATGCCAAGGCCGCGGCATATTGTATATCCAAGCTCGCCTCAGAGCTCGACCGAGTAGAGTTCTGCAAGTTCAACCCGCCGTTTATGGAAACCACCGTGAAATTGGTATCGGTCCGATTGGGCGCATATAGCCCCATGAAGTCGTGGAAGTCGCCATACCGCGCGTACTGATCTAGAAACCCCGAAACCCCGAGTATGTTGCGAGGGTCAGGCTCCGCCTCGGTGTCATAAAGGCCGTACAGTTCCCGGAGACAATCCGGGGTGATGCTCGTTGAACAGTTGGCCGAGAGCTCTTCGAAAGTCGCCGCAGTCGGTTGGAACTGTGGCATTTCTGTCTGCGATACTAGTCTTCCAAATCGAGTCGTAGGCTGAACTAGTTGAACGAACGGATAGATCTCCTCAGGCACTGAGTATTCTAGGGTTCTAATCACCATCGCCCCAGTCGCTCTATTGTAGAAGTTGTAGAAACGTGTTTTCAGTAGAGCCTCGGCCTGGTAAAGCGGAACCGTGAACGTAATCCAGTTCCCATGAATGTCGAGAGTTTCTGGCGGAACATCCTCCGATGCAAGCCAGAAGAGAACCGGGTCCAATGCCCCAGCTGATGGGCGCACAAAGTCCTTGATCTCGTCGCGCTTCATGTGTTGTCCATAGCTGGGATGACCAGGGGTAGATAGGTCCATTACCCTTTGCTCGAATTCGCTTGCTTTCTCCTGGTGAAGAGCCAAATGAAACCTCATTTGCTGGTGTGGTGGAGGCGCACTGCTCTTTATCCAGCCATCAGGCACATGGCTCAAACGCTCAACCACTGCGTAACCAGGTTCGGCGGCCACAACGAGGTACAAGCAAAAGAGCACGAGGGACAACGTCCCTGTGAGATGAGAGAAGGCCCCCATCGAGAATCTAGTACGGCGCAGTATCACCTACCGCGGGAAACCAGAAAATCGACAGGACGCTGAAAGAAGAACACGAAGAACAGATGTATTTCCCCAGGCGTGGATGGATAAACCCGAGGAATTTTGTAAATATCTTCGCCGTCGCATGCCGGGGTTGGGCCGCAACCTACCAGATAATATCGCAACGCGTCGAGAAACCTTGTCTTCCCGGTGACCTAAATAGGCTTCCAGCGAGCTGGTAAAAGGAACCAGCACAGCCAGTCCAGGGGCTACTTGATGCCACACAACGGTTGGTCTTATCCTGGGAAATGCATAGCCATCTTGAACCGGCTTGGATGAAGGGAGGGCGTCTCAACCTTCCATCCCGCCCACGTCCTTAGGAGGAATGTGACACTCCGACGCATCACGACAAAATCCGCCATGAAATTCAAAATCGTTTGGGGGATTGACACGATTCGCCATCAAGTTGGGTCAAATCTTGGTATATCTCTGAAAATGGCCCCGATACGCCATCAAAGAACGTGGCGAGATCTACGCCAGGATGAAATTCGCCTGACCCAAGGTCGAACCAGATGAAGCAGCAATTGCTGCTGTTTGTTGGTGATACCGCTGGGCGGGGCGATGCCGCGATTCATGCCTATTGTCGCTTTGTTATTGACGACCAGATCAAGCAAGGGAGGGAAAGCGCCCGATCTCCAATCACTGCGCGCCAAACGGATTCCTCGGCGACGCTCGAGTGACACAAAGAATGGAGTTGCGCGGAAGAAGCAAACATCGGGAATGCCACTAGTCCTCGCTGATCAGTCGTCATGTTAGACTTTGCCACCTGCGCCAGAGACTCTCAATGCCGAAAGGTACAAAGGGGTCATGCCAGTCCGAGTCCGTACTCCGTATCTACTACTGTGACTTTCCCGATGTATCTACTCCCTACAGCTTAAGGGATTCATTATATGACCTGGTGCTCCGTGGGTTTGGTTTTCCGGTTGACTGTGGCTTCAGCACTCTACCAATGTTTGGTTGGCAGGATTCATCCCGCAAGAGATTTCGGGTCGGTCAATTGAGCACCAAGTTTGGAAGTTCCAGCCCTGATACGGGCCCGTGGAGCAATGGAATCTCTAGATCTGGACTCCTGCAACTTGACGGGTGCCTGGCATATATACTTGGTGTCTTGGTTAACATCCCCTCAAAGTACCAGTTACACTTGTCACAATATCATCACGGTATTCGACACAAAAGCCCGACCAGTCATCCAGTCATGGTGTTCGACAGCATCATAGAAATATTCATCTACCCGAGACATATTCATGCCATCAAGCACATCTATAAATCCCATGCCCAGGTCCGGACGCAAATAGTTTCCTAGTGCAGCAGGATCAAGCGGCTCGGCGCTAACTTTCTAGCCGTAAAGATGCGGGATCCACCCCTTCAGATAAGGGACTGCACTTGGGGCTAGGAGAGATCTGACATTCTGCAAGGTCTCTGGGGGATCCATGCCCATTTCACACAGAACGGCATAATGGAGCGGAGTCGAGCCCCATTTGCCCAGCTGGTTGAGATTAGTAGAGCCGCCATTCTTGTGAATGAACTCTAGAACACAAACATCATGTATGGAGGTTTGGTGGGTTTGTTCGAGAACAACCTTTTGCGATACTCGGTTGTTAAAGCTGCTGATGCGCTTCGAAGTGTAGCTGCAAAGATGAGAATAACCCTCATACCGGTCCCAGTAGATGCGCCGTTTATGGCCATGATCTGTGTCTGAGCTGTAAAGCTCTCAGATAAGTACGGAGTGCAGTGGACTCAGTGGTTCAGGTCCGAGGTGCTTCCGGCAAGGTAGCCATGCTTGCTGGCGCAAGCCCTCCATTCCTTGCACTCGGTAACAACTTTTTCGAGGCTAAACCTTCCCGAACAGGTGTTCTCGGTCAGACGATAGCCACATGTCAGACAGAATGCGTCGTCGCATCCACGGGGACCCGTCGACGTCGAGGAACCCAGTGGTTGGAGTTGCAGCTTGAAGATTCGCCGGAGGAAATTGTTGAGTTCAAGCAGGATGTCGGGTACACCTCAAGAAGTTGTGAAGTGGAAGATCACTTCCCGGCCGTCGTGACTAAAACCTTCACACCCTCCGCAATGGAACAGCTAGGGCTCGTTTTCCCATTATAAATGTAGGATGCCGAGGCCAGTTCTAGCCATGATGAATGCCGTGAAACGTCAGACTGGTTACCAACAGCTGCAATTGTCGGACACGGCGCCGTGTGCACATCGGGCTTATCTTGCACATGCTGATTTCTTCAGGGGAAACTCTGCATCATCCCGTGATTGGCCCGGGGTGAGATGCACGGATCATGAAGACTTTGGGGACTAGGGTATAAATTAAATATTAGTTCGTATAAAGAGGGAACCTCGTCGGTGTAGGTAAGCCCTACTAATGGGACAAGAGACCTTGTCCGGGTGGAATAACAATAACGGATGATTGTGTTTGAATAAACTTCTCACCGCTGCTTATCATTGGGAATAAATCCACAAGAGTTGGATCCTGAATCTTGACGATTCATTGTTTCGTCTGGCCCCCAGAAGTCCAGCCGTCTAGTCCAACTTAGCGGGGGTAATCACTAATTACTAGTTAGTAGTACCTACTCCACGGGCAACACCTACGGAAACACCTACACTTGACACATTGCGGCTATCCTACCCCCGAACGCCTCGGACGCAATGGAGTGTCGACATGTCGACATGTCAGCAGAAGATATTCCGGCCGAACTCTCCAGCGGCAAATTATTGGCATGCTGACCGGCTATGATGGACCAAATAAAACCCAAAGACGCGAGGGTGCATGCAAGGCCAGCAAACGATCGCCAATCGGGGCGCAACAGACGAAACCCCCCTGTAAGACAAGATGCAGCCTCGCATCAGCTGCTGCGCTGTTTCTTCGCCTGCAGGACACCAGTCCATTTTTCTCTTTCTTCTCACTTCTCTCCCCCTCCCAACCCCCGGTCAATGCGGGTCATCGGGCAGAACGGGCCTTCCTCGTCGTTTCTATTCCTTTCCTTCATGTCAATCCATCTGTCATCTCCAAAAAAAAATTAAACTTGTCTCTCTTTAACCACCTGAAGTCCCCTTCTGACTGACTCTTCAACCCCCACCCACACTATCACGACGCCTACTCCGGAACTCTCACTTCGGATCGGTCCACCATTTGGCCCCCTCCCTCATAAGCGTGCCGATCGAGTCAACCGGGTCCGCTCTTATGTCCGAGGCGCATTGGCTTCGTTTTCTCCATGTCACATCCGCTCGTGGCAGCCGTTTGGGAGCAACTCGGGCGCCGTGATCTGGCAAGCATTCTACGCGAGATTATCGGGGAACATGCGGCTGCGATTGCCGTCTCCCAGATCCAGGATGGCACGCAGGCCTCCAAAGTCGAGTCCTTGACGCGCTCGGTGTTTTGGATCCGCGCCATTTTCGATCTACAGAGGACGTACTTGCAGGGATTGAGGAGTGTTCATGATGGCCAGTCGAACTTTTTGCATTACTTATTGCCGTCGGATGTGATACTGTCGGCCGTCATGTACCTGGTGCAGGTCAAGACCAGTCTGTTTCCGTGTACCTCGACTACCGCGCCCGACCTGGTACGCTCTCGACATTTCTTGGCCCATACGCTACTGGCGGGCATTCGCCTGTTGCTCCTGCGCGGGGAGAACATGTCGCCCGATGCGAAATTTAACATGGAGCGCGTGATCCGTTCGGCGTGGCGCGACCCCGACTTGTCCGGCATGGAGAGATATCTGGTCAGCGACCTGTTGCCTAAGGCCATCAACAACATCGGCTCGCCAGAGTTGTGTAGGAGCCAAACTCCCCTGGCCATGGGGAAATCCGGTTCCCCGGCGTTTGTCTCGGGAATGGTAGGTTCTGCCTCTGCGCCGAAGCTGAGGATATAATCGGCTGACGTGAATTGTTTTAGTACCCGTTCTCGGGGACATCGGAGCCGAACATCACGGAACTTTTGTCCGCGCTCCTCAATAACAAGACCGACCAACTGATTCCGTTCTGCCTCTTATTTGACATGCTGTGGGCGGCGGAGTCGGCCCTTGTCCAGTGTCATATCGACCGCCGGCGCGTCTCCCAGGAAGCAGAGCACACTAGTGATGCAGCATTCGAGGTTGACGAGGCTTTCGAAGAAGCGCGAGAGACACGGACGAAATTGGCCAAAACAATCTTGGCTGCGTTCAAGGATGAGTTTACCACTCCGTCTTTGCAGGTACTGGCGACCATTATATTGAGCCAGGACGGCGAGGGCCAACCGCCCGTGCAAACGAGGAGGATTCGAGACTCGTGGGCCCAGCTTTCTGGGCTGCGGGAGACATGGGAGAGCTCCCTCGGGCATCTAGTGAGGTGGTTGATCAACCGCAGAGTCCAGCTCTGGGGCTGCAATGGGGAGCTTGAAGCAAACTCGCACTATTACCAGCAGAACCTGGCCAATTGGTTACAACTCTCGCCTGTACCAGACAGCGGCGACTCATTTCAAATGCCCGAAAAATGGGCCGACATCATCTATGTGGTGAACTGTCCTGCGGTACACCTCATCCCCAGAGGACTGTTAGAGGAACAGCTGAGAAATTTTGACAAAAACGCTCTCGAAGTATGTGCAGACCCGGCTCCCCACATTCTAGCAGGATAACAGTTTCCCTCCACAACCCAATGGGTTTGCCACCGCGTCTACTAACAATCGTATTAGCAACTGAAAGGGAACCTGCGGTTTTTGACCACGAATATATCTTGCCCCATGTGCCCTGGGAACACAAAGATACAGTACGCACGGATGATTGAGCCTCTCGACCAAGTGACTACGCCCATACTCCCTGAATCGGACAGCAACAGACGCCTCTCTCTCTCCGGCTCAATCTCCCGAAATACAACATCCTCGAGTTCAGTAAGCTATTCAACGAGCCACTCCTCAGGCGATGCATTGAGGAGTCCCGTCACACCGGTATCATATACGCCCGGGTTCAATGAGATTGGAAGCAACCAATCAGCTGGCATGTACCCAGATGGGTCGGACCCGTATCTGACTAGGGCGAAGGGAGACCCGTTCCTTGAGAAGCAAAAAGTCAAGCCGATTTCAAGAGAGCTGAAGAGTGTGAAGCTACCCATTGGTGGAGGATCTATATTTAGACGCGGTTCGTCCCGAGAGGCCCAACTGCCCCAGCAACCTCGATTCTGTTTCTCGGCTTCTGGAGAGTCCCTCCTCCTTTGGGGTGCCGGTAGCAACTGGCTAGTGCGCTTCGAAACATCCTCTGTTGAAGCGCAAAAACCCATTGGTCAACGATATGACGTGTCCGGCGTACAATACGCCGCCGCAGGCGATCAGCGCTGCGCTGTGATTGCCGCAGTTGGGGAGGTGAGATCAGTCCCCTTTCTATCTTGCAAGACCGAGACTTCATTAGCTAACACGAGTGCAGCACTATGAGCTTCTTATCTTCCACAAAACGGCGCCCGTTCCAGAAGCATTCGTGACAATCGACACCCAACTATCTCTATTACCTCCAATTTCCATAGTGATGTCACGAGATGATAGATACGTCGCATTTACCCTCAATGAGGAGGTTCGAATTTATGAGGTTGGCACCAAATACATCAGAAAAATCATGGTAGACATGAATCTGAATCACCACAAAATATATTCTGCCGACAGCTCAATACCAGCAGATGGTACAGCGGAAAAGAGCAATAAAACAGCACTTGAGAGAAAGATTCAATTCTCCACCGACGGGAAGAACCTCGTCGTTGCGACCCATTTAGGAGGTCAGGATGCCTTTGTGGACGTTTGGAACTGCAGCACCGAGCAATGGAACGTCGGTCCCGACTGTTCGAGGACATTCAAACTTCCACCAGTAAGTGTACACTTGACCTTGCGTGTCTCATCAACGAGCATTCTAACGGCAGACAGTGGACATCCAACGATAAAGGCGCCACGTGTGTTTTCTATGACAATTACCACCGTGCCGTCCTCTTGACCGCCTCATCCAAGAAGGAATACCCTGTATCATCCCCTACCGTCGAGGAAAGCAACATGAGTGACCAATCTGGCACAACGATCATCCACGCCGCCCAATCGCCGTCCGGGTCACGGTTTGTAATAGCCAATGGGAACAACCAAGTCTGCTTGTGCAACACCAGTGCTAGCGGGACACTCAGGCCTTCGCGGACAAAAAAGGCCTCCAACAAGATCAGCCCATCGGTCTTCAAGCCAGGAAAGCTGGCTCTCTCCTTCCCGCGGGAGAACGAAGTACTCCTGTTCTGGATCAAACAGGGGCGGCTAATACTCCGCATGGTCCGACTATACGAGGGCAACGAGACCGTCAGCGAGTACGATTTGCGGTCCGATTATGACCGGTTAGTGATGGAGCGCCTCCAAATGGCCGGGTCACCAATCCACCACCGGCAATATTCCTTGTCGAATCAGCCAATCGCGGAGATGGATGGTCTGGCGTTATCATCTCCTGGAAGACCCGAAATGCCCGAACTCCCATCGACCTGAAAGATATCCCGTGTTTCCATACTAGCGATCTTTGTGAGCATGTACTTGATTAAAAGAAGGTTAGGTTGGCTTGTCTGTATACTTTTGTCTGTACTGTAACAAAGAGCAAACAAAGAAATGCGAGGCAGTGACATTACGTAATCTCGGAGCAGGCCACCTGTTACCTAAACGGGTTAGAGCGGGGAGCTTGGCGGATCAACAAAAGACCGAGCGCCGGGGGCTTCCTCGACGTCACCAACGACAGCATCAACATTGCCTAACAAAGAGGTCTCTGAGGAGAAGGAGAGCGCCAGAGGTGAGTGTTCTTGCTGTTTTTGGTCCTTTGAGCCCTTATCTTTCACTCCTTGCACTCCCCGCGTCTCTGGACTCTAGTGAACATGTGGATCTGCCTTTGCGGATGATCGACTTGGCATCGGGCCATTGACGAAGCCCCTCATGCGCCGATACATTGCTTGCTTCTTTCTATGAGCTAACTTCTGCTCGGAATTACAGGAATCCAAGGTGTTCCACAATCTTGAACCGCATTTGTCCGTTATCTGAGCCCCGAACAGACACCATTGTGTCAGCCGTTCCACCCCATCAACTATCCACGGCGCATCACTTCAGGTCGACGTCATTAATATACATGCCATCCGAGCACTTCCCCCAACCTTCCTGTACCTACCAGTCACATCAACTCCTACTTCGATCAAGACAAGCCAACCCTAAATAGTGAAAGTATACTTCTTTTTATACACACAATCATGTCACAACCCGAGTACGACTATGCGCGTCGGCCCTCGCAGGCTGAAAACCAGACCATCCAGAAATCCGAAATCCCGTTGAAGGAGCGGTTCTTCCGCTACTTCCAACAAGAGATTACTGGTATGATTACAGCTCCTGGACTGTGAAACACAGTCAAAGACACCCTGACACTAGAGGTATTCTGTAGCTCTCCAAGAACAAATGGACCGTCTGGCAGATACGTCTCTCATAGGCGGAGAACGCACCGATGCCACCGATCACTGTCTGGCTGGAATCGCGCGGTTATCGAACGAGGTCAAGGATGCAGCGAGCTACATCCCAACTTATGACCAGCGGGTATATGCAGAGGTGAGCATTTCCCTGCAGGCTGCATTCGCACCATTCATTATTATTGTCGCTGTTTTAAACTAATGCGTTCTAGGCTATCAAGGCACTGCAGGATAAGCTGGCCGAGACCAGGGCGCTAGTGGAGCCTCGTCCTAAGTTCAGCTTTAAAACTAAGAAGAATGCTTCGGCTGTCTCCTTGAATGATGCCGCCCAGCTTGCTATGGAACGTCGCCGTCGCGTACCGGGATATCTCTCGCCCGGCGCATCCTCCGTTAGTTCGTCGGAAGGCCAGACACCCAACTACCCGTCCACGCCATTGAATGAACCCAACCCGATTCTTCAACCCCGGGCCGAATTCGCTCCTACTTCTGTTCCGGCGATTTCAGTGGACAAGCCAGACATGCTATCAAAGGAGGACGACATGAACTCTGCCTTTGCTGCGACGGCTGTGTCGTCCGTGGCGGTGAATAACCACTTTGGCCTTCATATCATGCTTCCTGCCTCCGGGTCCACTGCTACTGTCCCCGCGTCTATCACCTCCCTCCGTCACTGCGTGGTGGACATGTCCATACCTACTGCGAACGGCAAGCCCTATGCTAGCCTGACGGCCAAGGGCATCAAGGAAAGTCTCTTGATTTGTGGCCAAATCAACGGCCCGGCTCATATCACAGGCGCGGAGAACAGCATCATCGTCGTGACTTCCCGTCAGTTCCGCATGCACAACTGCTCCAACGTAGACGTTTATCTCAGCTCCTCGAGCAACCCGGTGATCGAAGACTGCAAGAATGTTCGATTTGGCCGGATTCCCAGAGCTTATGTATGTTCCTGAGGCCTAGATTCCCGTTGATAACTACGTACTGATTCCCGTTCGCTTACTAGGCTCTGGATCACGACCGCCCCGATACCGAGGACCGCTGGAATCAAGTCGAAGATTTCAAATGGATCAAGCCCGAGCCCAGTCCCAACTGGAGCTTGCTGGGTGGCGACGATGCGGTCCCGGAGGAAGTGTGGGCGGAAATTGTCCCTGGTGGCCCTGGATGGTCTCTGGAAGATATCCTCCGTGCTACTAATATAGTGAAAGCCTGATTTACTAGCCGCCTTGTGGGTATTTTGGCTAAAGTCACTCTGTTATGGTTCTTGCTTTTTTATCTTGGATGACTTGAATGTTGGTAAGGAGCTGGTATCATTGATGACGGCCCATCACTTTTTGAATTATCCCTTTTTATCTATCTGGAATGGAGTTTTGCTGGTTGATTTCATGCGATTTACTGCGGTTTCGTTTGTACTAGTACTATAATGTACAGGTCTGGAATTGAAAATCATTTCATGCATGCTTTGGATCGATGACCAGGATGGATCATAAGACGAAGCCCGCTAATGTGCTTTACAGCTATATGATCCATTCGAGTGCAGGAACCTGGCTTCCATCCGCATTTCCAGACTTTATATATACATGTGTTTAATACCCGCAATGGAACTCTTAAAACTCCACCCTGAACACCAGCACCTGGTTATCAATATCATACCCAGACCCGTCCGAGTACTTGAACCGACCAAAGTTCATATATCCTATGACAGAGAATTTAATACTTAGCACCGACATTCAAACGCCGCAGATAGAACCGTATCCGGAGCAACGCGAGCCAAGGTCTCACTTACCATCCTGAGTCATGAAGTCATTATCACTGAAACTAAACAAGAAGTACTCCTTCTTGCTGTTGCTCTTCGACGACGACGACGCGCCCGCCGGAACCAGCGCCAAACTCTCCCACTTCTCATTCAGCAGACCAGCATCCTGGTCGGCGCCATTATGCAGGCCGAACTTCGCCAATTCCGAGTCGACGTTGAAATTCAGGAAAGAGCAGTACTCGACGGGGGTGATGTCGTCGTTTAGCTCGCCCTTGGAGGAGGCGATGGATGCGCCGGCCTCGTCGTACTTGCCCTTCAGGTCGGTCGTGGCGTTCGAGACCGAGAAGACGTCGACGTGGCGGTACACGGAGCGGGTGTTATCCTGGCCGTGACCGAAGTTCGAGTCCCGCGACAGGATCAGGAAGTCGCCTGTCGGGAGGGCCAGAATCTCGGACTGCGAGGCGACGCGCATGGGGTCTTTCTTGTCTTCTTTTGTGTAGTCGTTGTATTTGGGGAGGAGGACGGCGTATTCGTGCTTGAGTTTGGGTGTGTCAGAGGAGATATCGTACGCGAGGAAGCGCGTAGGCTGTCGGTTCTTCTTCTTAGGTCCGCCTTCTTGATCCAGCGCGGATTGCAGCATCGTGTACAGGGTCTTGCCATCAGCGGAGAGGCTCAGGGCCTCGAGGCCTTGGTTGTTGTTGCGGCCGCTGTCGGTGTCCTCCGGGACGGGCAGGCGCTCCGGATCGTAGACCGGCGGGCTGGCGGCGCTGAAGCTGCCGGTGGAGTTGCGATGAGGGAGGATGGCATCTGGGGGCCGGATCGCTTGCACCATCTGTCCGGTCGCGGTGAATTTGTACACGTAGGGTCCGTATTCCTCCGAGACCCAGAACCCGTCGTCCGACGTGTCTAGGACGAGTCCCTCGGCATCAATCGTCACTCTCTTGCCGCCGGGGCCAGATCCCCCGAAGCCGTCGCCCTCGTAGGTTGCTACAGGCAGAGGAGGAAAGCCGGAATATGCGGCCGAACCGGTCACGTCGGCGTCGAGGCCGGTGAGAGGCTCGCCCTTGGGGTCGGTGAGAAGGATGGTGTCGAGATACTTGAGGCCGAGGTTTGGTTTGGAGGGGTGTTGCGCCGACGCATTGGGGGCGAGATGAAGAGAAAGCCCTATCTTGTGGATGCGTGGCTGGAAGTTGATTGTGCCATTGGTGTTCCTGAAGCAGTTTTTTAGATGGATTGATCAGAATCTACTGTGGGAATCAAGACAGTAACGAACCAGCCACGATCAGGGAGACAGTAGGCGACACCTTCATATGAATCACGGCCTGTCTGGCGCCAGGAGGCCTGGTCGATGGCCGCAGAACTGCCAATGCCTCCGAGGGTATCGCCGTATTTGTCGAGCGCGTTGGACGGGATGAAGCCGTAGCCTTCTAAACCAGTGTATGCATACTTAGTGCCCCCACAGGTGGTCTGGTTGACAATGCGATTGGCACGTGGGGGAAGAGACAGCGCCGTCACGGCTGCCGAGAGAGGCAGAGTGGCTGCGAAGAAGGTCAATTTCATAATTGACGGAGTTGGTTGCAGGACAAAAATGCAGAGACAGAGAAAACAAGAAAACAAGAGTTGTTATTTCACCGCCATTCGGACTGGAAATAACACGACGATGGATGTGAATTAAATACTCCCCCTCATCACGGAAAGCAAGCTATGGCAATAGCCAAGACAGCAGCGTCGAACGTGGTGACGATCGCGCCTGTCATTCGCGCGATGCTAGTGTTTGTTGTACAATTAGGCTGGCACGAGGAGACTCTCATTGGCGTTGATTGAACAATGCAATCCAACTTTTAATTAACTGTCAGGGGCATTGCCTTCCCGATCGAGAACTAAATACTCCTTACACGGTTGATCCTCCACCTATTCAGGACTTCCAACCACTCGCATGACTCGCCAAACCACTATTACATCCAGCTAGTTATGTACCTATGATGTTGTCCAAGTCGTGGGCACCTTGGGATATTTCTTGGCATCCAACCCAAGGTCTTCATACACGGTGTCATCGCCTAGGAGTAGAGGACGTCATTAGCCGGTGGATGCGACGAACCCATGTATGACAAGAAGGAAAATCCTACCTCGCAACGATTCCACTCGTTCTTCATTTTCGTGCTCGAACTTTTCAAGTTCTTCCCCGGGCTGTTCTTCTCCCTCTTGTTTATCGTCAGGGTCGGCAGTGGCAGCCTTACCCAGCTCATTCGTGGACTCGCCGACCATGAGGAATTGAGCATTGGGGTAATCGATGAACTCGGGCTCCAATGGTTTCCAGCGGTAATCACCGAACTTCTCGAGAATCCTGTTTTTCAAAGTAAGTTGCTATGAACCTGGAAGAGTGCTCTCGGGCAGGGTACGACAGAGTCATACTGTTCAGGATACTCCGGGCCTTGGGGAAGAGCGGCGTATGAGGGGCCTGGATGCTTGGGATTCTTAGACTGTACAATCCAGCTACCGCGTCCATGGAGACCGAAGTCCTCCTGGAGTGTCCCGATCTTTTCGGGAATAGTGAGGATGTAGGCCAAGTGCGAGGCTCGTTTCGCAGACGTAATTGCATAGACACCCTCGGCGAACGGTCTGGCTTCTTCGATACTACGCTCGCCCTGGGTAGCAGTCTCGTATTTTCCGCCGACCATGAAGCTATCATGTAGCGCTTTCATTGACTGGCCCGCCTTTTCCACAAATCCCATATCTCTCTCATTCCCACTTGTAGGGAATTTCTTTTTTGGGAGCGCCATCAGTCGACATTTCGAGCCAGCTTCCACCGTCCCTTGATCTTCACCAAGCGCGGCTCCCAACGGGGTGGGCCGCAATACAATAAAACTCCGAGCAACGTCGTTTATGCTCTGAGGTTCCGAAGTATTAACACGAGGACGGTAAAAGAAGTAGATGATACCTTTCTCAAGGACATTCGAGGTAATGACGTCTTCTCTCTTCGGGGATTTCTTGACGCCATTCTCAACTTCGTGCTCGGGGGCTGGTTTCTGATCAGGCGCTATGAGCAAGTCGTAAGTATAAATTGTTCAAGTTGGGGCTGGTATATGGCTCTATATTATTTCGCACCTGCAGATTCAGGGGGTTTGGTATTTTCTGCACTGGCCGCCGGAGACTTCTCCGGCGATTTCTCCTCAACATGCTCATAATTCTTCTCGGTCTTTGGTTCCTCAGATTCCTGTTCCTTGTGTTCGTCATGCTCGGGCGCGGGCTTATCCTCTTCTGCCTGTTTCGATGGTTCGGTTGACGGTGTCTGCTCGGCTACTTCTTCCTGAGCGGGCTTGTGGTCATTCTTCTTCTCTTTTTTGGTCTCTGGGCCTTTATCAGACGACTCCTTGCGCTTCGTGCCCGCTCCGCCCCGGGGCTTGGTGTCTGGAGCGGCAGCCATGGCCTCTTTGGCTTTCTGAGCAGCTTGGCGGGAAGAAGTTCTGGTTGGCGCCATTGTGGGTTGATACAATGAGGGTACAAGTCGTGTGGATACAGAATTGTCTTTAATGAAGCTACGGTAAGGTCGAGAACCTGCAGAGCCTCTTCCAGGTCTTCGAGGTCGATGAGGGCTGAGTGACGTCATAGATGTCGCCTACCTGATCGGGACTAGCGCGCTTCGAGACTAGGATAGGTCACGTGAATGACAGATACCCGATGGGGCAGAGTATAGATCACATCTGATCAAAGCACAGATTCAATCCAGATCCATTAATTCGGGAGCATTAAATACATCTGATGCGCTCGTTGTACTTGCATCAGTGAAGGGAGAGTCGGGTGTGAAGCTGTCGCTTGATGCGGCCTCACTGAGTTCCGGAGGTGACAAGCTGCTTCCCCTGCGTTGTCTTTTCGGACTTAGTGACCCTTCCCCGTATTGCGCATCAAACGTGCCCCTATAATCCTTTTGGTGTGCGCCAGAGGGCCCTGCGACAGTGTTCGGCTTCCTCTTTCTGCCCCTTTTCGATCGATGGACAAGCCGTGGGTTTGTGCTGTCCGAATCGCAGTGAAGATCCTCCAATGAGCCGACCAGGTCAGATTGAGCTTTTCTAGCATGGTCCCTTGTTGAGCGAGGGATTTCGCTGGGGTCATCGCCCGGTTCCTCAATTTCATAAGGCTGGACTACCACAGCGTTGGTGCCGGGCTCGGGATCTTGCGCAGTGGCGTCTCCCAGCAAAATCAATCCTTCATCGGAGAGATTGCTTTGGCTATCGTCCACACGGGACGTGCCAGACAGCCGGCTGTTATTTTCCCATGGTATTTGGGGTTGGGTTGGATTCGAAGTGGATGGGTTCGTTTCAGAGATATCGCTCATGTCGCACTAGCCAGGGTCCAAGGTATATAACGATTGCAACGAGTATATCACCCTCATGCCAAATCAGAAACTCGGTTGTATGTCGGACAATCGAAAGACGGTTGAAAGGTATATCTTCAAGCAAGATACTTGAGCACGGAATGCGACCGCGCAAATCAAATTGCAATTTCCCTATTAGAGGTCAAAGGATTCACGTCCCAGATAGAAGAAAGGGAAGAGGAGGGGGAGAGAGATATCATAAAGAAGAGCGTTATATGATGATATTGATTTCTGAAAGGAGATGGGAGCTCTTGAGAGTAAGGAAAAAGGGGGACGGATCACATCTTAAAGAACGGCGGAGACCCCACGAGGACGGAGGGTACGAAGCGTATAGAAGGCCAAAGAGCGCAGGTAAGAAGGGCAAGAACAGGTCGGAAACCCAACGAAGAGTATGTCATGGCGGCCTCAGGCGTCCAGGCACCCATCGGAGGGCCGCTCACCGCCGGGGCCATGATTGGCTCTCAGGCCTCGCTTACGGCCATTAAGTCCACGTTACTCTACCGCCCCCGTTCCCTTAGTCTGGTCTGCTTGTTGCTGGCTGTTAGCAGTTAGTTGTCCAGACTGTCTGGCTAGACGTTCCACGACCTCACCTTGCCGCAATCCTCTGCCATTCTGCCCGCCCCGTTGCAGTGGATGAGGTGGTCGCCTTCTCCGGTATATTATTTGTGATTAGCGAGCGGAGCTTGCCTCTCTATGGTGCGGCTCCGGCCAACACTCCCTCAAGATGCAGTCCTCCCCAAACATGCTCACCAAGGTCCGTCTACCCCGGGTTTAACCCCCCTGATTCTATATCACGACCTGCTCGCCTCCAAGGATCCCTACTCACCACCCTCCCATGTATAGTTTGAGTCCAAATCCTCCAGAGCCAAAGGAATTGCCTTCCATCCTAAACGGTTAGTGAACAACGTGCATGAACGGAGCGATGGAACCGGCCCACGCGTCGCATTTGGAAACCGCTGACTCCCGTCCTTTGGTAGGCCATGGATTCTAGTATCTCTTCATTCGTCCACTATTCAGCTATGGGACTACCGCATGGGTACCCTCATTGATCGCTTCGAAGAACACGACGGCCCTGTTCGAGGCATCGACTTCCATCCGACCCAGCCCCTCTTCGTGTCCGGTGGTGATGATTACAAGATCAAGGTTTGGAGCTACCAGACTCGGAGATGTCTGTTCACACTCAATGGCCATCTGGACTACGTGCGGACGGTTTTCTTCCATCATGAACTCCCCTGGATTATCTCCGCGTCCGATGACCAGACGATCCGGATATGGAACTGGCAGAACCGGTCGTTGAGTAAGTTGATCTCTCGCAATTGGGTTTGAATGCGGCTGATGTTCGACCCCTAGTTTGTACGATGACTGGCCATAACCACTACGTGATGTGCGCGCAATTCCACCCGACCGAAGACCTGATTGCCTCCGCCTCCCTGGATCAGTCCGTTCGCATTTGGGATATCTCCGGACTGCGGAAGAAACATTCGGCTCCTACTACGATTTCGTTCGAAGATCAGATGGCTCGAGCCAACCCCAGCCAAGCGGACATGTTCGGAAACACCGATGCAGTTGTGAAGTTTGTGTTGGAGGGCCATGACCGTGGTGTTAACTGGGTTTCCTTCCACCCCACCCTCCCCCTGATTGTCTCCGCCGGTGACGACCGCCTCATCAAGTTGTGGCGGATGAGTGGTATGTGATGGACATTGGAACATTTGTGATAGAGATAAGCGTGCTGACACTTTGCAGATACGAAAGCGTGGGAGGTCGATACCTGCCGTGGTCACTTCCAGAATGCCTCCGCCTGTCTGTTCCATCCTCACCAAGACCTGATACTCTCCGTTGGCGAAGACAAGACAATTCGGGTATGGGATCTGAACAAGAGAACCTCTGTACAGTCTTTCAAACGGGACATGGACCGATTCTGGGTCATCGCCGCTCACCCTGAGATCAACCTTTTCGCCGCCGGCCACGACACCGGTGTGATGGTTTTCAAGCTGGAACGGGAGAGACCTGCGTCTGCGGTGTACCAGAACCAGCTTTTCTACATCACCAAAGAGAAGCATGTCAAGTCGTACGATTTCGCCAAGAATGTTGAATCCCCACCCATGCTCTCATTGCGGAAGCTTGGGTCCGCTTGGGTGCCGCCTAGAACTGTTTCATACAACCCCGCTGAGCGCGCCATCCTGGTCACTTCGCCCACAGATGGTGGTATCTACGAGCTGATTCACCTCCCGAGGGATGCCACCGGAGCTGTCGAACCCACCGATGTCAAGCGCGGCCAGGCTTCTTCGGCAGTTTTTGTTGCCCGCAACCGATTTGCTGTCTTTAGCCCGGCCAACCAGCAGGTGGATATCAAGGATCTGAGCAACTCGACGACCAAGACCATCAAGCCCCCGGCGGGAACGACCGACATCTACTTCGGTGGAACCGGCTGTCTGCTCTTCATTACTCCCACCCACGTCGTCCTTTTCGACATTCAACAGAAGAAGCAACTCGCCGAACTGGCGGTTGCCGGCGTCAAATATGTGGTTTGGTCGAATGATGGCCTTTATGCAGCCCTGCTCAGCAAGCACAATGTCACGATTGTCACCAAGAGCTTGGAGCAAGTGAGCACCTTACACGAGACAATCCGCATCAAGAGCGCTGCTTGGGATGATGCTGGTGTCCTTCTCTACTCCACTTTGAACCATGTGAAGTATTCTCTTCTGAACGGGTAAGCTACTTTCTATTGATGATGCAAGACACATATTGACCGTGATTAGCGACAATGGTATTATCCGCACCCTCGAACACACGGTTTACCTCGTCAAGGTGAAGGGCCGAAGTGTCTACTGCCTTGATCGTAACGCCAAGCCTAGGGTTCTGGAGATCGACCCCACGGAATACCGTTTCAAGTTGGCTCTGGTCAAGAGAAACTACGATGAGATGCTTCAGATCATCAAGACGTCTAGTTTGGTCGGTCAAAGTATCATCTCTTACCTGCAGAAGAAGGGTTACCCCGAGATCGCTCTGCAGTTCGTGCAGGACCCTCAGACTCGCTTCGAGCTCGCCCTCCAGTGTGGTAACCTTGATGTCGCCATTGAGATGGCGAGAGAGCTGGACCGCCCTAACCTGTGGAGCCGGCTCGGAGCGGAGGCCCTGGCTCATGGTAACCACCAGACGGTAGAGATGGCCTACCAGAAGCAGAGAAACTTCGATAAGCTGTCCTTCCTGTATCTGTCTACTGGTGATCAAGAGAAGCTGTCGAGAATGGCCAAGATCGCAGAGCACCGTGGTGATTTCACCTCTCGCTTCCAGAACGCTATCTATCGAGGCGACATCGAGGATCGTATCCAGATGTACAAGGAAGTTGATCTATGTAAGTGCACCAAGCGACAATTATGTTTACCCCTGCTAACCCTTTTCATAGATCCCTTGGCTTATCTAACTGCCAAGGCTCATGGCCTGACCGAGGAGGCTGAATCTATTCTCGAAGCGTCTGGCCTGACGGAAGACCAGATCACCATGCCGAATATCGACGAGCCTTTGCGGGTGCCGCACCCCATCGCTCCCACGTTCAAGGCAAACTGGCCTGTTAAGGCTGCCGCCCACTCTTCCTTCGAGAAGGCCTTGCTTGGAGAAGTTGGTGCGGTTGATGACGATGCCGCCGCTATCGGCTACGAGCCCGAGGAGGAAGAGGAAGCCGTTGCGGCTCAAGAGACCCTGGACGATGAGGAGGAGGATGTTGGCGGATGGGATATGGGAGAAGAGATCAACGTTGAGGAAGACGTTGACTTTGTCAATGTGGACAGCGCAGAGGCCGGTGCAGGCAGCACTGAAGCCGATCTCTGGGCTCGGAATTCCCCTCTGGCAGCCGACCATGTTGCCGCTGGGTCCTTCGACTCTGCTATGCAGCTCCTGAACCGCCAGGTGGGCGCTGTCAGCTTTGCCCCTCTCAAGCCCCGTTTCCTTGAAATCTACAAGGCCTCGAAGACGTATCTGCCTGCCACAGCTGGACTTCCTCCTTTGGTGAACTACGTGCGTCGGACAGTTGACGAGACCGACAGCCGCAAGGTTCTGCCCGTCATCCCCAGAGATTTGGAAACGATTGCCAACGTCGACCTGCAAGAAGGTTACGCTGCCATGAGGGCCAACAAACTGGAAGACGGAGTCAAGGTCTTCAAGCGTATCCTGCACTCCGTCTTGGTGAACACCCTCTCCTCGGAAGCCGAGGTTGAGCAGGCGAAGAAGATCATCCAAACTGCCCGCGAATACATTGTCGCCATGTCCATTGAGTTGGAGCGTCGTTCCCTTTCGACGGATGATCCTGAGAGCCTCAAGAGAAGCCTCGAGCTCTCTGCCTACTTCACAATCCCCAAGTTGGAGGTGGCTCACCGTCAGCTCGCCTTGATGGCTGCTATGAAATTCTCGTTTGCCAACAAGAACTACTCATCGGCCCTCAGCTTTGCCAACCGCATGCTGGCCAACGGCGGTTCCGCCAAGCTTCTTGAACAGGTAAGTCTTGTCATGTAGTCAGGATACAAAACCGAGATGGAATTGACAGCTAACATGACATATAGGCCAAGAAGATTAAGGCGCAGTGCGAGCGCAGCCCGCAAGACAAGATCGACATCGAATTCGACCAGTTTGCCGAGTTCGATATCTGCGCTGCCTCGTACACTCCAATCTACAGCGGATCTCCTAGCGTTTCGGATCCCTTCACCGGAGCCAAGTATCATGAACAGTACAAGGGCACCGTCTGTCGGGTATCCGAAGTCACCGAGATCGGTGCGCCGGCCAGCGGCCTGCGCTTGTTTGTGCCCGGCCAATTCTGAAGAATGACTAGACCCGAATCTTTTTCACTTTCAATCCTGTAATTCCCCCCTTTGACCAAACCAGCTCCAAATGTATGTTCGTGTGGAAATGAGGTGTAGCGCTGGGGTGGCTCCTCTACTAGATGTATGGATCTGTTGTCTCCGATAATTACTCAGCGACGTTAGCTATGTTAACTTGGTTCTTTTTCTTTCCTGCAATGCATGTGAACTGTTGAATACAATGAAAAATATAGAAGAATAGAGTAGAGTTGCGATCTATTTCACAGTAATCATACATACATAGGAGTGGTTCCATATCTATCCAAAATGCCATCGTACAATATCATACAGAGTAGAGTGCCTTAGGTATCTACACCCAGCTGCCTAGCTAGTAGAGTCCGAATCCATTCAATCAATCAGTCACACCTCCCATCCTTCCAACCCGTCCTCCACCGCTCCTCCCAAAACCGACAATCAAACTCCTTCTTCCCCAGCTTGCGATTCACCTCATTGTGCGCCTCGCACATCCACGTCCCGAAGTCCGCTCGGCCGCCCAACCGCGGCTGGTTCTTCCCACTCGGCTCCGCCATCCACGTGCGGAAATCGTCCGCACACACCCAGCACGGATACAGTCGCGAGAAGAGCTTCAGGAACGTGCGCATCTCTGTCTGCTGCTCTGTTGTTGCTTTCGTCGGGTAGGTCGCCGTCATCGAGTGGAGGAGGGTCCAGGTTGAGCGGCCGAGGTTCTCAACGTCCGGGGGGCATTCATTTCGCGACGGGGTGGGATTGGAGGAGGGGGGGTTTGCGACGGGGTCGTTGGAGGAGGTCGAAGCTGCTGTTGATGCGGCGCCGGAGGCTTTGGCTTGCTTGGTGAGAGAGCGCCATGATGCGGCGGAGGTGCAGAGACGGCATCTGGAAGACATCTGGGTTAGTATTTCTGGAGGAGCATCGGGGCAATTGGATTTAGGTTGGACGTACGGTTTCCCATCTTTGTCTAGGACAACACCGTTGGCTAGTTTGGTCTTCGAGTCATCATCTTTGGAGTCGGTTGAGGAGCTTGCCGTTGCTGCGGGCTGATGTGGGAATGGAGATTTGAACGGCCGGGGTTGCGATTCTTCGGCCATGATTGTCTGCTCAGGCTTGAGGGCGCTGATTGCGGATCGGTAGGTGGTGGGTGGGTATGGAATTGGAAGTGTAGATAAGATGCGATCAAAGTAGATAGAGCAATTCGCTTCGGAACGAACGAGAAGTCTCAAACACAGCAACTAGGCCAGAAGCATTCGGGAGTATCTATGTACAGTACAAATGAACAAGCATCAAAGCAAGCAAGAAATTAAATAGGTCTGAATGATGGAAAGAAATGACCGGATGGATTGGTAATGGTTCACTAGGAAGAGAAAGTCGGGGCTTTGTCAGCAGGCCTCCCATTCCCGTCTTGGTTTAGCACCATCGAATTCAGGCATCAAATGCGCCGAGACCAAATCGACCAGTCACTCCGTTGCTCTCCATTTCTTAGCTTTGCGGCCATTTTCGATCGATTTTATTGCCCTGCTAGTTAGCCTGACGTGTCGTCTACCTTGTCGTTCCTGCGGCTAAATTGTTGTCGAAATTCTCCCTACGCCACTGACGCTGGTCGTGTTTCGAGTTTGTCGCGTCGCGGTCTCCGTTCTCCGCCCTCGATTGACCGCGCGCCAAACCGTTCGGTGCAACGCGAACTACCAAATTTGTGAGAATAGTTGAACGAGTTCTATATTCTACAAAGTAACCTGTTATAATGGCTCCTCGATACGCTCTGTCGGACTCCGAAGCCGAGTCCGAACCCGAACAGCCGACAGCTCCCTCCGATGATGCGTTGGAGAAAGCTCTACGCGACACGGTCGCTGAAATATATAAAACAGGGAACATGGAAGAACTGACGGTAAAACGGGTGCGGCTAGCAGCGGAAAAGTCCCTCGAACTGGAGCCGGGGTTCTTCAAGGCCGACGACGCGTGGAAAGCAAAGAGTGAGCAGATTATTAGGGAAGCTGTCGTATGTTTCTGTTGGGCCAATTGTCTGTTTTGAAAGTTCTGGTCACTAATGAGACTAACTCTTTGTCATAGGAATCGCAAGATAATGCGTCCGAACAGTCCGACGGTGACGAGGAAGAGAAAAAAGCCCCTTCGCCCCCTCCAGCCAAATCCAAACCCGCCAAGCGCACCAAACCAGATGTTTCGGCTCCGCGAAAACGACGGAAAGCGAGCATTCCAGACCCCGAGGAAGATAATGAAGATGGAAACGAGGATGAAGAAGAAGAAGAACAAGGTAGCGATGCGCCGGGTGACGAAAGCGAAGAGAAGGCCAAGAAGCCCACCAAGGGGTCCAAGGCAAAGCAGGGGAAGAAGTCCCAATCCAAGCCCAAAGGAAAGACAGTCGAAGAGTCTGATGACGAGAAGGAGGAAGATACCAAACCATCGGAGGAACAGAAGGTGGAACCAAAGGACGAATCAGAAAGTGAAATGTCGGTAGTCCTAGACGAGGAGCCTCAGCCCACCCGCAAACGACAGAAGAGCTCCGAGACAGCCGCACCTAAGGGCAAGAAAAAGACCGCCCCCAAGCCGAAGGACGCGGACACCGACCCGAATGAAGCAGAGATCAAGCGGTTGCAAGGCTGGCTGGTCAAATGTGGTATCCGCAAGATGTGGTGGCGAGAGTTGGCCCCTTACGACACTCCCAAGGCCAAGATCAAACATCTCAAAGAGATGCTGAAAGATGCGGGAATGGAAGGCAGGTATAGCGCGGAAAAGGCGAACAGAATCCGGGAGGAGCGGGAACTCCGAGCGGATCTTGAACAGGTCCAAGAAGGCGCCAAACGATGGGGGACAGGGAGTGGAGACGATGGTAGCGACAACGCACAGCCTCGACGAAGGTTGAATCGTGGACGCCAAACTCTGGCATTTCTAGACAGCGACGGTGAGGAAACAGATTGATGGCAGCATGGTTGGCGCATTGCGGATCATGAGGTCCTTCCGCGTTGTCTGCCTGGAGCAGCCTCCGGTCGAGTCCTGGAAGAGATCCTGGGAGTTTGATGTAATGATATCCATCGACTAAAATTCACACAAATCACAAGATTCTGTCGCTCATCGATTTGACTTCGTTCCTCCCATTCGTTGAGCTACGAGGCTAAAGACGGCGACCGACGATATGAAGAGAACGAGGTTGTAGAACTATCGAGGGTGTCGGTCAATAACTTGCTCCGGTGCTTTGAAAACATTTCGTTCAAGGATCATACCGCCGTTCTTGAATACTCGTTTTCTTCTGACTCAGATCGCGCCTCGACGAAGAGACGTCGAAGGTTGGGCAGTTTCGCCTGTGGGTACTTGGTTAACATTGCTTGCTTTGAGGTAGCGCGAGTAGAAGGGGAGGGTTTACCATAGATAGATATTTGAGATCACCGAATGCCAATAGATTCAAAGAAGTAGTAAAATGGTTAAAGTTGATCAGCGACCGTGTCGAAGAAGCGGCCAGATGTCTTGCTGGTTGTTCGCAGGATGAAGTCCGGGGGAGGTTTTAGTGAGCCGCTTTGTGGACAACTTTTGGGCCCAGACACTCTCGTTCTCTCCCTGACCTTCTTCCATCGTCCACCATCCTTCCTCTCCGCCCCTCGACTCTCCACACCCATTCCTCTTCCGCCTTTGCTCGACTCTCTCAGCTGGAGGAGGTCGTTTTCTATCCCTCCGATCGTTTCCCCCCACGCCTCCCCTCTTTCACTCCAAGTTATTCCCCGACTCCCTGAAGCTACCGGCGTGGACATTCCCCGCAGTGGTCCGCAAGGACGCTCTGTCATACCCAACTTCGAGCCCCTTATTTCTTGCGGGAGGGGCGCCTTGGACGTTGTTAATACTTGCCTTCCCCCGAAATGGCGATGAGTCGCATAAGAGGCGCCTTCGCGGTGCCTAGGAAAGGAGAGACGTTTGAATTGCGAGCTGGCCTTGTGTATGCGGTTTTCCTCCGGCTATCTTGTGATACCTGTCCATTGAGAAGGTAGTGCTAACTAAGACATTAGATCCCAGTATGCCTACGAACGGTATGTCGATATACTTCGGGATTTTCCTACCACGCTCGAACATGGTGTCTAATCCAGCTATAGAAAGGAGTCTATCCAGAAGACCATCATGGCCATGACCCTGGGCAAAGATGTCTCTGCCCTTTTCCCCGATGTCCTCAAGAATATTGCGACCAGTGACCTGGAACAGAAGAAGCTTGTATATCTTTATCTAATGTAGGTAATTGTCTACCAGGGCGACTGCGTCCGTGAATACTGATTCTCCGGTCTGCGACAATTAGGAATTACGCCAAATCCCACCCGGACCTGTGTATCCTCGCCGTGAATACCTTCGTTCAAGATTCCGAAGATCCTAACCCCCTCATTCGTGCTCTTGCGATCCGAACGATGGGGTGCATTCGAGTAGACAAAATGGTCGACTACATGGAGGAGCCACTACGAAAGACTCTTCGGGATGAGTCGCCGTATGTCCGCAAGACTGCCGCGATCTGTGTGGCCAAGCTTTTCGACCTCAACCCAGCCATGTGCTTGGAAAATGGGTTCCTAGAGATGCTGCAAGAAATGATTGGTGACCCCAACCCCATGGTAGTCGCGAACTCCGTGACGGCGTTATCGGAGATCTACCATGCCGCTCCTGAGACGCAGGCGTTCAAGGTGACATCGAACACTCTGCGCAAGCTTTTAATGGCGCTAAACGAGTGTACTGAATGGGGTCGCGTCACGATCCTCACTACACTGGCGGAGTATAGGACTGGCGAGGTGACGGAGTCGGAGCATATCTGTGAACGAGTTGCACCCCAGTTCCAGCATGCCAATCCCAGTGTGGTGTTGGCTGCCGTCAAAGTCGTTTTCTTGCACATGAAGAACATCAACCCTGAGCTGTCCAAAAATTACTTGAAGAAAATGGCACCTCCTCTAGGTATGCTGCACTCGTTGCCATTCATGAGAACCTGGTACTAATTACTTGGCTATAGTGACCCTGGTGTCGTCGGCTCCCGAGGTGCAATATGTCGCCCTCAGAAACATCGACCTGCTTCTGCAAAAGCAACCGGACATTCTGAACAAGGAGCTTCGTGTGTTCTTTTGCAAGTACAACGATCCCCCCTATGTCAAGTTCCAGAAACTCGAAATCATGGTTCGGATAGCCAACGATAAAAATGTGGATCAACTTCTTGCCGAGTTGAGGGAATACGCCTTGGAAGTGGATATGGACTTTGTGCGACGCGCCGTCAAGGCCATTGGCCAAGTTGCCATCAAGATTGAGAGCGCCAGCGAGAAGTGTGTCAACACTCTGCTGGATCTGATCAACACGAAGGTCAACTATGTTGTACAGGAGGCGATTGTGGTGATCAAGGATATCTTCCGGAAATATCCAGGCTATGAGGGCATCATTCCCACTCTCTGTCAATGCATTGATGAATTGGACGAGCCTAACGCTAGGGCGGCTCTCATCTGGATCGTCGGCGAGTATGCGGAGAAGATTAGCAACGCCGGTGACATTCTGGCCGGGTTTGTGGAAGGGTTCAACGAGGAGTTCTCGCAGGTAGGTCTTGTCTACGCTTTGTCACTGCGAACCCGCCGAGCTAACTCGTGCATAGACCCAACTGCAGATCCTCACTGCGGTTGTCAAGCTCTTCCTCAAAAAGCCCGAGAAGGCGCAGGGTCTTGTCCAGAAGGTCCTGCAGGCGGCAACGGCGGAGAACGATAACCCCGACGTTCGAGACCGTGCTTACGTGTACTGGCGTTTGTTGTCCAACACGAGCGATCCCAATGCCACCAGGAACATTGTCTTGTCCGAAAAGCCGCCAATCGTGACTACCATTCACTCTCTACCGCCCACACTCCTCGAACAACTCCTCAACGAGCTCTCCACCCTTTCCTCTGTCTACCACAAGCCGCCAGAGCAGTTTGTTGGCCAGGGCAGATTCGGTGCCGACGCCGTTCAAAAAGCGGCTATCCAGTGCGTATCCCTGTTGGCTTTTACCTTCTTCCCCAATCCTAATTTACTCTCTTTCTCAGGGAACAAATCGAGAACGCACGTGAGAATCCCTTGGCGGCGGCGGCGGCGGCGGCGGCTACTGGCGAGCCATCGTCTCAGCAGCCCCAGAACAACGTCGAGAATCTCCTGGATATTGACTTTGATGGCGGAGCACCCGCATCTGCTCAGAATGAACCCAGCAGTGGTATGTCTGGGCTAGAAGGTCTTGCCGGCACCCCCGTCCGAGTGGAGTCTCCTGCAGTCGGTGCTCCGGCCCCCAGCAACAACCTTGATGATCTCCTGGGTGTGTTTGGTGACGGGGCACCTAGCTCGAGCAGCCCTGCTGCTTCCAACGGCGCAAGTGCAAGTGCAGACCTGATGAATGGATTTGCCGGGTTGGATCTTTCTTCCAACAGCAACCCTACGTCACCGCCACCTGGGGGTAGTCAGCCCAAGAAGACCAACGAAGACATCATGTCATTGTTCTAGATATGGTGCTTTTGCGGTCCCATCGCGGGGTTGAAGGCACAGGATGAAAAGGTCATATATCACACCATTAGTCCAGATGGACCGGACCGTCTCGGACTCGATTGTCTGATTTTCACCATGATCCATCTACCATCCCCTTCTCAAACCATGTTTACCGACACCGTTTCTTCTGCTCTTCCGGCCCCCTCTTTCTCCAGCCATTTTTCTGTTATTTGTATATCCTGTTCCCCTTCGCATGATGGGATTGTCCCCCATTTTATAATTCCCAACCTGTTTGGGCTATAAAGCTAGACTTGTTATTACTTCCATGGAGTATGTGACTACGAGATGCGGTGTAGCCAGAATGAACGCAAATATCTATCAAAATAAAACTATAAGGCCTTCTCTTCCATTTCTGTGCCGCGTTGACTCCAAATCTCCACGTAAAAAAAATTCAAGGGAAATCTCTACGTTCCCGGCCGGGAAAGACTCGTCCGTAAGAGCAGGAAAAATATGACACAATGGAATGGAAAATACAAACAAAGGACTGCGTGGAGTGATTGTCCGGGATTAAACGTTTCTCCACAGCGGAAATTTTTCGGTTGCGCTCTCTGATTCAGGCAGCGTCGCATCATCCCATCGTAGGGGGACCGGTTCCGACAGAAAACGGTGCTCTCTATGGATAGGTCAAAGGCCGCTTAATGAATTGATGTCTGTGAATTGCCGGCTCTCCGGTTCTAGAACGATGACGTCGCACGTCCATTATACCTACACAGTGGATTGCAATTTATGTGCAAGGATGAATAAGAACGATCCCCTGCAGCAGAGTCCGTCGGCGCTAAGCGCCGTGTACCTATCGGCAAGCCGGGATTTGCCCGTGATGTGCACTACTAGCCAACAGCCTAAACCTAACGCTTTTTCCTAGCGTTCAAAAAATGAAAAGGCATCTCTGTCAGTTTTGCGACAAAGCCACGACTGTGCAAATAGTCCATCTCTAGTTCTATACCGTGTCGCCGTGTCGATGTGTTCGGAAGATGGACGGGACACCATGTCCGACGACCTGGCTAGATTTCAAGGGAGCTGTTTGGTTTCCAGTGCCCAACGACAATGGAACGGGATTCCCATATTTCCCCTTATCCATTACTCCATCGGTCCATCACGACATTGGTCTTACTGTTTCGCTTGTGTTGGAGTCTTGGAGACTGTGGGACCATGGGTTTTGTTGACCCGCTTGTTCCGGGTACTTTCCGCGCATAGAAAATTTGTTGGGCTATGGTTTTGTATAAAGATGGAATTGGAGTCCCGGTTGATTTGTTCTGGAATCGAAACGTTGCTGGCGCATTCAATCCAAAGTGAAGTTTTGACTTGATCACCGGATATCCAAACAAACTTTCATCATGGCGCAGACCGACTACAAATTCGAGGGGTGGATGGGTCTCGACGAAGGCTCCGCCGACGGCAAGATGGTCTGGCAGGAGTTCGAGCCAAAGCCCTGGGAGGAGACGGATGTTGACATCAAGGTCTCGCACTGCGGTATCTGCGGTTCGGACTTGCACACGCTCCGTAGCGGCTGGGTAAGTGGTGCAGCTTCCCCAAAGATCCTACATAAATTTAACGCATTGTTTCCTAGAAACCCACCTTGTACCCCTGCTGTGTTGGCCATGAAATCGTCGGTACGGCCGTGCGCGTGGGCTCCAAGGCCGTTGGTGGCATCAAGGTCGGTGACCGTGTCGGCGTTGGCGCGCAGAGTGATTCTTGCCTGGGACGTCTCGGCGATTGCTCCGAGTGCGCTATGGGATGGGAACAATACTGCTCCCACAAGTTCGTCGGTACCTACAACGACGTGTACCTGAACGGTGGTAAATCGTACGGTGGCTATGCCACGTATAACCGTACCCCGTCGCACTTTGTGGTCAAGATCCCTGACAGTATTCCTTCCGCGGAGGCTGCGCCGATGCTGTGCGGAGGTGTCACCCTCTACAGCCCGCTCAAGCACAACAACTGCGGCCCCGGCAAGCGGGTCGGCATCATCGGTGTTGGTGGACTAGGCCACTTCGGCGTCCTCCTGGCCAAGGCCATGGGTGCCGATAAGGTCGTCGCCATCTCGCGCAAGTCCGGCAAGAGTGAGGACGCGATCAAGATGGGTGCGGACGTTTATATTGCCACCGACGACGAGCCTGATTGGGCCACAAAGTATGCTCGTTCCTTGGACCTCGTCGTCTGCACGGTGTCCTCTACCAAGGTGAGTCTCCAAACGGCCAGTCTAAATGCACCGGGAGTTACTAACGAAGACGCAGATGCCGATGGCCCAGTACTTGGGGCTTCTTCACACCAACGGCAGCCTGGTCCAGGTCGGACTTCCTGAGGATGGAGCGCTCAGCGCCCCGGTGCCCAACCTCATCCGTCGTCTGAAGGTTGAGAGTTCTCTGGTGGGAAGCCCCGACGAGATTCGCGAGATGTTCGAGCTGGTCGGCCGGAAGGGCAGCATCAAGCCCTGGATCGAGGAAGTCCCCATGAAGGAAGCCAACAAGGCCATTGTTGATATGCATGAGGGCAAGGCACGCTACCGCTACGTGCTGGTCAACGAGCAGTAGAAAGGAACTGGAGTGGATTAGGTGTTTGTGATAGTTGAGGTTGACAGCGGCTTTTTGAAGATACCAAGAATAGAATATAATGTATGAATGACGTTTCCGGTTTTGGCTTTTGATTGGGATTGCTTGAATGTAGGAAGGTCGAGTCCCCCCATAAGGTAGCCAGTCCAGTGGCGGTGTCACGTGGCAGAGCGTGCGTGTACTTCTGCTATTTTATCATTCAGTGGCTACTATTCCATTTGTAGAATCAAAGTAGATGCAAAATGCCCCTTCATTATTGATTATTGATTATTTATTACTAGCATACAAATCTGACAAAAAAGAATTGACAACTTTTCAACCCATCAACGTAAACAAGGGTCTTGAGTTCCGGCGTCAGGGAAAGAAAAAAGACCAAAACAGACCATATAAAGATAACTCCGAGATACCATTACCCAAGTGTAGTGGTGGCTTTCAGCAACTTAAAAATAAGCGCTAGAGAGCCCAGGTCAAAGATGACTGATTTAGAGGAGGACCATGACGGCCATGACGGCAGCCAAGAGACCGGCGGTTGGCTTGACGGCCTGGGCAGCACCAGTGAAGGGCTGTCCAGAGGGCGAGCTGGTGGGCTGAGCCGGAGAGGCTCCGGTGGGCTGCTCAGGCTCCTTGGGGTGCTTGGGGTGCTCGGGCTCCTTGGGGTGCTCAGGCTCCTCAGGCTGCTGGGGCTCCTTGGGCTGCTCGGGCTCTTCAGGCTGCTCGGGCTGGCCCGGGGTGCCAGGAGTGCCAGGGGTACCGGGAGTTCCAGGGGTGCCAGGGGTGCCGGGCTCGCCAGGGGTGCTGGGAGATCCGGGGGTGCCAGGAGTACCGGGAGTGCCGGGCTCGCCAGGGGTAGCAGGAGTGCCGGGGGTGGCAGGAGTACCGGGAGTGCCGGGAGTGCCGGGGGTGCCGGGCTCGCCAGGGGTGCCAGGGGTGCCAGGAGTGCCCGGGGTACCGGGGGTGGCAGGAGTGCCGGGCTCACCAGGGGTGCCGGGAGTACCGGGGGTTCCAGGGGTGGCAGGAGTACCGGGAGTACCGGGGGTACCGGGCTCGCCGGGGGTGGCCGGAGTTCCAGGAGTGCCAGGGGTGCCAGGGGTGCCAGGAGAGGGCTGAGGAACAGGAATGGGAACAGGCTTGCTCGTAGGCTTGCCCGGAACCGGCACAACAGTGGAGTTGTGGTAGGGAGCGGGTTTGGTGGTTGGGTGAGGAATGGTGCTGTTGTGTCCAGTCGGGACAGGCTTCTTAGGAGGCACAACAGTGGTGTGGTGAGGCGGCGGCGGGACAGGGTGTCCAGTGCCAGTTGGGACCACAGGCTTGCGAGTCGAGCCGGTGGGAGTCGCCTCATCCTGGTAAGTGGTGGTCTTAGTGACGGTGTTGGTCAGAGTAATCGGGACCGTCAGAGTCTTGGTGCCGCTGGTGACAACAGACGAGGTGACTAGGAATCAAGTCAGATAGGCACTAGGCAAAGTACTTATGTTGGTCACCTTACCTGGGCATTCAGTAGTCACATAGGTGCTTGTCTTGGTGATAATGATGTGAGGCGCAGTCGCGGTAGCGGTCAAGACCTTCCCGGGCTTGTCCACATGCTTGTGAGGCTCATGAGGACCAGGAATCTTGGGGCCAGACTTCTCAACATGTAAGTAAAGATGACTTGTTCATACGAATATCAAGGTACGCACCTCATGGTGTTCCTTGGCAACACCAGCAAGAGCCGGGCCGGCGAGAGCCAGAAGGGCAACAGTTCCTCGGACCATGTCGAAGGTATCAACAATGCCAGAGACAGAAGGGGCAGCAAAATATTCAAAGAAATTTAAACGAGTGAAAGAACAGCGAGCGACTTTTTCTCTGGCTCACAGTAAGCGCGATGAGAAAGAGAAAGAGAAGGGGAGTTGAAGGCAGACGAGCAAAGGTGTCTGTATTTGTAGCCTGTCAAAAGATACTAATGCTGCCGTTTTCGTGCACTCAATCAACTTCTGGCGATAATGCCACTGTAGTATCCATGGGTAGGTAATAAGTCTCGAGGTACGGTTCGAGAGGAGAAGCAAATCTTCAACACTCCAGAGAATAGCACCATTGGTTTGCAGAGATGTAGCAACTGAGGGCGATCCATGGTTTGCAAAGGGACCTGTCTAATCAACCAAGCTGGAGTGTGATCAGGTAATTGACTCAAACATGCTAACCAAGATAGAGACGTGACATCCAGTGGTGTCATTCAGGTGCAAGTTTGAAGTACCCACTTCAAACTTTGGGAGTCTGGAGCAACCTGGTGGCCCTGAGGAGAAATTTCGCGGGCGAATGGCATCACTACCCTGACTACACGGCCTAGCAGATCGAGCATTGAAAGGATCGGTTCTCTTGAAGAGCTAGTTTAGCATGCTCAACATGAAAGCAGACGAGAACAGCCTTGGTAGGCCTGCACGAGCTTGACAGCACGTAGCCTAATGAATAGAGCTGATCTGATAGATCTCAAAGCATATTTGGTCGGCTAAGAGCCTGTACACGGGCATTGGATCAAGAAGAGCAAATCATTCGATCCCCACTCCAGGGGCATCGAAATCGCCCGCCAACCCAAGTGAACAATTTACAAGATCTTCTTGATCTTGCTGGAATGTGGGACTTTGGAAAAGTGCCCCTGCAACGTTACACATTACGTTGGGACCCTCATATTGGAGGAGGAAGCTGGTGACTGAGTGGACAAAAAGAGATATGTCTGTCTGCAATGAGCACACTTGGAGTGGAGCAAGCAAGCGCATGGCCAAGCACCCAGTAGGCAAGATAAAACCGAAATAGCAACATGGTAGGTCCCATAATGGCGTGTCGTCCACTTCATTCTGAATCCCCGAGGGCCATGATGACGTTCCTTCGAGTTCCGATGTGGACTAGTCAACCAGTCAAGGGTAATCAGGGGAACATTGCGATACGATTGCAGAAATTGGCCACACTTGAAGTCTGGTAGAAGGCTCAATATGCGTAGTAGATTGTGCGAGGTTTCATACAAAATGGGTCTCGTCGACGACATCAAAGACTAGTGTAGGCGTCATGCAACAAGGATAGGAGTAGTCATGGCAGGGTCGGTGAACAAAGTGCCGGAAAAGGCAACCCCCTGGAGCTGGTGGCCCCTGAGGAATGTAGGGTGGAGTCGAAGAGCCAATTAATGTGTGTAATGGCCAGCAATAGAAGGGTAGCAGTCGAAGTCGAGGTTGATGTAGTAGATAAAGCCCGAGTGGGGCCCATCGCCGTTTGCGGACCTCTCGGTGGTCCAAGCTCCAGAAGAAATGCACGTGACTAGACTACACCGTCGAGTCACCTGACTAGATTAGGGCTTAGGGCCGGGTAGGAAGGCGCGTCGTCACGCGTCCGGACGGCGCGTTAATGGGCTTGGCCGAGCAGGGAGAAGACATACAGCAAGTGTGAGGACAGGCGAAACATCCCGATCCCAAGCGCAAAGACCTCGAATTTCCCCCAGGATGCCTCATTCTGAATCTCCAGGAACATCGCCGACTCATCACAACGATGAGGGAACTCTACCGGATGCCCCTCCAGTAGACGCGACTTCCAGTGCCGCCGAAAGCAACTCTGATAACCCGCAAAATGAAACGACAGGAGAAAACCTTGCGGAACTCCTATTTGACGATGACGATGACGATGAATACCCTGCATCGAGTGCGCCAGACACGAAAAATGTACCTCCGGCGGTCGAGTGAGTCCTGACCCGTCGATTGATACGACAATTCATGAGAGATGCTAATACCGACATCTTCAGATCCTCTGCGCCTCCACCGGCCAAAGTAGATACCGACACCATGCTTGCTTTTTATCAGCGCCTTTTCCCATTCCGATATCTGTTCCAATGGCTCAACCATGGGATCGTCCCTTCTCCAGACTTTGGGAATCGTGAATTTGCCCTCACGCTTCAGAATGATGCCTATCTCCGATACCAGTCCTATACAACCGCAGACCTGTGAGCCAACCGATTACGAATCGGCACGAGCAAATTGCTGACAGACCATGATTTTAGTTTTCGGAAAGATATCTTGAAAATGAACCCTTCGCGTTTCGAAATCGGACCTGTGTATAATACAAACCCGCGTGATCGCAAAACGCTGCGAGGAGGCCAGATGAAACCCATCTCGAAGGAGTTGGTATTCGATATCGATTTGACAGATTATGACGACATCCGTTCTTGCTGCGAGAAGGCGAATATTTGCGGCAAATGCTGGGCCTTTGTGACGATGGCCATGAAAGTTGTTGACACCGCTCTACGCGATGACTTCGGATTCCAACACATCCTCTGGGTGTACTCCGGTCGTCGTGGTGCCCACGCCTGGGTTTGCGATCCTCGTGCGCGCAGTCTTCCTGATGACCGACGACGGGCTATTGCAGGATACTTGGATCTCATACGGGGAGGATCTCAAAACGGCAAACGTGTGAATTTGAGGCGACCGCTACATCCCCATATGGCTCGGAGCTTGGAAATCCTGAAACCCTATTTCGCCCAGACTACCTTGGTCGATCAGGATACATTCGCTGGCTCTGAGCAAGCGCAGCGACTTCTCTCCCTGCTCCCCGATAAATCGCTGAATGACGCCCTGCGCAAAAAGTGGGAGTCATCGCCGGACCGCTCCAGCACCAGCAAATGGGCCGACATCGATGCTCTTGCTAAAACGGGAAAAAGCAGTACCCTCAAACCTACCGCTCTCCGAGATGCCAAACAAGATGTCGTGTTAGAATACACTTATCCGCGGCTCGATTCCGAAGTCAGTAAGAAAATGATTCACTTGCTGAAGAGTCCCTTCGTCATTCATCCTGGTACCGGTCGTATTTGTGTTCCCATCGATGCTCGAAAGGCAGAAGATTTTGACCCTCTCTCGGTCCCTACCGTTACGGAGTTGCTTGCTGAAATTGATGCCTGGGACGCAGAAAACCCCAATTACTCTGGAGGTGCCGATACGGCGGATGCTGAAGGGAGTGTGCCCAATGGCTCGGATGCCAAGGGTGGTCGGAAATTGCAAGACTACGAGAAAACAAGCCTTAAGCCCTACATCGACTACTTCCGCTCGTTTATTGCTGGGCTTCTCCAAGAAGAGCGCACGGGTAAAAGGGAGCGCAATGAAGAGAAGGTCGAAATCAAATCAGAAAGTATGGAATTCTAAATCTCTCGATTTGTGCCTTGTCTTCACCTTGAAGGGTGTATGATACCGTATCTTTGACGATCATTTGGGATTATTTCAAGCGGGTTGGGAGTTATATTATTCTGTGATCTCATCATGTTCTGGCACGCCATTATGATGGATTCTGGGCGTTTATATTTTATCAATTCAATCCACCCTACATTCGAATATCAGTGACTTAAGCACCACAACCCAAGAACTCGGACGACTTGTCATAACCTGGCCTAGCCGAGCTAAAGAAGAGTACGAGCATATGCAGCTGCATGGTGCAACTTAAATGACTTGAAGATATCAATAGACAGACATATGGTAATTACAAAATTCCTCAATTCGTTTCTATAATAGTACACGTGCACACTGCTTCAAAAGCAGCAAACTGCAACTTCATGAACAAGACTTAAGCTATTGGCAAAGACAATATGTCAATGAGCTCATGCGATACAAAGAATTAATATGATATTTTGACAGGTCCAACCCAATCGAGTCATAACCAAACCCAAGAGAAGGGGTTACCCAGCATGTTGCGATCCTGCTAAGGGTAGAGGCTCGCATTTAAGCGGAGACGAAGTTTTTGACATCTGCAGCAATCAGTTAGGGTGAGCTCTATGGAAGGCAAGGAAAATGAAAACTTACTCTCAAGCCAGCGAACGTACTCCTTCTGCTCCTTGACCTGAATATAATCGGGGATCATGTTGGCAAGCTCGGCGTTGATGCCGCGCTCCTCGAGGTAGCGCTCCAGGAAAGTCTGCAAGTCCTCGTCCAAGTTCTCAAAAGGAGGACCGGCATACAAGCTCTGTCTAGCCCAGTCCTTCTCGGCAGTCTGGGCATAGGCCAAGTCAGGCTTGTTGAAGTACGACACCTCCTCGATCTGGAAGAGGCCGTCCTGAACAACGGTTTGGATCAGAAGAGCGCCGGTGCTGGGCTTCTCAACGGTGACATTGACACGAGCAGGGAAGCTAGGCTCGAGGTCTTCGACCTCGCGATCGGCGGGGGCAATGCTGTCCTCGGGGTGTTGAGACACATTGCCATTCCGTCCCTGGTTGGCGGGCTGATGGCCGGACTGGAAGTCCATCTCATCACCAAGGGCAGCATCATCAAAGTCTTCCTGTTCGCTGAGGTTCTGGAGATCGGCAACGGTGAAGGTAAGTCGGATCCTATCAGGGAAACAAGGTTAGTTGCGGGGGGGAAAATACCATGAACCAGGGCCTGCGACTGGCAACAGAGCTCGGTAGGATTGGAATCAACACTTACTCCTCGTTGCCAAGCTTCTTCGTCAGCACAACCTCCTGCTCTCCGGGAACGTCCTTGACCTAGATTGAGATGATTAGATTTCCTTCGCTTTTGATAAACCGCTGAGAGCAGGTGTACATACCTCCCACGAGTTGTTCTGAAGGACATATTGGATGTTCTGAACAGACGCTTCTAAGTCATTGAGACCGGAAGACTTCTCATGCTTCAACTCATCTTCGAGCTTGGCAGCAAGTTCGACATCACCTATTAGAGGATTCGATGATTAGTATGATGTTTGCAGGATTCCATCGCACTTCTCAATGCCGGGGCGAACGCCACAATGAATAGACGGTGCACAATTGGGAAACGCGGATTGAATATGCAAAAGTTATCATACCATCAGCGGCAGGCTGCTTGAATGCCTGAGAGGTCGAGAAAGCGGCATAAGAAGACCTCGTGGCCTGCTTCAACGAAGACTGGAGAAAAGTGTTCTTGGGGACGGCCGACGCAGGTCGGTAGAGGGCGGAGCGAGAGGACGTAGCGACAGAGCGCGAAACCGTGCGGGGCAGGGAGCGGGCAAGAGCGCGGAGAGAAAACATTTTGAAGAGTGGATGGGTGGGATGAATAGAGGATGATGGAGAGAAAGAAGACGAAGTTGACGGACGGAAAGTTTGGAACTGATGATGTTACCGTTGCCGCTACTGGTCAGGCGCCAAGACTTGGAGCTTCTGTGCGCCAAGCTTTGTTCATACGATGGGATTGCGATGGTCAGGTTATTCTAGCAAATTACCTCTACTCTGTACATTGGCTAAGAATTTCACTCTCGTAATTGTACTACTAGGAATTCGTGCCTCATGGGGTCACAGTAATTAGGTATATACAATCATGCATGCCATTGTCCCGTAATTGAAAGCAAATGTCACAACATACGCCGACTTTTTTGTGAAGGAAAAACGAAAGAAAAAAGAGAAACCACTATACACCGAGGAATATGAAAGATGACCTCACGACATGCCCTTCGGCGGAAAGGCTGACGACTGTTTCTCTCCATCTTTAGTGAGACGGATGAATTTCATCGTACTCAAACCGGACCAATCGCCATTCCACGACGCAAGTTTCTTGATCACATCCTGCTGGCTGATATCGGGCATCCAAAATCCAGTCTTGAATTCCTTGTCCTCCACGTCCGTTCGTTGCAACAGGGCTTCTTCGCGCTTGCTAGGCGGTCGACCTTTCCGGCGCTCGCTTTGTAGCTGTTCGATCTCGGGGACGCTGCGGTTGATGTATCTGATCATATCGGTATTAATAGACACTCTAGTATTCGGGGAATATCCCACCAACCTTGCGGCCACATCCATCATGTCCTTGTCGGAGAACGGCCCACTATCTTCAGGAATGTTATCTTGGAAATAGGCAATCCGGTCCACTAAAAACAAAATGTCAGCGATTTTTCAAGACCCGATATAGAAGACGCAGGTCTCACCATATGTCTGTCTCCCCCGCGACATATTGGTGTGGACTCGAGCGACTCGGTCGTCTCTCGCATTGGCGCGGCGCAGTCTCTTTGCATCGCGGCTGTTCTCATGAAGCGCCTCGACGACTCCGCGCTTCTTGGAGATATGCTTATGAACTTTAGATAATGTCTTCGGCATAACGGGCGTCTGGATTCCTTGGTCTGGGGCGTTCCAAACTGTGCGCAATAATTCGTGCCCGCTGATGACCTTCCCTTCCCTACTTTTTTTTTCTCGGGGCAGAATCACAGGCGGTGAGACTCTCGTGTATTACCGCCTCAAGGCAACCAATTAAGAGGGCGCCCTATGCATCGCGTCCCTTTGGCGCGTCGGAGGGTCGAAGTCAAACATTCCAATCTCGTTGTCCTGGCCATCGTCTTTGAGGAGGGTTCGACAGGGTTTCTTGGCAATTTGGCCCTCCGTTCCTCTTTCTCTTAACATCGCTCCGATGACCCTGTTACTCCAAACTATCCTCGACGCCTAACCGCCAAACGGTCACGTTCGATGCCCGTTTAGGCCGTACAGGTAAACAATTACGAGGAGTCTGTCCTTCATCGGTGTTCACGATGGGTATTAAAGGTAGGATGAACTTGCGCGTGCTCCAGAATCATGCAACTTACTGACTCAATTCTCAGGGCTTCATGGCCTTCTCAAGTCTATTCAGAAGCCATGTCACCTGAAGAAGTTCAGTGGGCAAACCCTTGGGGTTGATGCGTATGGATGGCTCCATCGAGGCACCATTGCTTGTGCTGTCGATTTAGTTCTCGACAGGCCAACGACGAAGTGTGTTCTGATCAGTGGAAGCGGCGGGCATAAATGCTAACTTCAAGCCAGACACATCGACTTCGTCCTTAACCGAGTTCGAATGCTCCTTCACTTTGGCGTCACGCCCTACCTGGTCTTCGATGGAGACGATCTACCCAGCAAATCCGGAACCGAGACCGACCGCCATAAAAAACGCCAGGACAGCAAAGCCCTGGGGCTAGAGCTGCAGCGGAAAGGCAGAACGGCTGAAGCGTACCAGGAATTGCAGAAAGCTGTTGATGTAACTCCTCTGATGGCCCGTCAATTGATCGAGGAATTGAAGAAGATGAAGGTTCAATACGTGGTGGCACCATACGAGGCAGACGCACAACTGGTTTATCTGGAAAGGCAGGGCATTATTAATGGCATTATATCCGAAGACTCCGACTTGCTCGTGTTCGGCGCGAAGAGGCTGTTGTCAAAGCTCGATCAATATGGTGATTGCATTGAGATCAACCGAGCGGACTTCACAGCCTGTCGTGAAGTGAGCCTCATCGGGTGGACAGACGCTGATTTCCGGCACATGTGCATTCTGAGTGGCTGCGATTACTTGCCTAATATTGCACGGATGGGTCTCAAGACGGCATATCGGAGCATTCGAAAATACAAGAGTGTTGAGAGGGCGTTGCGCATGTTTCAATTTGAGGGCCAATACCAAGTTCCCGCGGACTATCTTCAGAACTTCAAGCAGGCCGAGCTTACGTTCCTTTACCAGAGGGTGTTTTGTCCGAAAGCCAGAAAGCTGGTGACACTGACTCCGCTAGGAGACGATGTCAAACTAGAGGAGCTTACGTTTATTGGGGACGATGTGGAACCGGCCACGGCTGTGGGAGTTGCTCATGGTGACTTGGACCCGACCACCAAGAAACCGCTCGTGGTAAAGCCCCTGGCAGTGAGACAACTCGCCAACGGCTTGAGTCGCCGACAAACGCTCGGCTCGTCAGCAGAGCTGAAGCCGAAGAAATCAATCAATTCATTCTTCACCCCTAAGCGGGTTCCTTTGGCTGAGCTGGACCCGAACAGTCTCACGCCGTCTCCGAGCCAGCAAAGATTGCTAGAGCGTCATGCAAACAACTCCTGGGCCAGCAACCCTGTGACTCCAAGGTCAGACAACGTGAGGTCGGCGTCATCTCTAATGCGGCAGTCCTCTAGTCCCTTGGTGAGGAGCGTTGAGCGCAACTCTTTCTTAGCCCATGCCTCGCGAGCGTCGAATTTGCAGCCCGTCAAAAGACAACGGCTGTGTTCTGAGGCGGACGAGGCCTCTTTATCCAATCTTCCTGATTGTCGCAGCCGGTTCTTCGCTTCTGGGCAACAGGAGACTAGTCCAAGTGGCTTTAAGGCGTCTCGAAGCAAAAAGGCCCGCAAGTCTAATCTGGACGTCTTTTCTGATGACATCGCAGAAGACATCATGACGCAGCTACCTGATCCAGCACGGGCTCCCAATGAACCAAAAGAGGATGTCAAAGACGCTGGCCATCCGATCAAGGATGTCAGGGAAGAGTTCAAATCTGTACCAGGCCCTGGAGATTCTCCTGAAGGCACAGAAACTACTATCAAGAAGGATGGTAATGTCAGGCATAAAGCGACCAGCTCAACTACAGTGCATTCCCCCGACAAGTCTGTGAGTGTGGAATTGAATGCGGAAATGTTTCACCAAGTTCTGGACTATCACGTTACAAGACAGAATTCCTCTTTACTCTCCAGGTATCATTTTCAACCTAATGCCGGTGCCAAGACAACTACCAGCAACGGGAGCAGCCCCCAGGATACGAGAAGACCTGTTCCAGGAAGAACAGCGTCAGTGAGAAATGGAAATGGTGGAACCTCACCCAGACGCCAGCGCCTGACGCCATTACAACGTCTGGGTCAGACCGCCCTCGCTCGATCTCAGTCCATGAATACCATCTCTCCTTCGGTTACGAGACCAACTCCTCGCACCCTCGGAAGAACTACCAGTGCTTTGGAAAGTGACGTGGCATCCCAACACCCTATCTTCAGTCCACAAGGCAGTGAGGATATGCTGGTCCCGGATAGCGAAGACGAAGCCGATGGATCCGACGTCGGCGATCGGCCAAAACCTGCTCCCTTGAACCTACAGCAGTTCTCCTTCTCAGCTGGATAATATTATAGCGGTTCTGGCTTATTGTATAGATGCAAGAGCATCACACATTGGTGCAGCTGTATCATTTCATTTTTGTGTTACGTCATTGGGCGACTCGCAAACCATTTAGCATAGGCATCATGGTGTTTTTGAGGCATATTTATTGGCACATGGCGATTTGTATACCCTAGAGAAGATTAGGAGAGATTGGGCGAACACATTGGAGGCACTTCTTCGTGCCTTGATAGATACCTAATGATATTATCCCGTCTGGCAAGTTGATCTACTCAGAAATTGAGAGGCTGGGGAGATCCCGTGTTGATAACGCGATAAGCGGTGGGGCCAACCCAAAACGGGGCCTGGACCAATCCAGATCCGCCCTAGCGCCGTCGGCGGGGCAGATTTAGCCCGATGAGGACGAGTGGACCCCTTAGGAGCGGCAGGCGGTGAGGGGCGGTTACCGGGGAACGGCGAGAGTAAACAAAACGGCGTTGGCCCAGCCTCTCCATTTCGCCCTTGTATAGACATCCCCAGCCACCAGACTATCGTCACCATTCGCATTCCTCTCGCTCGTGCCAAAGCATTCTGGCCTGGTTTTAGTGGTGAAAGATCTGATCAGCTACGCTCTCCCTCTTCCCCCCCCCCTTCTCCCCTTACCCAATTCTCCATCTCCCTTTCCCACCTCCATTCCTTACCTTTCCTATTTCCGACACATATCGCACGCCTCCGGAAATCGGAACATTTGCATCACGAGTTCACGATTTGATTGTCTCTGACGAGTATCACATTGGCCCAGGTTCGATCGGAAAGGAGGTCTGCATTCTTTGGACCTTCATTGACGGCACTCGTTCCACATTCCATACCGACGTTATCGTCCGATCCATTCAGCATTCCTTCGTTATCACTCTTCGGTCCACGATATCGACAATCCAAGATCACGAGACCTTACGATCGTTCTGTACAGAGCATATTGGCGATAGAATAGCCCAGGGTTGGGAGCTATTCAGTGACCCTCGAACGCTCCTTCTCGGGGGGCCCGAGAAGCGAGTCATACCGTGCGCAGAAAGGAGCAGATAGAGGATTGATTATTCGCCATGGCTGCCATTGGGGCTAAGTTTGCCCGTACGCTCTCTTGGATAGCAAAGAATGCTGGTTCACGGGCTAATGGTTGTGTCTAGGGTTCATACCGATGATCGGGTACCACCACGTGCTTATGATTATAATCGCCGTCGCTATCATTCTTCTCTGTGAGTCTGCCCTTCCAGGCCCGTACCACGGAATGCCACTAACCATCGCAGCTCTACTATTGGCGGGTTGCTCGTCATCTTCGCCGCAAATCCCCGACATCTTTTTGATCTCGATGTACTACACGCGCTACGACCCGGTGTTTAACCTCGCGCAAGTTGACCCTGGCGTGGTGACCGCAACGGCCAACATTGTGGGAGGAGCAGAGATGGAGGTCCGTGTGGGATACTTTGGTATCTGTGTGTCGCCGGATAGCGGGTCTTACATCTGCAACTCCAATGCGACTGCGCTGGCAGAGATCGTTACGGTCGACCAAGACCCATTGAACTTGATCTGGGTCGCTTCGACATTCAAAGACGCCGTGGTCTTCCCTTACCTACTGTACGTGAATTCTACCTGTTTGACTCGATCTGTCCGGTTCGTTTCAGATCACTAACCCAATATAGGATCATCGCGGTCATTCTCGCCTTTTTCTGCTTCATCCTTCTCGCCACGTTCCCCGGATGGCACGAGGAAACCGACGCCACCGGCTCTGAACGGGAGGTGAAACCGTTCCCATCACGACCCGTCTCCCAAGCCGCTCTTGCGCTCATCTTTATCGCGTCCGTCTTCGTGCTAGTATCGGTGCTATGGCAACACACGGCGTCCGTGGCCGCCAGTACGATCGCCCAGGATATGGGCAATGGCAGTGTCAAGAGTGGTGTGGGCACGTCCGCGATGGTTCTGGGTTGGTTCGGATTCGGTCTCATGGTCGTGGTGACCATCGGATTACTGGTCATGATTCTCAGCATCAAACTGATACGACAATTGACGGATGAAGACTAGTCCGTGTGAATGGGAAAATCACCCATTCTATATTTCCTTGATTTATTCCCCTTGACTTTTCTTTACGCATGATCTTTTTGGACGCAACGGACACGAACGGCACATGAATAATACGACAACACCCCCTACGATATTAACCCCCTACGACATTTGGAAATTATGAAAATGGAAATGGAAATGGAAATGGCTATGAAAATGATAATGAACTTATGGCCCTGGAAGGGTCTCCCTACCGTTCATTATATCTTAACCTCTCCTCCCTCTCGCACCCTGTACATTCTGCCGTGCTTGAATTGGTCAATGATTTGATGTTTTTTTACCCCTGTATAAAAAGGATTTCCCCTTTTGTTAATCATTTTTCTTCTTTTACTTTTTTTTGTGTTTGCTACTTCATTGGGATGGGATACGGATGACGAGGACTGGATTCTGGGAAACTTTGGGACGCCGTTACGTGGAAATGGACTTTTTTGCAATCAATTTGTTTTCCTTGTGTTTTCTTTCTCTGTTTAGATCGTGATAAAGTCGAATGGAAGATCACATACATATAGATGATATGAAACACGCTATGTTCTTGCTTAGTCGATTAGGCCTACTGCTTACCTGAACGGTCGTGTCGTATGGGCCCTGTAGACAGCACATACAAATGGATTAAAAATGTCTCCACTGTAGTGCAGAAGCAGGAGCCTTGCAGGGTTAACTTTCAATCGGGTTCCCGCATGGGCTATCTACAGAAACCGCAATAACTTCACGCTCCTATGTAAGAATAGCTGGATGTGAGAATATTCTATCCTTATACTTTTATATGCCATGTAAACTGGCTTCGTCTTGTGACGACTTCTGGGCCATTGGGCTTGTGAAAAGCCAGTCGATGCGGAGCAAACATAAGCAGCAGTATTGGACTTGGGTTAATGGCACAGAAACATATCTATCACTACCTAATAGACTAGATTGATTGAATTGACTCGGAGCTTGGCAATATGAAGGCATTCCTACATGCTTTGGCAAATGTACTTTCTAGGAATCAAATCGTGTCAGTGTATTGCGGTAGCGGAAGTTTTTCAAACTTCCGACTGCCGACTGTAAGTAGGAAGCGATCACTGATAGAACTTGAGCATGAGCTCAAAGATTGTTTTCTCATATGAGAAGATGCAAAATATTATCTGGTGATATGTTCTTGGCTCTATAGGTATAACCAACTAGCCCGGCGAAATGAAGGATGCATTCCATTGCTCAATGACCCTCAATCATACATGCTCCATGGCCTAGAAGACATAATCAATGGAGCATTCCCCGCACCGCTCTAGAATCATCGAGTGTCCATTCGGACTTCCATCAATTTAGACCGCACTGTCACCAACATAGCTCATGCCCTTGATGTATGTACATCCTCCGACGTAGCCCTAGTCCCATATCGAAGGACCAGTCGCATACTCTGACTTTTCGGCAAGAACATCATTGCGGTGACAAGTATATCAAATAAAGATGCTTTGCCCGCCGGGGAGGGCGGCTGTTTATGTTGCCAAGCTGACAGCCGTGATGACAGGTGTTTTGGTATGGGATTTTGATCCACGATTCGCATCTCCAGTCAATCATCGAATTCGCATGGTCGATCCGATGCAATTCTGTCAAATGGCCCGCTGAGCGCGCGGGCGTATCTCCTGTTCAGATCCTGCTGGTGGTGGGATACTTTGTCCCAAGAGAGGAGGCTAGTCGATTTCCACCTTATAGCGTTGAAATAATTCATAGCAAATGCAACCCTGGCTCAAGTCCATCGGAAGTAATGCGTCATCGGATAGCCTAGGAATTCACACTGTTCGATATCCTGGAAAGTAGACCGAGCACTAGGGAAGTCCAAGCGCTGCATAGGTCCCTCAAGATGCGAGACTTCTTCCCACCGATCAAAATTGTTGACTGCCTCCAGTACTCCGGAGTATCCGCGCGCTTGAAGATAGTCAGTCGAAGGGTTCGGCTGGCCTGAGCGAACAAATTCGGCGAAATAGGCCGATACGAGTTCAACGGATCGAAGGTCCAAGCGGTCTCGGATAGCCTCTAAGTTGCCAAAAATCCAAGGGAGATCGGAGCCATGAAGACGGAAGTATGGGAGTTCAGGGTCGCCATTAGGAAAATCAGATGTTGCCTTCGGTCCCCCGACGTGATTAGGATCTCGACCCCCCGTAGTCCTTTCCATCTGATAGTAATAAGCAGGCTTAAACCGTCCTGACGTGGAGCCGGCGAACGCTGTCGCTTGGTTGACGCAGCGGACGCGAAGGTCTGTGGCAACTCGTTGGGCGACATTGAAGGAGTCCAGAGTCATGTTGCCAGTGTCCCGATAGGGGAAGAGACCGGAGTCCATGATTTTTCGAGCATGGGTTTCATCAATCCCCAGGGCTATTTGAACTCCTTCCAGCGGTGTTTTGATCGAAGCAGGTGGGTATTGACAGAAAGAGGCACCGTCGTTGGCAGTGTTTCCAAAAATAACAGGGATACCAGGGTGTTTCCAGCTCGCGCGGAGGAGATTAATCTCTTTCGAGTTCACATAATGACCATCCTGGACAATGTGTCCCGCAACACTATCCAGCCCAACCAGTCTCGACGCCGGGACATCTCGTAAGCAGGCGACTTGCTGTTCGGGGGTCCCTTTGGCGCAGCCTGCCTCCACAAGCACCTGCTTTCCGGTAGAATTATATGATTCTTCGATGGTCAGATACGAGCTGAATGGCGTTGCGAAGTCGTTTTTACGGCCAAGTCCAATGCCACCTCCGAGATTCGACATGGCAACGGCGCCGTGAAACAGACCCGACGCAGGGTTGGAGTCCAACAGAGCTCTCACGGAGGCCGCGCCGGCAAATTCACCGACGATAGTGATGCGATCGGGGTCCCCACCGAATTGAGCGATGTTTTTAGCGGTCCACTACTCATGTGTCAGTATTGTAGATCCCGGAAATGCGGCAAGATATGTATCCCAGTTACCTCGAGAGCGAGAACCTGGTCGCCCAACCCGTAGTTCCCTTGCAGGTCCGTCCCCGGAACAGCCAAAAACCCCAACGTGGAGAGTCGGTAATTGAACGTCACCACCACGATATCCTCGCGCGAAGCCAGGTTCCCTCCGTCGGTTAGACTATCGGCACCAGACCCGTCGGTAAAATCGCCACCATGGATCCAGAACAAAACAGGCTTCAAGCCCTCCTTGGAGTTCTTTCTCGGAAGATACGGGGTCTGGATGTTCAGGAACAGGCAATCTTCGCTACCACCTCGTGCCTGGGCGCAGCTGGGCCCGTACTTTGTCGCGCGGATCGCCTTCGCTCTAGGAGAATGGGGCACTGCGTACGCGAAACGCTGCGGCACGTCGGCATAAGGAATACCTAAGAAGCGAAACGACTTCTGGTCCCGAGACCCGACATACGAAATGCCTTCCGACTCGATGCGCAATTCCGTGGACCGAGTCGCATGTTTACTAGCTGCCGGAGAACTGACTGCGCTGGATCGAGCACCACTCTGGGTGCACAACACGGGCAATTTGAAGTCTCGACCGGGGTAGGGCAGGACCTGAAACTTGTCGGAGCCCTGCGTCACGGAGAGAAGGCCGTTGCGAATGTAGTAGCTGTTGGTCGAATTGGCTCTGCCCGAGTGGACGAGGTAGGAGAACAGGTGTTTGAAATCCTCTTTATGCTCCTCGAGGGTCCCGTTGGAGATCATGGTCTCCCCGATCTCCTGGCACGCCTCGCGGATATCGTACTGGTGCATGCGATCCAGGAGGATGGCACCGACATGGTTTGAGTCGTCCGAGGCATTAAGGTTGTTTTGGTAAAGCAGCGTCAGCGACGTTTTCTCGTTGGCCACGGGCATATAATTGCCAATCGGCGACTGGTGGTCATGGGGATTGGCTCCCAGGGCCAGGGGCGTAAGAAGGCCTAGGATGAGTAAATAGTTCATGATTTTGAAGTTATTGCGCCTGGTAGCCCGAGATGTAGATCTTCACGAACGATTTCTGCGCATTGCGACCATGTATTGCGCCTCTGTTTATTTGACTGAGTTGATCGAAGGAAAGTTGTCAAGACATGGCGATGACAGGACAGGGTCCGACGAGAGAACAATCCCCAAAAGGAGAGAGCCACGAGACCAGGCGACCTTTTTTAAATAAATCGCATGGACAGCAAATTAGCAACTGACAAAGGAAGAAAAGGCGGGGGGGAAAAGAGCAAAGGCCCCATCGGTAGTTCGACGCTAACATCAATAGTCGTGACTCTTTGGGGCGACCATGTCTTGGACGCTGCAGCCTCGGCGTTCGCTGAGGTCAGCCTGAACTTCTGGAGTCTATTGAATTCCATTATTTCGGATGGATTTGAAGGTTGAACCTGTTCAACGGGGCCAGATCAGATGCAAGGGAAGTTCGCTTGGGGCAGAATCATTGCAAAAGCAGTCCAAGTGGATATTCATCGCCAGGCACCGATCAATCAGACGCTCTCCCCCGACATTATCCCGGGCCGATCAATGCTTGGAGGGTCTCTCTAGGCATCTTTCAGGAAAGGATATTCGGCTCAATTGAGCTGGACATGAACTACTCCGGAATACATCGAGAATCGAGATGACCGACAGGGAATCTTCTATCGTCCAACGCTGTGCGACCATAACAAAGCGCACTACTCCTGCTATTCAGTCATGCGAAACGATCAGATGAACAGTATCCACCAATAATGACTGCCGAGCCACCGGTGCAGAAGCTCGTCCAGGGTCCATTCTTGCCCCCAAACACGCGATGCCTCGATGTCTCACTAGAAAATGGAAATGCAACCGTCGGATCCACCGGTTTATATTTATCTGTCTCGGTCGCTTTCCACCAATCGGCTGCATCGGGACATCTGAGGGTTTTGATTAATTGTGGGTTCCTCGGCGGTCTTTGGATTGTACAGTTCACTGTGTCTGATTGTTTGACTGCCTGTTGACTGTGGCTGTTCCACATAGAACGAAGGTGCCGAGTAAATACGAAACTCCTTGCATATCACAGCAGCCCTATGGGCAGGCATATGGCAGGGTCTCACGGACATTCCTTGCTGGAGAGGTCACATCTCGTCCATGAAATCAATCAATTATTGGAAATTGTGATTTCACAAATCAAACACTCAGAAATTACATTTATAAGATTGCACTGAATGTGAACTCATTTTGATTTTGAATTCTCGTTTGTCTTTTGGTATTATGGAACGGGACTAATCTGCCTGCCATGGAAACTGGTCATAGTCTGCGAAAAGGTAAAGGACAATATAAGGTATATTGGAAACAATCAACTCGATACGTGGCACTCCGCCTAAGTAGGTAAGATCCTTGCAGAGAATCAGCGCGGAGATACTTCAAGACACATACGCCGTTTTCCTAGAAGTAAAAGTGTTCAATAATTCATCACTGGGCCGCCGGGACCAGGACCAGGCTTGTCCTCAAAGTTGGCTTCGTGTCCGCCATAGTCATCCAATGACTTGTAGTTGGGAGGACCAGCGTCGCGTCCACGACCACGGCCACGGGCACCTCCTCGGTTGGCATGTCCTCGTCCGCGCGGACCCGAGCCACGGCCACGGCCACGGTGGGATCCCCGACGAGGGCCGTCGTCATGGTGTCGGCTGTTGGGTCCGTGACGATTGTACGGATGCGCCCTTCCGTGAGAAGGCTCATCGTGCGTGTTCTGATGGCCATGAGCATAGTCATCGTGATCCTGCCGATGACGTCTCTTGTTATTCTTGTTCAAGAACTGGCTCTCCCACTCGCCCTCGTTGGGGTTCTCCTCTTCCACACGCAATACTACTTTCTCCCCGACGACCGTCTCGAGCGTCAAGGCTTTATCAGCAGAGACGGGTTGCCAGTTCTGGATCTTGCCGGCATCTATCGGTCGCGCGCCTTTGCGCACCGCCAGCACCACCACGGGGGATGGGTTCTCGGTGTAGTACTTTTCGGTCGCCGGAACGGGCGTTAGCCGGGCAGCCCAGACCCGGTTCTCGAAAGCTGCAATTCCGGTGACCTGCCAGCTCAGTTTCTTGCCGATGCCACCGACCTTCTCTAGAATAGACCGAGGGGCGGGCCGTGGGGTGATTAGTATACTGTTAGCCATGTACTTCAAGTCATTGGATTCAGCAAGCCCCGAAGGCAACATGGGTGTCAGAATCTGACTGATCAGACGACTAGAGTCTGTATTCGATATCAGATAGCCAGTGTAGAAAATAGTCCGCTTAATACGGAGCCGACCGTACGGGGACTTTGCTCCGTTGAGGGACGGATTGCGGGCCACAAGGTTGTGGGAGTTGATCATACGCTGCACTTCGGCGGTTTCAAGAACGGGCGAAAGATACATCGATCCCTCGGCTACTTGAATCACCTCCGCGTTGATAGGTCTGCGGGAATAGGGTGTCGACACGCCCTGGAATCTCCGGTTCTGGTGCTCAAAGAAATCTCGGAAGTGTTTGACACTGAGCGAATTAGAAGCATCCTCACGGGAAGGGTTGGCCATCGCACTCACTGCTTCACCCGATCCTCGTAGACGCGAATCTCGTCGGCCTGTTCATATGTGAGAACGAGATCTTCAAGGAAAGATTGCTTGAACTCCATGGTCGTTGAGAACCGCGCGTTATTGGGTCCAACTTCGGGCTTGAGACAAATCAGGTCAAACTCAAGTTTTCTACTGTCCACCATGCGTCTAATCAGGTCGGAGAATCCGCTCTCACTCCGTCCAGTAAGGAGCACCGTGAGAGCGTCTTTCTGCTCCATACTGAGCTTGACCAGTTGCACCTGCGACGAATCAGCCATTATTCCCAGCGTCTATAGAGCGGACTTGGGTCGCACAATCTGCTCGTTCCACCATCCTTCCCAGGCGCGAGGTTCTTCTTTTTCAATGCCATCCCCCGTGGCGGCAAGGAGGTTCGGGTCGTGCCACCATCCTCCGTTTGCAAAGCTCTCGTAGGCTTGCAAGAACCCGATGGTCGGGCCATTCCATATTTGTGGGTTTGGGAGTGGGCTTAGAAACACTGCACGGTATTAATTCCCAGATGTGCCTATTTTATTTCCCAGTTTTATTGTTCCTTACATGTGTTGTCGAAATCATAGACGTGAATCGCTTTCACCTGCGGTACGGCTAGAGACCATAGAAAGGAACTATGTTAGCGAGGCCACATCCACCATATGACACAAAGTAGATAAAAAAATAAAAATGGGATGTCTCACCGGGCAAATTCCTATTGATGATCGACCATCGTCTCAGACCTGTAATAGTGCGTGAGGGAGACCGGGGAAGGTCCTGGGCCAGAGCCCCGTTTGCCTGACCGCGCGACATGGCGGCCGACTCCTGGCGAGACGCGTTCTCTGCCACGACAGCTTTCGCAGACCTCATCTCTTGCAGACCATGGGACTGGCGATCAAACGCTGCGTCGGTTAGTGCATTGCTCGAGGCGGTAGGCAGTGTAGAGTGATGATCTCTTCGCTTGCTGGCGGGCGTCGGGGGAAGCAAGCGGCGGTTTCGCCGCGGAATTTTCGCCATCGCCGACCACAACGTGACTTCCTCCGCCAACACCCCGACTTGCCTGATGGGCCTGAACCGGATTCCCATCAAAGGTCCTGAAAGGCGTCTCTTTCCCTCGCGCGTTACTCAGATGCCGGTCTGATGTCTGACGATGTCGACATACAGCAGGAAATTCTGCAACGGACTCTGCAGGAGGTAGTGCAGGAGGAGGAGAGTGACGAAGTGGCTAATCCATGCGTCATCTGTTTAGAGCCCGTCTCAGAATGCGCTCTCGCCCTGCCCTGTCAACATGCCAACTTCGATTTTCTTTGTCTACTGAGCTGGCTGGAGCAGCGACGCAGCTGTCCCCTATGTATGTCTTCAGACTTTCCCTGCTAATTTCCCTTCGTGTGTGTTCTAACTTCCGCCTAGGCAAAAGTGACGTCGAATCCGTGCGATACGATCTCGACAATAGTGCAGGTCCAAAGATCTACCAGCTTCCTCCCCTTCCTCCACAAGCTGCAGCAGGCACTAGTGCCTCGTCATTCGATACATTCAACTCTCACCAACGATCATTTGCATTCCGCGGATCTCGCCGCCAGCGACGCCCTCCAAGCCCACGACAGCAACCACCCGACGACCCCCTTCTACGCCGACAAGATGTCTACCGCCACCAGCTATATTCCCTTCGAGTCGGTTCGAACCGCATCTCGCAATATCGTGAATTCACCCCTGAAATGTTCAATCGCGACGAAGGACTGGTCTCGCGCGCCCGCAAATGGATCAGACGGGAACTAAAGGTCTTTGCGTTCCTGAATCCCGAGACAGAGACAGAGACAGAAACGCAGTCCCAGACACAGACGCAGACAGGTTCACATCGCGGACGGACGGCTCGTCCTGGACCACAGAGGCTGGAGAGTCGTCGGGGCAACAACGCCGAGTTTTTGCTCGAGTATATCATTGCCATTCTTCGCACAGTGGATATCAAAGGCAGTGCTGGTCAGGCAGAGGAGCTTTTGCGAGACTTCCTGGGGAGGGACAATGCGCGCCTTTTTCTGCATGAGCTGCAGGCCTGGCTTCGGAGTCCATTTACCTCCCTCGAAGATTGGGATCGCAATGTTCAGTATGATAACACTTCGAGATCGGGTGCTAGCAGTACGAGTACGGCTCGTCGAGATCCTGTAGGTTCCGATCGAACATCGACTCCGGTGTACCGAGGCCGTGGTCGTGGTCGCGGTTACGGTCGTGATCGTGGCTTTCGCGGAAGAGTATCCAAGTCTCACTATGCACGAGGTCGGCAAGCTCAGGGCGGACCGCAGGACGCTTCAGCGCAGGCACGGCGCATACAACACGCGCGAGATCGATACATTCCTGATTAGAGATTTACTCTTGTCTCCTTGGGCCTCATGAAGTTGATGATTTGTATGATATGCTTTAGAATTATGTATATAGACCAGCGCTTTCTGTGCGGTGGGAATATGGTATGAAAAGATGAATGCTCTCGGATCGTTGCTCATTAAAATGCCTGTAAGCGGATATCTCATCTGCGTCTGCCAAAGCGACCCGCGCCTCGGCCTCTGCTGCCCCTGCTTCGAATCTTCAAAGATCGATAGTTTGCATGCGCTTGCGGATTGACCTTCCTCTCGCGCGGTTTCTTAGCCTCAGTCGCCTTGGCCTGAGGTGGCGGTGCTTTCTCCTCGCGAGCTCGCGGTTGAGGATCGGGCACGCCGATGGCCTCTTTCATCTTCTCTGAAAAGCTCTTGCTCTTTGCCGCCGGCTTAGGCTTCTCTCCGTATTCGGGGTCAGAGTCAAGATCGGGTTCCGACATTGTGTGCAGCGAATCGATGTCGTCGAAGCCATCGTAGTCGAATTCGTCGACGTCTTCTGTTCTACTCGGTCCCTGTGTTTCGGGCACTGCCGCAGGCTCATCCTGTTGCCCTTCGTCGTCATCATCCTCTTCGGGCGGTTCTGGCGAATGTGGCTGGGGCTGGGGTTGTGGTTTCACGACGACCGGCTTCATATTCACCCTGCGCGTTGTTCGCTTCTGACCCTTCTTCTTGTATGGTCGTCCGTTGAAGGTAGTTGGCGCTTGGCTATCATTCACTTGGACGTTCTCCGCAGCCGCTTCCTCGGCCTCAATCTCATCCAGCACGTCCATATCGTCCTGCATCCGCTCATCTTCCATATCGCGCAGCCCTTGTACTATAGCCGACAGACCCCTTCCGACGAGCTTCGGCGGTTTTCGCACAGCCATGGGGCTAAACCCACCAGCATTACCGGTGGAGTTGGAAAGGCCGTACCGCCCCGAATTTGACCTTCTGAGGAAGGACGGTGTCTCCGACCCCGCCGGCTGCGCGTTCTCGACATCGGCGTGCTGTTTCCCAGCGTCAGCGTGCCCTGCATCGTCCTCACCCTCCACCATCGCAGCATAGCGCAGCGTCGTCGGTGTCGCGAACAAAGTCGAAAGCATATACATCTTCCCAGACGACGCAGGCGTCCGCTCCCCTCTCGGACCATCGTCTTCCTCTTCCTCCTCGGCAATCGTATCCATAGTCCTCCGCTTCGACGGCGTCTGAGCGTTCGCGCCCTGAACGCTCGCTATTCTTGTCGCCGACGGCGTCGCCGTGCTCCCGCCGGATTCTGAAAGCAGATCGAACAGCCCGAGCGCTTTCCCGTCGCGTTGGGGCGTGGGACCGATAGCTGCCTTCAATGGCGATGCCTGCATGTGCGCCGACGGGCTGAAGAGTCGGCGAAACACCGACGGCGAATCGTAAGGGTCGATTTGTGATGGATGCGTGCTGTCTTTTCGTGACTTGGCGGGTGTCTCGAAGAGTCCTCCCCTCGTTGCTTTGCGGGGGGTGGTCGCATGGTCGCCAGTTCCTGGATCTGTGGGCGATGCGTGCTTGCGCTTCGTGGGACGATGTTCTTCGGGCTGAGGCTGGTGGGATCGGTGTTTCTTCTCGTATTTGGTGGACTTTTCGAGGGATTTGAGTCGGGAGTATTCTTTGTATTTGGCGGCTGCATTGGAAAGGGGGTTAATCGAGAGGAACAAATGACCAAAAATATTTCTTGTTCCTAAAAACAGGATGAAATAAGAATAGATAGATAATGTAGTCATACCTATCTCCGGCTCCTGCTTGATATCATTCCGTTCTGCTTTCCGGCCTTCATTTGCCGCTGCAAAGGCTCTCTCCCATTCTTTCAGTTCGGCGCGTAGATTGCCCGAGAGCGTCGCGATTTCGGAGACGTCGACGTCGGCCATTATTGCATGTTGGGACGATAAGAAGCAATGGAAAGAAGTTGATAATAGTCAGAAAGAAGTAGCCAGTGCGCAGGTGCTGGAATGGCAATGCTGGCGCAAGGAGAAGTCAATGCAAGACAGCGCGGCCCCTCCGTCGCGCACGCGAAAATCCAATTAACGCGGGTTGGGCGCGGGTGACGTAGCGTGTTCTGCCACGTGATTTTCTTCTTCTATCTACTGAAAACCATGATTGTTATTGTATTAGTTTCAATATCATTATTGTAGTATTCTCAATCTATTATATGCAAATTGTATCTTCAGGCCCGCTCAATGCAATTTCCCTGCTCTCACCAACTCGTCAACCCGCGTTGTCTATCAAACCCTCCTCTCAACTGCGACTCAGGATGCACCACCTTCCCCTGTAGAAGGGTATATTTAACCACGCCCTCGCAATGCTCGGGTTTGATTCTCGCCAGCCAAATCAACTGCTCCTCCTTCTTGCGGTATATTAGAACGTTAGCCGAGAACTTGTGGCCGCCGACGTGAGACACGAAGAAGATGCCTACGCCGCCGGGCCGTTCGTCATCCGCGTCTCGATAGAGGCCTAGCGGTCGCAGATGCCGTTCGAGTTCTCGCTTGATTAACGGTGCCGTTATGCCGCATCGTGCGTCTCGTCGCTTGTGAGAGCAGAGCAACACCACGTAGTCATATTGGCAAGGTCGCGACGGTAATCGAGACGTGGCGGGTTGTCTGTCGGCGCTGGACTGGGGGGCATCGATGAAGCAATCCACGAGCTCTTTGACGTCGTCGCTTTGGACGGAATCGACGAATGTGAAGGAGGGTAGAAGCAGGACTGTGCTTCCCGGCGGTGTCTGGGTCTCGCTGTCGGTGTCATGCTCTGGTTCCTGGAGATTCGATGCGGAGACCATAATTCGCTGGGTATTCGGGTTAGCGAAAGGCAACAGCAAAGGCTTGGTAGTGAAGCTTACCCCATGTTTGGATTTCACGGAGGCGCGATCAAACGCTTCCATCAAGCTTCCTCGTTCTTCCTCTACGTGCTGCTTCCAGTCGGATTTGCCCGTCGCTACTAAGACATGGGTGTTGACAGGTTTCAAATGTCCGTAGAGAGGAGTCAAAGATTCGATCTTGACTTTTGGAGGGAATTGTGCGGTGCAATCCGCGCAGTCTTTCTTGCAGTCTGCGCCATCCTCGGCCGGATCGACGGTAGGGAAGAGGTAGTTGTTGCGTTGGATGCCACTTAGCGACAGAAGGGAACGCAACATGATGGAGAGAGATAGTAAGAGCAATAAAATGACAAGAGTATGTGGAGAACAGTATTCTCGGATTTATTTCCCTTTAGCAGAACTAGAAGAAAAAAAGCCTGTCCGACGACATGACAGACAGTAAGGCTGATATACTCCCATCGGACAAAGAACTCGGAGAGCGCCGAATATGCCGAGACCGAAGCCCGAGAGACGATGCGACCGAAGGATGCATCAGAATGAGTCGAAATGCTTGCATCTACCGTGCATGCTTACTGTAGTACGGTATATAAGCATGTTAGACGCAGCTGGTGATAGGATAGCATATGGTTTGAGTCCATACTGCATACGGAGTACTCAGTACTGCATCTCTGGGAGCTCTCCTCGCATCTCTCCCGCTCGGCATTATGTCGGAGATACCATGACAGGCCAACGAGGACTAGATTAAGTCGGAGAATTTCATGTCTCAGACTTCATCTGGTGCCATTCATGGATGTTGAGATTATCTTGCAGCCTAACAGGCAGCGAGAAGAGTGAGTGACAGGCACCCATCCGATCTTTATCAATCTCATTGTGAAACCCCCTCCGGCGTGGATTACTCCATGCGGTCAATTCGCCCGTGGGGCCACACACGTAATTCAATTCTTCTGCGCTGCGCCGACGATTCTCCACTGATAATCGCTCCCAACCGAATGGAAAAATAAAATTAGAGGGGAAAAAACGACCAAAAGAACCATGACGGGGATGTGCCGCCATCAAAGTCTCTTGGATCCGCCCCTTTCCCTTTCTCCGTCAACTTCAATAATTCCTCGGGTGCCACCATCATGACCGACGACCAGCAGCATCTGGGGGCTCCTGATCCCGAGCCCCAGCCGGAACAGCGCGTGCGGAAGAGGCGGCGCCGTACCATGGCCTGTACGCAGTGTCGCAGTAGAAAGCACCGCTGCGATCGCGAGTACCCCGTCTGCGGCCGTTGTCAGAAGAGCAAGTCGCCCTCCAGTTGCACCTACGAAGATGGCTTCCTTTGGCAGCAACCCAATACGGTTGCATCGCCCGCGTTCTCCGACCGAGGTTCCACAGCCATGGCTCAATTGCCCCGAATCGATCGGACAAGCGCTGCCCACCCTACCCCGGACTCGGCGATAAGCTCGCTGCCCTCTCGGCCTTTCCCGAGCTTGACGGGCAGGAAACCCGGCGAGGAGAAGCGAGATCGTTTTCTGGAAACCGTCTTGGGCGCCCCTAAGGCCGCCGTGAACCAGGAGCCCTATGTGAACACCGAGGTGCTGCAACGCCCGCGACCTTCCTCCGAGAATCGTCGGGCGGCACCCTCGCGCCCTCTCGAAGATAATGACAGTCCTCCCTCTCCTTCGCGGCAGTTGGACCTCATGCCTCGCATCATGATGCGGGGGAAGGAGACCAAGACGCGCTTCAACGGCTCGGGGATTTTCGCCAATCTCATCGCTCAGGTGGCTATCTCTGTCTCCTCCCGTGATCTGTACGAATACTGAGTCTCACAAATATACTGACGAGTGGATAGTTTCCCGACATCAAGTCATTTGCGGAAGAGATTCGAGTGGCCAGTCCTCAGCTTTCGGCGCTGCGACCAGATCTGTCCCGGGTGGCGAGGGGTCTGTGGAAGAGGAAGCCCCTCAACACGCCCATTCCCATGCCGGACACCACTTCTCTAACAAACATGCTTCCTTCGCGGTGGGTTGTCGACGAGTTGGTTGTTCTCTACCTGACCTACATCGAGTCCACCCACCGCATCCTTCATGTTCCCTCCTTTCTCAAGGAGCTGGATGAGTTCTGGGCACAGAGGGAAAACCCGGACCTCATCTCGCCGCACTTCGTCGTCCAGCTGCTGTTAGTTCTAGCGTGCGCTTGGGACCTGGCCGACTTCGACTCCCTGCAGGCGAAGAATGAATCTACGCTGGTCTGTTACACCGCCATCGAATGGGTGCTCCATGCGGAAAAATGGATCGAGAACGCACATATCAAGCGGCCGGAGATAACAACGCTACGTCTTTCCATTCTCTTGGTTATTGCGCAGATTATCCACGGCATGAATCGGAGTAAAGCTTGGCTCACCACGGGGACACTGGCTAAGCAGGCCATGCTAGCGGGTTACCATCGTGACCCTAGTCGGTATACCAAAATTTCTATCTTCAATAAAGAGATGCGCCGGAGAGTCTGGACCACCATTGTGGAGCTCGATCTTCAGATATCCCTGGAGCGGGGGATGCCGCCTTCCATCCAAGAAACCGACTACGATACGCTTCCGCCCTCAAATATCAACGATAACGAGATCAACGAAGACACGACTGAGCTTCCGCCGGGGAGGCCATTGGACGAAATGACAGACTCGTCTTTCCAGTCTGTACTGACGCAGTCGCTACCGCTGAGGCTGAAGGCGTGTGAGTTGATGCATTCCCCTCGGATCAGCTGCCGCTACGATGAGATTCTCCGCATGGACTGGGAGCTGAGCCGATATCTCTCGAACATCCCATCCTGGTCGATATCCGGCGTTGAGGATGTCCAGACACAGCACAAAATCACATTAATTAAAGCTCTACTGGAGACCAAGATTGCCCAGAGCTTGTTGTCTATCCACACCCCGTTTGCCATCGAGGCACAGCGGGAACCTCTTTTTGCTGCCTCCGCTCGCAGTCGTCTTGAAGTAGCCACTATGATTCTGGTCACCCAGCGACAGTTATACGAAACGTCGAGGCAGTTATCCCTCTGTAACATAGGTGATTGGACCATGCAAGCCTACTGCTCGATTTGCCAACTTCTTCACGCCGGGAACGAAGAAAAGAGTGAGTATATTATCAATCTATTTCATTCCCTGAAATCAAGCTGACTATCTGAACAGCCAATTCTTCGTGCGGCACGTCTCTCGCTCGCCTGCTACCTGGAATGCCGGAATCTCTGATTTCGTTGGTGGAGACAATCTTGATCTGTCTAGAGGCACGGCTTCTGCTCGTGGTCAAAGGTGCCAAGGAATACTTCTTCATGTCGACAATTGTGGCGTTAGTAAAAGCGAACCTTTGGCCGGCGCAAGCGAACATGTACAAACAGGAGGTTGTGGAAAGAGTGATCTTCTTCGCGCAGACGCTCTTCACGCGCCATGCCAATTGCGCTCATTTGGGTGATTGGGGAATGGGAAGCTTCAAGACCAACCAAGTGAGTCTTATGATCTCTTCCGTCCCACCTTGGCCCAACCAGTGCGCTAATCTTGTCCTTGAAAGGTTCCCAGTTTAAACGCCAATCCTGGCATGGGGCCATCGTTTGTCCCTGACTTCAACATGTTCCAACCGACAGCCGAGTTCAATATGCTAGTAAGTTGTCATATACCAGACCTTGCCGAAGACGGCTCTGACCTGTTTCATCACCAGCCGTCTGGAGAATTGGACCCATTTCTGGATGCCTTTGACTGGACCGATTTGACAGGAATTACTTTTGAATGATCGTGAGAATAGCAGGTGGAGCTTTCCGTGAGCTTGTGTTTACCACACCCGCAATTCTACAATCAATCTAAATTCGGAGCCAGGGGGGAATGGCTCGGGAATGCCCAACACGATAATTGGCTCGCATACACCACCACCCTTGACATCCCTTGATTTTCCATCCCCGAGAAAGGAGGATGGTCAAATGCCTAGAGGTCTACGTTCAGGAAAGGATATCCCTTGACCTGCCATTATCGGTGTTCTGTGGTCCCTGCAACACTGTCTATCATGCTTCTTCCGACCGGGGAATGTGAGTCCCTGTTATAGGACATTCCCAAGCCCGAGTTCTAGTGGAATGCGACACTCCTCCCTTCCGCTCGTCTGCTGTATATATAACGAGAGAAACCGACCTGGCGACAGCTCTGCTCGGTCCTCCCAAACTATCTCTAATTTGATACCATACTTGCCTCCACTCCTACCAATCCAAACCTAATCAATTAATTCCTTCGGATCAAACAATCTATCCACAATGCTCGTCACCAAGGTAGCTTCCCTCCTCGCCCTCGCGGCCTGCGCCGTGGCCGCCCGCAGCAGCAAGCAAACCATGTCGGACATCGACAACATCTCGAACAACGTGGACCGGTTGAACGGGGCCCTGAAGGACTACAACGGCGGCATGGTCCAGGCGCTCCCCGTTGCCTACGCCTTGCGCGACACGACCAACAGCGTCAGCGATGCCCGCGCTCACGTGGAGGGCAACGAGCCCTTCGCCGACGAGGATGCCGAGGCGACTCGCAAGGCCTGGGAGCAGCTAGAGCCATCCATCGTGGAGACCGCTCGTCTGGGTGCTGAGAAGGTGAGTTCAATGATAAGGAGTGTATTGCATATTGAATTCAAAAGTTAACTCGGACGCAGGCCCCTCAATTCAAGAAGGCTGGAGCTGGTGGCGTAGCTAGCAAGATGTTGGGCGAGCTTGACGAGGAGCGAAGGGGCTTGACCAGCGACATGCAGCGGATGTCTGAGTCGGAGTACCAGAACTTCCAGCCGCATAACGAGCGGATCAACGGGGCGTTTGACGACCTGATGAACACCTACAACAACTAGGTTTAGGGCATTGAACTTTTTGATGGGGTGGGATTATCATTTAATATGTGGCTGTTATGATTGAGTGGTGGATACTTTTCTAATTAATTGAGTTTCTCTCTGTTCGTGATAGATTGGCGCAATCTGCGTGAGCGGCATAATTTATTGGATCATCGCCATGTTTCCAGTTTGAAGTGCTAGAAATCGAATTTTAAGCCAGGTCCTGTCAACCCAAATTCGGATTGAGTTCAGGGGGCACTAGCTTTCGTGGATTGGCTTTAATTCTGGGTCCCCCTTGGTACTCTAGAACCAAGAGCTTCGAGGACCAGGGATGCATTCTCCACCGGATTGGCATGGTCGATCATCAACATTAGGGTTTGGCAAGCATCCGAAGCCCGAACGCCCCTTGATAACCTCCCTGTTCATGATGGAGATCCTCAATGCTGATCGTTCGCTTTTTCTAAGACATATTCCGGTAGGTATACTAAGCCCTCTTTTCCTGAGCTCGTGTAGAATTTCGGGGTATATAGTTATCTACTGCCATTGACCTCACTGAGACTAATTGGACCATTCAGATGATATTTATTGATGGATGCTAGATAGTTGGTCACAAGAACCTAGCTATGACACGATTTATTGAGACTCGGCAGTGCAAAGAGGCCAAGACTAGCCACCTAGCTAGATGTCTCACTGACTCCTCAGCTGGGGGTTTCAATCAATAGACTCGTATAGTACGGAGTATAAACTGCGTGCAGCGTGGATATACTTCATAACAAGCATCTGGTAGGGTGACGTCACTCGCTGTGGTCCCACTTCACTGTCTCTCATTGGCTGCATGTGGTTCTGGACCGTCGCGGACTGTCCTGTTTGGCTTGTTTGTCTCAGTCCTTCCAGGCAGCAGGAAAGCAGTGCCTCAGGTACGTGAGCGCTCTGTAGATCCTCTCGCTGTTTAGTGTGTCCAGTGTCCACCGTCATCCAATCCCTCCGATCTTCGTCATGTTGATGTAGCCCCTATCAAGGCCCCGTTGAGAGAAAATCATGTTGGTCCTCGCCTCCCCCTTATCAATTGGTCTTATCGATAGACGCTGTGGCTAACGCAAGTTTCACCCACATCCAGTGCCATTTATCTCAGTCGGCGTCCTGTTTTCTCTCCACCGGTTCTTGATTCCCAGAATCCCAATGTCTTTTCGTCGCCAGTCCACCTTTCCTTGATATAATCTCATCCCTCTGAATCTATCTGTCCTCGACAAATACAGCCCAGGAACACGGTTGAGCTCCATGTGCGTAGAGGACGACGTCAATGGTACAACTCCGACTTCTATCGCTATGGCTGGCGCTGGTGTGTTTGGTGAATGCCATCCCAGCCGACATCCATGTGTCGGATCCCCTGAAAGTATTCTCGCAAACCAAGGATTACCCGCTGCCGAACCAAAGCAACATTGCGGCTCATGACCCCAACATTCTGCGGTACAACGACAATTATTACATGTTCAAAGGCGGCATGTATCTGCCCGTTTTCAAATCAGACAGCCTCGGGGGACCTTGGAAACGAATCGGAACGGTCTTCGATGGGCCCAGTGTCATCCAGAAACAGAACCGCACTCGCCCCTGGGCCCCCACCACCGTCGAGCGCAACGGGCGCTTCTACTGCTTCTATACCATCAGCAAACGCGGAAGCCGCGACAGCGCCATCGGCGTCGCATCGACAGATTCCATCGATGATGGGTCCTGGACCGATCATGGTGCTCTGATCAACACGGGAGAAGGGCCGCAGTCCCACATCTACCCGTACACGGTGTCCAACGCTATCGATGCGGCTTTCATCACGGATCAGGAGTCTGGGAAGCCGTATTTGCTATACGGCAGTTTCTGGCATGGGATCTTCCAGGTCCCGTTGAGTGATGATCTCCTGTCGGTCGAGCATCCCCGCCGTCCTGACGCTAAGAATCTGGCCTTTCTGCCGGACCGCAAGGTGAAGCCGCAAGAAGGGTCGTTTATGAGCTATCACGAACCATATTACTATGTCTGGTTCAGCCAGGGTAAATGCTGCCATTTTTCCCAGGGTTTCCCGAAGATGGGACAGGAGTAAGTGCACGGGTGTTCTGAGGGGTTTTCGTAGACTAACGACTTGCCCAACAGATACAGCATCAGGGTTGGACGATCTAAGAACGTGCGAGGCCCTTTTCTGGACAAGGACGAACGGAGTCTTACCGACGGCGGTGGCACGGTAGTCTACGGGTCAAACCACGGGGTTGTATATGCGCCTGGTGGGATCGGAGTGATGACCAGTAACTCAAGCGACCCCGATGTCATGTATTATCATTATCGTAAGTCGCCTATCTACGGTTGTTGCCAACGACAGCTGAACTGATGGGTATAGTGAACACGTCCATTGGACTTCGAGATGGAGTAAGTTAGTGCATTCTACATTGATATTAATTTGCTAATTTTCAATCGTAGCAAGCACGTCTCGGCTATAGCTGCATCGACTATCAGGATGGATGGCCGGTAGCAAAGTATGTGTCTATTGCAGAATTCATTTCATATGACTGACCCGTGTTAGAGCATGCAAAAGTCGCGGATCGATCGTGCGTCCTAATTACACGTCCACCTTCCTTGCTGTTTTGTGTATGTGCTGCTTGGCTTTGATGCTGCTTACCACGCGTTTTACTGGATCGAAGCTCATTTTTGTGTTTTTGCTCCTAGTCACCGGGGCATTTCTGTGGTTGTACAGGTGATGGATCACTGTCTTTCACGTTCATTCTTTTTACATCAGTCTGCATAGAGTTCATATCATGTACAGCGTGCAAAGATATCGAGGAGTCGGCGTTCGGGTTGAATGTACATCTGGCGAATACCCTGTTACAAAGCAGTCATTTCTATCTCTCTGCTTCTTTCTCTGTCTTCATTCTTCATACCTCACTTTTACCCTCCATTCACACCAAATCGCCCTTGTGATATACGACGACGCATCGCTCAACAAAAGCAGCACTACGCTACCTCAGCCATCCCATTCTTCGTCATTACCTGCGGCGACTTGACCGGCGCATCTTGAATCCCACCCCCTGATCAAACGACAGCGTCTGAATTTCTCTATGCTGAACAGCTCAGTAAGTATCTACCCTGCCCTACCTACTCACCAACGCCTAATCAAATCGACTCAGAAAATGGAACACTGAGTTGATCACCTTTCACAATATTAAACATCGACAGGCACATATGATAGATCCTCAGATGTATATACAGTGTCTACCACTCAGCATGCAATCGACTTCCCCCCACGAACAGAAAACACCAACTCCGGCACCCCCTTCCCACTACCCTTCAAATCCGCCCGACAAGACGTAACAACCCCCTTCTCATCCCAGCTAAACCCAACCCTCCCACCCCCTCTCAATCTCAACCCCTTCACACTCCCACCACCCCAAGCCGCGGGAATCGCCGGACCCAAAACCACCTCCTGCACCCTCGCAGCACCTGCCCTCCTGCCATCCAAATCCCTAATCAACATCGCCACCACCGCGCCCAGAATCCCATAATTCGCATCAATCTGAAACGGCGGACTCCCGCCATACATCGACAGCCCATTTGGTGCGATATTATCCCTCACAGCCAGCGTCAGCAGCTCATACGCCTTCTCCGCGTCACGCAGGACAGCCCAGCACGCACTCCGCCAGACCTTCCCCCACCCGGTATTCTGATCGTGTGTGCCGTCGCCGCGCGAGGTGAGTGTCTTCGCGACGGCAGAGCTGATCGTCCGGTTAGATCCGTGCACCGAGGAGAGCAGATACCCTGGATACCAGCCGTAGAGCTCGGAGAGGTGGCGGTGCGTGTCATTGGGAGTGTCGATGTCGAGTTTCCATTCTTGGATTTGGCCCCAGCTGCCGATGTGGATTCCAGGGTCGAGTTTTGTGTGTGCGGCTGAGATGGCGGCCTTGAATGTACCGTTGGTGTCGTCGGATGCGGACCAGCCTTGGAGGATGTGGTCGAATACTTCCCAGATTAGTTGTTGGTAGTGTGTGCAGCCGAATGTCTGATGGATCTAATGTTAGGGCTTTATCGGATGGGGAGTTGGCTGGGAAAGGGGGCGAGGATATGTTGACTGACCGTAGGTCCATGCTCTGGGGAATTGCAAGGGTTGACGACCAGCGTTCCATCCTGGCTGTATTCATCCTCGACAAGCTGCGAGAGCCAGAAATGCGCCGTGCCTTTGAGAATCGGGTATCCCGTCTGTCGATACCAGGTGACGTTCTGGGTATAGTCGAAATGGTCCCAGACGTGTTGTGCCATCCACGCGTTGACGACGGGGTAGTTGGCCCATTCAGCGCCGTTTTTCATCCTGGAATACCTTGCTGAGTTTCAAATTGGCTACAGAAAATCTGGGAGGGGAATACTCACGCCGTGTGTCCAAATATATTCACCTCGTTATGCACCACCCATCCTTCCTCCGCGCCATACAGAAGTCGAGCTGTCTCAGCGCCCCGCGGCATCCAGGTCTCCGTCATATAAGTCCACAGCGGCTCCGTCTGTCCTCCGAGACCCGTCGTCTCGACTCCCCAGTGGTTCATCTGCAGGTTGATATTGGCGTGGTAGTCGGCTTTCCAAGCGGGAGAGTCCTGCTCCGTCCACAGACCCTGCAAGTTCGGCGGTAAGCTGCCCGGTCGTGACGCCGACAGGAACAGGTATCGACCGTAGTCGAAGAGGAGGTTTTCGACGAAGGGATCGCCCGGTTGATCGTAGGAGGCGAGGAGGTCCGTTGTCGGCTTCTTCGCCGACCCGTTCGGGTCCGGTAGGCTGAGCGTGAAGTCTCCATATATCGACTGGAAGTCGGCGATGTGCGATTTCTTGAGTCGGGTGAAGGATTTCTTGCGGATGGCTTTGGTAACGGTCTCTTGAACCCTGGAGGTCGGGTCTTCGCCTTTGAATGAGTACCCGTCGGCTGCGTTGCCCTTGGAAGAATCATAGTTCGTCCCTGCCGCTAGGATGATGTATACCTCCGGTTGACCTGGTGGGATTTTCACAGTGGACGTGGACGAGGACAACGAACAGAGGTCTTTACTTGTCTTCGAACCAGTCACGACAGTCGCCCTGGCATTATAGATCATCCCAATGCTGGGAGCCGTTTGTCCGTGAAGAACGAGACTATTACCTTGACAACTCACTTTCGGAGCTGGTTCAACGACGCGATTCTCCAACCCGATCTGAACAGCTGGAAGACCTGACTCTGATCGCACGCGATACACACATACTTGGTCCGGATACGAGCAAAACGCCTCTCTGCTCCCATGCATCAGTCAACCAGGTATACGTCTTCCCCAACGAACCCAGGACAATAGCTCCGAGACTGATACTTACCGCTGAACCGACGCATTCCTACCCCCCTTCTCAAAACTAAACCCATCCGTATACACACCCGACTCCAAATCCAGAGTCCGTCTATACCCATGCACATGATCCAGAGGCCCCAAATCAACCGTCAGATTCCCAAGAACCTGGTATGACCCGTAATGAGGAAACTCACCCAGCAAGGCAGACACATTGCCGGTTTTGTTCTGGAAGATGAAATCGCGGATGTCGGGCAGTGCGGCGGCGATGGAGGCGTTGGGGTTTCCGCCGGTGTAAGACTACATATAGGTGCGCGTGAGCCTATAGATAGAAGTGGATATAATGGCGAGTAATGTCTACCTCATCTTCAAATGGCCCGCCACGCCATAACGAGTCGATGTTCAGATTGATGATTTCCTTGCCGTAGGCGCCCAATGGCATTGCTGAACAACATAGAATGTTAGCATCCACCAGTGCAATTCCATTATAGATGGGAGAAATGAAATAGACTCACCTCCCAACCGTCCATTCCCCAATGGAATCGCCGTCGTGATAAAATTGTCATTATCGCCGGGTGTATTGGACCAGAGTGATTTGGCTGTTGTTAGAGGGAGTGACAGCGATAGCGCCAGTGTCGAGGCGGCGAGTACGAAAGGGCGCATTTTGGACCTGATTGATACATGGATTAGAGACCAACGAGGAGGGGACAGGGGAATAAAGAGGGGAAGCTTTTATTTATGCAGGCGAGCTCGGTTAATTTCTGCAGACTGAAATATTTAGATTAAGTCAAGTCATGCAATTCCATTCCTGCTCCTTGTTCCTGCATCTGCACGGTTGATTGGAGGATTTTTAGACTGCGTCGATCGGCGATTGCGGGGATTTCATGCAGGAATATTATTAGTAGGGCTTTTTGAACAAGATCAATATTTCTACTCTTGTAATTGAATAAAACTAACAGGGTTAGAACCAGACAACGAATGGTCTCTGGCACTTTTTACATCGCTGGGTGGATGTATGAACAATATTAACATTTCTCCCTCCTCATTCTCCGCAAACAAATCATCAGATTTACCAGAGAAAAATACTCTCGATGTTTAAGCATATGAATGGCTGAAGATGATCAAAATGAGTGAATCTGAATACTTAAGACTCTCTATGACTGGCTACCAAAGAACTGGAAAGAAAAACTGGCACTGGTCAAGCCTCTAGCTCAACTGCCACATCCCCGTCTAACCATCACTCGATCTATCATAATTTACTCTCGTTTCCCTGTTGATTCGCCTTCTTCCACATGCGAATCCTCCTCTGATGCCCGTCCATGAAATTATCCACCCAGGCCTCTTGAAACACTGGCAACCGCCGACCCGATCCTTCGGGCTCTCCTGCCAGCCCGCGAAGCTGCTCAAAGTATTGCTCGAAGTCAGGATATATCATCAGAAATGCCGACCCGTCGCCTTTCTTCGCGATTCTGTCGGTTTCCCATTGGCGCTGTTCGTCCAGCGACGGTAATTGCGCCTTGCCAGCAAGAACGCGGGCCGCGGCCACAGCTTGCCATTCGAAGACTTTGAAGGTCAGACCGGCACCGACCTATCTCAGTTTAGCTTATGTTCGAATGATACGTATTTTAAGGGGGAGATGACATACCGCTCCGAGGAAAACCAAGGACGGGTCTCGCTGGTGGAAGACATGCAGATATAGATCCGGCACACGGTTGTTGCGGATCGGGATGTCCGGCAAGAAAGGCAGCGTCCAGGTGAACCCCGTGCCTAGGATAATATAGTCGACATCAGTCACGGATGTGCCGTCTTCGAAATGGATCGTTTTCTCGCCGTTGTCGCTGCAGATGCGCGAGATTGGCGGCCGACGCTCGATCTGCGGGTGCTTGAACGCCTCGTCGCCGAAGTAGACATTGTATTTGCCGCGAACGACGGCGTAGATGGGCGACTGCGCCGAGCCGATCAAACTGACAGCCGTGTCTGCCGCTGAGACGGAGGCGCCGACTGTGACGACCCTCTGGATATTGTCAACGCTTGTCGGAGTGCAGGGAAGTTCAAGAAACACATACCTTCCCTCGGTACTGCTCCGGTCCCCGATACTGCTTCGTGTGCAGCACGCTACCTGGATATTTCGCGGAGAATTCTTTCAACCCGGGAATGGCGGGCACGAAAGGCACATTGTAATGTCCCGAGGCTACGACCAGCGCATCGAACGATTCCGACCACCAGTAGTCGAACCCGCCCGGTTTGCCTGCGCGACGGAGAGTCAGAATCCACTTGCCCGTGGACGCATCTTTCACAGCACGCTCGACCGTGGTGTTGTACTCCACCAGGTCCTGGTAGCCGTGGCGATTGAGCAGATCCTCGATATACTGGCGAATCACGGTGTGATGGCGAAACGGCGTATCCGGGCCATGCAGGCCAATTGACTCGGCGGAGCGAACGGTCGGGATCGACTCCTGCGAGTATTCCATGACGGACGCATCCACGTTGGTGTGCAGCGTGGGATAGACATGCGAGTCGGCAAACCGGTGTCGCGACAGCGTCGGCGCATGCGACGGCAGCTTGGAGGGGATCGCTACCGGTGCATCTGCCGATCTGGTCGAGAGACTGTCGATGTCAAGCGGAACGGGCGTCTCGCTTGTTCTAGAGACCCTGGATATCATCAATCTCAGGATCCGTCAGGAGGGCAATGCAGTAAGAACGTACCAGCATCCGCCCGCTTTTTCCTGTCGCTCAAACACCCGCACCACGTCAAATGCCTTTTCTTGCACCAGGGCATCAACAGCAATGGCTCCAGCGGGGCCTGTCCCGATCACAGCAACACTTTTGGCTGACATTGGAGGTGAAACTTCACGGTTGGGGTGGAGGATGGTCTACTCCGTACAACCGGGGGAGATGTCTAAATAGGGTCAGGAGTGGTGCAAAGAACGGGGCCGATTGCATCAGCAGAAACCAGTCGGCACAGCGGTGGAACTGCCCGTCCACGCCTGGATTTGGGACTGACCGTTGCCCTTCTGCGCTTTGATGCTTGCCCTGTCGTATGCTTGTCCTTGACTGGAATTTATCCGGGGATCTCCAGGTTTTTGTCTCCAGCCTCCAGTCTTTGTCTCCGCAGATTTTTCTAGGGCCTGGCAGTCACGTGGTAGAAAAGCAGTGTGATTGGTGGACATGCAATGCTGTAATGGATGTGATTGGCTGTACAATACATTTTCTTTTCCGACAGAGCATGATTGGATGACAGTACTTCTGCTTCCAATGCATGGTCTCTCCAGTGGATGATGTATGTAGGGAAGATAGATCCACAGATATCATTCGATTTGTTCCTACCGTAGGGAGTGCCCTATCAGGCACCAATCCATGAGATAAACTACGGTCAAGCAATCCACGGCGCTGACGCTTGTCCCACCGTCAAACGCTTAGGAAAAGAACTGCCTACTGGGGTTACACGATGCATCACCCAATGTACCACCTCGATGCCCATCCTCTTCGGATCCATGACTTGTTCCCCCCTCGTCTTGTCTCGATTCTTAACGCTGCTAATTACTTGACTGCCCAATTGATCCAGCACGGTGAGCCATGGTCCTCACGCGGGTCCGGCTGCTGCTCGTCGTCCTACTCGTCTCTCTGTACCTTTCTCTGCGATCCTCCCTAGCGACGCAGCTGTACCTGTTGCTGCGACTTCCCTTTGTCTGGACCGATTCGTCCGCCGAGTCCGTCATCTCGCTCGAGCGTGACCGTTTCGACGTCACCTTTCATTCCTACCCGGCGTTGCCCTCCTTCGACGACTCGGACCCCTCTGCGACGACCTCCACTGCAGAATCCGAGCTGCGCGTCCCCGTCCGACTGCATCACATCCACCTAGGGACCGCCGAACTGCGACCCGAGTGGCAGACCGCGCGGACCGAATGTCTGAAACACCACCCGACCTGGGAACCCTATCTCTGGGACGACGCGGCCGCCACGCGCCTCGTGCGCGAAGAATTCCCCGAGATCGCCGGGCTCTGGGAGAGTTACCCGTACCTGGTGCAGCGCGTGGATGCGCTACGGTATATGGTGTTGTACAAGTACGGAGGTAGGTTGGTTCACTGTCCGTGCTAGAATCGACAACCCCAGAAGGATGTAGAAGGGCTGGGAACCTCGAGGGCTGATGCACACAGGAGTATATAGGCGCTATACTAGACTTCGATCTCGTCTGTCGACGACCACTTGACCCTCTTCGTCAGTTCGACTTTGTTGCCCCCGCGGCGCATCCGGCGGGCTTTTCGATTGGAATGATGCTCGCCTCGCCGAATCATTCGTTTCTGGCCGATCTCGTACATCATCTGCCGGCATTCAATCGGCGGTGGTTTCTGTTGCCGTATGCGACTGTCATGTTCAGTGCTGGGTGCCATTATGCTTCGTGCGTTTGGTTCCTTCTCCGTTTCTTTTTGTTCAGATGGATTTGGGCTGGAGCGCATCACTCACACAGTCTCACAGGACCATCTATACCATGCAGCGCAACCGTACTAGCCTACGTATTCTCTCCGGACCCCCTACCGATCCAAACATGCACATGCTCAACGGATTCGTGGACACGCCGCTATTTCAACACCTGGGGACATCGTCCTGGCATGCGCATGATGTGACCGCATTTCGAGTATTGAATGCCGCTCGAAGAAGTTGGACATGTCTGGTCGCATTTGGGATTGGATTTGGGGTTGTTGTGCTGGTTGTGGTGGGGACGCTTGGGGTTATGCGACGGTCTTCGAGGCGGGATGGGTCGGTGATAACTAAGGCGGCGTAGGCGTTTATTTACTCCTGCTAGCTTGGGTGATATGGTGGCGGTTCTGGATGTTTGGGTCTTGTCATTTCTTTTCGATTGTCGCTACTTGGTGTTTTGTACTGTTCATTGGAAAATTAAGTATTCAATGCTCCAATTACTTGTCGCTAACACTACCCGTCGTGAATTTGTAGAATCAATAAACCAACTCAATCAAACTGCATACACATCTACCAATACAACCTAATCATCAAATCCTCCTCAAATCATTTACCCACATATACCGACTAGCCACCAAATAGATCCCCCTGTCCCACGAATACTGACTCCAGTGTTCCCGGAACGTCCTTCGTCCCTGGAAATACCGCCCCCAGGGACTCACCAGCAGGACGTGGTCGCCATATATATCCGTCGCTGGATCCTGGCGCGGGAAGGACGTGAACAGCGCCGCTATAATCCGTCCCGTAAATGGTATACAGGTGGGGATGAGATCAATCAGTCCGGAGTACTTTCGGATGAGGGATTTGGTTTGCAGGGCGTATACTGCGATGCCGGGTTCGGGGGTTGTTTCTGTGTATTTTCTGCTTCGGTAGAAGATCGTTGCTGGTTACTAACTGGTATGGTTCTCGGTAGAGATAGTAGATTGCGGCCTATACATACCTCACACCCCCAGCAACAGCCCTATGGTTCAAGTGGCCGGAGATCCCACCATCGTCGAACGTCACGATCTAGAATCGCAGTCCGGCGTCAGTTTCGGTTTCAATTTCCGGTTCCTCCCATTTCAATCCATCTCAAATGGTGCTCAACAGAACAAGATAGATGAAATGACTGGTATCAGTGATACTAACCAAATCCACCTCCCACCTCCTCACATACCTCGCCACCACTTCAGCAATCAACTCCTCGTCCCACCATTTCTTCGGATTATCCTGCAACTCGCGGTGATCGAGCCCGACGCATCGATCTGCTCGGATACCGGCCACGACGCAGGCAGCTTGCAGTTCGACGTGTCTGGTCGAACCTTCTCCGCCATAGTTTCCTTGAGAAGATCCAATATCAGTTTTCCGTCTTTATTCCTATGGCGTTTTTTTTTATATTTGAATGGGTAATTAGAAAGATGATAGGTAGGGATTGAGCAAACCAGACGATAAAACCAACAACGCCCTCTCCACACTGGGATCATCTTCTCTGTACAACAGCGTTGGACTGAAGAAGAGGCTCTCGTCGTCCGGGTGTGCCGTTACGAAGAGGATGGAGGACGCGCGGTGGAAGGTGTAGGATACGAGGCGGGGGTCATTGGCGAGAAGGTAGGCGAGGAGGTGGTAGAGGGTGAGAGGGACGAGGAGGAGGGTGACGAGAAGGGTAGTGATGATGTTCGAGGGGCGTCTTGCAACGCGACGGAGCAGGTGTTTGAGGATGGGTAGCATCGTGTGTGGGTGGTGAGGTGGTGGAGGTGGTGGAAGTGGTGCAGGGGTGCAAGGCAGAAGCCATGGATAGCTGTGGCTGTGGCTGTAATGGCTGGGTTCTTAAGTCAGTGGCTCTGTGTAACCTTCTATCATGTTTGGTATGAAGGATTGGCGATGTATGATTCCAGACTGAGGGCGAAATTTCCAAGACATGGATGATCCAGCGATCTGATAATAGGCCTCAGTGATATATTTTCTCTACAGGCTACAGCCTCTATGATTTTCGGTCTAAAGCAAGTAAGTATCCTGGAGTAAATCGAAATACCACATACGTAGGCTGAATCCCCAGTCTCAATTACGACACAAAAGACGAAAGAAGGCCGATCTATCTGTATAGATCCTCGGGTACTCATATGGGAATTCCGGAAGTTGATATCGATGCCCCGTTCCAAACTGCAGGAACATGAGTTCAAATAATGAGCTATTTTACATAAAATGGGGTGATAGCTCAGTTGGGAGAGCGCACGACTGAAGATCCACTCAGTCAGTCAGTTCATCTGACAATCGTGAGGTCACCGGTTCAATCCCGGTTCATCCCATTATTCCTATCTTTTTGTTTTCAATCTTTTGCCTCATTGAGTAGGAAAGGAAACAATTTTTGCTTGCTTCATTTGGGAGAAAATATTTTTAGTTACTGTTCCGTGTCTTTGCTGCCTGTCGGTGGCTTTCTTTAACATACGGCTTGATACGGCTTCATGCGGACTTATATTACCCTCAAGTAATTTCCATTGCTATCATGTCATCTATTGTCATTCATTCCTGTCATAATCATAAGATTGTAATAAACTTCCCATATCACAATTGATTTTTTTCTGAGGTGCATATCCAGGGATATCCTCGAGGTGAACAGCCCAACAACCCATGAATCGAACAGCTACCTGTCCCGGATCTCCACCATAACCATATCCTCTAAGGATGATGGAAACGATTTTCAATATCTCTGCATCTCGCCATAGCGCCTTATACATGCAAGAGGGAGCTCAATTGCGAATCCTAGGGTTCGGAGCCAACATTGGTTGAACGAGACGGTTTCATCCTGTACCTCCGAATACATCTGCATTTTGCGAGTGCAGTTCGAAAGAACCACTCCGGTGTTCTGGGGGAAGCAGCGTGGGTATTGCCACAAGGTTATGGCTATGCGACTCTTCTCCGTCATAACACCTGTAACATAGACATGCTACGCCATGAGGGACTCTCTTATTAGAGCCTGCTCTAGGGCCGCTAGATGGCCCAATATCTGATCAAGCCACACCCCGGAGATCTTAAGCTGCCTCAATGCCATGCAAACCGACCAAGTTTTCATAATAGTGCTGATCCATACCCGCCTGCGCTCTGGCTTCCGTGTTGAAAGGCCCCCGAAGAGCGCCTCGGAAATACTTCTGTACATTTGAGCGGAAAACCTCAACGGGGTCAGTCTCTTCCTGTCGGCAGATCCACGAAAGCCATCGGTGCCCGGTCGTCACATGGGTGATTTCGTCGTTGTGAATAATCTCCAGCGCGTCCACGCTCTCCTTGTCGCCAGCCTTGCGGAACTTGTCGATGGTCATCGGGTTGACGTCGAGTCCACGGGCTTCGTGCACGAGGGCAATAATGCTGATGCGCGCCCGGAGATCATGGGCCGTAGACGTGGCTGATTCCCAGAGACCGTGGTGAACAGGAAGGGCTCCAAAGAAAGATCCCATCTCTTCGAGACGGGCCCGAAGTAAAGAAAAGTGCTTGGCTTCGTCATTGGCGACCTTCAACCAGTCATGGAAATAAGTCCGTGGTAGCTCGCGCGGGCCGCCCTGCGATGCTGCCTCTGTCTGGAAAGCAGCGAATCGAATGCAAATGTCGAGGGCAAGATCGATGGCCCACTGCTCAATATTGGCCAGTGCGTGCAACATGGAAATTCTACTTTTGAGAGTGCCTCCCTTTCCTGCTCTCGGCATCTCCCAAGGTTTGACGGATGTCAATCCATCACGGGGCGGTTCGGCCGGCGCGGGCACTGTGCCACGCCCCAGCGGCATAGGAGATGACGAGCCCTCCCTCTCGGTAAAGGTCGCATAGAGATGTGCCGTCAGTTCAATTTTGTGCTCAGGATTCGAGGTATTCAAGATATGCGCACACCAATCGCAAAGCGTGGCATTTTCGTCCAGATACCGAGCCGGCTCAGACAGAGCGATTTCCTTAGTTGACGCAGTCGACTTGGTTGCGGGCTCGTTCTTCTTCAGGCGCATCTTCTCGCTCACTGGCTCGAGTTTTGCAGCCGTGATGTTGTCTCCAGGATACTGCATGACCACATCGTCACCGTGAACATTGATGGGAAATGTGCAAGCCGTAATCCCCACACTCGACTCGCCCGTCTCTACATTGAAATCGTATGCATGCCACGGACACGACACGATATATGCGGAATCTTCGATGTCAACAGAGCTGTCCTGCATCGGGCCACCGGCATGGGGACACTCTGCCTCCATCGCATAATATAACCACCCGTCCTCGGTCTCGTTTGCATTCTTACTTTTGCCGCTCGACGGTTCGATCGACGGTAGGCGGAAAAGCACCAGACGCTTGCCATCCGACAGATGGATCACATAACGCGATTGCGTGAAGTTGGAGAGCGGCCCAAGGCTGACTGACACCATGGTTGAAGATGCAGGCCACGACAGGGCAGCGACGCGATCAACAGGTGCCGACAGAGTAAAAGTGAAATGGACTCTCGTTGACGTTGATTCGATGTTTTCTTTGACTTTTCTTGCGCCGGAGAGATTTTAGATCACGTGGTGATTGCCCCACGTGGGGTGGACTAGTCCCGATTGGGTGTCTCTTCTTATTATCATCATCTTTCCTCCCCCCTTAAGATAGAGAAAGTCATCCGGAGGACTTGTTATTCGAAGATATGCTAAAATGATTGGTTTTGAATAATTCTCAGATCCAATACATTGAGCCAAGATTCACACACGCTATCACCGTCAAGAAATAAGAAGTCCGGTTAAAGGTCGAAGCCAAACAGCCCGGCCAGCTGAAGCCGTACTAATTCACCTGACGTCGCAACCTTGGGGGATCGTAATCCCTAATCCTGGCGTTACCTATCATGGCTCCTTCTTCCATTTGATAAAATGCCCTTGCGCTTTCAATGTCGGATTGCTGAATCGTAGGTAGGATTCCATCTGAATATGGCCTCATCACAGAGTCCCTATTAGGCTCGCCAAATTGCACCGCGCCCCCGACGATCTCTGTCGCTGCATCCTCGTGCCTGAAGCCCAAGATGTGGCCGCACTCATGAAGGAGAACTTTCCACAAATTGTTTCTCGCTTTTGGTTCCAGTGCCGGACTATAGACCTCGAGGACATTAAGCCTTTCCGTGTCATTCGGGAAAAACGCTTCAGCAAAGAAATGCCGTCCTCTATAGGTGCCGTGGTAGATGACAAAGTCGGCGTCGGCCGCGAGGTGAACAGGTTCGATTCGGACCCCGATATTGGCTGCATTCCAGCACTTCGCAGCAATCCAAAGATGCAATGCGCCGAAGTTTGCGTCTTCTTGGGACTGGTACCCCATTCGCCACGCAGCAAATTTGATCACGGAACCTGGTCTCCAACGTGGGATTACATCCCGTAAGCCAACCATAAGAGCCGCAGGACGGTCTGTAGGGGCTTGCGTCACACATTGCGGAATAACAGGTAGTCTATCATCTGCATTTGGTGGCTCTTCTGGGACTGCTGGGATTGGAACGGGTTCAAGAGCGCCGTTGTCAAGATGATTTGCTGCCTCGTTGATAACATCGTTTAGGACTCTCCTTCTTTCGTCTCCCATTCTTAAAGAGAGTACAAGAGCCACCAAAGAAGCTTGATAATCCTAACGGAAAAGGAGTATTATGAATAAGAAAAGTCAAATTTGAGTCAATGGTGCGAAGGGAAAAGAGGACTTGTGGATGTGAAGGCTGCCTCTTCCTGTTGACAAGCTATATAAAGAGACGGCGGATCTCAGTGTGGCATGCCTCATGGATTGAGAACATAAGCTATTTTCTATGTTGCAGCCCTTCAACTGTCCCAACCGCCCTATCACATCTGTAATAGACCGGTGACGTACACCCGAACCAAAACTATTGCTGTTTTGGTAACTCAGTGCAGCTACTTGGAGACCTATCTGTGATCTAGTGTGTATCTCATTGTCTTCTTAATTGGTTGCTGATCTAGGGTGCTATTGATCAGCGTCAGAGTCAGCTGGAACTGATTGTATAGGGTAGACCCAGCCTCGCCAACAAGGCTGCATAGTTAGCTGAATCGGTAAAATTATCATTTAGGGTATCTCCTCGGGTCAAGGCCGGTGGTTCCGATGATTGAGCAAATGATGTTTTCTGATAATTCTATGTGAAGCAGCACAGCGATGGATCTGTGGTAACGCAGCTTGGAGCGAGGCCTTTCTCACATAGCCGCCAGAAGCATGGTGAGGCATTTTCGTGCGCGACATATGATACCAATTAACCATAGAAAGTCGACCGCGTCATCATATGCAACAGCAGCAGCGGCTTGATTAGCTGTTCTACCTCTACCATGCCATTCTCTTGCTTGTACTAAGGAGTCGTGGGTGTGAAGGTGTACACAGAGAAGTAAAGATGATTGGACATGTCGGGAGGGGTACATTACTAGGTAGGCGTCTAGGTATGTAGTCTCTGCATAACTATATATGATACACACCGAACAGCGCCGATCGCATGTTGCTGAATGCAACAATACCTAACTAGTTCTTGGCGGGTCTTTATGCACCCACCGGAAATACCCCTGTCATAGTTGGTGCCAGGTCAAAGCGGACTGATTCACCATACGGGCGAGGGTCGTATAGCTACATGCTAGCTAGAGATCGATATTTCATACCTGAACTACGCTGTATAGTTGCATCCTCGACAGCGTCCCCCCGGCTGTACAAAGGAGAAGAAGAAGTACGTCCATTCCAAAAGGAAGCAGCAAGACCACTCAACTCAATAACCATATAATAGTTATTCATTCGCATCCCAGAACTAATAGAACGCTCCTTCTTTGTTCCATTAAGTCCGTAAGATGAGCTGTCTGTGGCATGGCGACGTTTTGCTTTGTACTTTCCTCAATCAAGATTAGCAGCATGTAGCACGTATGTACCTCTAGCAGCGGAAGCCTTCCCCGAGCGACATGAGTCGTATGTGCATACCTAGTACCAATAGGAACGCTGCCACTTGATACCCCCGGCCACCCCATATCACTGCAGATCATTAGGAGACGTCCGTGGAGGAGGGGTGGAGGGGGTTGCATTGGCCGTATTGTATGCCATTCTCTAGCCTATTCACCATCGCGTTGCAGTTCAAGGCGTTATACATGTCTGTTATGCTAACCTGTTGTGTTAGCTATAAATGATTCAACTTCCTCTATCGGTGCGATTGTTCTCTCGAAACATCACGTTCCATATCCTATCAAGAAGACTGCCACCACTATAAGCGCTTGACCTCAGTTACTGGAAGAAAGCCCAGAAATGGCCGAACAAATTGATCACGTTGGGGAGCATGCTAGAGTGGGCTCTTGGTTTCTGGGCCCACGAGCGGAGAATGGCTCGGTCTTCACTGATCTCTTGAACCAGATCATTTCACGGCACACAAACAGGAGAAGCACCTTATACCACGATGAGGAGTTTATAACCAGCGAAATGAGGGTCCATGAGACTGCTAGGGCCAGCAATAACACTCTGAAAAGGAAGGTCCTCGAGCTAATGGACAACTTGGAAAAATGTTCTATTCCATTCTGGTCCCCGAGATACAATGCACATATGAACATGGACACTACAATGGCTAGTAATCTTGGTTGTGAGTTGAATCCTGGTGATCTCGAGCCCCCTATGATATATCGTTACTAAATTACTCAAAGACATCGCTGCGATGATGTATAACCCAAACAATGTGGCCCTGGAGTCCAGCCCATATACCACTTCTATTGAGCGACAAGTTGGCCTTGACCTATGCCAAATGATGGGCTACAATATCAGGCGAGGGATTGAAAGGCCTGTTGGATGGGGCCACATTACATGCGTTGGTCCCCCACATGTCTTCTATAATAGGTTCTTTTTCCAAAACTAACGGTGCAACCAGGATGGCTCTGTCGCAAATCTCGAGGCAATCTGGGCAGGTTGGTGTTCCATGGCGGCTCCCAAGTCTCTTGTTTGTCTATCAATCGGCTGACCGGTCTTGTAGCCCGTAACCTCAAGTTCTATCCCTTGTCCCTGCGACGGGCAATGAGGAGCGGGAACGCACTCGAATTTCTTAGGGCAGCCAGACCAGTCTTTCAAGTCCAGGTCAGCGAGGGGGTCTCAAAAGACTTCCTGAATCTCACTTCCTGGGAGCTGATGAATCTCGCACCGAGTGTTATTCTTAACCTTCCCACTCGCCTACAGAAAGAGTACGGTGTCTCACCCTCATTCCTTGAATCTTCTTTGCAGCAGCATCTGGTGCAGACCACTGGGATGAAGCTGCTAGAGGATGAGTTCGGAATCACAAAACCAGCCAAATTCTTTGTCAGTGCTACTCGCCACTACTCTTGGCCTAAGGGCGGAGGTAAGGATGGCTTCTGAATTCTACTTATGTTATCTTTAACATGGTACCCAGCAATTACTGGCATGGGCTCCGATAGATTCGTCGATGTGAAGGTTGACAAACATGCGAGGATGGATATCACTGCTCTCAAGGAAGAGCTTGACGAGTCCTTTGGTAATGAGACACCCGTATTTGGGGTTATTGTTATCATGGGCTCTACAGAGCATGGTGCCTGCGACCCTTTGTCCGCGGTCATCAGTCTCCGAGATACCTACGAGAGGGAAGGAAAATCATTTGCAGTGCATTGTGACGCCGCATGGGGCGGCTACTTCACTTCGATGCTTGGACGCCCCGCAGGGTATGCCCCATTCGTTCCTACCTTAGCATTGAAACCCTATACTGTCACACAACTGCAGAGTCTTCAGTATGCGAATACCATTACCGTTGACCCTCACAAGTAAGTATGAAGGAGTTGAAATCGAGAACTGTGCCGGATATACCCTCTAATATGGACTTGCAGGTCCGGTTATATAAACTACCCAGCAGGTGGCCTCTGCTATCAAGATGAGCGGATGAGATTTCTGATCACTTGGACGAGCCCGATCGTGTTTCACCAAGGCGATCAGTTGGAGAGTATGGGCGTGTACGGTGTTGAGGGCAGTAAGCCCGGGGCAGCGGCCGTCGCTGCGTGGCTGTCTCATGAAACCATCAAGCTCACTCCAGACGGATATGGAAGATTGCTCGGGGAGGCCATCTTCACTGCAACCAAGGTCAGTGGTCACTGTTTCCTACTATGTATCTTGAAGGCTCAACTGAAGAATCCGACATAGCTGTACTGCCACTGGGCCACGATGACGCTTGATGAGCAAGGACGCGACAATTCAGACCTCATTGTAGTACCATTGAATATGCTTCCTGCCGAGACCGAGAACAACAGAGAGAAACCTTGGACATCGGATGACGTGCTTGGCCAGAGACGGTATATTCAAGAGAATATACTAAGAAAGTCCAATAAAGAAGTGTCTGAGAACGCTACTGCTTCTGACTTGTTAAAGAAGATTGGAAGCGACTTGATGATTAACGCTTTTGCCTGTAATTTCAAGATTCACGGGGTGGCGAACAAGGATGTGGTAAGTCATGAGTGGCCCTCTATACCTACTCAGCCACTAAATGGAGATAGAATGAGGCCAATTACCTCAATTCACGAATCTTCAAGCGTCTATCAATTACCAGCCTGAATGATCAAGTTGAAGAAAAACCCATGTTTCTTACTGAGTCTAGGTTTACTGAGAGTGCCTATGGGGATTGTCTTCGGAAATACAAGAAACGTTTGGGGCTTGGAAGCGATGCTGTCGGAGACCTGGTGTCCTTGATAAATGTGACAATGAGTCCTTGGCCCTCTGATTCCACAGCCATGACAAATATGGTGAATGGGTTCAAACGTATTGCAGGCGAGGAGGTCCAGGTAAGTCCTTATGCACTTCTTCTTCTACACTTCTTCTTCTATATACCTTAATGTGTGGGACATTTGGGAACGTGAAGCTAAGTAGAGATAGCGGTGTCTGAAACGCAACATGCCGAGTCCCGATATCCATGGCTTCGTCATGCAAGGGACTCAAAAACTATTCTTGGTTCATCTTCCCATGTTTCACATGGCAAACCATCGGCGCCAGTTCATCATAGAGGCCGAGATCCCCGAGGAGGTGATGTCGAGATACACGGAACTCAGGACTGCAAAACCTAATCAGTTCTTCACTCTCGCCAATGTAGAGAAAGAACACCTTAAGGACCTGGTAAATGCTGGGTCATTTCAAGCACGCATGGATGAGGGTATACCCAAACCCCAGCGGCCGATAGATAACCCCGAGGGAGAGCCAGTGATGCCAGATCCATTGGAGACGGGTTTCCAGGTGACGATTAAACGAGTCGTGGTGTCGGAGTCACTTTGTTTCGACAGTCTGAGCAGCGCATACCCGAAGAAGATGCCATTTTATCTTTATGGCGACGGTTCGGAGTACCACATTGATCACGTCTTGATGAAATCGCCAAATGCACAATTGAGTGCCGATTGTGTTCAGGTCGCAACGGCCCAAAACTATTCGCCTTTGAGTGCCTGTCAGGATGCTTTACGCTCGGGAATATTGATCGAATTCGACACTGTGCCTGAACATGCGCTGCAGCCTCTGTAAGTTCATCCTACTTTGATGCTCAGAACGAGTTTGTCTAATATTCTCTCAGGTCAACGAACAACAGCCATAATATTGCCAATTCCCCAGGCCTGGGGTTCATTCCTGAAGCCCAATTCAAATTCACGGCTTATACAGACAGAAGCGCCAGCGAGGTTCTTACAAGGGGAACCCTTAAGCTGGGGTCCAACGTATACGCTGATTGGCACGAACTCAACATGGATCCAGCAGACCATTGATGATTGCCACTGGTTAGAGTTAACTTTGATTTCCTGCGCATACTGGTATCTTCCTTAGATAAATTACACATATCAGAGATTGATTTATTCATTGGCCTTACGACAGTGGGAAATCAACGAGTTCACTGCATCTACAACAAAAATTGTCTCTCATTCCGGTGTCTTATGAGCTGGGCATGGGGCGGAATATGGCAAAAATTCACGAAGCTTCCTTTTTAGTTCTCTCTCAGATACCTCGTAGGATAGTTGCCTTTATACATTAGGTGGAGGCGTGCGTCAGGTCACAGAAATGATCCTCTCCTACACGTTTCGAGTCGAATGCGAGCAATACCTCGCGGATCATCTCAATTGGCCGAACGCGCAATCGAATCTGAAAAACGGGGAGATACGGGGGGAAAGGGGTATCACGTCTGATCTTCGTCAAAATTTATTTTGTTTCCAATTGTACAAGCAGGCTCCTTTGTTGCCATTGTCATCATCCGTACTAGGGTGGAACATACGCCACATTGTAGGAGGTTGGCAGTGTCAACCCTGGAACCTCCAGGATTCGAGAAAGACCACTCCGTGACCATCCTGGGAATGATACATGGTCCGCTTGCCCAGGCCTTGGAAGTCCGAATGCCGTGTCCGACGTGTGCAGTCGCCGGCAGTTGAATTGGTCCTGATCTAGCGAAGATCGCCAATCCGAGGGCTTCGGCACTTGTTCCTATATTACGAGCTTATCAGTCATCCAGGCTAGACCATGGATCACAGTGACAGAGAGTTGGTCGGCGTCTGGAACTCAGTTGCCGACTTCTAGACCTAGTAGTGGAACGAAAACAATGTTTCCAACACATAGGACGATCTTTACGCTGTCCTGCAAGGTACGCGAAACAACTGCTTGCCTTGATGCCCAGAAATAAAGTTCGTGATCTTCGGCCTGTTGCGCTCTGAATAATTCCTATGTAGAGACCACATCGGGTTAAGTCGACGAGATATGATGATGAGGGGTTTATCGCTGCCACTAATACGGGATGACAGCCTTATCTGACTGAGACAACCTACGGAGCTCTTTATTCGGTTCCTACACCGTAGTCAGTCGGTATCAACACAGACATAATAGTAGTCTGCTCGAAAATCAACCGCAAGACAGAACATCCGCTCCGAAGTATAAGAGCTACAAACCAATGGTTTAGGGGCCATGTTCTTACATTGTGGCTGAAGTACAGGCACTGGTTACAAGCACATTTCAATAGAATAGGTGGCAACTGATCATCGCAACTGATTGTGCGGTACGAGGCGAGTTTAGGAACATCGCAGGACCCCCGACGGAGTACCGAAGTATAGAAGGGTTTGTGCCTCAGGCATCAACAGCTGCCTGGGTGCGTGTTTTATCCGCATCGGCTGTTTCTCCCGCTTGTCCTTCTCCTTTCTTCCCTTCGCCTGGTTCAGGTCCAGGGACAACCTTTTTGATGACACGTCCCCGGGAAAACTCCGGTCGGTGCTTGTCGGTTTCATGGATGTTCGATTTTCCAATTTTGAGACGTTTTCGAAACGAAGCGGCAACCCGTGCTCTCGGACCATACCCCAAATTCGGTGAAGGCCATCTCGTTGCACCAACCAGAATGCGACGATCGTCGCTTCTCTGTACATCTGATACGTGCTTGACGGGAAACGGCTCAGGTTAAGTGTCCATCACGGCATCATCTACGGGGGTCCCATTGTGGTGCCCTTGCGCCTGCAGGTGGTCGGGTCAGAGGGGTCTCCCCAGGGCACGAATCCCAAAACCAGTTCGGGGTTCAGACTCGCTGTCCGGCGTACCACAAATCGATCGAGTTCCTACCGTCTCACTGGCCCTACACGATGGTCATCCATGGTTTTGCGATGTGTGTTGATCGTGAGATGTGGGGCCCCCCACAAACACCTAGATCAACCTTTTCGTCCCATGGTAGGAGGTGCAGTGGTCGGGTTTGCAAAGCCTACAGACTCTCGGAAGGGACTCGCGTCGCTAGCATGGAAGGATGGAAGGATGGAAGGACTATCCCTGACCACTGTTACAGGATCACGTCATAAAGCGTGAGAATTAAGTTAAGGCCTGCGATATGGTGTGCGTTTCCATTGACTTTCCCTGGGATCCGAGGTCTCGTTTTTGAGTCTCGGTCCCGTTCCTTAGCCTTGTCGGCACCGTCAGCTAGGAGACCCTGGAACTTGCCTTGTTTCGCATACAGGAAGATCATTGCAGCTTCTGCTTGCACGGTACTAACTACTCAAATAGAGAGCACTTTTTCTTGCCTAGTACCTTGAAGACATGCCGTTCGGATAGCTGACGTCTAAGGCTCCACTCCTCAATATTGAGTTTCTTCAATGGGCCGTATGGAAGGACAAGCCTGACCGTGACCTGATGATCTTCCCGCAGCTTTCCATGATGAGGTGCTTTCTGTTCAAATTGTACTGATCAATCGTCACAGCCGTTGCCGGCTTGCTGCAGTTGGAGCGACTCTTTACTTTGTGTCCAAAGTCTATAAAAGCCAGGCCAACATCCCGTCCATGAGAATAACTCTCAATCCAACTCAGTGAGCTCGGACTCAATTGGATCTGGAATTCAATTCTTTCTTTTATGTGACTTGATTTCATCTGTCTTTCTTTGACCCAATTACTCAAACTTTCAATCAAACTTTCAAATTTCTTTCAGAATGAAGTACTCCAACGCCGCTATTCTGGGCTTCCTGGGCTGTGCCCTTGCCTTGCCCACGCCTGCTCAAGACGAGAGTCAGGGACTCCCGAACCTTCCATTCCCTCTTCCAAGCGGCCTTGCTCTACCGTCCGAGCTCCCCAAGATCTCCGACCTTCTGCCCACCGGACTGCCCATCAAGCGCGACGAAAGCGGTGGTCTGCCATTCCCTCTTCCCAGCGGGATCTCCGACTTGCTGAACCCGTCCGGGGGATCTGGCGAATCCAGCGCAACCGCCACCTCTAGCGGATCCAGCGGATCCGGAGGCCTGCCCATCCCCAGCGGAATCTCCAACTTGCTGCATCCCTCCGGACAGCCAGGAGGCTCCGGTAGTCTTCCGTTCCCTATCCCCAGCGGGATTTCGGACCTGCTGAACCCGTCCGGAGGTTCCGGCGGATCTGGCTCCTCCAGCGGAGCCGGAGGTCTGCCCGACCTCACCAAGCTGCTGCCTACCGACCTCCCCATCAAGCGTGACGAGGAGGCCGGTGGCCTACCATTCCCCATCCCCAGCGGAATCTCTGACCTGCTGAACCCATCTGGAGGATCCGGCGAGTCTGGCTCGTCCAGCGGATCCGGATCCGGATCCGGACTCGGAGACTTGCTTCCCTCCGGTCTGCCCGACATCTCCAAGCTACTGCCCACCGAACTCCCTATCAAGCGTGACGAGGAGGCCGGCCGCCTGCCGTTCCACCTTCTGCCCAGCGGCTTCCCCAACTTCCCGGGTTTCCCCAAGCCCACCGGTCTGCCCGACTTCCCGAAGCCCACTGGCCTCTTCCCCGAGCCCCCTAAGCCTGTTGGTGGTGAGCAACCTGCACCGACCCCGACTAGCGCGGCTGTCCCTACTGGATCGGCCGTTGCTTTCAAGGCTTAAGTGGACGTGGTTATGAATGTGCGGAATTTGTGGTATCGGAGATGACGATATAATGGGAGCAGACGCCTTGTTGAAGGATCATGATGACATGGATATTGGATGATGGATATGGGTATGGTTACGGGCTGTGTATCTGTCTATTGAAGTGAGAAGAAGATGCATGGATAGACCGGAATGCAGGAAAGCTGGATTTATGATCTACTTCGTGCCATCTTTCTCGTAAATATTGTATAAATAGAAGCATAACTGCCCTGTTAAGTGATTAAAGAAGTAGAGAAGAAGACCCTGCTGATTCATGATGTAAGTATAAGTTTTAACAGTCTTGTCACTAGAACGAGAAGACTAAGTAGTTCAAACATATGCAAAATGCAAGTGGCTGAGTGAATCGGTCCTCCAATCCAATCTCATAATTCTCTATAAACATTCTTTCTCTCTCTCAATGCAAACCAAAAACGCTCAGACTCAATGAATGAAACCAAGAAAAACACCCTCCACCCCTAACTATCTACAGTAAAGTTCACATTCAAGTAAACACATCCGTAGCATATCTTTCCTTCGTCTTCAACCCCTCCAAGAACTCCTCCGCGGCCTTCTCCTCGTCGCCTTCGTCGACATCCTCGCCGCGCTCGCGCGCCTGACGGTAATGCTCGCGCCGCTTCTCCAGGTACATAGATTTGCAAGCCGAGCGCACGCCCTGGCCGACGCCCGTCGTGCCACAGACATAGACACGCGCGCCGCTATCGAACAATTCGACGAGTTCCTTCCGGTCGTCCAGCATCAGGTCCTGTACGTGTCGACTGGGCGTGCCGTCAGCGGGTCGACTGTAGGCGTAGCGGACGTCGACGGCGCCGAGGCGCGCCCACTCGTTCAGCTCGTCAGCGTGGATGTCGTCGCTTCCTGGGGTGCGGCAGCCGACGTAGAGGATGGCTTTGGCGGCCTTGCCGACGTCTGGGTGTTCGTCTGCTGAGCCCATCGGGCTGCGTCGGCCGCGGATCTTCTCGACTCGGTCCATCACGAAACCGCGGAAGGGGGCGAGGCCGCTGCCGGCGCATGCCATGATCATGGGCGTGTCGAGGTCGATTGGGGGCTTGAAGCCTGTGTGTGAGGGGCGGACGGAGATGTGCGCGCGCTCTTCGGGTCGGAGTTCCGAAAGGTAGGTGGAGGCTACGCCGAGGTACTGCTCGTCGGAGGAGGCGAGGGATGGGGCGCTGAGCACGGAGAAGGTGATGGTGCATTCTGTGGGGTCGACGAGCGGCGACGAGGAGATAGAGTATTGACGCACGCGCATGGGCGGGAGCATGGCGAGGAAGTCGCCGATGGGAAGGTTGACGGAGGGGTACCGCATAAGGATGTCCAAGGGGCTTAGACGCTTCTTGCTGATCTCTTCGCTGAACCGGGTGGGGCTGGACGCGAGATACTGAAGTTCGGCCTGGACGTCGGCATCGGAGGAAGCGGCGTTGGCGATGGTGGTGAGATCGCGCTTGGAGGCCGGCTGCGAGAGTTCCACGTACGTCGCGAAGAGCTCGAACGCGGAGATGGGGGTGCCCAAGGGGATCGCGGTGGGCCCGTTGGAGGCCTGTGAAGGTTTCGAGACCGTGAGCATGGCGTCGGATGGGAGGTTGAAGCGGCTGATGGCTCGTCGGACGACGTTGTCCGGGTTGGTGGGAAGCACGGCGAGATAGTCACCGCATTGGTAGGTCATGTCAACGGGAAGCTTGAATCGAATCATCCGCTTGACGGGGACCCCGGGCGCCGTCAGAAGTTTGTTCTCGATCACGGATCCCTCCTGCAGCTGAAGACCTAATGTGGAGGGCCGCGTTCCTTTGCTGACGTCTACCTGAAGGGCCGATTTGCTTTCTTTCGCCTGAGAGCGGCCGAACTTGCCCGTCACCGCAGGCCAGAAGGTGGATTCACCCCAGTTATCGAAGTTGGTGAACATGTCCGAGTTGGCGGCATCGGCGACTCCAAGGTCGCAAAGACGGTTTCCACCTCGTTCCTCAACCAGCTGATTGATAGCCTTGGGAATGCGGTGGAAGGTGGATGCCCAGTCGTCTGTCGTTCCCGAGATTAGCGAGGGTGCGGCATACTGCAGAATTTAGAGGATACTTACGATGACCGCAGCCAAAAACGGCATAGTTTGTGCCCTCAAGTTCGTTTTCCTTCAGGTTGCTCAGCCACTCAAAGAAGTGAGCGGCGTTGTCCGGGGGCTGGCCCTCATACGAGGCCGAGATGAAAACCACAGGGTCGTTCTTCGGGACGTTCTGCATAGCCGAGTCCAGGGACTTGACCTCGGCAGCAAACCCATAGCCAGCGGCATCATCCGCCAGTCTTCGAGCAAACGCCTCGCAGGTTCCAGTGTTGCTGCCAAAGAAGACGTGCATCGGCTTGGCATCGCCCGCGGGAGTAGCCTTCTTCTTGCGGTCTTTGCTGCTAGCATCTGAGTCTTCGGAGGACGCTTCGCCGCTGTTCAAGAAAGCACCCAATTTTGTGGCATCCATACCATGTCGAAGGGTTGCCTTCATGTGGAAGCCATCGGGCTTGATCGTGAGGGTCTGCTTCAACCGTAGATCGTAGCTAGGGTCATCCATTTGGAAGTTGAAGTTCTGCAAGAGCATCGACACCAGAAGCAGCACCTCCTGCCAAGCAAACGGGCGACCGATGCAGGCGCGCATGCCGTTGCCAAATGGCTTCCACGCGTTCTTCGGCAGTTTCTCGAATTCGGCGTCCAGCATTCTTTCCGGTCTGAATTCCTCTGCGTCGTCGCCGTAGATCTTAGGATCCCGGTGCAGCTTGCCCAGAATCGCCACGATTGCCTCGTCTTCTTCCAGAGCGTACTTGCCGCCTCCCAGAGTCACAGGGCTCTCAGTGTTCTTGGTTGGATGGGCGTGGAAAGCAATCAAAGGTGCCGGGGATCGAAGACGCAGGGTTTCGCGCATCACGGCCGTGATGTAGGGAAGTTTCGACACATCCTCCACGGTGATCTTGCGTCGCCCAATCACCGTGTCTACCTCTTGCTGTGCCTTCTGGTAAGCCTTGGGGTTCTTGAGAAGGTAATAGAACAAGAACGAGAGCATGCCAGAAGTGGTCTCGTGGCCTGGAACGTGAGTTAGCTCGTCAAATCATTCTTACGAGGGTGGCGTTCGTACCGGCGATCAAAAACGTAATCATGTTGTTGATGATGGAGCTGTCCGAGAGACCTTGACCGGTCTTGGGGTCGCGGCCGAGAATCAACGCGTTTAGTAGGTCCTTCTTATCCTCGGGGTTGTTCTTGCGCGCATCCACCAAATCCTGGGCCAACTTTCGTAGAAATTCAATGTCATGCCAGTACTTGTTATTTTCGCTAGTGGGGAGGCTGTTCATGAGCGCCGGGCGCCGGGCCCGGTCACCCGAGCCTTGCAGCAGGGTGACCATCGCTTCAACGAAAGGATGCATCTCTTCGTGGTAGAATGAGTTGAAACGGGTACCCATAGAACAAAGGGCGATGGTGTCCAGGGCCAGCCGGGTGAAATCATCGGTGACCATGATGGGCACGTTGGGGCCTTGACGGGCCCATTTCAGGGCAAGTTGACTGGCGATGTCGTACATATCTTGACGACGTTAGCATATTGGGCTGTCAAGAGATGGATCGCAAAATAAAGAAGAAGAGAATGGCCTACCATCGAACATGGCCCGAATTGTCAGAGGTCCAAAAGCAGGGACCAAAACTCGGTGGGCGATCTCCCAGTTCTCCTCGCCGGGGTAATGGGCCGTGAACAGGCCGTCTTCGACACCATTTCGGATTTCTTGCAGACCAGCCACGACCTTTTTCGTGAATCGTTCTTCGTTACAAATCTCATCGACTAGTTCATGGGTACTGATGAAGACTCTCGTTTTTCCGACGATGGATAACCGGAAAATAGGCCCTGGTCAGGTTAGCCGGATAGTCGATCTACGTTGAAAAACTCATTGTCAGAGCAATGGGAGGAGCTACCATAGTTATCTGCCATCAACGAGAAACTCTGCTCGGGCACCTCGGGGTCGACATCCAGCACATTCCCCAGGAAGGGCACACCCCTGGGACCCGGGATGGGGATGAATTTCGAATCGCTCATGGCGATCGGAGATCGATGACGTATGTCGTTGAGCTGGCAGGCGGGGTCCAGAGGGAGAAGTGACTTTACAAAGACGTTTATCGGCCACCAATGCGACTATATCCAAAACGAAGTCTATAAGGAGTGAAGAAGGGAGAAGGTTGATCAGAGGATTCCAAGGAGGGGCGAGCAGGACAGTATTTAAAGTTGGGGGGGGGGGGGCGTTGGTTGTGTGAGCTTCCTCTCGCTGGTTGCACGTGTGACGCGGAACTTCTGTTGCTGTCAAAGACAAGTCAAATAAAATTGCAAACAAAAATAAATAAAAAACCCCAGGACTATCCAGAACCAGTTAAAGGATCGAATATCGTCGCATCTCGAGGTCGGGCCCATGCCTGCATGCGGAAATGCCTCGGATGTCTCTGTTGGCGGGCAGATTAGAATAGGCCTTGTGCTGATTGAGTGTGGCCTTATGCCAGACCTCCCTCATAACGCGTGCATAAACAGACCCAAGGTTGAAGGAACGATCCCAACGGTTCCACCGGAGTCAACTTTCGACCGCCGAGTCGAGTCGGAGAAGACCGACTCCACGCGATGCCGACCGTGAGTTGGGCCGGTCCCGTGTTCACTAATCACGAAATCAGATCTGATCAGAAGGATATTTCAACGTCGACTTGCATCTTGGATTTTGAATCTTCCCGGATAATTTAGTGCGACGCATTGCTGATGCATCATCGATCGGTCATTCCCTCTGATCGTGCCTCTGCAGGGTTTGTGACTTCAGGCTTCAAACTTCAGATTTGTCGCCACCAGTGGGGAGATTACCTAATGGTCCATCTTGGCTGGATTGGCACCAGGCATCAACAAACTGCACCTATGAAGTACACGGTGTAGGGAATCTCAATTGTCAATTGAAAAAATTGATCACCAGAGACGATGAGATAAGATTGGGGACCAGATCGACGATGCCTGTCTGCCAGTGCCGAGGCTGACCGGTCTGCACCCTATGCACCTAAGCAGGCCAATGATCCACTCAACATGCCCTTGCAGAATTGTAGAATCATGGGATTCTTCCAGAGTGCGGCTGGATTTCAAACTTGACTTTCTTGGTCATATATGCCCCTTTGTAGTCAACTCGAATATGAAAATGGGGTGTCCATCACTCAGTCTCCTTGCGTCCGCGAACTCAGGATGACATACTCCAGAGTCATGAGAAACACCTGCTAATAACCATTGCCTACGACCTAATAATTATTCATCAATCGTGCATGCCAGAAATATGTTGGAGATCGGTTGTTACGCTGCATCTCGAGGGCGGAAGCTATTTCTAGCTCGTCACACTCGAGCGTCGACCTGGAGTCTTCTTGAAGGCAGGGTAAACTGTAATACCCATTGGCATATTTATACCTGCCCAGCTAGAGAAAACATACGTAATCTATCTAAATTCGTACTCCGTAAATATCTACTTGAAACCGAGCTTGTCGTTGTAGATTGAAGACTTAATTAGGGCAAAGCTGATCACGCCATTATTAGCCATCTCGAATGGCCTCACCTGTCAGGCTGTCAATCACCACTTATTAGCCGCTGGGTTTCTTGCTTCGATCATTGTACTTACTTATAAGTCCTTCAAGCTTGGACAAATGGTGTGCAAGAGATGTGTCACATACAAAACAACTATTCGCGTGAGCATAGCTCTTATTCCCTTTAGCCTTTGACATCTTCGACCTCGAAGATAAAACCCTGGTCAGTCAGAATGACAGAATCTGAGTAAGCGGGCACAACGGGATTGTTAAATTGCCATAAGGTTGCCAGAGATGAGTTTATATCAGCCTTCTGAGCCTAAGAACAGCCGTCTCCACCGTGTCGCTCCACCAGTCAACAGGGGAAACGATGCGCATCAGGCTATCAGCCTTCAAGAATCCTCCCACTGTCCAGTCTCATAGACAAGATACTAAGATTAAAGACGCAATTCCTCCCTGCCCATAAATCATGAGATGGGGAGACTTTCCACAAACTCCATGTCCAAAATGCTTAATCTGATTGTCTCCCGGGTCTCGCTCATTTAACGTCGGCGAAATTCCACCAGACCGAAGATTTAAAACAGCCTAAAGAACACCCAATTCATTTGAACTGTTTCAGTCTCCCACAAGCTTCGTTCTGGCTCCCAAAGACCAATGGGTCCTCTACAATCTTTTCATATTTTTAATTTAGCCTACCTCCCCCTGAATCGTTCTCACAAGCTAAGCTTTTTAGTTTGAGAAACCACAAAGTTATATCTTAGCCATGCTGCCCCGGCTCAACATGTCTTCTTCCGCTTCACCTTCCTTTCGTTCTCTACCCCATCCATTCGCTTCTATCATTCTTCCTTTTCCGTAGCGACTGGCTCGCTACTCTTCCATTCTTTCTCCCTACATAATCCCCGTCATCATCATGCGTTCTGCCTACACCACCGTTCCTCTGGCTCTGGCCCTCCGCGCCGCCGCCGTTACAAAGGACTCCTGGGCCTTCGGAAACGGCTTCTACTCCGGTCCCTCGTCCGGTAACGCCCACATCACCAAAGCCACCTGGTCTCTCGTGCCCCCTGCCGTGCCCTCCGGCGTGACTGTCGAGGACGAGAGCGACCAGGTCTGGGTGTCGCTTTGGATCGGTCTGTCCTCGACCGCTGGTGACCAGGACGCCAACCTGTACCAGCCTTTGTTGAACTGGTCGCCTGATCAGGAATCTCAGTACGTTGATTTGAGCCTTTTCGGGGGTGGTTTCGTTTCCGTGAGAATGAGGAAAAGAATGCTAATGCGGTGTTGTAGGGGTTGCTCTGCTAGCGCGGAGGAGTGGTGCGTTGCTGCTAGCACTTATACTCCTGGTTAGTTTCTTGATTCTTGGCTTTACACGGTGGAGCAGACGAAATGGTTCACCAGATGATTTGAACTTTGATATTAACGTTGACTATTCTAGACGGTCAGAACGGCCAGGCCTACGTCACCGTGCCCAAGGACACCCAGGTTGACTTTGAAAGTACGTATCGCTCACCCATCTACCAACCTCTACACCCCCCCTCCCGCACCCAAAACCATACAGAAATCTAACACCTACTCCAGCCTCCGTCTCCAACAACAAAGTCATCCAAATCGTCACCATCGACAACAAGGTCGTCTCCAAGGAATCTGACGGTACGTCCCCCTCCACTCCCCCTTCGAAAAGATCAACCAAACCAGTCAGGAATGCTAACAAGAATACGTTCCACAGCCCTAGACAGCCCCCTCCTCTACCTCTACTCCGGAGATGAATGCTACACCGGCTCCGGCACCTGTGGCACCCTCGAAGCCTACAGCTACACCAACATCACGATCCACCTGAGCGAGGCGGACGAGAAGTACGGTGACACGCTCAGCTTGTACAGCGGCACCGCGTCGACTGGTTTCACGACCTCTGATAGTGGAAAGACATGGCATGCGGACGCTATTAAGATTAAGGAGGATACGTTTGCTAATGTGCAGTAAGCAATTCTTCTGCTAAGTGGGGAGTATGTTTAGTGAGTAGGTGTTGGAGGATGTGGTGATGTTTACTAGGTGTAAGAGGGGAATTATACATAGGGGTATGGTTTATGGGGTTTGATAGGGGTTGTATTTACTTCTACTTCCCATATAATGATTTATTTATTGAGTCAATAGATCATATCCGACAACTACTCGATACTACTTCGTGATCAAAAAGGGAAAGTATGCCCGATCACTATAACAATTAACAAGTCATAGGTTAGGAAAAAAGAAAAAAAAAAAAGCCAAGTTCTTCAAATCCAACCTTACAAACTAAAAGAACCCGACATGACTCCACCAATCTCCACTTCCTCGACACAGCCCACGCCAAAGTAGAAAAAAAAAAATTAAGAAAAACCAGGCCCTCGTGTTTCCGAATCTGTCCTAGATTGAGGGAATAATGTCAAGAGTTTAGTTACTTAGGGGCGATGAGCCGAGGTTACATGATGGGTGACATTTTGACAGAGTCAAAGGTTGGCTCAAACTTCATTTTGGATGGGAGTGGGGTTGGTTCATATTCTCAGTTGTATTTGTTTACGCAGCCGTATGTTGACAAGCTGGGAACCAGAGAAGATAGAGATATGGGGAAAGCGAAATACGCCGACTTATCACCGAGTGAAGGGTTGAAATTAGGGCAAGAGACGAGACCACACTGCCTAAGGCATCTCAGACATGTCTTAACTATCTCAGGTCTGCCTCAGGCGAGGAACGATGTCGTGACTTGCCCATTCTTGTCTAGAATAGAATAACATCGAGATCTTATATTCCTCTCAATTATGCCGATCATGGCATGTCTGGTTCATTGTCTCAGGAACCCTTTTGCTTCTTTCGACTCAGCCCTGCTGTTCGTCAGAACTTGGCCATTTCAGCGTATTCGCCCAGCCACGACTCCACGCCCGCAGGCTTGACAGATCGAACAACGAATTCCCATCTGAGCGCCAAATAATGGCGCAGTTGATGCTTGGCCCCTCGCTCTCATTAAGGTATCGGAGTATTTAAAACCAGACTATTCAGTCCCAGACCAGTATTGACATCTGAACCAAGCAGGACCAGTTAGGTGCCGAGCTATATAATACTACAGGATATCTTCCGGCCCCGGTATTAAGAACCAGGCTACATCTTACTAGCCAGCGATGGCGGTCGTGGGGAGTCGATGGCTTCATTTCGCAAGACTAGAAACATATCAACGTGCCCAGAGAGAACTGAGGAGGGAGAATACCGGGTCCGTTGAGAGGATGGCTGTGCCACTCCGCCAAGGTCGAGGGATCGTCGAGGGATTTGAGATCGAAGGGGGCGGGGGCGGAAGTAGAATAATACGCCATATCAACGAAGTCCAGAGTGGCTGAAAAAACAAACGTAAATGTCTATAATGAACTGTCAAAATCAAAAGATGAGATCTGCGTTTTCAGAATATCAAAATTCCCCAGAACAAAACAATCAAATGGCTGCAAGTAAAACGATACAAATAGGTAGGTATATACAATCGACGGAGACCTCTTATCTCAAAAGAAAGCGGAGAGAGGTATAATATGGACATGACTATAAAGAATAGATTTGAGGAAAGAAAGAGATTGTGAGGATGAATCATGAGTCCGACCCCCGTCACTTGACGCCAAAGATACAGCATGTCTCCAACACCAACCCGTGCAACTTTGGCCAGCAAAGTAGGGGTGCAAGGATCTTTTCTTCTAAAATTCCGCGACACCTTTGCACGCGGGTGTGGCAAGGTGAGAGCCCCCTTACAGATCAAGCTGCACGAGGGAAACCTCCCCGAGATGGATTTGATTGCTTTGTTTCATACTGAACGCAAGGGAGAGTCGGTTCTGATCACAGTCATCTGAGGGGAAACGAGAACAGTTATGCTACCGGTTGGTAGCCGCCCTTGTTCCTGAATTCGGTTGTCTTCCAGTCCGATTGGAAGTTGGTCATCTCGGTGCGGTTGTTGTTCCATTTGGCATCATCCAAAGCGTGCTCGAGACGGCCTCTCTTGCGCTGCTTGATGAAGAAGAAGACGAATGCAACGATGAGGATGATACCGGCGGCCGCGGCACCGCAGTAGATACCGACTCTCGCCGCCATAGGTAGCTCGGCCCATTTCTCCGCCGTTGACTTCGGGGGAGGTTTGTTCAATTCTTCGACGGTCGTTGAGTTACCACTGCCACCCGGTTAGCCTCAAATCTGCTGGTCTGAGCTGCAGTATCAGTAAGAAAGGGAAAACCTACTCGACAACCTTGATACTTTCATACGAGCCGGAGCGATCGCCGTACGAGTACTCCTTACCAGTGTGGAAATCGTGCACGCGCACTTTCTGAACCACCATGGTGTAAGGACCCTTATCATAGTCGACCTCACCTCCGGCCCACTCGATGGTTCCGAGTTTGTTCCCGGAGTCACCAGCCGGCCAGATACCGAAGCGGACGTTGCTCGGCGTTTGCGGGAAGTTCTTGCCGTCCAAAGCATCCTCGTATTTCAACGTCCGCACGAGATCGCCGTCCAGCCACCATTCGATTTTCTCTTTCGACCAGTAGGTGGTGTAGTTGTGGAATTCGGTGTCGGCGTTGCTGAGACCGTGGTATCCACCGCGGTTGAAACTCGTATCGTTACCCTTGCCGAAGTAGTTGGATTGCACCTCGGAGGTGTTGTAGCCGACCCATTCCCAGTCAATCTCGTCCCGATCGGCGGACTGCAGCACGACACTACTGATGATACCGGCACCCTTGGCCATCTTGACGTGGGACTCGACAATACCGAAGAAGATGTAGAAGTTCGACTGCAGCGTGGGGGATTGCAACTTCGATTTGATGGTGAACTCGGCGCCCTCGTCGGTGTAGTAGATGCGGCCATTGGTGACGTTCCAGATCGTGTCGTCCAGGGTCGAATTGAAGGTCCATGTGTGGTTGGTACCCAAGGCCGGCGCTGCCGGACAATCATCTTTCTTGAGCGGATCGCAGTCGGTGAAGGTCTGCGCCGTCACGCAGACAATGGCGATGGCCCAGAGGGACAAAAAGCGAAGGAATGACATGGTGGGAGGACGCGTGTAGGATCAGCTCCCCCCGGTGGGTTGAATATGGAGGTGGATTTGTTCTGCGTGGATTCGCACTCGTCGTATGTATATAGATCGAACCCTGGGCGGACTACCCAAGTATAGAGGGCGGAAAGGGGGGCGCACACAACAAGCGAGTGTTTACAATTGATAGGCGTCCCCGGAATTCTGGAAAGGAATGACTATCTAGCTAAGGAGCTAGGAATTAAAGAATGGATGTGCGATCAAACCGCACGAGAGTGAAGTCCGCCCGCAAGAAGGGATGTAGACGAGGGAGGATGAAACGATCGATGAATGAGAAGATCCGGAGGGGAACGACGGGAAGAAGAAAGAAAGACCATCATGGGGTCCTTTTTTCACTTTAACCCAATCCATCCTAACGAAATAATTAGTCGAGTCGTCCGGTGGTCTTGGGCCGCATGGGCAAGTAATTTCCTTTCGGGGGTTTATTATTAGCAGGACTGCCTTCCAAGCATCTTTTTTTTCTTGTCGTTTCTCAATTTCTTCTTATTTTTTGATTTTTCCTCCCCCCTTCTGCAGTCGATGCCACTAGTTTCTCCTCTAGTCGTTTAAGGGGTCGCCCTAAACTGGAAACTCGCCCCTCTTGGCTCGCGGTGGCTGCCCTGTCTAGTCCTGGGTGGGACTAGCGCTGGGCCCCGCTAGCCCCGTTCAGGGTCTAGCGTGATCCCTGTGCCTGGCGCCAACCGCGTCCGGTAAGGCGCGGACCGGCGGTCAGGCAGCAGCTGGACCAATGGCCGGGCTCGTCTGCAGCACCGATAGGGGCGGGGCCAATCATCCGAGTTCTGCAGGGGGTTTCCATCTCCATGGGTGTTTCATGATTTCATCGGAGGATCCTTAAAAGCAAGGCACCTTCGCCGTTTCCTCCTGCGCGGGGGGGCAAATCCATGGGAATGTCGCTTGTCGCTTGCCGCTTGACTCGCTTCTCCGTGCGTACTCTAAACATCTAACCAAGGGGCCAAAGTCCATAACGTCAGACAGTCAGACACGCTGACTCTCCTCGATCCTGGAGGTAACACTCAGATCATGGACTGTGACACCCGGCCCCCTCTTCCAAGCATCCAAAACCAACGCCCAGGACAGCCACTCTTCCCTGGGAAACCGGATTGGCAGGTGAGACTAGTTGGTACTTACGGAGTCGACCCGGCCTGAAAAGTGAAAACTCAGCATGTCTGGAACTGTGATTGACCGACCGTCGATGATTGGCCCAGTGGCAATGCCACCGGCATTTTTACCAGGCTCTTCATCCGGGGAGGGAAATGTATGCGGATGTGCGCTCGGAGTATAGATAAATTTAGACAGAAGGGCCCAGGAGCTAATGGCACCATCGAGAACGGCGTATGGTTAGGGTGCCTAGGGCCTCCGTCGGCAGATGGAGAGCCTGAACCACGGTCGCTGGATAGGAGAAACTAGACTGCAACTACGCGGAAGCAGTACTGTAGTTGGGAGACAATCGCAATGTTGCCATCTATCGACATTCACCATCTGGACTGAGGCAAGTTCGCAGCTCATCTCAACTGCCGCCGAACCGCAATGTCGATCAATTCTGCCCTCCATACATAGCACATAGCTCGGCGATCCGATCCCCAAGCGGTGGGTTCGCAAAAACAAAAAATCTCTGCAGATCCACCCCTTTCTACGGAGGGCTCGTTGGGAACTTGCCGCGGAGTAGATTTCGCAGACGTCATTGTGAATGTGAACTGTAGAATCCATGAAGAGGGATAGTTGGAGGGTGGTTTGATTAAACAAGCCTCCGACGTCCGAATATTTTTAGATCCCTTTCCTAAAGTTATAAAGTATTTGGCTACCTAAAGAATTGGTCAATGGGATGGCGGCTAGGCTCGATTAGGCTGGCCAGGCCGCACGCCGGCGCCAGGTCGTTCTATTAGTGATTTAGTGTCCTTGATGTTCTTTATAGAAGAGGGTTCTATAGAATATGACAGCCTAGACGGAGTACGAGCTAGGATGACCGGTGCCGTTCTAGAGTCGCTGCGATTTTCTACGAGAGCCGTCATTATATGATATTTTGGGGAATAGGGGGCGAGGAGTATATTAAAAAGGCCCGTATAGCCAGGTTTAAGCCAGCTATTGCTCTTTGACGGGCTTTGTCTCAATAATAGCTTCGTGTTTGAATATATATAGGGAGACTCGGTTCCGAGCGCACGGGAGGAGGCTTTATTGGTGTTTGAAACTCAGCTCCTGAGAGCTACTAGCTGCCACACAAATCACTTTGGTAGTGGACCGACTGAAAAATGTCCATGATACCCCGTATGTCTCTGAACTGACAGACATGAAGCCCTCAGGCAACGACAGACACGTGATGTCGACCACGCTGACCACGTGACAGCGCATCACGACACGCCGTCACGTCCTTACGTAAGGACACCGGCGTTCATACTTCAGTTACTACTACGATGGACTATGGACACTTCATCCCTCGATGCTGTCATATGAGATTGTAAAGCTGTCAGTAGAAGATCAATTCGGATTGGTTCAAATTCAATTCCTGTCAAAAGGTCGTAGTGAAACCAGGACACGCCGCAGTTCAACAGTGAACCATATCCGTAGACATCTCGTGCGGGCGGGCTGGACCGAGCTAAGAAAGATGCGTCCAACGCCTGCACGCTCCGTCCGCGTCCACATCGCGACGCGATTTAGATGAAGCGCTTTTTTCTTGCTACGCCTTGGGGTCCTTCCCACTCTACTTCCGCCCTCCCCTGAACGGCCTCCTCCTCCTCCATTCCTCTCTCCTTTCCTTTCTTTCTTTCTTTCTCTCTCTCCCGTATCCTCATGCTCCCCGTCTGTCCTCTCTCATAGCCCAGCCAGCCTTCCATGTCTGATCCGGAGCCATCTGTAGCGGCACGTTCGTCGTCCCCGGCCACTGCCCAGGCACCCGAGTCGGCTGCGGCTGCGGCTCTTAATTATGCCTTCCTGGTCCACTCGCAGAAGACTCTGACCCAGAACCTGCCTCCGAGGGTCGACAATAAACTGTTGGCGAGGCAGAAGCGTCGCCGGACGAGGTACGCGGTGTACCACCTTTGACCTTCCCGGCGAAGATGAACTATACTAACGCGAGTATCTTGTTTTCATATAGTCCGGAGGACCATGCTATTCTTGAGTCGGAGTATCAACTGAATCCCAAGCCGGACAAGGCCGCCCGTACAAATATAGTCCAGCGGGTTTCGTTGGGCGAGAAGGAAGTGCAGGTATGCCTAACTTCTAGTTCCACATATTACGCGCCACCATCCATCCCCATGACTGATTCTTACCCATGTCTTTTCAGATTTGGTTCCAGAACCGTCGCCAGAACGATCGTCGAAAGTCCAAGCCTCTCCAGCCCCATGAACTCTTAGCCCCGCGTTCCGGCGGGACCGACGCGTCGAAAAACATCTCGAGTGATGAAGTCCTACCCGCAGAACCCGGGTCTTCAAGTGGAACGGAACAGTCGGAGGAATCGGGCAGCGAGAAGCATTCGATGGAACAATTGGCCGGCACCGACTTGGTAGAGGCGGACGTGCCGCCCGCAGAAAGAGATGAGACTGAACAACTTGGTCCCGACTCTCAAACGAGCGTGGAGTCATCCGAAGTTCCGGACAATAGCCAGCCCATCTCAGAGACGACTGAACCGGACCCTGAACCGACGCAGATACACGAGACCATCGTATCAGAGGAGTCACTCCCGAGCTCTGCGAAGAGAAAACGATCTATCTCCGAACTTCGTGAATGCGAGCCAGCAGTACAGCAACCAGTCACGCCGGGTGCAGTGCCGGATGCTAAGTCGCCGCCTTCCTTGAGGATTTCCCTGTCATTTGATGGCGAGGCGATGGTGAGAAAGGACACCGAGTTGACGCCGTCTCCGCCGAAGGGACGCAACGCGCTTCGAATCGCCATGTCTTCAGATGGGAAGGCCGTGATCCGTGCCGAAGGCGAACCGTCACCGTCTAAGAACCGGGTCTCTATGTTCTCGGCCCGGAAACCTCGGTCTGCAGGTCTTCGACGGAGCAACAGTGCTGTGGTGCATGGAACGCCGCGTGGTCCCGCAGAGAAAGAGAGACTCTTTGGAAGATCACGAGACCCTCGCAACTGGGAGTCTTTCTTCGATACCGATGCCCGAAGTGCCCTGTCCACACCGTCTAGCTCCCAGACTGCGCCCAACTCTGGCTCCCCGGGGATGTTCCGCCCCGGAGCTCCACGTTCTTTAACCCGAAGCCTATCGGCTAGACACAGAAACATGTTGACTTCTACTCCCACATCTTCTGAGTACCTGAACACGCCAGTCCCCAACGCCGCAAGAGAGAAGCGACGCAAGATATCACGTACCGTTTCCTCCTTGGGGCGTCTGGAGTCTGGTCATAGCCTTCTGAACCGGACGGCATCTGGCCCGGTCAGACAGCCCAAGTTACTCCCGAAGATTGCTAAGGACGCCGGCGACGCAGATATGCATGGTGGTGATTCCGACAAGGAGAACTGGGTCCCCGGTACACGAGCGTCCAATGTTCGTCGTCGGGCGGCTTCCCACCATCAATCACAACGCCCCGCACTCGGAGAGTCGAAGGGCAGAGACGGGAAGGCCAATAAGGACCTAATGGCCACCGGAAGACGCTCTCGACTTTCTCAGGCGTCGCAGCGCAAAGTCAGCGGAGGCAAAGACGTACCAGAAGTGGACGCCGATGTCTCTGCATTCATGGCTGGCGGGGGTAGTGCAAGTCAGGAAGAAGACCTTGATTGCATCCAAGGCTTACTGTCACTCAGCCAAGGTGCATGGAGGTAGAGACTCTGCTCTGATCTCTCTGATACGAATCTTCTTTTTTTTTTGTTATTTTCTTTTGTCCATTTTCCTTTGTTTCATATCCATTCATTCCTTCTGTAATCATGTTGGAAGGTGCAATCCAGCAAGCGGTGATTGCCTGTATGATGCTGAGCGATGCTCATTCTATGACGATTGACCAGTCTTTCCTGTCTAGTGCAGTCCTGGCCCTTGAGCTGTAATGACTGCCTAGCATTGATGATGAAATTTTGCCACCGAGTAGGACACAGTGATAGTCCTGTGTAAATCTCCGGCTAATATAACAATTATCAAACAAAACAGAATATTCTGCAAATTATTTTGACCAATGAATTGTATCTTGCCCATGTAGTGCACATAAGCGAGGTTTTAGTGAGAACCAAGCACGGCTAGTCGGTCTGCACGTGGCCTGCACCGCTGACTTCTCTTTGTCCTGCGGTTTCTTGGCTCTTTTGTCCCTCCCGTCAACTCGCACATGAGCTGTCCATCTGCTTCTCTCTTGTGCTGGGGAGGACGATCGTTTCGTCTTACGGTGAGTTCAATCTGTCTGTTTTTGTTTATTCCATCATCTGTGTGGTTTTTCTTCAATCGCTGTTGTAGATCTTCAGTATTTGATTTTCTGCTCAGCATAATCAATGTAGCGGTACTCAAACTGCCTCACATTGCCTGTACGGAGTACTTCGAATCCATTGCCTCTGATGTTGCTCTTTGGCTATTCTCGTGCAATACCCCATGATCTGGGACATTGAATACCTCTTCTTCCATGGGAGTCATATTCAATTGCCTTGGTGCATATGGCTGTATACTCGGTTTGTGGGGTTCTACTTGATGCACCCCAAAAAGGAGATATAACAGGCGCTGGAGTTGGTCGTACACTCCATTCTGCAGGAAATAAGCTAACTAAATCCTATGGTGCAACAGAGAACAGCTTATGTCGGTGTAACTGCAACATCGGACTTTTTATTACCGTCATTTAGGCATCGACATCAGACACGTAGCTTTACCTCACTCTGCATCACTGCCATGGGCAAAAAGCCTCAAGTGGCCATCATTGGAGCCGGCTTTTCGGGACTCAGATGTGCAGATATTCTTGCCAAAAATGGTGCCCAGGTGACCATCGTCGAGGCTAGGAATAGAGTCGGAGGGAGGGTGCGTACTCATTCAAACTGATGCCTCGTTCGTACTAACCTGGAACAGGTCCATCAAAGTGAGGTTGGGAGTAACCTTGTAGATTTGTATGCTTACTTTCCCTCCCTTAGAAGTTAACATCCATGGGAATGGGAAGACTAACTCTTACGGCAGAGGACCTAATTGGATCCATGGCACCGGGAAGAATCCAATCGCCGACATTGCAGCGCTGACAGGAACTACCATTTACGACCTTGAGGGAGATCAGATTTTGTATTCCTCTGATGGCAAGCTCATAGACCGCCAACTGGCTACCAAAGTATCCGAATTCCTGTGGGAAACTATCGGAGAGGCTTTCGAGTACAGCAATGCTCACAAGGAAACCATTTCTCCACACCGCAGTCTGCTCGATTTCCTCACGGATCGACTGGAGGCAACCAGTCTCACTCCCTTGGAAAAGGAGCTGTGTATAGAATCAAGCAGGCTGTGGGGTGCATATGTCGGGGATCCCATTGAAAGGCAGAGCTTGAAGTTCTTTTGCCTTGAAGAGTGTATAGACGGCAGTAAGTTCTCGCTAATTCTGCTCATATTGCATCACTACTCACTCGAACTCTAGACAACTACTTTGTGGCTTCCACTTATAGAGCTATCCTGCAGCATGTCTCCAAGACCGCCCTTGAGAACGCCGAGATTCGATTTGACCAACCGATCGTCAAAATTGACTCGAAGATCCGAGATGATCCAAAGACACCGGGTGAAATCACCTTAACCACCGCAACTGGCGAAACCTTTCAGTTCGACGAAGTGGTAGTTACCTGCCCACTGGGATGGCTGAAGCGCAACCAAGCGGCCTTCACCCCCGAGCTCCCAGCCCGACTCACCCAAGCCATCAACAGCATCTCGTACGGTCGATTGGAGAAGATATACGTCACTTTCCCTGAAGCATTCTGGCACAATCATACAGACCACAACGCCAACGATCCCAGCGGACCACCACCAACAACAAAGACCAACACCCCCGAACAACCACCCACCTTCATCCAATTCCTCGACCCAACCTACACCCCCCACCCGTCCAACATAATATGGAACCAAGAATGCGTCTCGCTCGCAACTCTCCCCCCTCCATGCGCCCAACCCACCCTCCTCTTCTACACCTACGGCCCCTGCGCCACGCACATAGTCTCAACCCTCAAAGACCTCCCCCTGTCCTCCGCAGCCTACACCAACTACCTCACCACCGTCCTCTCCCCCTTCTACTCACTCCTCCCAGGCTACAACCCCACCTCACCGACCTGCCAACCCACCGCCTTCCTCGCCACACAATGGCAAAACGACTCCTACGCAGGGAACGGCTCGTACTGCAATTTCCAGCGCGGTTTGGAGCACGGCGATCGCGACATCGAGGTCCTCAGGGCAGGTATGGGCGTTGAGCGCGGCGTGTGGTTCGCGGGCGAGCATACGGCGCCGTTCGTGGCGTTGGGGACCACGACGGGGGCGTATTGGAGTGGGGAGCGCGCGGCGGGTCAGATCTGTGGGCTTTATGGGCTGGGGAGTGTTGGGGTGGGGGTTGTGAGGGATGATTCTTTGCCTTCGGCGGCGGTGGCAGCGGAGGGGAAGGATGGGGTGGTGGATGGTGATTTCAACTAGCTAGTAGGGAGGGTGAGGGAGGTAGACTACAACTAGATCTATATATTGATAGATCGACCCGAGGTGAATCTAGAGAAGAACAAGAGATTTCGGTTTGGAATATGATATGCCTACCTACATAAATGCAACGCCAACTACTCCTGACTACACAATAATCTAGCAATCTCACTCAGTTTCACTAATTGATATAGTTCATGGAATAGACAAGGTAATATGTATTCGCAATATTTACACATCCACGAAACACAAAAGCCATTCAGTGCCGGAAGTCCGACGGTACCTAGGCCAGTAAAGAGAAAAGTGGACCTAATTCGGATGCATTGTACAATAAAAAGCAGCAGCAGCAGCAGGAAGCAAAGCACAAAAGCCAGCCAGTACTATGATTCGAACGAAAGATAGAAGGAAAAAAAAAATAGGGGAATCATAATGAAGACGCTATTCAACCGCTCCTACGAGGGGAGGGTGAAAGAAAACAATAAAAGCAGCGGCAGGAATAATCACGCGAGGCAGAGAACGGAATTCCAGAGAATAACTTCGCACCATTGACGGGGAGCATTCAATAATCATGCACGACCCCCAAGACTCCGCGTAATCTGCAAGCAAGGCAAAAGTAAAAACAAGCAGTACCACTTAAGGACAGTAAGGGGGGTATCCGCAAAATCCCGAACTGAACGCCGGAATAACAGAAAAACAAAGGTGCGATCCGATAAGCTTGAAATCCACAGGTCGGGAAGAAATGCAATGATTGAAAAAAGAAAAAAGAGCAATGCTCATATAGTACAGCGTATGATGGCGCACAAACGATGAAACTGGCAAAGTTTGGTCAAGTGGCTGCAGCTAGGAAAACCCAGCTTCATTTCCGAGATTAAGTGACACGGAATGACGAGAATGCATTGTAGCCACCTTCAGTCCGACTGAACTGCCTTAGATGGGCGTTGAGACCAAATAGATAATTCTTCGTGGTGTCTGAATTGATGGGAACCAAACCCAGGGCTGTATGCTCAGGATTCTTGAAGTTTGTGATCATGCAAGTCCCAGAGTCTATTGACAGAAGCACAGAGCAGGAAGGAGATCCCAGCTTGATCAGCTATCACCGATCAATCTTCCCAAATAGTCTCTAGGTCCAGGTCTTGGCGACGCTCTGCTCCACAAACACTCCAGCGCTTTCTCTTGTCCGCTCGGACTCCGTAGCCTCCCGATCCACCTCTCGCATTCATGAACGTGCTCGAAGGGCCGGAAGCATCGGACGTACCGCGTCGCCGACTCCCATTAGCCGCCGCCTCGGCTTCGTCTGCCTTGTCGGCCGCAGCTTTCAACATCGCGATCTGATCGGCTTCGGTGGCCTCCGCTTCAGCATCGGGAATGTCGGGAATAGTTTCCAAAGACGAGATACTGGGGCTGCGAGACCGGATGCTGGTAGGCGTGGACGGCACGGAGGAAGCGGAGGACGCCGAGTATCCCGGATAGGACTCGTTGAACTTCGAGTTCAGAAACAACGGGGAGGCATGCGCGGAAGAAGGGCTGCTGGTCAAGTTGCTGGTGGGGGTTCCGGCATGGAAATGGAGAGGGGACGATGGTCGCCGGCGACCAATGCGCGGGAAGGTGTGAGAGAACATCGGTGAGGCAGAGGGTGGTTCTCCGTGCGGTGAGGAGGCCATCGCGGTGTCGAGTTCGGCGTGTTCAGAAATGGTTTCGGAAATATTCAGGGGGATCATTCTGGCCTCGAGATTCTCTCCAGCTGTAGCCTGTAGAGGCGAGTAGCGCTTGGGAATGTGATCCGCGAAGTTCGTCGGTGCGCCTCGGCCGTTGACGAAAATATATCTTCCTCGAGAGTCCAACCCGGGAGAGGAGTGAGCGCGCGTCATTGGAGGGACCCCCGAAACCTCTGCTAGAGATCGCGACCGGAAATGGGAACGGTTGAAAGGTAATCGGCTCGGAGAAGAGGTAGGGGGATGGTGATTGAGCGATAAGGTTATCATGACGTTCTCCTCGGGTTCCGGCGTCGAGTCGTGGGCGGGTGTAGACGTCGTCGAGTCGATCGAATCGATCGAATCGACCGAATCCATGGGGCTAGGGGGAAGCATAATTCCCTCTGGCGGTAGGTGAGACGCTTCCATATCCGTTGGCAAGAAAAGAATTAGGCTAAAGCGGCTGCATGCTGGTGCGTCGAACAACTGGCCCAGAGAAACCTAACTTGTAGCCGGTCCGAGGTCGAGAGAGCGGGAAAAGCAAGGATGACTAGTTGAAAAAGGAGAATGCACCCCAGGATATTATATCCTCTTCTCCACGAGAGAAGACCAAGAACCAACCAGCAGGGGGGAGGAGGGGTTGGTTGGTGGATTGGGGATTGGGGGATGTGGGGTGAAGAGGGTGGCGGAAGGAAGGACGGAGAGAGGGAGAGAGAGAAAGAAGAGGAGGACGAAGAAGAAGGGGGGGAAAGAGAAGTTTGGAGAGTTTGACTGGTGAGGTCAAGACTTTTTGCCTTTGGCCGGCACGAGGTCACCGACCGGGGCAAAGTCACGGACCATCTTTCGCCTTCGTCCACGGGTCACCCCCTTTTGACTATCCACTCCTCCACCTTCACAACGGAAATTCCAACAAGACTACGGCGGGATGACTCCTGTCGCGCTCGATCCAGACGGGTCGAGATTTGCCATTCGGTCAAGACTAATGTATCTCCTGCACATCTCCCTCGGCGCAGGGACTGCGCTGAGCCACTCGCTTGTTAGACCCTGACGCACCTGGAAACAGGTACATCGGTAGTCCTTCTGGAGCTTCCCGACTGGCCGAGTCCTGATCATCGTCGCATTGTCGGCTGGAAAGTCCGTACGGAGAGCCACTATTCCTTACCGATCGCCTACGATGATTCACGTCGCTGCTCCATCCAGAATTCAAGAGTATTGATCGATTCGATGACCACAAATTCGATGATAGATCAACAGACAGACAGACCGCTATCGAAATACATTACATTGGTTAATTGTATAGTTTAACAGGTTCGAGCTTCGAGTAGTGGAAGCGCACACAGTATTAAATGGTCCCCTCAACATGGGCGAAAGGGGGAATGAGTGGACCGAGGATATAAAGAAAATGACAGGATCAAATGAAAGAGAGAGAAAGAGAAAGAGAAGAGAAAGAAAAGGTGAAGAAAAAGCAAGAAAGAGATGGTAAACATAAGGACGAGCGACTTCACTCATACCATCGCAGAACTCCCGGGTCTACTCATGTTCATCGTCTTTGCACATGCTGGGCGCCTGATCTCGGTGTCCTTCATCTTGACACATCTTCGACGCCTTCTTTCGCATGTACACCTCTCGAACTGGATCCCCCTCAAAATCTTTGATCACCCACTCTCCAATTCCATATTCTTCGGGGGCTCGCTTGACGCCTCTTCCACCTCCACCGATGATGAGATTTCCCGGACGATAGTCCGGGTCTGCAGTCATTCGACGTATCGCAGACACATGGATCTGTGCGTCGTTCGGAATATCACGAACCTCACCACAAGGAAGCGGCCACCGGATTGGCTTCCACGATCCGTCATCCTGCAGATCCATGCGTCGGAACGGCAGATACTCCATGATGCGCCATGTCAGGACGGACATTGCTGGGAGCCCCTTGTTGAAAGAAAGACAGTCGTGCAGCAATCCTTCTCGGCTGGAACTGTGAAGAGCGGCAAGGAAGTTGCAGCTCGACTTGGATCGCGACTTTGCGCCGTCATTGACTGCCATTCTGAACATAGGGTGCTCGGACTCGCCATTGGCCCCGTGAGCATAGTCTTGATCGTGGCCCCAGCCATTGCTGCGGTTCCAGCGGATGTTCTCGTGGATGGGAGAATACTGTCCCTCGTATTCTTCACAGCATTCAAACTGTTTCAGTTTCCGAGGATCAAACTGAAGGCCCGCCTGCTGTGCCTCTTGGACCATCCAGACTAGAGGTGCGTGGCTGAGCGGCCAATCTTCCTCGGCTCCTAGTTTCCATCCGCCACCAATGTCCGCATGGCCTCCAGGAAACCATACTTCTTGGATGTCTTGGGCGCTTTCGTCCTCCTCGTCGAAGTACCCTGGATTAGCACCTGGAACTTGAAGTGAAAGACCAGAGTGTCCACTCCGGACAGACGTCAAGTCCTCTGTAGACCCAGTCACCATGGGAACCGCGAGACTGAGAAGTCTTCTTTGGTTAGGAGCAGGGGAAGGGGCGCGGTAACGATGGATTTGCTCGTCATCATCGTCGTGCGAGCCTGCTATGCTGCGATAGACCGATGCGGTGTCCTCATGTCCCTGTTGGGTGGATCCCTCGTCGGTGGCTTCTTTCCCGTCCTTGTTGTCGTCATTGACGACAATGGCAGGCACGTTCTCGGATCTATCATGATGGCGGCGAATGTTATGCAGGTGATGTCTTCCCCAATTATGGTGGCGTCTCTTCTTCTGCTGCCAAGGTCTGCTCTCCGAGATTAAATCCTGTCGAAACTTGGCACGCCGTTCGTCGATTCCCACGGCATGTCGAATGACTTTGGCCGAGCTACGGGCCGTATATGGGAATTTACTTCTTTGCATCCAAGCGGACTCAAAACGGGGCACACTGTTGACTGTATCGAACAAGCCCATGAACTTGATTCGGGTAATCGGCCGGCTGAAAGTCTCACGGAAGGCTTTCATATAACGGAACAGTTTCCGTTTCTCCTCTTTTTCTTCGTCGGTGCCTCCGCTCCGTCGCTGCTGCCATTTCGCGAAGGTCTTCCACGCAAACCGGGTCAGCTCCTCATTACCTGCTTCGAGGAGGCCGATGTAGTCGAGCATCTCCGCCAGGAAACGGGCAATATAAGCGCCCCGACTGAATCCGATGAAATAAATCTCATCGCCAGGAGTGTAGTACCTCATGAGGAACTTGTATCCTCCCATAACATGCTCATCAAAGGAGGAACCGACGGCAGAGTCCTTGGCTTTTAGGTAAGCAGACTTGATGCGCTGGAACCGACCATGGCTAGAAAGGGACTTCGACGTCACGTAGGTCCCAATGCCCGGCTGGTAATAGTGGAACTGATGGCTTTTACTGCGATCAAGCATCTGAATTAATCGTTAGCATCCTGTAAGAGGCAAAGCCGACGGTTGGAGCCGACTTACGCGAAAGATCTTGAGAACGTTGCTGTCAGACTCGTCGCCGCAAAATTTATTACCGGTACCGTCAAAGCAGAGGACGAACTGCTTGGGCATGGGACTTGGCCCCATGTGTGGTGCGTCCATGGTGGCGTGGTCTGGACAAGAGTTGAAGGGTGCAGCAAGTGGAAAGGCTTATGGGCCGTCAGGACAATTTAATCGGCAGATTGACACGACACGTATTCAGGGAATCCCACAGTCTATATACAAAGGGGGCTGATAATGGACAGAGACATGCAGCACCTGCAGGCGAGCCTCGACCGGATGGATGCCCCCGTCCTGACAGACTGCGGCCTATCACTCGTGGATCTTCAGGAAAATATGTGCACGGCAACGCTGTGAAACTCTCCAAGATTTGGCAAATAGGCTCCTGCAGACTTGTCTTTCACCAAACGCTACGTCAAGCTCATACCTAGGAGGTGGAGCAAAGACAGTGGTTGGTCAACTTGATTCACTCGGTGGTTCTGAAGGTTAGGGAGAGAGGGCAAAGAGGGAGGGAAAAAAAAAAAAAAAAAAAAAAAAGGCGGAAAGTATTAGTCTAGTGGCATCTGCAGCTTTGGAAAAGTTCTTTTTCTAAGAATGTGATTATGCCCCCGTCCTCAATTGTTTGACTTTTTTTTTCTGACTGGAGTGATTGGCATGTCAGCCGTACAAGACCCGAGCTGGCCAAGACTGCCGAACATTCAGCCGGGGTTGACGCGCTACATCAGCCAGCCCGCTAAGGATGACCATGCGTTTATCTGTCAATGTCATAATTGGACATGGTCTATCCTCGACAGCGATCGTCTTTGTCTTTTCCATTCCTTTTCTTGGACTGAAGGAAGATCTCAACCTTTTTTTTCTGTTCTTTCCCCCTCTTCCGCAACCCCTAGCTCTGGGTCCCTCCCCTCCTTCGGGAATCGGAATGCGAGGTGCACCAAGAGTCCAAGACATGATCATTTTGAAGCCGCTGATCCAGCCGCCAGTCATCGAATGGGGAACCATGATTTATGTGCGGACGATCATTCCCAACTCTACAGTCTACACAGTACGTCAAGTGGGGAAATCCTGCCGCTGACGGGTCGACCCTAGTGCCCCTAGCTGTGTACTGAGTGTGTATCGGGAGATGAAAGAAGAAAAAAAAGCCCTCGCCCAACACATTCAAGGTTGGTGTCCTAGATCTACCCCGTGCTGTCTACATTGGAATGTGATGAGCACAAAAACAAAAAACGAATTGGACTTCACCAAGCTAGGATTTACTTTGGGGTCCAAACACGCTGGTATGTGATAAGAAAGGTTATTACAGCCGTACTCAGACGCACCAGGCGAGGACCCATGTGTTAGAAACCTGCTGGAAAAGGGAGCGATCATCGATGGAGCACCGTGACCGAAGCAAGGGACGAACCAAGAGGTTCAGACCGGCTTTGGTCCTTTAGGGCCAGCGTTCGCACCTACGGAGTACAGCGGGTTCAATACTCTGAGTCTACCTACGGAGTACGTTTGGACCAGAAACTAGAGAGAATACTTGGAACCGAGCCCCGGGTGGTTCATAGACAGCTAGTCTGATAGATCGTATTGCCTGAATCCACCGGCAAACCTAAAGAGCGATGGCCTCAGGCTATCCCCGCCGGTGGGGAGCCTTAGTGGCCCCAGGCAACCCAGACTTCCCAAGGACGAACCACTCGGCAGTACCCGATTGTTCCCTCCTGTCCACTTCCAACCCACCTTCCTGCACGATTTCTTCAATAGTCAACCCTCGTCCAGCGCACCGCTGGCCGTCCACCACTGGGGCTGTCGTAATTCCCTGCGTATCAGCAAGCCACTCTGCCGATGGTGTTGGGCTCCCATTCTTCGGCATTTTCTCGGTCCATGGTCTGTATACTGTATACGGGCAAGTTCCATCACCATCACGGTATCTGGTATCATCCTCATTCTACTCCGCACTTATCAGGATCGCTTCGGGTAAATCCCACGAGATGGAGTCTTATCTGGCTAGTAGTACTGTGCGAACTGCGAAGGACAAACTAAGACTAAGTTAGCCAACCCCTCCCTCGGTTCTCTGGTGGATTCTCAATGACCAAATCAAGGGGGACTAACCACAATTTGACTCCCTACTAACTGACTGCAGGGGGCTGGGTTCAACCAATGATCTTACTACGCTGCGAGACAAACCAATTCTCCCAGATGGATTCAGTCTCAGAGCTTACTCCGTACGGTGTATTCTTACAAATTCACAGTCACATTGGCGAACACCCGCTTCGGTCTGTCGATCTGCTGGACGATCCTGATTGAGAATAACATTAGTATTTGACATACGGCGTAGTTAACAGTGGTCTAGGGCCTTTGCGCCCGGCTCTGTGATGCCTCAAATTAAGTTTGAGCATGTGTTTATGTGCCTGCCCGTGACCGGTCTCGGAGATTATTGACCTTTTTCTCGTGGTTTCCTATACATGGTCTACCGGCGTCTCGACGGTGCACCAGTTATTCTCCGAGATACAGGGATGCGAAAAGGCTGGGGATAGCAGAACAGAAGCCCGGATGGAACCGGGAACGCAGAGAGAGACGACGGCTGGGAGTGGACGGCTATACTAACCAAACAATTGAGATATCATTAGTCAGTTGCCATCCCTGAGTGATTGACACGCTAATGCCACTAATCTTTAGTTTCTTCCAAGTAAAATGATGATGATCCCGTGTTGCGAACGTGTGGGTAACTTAGCAATGAGCCGTCCCCGATTGGACTCCACCGAGTGTCTGGAATGGTGAAATCGAAATTCAAACCAAATCCCTTTGTCGGTGGGGGATCTTTCGGTTGTATCGATCACTGACCACCTTCTAGCCCTCGCGAGCATATTGCTCAAGACATAAGTTTTGACAATCTTGAAGAGGGGCCTGTTAGCATTTTGTGTTGTCGTCGGCTGTGCTTCCCTATTTGAGCCCCAACAGACAACGTTCGCCACGATGTCGGTGCTGATAGGGCGCCCATCCTTGCATACGAGCGACTGAGATAGGTCATATTAATTGATGCGGTGGTTACGTACGGAGTACATCCGTTGACCGACGGCCGTGAGCCGTGAGGTGTGACAAAGACCCTCGATACGCGGCCCCAGCTGAGGTGTCTGTCCAGTCTGCTTCATTCATGGAATGATTGCCAAACTTACCCAGCCAGATGGGCTTCTGTACGACCAGTACCATTTGGAATTAACAAACCAATAGTTCGGAACTGTCCAGCTCCAAGCTTGGGGCCATCTGCCTTTGCAATTGGCAGCCCAGAGCCGAGGTGGAGATAGACTCACTCCTCTCCCTGTCTCGACGGATCCACTTTCCAATGCTCATCATCTTGGCCTCCACCCAGTCACTAATTCACGATACCTGCAGAGTGCAACTTTGTTTGTGCTTTGGGGCTGGCGACCCTCACCGCTATGGACTGCGATCAGCCCCGGGCCTGATTGGCGATGACGCGCCCTGAGCATTAGAAACTAATACGCCTCTTTTATTTTGTTCTTCTTCTTCTGTTTATCTTATTTTATTTTTATTTTTATTTTTTTTCCCTCCGTCGAAAAAAAAGAAACATCATATCATCATCATTATTATTATCCCCCCCCTTCTGCCATGCTGTTCCCCACAAAGGTTTCTTTCCTTTTCGGGCACCTTGCTTTTTGGAATTGGTATGCACGGGCACAGGAGGCAATTGACTGACTCAAGGTGCCTTGCCTATCCCGACTTACGTCAAAGTTACAGGAAACAGAAACTTCGGGCCTTCCAACAGGATTCCACACACCATCCTTGCAATTGTTATGTGGTACCAATATAGAAGGGATATACGCGGTGCAATTGACGGTGCTCCCTCTACCCCGATTCCTCAGAACCCGAGATCGATCATAGCTGAACCACGTTCGATCGGCACTAAATCTCTTCTTGCTTGATCGAATCGGAGGTCCCCACTCGGTCCCCAGCACCAAGGTTGGGCAAAACACGGCTCTTTTGCGCTACTCGCGGGGCTTGAGCTATGTGTACTCGGTATTATTACTTGACAGCTTCAAGGGCGGCCCTCGGCAGCCATACACAATAATTCCATGGAAATTTTAATTAATTACTATTGCTATCAATAGGATTCGACGCGCAGGCTCCACCAGGTGGCTACTTACTTCCGTACAAGTGATTTCTAAACCCGATTATCTCGCGGCTTGCTTTTTAAATGCCACTGTGCCGACGCATCGATAGCTCGGTCGCTTTTTCTCCCTGAGATTCCCCTTTGCTTCCTTTTCTCGTTTGTTGTTCTTGCTTGTTCCTTCGTACCACTCTACTAAAATTCCTTCTGTTATTACTTACTTTCCTTATTAATTGTTCATAATAAGATACCCATCATGTTGCGGAGATTCTCCACCACCTTCAAGAAGTCGAAAGGCGACCGTGAGCCCAAGCAGAACCAGAATGGCGCGCAAGTAAATGGCACCAAGCGCCAGTCCAAGATGTCGTCGGCGCCTCTCTCATCGTCCGACGAAGACCCGAGCGAAACACTGGAAGATGGCGTGTCTGTTTTTGACAAGTATGCGCAGGTGCTCCATGCTTCGCGACGCCCTCTGCCGAATCAGACTGGCGATGGCACCTATCTTGACAAGGAACACTCCGGAAGCCTGTTCCAAGATGTTCGCGCTCTGGGCTTTCGGGATGTTGGGACCGTGAGAGATATCGTGAAAACGAAGGCGAAGGGAGAGCACACCGACGATAAGACCATGTTGATGGAGCGCATTATTCAGGTAAGACGAATGCCACAGCCCCCGGTAATATCTATCTATGAGTTTGCTCACGCGCGAGTGTGTCTTCGCAGCTTGTCGCTGGTCTTCCAGGGAACTCGAAAACCCGTACCGACCTTACGAATGCCTTCTTGGATCAGCTATGGGGTTCTTTGCCCCATCCCCCACTCTCGTAAGTTAGAAAATTGATTACCAGCTATTCGCGCGCGCCAATCCGAACTTTGGCTAAGACTCTCAAGATTCATGGGAAATGAGTATGCGTATCGCAGCGCAGATGGCTCAAACAACAACCCTACTCTTCCTTGGCTTGGAGCTGCCAACACGCCCTATGCTCGCTCGATTGCTCCATTGACCATCCAGCCCGGCGGACTGCCCGATCCAGGCCTTATCTTCGATTGTCTTTTCGCCCGTGAGAAGTTCACGCCTCATCCGAATAAGGTCTCTAGTGTTTTCTTCGATTGGGCTTCTTTGGTCATCCACGGTGAGTGCTTGTGGAAGATAGACTGTCACGGTACATGCGCTAATGCCACCTGCTAGACATCTTCCAAACTGATTACCGAAACCCTCATATCAACAAGACCTCGGGTTATCTCGATCTTTCTATCCTGTACGGTGACGTCCAAGAAGAGCAGGATCTGGTTCGAACGCATGAAGGTGGCAGACTGAAGCCCGATACTTTCTCCGAACCCCGTCTCCAGGCCTTCCCCCCAGCATGCTCGGTGATGCTGGTCATGCTGAACAGATTCCATAACCATGTTGTGGAGCAACTTGCCGAAATCAACGAGAATGGTCGCTTCAACAAGCCTAGCCCCCGTCTTTCCGAGGAGGAGGCCAAGAAAGCATGGGCGAAATATGATGAGGATCTCTTCCAGACAGGCCGACTGTATGTAGCTTCCTTATACATCAAGCCCCCTTCACCGAAGTTGAGGAGCGCTGATAGTTTGCAGTATCACTTGCGGTCTCTTCATCAACATTACCCTGTACGATTACCTGCGCACGATCGTCAATTTGAACCGGGTCAACAGCACCTGGTGCTTGGTAAGTCGCTAAATAACAGGATACGTGTCGAACCAAATGCCTGACAAACTATAGGACCCTCGTGCCCAAATGGAGGGTAACAGCACTACTCCGTCGGGATTGGGCAATCAGTGCTCCGTCGAGTTCAACCTTGCCTATCGCTGGCACTCCGCCATCAGTGCCAACGATGAGAAGTGGACCGAGCAGATCTATGAAGAGCTAATGGGGAAGCCTGCTGAGGAGGTTACTATGCAAGAGCTCTTGATGGGACTCGGAAAATATGAGGCGAGCACGCCCAAGGATCCTTCCAAGCGTACCTTTGCCCATCTTGAACGTCAGGAAGACGGCACTTTCAAAGATGAGGATCTCGTGACCATCTTGGCCAATGCGACTGAGGATGTTGCCAGTGAGTTGTCCCCACCAGTTGTGCAACGGGTCAATGTGTCTAATATGACTTTTTTAGGCTCTTTTGGCGCCCGTAATGTGCCCAAGGCACTCAGGTCTATTGAGATTCTGGGTATCCAGCAGGGTCGTCGTTGGAACGTGGGTTCTCTTAACGAGTTCCGTAAATTCTTCGACTTGAAGCCTTATGACACCTTCGAGGAAATCAACTCGGATCCTGAGGTCGCCGATGCTTTGCGCCATCTGTATGAGCATCCGGATTACGTGGAGCTGTACCCTGGTATTGTTGCGGAAGAAGCCAAGGAGCCCATGGTTCCTGGTGTTGGTATTGCTCCTACCTACACCATCTCTCGGGCTGTCCTGTCTGATGCCGTGGCACTTGTGCGTGGTGACCGCCACTACACGGTAAGATTCTCGTCTTCAAAGCTGGCGGAGTTTGTTCCAATGTCCTAACTTCGACTTTAGATCGACTACAACCCGAGAAACCTGACTAATTGGGGATACAACGAGTCCCGGTACGACCTCAACATCAACCAGGGCTGCGTGTTCTACAAGTTGGTCGCGAGAGCCTTCCCCAACTGGTACAAGGCCGATTCGATCTATGCCCACTATCCCATGACGATCCCCAGCGAGAACCGCAACATCATGAAGAATCTCGGCAGAGAGTCGCACTACTCCTACGACCGGCCCAAGTTCACGCCTCCCCACGTGAACCTGGTCTCTTACCCCAATGTCAAATTGGCCCTGGAGCAGGAGAAGGACTTCCGTGTCGTCTGGGGCGGCTCCACCAAGCTCAGCCCTGGAAAGGGTGGAAATGACTTCTGGAGCAAGTCGCTCAACAACGACCAGTGGCGCAAGAACATTAAGGAATTCTACGAAGATGCGACCATCACCCTTTTGCAAGACAAGTCGTGCAAACTCGCAGGAATTAGACAGATCGATGTTGCGCGAGAGTGAGTTTTTTTTCTATTCCATATTTTCGTGGTCTTCTGACTAATTTGATGACAGCCTTGGAAACCTGGCGCCTGTTCACTTCGCCTCCAAGATCTTCTCCTTGCCTTTGAAGACCAAAGAGAACCCCCGGGGTGTTTTCACTGAGCATGAGATGTTCATGAGTCTGGCTGTGATCTTCACCAGTGTTTTCTTTGACGTGGACAAGATGAAGTCATACCCCCTGCACCACGCGGCGCACGCTGTCGCTCAGCAGCTGGGCCAGGTCATTGAGACCCATGTCAAGTCCATCAACTCCCCTGGCTTCCTCTCCGCAATCATTGATAGCTTCACCGATGACCACAATGTCCTCAAGGACTACGGTGACCAGCTAATTAAGCAGCTCCTGGAGACCGGCCTGGGTGTCTCTGGAGTTGTCTTCGGCCAGATCCTGCCAGCGGCTGTCTCCATGGTGCACAACCAGGCCCAGATGTTTACTCAGATTCTGGACTACTATCTATCTCCTGATGGCAAGAAGCACCTGCCAGAGATCAACCGCCTAGCCAAGCAGGAAGGCAAGGAGTCAGACGATAAGCTGACTCGCTACTGCCTGGAGGCCTTCCGTCTCAACGGAACCTTTGGCTCCTACCGGGAGGCGCAGAGAGACTTCACGGTCAATGATGTGAACGGACCCGTTCACATCAAGGCGGGTGACACCGTCTTCGTTGGCGCTGTTAAAGCCAACCGGGACCCTCAGGTGTTCCCCGACCCCAATGAAGTGCACCTGGATCGCCCGCTGGACTCGTACATCCAGTACGGCCTTGGCGCCCACACTGGACTGGGCAAGGAGGCCACTCTGCTGGCCCTGACAGCTATGCTGCGTGTGGTCGGTCGTCTGGATAACCTCCGCCCTGCCCCCGGCGCCCAGGGCCAGGTGAAGAAGATCTACAACGAGAGTGGCTACTATGTGTATATGCGGGCGGACTGGGGCAGCTACTCGCCCTTCCCAACCAGTGAGTATTCCTTTTGGACAGTGTATTCGTGTGACAGGTTGCTAATATATGTACTTTAGCCTTCAAAATCCACTTCGACGGAGAGCTTCCCACCCCTAAGAAGCGGGTGCACTAAGGTGGAGCGGCGTCTGCGTTGGCTCTAAATTGTTTGAGATGACGGTGAACGGGTGATAATTGCTTGCTAAGATATCCTAATTTTGTTTTGTTTTATCTGGTTTGATTGATGCGCAATGGCTTGGATGTGATGGACTCAGATGAACTCGTACTTCGATCGAGATGTAGTAATATTTTAATGATTTGAGCATTGCAGATTGGAAGTGTATTCAATACCATGTAGAGTAGTGGAGAATTAGCATGTCTGTTGATGCCTGAGCGCCTTAAAGCCTTGATGTCATCGCTCAAGGTGTCTGCACCTCACCGCCCTCAGGATATTCTGCCACTGATAAACATCGCATCGACCGGGGAAAACAATCGAGCTCAATTGATAATTGATCCACAGGCAATACCTCCATCATGCCGCCTAAAGCCGCCAAAGGCGAATACATCGAGACCGTAAGTCTAACACTCACTCCTTTCGAGTCCCCTTCTTAACCATCAACACATCGATCTCATCCCATCTCCTCTCCCTCCCCAAACCTCACTAACACAACCCAAAATCCACACAGGACACAGGCAACAAAATCTCCCGCCGCTCCCAAATCCACGGAACCCAGCACATCATCCTCGGCGGAAAGACCGTGATCCAAGCCGAGGCCGTCATCCGCGGAGACCTCTACCGCTCCTCCACCTCATCTTCATCCTCAGACCACCACGGCCACAGCAGCAGCCACCACCACCACACCTCCTCAACCTCCGCCCCCACCTCAACCCCCTCCGTCGCCATCACAATCGGCCGATACAGCTACATCTCACGACAAGCTGTTCTGCGGCCCCCGTCGCGTCTCCACAGAGGCGTCCACTCGTTCTACCCACTCAAGATCGGCGACCACGTGTTCGTCGGCGAGCGCGCCGTCGTGGAGGCCGCGACTGTTGGGAATCATGTGCATATCGGGCGCGAGGTGGTGGTGGGGAGTATGGCGATTTTGAAGGACTTTGCGTATGTGCTTGACGGGGCGGTCGTGCCGGCGGGTATGGTGGTGCCGAGTTGGTGTGTTGTTGGGGGCGCGCCGGCGAGGATTGTAGGGGAGGTCGGGGAGGGGTATGGAGTTGAGGGGGCGGAGGGGGGGATGGCGAGGGAGAGGTATAGGGTTGTTGGGAGGTAGTTGGATTTCATGGCTTTGGTGGTGGTCATGATGGGTGGTGGTGGTGGTGGTGCTGGTGGTGATAATCATGATGGGTGGGTTTGGGATTTCTCTTTGATCTGCGTTTGTTCTTACTCTTACTTCTTATACCCCTGAGCAAATGGTTGGATTTTGTGTTTGAGTACATCGCTGCTTTGATTCTTTGCTTTCATTCTGGGATATTGTAACATAGGAAAGACATGTCGCCTGCATAGCTGGATACTGAAATAGTCGAGCGCAAACAGGTTCATAAAACATTAACTAACAACAAAGATATGCTAAGATCTGATCTGTCTGAACACTGTATCAATAGTAGTGTATCATGTCTAGTGATGTTTAGCCCATCTTCTCTAAATCAATCGCTCGCTTCAACATAGGTTCTCCCTCGGTGTAGGGTTGACCGGCTTCGTTGCGCGCCAGGTCATTGATCCACCGCCCGTTTGGCTTTAGGCCCTTCGGTCCGGTGAGGGTGGATGCCAGGTAGAGCCAGTTCAATGTGTTGCCCACGGTGCTAACCTCGTCGCAGACGTTCTTCAACGCGAACTGGCTCATCCGCTGGTACAATTTGTCGTCGGTGCACAGGTCATAAAGGTGTTGCGCCACGCTGTCGGTGTCCCCAACGTCCACCAGGAAACCGTTCTCCTGGTCAGCGACCTGCAGGGGGATGCCTCCGGCCCGGGTGGCAATGACTGGTACTCCCTTGTGAATGGCCTCGGAAACCTTCACCTCGAATCCTTCCTGAGTGGACAGCTGGAGTGCCACCTTGGTCTTCGACAGCAGTGCATTGAGCAGCTGGTCCGACGATCCCAGCCGGACGACACAAATCTGATCCGCGAGATGGGCGAGGTTCTCCTCGATGTGCGATACGACCGCATCATAAATCACTGAGCCGTCGGGGTCATCAACTGACCCATGTCCACAAATCAACAGCTTAGGTGGCGACTGATTTTTCACCGAGGCCGTAAACCGCTCATGAAATTTGACGTACGATTCGACCACCTCAGGGATTCCCTTGGATGGATCAAACCGGGCGATCTGTGCGATGTACTTTTCTGAAACCCCCAAGCAAATGCGATGTCAGCCTGCAGGAAGGCTACTAAAACGGTATGCATGGGATCCCTTACCTTTCGGATAGTCAATGGTCGGCATGCCCGAGTTCCTGCAGGTCGAATTGAAAACTCGGCCGTAATAGGCGACATCCCAGTCTCGCATGTTTTTGTTCAGACCATCCAGCCTGAGACAAAACGTCAGCCAGAATCTCAATCAATGCAAATGACAGGCAGGGAACAGATTGCTTACCAGTCCGTTGATGCCGGCATGTAGCCCACTTTTTCCCGGGGCACATTATGCGGAACAAACGCCCTGACGGGTTGACTGATGAAGACGTCTGCGGCTTTGATGGTTTCCCACATCCGATTCCACGCCTCTTCCTGCGGAGTGCCTGATTGGGAGATTAAGTCCGTCCGGATATGGATGTGACTTCGGAAAATGACCGGGCGATCCGGTGCTATCTCTTTGGCAATGGGGATCAATGCAGGCATCTGCGGGTCATCGATAATTATCACGTCGGCACCTCCTTCCGAAGGGTGAACGAGAGGCCCCCCGGGAACCAGCCAGTATCTCTTTGCATTTTCATGGATCCATTCTACAACCTGGCCCCATTTCTCCTCGGTCAACCGTTCTCCAGGCTGTGAAACGCCCTGCAAAATATTGTGATTTGTTTTGGTGACACGGAAGATCCCCGGTCGTGGTTTGGGCACATACCTGGGTCATCAGATCAGTTGCCATCCTTTAATTTCGGATTGTGGTCACGCAAGCACTTTTGGTCGGAGGGGTAAGGGAAGAGGAGGGAGACTCTTACCATGCAATCTCGGTACCTAGCGAATGGGAGAATCTCACCAGAGCATGTCTCATCAAGGCCACGCCGCCACCTTGAGGGGTGGCACTGAAAAAGGCAATTTTGAGTTTCCTTTGTTTGAGATCTGTCGCATAGTGTTGAACAGCATTCCATGTCTTAGGGGTTACCGTCTTTTGGAAGTCACCAAGATTGGTGAGACGGACATGGAAGGCAGTATCAACCTCAACCAGGCCTAGAAAGCCAACTTGTAGCAAAGGAAGATTGTCTGGGCCAAATAGTCTAGGCGTTGCTTTAGCTTCTCGTCCCATAGAAGAAAGCTAGATGAGTTCTTACCTCACACATTTACGTCCCATCGATTCAGCCTGCTCGTCGAGACTCCGGATCTTCCAGGCCTGGCTGCTGGGGAGACCAAAAGCGAATTTATCATCACCCTCTCTTCTGCTTTCCTCGCGCAGTACCAATGGAAGTACATCGAGTTCAGCCCACAGGCGCGAACAAAGATTAGGACAAGCATCTGCCACACTTTCCGGCATTGCTAAACCAATGAACTTCTCCATGTGCCTTTCGCTGAATTTCTGCAATTGGTCGACAATGAAATCTCCGATCTCCGCGCAGAACGACGCATTCTTCTTGAGTTTTATCTCCTGCTGTACAAAATCTAGGAGGTAGGTCACGTCCCGGATGGCGAGAGCAACGGTCACAAGGCCATCGTCAGAGAAGTTTGCCGAAAGACCTGCATATACAGTCTAGTGAAGTCAGTCAGGGTGTTGATTCAGCAATCAAGCACGACAGTACACTAGAGGGAGTGGCAATCTGCATACCCCGGAAGAAGGTGCACTCCACGAATTTTGTTCGTACTGGATAGAGAGACGTCGTTGCTGATACAGCGAACTTCGACGTCTCTGAGGTGCCATACCAGGCGCCATAGTTGCGTGATGTATCGGATAAAAGATGTATGATACTGAGACTATGTACGAAATATGGAAGAAATAAGAAAACAGCGAAGCTGCATTCGATGAGGATGAAGATAAAAAGGGGTTTTGATTGCAAGTATTCTTGTATGTAGTACAGTGTGCTGGCTGAGGCGTTGGTGAGGTCACCAGTTCAAGCCCATGACGTATGAATGGTGACATCAAACGCGTTTCTCCGCAACATCCGAGTCTGCAGAGCCTGTTAAAGGAGCTTCCCGTGAAGACATTCCAGTGGACGGTCAATGCTTAATTCATGAGATCTAATCAGAGAGAATGGATCGGGATGTTAATTGTGCACCAAACCCAAGCACTCAACCCTATCTACGGAGCCGTACTCCATCGACCCTGACTAGTCCTGAAATTGAAAGGGAGCAAGAGAGGGGCCCCTGACTCGGGGACACAGGTCAGGAGCATGGATCATGGAGGGGTCCAACCGGAAGGCGTGCCCACCAGGGACGATGCAGGACCTGAGGATGGGGAGATGAGCTGTCGCGGATAGACTCCTTAGAGAGAGAGGAGAAAAGAGATGTCACGTTATCAGGCCCATCACACGTGAAACACCCGAATGCTTGGCACTGGCTGAGTCAGCGCAAACCCCCTTTTACGGAGTCCGCCCGATCCATTCTGGCTCCGTCCTGCTCGGCCTCGTGTGGATCGTCGCCAGGAACTCTGGTTTATTCCCATTTTAATTAAATTACTGACGACTAGACTAGTCACCAGGGTCAATTGGTGGTTTCTCCTCCTCTCCTTGACCTTCCCTCTCTCTCCCTTCTCCCTCTCCTGTCTCCTTTCTGCCACGGTTCAGAACCAGGACTGTTCCTGTTGTGTACCCCCCTCATCTGCTCATTTCCCCCTTTCGGCCAAGGTGAGTTAGTTTCACAAGTCTTGTTTACCTTGCGACTTAGGCTTGGTCCCTGTTAACGCGGAGTTCTGGTACAGCGGAGTAGTCCGACTTCACATTCTTTTTTTCTCCCTCTCCAATTATTTTATTCGATCCTTCCTTTAACCACTCCTTTCCCCCCCTCCCTCTTCGCTCATCAGCCATTGGGTTCCTACCTCGAACGCCTCCGAACGATATCAACACGCTACCTATTACCAATCTTTCTTAATCACTCTTAATCGTTGTCGGCGACTACGCAAGTCGCTTAATCACCTGTGAAAATGGGAGGCCAAGTTTCCAAGATAATGGGGAAGATTTTCGGAACGAAGGAAATGCGGATTCTGATGCTGGGATTGGATGCTGCTGGAAAGACGAGTGAGTTGCATCTCCCTCGACGCGACTTTTGACCCCGCAACTGTCGACTGTCGGTTTGTATGGTTCAAGAATGATCCCGCTGATATGCCTCCCCAATTAGCAATCCTCTACAAGCTTAAACTCACAAACCAGGACGTGACCACCATCCCCACCGTCGGTTTCAACGTCGAGAGTGTTACATATAAGAATGTCAAATTCAACGTGTGGGATGTGGGTGGTCAGGATAAGATTCGGCCCCTCTGGAGACACTACTATTCTGGTAAGACCCGGATGCACCATGTTCAGCCCTAAATTGTTGCTGACCCGAGTGTGAATCTGTGCAGGTACCCAAGGTCTGATCTTCGTCGTCGATTCTAGCGACACGGCACGAATCGAGGAGGCTCGCTCCGAACTTCACAAGATCATCAACGACCGGGAAATGAAGGACGCTCTTTTGCTGGTCTTCGCCAACAAGCAGGATGTTACAGGCCGTACGTGTTTGGCCCCTTGTTCATGAGTGTTTCCGGTTACTAACAGTCTTGCGCGTGTAGATCTCAGCCCTGAAGATGTCACCAATGCCCTGCAACTCAACAAACTCAAGGACAAGCTGTGGTATGTTGCACCCAGTGTGGCTACCGACGGAACTGGTATCTTCGAAGGCCTGGTAAGGATCCTCCCGACTACCTTGTTTCATTACGAAACTAACTGGTTCAGGCTTGGCTTTCGAACAACGTCAAAACCCAACCTGCGAAATAATCCCGTTCATGGGAAACATGGACCCTTTCGAGAGGCACCGAAACAACGCATCCTGCCTCATGTACAACAATCTCTTTTGTATCATCCAGTCTCTTTCGTTTCATGTCCGTTTTGATGAACAGAAGACGCAGCATTTGGACTCCGTTTTTTCACCACCTTTCCCTTCTCACGCGCACGTCTTTCCTATCCTTCGCTTCTCCATTTCCGCCCTATTTTCTTATACTCTTTTTCTATTCCTCTCATGATATCCCTCACTGTTGCTATGCGGGTCATATAATCTCCCTTTTAATATAATCTGCCCCCTCTTGTCTTCTAACCGAGCCCCCTGGTTCTTCTTTCTCCTGTTCATCTTGGTTCTCTTCATGTAGAAACATCCAAAATAGAAGGAAGTCTGGAATAATAAATACAGCATTCTGTCTTGACCTGCCTGCCAAACCCAGCGTATCTTAAAGAATAGCCTAAAATAGCAACGATGTTGATCTACAATTTGACCATGGTCCAGAATAGCCACCAACGCCAGGCCGTTAGTTCGCCCGTGGAAACGAAGCCCTGGCGTTCTGGTCCGCCTATGACCGTCCAGGTCATGTAGACGGATGGTTAATCGTGTTCCTTGTCCAAACATCAGTCCTATACGGTATACTCGCGTCACCTTTACGTCGACGACAGCTGATTTTCCAAGCCCTATAAAACCAATCACCCTACTAGCTAGCTATGGGTTCACTCTCTAACGCTTATCCACAGCCCTTAAATATCAAACCCGCTAATAGCGCGAAACCAAGCATGCCAACCTACAGCGAAGGCGATAAAGTCCGCTACAAGGCTCTCGGAGGTACAGTACATCCCCCCTTCTCTCCGCTTTGTCTGTACTATCCCGAACCCCGTATATAAAGCCCAGGGAAAAGGCATGGCACTAAACTCACCAATCCCGATTCTAGGCCTTGACTCCAAAACGTCCGCGACGGTGGGGATTATTCGCGAAGTCCGCACTTCGCCGATAAATCTGATGGGTCGGCATATTGCAGCGTCGAAAGATGATCCTCGGTATGAGGTATGCTTTGTGCTGAGGTGGCTGAGGGTGGTTGTTTTGCGATCATGGTGCCAACGTATTTTGTGGGTTGGATGTAGATTGAGAATGAGCATACGCATAAGACGTCTGCGATCAAGGAGACGAGTATTATTGGGCCGGTTGAGGAGTAGGTTGGTAGGTCGTGGGTTTCTACTCTGTGGGTTTAGTGCAGATGAGTAGATATTATAGTGGCTGTTGTTGTGTTGCGAGGATTGAGGAGGGAGGGTCTCCAGGATGTAACTATGGAGAGCTGGGAATATTTGTATGTGACTATCGGTTGGAAGGGTTTCGTTGGTGAACAGTGCAGGATTAATCTCCGTAGGGCTATGGAGTTGGTGGATCCCATAGCTTATCCCCAAGGTACTCGGCACTCGATTATAAGGACTCGTGTGGCCCGATGAATTCTGTACGTTCATAACATTCATTCAATTATCCCCTCATAGCTAGGAATCAAGCAAGACAAATTCTACATAATGAGTACAAATTACCCACCATTTATTCCTCTTCTCTTAGACATTGTCCCTCTATTCATATCAGCTGGATCTCCCTCCTACAACTGACCCGGCCAGATATCGTTGGCAATGTCTCGGACCAGCTTCAGCTTGGCAATCATGCCGTTGTGGTCAATGTCATTGCCTTCGCGGTGGCTTGCGAATCCACACTGCGGGCTAACACCAACTTGGTTGAGGGCCTCCTCGACCGAGATGTTGTTTCCTTCGGCAATGAACTTGGCGGCGTCGTACACCCTCTTCTTCATCTCCTCCTTATCCTCAAGCTGAGGGAACTTGCTGGTCACAACGCCCAAGATCACGTTCTTGTTCTTGGGAAGTTCCTTCAGAGGCTCGAATCCTCCAGCACGAGGGGTGTCGTATTCCAGGTAGTAGGTGTCGACGTTGAGTTCCTGGAACAGCTTGGTTGCGATGCGGTCATAGCCACCCTCGGAGAAATGACGGCTACCGACAAAGTTACCACGACAGATGTGCACACCGATGTGGAAGTCGGCAGGACGCTTCGACAGCAAGTCGTTGTACAGCTTGATGTACTTTTCGAAGACCTCATCCGCGGTGTGGACATTCAACGGATCCGCCTTCCAACCATCAAGCATCTTATCGGAGCAGAAATCTACCGACCGGATTAGCCTCTACCGTTACCACCACCAAGGGCTCTGCAATCTTACAAGCAAGGTTGGGGTCGTCGAACTGAACGTTGCGGCAGCCAGCATCGTACAAAATCTGCAGTTCATCTTGGTACGCCTTGGCAATGTCGGCAAAATACTCCTCGTCAGAGGCATACACCTCCTTGGGATAGGCCTTGCCCTCCTTATAGCGCAAGTGGTACCAGTTGGGAGCAGCCAGAGTAAGTTTTAGGTTCTTGACTTCCTCTGGGGCAACCAGGCTGGCCAGATACTTGAACTCGTCGACGTACGTACTTCCAACATGCTTGATCTTGCCAGTACAGAGGACAGTCTCGCCAGGCTTGTGGCCAGCCTCAAGGAAAGCGGCAATATCGGGGGCATAAGTACGGAAGATATCGGTATCGAAATCCGTAACTTCCTCAAAGCCATCAAGACCAGGGAAAAATGTGCCCCAGAACACTGGAAGACGGGTCAATCAATGCATTGTTGGGTGGGTACAGAAAATGGCAGGCCCTCACTGTGTCGACGATATTCTCCATCCGAGATCGCAGCATAGCCGAGTTTCTTCTGGGTCTCAGCAACTTCCTTGACGTCCTTGTTTTCAATCGCGGCTAGATCGGCACTGGGGAGTTGCCCTTTCTCAAAGGCTGTCTTCGCTTCCAGAAGTGCATTCGTTCTCAGAAGAGACCCCAAGTGCTCAGCACGAAAGGGGGGATTGCGGTGGAGTTGAGGCGACATTATGAAAGCTATGGCTTAATCCGTTAGTAACTTAATGTCTACGACCAGTCCTCACATGGAGCAGGTATGACCTCATGAACTTACATGATTGTTAGTATGTCCAACGGTGAAGCAGGAGTGTCGGGAGAGTGAAGGAAGATTTTAGGAAGGACGAGACCGACGGGAGAGGGGCAGTAGTCCCCAGTCGATCAGTTTTACGTCTCAATATAACCTCCCCGGATCCTGACTCTTGCCCCAAACTACCGAATTCGCCCACAATTTGGACTGGTGCCCCACCCGTTGATTGAAGGTTCTCTCCACATTTCAGAGCGGCCTCATGGGAGGAACGAAGGCTTGACGATAGGTTATCTCACTTAGGAAGGAGACAGTGTTTCCGGAAAAGAAAAGCGAGGAAGTGATATCCTCAAACCGGATACTATCTGATTGACAAGCATCATCTCAGCAGATTCATGGCACCAATCTGCAGATACAAAAGTCATGACGCATGAAGAGAGCACAATACCTCCATTGAGAGGTGGGGCTCTTGTCAGCTCTTACTCAGCTATATGCTTGTTTAGCGCCACTTGAGAGGCCAGTTGAGGCTTTTGACAGGATAGCGAGGGAGATCCTAGAGCTCCTCGCAGCTCGATGATTCCTCTTTACTTGTGAGCAAACGCTGCATGGGATCGGTTCACCGGAGAGGCGACAGGAATGTAATTAGTGAAATAGAACCACGGATATAAGCCGTATAACAGTTCTCGGATTCAGGACTCCACAGTCCAAGGGGTTTTGCCGACGAGCAGACGGTCTCTCTCTAGCGTATTGGAGGCTGCAAATTGCAAAGATGGAAGAAGAACGCCCGGCAGTTGAGCGCGTTGTTCAATCCCGACGTTTTACTGCCCCTCGCCCGTCCACCGCCTGCTGTTCCGGGAGACCGTTATCGTTTATTGTCGTCACCGCCAACTGCCTTTGCCTTTGACTCGTCTTCCTGTCTTCTATGGACTTTCTCAAAGATGATCTTCTTGATTCTGTAACATGTTGCTCAGTTAGACCCTTCTTGTACTAATATCCTCCATCTCAAGATTGACGATGACACCCGTGTCGGTGCCGTCATTCGGATCACTGCCAAATGAGCTTCTTGATGAAATAATCTCCTATCTAGCCACTTCTCCCCCTTCTGCAGCCCGATTGCACCAGCCCCCAAGCGCCCGTATCTCTAGATCCGATGATCGTTCGCTCAAAAATCTTGCTCGCGCTTCATCGCAGATACTCGAGGTTGTGCGGCCTCGGCTTTTCGCGCATGTCTGCTTTGATCTAGAGAATGTCACCGAGTTTCTTTCTTTCATTTCAACATCGAACCTTGATCGATATGTGACATCAATCGTGGTACAAAGTCGGCCATCTATGGAGCAGGCAGAGGATCCATTATGGTGGCGCCGGGTGCTTGCCTGCCTAGATCCGCTGCGTGTGACTATCGTCGCACCACCCCCGTCTATTGGAACGATGCTGGGCGTTGAAATATTCGAGGGAGATAGCTGGGCCTTTGACGTACCGTTGCAAATCATCCAACTCGAGCAGAAGCCGCAAAATGTCGCTCTTGGGCAGTTGCCCTCTCTCGAGAAATGTTTCAGCCTTCTCGAAACCCGAGATTGGTCATCCATGGCTTTCAACGAGTCTTCTTCTATCAAAGCGTACACTCACTACGAGTACTTCATGTTTCAAAGCCCTTCTCTCTTCAGTACATGGGGCTCTGTAGCATCCCTCCGCGCTCGCGAGGCCCGAGCTGGACTATCTGTTCGGTTTAATAACCTGACCTCCTTCAGCTTCGTTGCGGTGTTTCCATTCTACAACCACGTGAAACTTGTGCTCAATGCGATCGAATTGATGGTGAATCTACGATCGCTAAGCATTCAGCTAGCGCCTTGCGAGGGCGACAAAGTCACAGAAATAGAGCAAAAGGGCTCGATGGACCCGAGCGATCCTTGGATGGAAATCGCCACTGGGTACTCGCTCATTGCACATTCGGTGAAGGATCTCGGTGAAAAAGAGCGCCTTGTGCGATTCACGGCCCATGACTATTCTTTTGATGCCCTTCGGCCTGAACTTTCGGCCATACTTAGCGAGGTCTTGGATGATACCGATTGGGTACATGACGGCGACGGCACTTGGAACAGGAGAGTCACAAACTCGTCTGAATCAGTCAATAAGGTACCGCCATTAGTGGACCTCTAAATCTCTCTTGCACTACTGGACCAAACGCCTCAGCTTGCCATTGGCACTAGTTTATCAAGCCTGCGTAGCCGGCTACGCTATCTGTGCAGATAATTTACAAGTGCTGTATGTACATATTCCGAAAGGTTGTATACATATATCAGTTTCACAGTGGATTTTATCAGTTTCTTGAGTTTCTAGTCTTGCCCTGAGCGAGCATGTTACATTTAGTATGATAACGTTTATTTATTGAATCCATTAAAAAGAGTTAACATACAGGTCCTTGTTAGCAAAATCCATCCTAGATCTGTTTCATATCTACTTTAGGATAGTTTCTGATGCATTACTCTGTACAGAAATTGTTGATGCTAATTGCCGAGTGGACCGCCTGACGTAACCAACCGTTTTCCAATGTTAATTGACCCCTCCAAATCAAATCCAGTGTTGATATAACAATTTCAAGTTAACCTCAAATCCCCTCGTCCAAATCAATCAATCAATCAATCAATCAATCAGTCTGCTCAATACAAAAAGAAACCCCCATCACATCACAATGCCCCCCCAAGAATCCCTAACAACCCACCTCCCCACCCTCACCCCGCACTCCCTCCACCGCGCAACCACCCACCCCTTCCTCCAACGCGCCGGCCAGGGCACGCTCCCGAAACCCGTGCTGGAGCAATGGCTCTCCCAAGACCGTCTCTACGCGCAGTCCTACATCCGCTTCATCGGCCTGCTTCTCTCGAAGCTCCGGTTTCCGGCCAAACCCCAGTCGGAGACGGAGTCGCAGTCCGCATCCCTCGAATCCCGCCTCTCCTCCACCCTCATCGACGCACTCGTCAACATCCGTCGCGAGATCGAGTTCTTCGAGGCCACGGCTGCGGCGTACGGGCTGGATTTGAGCGCATCGACATCTACTACCCCTGCCGGGGAGGAGGAGGGTGGGAAGGAATTCGGCCCCAACGCCATCACCCACGCATATATCGATCTATTTATGGCGGCGGGGAGTCCCGGGGCGTCGGTGCTCGAGGGGATGGTTGTTCTGTGGGCGACGGAGACGTGTTACTTGCGGGCTTGGAGGTTCGCAGCAGGGTTTTTGGATCAACGGCAGGGGGGAACCCAGGATACGGATGGAGGCGCGCTGCGGAAGGAGTTTATTCCGAATTGGTCGAGTAGGGAGTTTGAGGGGTTTGTGGATGGGATTGGGGAGTTGGTGGATGTGATGGCAAGAGGAGGGGTTGCGGATGGGGAGAAGGGGGAGGTGATGAGACGGTGTGAGAGGTGGTGGAGGCAGGTGGTTTGGTTGGAGGAGAGGTTTTGGCCGGATGTCAGTCTATAAATTGATAAGGTAGTAATCACTTAGAGGCCGTGTTGTTGTGTATGATCGAGTAACTTAGGAATGGGTCGTCCAGTCAAATAGTGAATAGAGGTCATTCGGATTCATTGCATCACGTAAGTACATCCATCGAGCAAAACCAGCCATAGCAAGAAACAAAACACAAAAGAAAAACAAACAAAGTGACTATCCCGTCAATAAACGCCTTCTTTCTCCATGTTTTCTCTGCTGAATTCTGCCAACACTCCATTCTATGCGAGGTTGCCCTGCTGGCAGTTCCGATCTAGAAATAGTAATAAAAAGAGCAGTCGTAACGTAGGTCGTGCGCAAGTTGATAAAGATCAAAGATGATAAGAAAGTCCATCGAGTTATCTGGTGAGGATAGAAGTTCGGAGTAATAAAAAGAATCATGGATAGGAGAAAGGTGTAGATCATCAAGATGTGGCTGCGCTGGCTCGAGCAGCACTACTTAATTGTCGATGGTACGAGCCAATAGGTTGGAACCCTCTGTAATTCAAGTTAGATCCAAAGTTCAATCAGTCGAATGTTGTTATAAAGCACTCACCTTGCGAGATCAAATCCTGCATTATCGTCCTCCTCCTCGTCTTCGTCCGGTCCCGGAGGTCGTTCTCGGACCCCACCATTCATTCCAGGCCGAGGGGTCTCGTCGCCGTCGACAGATCGCCGCGCTCGTCCATGGCCAAGGCCGTTGGAGGTGCCCGGTTTGCTGGGACTGGCCAAATTCGGCGGCGGCGGACTGCTGCTGGGGATGCTGCCCAGTCCGTCTCCCGGATCGCCTTTCAGAGGACTCATATCGGGCACGGGCCGCGCTGGCGTGCTACCGATATCCGCAAATTTCCAGAACTGCGCGGGCGAGCTCATCGGCATGAACTTGGACGGGATCTGGGCCGTGCTGGGAGGAGGAAGACGGGGTTGCTGACGCTGCGGTGCCGGGGTGATCATGGACGACGGTCCTTCGTCGTAGTACGACGACGACAGCACGGGCGGAGACCCGGCCACGTTGTCGGACAGTCCGTATGACCGACTCAGACTGGTGCCGTTGTGCTGCTTGGCGGTGGTTCGCGTGGGCAATGGCGAGGGCTCCTCGTAGTCCCGCGTGTTGGGTGGCCGTAGAGAATGCTCCTGACGACCGTTCCGACTTGCCCGCGAGCCCCGTTCCGGAGTGTAGGCCTCGACGGGGGCCACGGGGAACGAGCTAAATCCGGGAGAGGAGACGGGAGGAGACTTTTTGCCGGCGAAGATACTCTCCACGCCGTTGTGGGCGCGCGAGCTAGGAGGTTCCTTGGTGGCTGGTGACGACGGAGCTGACGACTGCGGACCCTTGCGAAGTTGCTTCTTGTAATACTCCTCGCGATATTCCGGCGCAATCTGCCACTTCATTCCTTTCCCGGGCTCGTCGGTACGGCGAGGCACCTTCTGGAAGGCTTTGTTGAGTGAAAGGTTATGTCGAATCGAGTTCTACTTCGCATTAGCCCTCAAAGTCCCCCAGTGAGCTGCAACGGAGAATGCATACCTGCCAGCCACTCTGCGAATGACGATAGAACGCGTACTTGTCCATAATCCAATTGTAGATACTGTTTAGCGTGAGTTTCTCCTCCTCACTCGAGAAAATCGCCTGAGCGATCAGCGTCGCGTAGCTGAAGGGTGGTTTCAGATCCTTGGCCGAATCCTTGCTGTAGTCTATTTCCTCCGTACTCTCCATCATCATGCCGCGGTTGTATAGCGGGGACTGCTTCGCCGTTCGCGCGCCCACGGTGTCTGGCGACCGAGGCGGTGGTGTCACCTGGCGTTTGAGGAACTGAGGGGCGGGGGCCAGTGAGGGTTGACCGGTGGAGGGCGCGGGCGCGGCGTCGTGGTTGGTCGACCTGGGTGTGGTCTGGGGGTGCGCATGCTGCGAAGCATCCCAGGTGCCGGGATCATCCTCGCCGTTGGCCAGGCGTTGCGCTCGATCGATGAAGCTGGGGTGGATGTTGGCCTTGTCACCGGGCGTCACAAACATCATCTGCGTGTTCGCAATCTCGATAATATCACCGCAGGACAGGATGGTATCGGTTCCGCGCTTGAGGATGCCATTGTTCAGTCGAACGCCGTTGCGACCGTTCACACGGATATGCCAGGAAGCCGTCTCTTCGCCGTCGTAGAAGATTTCCGCATGCAGGCGCGACACGAACTTGCTCGGCCCCAGATCCACGTTGACTTCCGGCAGGGCCCGCGCGGCGATGGTGACGGGACTGGACTGTTCGTCCAGCTTCTGTTCGCGGTCGGGTTCGCGGCCAATGTTCACATGGAGGGTTTTGACGTAGTAGGTCCAGTTGCGGCCGGCGATCTTCGCATACGCCCGGATGCTCTGCTTGTTTTCGGTCTTCGCATTGGAGTGGTCGCGCAGGACACGGACTTCTTCACGGGCCGCATCAAGGTACGAGATGACCATGTCCACCAGGTCCTGGTTTTCCGACAGATCATGCTCCGGGGACGAGTCGTCGGCTTCGTCGGCCGACTCTGCTGTTTTGATGGGACGAGGATGAGGGGAAGTCCGCTCGACCTTTGTTTGTTTCAACAGAAACACCAGATTAGCCACAGCGATCGCCAGGAAGGATTCTCTGCGACATCAACTCACCTTGCGCTTCTTATTCGAAGGCCGAGTCGGCGAAGAATCCGGCGCCTCCACATCCGACGTTTCCTGGAGTTGAATTTCCTTGCGCCGCGCGCGACGGCGATTGGACAGAGGCATTCTGAGTCTCACCCACTCGACTTCCTCCGCGAAAACAATTCCCACTGGTTGTGTTTCCTTCGGTGACGTAGATCAAACTAGTTTCGAGACACCGCAAGGTTCGAGTCGATCGTCCAAGTCGATATCGTGCCGGATCAGACGGAGTCGAAAAAAAAATAGAGCAATAACAATAGATGGGAAGATCGCGGCGATGTCGCACACACGGGCAGGCAAGGGCGGAATGGCGCAAAGGATCAAAGCAATGTAGAAGAGAACCACGACCAAGTCCTAGCAGGACTGAGGGAACTCAAAAAAAGGCAACGAGAAAACTCAACCAGGAAGTGCTGGAAGGAAGAGCCAGAGAACGGTTTGCCACTCGCGCAAGAGACCAGACGCGAACTGGGCGTGGCTGAATAATAGAACCAGCCACGGGAATTTGTGTGAAGGATCTTGCCGGATGAATCCAGATGCGTAGACCAGAAGATAAAGGCGGGGGGAGTTTAGCGTCTCATGCAGATAAATTCAGGGGACAACTGGAGAGATCCAACTCAGAGGAGCAGATGTAGCGAGGAAATCCCCGAGATGCGCGAAGGAGAAAGTCCGTGACAAAGGGTTTGTGGACGGAGCGATGACGATAACGCGCGTGTTGGGGCGTGACCGCTTCCGTGTGGGGAAGACTCTTTTCTGTCTGTCTTTCACTCTCTGCCTCTCGCAACTTCGAATTCCTGCATTCACTCACTCTCTCTCTCACTCTCATTCCCTGTCCCATTCACAGAGGACCTTCAGATTCTTTTGATGGTTCCCGCTGCCTTTAATATCCTACCCCCGGAACAGAACAGGAAAAGTGAAACAGCAAAAAGCAACCAGCTTCCATCCGACTGAGTGGATCAGCCTTCCCAGCACGATGTCGTTCCCCGCCGCCGTAAACAGACAGTGGAGCATCGACGAATCAAGAGGCCGAATCACTCTTTTCTCAACTTGAGACCAAAGGAAAACACAACCGGTTCAGAGAGAGGGAAAGGGAGAAACTGGTCGGGCTAAACTGTTCGCATACAAAAGACCCATCATCAGTCCCTGTCTCAAAAGGTGGACTACCACTAAACTACAGGATCTCTCGCCTACAAGTGATCCATACATCTACAAGAAAACAGGCAGTGGGGATTGGACGGTTCTGACATAAACAGTGGACGGACCCTTCGAATGCACCTGGGATGAACACCTAGAAGGGTTCCATTGATGCGACCCAAGTCTCCTTTCCCCCAAGGCAAACCGGTCCCAATTGGCAGAGAGTAGTGCCCGGATGGGGCCATGGAGAAAGCATCCCACGGATCGCTCGTGAGAAACGTCGCTGATCCATCTGCATACCGGCGTCTGTTTGCGTCATGCCACACCGCGTTCAGTTTAGCGCCCAGCCCTGGAATGTGTCCGCAACTGTCGCCGTCGAGTCGATCAGCCATTCGGTGGTATCCAAATAACCAAATAATCAAATAATCGATTCGGACTCGTAAATAATCAAACAAGGGCCGACGGAACGGTAGCATCGTGGACTGTTGCAGCGTCAACACTCGCCGTCAACATCCGGCTCTCGCCAAACAAACACCCCGTTGAAAACGTCGATTCGCTCACGGCTGGGTCGACAGCACTACAACTACGTTTTCGAGGGGCTGTCTTACTTTCAATGGATGAGTAGCAGATAATAATTGCCATTCCAAGACAGGAAACTAGAATTGTAGTAGAGAAAAAGATAAAATAGTAAAGAACCCCACTTGTACAGGAATAGAAACACCATTTCGAACCCAAGATCAGCCTTCCCTTAAAGAACATACAATGTGGAAAACAAAAACGAAAGAGACACGCGACATTGAAAGGGGAAGGAGCATGATGAAAAGATAGAATAAAAGACATAGATGGTTGTCACGGACAAGTGTAAACTAAGTGTTCCACGGTCAAGTGGACAGGGAATAAACAAGATGTAGAGAAGAGTGATGAATCGAATTGGAATCAATTGAACTCCGAAGTCGTAAGAGGGCGTGAAGAGAGTGGGAGATGGCTATCAAGACAGAAAAACAGTTAAAAAAATAGAAAGAAATCCCAATTTTTTCATCTTTAGTTGGGCATCTTCGAATCGCCGTCGTCGTCGACTCCCCGTAATGTCGGGTACATCACCTGGTCGCTGCCCGTCTCCGTCTTCATCGGCGGCTCCTCCGACTTGGCCGGAGACTCAAGCTCAACCCCTTCCATGCGCTCGTCCAGTCCAGTTTCCGGCGAGTGGGAACCGCTTTCTTGTTGTTGTTGTTGCTGCTGCTGTTGCAGGAGTCCCTCGTACTCGCCCCGTTCAAGGCGAGAAGCAATGTAGTTACGCAGGTACTCGATGAGACGCACCTTTTCAACCCACTGCACGTCCGAGCGCTCCGCAACTTCCGTGGCGGCCTGAGCCGTCCGGAGCGTCGCCTCCTCCTCAGTGGGCGAACCCGACAGAGCAGGGTCGATGAGGCTGGCGGAGATGCGCCCGGGGGACGAAGGAGCGGGACGAGCCTTGGCAGGCGGGGTACGATCACCATCCTCCTTGTTGTCCTGAGACACGTCCATGGGCTCCGCCACGGATCGGTCGACGGGTCGGTCGTCGGGTCTCGCGCGCTGCAAAGTGCCTCCAGTGTAGCGACGACGCTCGTCGTGGTCAAAGATGCCGCCCAACGTTGAAGGCGGCGCCGCACTCGACGCGGTGGGGTAGCCAGCCGTCATCGTGTCGGGCATCGTGGCCGACGGCAAGCGCGGGTACATGCTCGAACCACCCTCATGGTGAGGCGGCGAGACGCGGTGGGCCGAGGGAAGAGAGATGGGCGACCGACCCGAAGTGTACGACTGCGCGCTGGAGGGGGGCGTCAAGGCCGGAGTCCCCGTGGACGGAGAATGGGCTGCTGCCGCGTTCATGACCGGCCCTGCCGAGGAGGGGGCCGTGGCATGACTAGGGGGCAGCTGAGTAGGCGGCGAGTTGGTCGTGCGGTAGCTCATACCGCCATGAACGTAATGAGCGCCCGGTTGAGCAACTCCCGCCGCCGCTACGTTATCATCGTTTTCGTAGATGGTATCCTGCATTTGCTGCAGGAACTGATCGATGTTGATCAAGTCGTTCTTGGTGCGCACGTTACTCATGGGCGGCAGATGATAGGCGGGTGCCGGGGGAGGACCACCCGGGCTGTAGCCTCCGCCAGCAACGGCGACAGGCGCAGGCATGGGTTGGTACTCAGGCAGAGGACCACCGCTGAGGATGGGAAGAGACAGGCTCTGGAGGCCGAGCAGGCGCTGGCCCACAGCAGCATACGAGTTGGGGTCAAACTGGCGGCGCTTCAGGTCCCCAAAGAACTCATTCAGCGCATCATAGCCGCGTTTCTTGGATTCGTACGACGCGTGACCGGGCTCGGGGCCGTGGTTCAGAGCATAGTAGACGTTTCCATAGGACGGGTTCGCCGGCTGAGGCGGAGGGTGCGACTGGTAATACTGAGGAGCGCCATGAGCATAGCCCTGGCTTGGGACCGGGTTCAGCGCCGGCTCAAAGTAGTGTGCAGCAGCAGCATAGCCTAGAAAGTAACCAATTAGTCATGAACTACAACAATCAACGGCGTGAGATCAAACCGACCTTTCGCCGGGTTTCCACCGAACATCATGTCTGGGTTCCGAGCACCAGGCTCGGGCGAGCGAACCAAAACAGAGTCATCTGCATGAGTCTTGACATGTTTCTTCAAATCCTGGGGGCGCTTGAAGGCCTTCCCGCAGAAGTCACACTTGTGTGGCTTCAGGGGCACATGTACTCGAATGTGGGAGGTGATGTGATCGCGCTTCACCGTTGTCGTGCGGCAGCTTCCCCATTGGCAGGTCAGGTTGAGGTTGTTGGTGCTTTTGCGACCAACGTGACGCTCGCAGACATGTTCCTGCGGAAGAGAAGGTCAGCAATGTGATGCCAAGATGCGATGCGTCCACAGCGTCAACAAAAACACACGGTCGCGCGCGCCAGTGTTCAAGTGGCGACGAAGATGAAGGGCGAAAACACCATAACAGCAGCACCAAACGATAACACTTGATCATAACCGAAGGCAGAGATATAACTTACATAAAGGGATTCAGGGGTAGGGCACTTTTCAGTGCATCCGTTCCACAGGCAGGAGAGTTCTTCACTGGGGCGAGCAGCATTGCCGTTGACTTGGGGATTGGCGACGGCGGCGGTCGCAGCGGCGGCAGTGGCCGTCACCGACGACGTCGAGGCAGCCGACGAGACCTGGGCAGCAGGGGCTTGGGTAGCAGGCTGCTCCTGTGCGGTCGACGCGGCAGTGGGAGCCGTCGTGGTCGCGGCAGCCGTGGTGTCTTGATGTTCCGACATTGCCAAGAAAAATCTTTCTTGTCCCTTTCTTGGGCACGGCGGAAAAGGGTCAAGAACTCAAGACAAGAGAGAGATGACAAGGCTCTCCCTCAACGAACAGGATGAAACGGTCAATCAGAGGGCGTCGCTACGTATTTTTGTTTGCAGCCGACCCCAGGGGAATGATGGATGATGGAAAAGACGCGGTGAGTCCAGGGAAAGGACAACGAATACAAATAATCAGAATAAGATAACACACACGCGTGTTTAAAAAAAAATGCCTCAGTGTCAAGTCAGTCAGTTTGGAGAGGGAAACAAGACAATCAGAGACACTAAAATAGGGGGGAAGAGGGCAGATAAAAGGGAATACGAGTAGAGGAGAACCAAGGGGGGAAGAGAAGAGAGGAAAGTCTTGGAAGCAAGAGGGGGAGGCTTGGGTTCTTGTCCTTTGCGGGCGTCCGGAGCCGAGCCTTGCCCAGAAAAGGCCGCTTGCACAGCCGGGCGGAGGACAGGGACAAGACCGGGCCAAGATCTGTGCGGGGCTGGTGGCGTTGGGTCATTTTAGTCCTCTTAGGCTTTTAGGTACTTACTACGTACGTAATGTACTTTGCATTTCACCAGGAATTTGTAAACACAGGGGGAGTATATAGAGTGAAAATAAACAATAGTTTTTATAATTCTACTGATCATAATAATAATCATAATCATAATAATAATGTGAACTAGTCAGTCTAACCCCTCAAAGACCAGGGACTATTCCCATGCATCTGTAATATACCGAAGGGCTAAACCCGTCCGAGTAATCGCCCGAGTCTTACAGAAACCCTCGGACCCCGCGTAGATGCCTTCCCTGCCTTGGTACTTCCCAGAACACCCCCTGATCCATCCGTCGCCGTGTACCTCCACGAATTACTATTACTCCGGCTGTTCATCGGTTGGATATCCCTGGAAAGCATCATAATGATAACAGTTAAAATTATATAAAGAACCAAAAACAAACGACAAAAGAAAAGAAAAAGAAGGGAAAAAAAGAAAAAAAAAAAAAAAGAAGAAGAAAGAAAGAAAAAGAAAGGGGGGAAAACACGAGAACCGAGTCAGCCAATGTGATCGGCTCACGTGCCAAAATCAACCGGGGGTCGTCAAAGGCGAGACGAAAATGAAAAAGTTCCCCGAACCAAGCATCCTCCACCTCCAATCTTTCAGTTGTCGTCCTTCTGGAAGTCTAGGCGAACCCCCTTCGTCTCCCCGATCTCCTGCTCAGACATCGACCACGGGTGCTCGCTTGGCATCCCTCCTCTGACCTTCCCGCTCCGTCCAAAGGACAAGAAGTCTTGGAAGGTGGCCAAGAGGATGATTAATGCGACGAGTCTTGCATCTTGGCGCCCTCCGTTACTAATCTTGCTGCCTATCTGCTCCAACCCCGGATGAGGGCAACGAAGTAGAATAACGACGGGAATTAGGTTTCTCGTTCTCGTTCTGCAGATGATTCCTCGGATGGCGTCGTTGGCTGGCATCACTTAGCTAGGGACGTCCATCCCCGGATGGTCCCTCGTCCTCCTGGTTTAGCGTCGCTTTAGTGATCGGTCTAAGAGCAGTAGGGAATAGCCCGCGTTTCTGCTCTCTACCTTGTTTTCGGTGACATGGAGACCGTCCCACTTGGAGAGCTGCATCACGTTGGCTTCTAGGGTATGAGGGTTCCGTCTGCAAGGAGGCACCTCAGCCCCAGAATCTCTCCTACACCATGCGTCAGAATGGGCCGACAAGGCATTCTTCATGCAATGAACAAGCGCTAGAAGACAAAATCGCGCGGCCTGGTTGTTGGAATCTCGTCAGGTTTTCCTAATATGTTGCTGACATGCAGGTTTTCCCCGGTGGACAAAGAAGCAACGGGTCAGAGGCAGCGTCAAAAATAATAATGTAGAAACCATCGATTTGCCTTATGCAGCCCTACCCTCCTCTTTCTGGCCTGACGCATTCATTCTGTACACCGTGTAATCCTGAGGGGTTTTCTGACATCCGGTTTGGTAGAAGTATGGATATGGACCGGGGGCTGTCATGGATGCATCACACCTTGACAGGTCAAACCCGGCATGCTGTCATCGAGCACACGAAATCAATTCCAGCGATGGCCTTTTGTTGTAGGGTATACTCTGTACGACGCATGTTGGCAGTACATGGGCGTGATCTCTAGGCAGACAAGCCATGAATCAATCAGTATTCCTCTAAAGGGGTCTCGGGATTTGAATACATGCTTACGGAGCATATAAAAGTCTTCTCATGAGAGTGTCTTGACGTTTGGTCTAGGTAATGCTATCTGACCTCTAGCGTAGTTTATGGTAGATGGCTCTGGAGGTTTGCAAGCCTAACAAGCAAAGTGGGGACTAAATTTCCAGCATGGATTAGCACAGCCTGGTTACTGAGTCTCTATGATTTCCAAAGCATGGGATCATATAGCAGAATCAAGTGGCGACCTCAATCTTTTCTCGGAGCAGTAAAGTTATATATAAATTGAGACAGGTCACGCAGGCGTTGTGTAGATAAACTTGACCGAGGGTCAGTTGACGAAAAACCAAGATGAGTAGAAAGTGCCGACCCAAAGGCTAGAATTTTCCATGACACCGTACAATTCATTAATATCAAATGGCCTCTCCACAAGTAAATGGAAGGAGTCGAGGCCACCCATTCCTCCACCGAGTAAGTTAGTGAGTGTACGGCGGGCATGACATAAGCAGTCACGGCATTTTCTCTCTTTTTGTGTGTCCTCCACATCTTTCCCCATCCTTCTTCTCCTCGAATCCTCTCCTGTGCCTCATCCATATTGAACCACCAAGGTAGCCACCCAGCTCAGATCACAGACCAATTCGCTGCCAGTTGCACAACTGCCGGGACTTCCTACTCCGTCGCTCGTAGGCACCAAAGTTTCTTCGATTGGCCCAATGTGGGACTGAGTGGGACTTCTTTGTCTGACAAAACCCGTTGATTCGTTTCGGCTAGAGACATCCTCCTGAGAGACCCTCCCAGTTGAAGCTAGAATATCCTTTCTAAAAACTCGCTTCTCACATATATAATTGGGCTTTTGCTCACACGGGACTGGACACAACATGCACCGGTCTATTTGCGACGGTGTCAACTACTCCGGAGTGGCTCGCAACTGTCAACCTAACGACGCTTGATAATGGTTAGGGGCACTCAAGATTCGAGACTAAGACTCTAGCTGCCAACCTAACACGATGGTTATCCGTCTGTGGGCCTTGGCACTTCCCGACCAAGGTCTCGATTGGCCTAAAAGGCTAGAACACTCACCATGATGAGCCACACGCCGAACCCTTTCAACGGCCCGCAAGGCTGGTGCCCGTACAAATTTTCTGGCGCGCCTCTCAGCTCAAGCCACACTCTCGTACGCACACCCTCTCGCGATCATCGAGTCGTATGCCTTTAAAACCTTCTGTTCCATTGCCAACGAGCTCAATGGGTTCTGTCAGCCCTGTGCTGGGGAACTATCAACGGAGGCATTCGTCGTGATTGACAGAGGGGACAAATGTCCAGAAATCTTTTCTCCGGAGCGATCAAGCGGCTGCATCCTAAAGGTGAGCTAAATCCTATAACACAAGGCCCACTTCAGTTCAGTTCTAAGGCGCGACTCTGCACAGGTGTCTCCAGATCCAACCAAACCCGGCATGCCACTTCCCCAAAGCAGGCCTGGAGGCCTACACCGTTGCGGGCGCCCTTTCTCCTGTCTCTGACCGGACTCATGCTGGCGACGCTGGTGACGCTGGAGGTCTTGCGATGTCTTTCGAACAGAAATAAGGGCCTTGTACTCTACAATGACCTTACCGACATCGAGAACTCTATACTGGCTGGCTCGAAATACGTGCCAACTCTCGTTGCGCTGATCATTGTCACACTCTGGAGTTTCTGTGCCTACGACGTGATGCGACTGGAGCCTTATTTGCAGCTATCCAAACACAATGGCGCGCCAGCGAGTGTGCTCTTTCTCAATTATAATTTCTCATACGGCATCCTGGCTCCTATTACCGCGGCACGCCACAACCATTGGCTCGTTTTCTGCGTGTCAGTCATGTCCTTGGTCCTACGAATGTTCCTGCCGTCGCTATGTTCCGGTCTCACATTATTGAACGATTTGGATATGCATAACGCCCAGACGGTGAGATTATGGCCTGACTTAATTGATGGAGATTCCCAAGCAGCATGGATGCATGGTCAGTTGCCACATCGCGGCCATTCAGCCATGTCGGCCATGAACGCCCACCTGCCACCGCTTCGTTCTGCCGACTACGCGATGCCCCCATTTGTCATGCCTGGCGAGGATCAGAATGAGAATACCATGCTGTATTTGAATCAAACAGTCTATTGGGCCAACACAACCTGCGCCGATACAATACTTGATCAGCTTCCCCCCGGGAGCGTTTCTTTTGGAAACAGGACCGCGGATGGCCGTCGGACGGTATCGCTAAAAGCCCATGGATCTCCTGTATCCGGGGCAGGTACTACCACCAACGGTTGCGAAATCGACATCGCTCTTAATAGTACCATCCCGGATGATACCGACTCCTTCCAATTGCGCTATTGGGAGCCCCGCCAGGGAAATTCGACTTCCGGAGTTTTCAATGCCGGCCAATGTGATCAGTATGCTTTTTATTCTCTTGTAGCTGACTTGAATGTGAGAGGTGATGGGTCGATCTCGACGACTAAAGCTGCTGCGTTTGGCTGCAGAGTAACATACCAACAAGCGACGGCCAATGTTTCCATCACCGCCAATTCCTCAATCGATTCTGTCTCGATTTACCCCAACACCATTAATCGATTGGGACTGTCGGATTTCAGAGCAGATGAATTCCAGGGCCTGATGTATCTATTGTCTGATGGCGCCATGGCAGAGCATGGCCAGGCCGCAAACGCATCCAACCAACTAGTGCCACACAGAGCTACCTTCATTACCGATCCGGCGCAGTACCAGGGTGACGTTGCTAATCTCTGGAAGCAAACTTTTGTTTTCACCGTGAATCGAATGTTCGACCCGATGACAGGCTCGATTGAGGTGGATGCGCTGCAAGTGACACCGATGATCTCTGTCATGGTGATATCACATACGGCCCTTATCGCAGAATCCATACTTGGCTCAGCTATTATTCTACTGTTATATCTCGTTTGCGTTTATCCACGCCGACCGAGCTTTCTGCAAAGTGATCCCGGGTCTATTGCGGCACAATCCCGAATTATTGCCGACTTGTTTCACCCCGACACTGCCGAGGCTCTATCATGTGCCAATCTGCACAAGGCCACTACCCGACAGCTTCGCGGATGGGCGAGAAATCTGCATTGCCAATGGCGAGAAGGGCCACATGGGTGGCGGATAACCTTTGTTCCGACCGATGGACGTTCTTCGACCATCTCCGCTCGCGCAGCTCGTCGACAGCAAGATCCCGTTCCGCATTTCCTCATGATACCTTGCTTTGCAATTGAATGTCTATTGCTCATCGTGATGCTGGTCGTTTTCTCATTATCACTAAAGCGATTTGGGTTCCATGATGATAACCCCTCTTATTCCAATTGGGATATCATGTGCCTACTTTTACTCCTTTACGCTCCCAATGTGATCGCCTCCATGATAACCGCCCTGCTGGCGTCTAGCCTACGTCATTTGAGCACCTTAGAACCATGGGTACGGTTGGAACGAGGTATGGCCACTGCCAAGCAGACTCTGTTGATGGATTACTCCTCTCGAACTCCGCTGGCGGTGTTCGCAAAATGTACAAGAAACGGACCCCCTCTTTTGACCGTCGTGTCGCTGGCCTGTGTCATCGATTTAGTCCTCAGCCTCGTCAGCGGGAGTCTTTTCATACCGCAGACCAATCAATACGAGGATCCTACTTCCGCCCTATCGCAGCAGTACAGCCTTTCGAAATTTTCTACATCAGAATCTGCACCCGAATTCGACAGCTTTCATTTTGTCCCATTGAGCAAGACTATGCCCCTTCTTCCGTGGACCACTTCTGATTATTCATTTTATCCTCTGGCAATCAATGACACAGAGATGGGTCGTTCGTTTTATACCACTACCACGCGCGGAATTGGCGCAGATCTAACGTGTCGGGAACTTAATGCCAACCAGCTACGAGTGGAAGCCAAGACTGGCAAACAATACTGGCTTTACCAGCCCTTCGATCATGCTAGTAGTGAACACTGTACTGTGGAAGCTCCTTATCCAGCAGGGATCGATAACACAACCTTCGATGACAAGTCTATTCGTTACTTAACGCCACTTGAGTCTGGAAAGTGCCAAACGAACACCCTCGTCGTTGTTGCACGTTGGAGTATGATCAACAGCACTGCCGGGGATCCAGATTACACACTAGCATTGCACTGTGAGCCCCATATCAGCATTCAAGATTTCGAAATTGACTTCAATTTCGACGGACAAGTGCAAACGCGCAGACCGGTGCCTGGCAGCGCAATCACAAGCGGAAGCGTGATGGCCAATGCCACCAAGAGCCTCGCGCGATATAACCACGCACTGGCCCAGGTTGTCAAACGATCTGCCACCCATCGCCTGTCTTCTTTTTCTCCCTTTGACTGGCCTGGGATGTTGACTGCGCATGCCTACGAAGAAGTAGACCCTGAATTTTCATCATTCGACGCCGGCATCTTGATCAATGCGACACAGTCCGTTTACTCGACCATTTTTAGTACCTACTTCTCGCTCTGGCGAGAACTGTATCTTGAGCGGTTGGCTGAGTCTACGCTGCCCGCTTTGAACGGGACCCGAACCGACCTGTACTGGGAGATGACCCTGTCCATCCCAACCATGGTCATTGTCATCGTGATCGTCTCAATGGATGTGCTAGTCATGGCCGGGGTTTTCTTCACACGCCGCGGACGCTTCCGAGGACCTCGTATCCCTCGATCAATCGGGGCTCTTCTGCCGTGGGTCACGCATAGTCATATGATGCGGGATTTCAGACAAGCAGGTCGATTGGGTCTGTCTGAATGGGAAGGGTATCTCCAGGAAGACTTCAGAAGGTACCGATTCGGAGAGTCTGTATGTTCGGACGAGGTGACGCGATTGACGGTGGATTACGACCCTGAGTCAAAGAAAGAAGAGCATGAGATGCAGGCGAAGGAGCCTCGCGTGGAAAGCATGGCAGTGAGCGACCCTGAGCTGACAGATAGAGAAACTGAAAGCCCCAGCCAACCTCCAGGGTAATTTGTATTATCTATACTAGACATCTTGTACATAGATCCCATAAATCAACACTTGATGATAATGATCCGTATAGTTCCTGGTCATATGATATTCGCTGACTCATCCACCTCTTATCAATCGATCCGACGATCCGATCCGATCTATACTTTCTTCTTCCTACATCCTCCCTGGATTCATATCCATATCCATCTCCTTACTCCAATATCATCTTTACTATATATACCGCACCCCATGTCCCCGAAATGATCAAACTCTCCACCCTCCTCTCCTCCTTCTTCTACCTCCTCCCCCTCTACATCTTCGTCCTCGCGCCTCTCCTCCGCCAAATCTTCCCCTCCGACGCCGCATCCTCCTCCATCCTCGACTTCGACTCCACCGACCATGACCCGGACGTCACGCTCGACGAATCCGTCCTCAGCCTCGACGACGGCGTAGAAGTCACCTGTCCCCCAGAGGCCGATCAATATCAGATCCATCTACTCGCGCGCGATCCTTTGGTCATTTACATTGAGAATTTCGTCTCAGGAGCGGAAGCAGATGAGATTGTTGAGATGAGGTACGTCTATACACACATACACATACACCCCTCCCCTTTCAGTTGGTCCAATTCGTCCTTTACCCATGAGCGTATTCCCCCTTCCAATACCATGTCACCCCCCCCAAAATTCTATAATGAAGAACCAATCAACTAATTAACCACCCGAATTCCAAAAAGCAAATCAAACTACACCCCCTCCATCCTCTACAACGGCACCGCCTCAATCGTGGACCCCTCCCGTCGTCTCTCCGACCGATCCCTCCTCCCGCGCACCCCCACAATCCGATGTCTCGAGGCCCGCGCGCGCGCGTTCCAAGGCTGGCGTCCGAACCTATACATCGAGCGCATGTGGGCGCAACGGTATAACGCGTCGGGACACTATACGCATCATTATGACTGGGCTGGGAGCGTGGCGCGGGGCGGGGATCGCGCGAGTACGTTCATGGTGTATCTGGGGGATGAGTGTAGGGGAGGAGGGACGAATTTCCCGAGACTGCGGAAGCCGAGGGATCAGCGGTGGTGTCGGTTTATTGAATGCGAGACAGATGAGGAGACAAAGCCGGAGGAGAAGGAGGAGGGAGAGGGTGGGAATAATGGGGTGGTAGGGCAGGGGCAACAAGGGCAAGGAAGGAGAGAAGGGATCACGTTCAAACCTATCAAGGGGAATGCGATCTTCTGGGAGAATCTGAGGGCGGATGGCTCCGGATACCCGGAGACGTGGCATGCCGCGGAGCCGGTGACGGAGGGGACGAAGTTCGGGTTGAATATTTGGAGTTGGTATCAGGCGCCGAGAAGGAGGGTGTAGATACAAGACTTGGATTTGTCCGGTCTGGATGTATTATATATAGAGCTCTCGTTCATATATGCTTTGTAGACGTGTGTAGATGACAAAGACACGATTTCCTCGCCTAGAAGCCATGGAAGAACACTGAATGTATATATAGAAAAGCACCATATTCACATCTAAATAGTATATATATATAATGATAATAATATGAATAAAAAAAATGAAAACGCCTCATCACGTTGACCATACCCATACACCATTTCTTCATTACATATCGTAGCCAAAACCAGCAACCGAAGAACATCACATTGCAACGTAAGAAGAAAAGGATAAAGCAAATCCAAGCCAGAAACAAAAACACATTCAAAAAGGGTATACGCTTTTCCTCTGCTAACCACTCGGATTCCATTGTGTCCAATCGTCAATCGGCAGTCCGCCTCGAGTCGCGTCGCCGTTCCCGAAGATGTCATCTAGGGAGATCCCTAGATCGATGCCCATTCCTAGCGAGTTGGGGTCGTCGAGACCCATTCCGAGATCAGGCGCCTGGCCTGACGGCATAGCCGGCTGTGCGGACACGCCTTGTTGGAAGTCCTGGGGCTGGAAGTTGTAGCCCTGCCACATGTAATTGTTGTTGGGAAGCGACACCAGATCTGGGCTGTTGACGGCTTCGCCAGTGGCCCCTGGCGTTGATCCATGTGAGACGGGCGACTGTAGTCGTGACTGGCTGATATGGGACGGGTTGGCGAGCCGGGTGGGTAAGGTCGCGTGCATCGGCGTCGGGGTGCCGTTGGGGAAGAGGGGGAAATTGGCGAAGTTATCCAGATTCGGCGTCGACACTCCCATGGTTTCAGGACCAGATGAGATGGCAGACTGTTGCGACGCCGGGTTCACGCCGAATGGAGCACCACCGTCCTGTCGGAAATGACCATCTTCCAGCGTGGACATGGGTTGCGTGGGGTAGGCGAACGGGTCGTCGGACGGGAACATGATGCCCATAAGATCAGGCAGATTCGCCGCGTTGGTGTTAAAGGGGTGCGAGGCATACTGAGTGGCGGATGCGTCTCGCATCGGCAATGACATAGGCATCGGTGATGCCGTGTTGGATGAGGCGCCCACGGGCTCGCTCACCGGGTAAGTATCCGATGGGGTCGACACGGGTTCCGAGGCCCCTTCGGGCGTGGACGCGAACCAGGTCGAGGCATGATTAAGACGGGCATTCGAGGGCGAGCGTCGGTGGCCTGAACTGCTGTCGTCCAGACTCTTGGGCGTATTGCTGGCTTCTTTGGATCCCCGATTAAGCAATTGGATGGGGAAAGTGCTTGACCGTTGGGGCGGTTGCTTTTCGAACAGAGGCGAGGTGCTGTTGGTATTACTGTTGACTTCATTGTTGCTCGCCGGGGCGGGTCGCTTCAGGTTGACCGGGTTTGCTGTGGTCTGCCGATTCTTCAACAGTTCCGGCAAATTCTTGAACAGAGAATTCAGGCTCTGCGAGCATCGGTCCGCTGCCATACTCTTCTTCGCCAGCCCGGCAAGTGTGTTCTTGCCTTCCATCGCATCTTTGAGGACTCCATCCTTCGCCGTTGGCGAATCAGGGTTTTCAAGCACGAAGAAAAGCAACGAGAGGATGGCGAAATAGGTGGTGTACATGGTGAACCAGAAGGATCCGTTGAGCAGTCCTCTTTTATGCATGCCGGTAGTGATGTGAACGATGTTCCGAGAGACACTCACGCAAGCGGCGGCACAGGCATATGAGCGTCGGTCCACGCCGCGCGCCTGCGAGCCGCTCGAGACGTAATGCAAGAAGGGTCGATACATGACGACTTGTACGTGTGCATAGCTAATTCGCAACAGTTGTCGTACACTAATTAAGATGTCAGCCTGTGTTCTGCTGGGTGAGAGGTGAAAGAGAAGCCATCAAAGCACATACCGCTCTAGTTGAGGGGAGACCTCCGTCCCCGGTCGAAGAGCTGCGGGCAGTTCTTCCATCCACGCCTGGAGATCGCGTTCGATCTCACGAATTTTCGAGTGGCTCACGACGTAGCGCTGATCAGACTCGGAACGGTGCTGGGCATTCTTGACTGGGTATATATATTTCACCACTTTCAGGATGATGTTGGACAGGCGCGTATGCGCATTAGCCCCGGCCATAAGAGGCGTATAGTCCTTAGGCGCGGGCAGAACGCCGTCCTGGGTGATGAAGTCTCCATCGATAGAGGCAGGATATTCCTGGTCGATGTCGTCGTCGCTCAACATCTGAGGCAGCCCCAGCATCGTGCTCACGTAGACATCCATCTTCCGGACGACCCAGAAAATGCGCTTGCGCAGCTCTCGCTCTAGGGGGTTAAAATGGGCCGTCACTGCGGAGCGATGAAGTCCCAATCGCAAAGCGGAGCGAAGCGCAATACCGACATAAGAATAGCATGTACTCAATTTGGCAGAAGACTGGAGGAAGAGCACCATGAAGCAGATCGCCTGTAGGGAGGTGAGGTCGCGACAGTCGGTGATTTCCAAGAGCTGGCGACCAGCTTTGAAGAATTGAAATCTAGACTCCCGAGTTAGTAAATGGGATCTAGAAAGAAACTACCACAATAACATACCCTTGGCCAATCGCACTCTCATAGCCGGAAAGATCCAGGGGACCAGTCCTATCATCCGAAAACAAACAACCGACGGACATCACGATATATAGAAGCGGCAAGAACGAATTCTCTTCGTTGGAATACTGTTCGGGAGGGGTGTCGTAAACCCGCTCGAAGGTCGCAAAGAACGAAGGCTCGTGGACAAATCGCATCAAGGAACATCCGTCTTCCAATGCATTGTAACACAGACGCCGTGCGACATCGCGTGGCGGTAGATCATGCGTGGGAGGCAACGTTGCGTCCTGCGGCGATTCCGACGCAGATTTGGGACTGTCTAGCATCTGCTGCGTGATCGAGCGCGACCGGAGCGTAGGCGCCGAGATGTCCGCAGCACCCAACTGCTTCCGCAATCGACGGATGAAAATGACACCGGAAGTGTGTCCGTGGTAATCCCAATGACCTTGGTCATCCAAGTCCAAGAACCCCGAATTATCGACCATTGACTCCAGCAAAGACTCCTCACATCCTCCATGCTCCGGCGCCGCATCCGCCGGGCCGGCCGCGGCTACAGTCGGTCTAGAGTTAACGTGGGCCGGAGGGAGAGTTTGGGGTTGAGAGGGTGGAAATTGGGGTGCGGGTTCCTGCGGCTGCTGCGGCTGCTGCGGAAGTTTCTCTCGCTTGACCGTCGCCAGCATTTGTTGCGTCGCGTGTACATCGAATCGAGGGTCATCGAGATTAATATCGGGGAGTACGACGCGAAGGAGAGCTTCGGCCTTGTGGAGGCGGTTCTCGAGCGCCTCGACATATTGAGGGGCGGGGTTGCGGCGACGATTGGAGGGTTGGTCGTAAGTGCATTCTGTACACAGAGATTGAATGAGTGATTGGGAACAAAAGCATACGACTATGGTAGAATGGTATATAAGACAGGAGCGAAATCTTCTTACCATAGCTGTAGACCGTGCAATGGGTGCACGGTTGTTTGCCATCGCACTTGATCTTTTTTCGACGACATTCATCACAAGCCCGAGTCACTCGTCGCCTCTTCTGCATCGGCAGAGGCTCCTTGGCCTGCTTTGGGTCGATATCATCTGCATCGGGGTCACCGGAGATCTCGGGCACATTGGCCGAGGGGTCGGAGTCATCCTGGGTATAGAAAAATGCGTCGGAGGCGGTCGCGGGGTCGTCCTCGGTCGCATTCTCAGCCGTCGCGGCGTGAAAAGGGCTGGCGGAAGTGGTCATGGCGCAATCACACACAACGATTGAGCAGAAGGGAATTGGGCGGTCGGCGCACGGCGCGGCGTCATGCAAGGGGGTCGAACGAGGGCGCAAGAATGTATCCGAGCGGGGGCAGAAAATGAAAAAGTAGTGACGAGACTACAGCGATCAGCAAGGAGATCAGAGCCCGCGTGGCGATCCGACAGTTATCGCACCTCCACGAGGGTGGAATTGTCGCTTCTCACAGGTTCATCGAAGGCGCACCGCGACCTGTTCGGAGTGGGAGGTGAGAGGGAGCAATGATGACGAAGGTCGGAGATGAGGTTTTTTTTGCCCAACGAAACTTGTCGGTGGGATCCAATCAGTGACGAAAAGATGAGAAAGCAAGGAGGAAAACTTGGTTCGCTCTAAAGTCCGAGGTAATGGGCCGAGATTAATAATAACTAATCAGCGACAAATGAGTCAATCGTGGAAAAATCCACGCCGAATTTATGGACAGCGAGATAGAAAGCGAGATAGAAAGCGAGAGAGAAAAAGAGAAGAAGAGAGTTTGAGGGAGGTAGGGAAGGAAGAGATCGAGCAAGGGATCGCCTGGTCGAAATGATCCTCGTTCTTGGCTTTTGGTCCCTGTTATTCTCCTGGTCTTAGCCTTAGTCTGACTGACAGTTTATCGGTGTTCGGTCTCAGTCGCCGAGTGGAGGGCGAGAGGAACAGGAAGTGGGGAATAATTGGAAGGGGATGAAGAATGAAAGAAGAGCGAGAAAGGAGTAGAGACCGGGAGAGAGTAAGAATTAGAAAAGCATCAGTCATCCGCGACAAGTCCGACCGAGAGACGAGGGATCAAGATGCAGGTCAGATGAAAGATGAAAAAGGAATCCGATCCGCCGGAGGGGAATTGACTAGAAGACGTCTGGAAGGATGTCCGTGGATGACAGGGCTGATGCTCTGCATGAGTAAGCCTGCGATAATCTAGTCAACTAGTCAGTTATACGAAGTCTCGAGAACGTTTCAAGGACCCAATTCCGCACTGGTTCTTGGCCCTGGGGTTAGACTTAGATGTCCATTATTCATGCCTTGCCAATCGCTTCTCAATTCTTCTCCGTTCCTTCGATTCATCTCACGGAGTCTTTTTTGCCCCCGGTCTTGTTGGATAGATAAACGGTCAGGAACCCCCGTACATTCAATTCATTTCGTCATGCATCATTGAATAATTCAATTGTTTTCCCTTCCTTTCATTCTCATCCATCATGGCGTTCATGCTGGTCACCTTGTGTTGTGTCTTTGCAACCCTGGGGTCGTTCCTGTTCGGTTATGACTCTGGCGTCATTTCGTCGACTCTGGAGCAGACGGCCTTTCTAGATCGCTTCAATCATCCGTCCGATGCTGCTACAGGAGGCATCGTCGCCTCCTACAATGGTAAGTGCATTGAACTCTCTTTGCCGATTCTTCAGCCGACCCTCTTCGTCTAACGAATCTGGTTCCCGTGAAGGAGGTGCAATTCTGGGCTCCTTCTTTGCTTCCTATCTCTCCGATCCTTATGGACGCCGTCCTGTCATGTTCGTCGGTGGAATCCTGGCTTCTCTGGGAGCGGCATTGCAGGCCGGTGCTGCTACCGTCGCCATGCTGATTGCTGGCCGTTTGATCGCCGGGATGGCGATCGGCCTGATGTCCTCGATCATCCCGGTCTATTGCGTACGTCGATTCGCCACTCATCCACATTGTGCTCTCTGGAGTTGAGACTAACCTCCATGACTAGAGTGAGGTATCTCCACCTCGTATCCGTGGGTTTTTGGGTTCGATGCAGCAATGGATGATTGGGCTGGGAGTGGTGGTCGCGCAGTGGACGGGATATGGATGCTCCCTCCATCACACCGGCGACTTTACCTGGCGCTTTCCACTGGCGCTCCAGGCCGTGCCGGCTGTCATCCTTGTCGCAGGCGTCTGGTTCCTCCCCGAATCCCCCCGCTGGCTGATTGAAAAGGGTCGGACTGAAAAAGGGCGCGATGTTCTCGCCCGTCTGCACCTCAATCGCGATCAATCCAACGCCGATCTGGTCGAGTTGGAGTTCGCCGAGATCAGCGAGAGCATCGCCGAAGAACAACGCCGGAGCGTTCGCTCGTGGCGGCAGCTGCTGTGCACCCGGGCCACATGGCGTCGCCGCGTGCTACTTGCCTGTGGACTGCAGGCTTTCACGCAGTGCTCGGGGACCAACGTGATCCAGAATTATAATCCCGGTCTGTACAAGACTCTGGGCTTGAAGAATCCTACGCCACTCATGATCCAGGGCATCTGGGGCGCACTGGCACAGTTTTGGAACTGCGTATTCATGCTCTTCATTGACCGTGTGCCACGTCGCAAATTGTTGATTCCATCTCTGCTGGGAATGGGCGTCACGATGTGCGTCGAGGCAGCACTGGCCCAGGCTAACAACGGCTTCGCCGACCCTTCGGCAAACCCGAATGCCGTGCGTGCCGCCATCGCCATGTTCTTCGTTTTCTCTTTTTTCTTCACCAGCATCGGTCTCATTTCTTGGATCTACCAGTCCGAGATCTTCCCGACAGCCATCCGCGCTCGAGGCTCCTCGCTAGCCACGGCCACGAACTGGAGTCTAAATCTGGTCTTCGCCCAGTGTTCCCCGATTGCGAGGACCAATATAGGCTTCAACTATTTCTACTGCTTTTTTGCTTTCAACTGGGCCGCTGCTATCATCGTGTGGCTATTCTACCCCGAAACAGCGGGCAAGTCTCTGGAGGAAGTCGAGCAGGTCTTCACTTCTGACTCGCAAGACTCCGAGCTCAATTTTGCGCCGCTGAACCTGGGGGGTGACAGGTCTTTGAAAGAAGACCATCGGTCGGAGGATCTTATGGTGGTAAGACCCAAGAGTTAGGCGATTCTGATTTGCACTTGTATGACATGTTAGAATTCAGTATAGAGATTTCAGATAACCCCAAAATTTGCCAACATGTATTTTTACTGAAAGTGTCAAGAAATGACTAAAACCAAAATGATAGAGATAAAGTAAATGCAAATTCCAACCCCGCCAGTCCATGCAACATGCAACACGCTATAGCTATTCTATCACTTCCAATCGACGCCGTGTCCTAGACCAATTTGTATACAATGGGTATTGGAGAGTCCTCTTCCCAAAATGGAATCCAAGCTGAGATAGAGCAGATTAAAAAGAAGAAGAAAAGAAAAAAGAAGAAAGAGAGAGAAAGAGGCAGAGAGAGGTAGGGAGAGGGAGAGGAGTGAAGGAAGACGAAGAGAAACGACGGTTGTAGCCCCCCTGATAGCATTATTGAAGCGATCATGCTGTAAGCGCTGGCATGATGTAGCTCGTGAGCGGTGCACTGAGAATTTCCTTGCGGAGCGCCCCCTCCCATAAAGCTACCCATCCGACCATAGGTTGTAGGGTCAGACACGAGAAAAGAAAATCATGAATGCTCAGCCAAGAGTCTAAGCTGAGTCGCTTCGCAACTTTGAGCATCCGACCCGCGAACCAAGGTCGGCCGAACGCAGTCTGAGCGGTCGCCGAATATTGCGTGAAGTCAGGGAAGCCTTCAACGCCCAGAGATGTAGCAAGGAATAGAGGGTCCCCCATAGTAACACTCCCATCGTTACACTCGAGCATTATTTGGAGTAGCGCCTCGACCGAACCACTGACATCGACCTCGCTATCCAGTACAGCTAGCTCCAATGTCTGCAGAAAAGTCTCGCTGTGTTGTATGGAGTATCGATAGTCCCAGAGGCCTGCATTCAACAAGATGAGAACGACCAAGCGTGCAACAAATTGCTTACGGTTCCCCGACGCCGTGAATCGTACTCCGGGCGGCGCAGCGATGATTTGGAAGAGGGGGGAATTTTGTTGGAACGCGGCGCGTCGCATCGACGGCACGGGTCCACTATAGACTCCTTGATGTTGAAAAGCGAGCTGTTCGCATCGTTTGAGGAAATGGACGAACTCATCACACTGATACTGAAGCTCATCCGCGGGCGAAAAATACTGCTGAGGGAGAGCTGCTCCAGCGAAACCAAGCCCGGGCATACGTGTTGTGCTTTCAGTGGATATTGAGGTTATCGAATGAGAAGGGGACGGTGATGGAAAAAATGAAGATGGGCCCGAGTCTGGTGATTGACCGTGTTCGGGCAGTCTTCGTGAAAGAGGGCTATGCTCGAAGAAAAAGCTCGGTCCGTTGGTTTCATAGCCCGATAGGATATAGTCTTGCCAGTTGATCAACATGCCCAACCGCGTCCCCTCAAAGGCAGCTGGCCCCCCTCGCGCACGGATCATTTCTCTTGCGGCTCGCATGTGTACCCAGCTTACTGGTTTGCGCCCCGGTCGAGGATCGAAGTCCTCAAGCCCTGCGGCGCTGAGACAGGCTATGATGGCCTGGTCAGAGATATCCCCGGGATGCTTTGCCATGTGATCTCGAAGCATGGAAATCGATCGATTGCGATGGGCTAAGGTATAATCGGTCTCCTCTTCATTGCGAACCCACGCCCATGTGTTGGCTGCGTGGACAAGGATAGTATTTTGAAATGCCACCGGTCCCTTCATGCCCTCCGGAACAAAAACGGCCGTGTACCAATTGTGAGCCTTGTGTGATCGGAAATGCGAGCCATAGGAGCAGGCTGGCATCTCATTCACGTAGAAGTCGAACAATCTCTGGCCTTCAAGACCCAAGTCCATGGGAAGAGAATTGAAAGGATCCGTTCGAGCGGCGCTGAGGATGGTCTTTGGGGAAATACCGAGGTTGAAGGGAGACGCCGGGGCTGAGGAAGGAGGCGTTCCACTGCTAAGCTCTGATATACTGCTCTGATCATTAAAAGCGTGTTGCTCCAGGAATTCAGGGGGAACCGCCAGTCTAGGAGCTGAAGGAGTCGCTCCCCTGTATGGCAGCTTTAAAGCATGAACTGCCGGCTTCGTGACATAATGCCGTTCGATCTCCTCCACAGTCTTATCATCATCATCATCCGATGCCTGGATCTGCAGAGCTGAACTTCTTTCGCTATGCGCAGGCTGGAGCTTAGACTCGCTTCGCTTTTTGCTCTTGGTTTTCCCTTTCTTCGCTTTCTCACTGGTATTTTTGGCTGAAAATTGGGCCTTCCTCGATCGGCGGCGTGTTTGCTGCCGGGAGTCTTGATCGGGTTTCGTGGGTTCTTGATCATCTTGTTCGATGTCATCGACATGGCGCTTCTGCCGCATATACTCTTGCATCACATGTCGTTTGACTTGCGTCAGATTGCTCCGACTGTTGTTAGATGCATCGATGAATTGCCACCGCATTTGCGATGACTCCGGAGCGGTCTGATTCGAATCTTTGGCGTCGCTCTCAGTCGACATGCTCTGCCACTGATTTGGGGTAATGGAGGCTGGGGGGTAGAGTTGATCCACGTTCTGCGCTTAAGTCAATCGCGCTCGCAGTACCTTCTTGAAGAAAAATTCAACAATGATCAGAGGTGCCAAGATAATTCATGGACATAAAAGAAATCGAAGACCGGTTTGCTTAAAGTTGCAAACGACTTTGAAAAGAAGATAGGAACGGAGTTCGGAGTCAATTCAACCGCAGCCAGATGGAGGGCTTGGGAACGTGCAGAGCATAAATCCAGATGATCGGACCAGCAATACAAGTCTCCACCCTTGGAGAACCGACAGATAAGGGATGCTGGGTAGAAGAAGGACTCAATAATGGATTATATTATGCCCAAGAAAGCAATCGGGTAGCTTGCGCTTAACGGACTCGGAGCGGGCGATATGGGCGCGCAGATGTGGCCAGCAGACAGCGGAGAGTCTCCAAATTGGTTAGGCGTTTCACCCAGAGAGACTAGCAGTTCAGTTAGCCTAATAATAGCCTCGATCTAGGAGTAGACCGGTAGATGATGATGGCTTTGTGGACGGATATCCAAATGACTGGTACCCAGAATCCGCACGGGTTCCGAGAAGATGGCTTTGGCAGCCGAGATGGGCATGAGTAGCCAAGTACTATACTAAGGGACACTAAGATCACTAGGGTCTAGCAGTTGGATTAGCAGTTCGTAGTCGACTCCGTAGTCTGTGCCCACTGCCACCCTGTGGGAGGGGATTGATCTGCGTTTCACCTTTCAATCCTGCGGTTAAGGGCGAGAAATTTGGAGAAGTCTGACTCTGACTTCACAGGGCCGGAGGATGCGATGTACCCAGGGGACGAAAATCATCAAATCAAGATGGGAAGTGAGACCCGGGAAATTCAGCCCGAGTCAAATGGTACTTCTCACCCCACCGGCTGAATCACCACGGGGAAAGAAAAACCTTGGAAGTGGGTACAAAATCGGAAGTCCGCCGTCGGATTGCAATTAAGGTCCGGGAATCTTCGAGTGGTAGCTGGTTGGCCCCGACTGGAACATCCCCACCTGATCGATAACCCCAATTTATGGTCCCTTCCATTTCTGTAGCGTTTAGGGAAAGAAATTTGCCTTCTCGCTATCTGGTTTGCAATCGGGGTGGGGGGCTAAGCAGGTAAGGATGACCACCACCAGAAGAAACCGAGTCTTACTAAGAGGGTTTCGTTATACACTGATGAGACGAGGCAAGTCCGCCATAATATGGGCGTGAAAGGTCATGGACTGGGACGAATTGTCGGCGAGAAGCTGAAAATGCGGTACGGGCTTGCCGAATTAGCCAGCGCCTCTAAGCTCTTAGTCGTCTCTTAGCAGTTAGCACCGAGAGACTTTTGGAGGATAGTTACTGGTAATATTGGTTTCAGTGGGGATTTGTCAGTCTTGGACTCTTGGCTCTTGATGTCGAATTGTCGGCTCGATTGGTGGCTTTGGGGCCTTGGGCCCATCCACCCCGAGGCTGGGTTTGATTAAACCGTTACAAAGCCAATCAAACCCCGGCCATGCGCATTCCTGTTCCGTAGTCCGTATGCGGGTGCAGCCGGTACAGGGAAGTTGTGATTTGTAGTTGTGAGGTTCAATAAAAGTATCTTCCACGACTAGGGCGTAGATCACCAACACAGGTCGGTCTTTCCCCGGCCATCTTATTTGCTTGCCCCTTATCAGATCCTGTCCAGTGGAGGATAAAATGCGAAGAAAGACGGTCCAAATTCTGACTTGTTAGTCGCAGGCTCGAACTACCTGCTAGGGGCGAAGGCTTGTGCTCACTGGACAAGTGCACAGTCCACTTGCTGACAAGTGGCGACTTTATCGTGATGATGTATGGTGCATAATCACAATGAGACCATACCATGATCCGAGTCAAATGTCTCGGAGGGTCGGAGTAGGCGACGGGGAGAGGATCAACGGTCGACAGGGACGGGAAGTGGAAAGTAGAAACGCTCAATCCCCGCAAAGGGTCGCGGTGGAGGCCTGCAACATCAGGCACCAAACCCGTTTCTGCAAAAGCTCGAGAACTTTAATCTCCATGACAATCTCCCACGAGTATCAATAATCATAAATGAGTACACTACGGTGTTCTCTGTATGGCTACGGAGTAGTGTAATTAGCCTTCCAGGGCCCTTGCAGGATCAGAAGCTTTACGCCGTTTGTTCCGTGAGCACTTTGACAGGGGATTGCCGATTAAGGCTTGAGATCCGCCATATTACTATTATTGTTGTTTCATGTTTGCTTGACATCACCGTACGGTGTACATACTACATAGTGACCATACCCCCACAATGCATATTGCATAATGCCGGGGCTGAACAACTGTGTAGCCTGGATGGAAATATTCCGCACTCTTCTCACTCCGACATCCCCTGGACTAAGTTTCAGCAAGAAGGGTCACTCTAGTCATCCTGCCGACTTGTCCGAGCTCTTGTCACCGGGACCGCTCCTCCAGGATCCATATAGAATCACGGCACGGAGTAGTATATTATACCTAGTATACTCCGTGCCACCGTTGATGAATCGCCCCATGCGCCATGTGGCCGCCCAAAAATAAACATTTTTGCCACACAATCCCCCCAAATTCTAAAACCCCCTATCCAGTATTCACATTCAGTTGTGGGTTCTCGAGCGGCTGAGATTCAGTGGGGGCCATCTTGATTAAACAATATTCCGTAGGGATCTGGTGGTTGAAGCGATGGCGTCTTTGGTCTTGCATATGTCAATTCGGATAATCAATTACTAGTAATAATGATAGATTGCATGGTTGTATACTTCAGGGGATATGGGGCCCAAAGTTGGTTTCGGTCGTCTATCGCAGGCTTCGCAGCAAGGAGAGACGGGGAGGATATTCGACATTTATGGAAAGGCTATTGTCGCAAAATGAGATTCACGAAGGTCGCGAAAACTGATTGGATTCCTCCAAAGCAGATAAAGCTAGAAATGCATCACATTAGATAATAGCATAGGGGGAGCGACACATTCATGCAATACTCTCCCTCCGGTGTTGTTCTCGTAGAATGTTGAGTGTTGACTGTTTGCGAAAGCAGAAGACAGACAAGACCGCGATCGGAGTTAAGTCGACACCGCCTTCGACTAAATCCGCGGCAGAACCGCCAAATCCTGAAATGAATCTCCGCGACCGACCGCGAGTTGCATCCTGTCAGGCGCGTCGTCTTCAAGTTCCAGGGCGTTCGGATCGTTGGGAATTGTATTTCGAATGGTTTTTTGTGCTTTTATTCATAATATCCGCAACTTTGATCTCCAGAACACCGCGTCCTTGCCATTTCGCAACGGGGCCTTACATCTGATCTCGCAAATCACCTCCGAACAACTTTTGCCGTCGCAGAGGGCGCCCAGACGATACCCAAACAACGTATCTGTCAATTTCGCTCGATCGCCCCCTCCTGATTCCTGTGAGGGTCTTCATACCGTGGGCAACTAGGCTTTGGAGTGCGCGCTGTTGCCGCTGGAAGCACTCATCGCCTCTCCTGGTCATCCCATGATGTCTCCGTCACATCCAAAGCGACCGACGTTTACCACCTAATAATCTCCGCCTTTGCAGACTTTTCATTCAATATCGACTGACCCGTCTCGAAGACTAGTCTGGGGCATATTTTTGCGTCCACCTGTTCACAATCCAGGTGTTCAGACTCCGGCGCCGCAGAAATCCTCAGAAGTGAAAGTCGCACTGCGATGGCTGGCGATACGAATGGTCCCGCTGATCCCAGCCAGGGGAACAAAGGCGCCGATTCAACAACCTTGAACCCCTACGAGAGCCTCCCCGAAAACATCCCCAAAGATGACCCTTTTATGAAGCAAAGTCCCCACTACGGCCGTTATCACCCACGTGACGATGATTTTACCCCCCGCTACGACCATTGGTATCAGTCGGATCCGAGCGCATTTTCTTACTGGGAGAATTTCGTCAGATCTTCCTGGCTCTCGGAAAACTCATTGAATATGCCTGGGTCGCGTGAGGTCTTTGCGGTCGGCAGTGTGGTCATCAGAGTGGACACCGAGCCCGCCCTTGACGCAGCGGCCGAAAAATACTCTTATGTCAACGCAAACGAGTTAAGTGCGGCGAGAAAGGCGGAAGATGCGCTAAGGGAGATCAATGTTGCCGTACCAGTCATATATTTCTACGGTACCATTGACGGCAAGAACGTGTCCGTGGAATCCCGAATACCGGGTGTTTCGCTGGAGGTTGCGTGGAGACATCTGAGCGACGAGCAAATTAACATGTTCAAACAGCAATGTCGCCGCATTCTGGAACGCCTACGAGACATTGGTTCCCCGCCTGAGAGCCCTTCTTACGTCTGCAGCGGGCTGAACTCGCAACTACCGCCCGAGATTCGGGATACAGAGAAAGAAATATTGTTCAAGGACAAAGGCGAAGGCGAGAGTTTGGACCTGGTGCATAACAACATGACGCTTTCAAATGTTATTGTGAGCGACGATCAGGTCGTGGGGATCCTCGGCTGGCGACACTGCGGTTTCTTTGGCTTCGGAAGGGCGAACAAAATCCATCGACAATTCAGGGTCTCGGAAAGTCTCGGTGGGGGAGTTGGCCGCTTATCTGGGAACGTACAAACCTGGCTCAGCCTTTACGAAAATATGCCCGGGGCTGGCGAAGGTTCTAGAGCCGCGGGGAATCGAAACACACCCGGACCTCCGGTCAAAACGGAACCTTCAGCAATGGTCCTTGACAAGGTCCCTTTGGATGAAGATGTCGAGGAGCGGTCGACTCTCGGCCAGCTTGACGGCACGGACTTGCCCGGGGAGCATCCGACCCCTAAAAAGATCGCCAATCTCAAACAAGGGGGAACGTCCAGAGCGTCTTCGTCATCCGAGCGATCATCGCCGGCAAATTCTACCAAACAAGCGACCGGTAGAAAGTCGGCCACTGGCGCCACCAAGAAGGGGGTTGGAAGGAAGCCGCCAGCCAAGAAACGTAAACTCAATGACATAGACAACGAGAGTGTCGATGGCGGCCGGTCCAACACGCCTTCGTCAGCTCGTGGTAGCAAAACCCCGGCTGCAAAGAAACGTGGCTCTGCCTCCGTCGCTGGATCTCCAGCCCCCGAGACCAAAAAGAAGGGCAGGAAGAAGCCAGCAGTGCAACAGGAAGAGGAAGACGATGATTCGGTGGATGAGAACGAGCTGTTCTGCATTTGCCGCAAACCTGATAACCATACCTGGATGATTGCCTGTGACGGCGAGTGTGATGATTGGTTTCATGGAAAGTGCGTGAACATTGACCCGAGAGATGCCGACTTGATTGAAAAGTATATATGTAAGCTTTCATCGGACTTCCATCCCGGCTTCCCCAACTGATTATAGATTAGGTCCCAATTGCAAGGAGAAGGGTCTAGGATGGACCACGTGGAAGCCAATGTGCCGATTGCCCAACTGTCGAAAACCTGCCCGCATATACACGAACAATCCCAGCAAATACTGCACCGATGAACATGGCCGTGAATTCATGCTTACAAGAACAAAACCACTCGGTGTGTCATTGAGTAAAGGGCCACAAAAGTCCCTCACGAATGGACGGAACACAACCAATGGATCAAGTCGCTTGCGAGATAGCCAGGACGCCGAGCCCCAGACCAATGGAGTCCCTGTCGGAAACGGAACCACGACCATCCATGGCCAGAGAAATGGGATTCCAGAAGAACTTGGCAGCAGAGGCGGCATCCTTACCGCTGGCGAACTTAAGGCACTTGTAACGGGTGTTTCCTCCGCGAGCGAATTCCGCAAACTCGGCGAACGCATCATAACCCCTCCACCGGAAGAAGAGGAAGAGAAGGAAGGGAAGGAAGGGAAGGAAGGAAACCCGGAGGGCGAGACGAAGCCCAAGAAGAAGCTCGGATTGGATGTGGACCCAGATCCCAAGCGCCTTACTTATTCTCCCGATGAGGCCGCGAAAATCGAGGAGTTGCGCAAGTGGCGTGACGAGCTGCACCATCGCAAGGACATGCTCAATGCTCGTAACACATTCCTGACACTTGTCCGCCAACGATCCAAGAGCATCATCGAAAAACTGAAGCAGACAGACCCTAAGGGTGGATGGAAGGACATATGCGGGTTTGATACTCGCCTCGCGTGGTCGGACGAGGAGTTTGACGAATGGAGACTTTCCGAACCCGGGGCGAAAGCGCTTCAAGACGGCACGCCTGAATTGTTGGCATCAAGCCATCCTGATGCCACCGATGCCGACGGTGATGCGAAAATGGACACCGATGAAACCGACATGGCCAACACTACGCGAGGAGTCTGTTTGAAAAAGCGCTGCGAACGGCATAAGCAATGGGTCAAGATCCAGCAGCAGGAACTTCTTTTCGAGGAAAATACTCTGACCCAGGATCTCGCCAGATGCGAAAAAGAGGCTCAAAACGTTGTGGAAAGAGCAGTTCTGAGGATGTGGGCCGAGACAGATAATGCCCAAATTGGTGGTCAATGACGCCAATCTCGGTTTTTGCCTCGTTCCCACATGTACATTGAGGTGAACGCACAATATCTCTAATTATCTTTTTTTTGTTTCTTTCTCCGGAGGATGGCGGAAGTGACCTGTTTGATTGATACCCTATTCTGCATGGAAATGGCAAAAAGAAGGAAAGCCAGGAAAAAAAACAAAAGTCACCAGGTATCTTTCACTGGAGTTGGTATGATTGGAATTTTTGGACTGTGATATTAACACCCATTATTGCATAAGGTTGGCGCATTTTCAGATGGCTTTTCTTTTTCTGTAAGACAACCGGTTGAGCTCTGATAGATGGCTTGTACAATATCGAATGTGAAATTTTGTTCTGCAAACACCCCGAGTGGATGCTCTGCATGGTTGTAAGGATCTGATAGGAAACATTGTTATTTCGCCCGTTTGTCCCAGATACACCACTTCCCAACACTCTCCCCAACTCGATCCTTGATGACTTCGACCACAGTAGCGGTCGTGGTCATCGATAGCAAAAGGTGCGTATCGATGCCTTGATCCAGCGTCCGCATTAGCAAACTGGGTAGCAGTGGGCTCTCGGACGTATGAAAGATAGAGTGAATGCCATCGTCTTGGTGGTCTCTTCGTGATTTACTTTGTTGTGTATGGTTAGGAGCGTTGGCGGAGGTACCAAAAGACCCAAGTCCGTTGGTATTGACCAGCATCACGGACAGGACTGAGCTGTGCACCCGCGACAAGTGAGTCAAAGAGCGTAACGCGGTTGTCAGAATCGCCGCACCCCGGAGAGTATTCGAAGCACGAACTGCGGCCTCGGCCAGCGTGTCCAGGCCAGCGACGATAAGTAGAACGGAGGCATCGTTGGGTTCTGAAAGCTGTTCGGAATTTTGCGTTCGAGCCCGCTCTTCTCGAGATCTATCGAGGAGGTTCGAAACCTCCGAAATTGCCTGCACGGCAGCAGCAACGTCATATACAGGGAAGAGCTGGACAGAATCCAAGCAGGTGATTGCATCCTCGCGAGTAAATTGAGGTTTCAGTGACGGTGACAGGAGTGATGAGAAAAGATTTCTCGGAGAGAAGCCTTCAAAGGTAGCTGGATGGATTATCATTGCCCGCGGGAACGGAGTGGGTGATTTGGGTTGTTTGTGCAAGTAAGCAGAGAGAAGGTGGCGAGGAAACTGTGAGTACATTATTAGCATCTATCCTCGAACTGGATAAGAGTTGAATCCTACCTGTCCCGTGAATTCATCGACGTTGCCATTCCTCTGTTGACTACGCAAACTTGAGATCCCGATGAAGATGCCCTTTCGAAATATACCACTGGGCGGGTCTTGGAAGCATGAGCTAATATCATCCTGAAGACTCCATGTGCCTGACTGATTTTCCAAGTTTCGGAGCTCAATATCAGTTTTGGGGTCAGTCTCGATTCTCGATTCCGGCAGTGTTAGAAGAGACTGAGCGAGTATGGGTAAAGCGGGTTCTGCAGCATATGCCATGTTATGAAATTGTATGCGCATAAAATATGATGGTTATTCTCCCTCCATGGTAATGAGAGACCTCTGCAGTAGAATTGTTTTAAGAGAATAGTGAATGGGTCCTCCTAGGAGGGAAGATGATAGTAGTCTGATCTACGAAGAATGGATCGTACCGCCCGCTCCACGTGCCGCTGCCTAGGCCGTAAGGCACACACGGAGATATTATATGTAGTCCCACTCGGCATCCGCCCACCTAACTAATGCCCATCACTTTGCCCACCTCCTGAAAATGGTTCAACATCATCCGAATCAGCACCTCCATCGTATACCGTGCATCATTGCCGGCATTGTGCAGGTGCCATCCCTCCATCCCCAGTTCCACCAGAATCGCTCCCAGGGATCGCGGCGATGTCTCGCCCCGTATGATGCGCCAGGTCTCCGCCGTGTCCACAATGTCGACGACTCCGTTGCTCTTGACCTCCACGGGCGCCCCCATATCTCGGAGATACGCGAGGTCCATCGAAGGGTTGTGGCCAACCACCACCACCGTACGCGGCTCGCCTGCCTCGTCCTTAGCTGTCAATCCCGCCTGCACCACCGCCGCCAGGTCGGCCAGTGACACCCATTCGCTGGTGCCGAAGTCAAAGTTCGCAGGGCAGCCGGCCACGAACTCGTGGTTGACGATGTGTCCGAACTCGCGCACCCGCAGGTGGCGTGACTGGATTTGCGTCGTCCACTGTGCCCCTTGCTGACCCGGTGGAACGCCCGATAGACGCGACAGGTCTAAAGTTGTGATGCCCACCTCCGTCACTTGGGAATGGCACCGCTCGTTACACTCGATGTCGACGCTGATGAGCACTGGGTCCTTCCAGAAGGGGTACGGCATGGGCTGGGTCATTCCCCAGACAGTCGCGCTGGGGACGACATTCTGCAAGTTGGCCTTGTCTGCCCATGAGGCGGCGTCAAGAACGTCGGGTCGACTCTCCGATTCGTGCGAGCGCCATCCTAGGTATGTCTGTATACGTTCATAACACTGTACCAGTTGCTGTTGGTGCTGTACGCGCTGCTGCATTTTGCTTTTAGACTTCTTATTTCGAGTCGCCTCCCATGCCGCCTCGAGAATCGTCTCGTATTCCAGATACTGCTCATCTAGCTCCGGGAGGCACTGGTCGTGGTTGACCGGGGGAGGGACCTTCGCCTGAAGCTCATCTTTGATCTGTTGGCTATCGCATTTACCGAGGAAAACGGGCTGGGGATACCAGTTCTTCTCCCGAAAGGGAAGAAGCAATCCTTGGTTGGGGGGTAGCGACAACTGGCACTTGAACTCGCAATTGATTTCCCGGATGAGCTTCCGGAATTGGGAGGCAGGGACGAGGAGGATATATTTGGGCCCGAGACGAGGAGGGAGATGGCAATGATAACTATCATATGTCAAATCAGCAGGCATCAGAAGCAGAAAGGATTACTCACACATCCCAGCTTCTGCTCCAGAACTGACCGCGGTCAAAAAATCGGCTGGCCACGCTCTGAGAGAGCTTGTCTTTGAGGAACCTGTAAGGATATCTGGAAATAGCCAGCAGGGGGCAGAAAGACCCGTCGTGCTCCAGAGGATCTTGGGGGGGTTGTTCGGATGATGCAGTCGATGCTTCAGATTCCTGATCGGGTTTGGTGGTGTGAGCTGGGGGCTGGTCGGGGTGTTGCTGAGTTGTCTGGATAGGTGAGGCTTTCTCGAGGTGCTCCTCCACAAGAACGCTGGTCTGGCCACTGGAATCCTTTTCGGTGCCGTGATTCTCTTCCGGGGGGACCACCCTTAACCCCGTATTGACCTGCAACAGAGCTTCATCCTGGTCAAAGAGGAGGCACAGACGACTGACCCGATCCATTGTGAGGACTTGCTTCTAGAGCTTCCTTGAATGAGATGGAACTGATGCAAACGCTGATGACTGAATGGGGGAGAAGAGAGTTGAAGGGCCGGTCCGGAAAGCGTTTGCAGGGCGGAAGAGAGTTGTTTGGGGAGCACAGAAGATGAATGGTTTACCTAGTGACAGTGGGTATTTCCACCTTCACTTTCGCTTTCACTTCCACGTTCATTTTCACTTCTACTTTCACTTGCAGATCGCTTGAAGTTCAGTGATATGGTGAAGAGATGACATTGACCTATCTGCTACCCCCTCCTCCGATCCTTCGGGGCCCCGGAGCCGATGGCATACAAAAGGAGATGGATTAGCGCTCGGAATCGAGATTAGACAGCGAGAGCGACAACCGGCGAGCATTCGACATGACTTGCGACAATACAGTAATACAGGGGTTGCACACACGCTTTATTGGTATATCTAGACCGCTTAGGCACAGAGACGCTGAGACACCTCTCACTCAAGGTAATGAAGCGGCCTTAATTCGAGGCGGCGAGGACGTGCAGGGCTTGATAGACAATTTTCTTATGATCGGGCCTATAAACAGCAACTCGACATTATCTTCTGGGGTAGTATAGGGGCCATATATTGACTTAAGTACAGTACATAAAACCTTGACTTAGACACGTACCCCGTACGCCCTAGGAAGGTCATAGGGCCGGGTCTCCCCCCTCGGAGGTCGGAGTACCTTGGCCTGTTGAACGTTAATCAATACTACTACTACTACTACTGGTTGGCGATTCGGGAAGTGCCCCAATAGGGGGGTGATATTCGAGCATAATGCTATCGTTAAGATCAACATCAGGAAGGGAAACTGTCCAGGAAATTCTCTAGGCTTTATGAAAAGTCAGCCTGATCAATCAGTTGCTTAGAATAAAGACTCAAATGAACAGGGACACTAGGAAGTATAGATAGATGACTCAGCAACAAGCACAAACAAGATCGGAAGAACCTTCCTCCGATGTCCCCGGCGAAGTCCAGACTCCCAGGCTCCCAGGCTCCCAGGCTCCCAGAGTCGACCTTCTTCCCATCCCATCCCACTTTCTCTCTTCTTCTTCAACTTCGCCTCCCTCTGACAAGACTCTGGGGTCGGTTTCGTCCGCTCAACCCATGTCTCGACATTAGTCTCATTTGCATGGTCGCACCCCGACATCCATGGTGCTGTCCTCGCCCTAAGAGCTCCACCTCCCCCATCACCGACCCCTATAGCTCTGGTCCATCTCCGCTTCCTCCATCCTCCACCATTTCGTCATGTCCGACTTTCACGATAATTCAGGCGGCGTGATCCTGGACGGCCCCTTCGATCCAGACGCGCAAGCCACCGTCACCGATTACATCGACTACACCGAATACCTTCCCGCCGACCTCATTCGTTCCCTCACGCTCATTCGCGGTCTGGACGAGAGATATTTGGACGCCGCGCAGAGCGTCCATGATTCCACAAAGACCTACGGCCAGCTTCCTGACCTCGCCCCAGATGCTCGTCCCGATGCGCGCATATTGCGCAAAGACATCTCCGCCCAGATTGACAGTGCGATCAACGCTCGCGAGTCCGCCTACGCCGAGGCCTGTCGTCTCTATGACGTGGTCGATCGTCACTTCAATCGACTGGATTGCATTCGGCAGAAGCTGAACGCGCTTCCCAAACCGGCCTCACGCGAACCTACCCCCGCACCCCCTGTCCCCAATACGACTACCTCAAAACGCGGTCGGTCCTCGAAGAAGGGCGACGAAGGTGCGCCGACCACGACGCGCATTACGCTTCGATTAGATAGCCATGACAATGCCCGACGTGGTCCTAAGTCTCGATCGCGGCGGTCAGCGACCGGACATCTGGCCGGCCTGCACCCCGATTCCCCCATCGCGAGCACGGAGCATTCCGACGTGGAGGCCGAACCTAAGGCCGTTCCGTCCGAGTCGCCCATGGAGCTGGGATTGAGTCCGGCCAAGAAGGAGAAGCAGCGCCGGCGATCACGGACCTCGGCGGCTACCCATGATCCCAATCATGTCACATCCATCTCGACAAGTAACGCCCTGGCCCTGCTCAAACCACCTCCGGAGGACGCGCAACCCGGCAGCGAGGACATGCCGTGGCTGCGTCTCACTGAATGGGAAATGACCAAACTCCGCAAGAAGATGAAGAAGAATGCCGTGTGGCAACCCAGCGAGGTCATGATCCACCGCGAGCTGGCTCTCCGGGGGCGGGGTTGGGAGGCGTACCGCGCAGCCAAGGCCAAGTCGGACGCGGAAGGGACCGAGTTTGTGGACTGCGACGACATCATGAACACATACATTCCGGGCCAGTTGATCCGACGTACTGAGGGAATGAAGGATCCGGAGGGCACCTTCGAGACGAAGCTCAGCAACCGGGGCATGAAGCTAAACGAGGCCAAGAAGCTCAAGCGCGAGAACCAGGCGAGGGAACAAGCAGCCCTTGCCGCTGCGGAGGCGGAGTTGGCGGCCAAACAGGGACTCGTCGTTCCTCCCGTCAGCTCTCAGGATGCTCTTATCTCGGAAAAGCCCATTCGAGCCGCCACCAAGAAGAGGAGTCTCGACGAGAGCTCTTCCTCGGCCATCGTTCCTTCACCTCCTTCTCCCGCTACTGCTGCTCCTCCTCCGCCTCCTCCGCCGGCCCCGGCACCCCAGGAAAGCGAAACACGTGTGGCCCTGCGCAGTTCGGTCAATAAACGCCGTAGGACCAGCAAGGAATCTCCCACCCCAGTGGAGACGAGTGTGAGCACATCCAGCGCTCCGGCCACCACCCTGGCGTCGACTAATGTGCCCGTAGCCGGTGCCGATGCAGCTGATGCGCGAAAGCCATCTCCCCCTGCACCACCATCCCCAACCGGATCCAAAAGTTCCATCCCCTTGACCATCACCGCGGCTGTCCCTGCCGTTAAGGAAAGTAGGACCACCACGCCGCCCGTGACGCGGCCTCCCTCTCGACGCCGTTCTGCGGCCGCATCGGCGGAGCCCGTTACCAACATTACCATCACATTAGGGGGTCGTGAGCTGCGTCGGAAGAGCGCCACGCCTGCCCGCAGAACTCCGATTCCCGAAAGTGCGCTCGGTGCTGCGGCGCCCACTAGACGCCGCAAGCGACCCGCTCCGGGAATCGTGTCCACCGGGCAAGACGGCGGCGCTGCGGTCAGTTACGGCCGACGCAAAGCCAAACCTACTAAGAAACGCATCGGACCGCGCGAGCCCGGCTTGTTGGAGGACCCCCAAGCCCACGAGGGCATTCGCATTGACGAAGATGGCGTGTTGGAGGAAATCGACCCCAACGAACCCCGTTATTGCATCTGTGGCGATGTGAGCTTCGGAACGATGATCTGTTGTGAGAACCAAGATGTAAGTGCCTGTCCAGTTTTGTCTATACTCGCAACAGCTAATTGCTTAACATCTAGTGCGACCGAGAATGGTTCCATCTTAATTGCGTCGGTCTCTCCGAAGTTCCCAGCCGAACCGCCAAATGGTATTGTCCCGACTGTCGAGTGAAGCTCAACAAGGGCACCGACGGGATTGTGCGCAACAATCCTCGTCGTTGAATCTTTTTGCTTGTTTTTCTTAGGCTTTTATTCGGTTGATCTATCGGTTCTTGCTAGCTAGCTGCATGGATTTATTGGGGTTTGATTTTTCCGGACTTGTTTGTTATATGGCGTTGACGAGTCTACGATATGGTGTCTGATATTTCTTTTCACCTTCCTCAGCGTTGCTTCTATCGGATTTAGGTAGCATTTAACCCGATCCTGGAATGGATGGCGGCGGTGTTGGAGGTGTTCTCGTGATTTTCTGTACTTGCTCTATGTGATCGTGTGAGATTGATTGACTGACTGATTGATTGAGTACACGGGCTAAATTGAAGTTTACTGCAGATGGATCATCTTCAAAACGTCGGATCATTTTAGTTGCTGGAATATCATTTAGATGTCTCTCGCCCAGAGGCTGTTCATCCTTGTCCACCAGTTGAGCTCTGCCCCAATGTTATTCATCAACAACCAGCTTCCTCTACTGGGAATACACATTCTAGAACACTCAGTCAGACTTTGATCGCGCGGAGATGATTCCGTTCGAGAAGTTCACTCGGTTCTTTAGGCAGAATCTCGGCTAGAGGGGCAGTGCCAGTTGGGAGCGAGCATGAATTGAGAGGACCAGCTTCTTCCAAAACGATTATACGGTCTTGGAAGTGAACCTAGCGGTTTAGCTTCATCTTTGTAACTCTGGGGGGTGTTCTGGGATCTCACTATATCGGGTGGAAAAGGAAGTCGGGTTGAAACATTTGACCCGTTGTTACCAATTCATTCATTCATTCACGTACATGTCAATACAAAAGCCTTAAACTATATACAAGATCCTATTTCAAAGCCCACTGGCCGTTCTCCGAGACAATCTCCACTGAACGCTTCTCATCCAGCGACACCCGTCCCGCCTGCAGGATGGCAGTCGTGGCGATCGTGTTCTTCAGCGTCGGTAGAGGGCGCGCGTCCAGCTGGTCCAGCGTCACCCGGCCCTCGTTGACCGCCGTCACGGCGTCGATGAACTTCTCGAAACTGATGTAGCCGTAGCCGGTCTGGCCGGCGAAGTTGCCTTCGTCGTCGGGGGCGTAGCGCATGTAGAATCTGGTCATGGGTTAGATTTGGGACTAACTATATGAGGTGCTGGGTCAAGTTAGGGAACACTTACGGGTTCAACCAGCTCAGTCCGGACTCATCACCGGTGACATCGTAACCGCGCTTGGCTTGGTTGATGCGCACCTCGCCCTTGGAGCCCATGTCTAATTCATTTGGTCAGATGTACTCTGCTTGTCTGTGGGGCAATAAGGACAGCTTACAGTGGAAGTACTGGTTCGAGTGCACGCCGGCCTTCTGAGGCGCCGTCCAGCTAGCCGTGTAGACACCCATGGCATTCTTAGACGAGTCGGCCTTGTGTCTCCAGTCCACGAGCAAAGTGATAGTATCCTCGGTCTCCGGAACGCAGCCCAGCTCGACGGCGGTGCCCTTGGACGCCGACGCGGTGACCTTGACGGGAGTGTAGTCGGGCACCATGCTCTCGTTGATGTCAATGTGGTGCGAGTTGAGGTAGTACGAGATATCGCTGTCCTTGCCGGCCCAGGCCTTGAACGTTTCCAGCTGACTCTTAGGCTGGCTCATGTAACTGTAGAAGTAGTTGAAGTCGCCCAGGTTCTGGGCCTTGGCGCGCGCGTCGGCGTAGGCCGGGTCGAATCGCTTGTGGTGCTCGATGAAGACGAAGACGCCGTGCTTGCGCGCCTCCTCCAGCAGCGTCAGGTGGTCTGCGAGCAACTGGGTAGCGGGCTTGGTGATGAGCACGTGGATCTTGCGCTGGATGGCGTACAGGGCGATGGGGAAATGGGTGGGGTCGGGGGTGAAGATGGTGATGGCCGAACCAGGCTCCAGGGCGTCAATGGCGGCCTTGTAGGCATCGGGGTCGGTCTGGTTGTCGGCGGGATAGGAGTCGAACGAGGTGTCCAGGCCGTTGTAGACCTGCGAGATGTTCTTGTTCAGGTGGTCGCCTGTCCAGCGTGAATCAGCACTTCCGGTCAAGCGTGTCTTTCCCATAGAACCTCCGAGCCAACTTACGAATGCCAGGGAACTTGGAGCCCGACACTCCGACCATGCTCAGCTTGCCGACCTTGCCTCGTCGTCGCAGGTCAAACAGCGTCAAACCGACCACGCCGACTTTCTTGTCGGAGCCGGAGGCAGCACCGCCCACGTAGCCGGTGGTGTACTCGCCGGTACCAACCTGTTACGGTCAACAATTGATCAATTGAACAGAGATCAGGCTACAGCTAGTCAGACATACCATCAACACACTGGGAGCCATGTTGTCGTCGTTGTCGCACACGTCGAAATAACCAAAAATTCAAGGAACTGACGGGGTTACGGTATGGTGCGGGTCAGAAAGAGACAGCGCACAAGCGATGAAGGAAAGAAAGTTGAAAAAAATGCCATTGAGCCGGGCAAGCGACAGATAAAGCCGCTGTTGGACTTTCTTCCCCTCGCATGACGGAAGAATTGACGCCTCTTCTCCATCCGGTCACGGTACCGTCGGCCTTTGATCCGCCGAGCTGGGGAGAGGGTGGATGCTGATTGGTGGAAAATTGTCTGTCCGGCGAGGAACAGCCGCCAATTAGGAAGGTGGGGGTGCCTGCTTCAGGTGCCCCGCGTTTCCGTTGCCGACGAAGTATACAGTACTTCACTACACTATTATGGTTTATGACTGCCTGAGGGGTAGCCACTTCGCTCCGGAAAGCGGAGAGATTGCGCCTTATAAGTTATATAGTTCCCGCTGTCTGCTGTCTTCCTCTCTCTCCATTCAATTTCATCCATCCCAGTCTCCCCGGTCTGTCCAGGTACAGTGCGTATTTTCCCTCCCAATCCACCTCCAATTGTCAATCCAGTTACTTACTGCATACCGATTCAGCCTCCAGTAAACATGGCTTCCCGTACGCCCCTCCGCACCGGAGTCTACGCTCCCACCATGACCTTCTTCAACCCCGACACCGAGGAGCTCGACGTCCCCACGATCCGCAAGCATGCCGTGCGTCTAGCCAAGGCCGGTCTCGTCGGTCTGGTCACCATGGGCTCGAACGGAGAGGCCGTTCACCTGACCCGGGAGGAGCGGAAGACCGTCATCCGCGAGACGCGGTCTGCCCTTGTCGAGGCCGGCTTCCAGAACGTTCCCGTCATCACCGGTGCCAGCGAGCAGAGCATCCGCCTCACCATCGAGCTGACCAAGGAGTCGGCCGAGGCCGGTGCCGAGTACGCATTGATCGTGCCCCCCAGCTACTACCGCTACGCCGTCGGCAACGACGAGACGCTGTATGAATACTTCACCGCCGTGGCCGACGCCTCTCCCCTGCCCATCATCCTCTACAACTACCCCGGCGCCGTCTCCGGCATCGACATGGACTCCGACCTCATCATCCGCATCTCGCAACACCCCAACATCGTCGGCACCAAGTTCACCTGCGCCAACACCGGCAAGCTGACCCGTGTCGCGCGCGCTCTCAACGCCATCACCCCCGAGTCGCCCCTGGTGACTCCTCGCAAGAACATCTCGACCAAAAAGTCCGAGAACCACCCCTACGTGGCCTTCGGCGGTATCGCAGACTTCTCGCTGCAGACGCTGGCCTCAGGAGGCTCGGCCATCCTGGCAGGTGGCGCCAACGTCATCCCCAAGCTTTGCGTGCACATCTTCAACCTCTGGAGCGCAGGTCGCTTTGCCGAGGCGGTCGAGGCCCAGCAGCTGCTGAGCGCCGCCGACTGGGTTCTCACCAAGACCGCCATTCCTGGCACCAAGGGAGCCATCCAGTCGTATTACGGATATGGCGGATACCCTCGTCGGCCTTTGGGACGTCTGAGCGCGGAACAGACCCAGGCTGTGGCCGAGGGAATCAAGGAAGCGATCGAACTGGAGAAGACGCTTCCTGACGTTGCGTAAACTGTTTCATACCTTGAATGAATGTATATTGTATGATTGCATGATCAAAATCGAGAACTTCTAGCATTTCCTAAACTCGTAAATTATAATAATTTGTGTCCCTTCGTGTGAAAGCTCTGCCTAGTCTCTAGATTATTGCACGGAGAGCAGCACATAATCCAAGGTCCGGATTCAAAACCTCGGACAAAACACCGGGCCCACGATGATTGCGGGGCTAGACCTTTCTCAAACCCCCACGCCAACCTCAACCCGCGTCGCATCTCATAGGTGGACAAACTGCAATTGAATGGAGTGTGGGGGCTCCAATACGAGAGAAAACTGCCCGGGTGTCACGGAGACCAGCACGGGTAAATAGTAACAGCTACTATATCCTGGATCAGTCATGGGAATGGCTCCTATAGCTGCCTAGTCATGGATTATCTCATGATTTCTGATTGAAATAGCTGTTTCAAAGACAGCTGTCAAAAGACTCGTATTCAACCAACTCTTCTTGCTCTAGATAGGACGCGGCGGGAGAGGACTTCGGCTATGCAATTCCAGTCAATACTACCAAATTAATATAATATATATCAAACCTAATGTCTGAGATAGATGTGAAGTGGGAAGAGATGTGTGTTGTCTAACTACCTTCTTATACTTCGGTGCCTGCAGAGCGGAGTAACCCCCCGCTAAACCTAATCTAGTACCATAACTATTAACACCACTATGTCCTGCCCCGGAGAGTGAAGTATACAAAAGCTTCATTCTGTTTCTATTGACAAATCTATATAAATAGCGATACCGGCTTCAATGGACAGTGCCGATCAGGCGTTCCACTCAAATATAATCCCAAGACAAGAGGACTTGACCGGTGTCACTACTGAATGTGTTTGAGATAGTGATGATGTTTTGGGGTGCGCCGGATCGGATGTTGAAAGTTGATTACAAGGATGTAGATGAGTGAGGCGGGAAAGCGTGGAATCATGCCTACATGTGGGTTTATTCATAGAGAATGTAATCCGATTTGCTCGTATCACGAGTTTGCTGATATCCAGTAACAAAATTTAAGTCAAGTTCATTCGGAGAATAGAAGGACACTATGGATTATAGATGTTTTAGATGCCAAGGAAGGACTCTGGGAAAAGATTGGCAAAGGCCTTATGTATTGCTGCCACAAACGGTCCAAAGAGCCATGTGGCCTATGCATAAACACATGAAGAACAATATCCTTCACTACTCCGTACTTCACGTGTGATCCCTACTTGAATGTTTGATTCTTCTCTGTACCGGTGTGAGTAAAGGACGCCGAGGGGGCTGCACTAACCAGTTATATATTCCCAATCGGGAATCTAGCCCTAAGTCGAGAGGGCACGGCCAACGATGATTGACAATCGACCCAATGTGGCTGACAATTAGCTCGGATGATTAGCAAAAAATCCACTGCCATCATGGCCAGCCCCTTTCTCTCAAGTTCCCAAACCCCCTAGCTTCAGCACGGGTGGATCAGGGTGAAAAACGGAGACCCCACGGGGGCGGGAAGGAGATGAGGGCGATCATTGTCGGATGGATTCAAGGTCTTCCTTCTTGGTCTCTATAAGGCCATGTGCATACTCCATGCCGTGTTTCTACCAAGAAAAGAGAACAATCAGGTAGAGTTACATACATGCATGCCCCATACATATGTGGAAGACAACAATTCTGCGTTGTTCAGTATGTCAGCCTAAGTGTCTCTCTGCCTGAAACCAAGTGCGGTGAGTCGCTTACCGGGGGGACCAGCGAAGGCCAGCCAGTGGTGGCTAGTTAGAAATTTTTTTTTTGCTTTTTTTGCTTTTTTTGCTTTTTTTGCTTTTTTTGCTTTTTTTGCTTTTTTTGCTTTTTTTGCTTTTTTCGCCATTGATGATTGAAAAATTAAAAACAGAATTCAGGCAAATGAATCCACTCAGCTAGACCCAATGGAAAGACCAATGACCGGCCACTCCAGACTTGGTCGATTCCAGTCGGGCCTGATCGGGGAGGCAAAAATTCAGCCTCACCGCCCGACAGTAAAGTTTCGCCCTTTTTTTTCTTCTCCCCTGACGCTCTTCGCCATCATCCATTTTTTTTTTCTTCTCTTCTGTCAGCGTTGCGGTTCTGGTTTCTGGTTTCTTACCTATCTTTCTTTTTCTCGTCGTCTCATTCTTCTCTCCTTTGGATCATATCGTCTACTTACTCGGGCTTTTAGTTTATACAACGTGTTTACTGGGGTGTCTCTTGTGTTATCATTATCTATCCTATCTCTGTTTATCTCGACATTTTCCCCCGCACATTCTCTATTGCTTGTTCTTTGCTTCTCTGCAATCGGTTTTAATTATTATCTATTCACCTGGAATCTTTCTTGGAGGCCTCCCTTGCTGAAAAACGTTCAGTCCTCCATAATTCATCTGTCACAGGTTGCCCGCTGTCCACGCAGTCCAACCACTCCACCCTATCCCTTGCGGTTTCGCCCCTGAAATTGTGTCGTGAGCCGTGTTCAAGGGGATTCTTGGGTGTCTGTATATATTTCGATCTGCGCAACCCACCGGATCTTCTGCGCGATCCCCTTGTCCTCGTCTCTTGGCTCTATCGTGATTAATTTCTCTTCCCCCCCCTTATCTCTCGCGCCATGACTCCACGAGACCCTATCGCTTCTTCCTCCCGACGACGTCCCTCCCTTTCGCTCAGACCTCGACCTCGTACCTCCGCCTCCTCGACCCTGCAACCGTCCGGACTTGAAAATGAGGCCTGGAATAGACTGTCCGTGTTGGACGCAGTGGACGACGGTGAGGGACAGGTTGTGGAAGAAATGAACCACTTCCCGGAACCGGTCCCGAGGCGCCGCGGAGCTAAGAGCTTCTCCAGTCTCCGTCATCCCGTGGACGGCCTACGCGCTCTCGGCCGTCGTCTGTCAGTCACCATTCGCAACAAATCGACCAGACATGTGTCTCACCCTCATCATGGGGACCATGTCCTGTGCCAGGATGATGAACATACCCCAAACAGAGATGCGGTTCTGTCGAGGCATAGTTGGTGCAGAGGCTCCAACATCAACCGTCGCGCTTCGCTGAACGGCGTCCCCGGTCTGCACGGATTCTACGCTCCTACTGCCGGCATTAATGGTCCGATTCCCGGCCATGGCCTGGAGCCTCCAATTCTTCCAAACGACCTCTTTGCGGGCTCAGCTGCCCGAGCTGCGGCTGCGGCTCAGAATGAGATGGCTCGAGTCGAGCGCGACTGTGCCAAACTGTCCGATGCGAGGTTGCCGCAGGATTCGGAAAGCGGCATCGGAATTGACCTGCGTGATCGTTCGGATGAGATCTCCGACGTTGACCTCGAGGATATTGTGCGTCTCGACCCGGTTGACTATCTGCCAACGGAGATCATGTCCCAGGTCTTTAGTTATCTCGACCCCGAGTCGTTGATGCAATCCGAGTCGGTCTCTCACGCTTGGAATGGGCAGGCTTCCTCTCGGCATATCTGGAGACAGGTATTCCGTCGCGTCTACGGACATAGTCGACCTACTGCTGTTTCGTCCAAGAAGAAACAGTCCGCAGGTTTGGGAAAGACCATTCCCAATCAGGACTGGAAGAGAATGTTCTTCGTTCGACGCGCTCTAGACGCTCGCTGGAAGGAAGGCAAGGCCGCCGCCATCTATCTTCACGGACACACGGACAGTGTATACTGTGCGCAGTTTGATGAGTATGTACCACCTTGATCTTCTTTCTCATCTCTCATACTGACAATGACCCGCAGGGACAAAATCATCACCGGTTCGCGTGACCGGACCATTCGCATCTGGGACGCCCATTATCCCTGGCCGTGTCGAAAGATCATCGGCCCTCCCCCGGGAGATGTTCCGGGGATTGGGCCGGTGAACAACCCAAGCCAACAGTCTTCGGGCAAACCTCCTTTCCTGACCATCTGCCCTCCTCCTACCGTCGCTGACGGGATTGTGACGCCGATGGACCAGTCTTCGGACTACCATAGCGCTTCGATTCTGTGCCTTCAGTTCGACGAGGAGATCATGGTCACTGGATCTTCGGACTTCTCGTGCATTGTGTGGGATATTCACAATGACTACAAGCCAATCCGTCGCCTTGAAGGCCACCGAGCCGGTGTGCTGGACGTCTGCTTTGACGAGCGGTACATCGTCTCCTGTTCCAAGGACACTACCATTTGCGTTTGGGATCGCCAGACCGGAGCGCTCGTGAAGAGGCTCGTTGGACACCGCGGACCGGTTAACGCCGTCCAGCTGAGGGGCGACCTGGTCGTTTCTGCTAGTGGAGACGGGGTGGCCAAGTTGTGGAATATCACATCGGGTCTCTGCATTAAGGAGTTCCCCAGCAAGGACCGCGGGTTGGCATGCGTCGAGTTCAGCGACGATGCTCGGACTATCCTCACCGGCGGAAACGACCAGGTGATCTATCAGTTCGATGCCAACACGGGCGAGCTCGTGAAAGAGCTCAAAGGCCACGTTGGCCTAGTCCGGTCTCTGCACCTGGATAGTATGAGCCAGCGGATTGTCAGCGGTAGCTACGATGTTAGCGTCAAGGTCTTTGACGCGCAGACGGGAGAATTGTCGATTGACCTCCCGGGATGGACCACTAGCTGGATGCTGAGTGTGAAATCTGACTACCGGCGTATCGTGGCCACCAGTCAAGACTCTCGTGCCGTCATCATGGACTTTGGATATGGTCTTGACGGCATCGAGTTGCTGGAAGAATAATATAATGAACAGGGCATTTGGTTTGCCATATATTGAAATTTGCTGGACATTTTTAATACGGAAAAGCCATTGGTTACGGGAGTTCTTTTTGCTTATCTTGCTTATATTTGCTTTCTGGGATACACAGTTTTGGCAAGCGATAGATGTTGTTTTCTTCTTCTGTCTTTGTGTTGTGGTGATGGTCACTTGTGATCGATTCATCTAGACTTGCTAGAAGGTATATAGATGGCCGTCAATCCACCCGTTGCTTCTCTTGCATGATTTGCCCGGTTTGTAGTGTTTGTGATGTTTGCCTTGTTTGTATGGGATCCCCCCGTTTCCTGCCTGAGGCAGCCGTACCTTAAAATCGACCGACCGCCCGGCTCTGATTGGTCGAGGAGGCCCCCTAGCGGCCAGCGGAACCCGTGGGTTTTGTCGACAGCAACAAAACAATCCTCTTCTTTTGGCTCTTTCCCTCTTCCTCGTCATAAACAAATCTCCCAACGCTGCCTGGAAAAGGGGTCGTCTCTTCTATTCCTCCCGCTTCATTCCCTGATCTCTCATTGCACTCCCGCCGTATCGGCACCGTCAAATCTTCCTCTCCTCGATTCTAAATTCTACCACCTATTCACGCCATCTACCCCACCATGGGCGAATCCAGGTTCGTCGGGCATCTCCTCCCCTTCAGTGACCTGAAGAACTCTTTGCGTGCAGAATGTGAACAATTAACCATGCGTAATCGACTAGACAAGAGCTGTTGGGATGGCTCAACAATCTGCTGCAGCTGAACCTAACCAAGATTGAGCAGTGCGGAACCGGGTATGAACAACGCTCCTATTACTCTGCATGCTGTGCAATTCCTCCGCTTCGGCGATGGACTTGTTATCCCCGATGCCTTGAGACGACGGGTGGCAGAGTCTTTTGCAATGAAGGCTTTCCCCCAGTATGAACAGGACACGCTGATGTGGTAAATCTTGCACAGTGCTGCCTTGTGTCAGGTTTTCGATTCGATATTCAGTGAGTGCAAAGCCTGGGGATTATACGTGTCCGATTTCAAGATCAACTTGCTAATGTGCCATTTCTCCAGTGGATGTTCCCATGTCCCGTGTGAAATTCAACGTCAACACCGAATATGCTTACCTCCAGAACTTCAAGGTCCTCCAGAGTATGTCTTGTCAATTCTGCGTATCATGACGAATCCCCCCTTGTGGATGAAACGGTTATATCTCTTTGTTCATCGCTGACACGATCCCATCGCAGACGTTTTCGCGCGCCACCACGTCGACAAGCCCGTCCCCGTCGAGCAGCTCACGAAATGCCGCATGCAGGATAACCTGGAGTTCCTCCAGTGGGTGAAGAAATACTGGGACCAGCACTACCCGGGTGGTGACTACGATGCCGTCAGCCGTCGCAAGGCTTCCGGCGGTGCTCCCACCTCGGCCGCCAGCTCTCGCGCGGGCGCCAGCTCGGCCGGAGCCACGCGACGAGGCACCACGCCCACCGTCGGAGGAAGTCGCACTCGGGCTGCCCCCGGTGCTGGCGGGGCCAACGTGGCCGCGCTGCAGCAGGAGATCGCCACCCAGAAAGAGGCCATTGGTGGTCTGGAGAAGGAGCGGGACTTTTACTTTGCCAAGCTACGCGACATCGAGCTGCTGCTGCAGAGCGCTATCGAGGCGGACCCCGAGTTGGACAAGGAGGAGGACTCGTTAGTCAAGCACATCCAAGGCATTTTGTACTCGACAGAGGTACGTCTCGTCCCCCCATCGTCCCTTTCTCCACCCGGAGAAGCGTCATATCACCCCTTTATTATCTATTTTTAATCCTTCTTCTACTAACAATAGGAACAGGAAGGATTCGAAATCCCCGCAGAGGCCGAGGCAGGCGCCGATGAACTGGAGACCTTTTAGATCCATGGTTAGGAACGTCTGTCCGTTATTAATACCCCCTCGTCGTAGTGTCGCTAGCGTTGAGTGCGTGGTCTTCCGACCCGTGTATTTGAATTGCTTTTAATACGTTGAATTGGACCTTGGAGATCGAGAGTGAACGGAGAAGAAGGGAGAAAAGAAACAAAGGGGGTGTGTTGTTGAAATTCTTATTTTACTTGACTTTGTGTGTATACTTTGGAGAGTCAGAAATCTGGTTGTTTTTTTCCCAAGCCCGGGGAAGAAAAATCAATAGATTTCTTTGCATTATTTCTTTCTTCTCTTTTCTTCTGTGCTTGTTGATCTCAATTCAATCCCGTCTTGATGCTCAGGTTTAAAAATCAGACCGGTCCAGCCCAGTCAATTACCTGTTCTCAACAAAAACAGAACAAAACACCCGGAGAAAAAGCAGAAGACCTATACCACAAGCAAGTATAACCCCGGATCGGATACTCCCTCTTACACCTCAATCACAGGTCCATGATAATACTTCCTCGCCCAACCCAGATAATACACCACCGCTAGAATAGTCACGCCCCCGAAGATAACGATACTATAATTCATCTCCGCCGGCGCCGGACGTGTCTTGGGCGGCCAGCACCCGAAGAACATCATAATGACCGTGAAGATGATGGCGAAGATATTGTTCGCGACTCCGATCCAGCCGTTTACGCGGAAGGGGCCCCAGAGGAAAGGTTTCCGGTTGCGATTGACCCCGCCACTGTCGGCGTCGTCGTGTGGCAAGGCGATGTCGTTCCGTAGTCGGCGGTAGAGGAGCAGGGAGAGCGAGATTAGGTAGGAGGCGAAGAAGCCCTCGAGTACGAGGGAGAGGATGATGTTCAGAACGACGGAGGAGCCGATGTTGATGAGGCTGAGGAGGCCGACGGCGATGACGATGATGCAGGTGCTGTGGAAGGGGACGGAGGTTCGGGCGTTGACCTGTTTTCATCTTATTTTAGCTACCTTGTTGGAGAGGATTTGATACCCTTTTTTGGGGGGGGAGGAAGGGGGTGAGGATATGAGGTCATGAGATACTAACTTGACGGATCCATTGCCATCCTGGAATGGCGCGTTCGCGCGAGAAAGACCACAGCATGCGACTACCGGAAGAGATGGCACCGACTCCCGCGCAAGCTTGAAGGATGGCCATCATGCTAGAGAGGACGATTGCAGCGCCTTTACTCTTGGTCGAGCTGGCTAGGATGTCCATGAATGGGTACGCGGCGTTGGATTCGATAAGGGTAGACAGATCTCCCGCGGTGAAGAGGAATGCGATTAAGATGCCGAAACCGAGGAGACCGTTGATTAAAATTGATAGTACCATGGATTGTGGTACGACCATACTGCTATTCGCGACTTCTTCGGCCATCTGATACAATATGAGGTTAGTGATAGTGTGGTGCATGTTTGGCTTGGGTGAATGCTTACATGGACGGCGCCGTCCGTGCCTAGAGAAAGACTGTTGTTAGGCTCGGTTTCAATAGCTTTGGCAAGGAAGCCTTACCGAGAAAGGCTGCAACTGTTCCCTTGAGACCAACGAACGTTGCGAGAGTAATGTCATGCCAACCACCGTAATTGAATGACAGGGTAAAGACAGAGCGTGGATCAGCTCGCGGACCGAGATAGACGAGCGGGATCAAGACGGCGAAGAAACCAAGCACATGGACGATAAGAATGAACACTTCGATGACCGGCAGGATCATGCCCAGCCATGTATTCAGCACCGTGCAGATGAGCAAAACTCCCCACATGATGAAGGTGACATGCCAGCCTTTAGGGTCATACTCGGGGACGTTCATTGCGACGGCGTTTTGCAGAACACTGCCCGCCAGGTAGACGGTTGCCGTTGGACCTGCAGTCCATGCCAGTATGCAGATGGAACCTTTTGTTTGCTCATCAGCATCTTGAGGGGAATGGGGAAAGGTAGACAGTTGAAGTGAAAGTACCGGTGACGTGGCTCAAAAATCGCTGGGATGACCTGGGAGCAAGAAGAAATGCCCAGTGGTATTGTCCTCCGGCCTGGATGCGAGATCAGGTACATGACCAACATGGCGGTTCTTGTGCACTCTTACCGAAGGAAACATGCTTGCCAATTCTCCCATCGCGAGGAAGATGCTCACGAAGCCAATCCAAACCCCGATATATCCATATACTAGTCCGGCCGGGCCGCCGCTAAGAGTGAAGTCAACATCGGGCATCTATAACTGAAGAACTTTTAATTGAGTACATCATACTTCATTAGACCCAATTGTATGTTCCTGAGCCGAGTCAGATGTTTCCATCGCGAAAATGGGATGAGAATGAAAACTTACATGATCATTGCTTCCCATGTCAACATGAGACTACAAGCGAACCCAATGGTGCTTGTCAAGCCAAATCTTCGCTTGTGAATGTGAACAATATGTATCAGTCGGAAAAGAAAAATTCCCATGGGAATCTGGAAAGACTGCTTCACCGACCTTCAGAACCTCCTTTTTTCCGACTCTGGCAAGTTCAATGGCATCTTTGCTGGAAGAAGTTACGTTGCTTTTGTCGAAAACGGGATTTCCTTCACCAATTGCTGAGCTCAATTCGAGATGGCCATCTGACGCATGATATCGAGCCATAGTGGATGACATTCAATGCAATGATTGGATGTATGTACAAATGCAGAACTGAGGGTCTGAAAGAAAGCGTTGGAAGCGTTGACGTTGATCCCTCAGGTCGGAACAGGCAGGAAACCCGTGACATCCAGTGATTTTCTGATTCTCAGTTGAGCCTTGCTCCTCCTTCCCTTCGACAAAGAACTCGGCACTACCAGACAATACGACCTTACCTGCAACGTTGTTACACAGGATATGACGTGAGCATTATTAATGTGATAATAATGTGACACGATGATGAATTGTGCAGATTTCGGAGTAATGCGATTGCTTCCACCGAATCACACGGACAACATGTATGTTGGAGACCGGACTCCCGGGTGTGTGCGAGTGTCGGCTAATATGGAACTCGGACTGGACAGAGATTATGGAGACCGGACAGATTCCAAAGCCATCTGGAGATTTCTAGCCAACCAGGGTCGAAGCGGTTAGTGGCACGGCGTCGATCAGCCTGTCGAGGGTCAGCCTTTTCCCATAGTCGCGTGTGGTGATATACCATGTTATAAGGGTTACGCAGAGGGGGACGTGTATCCAGATTGTTTTTTTCGGTTGAGGCTATGGGCGAGCCCAGAAGTGTCCGTGCAGATGATCTACTGTGCCATAATCCTGAATTTTTATGTCGATGACCGACTTCACAAATTCGATATTGACGTCTTGATCGTTTAGAAACATCTTATCGTGATTGCCTATATCAATTATGGAGGACCACAGCGCAGCAATCAAGGTTATCAGCTGCTTTTTGCTGATTTCATCGTCCGGCGTCGTGGCAGCCTGTCTCATCGCAAGTTGGCAGGCGCTCAGGAGAAAGCTCCTCATCGTGACTCTTCTCATAGCGACTCTGGTATACATGATCTGTTTCGTTGAGCAGGCTCTGGGATACCAAGAGACTAACAAATTCCCGTGCCCTAGATATCGTCTATACTTGCCGGTGTAGCTGCTTCCATAGCCGCAGAGAGTGGCCTGGGGAAGTCTCCTGGCATGTACTCCGATGCGCAATTGACTGCCATGGAAAAAGCTATCTATGTCACCGAGATTTTTCACGTCTTGACTGTAGGCCTTGGAAAGCTATCTTTTACCGCACTTTTCTACGTTCTTCTATCGTCGACCCGTTGGTCCAGGGCTGTTGTTGCGGCCGCAGTCTTTTTGGTTCTCTGGACGGTGACGATGGTCATTGCAGCTTCGCTGGAGTGCCATCCCCCTGAGGTCTGGAATCTAGCAGAAGGCAATTGCCGCAATCTGGTGAGCTTCCCAACATCGTTCCGAGTACTACGTCTTCTGTTAACATACTCCAAGACTGCGCTTTGGATATATTTCGGTGTATCCAATATTCTTATTGAGACTTTGCTTATTGCACTACCATCATTGCTAGTTTACAGCATACATATGAGCTTGCACAAGCGTGTGGTGGTTATTGGCTGTTTTAGCATCAGGACTTTGTAAGCTATGCGCATATACAAAGGGTACTTGACATACTGACTCTCTTCTCTGCTAGGGACATTGTGGTTACGGCTGTCCAAATCCGCTATACCCACGCATTCGGAGCTCGCTCCTCCATATCGCTTGAACTCTGGCCATGGGTCATATGTAGTCAGGTCCTGCAGACAGTGACTATCATCTCAGCCTGTGTGCCGTATCTACGCGAATTTCTTCGGTCTTTCCCAAGTGGGATGTTCCAGCCTATTGAGAATCAAAGCATGGGTCTCCGCTACAGATACGGATCAACAGGGAATACGGGCAGTGATGCAACACTCAAGCACGATTATGCATTACATGATCTCAGTCATATATCTTGAGATTCCGAGAGCCAGATATATATCATGTAATCCAAGCGAAAATCCACACCCCATCCCCAGCCCTGTCGTTGTCCTCATTTAGCAATCGAAGCGACCTCAAACTCATCTGGGCTCGTCTCAGGATTGGCGGACTTTTTCTCGATTGAAAAGTCGCTGCTATCAAGATCTCGGATCGGGCGGCCCATGATCGCCGTAGCCAAGGCAAGGCTAAGAAGAACGGAAAGCCGCATGTCCGGTCTGTCAATGATGCTCGTCTCGTTAAGTTTCAGCGGAGGCAAGAGTTGGTTCTGCGATATTTAGCTGATTTTCTAAACTTTGATGGCCAGGATGATGCTAATACCTTTCAAAGGCCTGTGGTGTTTTGATCATAGAATAAAGATGGAAAGGCGAATGTCTAGAGAAATAGGACGGGGACTAGGCGATCAATATGTATGGGGGTATCATGACAAGGCTTTACCTTAAAGCGCAAGATATTACGTTTTCAGCCTGTTCGGAACGTATATGATTGGTCCTGTGTTACGACACAGATGCTACTGTGCCAAAGAAAAACAGATCTTTGGCTACGAGTGATTTGAAGAGCTCACATGCTTGCTCTTGGGGCATCATGCAGTGCAACCGGAAAGCAAACAACGAAGGACACCCAAGCTCGGAGAAGTCCGGTCAAATGAGGCTGAAAAAGGGATGCTCATCGCCCATCCTCGAGAGGAAACAAACTTCATGTCAACTTCACACTCCACAATTTGTGTATAATGTATGCAAACGAGGGTGGTAAACGAGCTGAGGCCGCTCAGCCCTTGATCCAGGGGTCGGAGAGCATGGTAAAAATTGATCGTGGGACCTCATCGCTCTCTAGGTTACAACCATGGAGGACAGCCTTCCTGGCCATCGCACTTATCTTCTCATTGCTACTGAACGCATGGTGGCTTTTGGTTGAGCGTAGAATTGATGTCTCAGATGAGAAGGCGATGCCATCAGAGATACTTTCGGCTCATCGGTCTCCCTACAGTATGTCTTTGCAAATAAGGACACAACCTGTACGTGTTCCAAATGGCTAATGATGCATATTGCTAGGTGATCTCGGTTATGATAAACAAATCCCTTACGCTCACAATACTGAGTACACAAGCTCCAATGAAACCCACGCCGACTACATGTGGGATAGCTTGAACATCGACCCAATGATTATTGCGCCTACTCTGGAATGGGCTGAAAGCATGAATCTCCCTACCTCTTGGGTATTCCCATGGGATTCGAACCGACGAATTTATTTTGTCAAGGTGTTCCATCAGCTGCACTGTCTGGTATGTACTCAAACCTTCTCGCTCATCATGGTTTGCCGCGGTATTCAGATGGAATTACTCACACTGAATGCTGCTCTTATAGAAAGTCATGCGTAGATCATTCCATGACCTCCGGACCGATGGAGAGACCGCGATCCCAGTAGGCCACGTCGAACACTGTCTCGACAGCTTGCGTCAAGACTTGATGTGCGCCGCGGACGACACCCCCATGCCGTCGCTGGAACTTCTGAACGGCAGTGGCGAAGGCCAAATGATGCAATGCAAGGACTTTGACAAGCTCGTCGCCTGGACGCAAGCTCCGGAGCGCAATGCATGCTATAAACGGTTGATCACCAGTGACTACAGGCCGATCGTGCACAGTATTGAGCGATATGCCTTTTGTCCAGCTGATAGCCCGCATTTTGCCGCCATGAGCCGGTATTTCGAAGATCATGGACATTATGCGGATCCTTTTGCGGAATAGTTAGCTTGATAGTCGTATTATAGTCTGGTTCATTTTCCAATCTCACAGACGATCATGTCTTTGTTTGATCTCGATGTTTGGGCCCTTGTGTAACCTCAACATCCCCCAAATGAGGGGGTCAATGCACTCTGATCAGGCTGTGACTTTCTTGCTCGTCGCATCCCATCGCTTGGAATGACTGAAGTGATGGCGATAGAACAGAGCGTCAAGCAAGAGAAAGACACAGAAATAACCGTCAACCCAACGACGCATATTGTGGACTTTACCGAGGGCGATGTAGCGAACCCGCTGAACTGGCGCCCACCGTACAAACGGTCGATTGTGGTGCTCGTGGCCAGCTTCTCTGCGGTGGTGTACGTACACGTTCAATAATGCTATGGAATCAAAATCACAATACATGATCCTGACCTCAAGCCAAACACAGGCAGTTATCGACCATCATCGCGGCGCCCGTCTCCCCTTCCATCCTGATCGACTTTCACTCCAACAACGCCCTCTATCGCACTCTCATCGTGTCTATCTGGGAACTTGGAGAAATAGTAGCTCCTCTGATCTGGGGACCTCTGTCTGAGCTCTACGGACGACGCTGGGTGCTCAACATCGCCAACGCTCTCTTCATTGCCTTCCATGCCGGCACCGCCCTCAGCACCAACATCCAGATGCTCATTGCCTTTCGGTTTCTGAGCGGCGCCGCCACGGCCTCCTTACCAATTGGCCCAGGGATCGTGAGGGATCTGTTTGAAGAAGAGCGCCGCGGTCGCGCCATGTCCATCATGTCCCTGACGACCACGCTAGGGGTCGTGGCGGGTCCCATCGTGGGATCTTATCTGGGCGAAAGGGAGGGATGGCGGTGGGCGTTTTGGCTGCCGACCATCGTGGCCGGGGCCCTCGCGCTGCTGCTACTCGCACTCTATCGTGAAACGTACCAGGTTACCATCCTGAAGCGGAAGGCGAAACAGCGGCGTCGTGAAACGGGGAACATGAATCTGCGGTCTAAGTACGAAACCGAAGCCGGAGAGACGGATGCCAGCGCAGCATCCAAGCTCTTCGATGCCTTCATCCGGCCGTTGCGTCTACTCGTCCGGTCCCCCATCCTCATCCTGATCACTGTCTACATCAGCGTCGTCTACGGATACGTCTACCTCATGATGACCACTATCGCGCCCGTTTTCCAGGAGATCTACGGCTTTTCGACGGGGACGTCGGGTCTCTGCTTCCTGGGTCTCTGTCTGGGACTTGCCCTGGGCGCTTTCATCTGCAGTTTCCTGCTCGATCGGTACATCCGCCTGGCCAAAGCCAGAGCCAGTGCCAGAGCCAGCGCAGGGGCAGCGGCACAGCAGACCAGCCCCGACGACTCATCCCCCATCACCCCCGAGCACCGTCTCCCGCCCGTCCTCTTCTCCTGCATCTTCATGTCCAGCGGCTTCTTCCTCTTCGGCTGGACGGTACACGCACACGTGCACTTCATTGTGCCCATCATCGGCACCGCCGTCATCGGCCTCGGTCTCGTCGCTACCACCATCTCCCTGCAGACCTACATCGTCGACGTCTTCGGCATCTACGCCGTCAGCGCCACCAGCGCGATGCTGGTCCCTCGGAACGCCAGCGCCGCGTTCCTGCCGCTGGCCGGGCCGCCGCTGTTCCATAAATTAGGGTATCATTGGGGCGGGACGTTGTTGGGGTTAGTGGTGTTGGCGTTTGCGGTCATGCCGATGGGGTTTATGCGATGGGGAGGCAGGTTGAGAGGTAGGTATGGGACAGGATATTCGGAGGGATGATTTTCTGACTGCAATTGTATTTGGATCCGACCGGATAACTACCTAGTAATATTCTCGTATGTTGGGGGGAAATTGCACCACCGTCATCATCACATCTAGTTCAGTTACGGAGTACTCCGTCGATAGGATTGATAGGATTGATCGGCGGACACGGCAGGCCGAATACTAATTCCAGCCAGATATGACCTCACGCCGAGACAAATGGAAAAGGTCGAGAAGCCAAGAGCGGCCGAAAAAAAATAAAAAAGAAAACAAGGATAGAAGCGGGCAGAGGCAACGTCAACCAATATTGTATTCTGTAATCTAGACTGTAACTTGTTACACCCGACGAACTGATGCCGTATATAAATAGTACGGAGGGTGGTGGGGATGTGAAACCAACACGCACTTATTAGGACTTGTTATTATCATGTATGGGACTGCAGCCTGCATGCTGGGGAATCCTCCTGGTGTAATCCACAAAGTAGAAGATATGAAGATATTCAACGCATGAAGCGACCATTCTGGCCGAGTACACTGTCAACACACAGCGAGAGAAATTAGTTAATTAATTTCCTCTCGAGCCCGTACCTTGCAGAAAGCCATTCTGACGGAGAAAGTAAGCGAGGAATTAACGGCGTTCCCCCTTGCGCCATCGGAATGCCGTTGGGCCCCGCTGATAATCTATTATTATTATTCTTCTTCGTATATTAGGCTTTATCCTGTCGGCTCCCATAGATAATGATCAATAATAACAATGAGAAAATAAAATCCCACGACGGGAAGTCGACGGTACCTGCAGCTTCGGCCTGGTCGCCGTCAAGTCTGATTGGGTGTTTGCCAACGCCGAGTGGGTCTGTAATCCCGACTCGGTTAGGAGATTACTGTATAGGTACTGTGTGCAACACTATACGTGGTCTTTCTGACTCGATAAATTAGGTGTTCATTGGTGTACTAGATACACTGATAGAGTTCTTCTCTTCAGATGATTCCCAGAGAATAAAGACAACGAATAATACATTGTATAGGACTAAGAGTGCGAGAGGATTGATTAGTCCCGGATGGTGAAACTTTCCAGCGGCGTTTCATTAAACTCAGGCTTGGCTCCCCCTTTTGGGCCAATGACACCCCGCCCGAAGTGGCATGGCGGTATCTTATGTCTTATGCTCAGATTGCATGTCTTACATCCCGTGACCGCTAGTGACCGCTGCACGTCCAACCCGTCGTGGGTTGTGGTTATTCTTAGGCCTGGCCTGATCGATCTCTCTCTCTCTTCGCTCCTCTTCTCCTCCTCGACTCTCCCTCTCTCTCTTTCTCTTCCTCGTCCGTTCATCCTCCCCGCCTCCTTCTCCTCTTCCCTTCTCTTTCCCCCCTCTTCCCCCTCCCCCTCCGTCTATCCTTTCGACGTGGTCAATTCTCTCCTGTCTCTCATTTTCAATTCCATTGTTTGAATTCTTCTCCGGAGATCTAAAGACGATAAGATAGACGACTATCGCGACGGGTACTCCCCCTCCGAATCGACCTTCCAGAAAACGACCACCACGGCACGGCCTTCGACCGAGCAACACAGTCCAAATCAATTGACCAGACGTCTTGGGTCCAGACTCAGAACCTACTCCGTAGGTGTCAGCGTGGATCCTGGGTCCGTCGGGAAGAAGTCGTCAGATCGGAAATAATTTCGACGATCACCTCGCTACGGAGTCCCTCGTCCGTTCGGAGCTTCGAGCTGTCCGCACCTCGACTCTCCTACACATTTTATCTCCAACGAGAATGGATTAATTCGGTGGATTTAATTTGTTCAAAAATTCGGTCATCAATACGAGGATAACGGGAAGGTGTTAAGGGTCATTTTCATTTTCATTTGTTCTTTTTTTTTCTTTCCGGTTGGAATTAATTAGAAAGAACGAAAAGAAAGAGAAGTGGAACTAATCTATTTCCTCGTCCTCTACGGGTAGGTCCAGACAATCTGCCCTTCGCAATGGATCCCGAGTGGACTGGCCTCAATGTCTCACTGCTCCCGATGCTAACTGACTCGCCCCCTCTGCCAGTTGTCCATGCCTCTCGATCATTGATTTTCGTTTTTCCTATCGCGATCTTTCAATTGTCGGCTGCTCTCCCAGTTGACGTCCGCTCCTTGGTTTTTCACCTTAATATTTATTCGTTATATTATCGACTTTCCAGTGTTTAATCGCTCCTTCGACAAACTCGGATATCGATATCGCCTTCTTTTACATTCCCATTGACTTCATTCTTTCGACTTCGAATTCTATCGTTTAATTCTCGACGTTCCTTCGACTTCTCGCTTTTGAGCTTGCGATTACTCCGAACTGCTTTCGACAAGCTCCCGCTCTTGTTCCCAATCCCACGTACTTCCGAGTTGAATTGAAATCGCCTTCGTTGGCCGGCTCGCCTGTTTTATACCAGTGGAGACTTGTTACAGATCGATCTTTTGTGAAACGAACCATTTTCCCCTTCGGTCAATTCCTGCGTGACGGTAACCGGGAAGGAATTGTCTTTGTACGACCGACACGTGGGGCACGTCAGGATGTCCCATCATGGCAGCTCCAGACACACCCGGTATACAAGATTGATGAGGAGGAGAACTCGTTCGACGGACGGTCAGGAACCAGGTGTGGACCAATATCCCGATGGGAATGGCGATTCTTCAACACAGTCCAACATGCTCCGTGACGTGGAGGATAGAACGGACGGCACGTCTGTTCGTAGTGATAGGGATCCTACCCCGGAGAAACGCCGCGAGACCGCCGACCCGGAGGAGCAAACCACGGTGCTAGCGAGGGTGATTAGCACGGTCGACCAAGATCCCCAAACGTCACTTTCAGACACCACCGCAACGGCTCGACCGACAAAAACTTCAGACGTCAAATCGGATCACTCCACAACATCGCATACTTCGTCCGACCCGACGTCTGTCACGCATTCCCATCGTTCCACCGCAGACAATACTTCATCTGAGACAAGTACAGTAACGAATGCGTCCTCATCCTCGTCCTCGTCCTCGTCGGATGAAGGTTTTCCCACTGCCTCGCCGGCCTATTCATCACCCACCGCGGACACCCCGACGATGACGACCGGCCATGACGCCTCCACCACCGGTACGTCTATCACTTCCGGAAACTCCACCGTCCAGCTTTCCACCCAGACCTCGCATCCCATCATCAGTCCGACTACGATCAGCGCTTCGTCGAGCCACCGGGTGTCGTCAAGTTCGGCGGTTTCGACGGCCTCAATGTCGACGTCCAGTACCTCGAATTCCACCATTACGACATCGTCGACGACCAGCTCCGTCGCGATTGTGTGGACCACTTCGGAGAGCACCACGGCATCTTGGTCATCCACGAGTTATGGCTGGGGAAGCGGCGAATCTTCCGCTACCAGCACCACGACAAACGCAACTCCCACGTCAACCGAGGTGGCTTCCGGGGGCTCTGGCTCGCTCGACAGTCAGACCAAGGGGAAGATTGCTGGCGGTGTGGTCGGCGGCGTGGCGGGAGCCCTCATCCTGCTTCTTGTCGCTTTCCTGCTGTTCCGACGACGAAAGGCGGCGCGCACCCCGGTTCAAGAAGCCCTCCCGGCCGGACCAGAGACGGGGACGGCGCTCGGGGCCGAATCGGTGTCGCGGTCTGCCGAGATGGCTTCGCGGCGGTCGAGTAACGATCCCCTGTTCACCGCCTCGTACTTTGCTCCGGCGTTCATGAAACGCTGGAGACAGTCCAATCAGACCACTCGGACCGATAGCACGTTAACGTCCAGCACCAGCGAGCGTGGTTTCCAGAAGATTTCGGGAAGGAAAATTCCCTCGGTGCTGCAGTCCGGCGGGGACGGTTATGGGGGTGGCTTCGAAGCCGGTTCCCCGACCACGTCCGAGCCGAGTACCATCATTCCGCCGCCGTCACCGGTGTATCCGCGGTCGCCCACGCAGCCGCCTCCGTCGGTGCCGTACGGCATGCCCCTAGACACCAGCTATACGCGGGAGGCGGAGGAGTCGGATTCCAGAGTGATCTTCCGGCCGTCCCCAGCGCGGACACCCGTCGCGGGCTCGGCGAGTGCCAGTCTCTCCAACGAGCCCACCGGCTCGCGAGCTGTTCCCCAACTATCGGGAGCACTGTCCCCTACAATCCCCAAACGACCCGACATGCTGGGTCGGAGTCACCCGAGCTTCGATGGGAGTCGAGGCAGCCGATTTTCCGAGAACCTATGAGTCTTGCCTTGGATTTCTCGCTGTGACTTTTTAATTTCCCGTTGTGGATGGTGTGCACATATAATAAAGCCCCTCCCCATTCCACATTCCAGGGTATATAAGTTTAGAGCTTTTGCTCTGTACATACACTGACGGTTGGCGCGCTCGCGACCGGCTACTCCATGAGGAACGAGAGAGAACTTCTCTCTCACATCCTCCGACGAAGACCGCTTCGACGGTAAATCGTCGAGGCCGAGCCGCTTGACCGCTGCCATTGCGCGCACCAACGGCGCGCCATGTCGATGACGTCTTGATATTCAGTACTAGCCTTCTCTGCTATTTCTTCTATGGATACCCCGAATTGAATTCGATGTTTTCCTGTCTGTCCGTGATTCTGTATTTTCCTTGTTTGTCTGTATGTACATTCCTTTTCATGGTGGGTTTTGGAACCATCAGGACTCGTATAGCTTGTCTATCAAATATTGAAGTATCGAATGTGACAATCAACAATCAATTATCAACAATCAACTCTTTTAAGTCTTCAACTCTTGAATGTAGTCGCTGACATAAAACACGAGCCAACCGGCCAACCAGCGTCACGGGATTGGCATTAGTCAGGGTTGCATTATCTACTTCGCTGCTCGCATCTGCTCTCTCTTCCTCTTCTTCAGTCTTTTCACTTTCGCAAAGGTGACGGCTGGCCTCGTCTTGTATCTTACAGCTACATTCATGTCCTCTTGCGTGAGCCTCTAATCGCATCTTGATATTTGACCAGGGTAGTCTCCACCATGAAGGAAGCTCAACCTCCCGTCGTCAACATCAACAACAGCCCCTCCCCTCTAAACACCACCAAGCCCCTCCGATTTCTTGTCATCGGGGCCGGATCGCGGGGAACGGCCTATGCGCGTGCCGTAACGACCACCACCGCCGGGGTGATCCACACCATCGCCGAGCCCCACGCCTTCAAACGCCAGGAGTTCGGCCGCAACTTCGTCTGGGGCGATAAAGGCGGCAGCCCACACGAAGGCCAGGAATTCACTGACTGGCAGGAATGGCTGCAATGGGAACTGAAGCGTCGTCAACAGCTCCAGCACGCCATTCAACCCCCAGGCGTGGACGGCGTCTTCATCTGCACCCTCGATGAGACCCATATCGAGATTCTCCGCGCCATTGCCCCGCTCCAACTCCATATCCTCTGCGAGAAGCCGCTGGCCCTGTCGCTGGCCGACTGTCTCACGGCCTATCGCGTGCTGGGCGGCCAGTCGCCATCGACTATCTTCTCCATCGGTCACGTCCTGCGATACAGCCCGCACAATATCCTCCTGAGGAAACTCCTGCTTGTTGACCGCGTCATCGGCGATATCGTTTCCCTCGAGCACTGCGAACCTGTCGGCTGGTGGCATTTCGCGCACAGCTACGTCCGCGGGAATTGGCGGCGTCAGACCCCCGCTGGTGACGGGTCTCTTCTTACGAAATCGTGTCATGATATCGATTTCATTCTTTGGTTGCTGTGCTCGCCGCCGCCGGTTTCTTCGGCCGACAACGCAGACGCAGACGCAGATGCAGATGCAACGACAGACTCTGGATCACCACATCTCCCCCGCTCCATCTCCTCCACAGGCACTCTCACTCAATTCCGACCCGCTCGGAAACCACTCGCCGCAGGCTCTGCCACAAACTGTCTTTCCTGTCCAGCCGAGCCGGAATGCAATTACAGCGCGCTGAAAATCTACCGCGACATGCACGTGAAGCAGTCCATCTTCGACTGGCCCGTAAATATCGTCTGTCCGGACATCGAGGACGTAGTCCGTCCGTTTGCGTCCTCCTCCAGCAATGACGGCGCCATCGCCGCAGCAGAAACGCACCTCCTCAAACGCCTCGGAGAAGACTACTCCCGCGAGACCATGACGGATACCGAAATCGCCTCGAGACCATGGTACGGCCGGTGCGTGTACGACGGCGATAACACCGTCTGCGACGACCAAATCGTCACCATCACCTGGGACGATGAACAGCCCTCCTCTTCCTCCAAAGCGTCCCCCCGCCCATCCAAAACAGCAACATTCCACATGATCGCGCCCACGGAAAAACAATGCGAACGCCGCGGCCGCGTCTACGGCACAACCGGCGAGATAAGCTACGACTCGCGCACCATCAGCGTGTACTCCTTCGCGACGCGGTCGACGACAGAAATCCCCGTTCCTCGACAGGCGCCGGAAGAGGAGAAATCGCACGGGGGCGGGGATTATGGATTGGCACGGAGTTTTGTGAAGGCGGTTGATGCGGTGGTGAGGAGGGGGTGGGAGGTTGAGAGGGCGCAGAGGAGGTTTGTGGGGTGTTCGTTGGAGGAGGCGGTTAGGAGTCATGCGGTGGTGTTTGCGGCGGAGGAGGCGAGGAGGGAGGAGAAGGTTGTGAAGTGGGGGGAGTGGTGGGAGAGGAAGGTGAGTGGGCATGAGGGGTGAGAGTTGACCTATATTGAGCGGTGGCTCTTGTGGTCTGAAGATGGGTAGTATACTCATTGGATATTTGGCTTGGACTGTGGGAGGATATGGGCGACGGATTCATGGTTTACGAAGTGATGACTTGCTTTCCTACTTTGATATAGTTACTAGTAGTTATGACTATCAAGATATGATAACGATGCATGTGGTATGGTATGATATGATATGATTAAATATTTACGAATCAATGGTGAAGCGACGAATCAATCAACGCTGCGATGCTGCTGCTGCTCACTCTCTCTGTCCATGAGGCGGGCTGGAGAAAATACACTGTACGAATTGCTCACGTAACCTCGTTAACACGGACGGAAACGAATCTGAACGTTTTAAGTCCGCACGTCAGGCTCGTCCCGGCCGATGTACTCCTTGAACTTGAGCAGCGACAGGGCCAGAGAGACGTTGTCCTGCAGGTACTCCTGGGCGCTGAGACCGAACTTGCTGGCGTCCTTCTCGAACTTCTCGATGTACAGACGGATGGTGGCGCCACTGCTGCCCGTGCCGGACAGACGGACGACGATGCGGCTGCCGTCATCGAAGGTGGCGTACAGGCCCTGGTTCTTGGCCACGCTGCCGTCCAGGTCGGTGTAGGCGAAGTTGCCGATGTCGGTGACGCGGCGGCCGGAGATGCTGGAGCCGACGAAGGTGTCGCGCTCGGCCAGCTTCTCCGACAGGGTGGCAATCACCTTGTTGGCACCGTCGCTGTCGACGTTCTCGTAGTCGTAGCGGGTGAAGAAGGTGCGGCCGTAGGTCTGCCAGAACTCGTTCTGGATCGAGGCAATGCTGGGCGTCTCGGAGCCCTTCTGCTTGGCCACGCCGGCGATGACGTTCAACCAGGCCACGATGGCCCACAGACCGTCCTTCTCCCGGATGTGGTTGCTACCCGTGCCGAAGCTCTCCTCACCGCAGATGGAGATTTTCTTGTTGTCGAACAGGTTGCAGAAGAATTTCCAGCCCGTGGGCACCTCGTAGCTCTGCAGGCCCTGGGCCTCGGCCACCCGGTCCACGGCCCCGGAGGTGGGCATGGAACGGGCCAGACCGTAGACGCCCTGGTCGCGGAAGTAAGGGATCAGCTTGGCGTGGTGGGCGATGATGGCCAGACTGTCTCCGGGGGAGACGAAAGTGTTGGCGCCGTAGATCATGTTACGGTCGCCGTCACCGTCACTGGCGGCACCGAAGTGGATGCCGTTCTTGTCGACGGCCTCGACTAGCTCGTGTGCATAGACTAGGTTGGGGTCGGGGTGGCCATTGTTGAAGTCGGGGCTGGGCTGGCAGTTCATGGTGCTGCTGCTGGGCAGACCCAGCTCCTTGACGAAGATGTCGACACCGTAGGGGCCGGTGACACCGTGCATGCCGTCGAACAACACCTTGAAGTCCTTGTGCGTGTCCAGGAACTCACGGATGAGGTCGAAGTCGAAGATCTGCTTCATCATGGTCACGTAGTCGGCGGTCGAGTGGACCACCTCGACCTCCAAGGGGCCGTAGGTCTGAGTCCCGACGGTGGAGGTGTCCACCTGAGGGATTTCGGCGATTTTGTAGGAGGCAAGGGACTTGGAGGTTTCGTAGATCTTGTTGGTGACGGTTTCGGGGGCAGGGGCGCCGTTGGCCAAGTTGTACTTGATGCCAAAGTCGGCATTGGGACCTATCGTGCACGCATAGCATGTCAGTTATTACGATCATCACGAACGAGAAAAAAAGAACTCACCACCAGGGTTGTGGCTAGCAGTCAACAAGATACCACCGGTGGCCTTGCGGACGCGGATCAGGTTGCTGGCAGCGGGGGTACTGAGAATGCCATTCTGGCCGACCAGCAGCTTCTTGACACCGTAGGCAGCACTAATCTGGGCAATCTTCTGGATGACTTCGGGGTTGTAGTAGCGGCCATCGCCACCGATGACGAGGAAGGCACCATCGGCACCTTCAGGGATGGAGAGGAGGATGGAGGTGATGAAGGACTCGGAGTAGTTGGGCTGCTGGAAGACCTTGACCTTTTTCCGCAGACCGGAGCTGGATGCAAGTTGTTAGTGATTTATCCGGGGCCACTCCAATTGGGTGACAAGAAGCGACATACGTTCCAGGCTTCTGGTCGGTAAAGGGCTGCAGCGAGACGGTCTGGACAGACATGGTGGATCGAGTGGGGTGGGGAGGAAAGGGAGTGTTTTGTTGGCAGAGACGGAGAATAGGAAGAGAGGGAAGGAAGGAGGAGGGGGGCAGCAAGGGATGATATATAAAGAAGGTCCAAGCTGTCCGGCTCACCGACTATTGAAATGCAGGCTAAGTGGAGGAAGCAGGAGAGACACGATGCAAGGCGAGAGGAAGCCGAAGTTGAAGGGAGAAGGAGAAAGTCAACGAAGTGGGGGAGGAAAAGAACGAAGAGCAAAACAACGGAGGGGCTGCGGGATCGTCATGTGCGCGTCACCTCCTTTTCCATCAGTCTACATAACTCTCTCTGTTCAATCAGTCTGTCTGCTTGTCTACAGGGTTTGCGATGTCAATTCCCCCTTAATTTATCCCAATTCCATAGGATACCATATCACCAGCTCACACAGCTTTCCCCCCTCATCCACTCCGCGCCGCCCCACCAAACAGCTGTTGTCGGTAGAATCGCATCTCCTCGATGCTTTCCAAAATATCGTCCTTTGCCAGATGCACCTCGCGCTTCGGAGGCACCGATGCCAATAGATCATCCGATCCCCATCGTCGGGCCGCCTCCTTGATGGTACTCACGTCCACAATGCGATAGTGTAACCAGTCCAGGACCGCCGCGTACGGGCCCCGCGCTAAGAAGGCCTTGTCTGCATGGACGCTGTTGCCCGCCAACAAACCGGTTCGAGGCCTGGGCACAAATCGCTGGATGTACGCCAGCAACTCGGCCGCCGCCGTCTCCGCTGTCACCGACGAGGCCAGCACGGCCGCCGTGAGCCCGGTGCGACCGTGGGTGTCGATGCACCAGGCATTCATCTGGTCCAGAGTCGACTTCGGCTGGTGAATCACCGTCTCAAACCCCGTAGAGTCGAGTAGCTGTAGGTCGGCATCGGTGATAAAGCAGCAGACTTGCAGGATGTGGTCGTTCTCGGCATCCAGCCCGGTCATCTATGGAAGTGCATGAGCTTTGAAAGATGGTAGACCGCGGGGAAAGACGAAGGATTCCCTACCTCGCAGTCGATCCACACTAGGGGATCGGATGAGCGTGCTAACGGCATGGTGAGAACTATTCTGTGCCTGTTGCTTTCTCGTCCTTGGTCTCGGAAGTGGCAAAGAGCCGTAGAGGGGGAGATCGATGAAGGTTGGTAAGTTTGGGTGCCTGGCGGAGAAAAAGAACTAAAAGAAGTGGATCTTGATGTAACATGGCAACTTGCGTAACTTCATTGATTCTATACCAATTAATTCTCTCGCTGTATTCCTGGACACACTGGAGATAGATAGAATAAAGTGCTCAAAAGCAAGGAAGAAAAAAAAAATCTCTAGGTAAATGCCTCCAACACATCTTGCCATCGACAGATCAACTGGAGTGAGATCCAGTAAAATCCTCCCCAAAAATGATTCAGAAAGAAATAGAAATCGACTGATCCAAATACGCCAGTCCATCACAATCGTCAAAAGGAGAATTTTTGAATGAGATTCCCACAGAAAAAAAAAGAGAAGTAAAGAGATTCCATGGTGTTCTCGGGAAAGACGAGGGCTCATTCACAGCTCCTCCTCCTCCTCGTCATGTTGCTTCGTTGGTTGAGGTGGTTGGAGGCTCTCTCCAAAAGCTTTAGCATCGGTTCCAGGAGCAGGCGGATTCTCGGTTCCGGCACTGTCGAGGACGCCGCTAACCTGTTGGGAAAGCCCGGACTCGATGCGTCGGCGCATGGCATGTTCGTCCGCTTGCGAGACACTGGCTCGCTGCTTCTTCAAGGGGCTCCCAACGAATCCACCTTCCAACGTGTTGACCGTGGGCTTAGGAGCTTCAAGGGTCGCACTGGGGGCTGCTGCCGAAGCCGTCGGGGGCGTTGTCGAGACGTTAGACGGCGTTTCTCCGGAGGGCTGGGGACTAGCCGCGTCGCTCTTGGGGGTGTTGACTCCAAGCGACGCCGACGAGTGCTGGCGTTTCAACTGGACCATGATGTTAGCCACTAGCACTCGGGATACAGTGACTGTTTAGTAGGTCCTGGCTCAACACGTACCTTAATTTGGCGAACGCCCTCGGCGAGTTCACCCTGACGCCTGAGGTCGTCAGGGGACAGCGGTCGGTCCTGGTCCTTGGCCTCTTCATCGTCGGCTTTACCCAGTATCGAATCGTCGTCGTCATCGTCACTGTCCATCTCGTCGTCGGCAGCTCCTTTCTTGCCCTTTTTGCCTTTGTTCTCTGTGCTATCCCGGAAGTTCAGGAAGCCGACTGTCCCGCCGGGCTTCAAAGGCCCGAGGTTGGCAAAGTCCGGCTGTAGGGATCTGCGCTTCGCTGAGCCGGGTGTCTCCTGGGCTTTGGGATCCTTTATGATCTTCATTTTCTGTAGTTGTCCTGCGAAAGAATTAAAGTCAGCACAAAATCTATCCGATTCGAGCGTGAAGAAGCCAAATTTGTAGAGACTCACGTTCACCTCGATACATAAAGGTGAAAATCGCGTAGGGCTTGTCCGACGGGTCAATCCCCGTCACCGTCTGCGTACTGATCGATTTGGGGTCAAGCGACTTTGGTTTAGCAAAGCTAGTAGTGTGGTCGATTTCCGCGTCGGCCCCGCCATTACTGGTTTGTCCGCCCTGGCCTTCGTCGTCGTCGTCATGGGCGTCAAATTGTGGCGAGTACTCTCCGCGTTTAATCTCGCCCGAGGCTAAAACGCGAAACAAGGCCACTTTAATCTGGCCCGCCGACTCAGGAATCGGGTCGTCGTCGGAATCGGAGAAGGACATGTCCTCATCGGAGATATCTTCAAGCGGGGATTTATCGTCGTTGCCATACCGCATGATCCCCTTCTCACGTTTGGACTCCATTTCCAGATCACCATTCTGTTCTGCCAGTCGCTTCAAGCGGCGCTTCTCTATCTTCTGTCGCCGCCGCTCAATTTTGGCGGCCGCGTCTTTGCCCTCCAGGTCTAGTCCGTTGAGCCACCGCTCCAGTCCGACTTCACGGAATAGAAACTCCCGCTCGGCCAGACCTCCTCCCTCCGAATCGGGAACACTGACCCATCGAGAGTTGACCCAAGTCTCCTCTCCTCTTCGGAGGAGCGTGGCCACCTCCTCCTTCTGCCGTCCGTCAAAGTATATATAGGCAGCGACCGTCTCGTTGGGTGAGTTGGTCAGCGCCTGATACGGAGCAACCATACTTGAGTATTGTCCCCGCTCTTCCGTTTGGCCCGGTAACCCTCCGACAATCTTGGGCTTGGGCATGGGGTTTTCGGGGGTCGACTTCGGGGCGGAGTAGGGTACATCTTGGCCGGGGTTCAGTAGCGTGATCGAAATGGCAAAGGTCGATTGCTCGGGCTTGCCAGTAGCGGAGTCGGGGAGTTTGGGAGGCGGTACGGGAATGAAGCAAGCTATGCGAGAGGCCCGAGACTGGCGTTGAATGGAATACTCGGAAATCGGGCCATCCGGAGTGTGTATACTCACGGCGAGACCCTTGAAGCATGGCATGACGCGTGGAGGCAAGGAGAGAACGAAAGTCCCTTTATGTGATGACAGTCCAAACGTAAGAGCAGTCGAACGAGGGGCGGGGAGGGGGACCGTCGAGGAAGGTGAAAATGGTCGTGGGGAGAGGAGCGTAGTCAAGCGTTGTGGAGGCGGTCAGGATAGTGTGTTGAGATTGCTACCGACGATCCCCAAGACTAGGAACTACTCGATGCGAGAGCGCGGGTCGGTCGTAGCCACGGCGGCTGCAGGCCGCGGGGGGAAAGGGAAACGAGAATCGTGGGAGATGCGATGCGCTTTTGGGTTGATACACGCAGCCGAAGCGAGGAGGGGGATGTGGGAGAGAGAGAAAAATTGGTTCAGACTCTGCGAAGGCCCCGCGGAATGTTAGCCAATTTACTAGCGGTGCGGAGGGGTGAAAGGAGAGGGAGTGATGGGTTGTTAGTGTTGGCGTTAGTTTAGTGTCAGTAGTAGGCGGGACAACCGACTTAGGAGTGAATAATAACACCCGGTGACATCAAGCGGCTAGATAGGTAGTAGGGATCGATGACGAAACAGGGAAGGGAGATGAAGAAATATTCTTAGAATAGACAGTATGGCACTGACGATGATTGACATAGGAGACGAAGTGGAATAATAATAGCAACAGTAGAGCTAGTCATGAATGAATGAATGACTGATGGGGATGGAAAGGAAGGGGGGTGGGAGGAAGAGGAAGATCGACGGGACCTCCGCCTGATTGCGATCCCTGGATCGTTGCCGGTCTTGCCTTGGTGCCTTGGGGCTTTGGAGGTCCGCTGCCAAGCTTCTCTCTCTCTCTCTCTCTCTCCGTCACCATTCTTCCTACTTCATATACGTACATGGGTTCTCAAAGATGTTATATGATTCCACATTAGATTAATTTGTTCGCTAACCAAGCAATACAAGTTATTCAGACTGGATCCCCCGTCGTCGCGCTTCCTCGCGAGCCAGATCGGCCAAATGAGGGAAATCTCGACTGAGATTATTGAACAACACTTCCGCCTTTGCGCGCTTTCGCTGTTTGATTTCACTTTCTAATTGACGAATGGTCTCCATGACCTCCGCGTGAGAATCCGTCAAAGCCAAATCGATGAGGACATCGGCAGACTGCCGGAGATTGTCTAGTTTCCTTTCGAGCGCCGCAATGCTTTCTCCACTCCCTGACGACGGGAATTCCGCGTGACGGCGATCATTCCGGGATCCGCTGGGGTCGCGGATTGTACCATTCTGCGGCACCGAGGATACCGATGACATCGGCTGATGCATTATACCGCTACGAGGGGTCGGCGTGGCATCGACGGGCGAATTCTGATCCTCGACAAGGTCGCTAATGCGCAGCTGTCCTTTCGGCCCAAGGGATCCGGTGCTTGGGGGATTGAAAGGTGTCCCATTAGATGGAGTAATGTCGACAACCTCAGGTCTTGCACTTGGGAGGCGCGCATGACCATTTTGGGGCCACAGTTTGACCTGGTCGTCTTCGCTTGACACTCTGGATCGTTTTTGCCCTCGAGGGGTGGTGTCGCCCTGTGGAGAGACGCCGTGTAAGGGCAAGTTTGCCTTCTTACCTCTCTTTTGGTCAAAAACGTTATCCACAAAACCATATACGCGCCCTCGGGGGTCAACGGGTTTGATGCGCGCCCGGACTGGCTTATCTCTGCTTTGGTATGGGTGGGCTGAATGGCAACATCGGCAATTGCATATTCGCACGCATTTAGGACAACTCCATGCCTCGTCCTTCCGGAGAAACGTGAGAAGATCAACATCGAAATGCCTGTAAAGACCACGGAAGCAGAAAAAGGCGTCACATATAGGACACGTGATACCCTTCCACACAGGGTGACTATCCCGACACAAGTGGCACAGTCGCTCCTAGATAGGGTTACTTTCTATTCTCCTCGGTGTGCCCACGTAGAGGGCTTTTCCTAGCTCGAACATCTTACCATTTGTTGTCTCCGTGCATCCGCCGCCGCTATTGCGAGCGTACCCAACGACCTTTTCCTAGTCGGCAAGTAAGCTAACAAGTCCCGAGAAGTCTGTTCCAACTGAAGGGAAGGGACTGGAGGTCTCAAAAGCCCCTTGGTGACCATACCTGGATTCTCTCATCCTCGAGAGCGGCTGATCGTGGAATACATCTCTGCATGCTCTTATCATATCTTGGCAACGCTGACTGGGCAATAATTCCGCCCAAGCATAGCCAGCGGTATGCTTGCAGCTGCGGCCGGAAACGAAGCATGTTAGGCAAAGGTCAAAATCACCGCACTGCTCACAATGCAAGTGCCGGTTCCAGATCGTCAATCCACAAAAGTTACACTCCACAACCGCTCCTTGCGTATCCACAAGCTTAATCGAAACATTTTGGTCGTCTCCAATGTCTTCATCATCGAACAGTCGCTGGAAGATTTCCAAAAGAAGCCGAGTCTCTGGCACTCCAAGACTGCTGTTCAGAGCATGGAACGGTATCAAAGGAACTCGACCCGTGTCTGCATGACATTGCATTTGATAAACCGGTTGCACGTAGTCGAAGAAAGACTCGAGCGAAGAAGTGTGCATGATGTTCCATACTACCTTCGTAACCAAAGAGCTAGTGTTCCATATTTGATGGGAAGTTGCCGACGGAAATACCACCAGATCCCCAGGTTCCTGATACGTTATATATATGGGGAACTTGGCTAGTCTGAGCTTTTCGATGGAAACGTTAGCCCAGTCGGTGTGAGATGATTTTCCGAGTTCTTCCATGAATGCGTCGTATTGAGCCCGTGAGCTCGTGTCTGTACCAAAGCATAATGTTCCCGGCCCATGACCTTCATCAAATGTTAGTAAATGCCACAAGGAGTTACAATTTGCCCACAGTATGCCAAGGCAAACCCGCCTCAAACAAGTCCGACGCACCTTCCGATCCAATTAAAAGATTAAGGGCAACAGTTGCGCTGAAGCATCTGTGAAATCCAGAGCTAGACGTTGAAGGCACGGTTCAGCAATGGATTTGAACCCTATTTCTGGGGCCCTCTCTATACTCACAAGGATTTTCGAGTTCCAACATAAGCCATCAAAACTTCCGGGGCAATCTCTTTCGGCAGCACTCGGAACAAGTCGAGCGAACCTAGATGCCTCAGTGACGACGGTAAGACGGTTTCCAACGCCCTGATCCACTCAGAAGGGCATTGAAGGTCTTTCGCATATAGTCTAACAAGACGGTTAGTCAAGCAGAGCAAGGTTTACCTACAGCAACCAAGGTTACTCCATACAGTTCTTTGACGATATTGGTACGATCATACCCTGCCGTCGATAACAAATCTCGCAGTCGCATTCTTACATCTCGACCTGATTGACAGTTCCTAATAGGAATCGCTACCACGGTATCGAGTGCATCGTCAGCCCGGTTCACCAAGCTGTTCTTGGGGTTGCACACTATCCGACGTACCTTCCGAGGACGACAACGCAGCCAAGCTATCCTTATTGAAGACGGATGCATCCCAGCTCTCCAAGCGGTTAAATCCGCGAAGAACGAAGGGTCGACCTTCTTTCAGCCTGCCCTGCACCCAGCTATTGCCATCTCCGCTCAGCAAGTCGCGGGAGGTTTCAATCGAGAACTCGGAAAAAGGGACCCACGGGTCCCCGGACTGGAGAAGGCTATGGAATGACGGGACTTTTGCGTCCGAGAAGTCCATAACAATAGGAGTCAAATAAGGGTAAAAACTTCAAATATCATCAACCAGCGGTGGCATGTTCGGTCTGTGGGCGTCTTGCGATGTCATGCGATATGAGAGCGACCATCTCGGAAACGATGATCGCTCGATGATGCCTCGGGCATCTGCACGTGACACTACCAGCGCCTAACTGGATCTGGTTAGTCATGTCAGTGGTATTTGATTTATTCTATGAATATTTGTTCAAGTAGGTTGGGAATCATCTATGAACTGAGATAGAAGTATTCCCTTAATGTACCCATACAGGCAAAGGCTGGCTTAGTGCGTGTTCTTAAATTACATGGGGTGAATAGGGTCACATCAATGAAGCATCCCCCCTGAGCCCAACGAATCCCGGTCCCACCGTGCGATCTTCCCGACGATCGGACAAACACTAAACAGACAGATTGAAATGATCACAACTCGCTTCGTGAAACCCAATCCCTTGCGACGAAGACTGTACAGTGCTACCGCCAGATACCTGCACAAGTCCACAGCATCGATGTCGCCAATAATCCATTTTGTGCGCCACGCTCAAGTATGTTGCTAGCATCACAAACCCCCGCAGCTCATCTCCCAAGAAGCACGGTACTTATCGAGGCCACGAGGCCCTCTGCAGGGCATGCACAATCTCTCTCTCGAATTCAGTCACATACCGGATCCAACCATCACCGAGAAAGGCATTGAACAATGCCAGGAACTCCAGAGAGACTTCCCCCGCCACGCGCACGTCGATCTCGTGGTGTCGTCCCCTTTCCGACGGACTCTCTACACGGCGCTGAAGGGTTTCGAACCTGTGTTTACGGCACATCCGGACAGAACGATCCTTTTGCATCCTGATTTGCAGGAGATTTCTGATTTTCCTTGCGACGTCGGAAGCGAGCGCGGCGCTCTTGAGTCCGAAATTCGAGACAACAAGGTCCCTGTCGACATGAGCTTAGTTTCTGACGGTTGGCAACTTAAGGTAAGAAGGTCACTAGACGATCATCTATGGCTGTGAATTTGGCTGACGTCAAATAGCGCGGAAGACATGCTCCAAACCGCGAAGCCATCACCCTGCGTGCTCGCGACATGAGGTCCTGGCTGCGAGACAGACCCGAAAAAGAGATAGTGGTCGTCACGCATGGCGGACTGCTGCATTATATGACCGAGGACTGGGAAGACAACTGTAGATGTACAGGTCAGTGCAATTACCTCCCCGGGTTATCTAACCCAGGACACGCCTACTAAGATCCCCGCCAGGTACTGGCTGGATGAACACCGAATATAGAACGTATCGGTTTACCGATGAGGTCTACGACGATCTAGGTGGCATAGATCTTCAGGGACACAATGCTAGTTTGGTCGAGACTGAAGAGTCTCGTGTGCGTCGCGGAAAGTCTCCGAACCCCCCTACGCGAGAAGAACAACGGACACTTTATAAACTGGGACTCGAGGGTTGGGTTGCGCAGGGGCTTTGTATGAATGTAGCACAGCTGGAGGAGGGGGAGAAGAATCGTGCGGCCTTAGACGAAGACAAGATATAGAAGGATAGAAAGAAGTCTATAATTGAGACAGCCTTTACAGTCCATCATTTGAATACCTCTAGTGCCTAGTTAAAGTTGTCACCCACCGCCTTTTATCGTATATATGACCCCAGGAATTTTATATTGCTCGTTACTATACACCAAAGTAGGCATAAGCGTCAGGCTTGGCCACCACCGATCATCGCGAGTGACCAAGCAGTCTCATTTGTTGTTTCATTGGAACCTAGAACGACGGCACAATATTACACCAGACACTGGGCACTGGTACCAGAGCCCCACGCCGGGAATATATTTGGTCGAGGATTACTAGTCCTGTCGCACCGGAATTTTGAATCGATCTTGTGCTACGGAACACACAGACGCGGGTCAGCTCACCAGAGGGCTGTGTCAGGAAATCCGCGACAGGTCATTTCAGCTTTCAAATGCGATGTTAATGTGCAGGGTCTTTGGGCGCGTTGGCTGCTAAAGAGCTATACTATGACGATTTAGTGGTGGCACTATCGAGCGAATGGTGATCAACACAGTAAATTAACTCAACTGCATATTCAAGCTCACATGCGGCGCGAATACGAGCGGAAAAAGAAAGTGATGAAAAATCATGTCGGGCAATGGCGACCGCAACTTACAAGTCTTCTGCGCCGCCACCTGTTTTGATTAAAATGTTGTCGAACCATTTCAACGATAACAAACGTGGACATAGTTGCGGAGTAAGGTCTGATATTTGCCGGATTGTGGACTGGAGTTGTAGGTATAAGGCTACTGGGGCTAGATCCGAGGAAGGCCCTCTTAGTATTGTGTCGCGGGATTAGCCCGGCGATGGCAAAACAGACCGGGGTCACTTAGTATACTTGCTAGTTACTATATACATTAAACAGAGAAATGGAACGAACAATCTTCAGGCAAACTAACCCGGGCCAGTTAAGCTCAGCCCCGGCCAGGCCGATAAATTTCCCCACTCGGCGTTGCAACCCCGGACGCTCGAGCCCGTCATTGGCGTGGAGAGGCCGGCGCCATCCCCCGTTGGTCAGGAGGGTAACAATCCTTGACGAAGGCGCTCAGATGCGCGGTTTGTTGGACTGCTTTTTCGCTCAGCCCATCTTGTGTCTTAGTATCTTTTTTCTTTTCTTTTCTTTTTTTTCCCCTTCTTTTTTCTTTTCCCGCTCTGCCGCTCTTTGAGGTCAGGGATTTTGCCTCCCCAACCGTTCATCCTACAATAATCTCGAGCAGTGATTAGGCCGCCTCTGTTGAAATCTATTCATCTTCCTTGTGTGCATCACGTCAAGTTGATGCTCTTTGTTGCGGTGGAAGGGAGTGGTAAAAGGCATCTTCGAGCGTTGCTTGATATCCGACCGAGAAGAATACGATCAGTCCGACAGGCGACACACAATCAGAAATGTATTAGACTTACGACTTACCTAATATAGAACCCTGATGTTACCCTGGATGGTTACACCAAAATTCAATATGACAGCCACGGCGTGAGCCCCCTAACTAGTAGTCAATCGTTTCGATCCGGAGCCTCTGGCCGTAGTCGAGTGGGGGAATGGTAACCAGCGTTGGCGTCCCTTCGTGTCAATGGAGCTCAACCATGTGAGCACCGGCCAAGGCCCAAAGGACAGCCTCCCACGACGAAAACGTCCAAGAAGGCAGAACGCCGTCTCACTCAGCCACGGCGAGAAGAAGTGTACACGCTATACACTCTGGAGGCCGATTCCCGCGCTCAGTCGCCGCATCGGGATTAGTGGCGCCGAGCTAATCCTCTTCCCAGCCAAGAGTAGCCAATGATTTCTTGACTCAACGCTTGGCCGCTGGGCACTTCATGGCATCGCAATGGGAGCGTGGCGTTTTTAGTATCACCTTCGCTTCAATGGTCTGGGTGCAAGCGAATCATCGCCACGGGCAAAGGATCACCGAAAGAAAAAGAAGTGAAACGAAAAATAAAGAAGGAACGATGGCACTCGGGAGCGGGTTCTGGTTGGAAAAAGGGGCCAAATAACCCTAAAACGATTAGACTTCGATTCCCTAATCCAGTCTGTAGTCGTTTCACTATCCAAAGCAGCCTGTTCTACAACGTTAGCAAACGCCCCGTTCGGTCTGTGGCGTATGGGATGATCATGACCTGCAAGCCTTGACAGCCCTCGGTTTCGAGAAGCAAAGTCCTGTCCACAAAGGAACCTGGGAAAGTCCATCGCCCGACACGTGTGTGCGTTGACCCTGATGCCCTGACCAAATCAAACAAAGAGAGTTTTTTTTCGAGTCATCGGACCGTAAGAAACTGCCAAGCACCCTGGACTGGCGCGAGTAACAAGTATCGCACAGAATATTTCTGGTCGCATCGTCAGTGTCTGAGAAGGTCGGCCGGAGGGGACACAAAGAAATGGAAGAACCCAAGAAGAAAACAAAACAGGGGCACCCGCCGATAAAGCGAGTAGAGAGAATCAAAGAACCCAATTGCCGCTCCAGGAAAAGAGAGGCGGAAGGTATAGACTGCCTGGGGAAGACATCACGCTACCTCACCCATGGGTTGCTTCCTCCACACAAAGGAGAACTCCGCATTAGTTACCAGAAACTGGCTTCATCAAAGGTCATACATGCGTAAACTGTGGTAGAAGGAACCAATCGACGCCACTCGAATCGGAGGTAACAAGAGGAGTTGGGCCCCCAATCCACGGTCGAAAATTCCGGAGTTCCCCAGAAAAAGTGACCAGCAGGTACGAGGGGAGTCACCTGCTATTTATCAGCCCTATTGCCCTTTTCACTTCGCTTCTCCCTCCTCCTTCTTTTTCTTCCTCTGCTCACCCCCGCACTTCCTCTCTCTCTCTTACTTCCCCGCGTCGCGACTTATTCACTGCGTCTTCACTTTGTCCTATCGCGTCTCACCACCTTCCTTACCTTGATTCATTTCATCGTTCTCCATCGTTCTCCATCATTCTCTCTCGTTCTATCTCGTTCTTCATCAACAAGCTGCAGTCACCATGGCTGAAAGCGTGGGGAAGGCTGAGATTGATGATTCTCAGATCGTAGCTCCCAATGTCACTGTTCAGAAGCGGTTGGTTGCATCACCCACTTTCCTTTGAGTTCCCGTGGCTTACGTCTGTGTAGCGTCAGTGACGACCAGGAGACCGCCGAGAAGGGTCACTTTGAGCATATCAATCTCAACCAGAATACCTCTGCAAAGTAAACTGGCTCACCTTCCTGATCATCCTGTAGATGCTCTGTGTCGGCTGCTAACTCCCTCTTAGGATCAAGAATCCTCTCGCTGACTTGAGCCCCGAGGAGGTTCTTCACGATGTTGAAGAGTTTGCTCATGAGTATCAATTGACCGACATTCTTCCTGATCTGAAGAAGGGTGCTCTTATCGCTCGTGATCCTGACAACTATGAGTCGGTCCCTGAGATGTCGGCGGCTGACCTTGCCGCTATTGACAACGAGGTCACTCATAAGTGGCGCCAGCCCGTGGCCTTGTATTTCACCATCATCCTCTGCTCCATCGGGGCGGCGGTGCAGTAAGTGTCCATTTTTATCCCTGATGGAATCCGCAACTGTGAATGTAGACTAATCCCCGTGATAGAGGATGGGATCAGACTGGAAGTAACGGTAAGCAAGAAATTCCACCCTTGTGAAAGACGACGGATTACTCATTATCTGTTTAGGAGCCAACCTCTCCTTTCCTGATGCTCTTGGCATCCCAGAGAAGAATAATCCTGATGCCGAAAGAAATCAGTGGCTTGTTGGTGTTGTGAATGCGTGAGTCGCACCTGTCACATGCTCTCTTGACTAGTTGAAGTAGCTGACCCGTAACATAGAGGGCCATACATGGCCAGCGCCGTCTTGGGTTGCTGGCTGTCTGACCCCTGCAACAAAATCTTGGGCCGCCGAGGTGCTATTTTCATTTCCGCTATTTTCTGCTTGCTCACTCCCATTGGCTCTGCCGTGTGCCAGACCTGGCCTCAGTTGCTTGTTACCCGTCTTCTTCTCGGTATTGGAATGGGCTTGAAAGCGTCCACTATTCCCGTCTTTTGTGCAGAAAATTGCCCAGCCATAATCCGTGGAGGCTTGGTGATGAGTTGGCAATTGTGGACAGCCTTCGGCATCTTCCTCGGTACCAGCGCAAATTTGGCTGTCAAAGATACTGGAGACATTTCCTGGCGCCTTCAGCTTGGCTCTGCCTTTATTCCCGCCGTGCCCCTCCTCATTGGAGTGTACTTCTGTCCCGAATCACCCCGTTGGTACATCAAGTGTGGTAAGATGAGGCAGGCGTATCAATCTCTGTGCCGCCTGCGCAACACGAGGCTGCAGGCTGCACGCGACCTGTATTACATCCACGCTCAGATCAAGATTGAGCAAGAGATTACAGGCCAAGGCCATTATGTCAAGCGTTTCATTGAATTATTTACTATTCCCCGGGTCCGACGTGCCACTCTCGCCTCGTCTGTGGTGATGATTGCGCAACAGATGTGTGGTATTAACATTGTGGCATTCTATTCTTCCACCATCTTTCAAGAGGCTGGTGCTAGCGTTACGGGGGCTCTCTTTGCTTCGTGGGGGTTTGGATTGGTCAACTTCATCTTTGCCTTCCCAGCCGTGTTCACCATCGACACGTACGGTCGCAGAACTCTGCTGCTGTTTACCTTCCCGCAGATGGCCTGGACTCTGTTGGCTGCCGGCTTTTGTTTCTACATTCCGCAGGAATCTACAGCACACATTGCCTGCATTGCTCTGTTCGTCTTTTTGTTCGCTGCGTTCTACTCTCCCGGTGAAGGCCCTGTGCCTTACGCCTATTCCGCAGAGGTCTTCCCCTTGTCCCATCGCGGTAAGTTACCCTCTTCTGTTACAGGGTGCCTATAGTTACTGACATACCGCGCATTGCAGAGGTTGGAATGTCCTGGGCTGTTGCAGTTTGCCTCAGCTGGGCAGCAGTGCTTTCCATCACCTTCCCCCGTATGTTGCATGCTATGACTCCAACTGGAGCATTTGGCTTCTACGCGTAAGTTTTGATTCCTTTCTTCTTCCGCACATTTGCAATCTAGATTCTAACTTGACCAGGGGATTGAATATGACTGCCTTAGTCATGATCTTCCTTTGGGTACCCGAGACCAAGCAGCGCACCCTCGAGGAGTTGGACTACATATTTGCAGTCCCAACTCGCGTTCACATTCACTACCAAATCTTCAAGGTTCTTCCATGGTGGATTCAGCGATTCATTTTCCGTCGCAAGGTCGAACTGGAGCCGCTTTACAAGTTCGACCACATTGCCACTCGCACCTCTTAGACTGTGGACCCTGGTGAGGATGCTATCATAACCCATGCTTCATGGTAGATGATCGTTAGGCCGATCCAGTTGATCATTTCTTTTTCCCAACTTCGATTGATACCTTCGGTCCCTTGGATGTTTTCACGTCGTTGTAGTAGTCCGTCAGATGCGGGATATCTTCGGAAGCCTGTTTTCCATATCCTCTTAATATCTAATCAGGAAAGAACATGTATTACTAGTCGTGTGATATACTCGGGGACTGAATAATAAAACATTTTCGAATGCATTGATTCCTTTATGGCGCGTAGGTTCGTGTAGATTCCGAGAGTGGAGCGTCTCCACGTTCCTCTCGGAGATCATGTGGAGGCATCCTGATCCGGCATAGTCTGGCCCGTCTCTCCTTGACAGTTGTTTACTCTCTGCTTTCTCCTCGCTATCAACCTCAATCTCCTTTCAATAGCTTCGCTTCACGGGGGCAACATTTGCGCAGTCTATCTCATCCAATGTCTTCATCATGACCTCTCGGTACCCCACGTGCACATCCTCATCTTCTCGGCCTTGCCACGTCAAACTATGCCGCAGCCAGCCCACGTCGTCTCTTTCCGGGAAGTCCTCTCGAGCGTGGCTTCCCCGACTTTCTGTTCTCTGCACAGCTGCATGCGCGGTCTGTGCTGCACAGGTCAGCAAATTCCGCAATTCCAGTGTCTCTACAAGGTCCGAGTTCCATATTAAACTACGATCCCTCGTGGCTAATCGCGTCGAGAAATCGTGCTGCACTTGTTGTACTTTAGATGTGCCTTCGATGAGGGACGCCTCGGTCCGAAAGACAGCAACGTCTGACTGCATAGCTCGCTGGAGCTGCTCGCGGATTTGTGCCGTCAACATATCGCCATCCGCGGTCCGGACGCGGTGCATGTCCCTGATAGAATCCAGCCCAACGGTCGGGTTCTCCGAGCAAGACGACTGTAGCGGCATATTGGGCTCGTTGTTCTCAGCGATGTCAATGGCACATGCACGCCCAAATACCACGATATCCAACAGAGAGTTGGCGCCAAGCCGATTGGCTCCATGGACGCTAACGCAGGCTGCTTCGCCCGCAGCATAAAGACCGGGGACGGGAGACTCGGTGCTCTCCATGGAATCTTTATCGATCCTCAGGACCTGACCCTTGAAGTTTGTTGGAATTCCACCCATGCAGTAATGGACTGTTGGCACCACTGGTATAGGGTCTCGAGTGATATCGATGCCAGCGAAAATAGAGGCCGTCTCCATAATGCCAGGTAGCCGATTTTGAATAAGATTGCGCGGTAGATGTGACAGCTGCAGATGGATGTGATCACGGTGTGGTCCGCATCCACGCCCCTCCCGAATTTCCAGGTTCATGGCGCGGGCTACCACATCTCGACTCGCAAGATCCTTGGCGGTAGGAGCATATCGTTCCATAAAACGCTCGCCTTGGGAATTAAGCAAGTATCCCCCTTCGCCGCGTGCGCCTTCAGTGATCAGCACCCCGGCTCCATATATACCAGATGGATGGAACTGGACGAACTCCATGTCCTGATTTGGAAGGCCGGCACGCGCGACCATGGCACTGCCATCCCCCGTTGAAGTATGAGCAGATGTGCAGGAGAAGTAAGCCCTGCCATAGCCCCCCGTGGCGAGGACAGTATTACGAGCGAAGAATCGATGGAGACTGCCATCTTCTAGAGATAAGCAAATAACCCCAACACAAGCTCCGTTCACCATCAGCAGGTCGAGCGCGAAGAATTCGACGAAAAATTCAGTGTCGTGCTACATCGATTAGCGCATGTTCAACTTCTCGAGGCGTATGCTTTTCGACATGCTATTCCCCCGACTTACCTTCAATGCCTGTCCGTATAATGCATGCAACATAGCATGTCCGGTCCGGTCCGCGGCGCAGGCCGTCCGATATGCCTGCCCTCCGCGCCCATACTCCAAGCTCTGTCCACCCAGAGCCCGCTGATAGATTCTGCCGTCCTCGGTTCGTGAAAAGGCCATCCCATATCCTTCCAGCTCATAAATAGCTTGCGGGGCTTCTCGCGTCATATAATGGATCGCGTCCTGATCCCCAAGCCAGTCGGATCCTTTGACTGTATCGTACATGTGCCATCGATAATCGTCCCGGGTCATATTGCCCAGGGCAGCATTGATGCCGCCCTGTGCAGCGACAGTATGAGATCGCGTCGGAAACTAAGTTCGCTATCAGCAACAGCTTTGGTCTATCTATATCATGATTCTATACGCACGAGTTTCGTGATACAGGCTGTTTTGAGTCCGGACTCGGTCAGCCCGACAGCAGCGCGAAGGCCGGCTCCTCCCGCCCCGACGACAATGGCACTACAGTGGCCTCAACTTCAGTTTCTGACCAAATGCTCAATCATAAATGCCTGGCGATATTTGGGGCACCTACTCATAATGATGATCGAACAGAGGGGTGTCCGAGAGAGGGAACGGCTGTGTGGAAGCAGATAATAGCCGTCGATTGGTCGGTCCTAATACCTTATTCCAGCGCCCGGCCAGATGGGAGATACGAGATAGACGATACATTGGGGATCCAAATGAGCGCGGTGGGCTTGAAGAGTAAATGGCCAGCTGCGTTCGAGCAAGGGAGACGTCTCGGAAAACAGATTACGAGAGGTATAACCGAGGTTCCCCACACCGTCTCGGAACCCTCGGCCAAGAAATAAGACAAATCAGCCAGTTTTCATTCGTCCACGATGGATAAGGGTGCCTCGACTAATATTCAACTACTAGATCAGTGAACAGTCCACTCCGACCTACAGGAGCATCCGTCCTGGTCGATAGCTGCGCCACACCTCGAACCCAAGTTGTTCATACCAGCCATCCAAAGCCACCCAGTCCACGAAAACCCCCTCAATGCCTCTCTGCTTCATGTTTTCGATAGCATGGCTGACTAGAGCGAGGCCGACTCCACCCTTGCGATGATCTTTGTCCACGCCTACGCAGCCGATCAGGCCCGTTTTGGGGCCACACATGGGAGGGAAAGCCCAATTTTGCCGGAGAATGTCGCATTCCGGCCCCAGCATGAACGTCCAGCCCACCTGGTTGCCTCGATTGTCCCACGCAGTCATAATGCTGGATGGGTACACACTTGGGTCAAGGTCCATGAATTTTTGAACCCAGGCCTGCCGAGGACAATTAGTTCTTAAATCTAACAAGGGTTCTACGGTTCTCACCTCGTTGTCAGAGAAGTTTCTCTTCTGTCCTACCAAACCCTTCAGAAATTCTTCCGGTTTGAGAGGTCTAAACGTATATCCTCGGTCCCGAGCTCTGGCGACGTATTTTTCCGGGGCCTGGAAATTGCGGATGTCCTGGTACAGGTCAACAGACCGGGCCGACACGGGGTTGAGCTGGAAGCCGCGATGGACAAAAAATTGCAGCACTTCGGGAGGCAGATCAGTCGGAACTCCGGGCCAAAATCGAGGAAATGAGCTTCCCAGCTCCAAACGAGCGTTCTTGAACTCTTTCTTGAGCCACGACCGGCATGCTGCAACCAGAGCGGTTCCCACGCCCAACCCCTGCTTGCTCGGATCAACCGCCAACGCCGCCAGATGACCGCAAGTAATGTCCTGTCGTTCTTCGGTGAACAAAAGGCAGAATCCAATGAGATTTTTTCCATGTCCAACGACAAAATGGTGTGCATTTTTAGGAAGCAATAGCGGATCTTTGTCAAGTAGCGGGTAAGTGGGCAGGGCCTTGTCCCAAAGCGCCAGCAAAGGGTAAAAGTCCCTAGCCGCCCTGTAGACATCTACCTTAATCCATTGTGGTGTTGGCTTTAATGATCCAACTGGCAATTGACCTTTTCGACCACCCAGTCCGCCTTTCATGCGCTGAACAGCTGCCGAAAAGGCTTCAATCGTTGGTTCGTATGTGGTGACGTACGTTTCAATGCTCACGTCATCTAGGAAGTCGTACGGGCTGCAAGCGGCAATAGCAACGAGATTCCGAGCACGTTGTGGCAGTTCAAGGCCTAGGTTTCTTTGATACTGCGATTCTCGCGCATTGATGGATGTGAATACAACGACGTCGGCGGCCTCGACGAGACTCCACTCCTCCGATGAAAGACCTGGTTCACCATAGCGAATCTCTGTAGCATTCGCTGATTGTTTTTTGAGTATTTCAAGATACTCAGTGGCGTTGTAGGATCCTTTCCGTCCCAGTCCTTCCCCGTCTACTGCGCCACCGGCCGGGGTCTTCTCGCCGGGGAAAAGGAAGACCACGGTAGAAGATTCGTCGAAGAGCTTGTAAAACACACCTGGCTTCTCGCGAACAATAGTAGCAGACTGTGAGTATGTATCGGTGGCCAGTTTAAGGGCCTTGTCATTAATGGAGACAAGGCCATCCAAGCCCCGAGATTGCAACGCTGCGTCCCAGCTTAAGAATTCCCGCTTCACCTTGGTGACCCGGCGATGGGCTTCCTTCAGGCGCGCCATTGGAATTTTCCCGGACTCGACAGCCTCTATAACTCGATTGATAGACGCAACCTGCACGTCATAGGTATGGCAAATCATGATGCTGTCGCTGCCAGCCCCAAGAGCAAGGACTGCGCCTTGCTCAGTCCCGTAGGTGGCCCGGATTCCGTCCATCTCCAGGCAGTCCGTGACCACCATACCGTCATACTGCATGTCTTCACGCAGGATGTTCAAGGCATCGGCAGAAAGGGTGGCGGGGAGGTTAGAATCCCCGAGAGCAGGTAGAGAGATATGTGCGGTCATCACGGCCTCTATGCCTTCGGCAACTGCTCGACGAAAGGGTCTCAATTCACATTGTTCTAGTTGATCCCTCGTCTTCTGTATCACGGGAAGTCCGTAATGGGAGTCCACCGCAGTATCCCCATGACCGGGGAAATGCTTAACGGTAGGGACAACTTTCTGCTCCCTTAGGCCTCGGGCAGTAGCTCCCGCAAACCGCCCCACGAAACCGGGATCATCCCCAAAGCTACGTACACCAATAACGGGGTTAAGGGGCTCCGAGTTAATATCACAGACGGGCGCATAGTTCATGTTGATCCCAAACAGTCTCAACGTTTCTCCAGTGGCAGCTCCCACTTTGTAGGCGAGCTCGGGGTCATATGTAGCCCCTAGAGCCATCGCGCCTGGAAGCTGAGGGGCAATTGGCGGTGATATCCTTGTGACCAGTCCATTCTCTTGGTCGATTCCAATAAACAGCGGATGCTCATGTCCCGCAGCCTTCGCTTCCTCTTGGAGGGCCAATGTCAAAGCCTAGTCGCACAGATCAGTGGCCCAGTTCAGCTGATGCGCATCGTCCATGTCGGGGAGGGTTCTGACATACCTGTAATTGGGCGGCATCTTGAACATTTCGTTTGAAGAGAACAATCCCGCCAAGTCCGTGATCATGGATCAAGGTTTTAATTTCCGGACTCGGCGTGAGGCCATGAAAGCCAACTGCAAAAAGCTAAGTAGGTTCAGCCTGTCAGATTTTTATTCGCCAGGGCTTCCTTGCCCTGGTCTGCTTTGAAGAGGGAGTTACTATCTCTTACCTGGCCAACTTCTTTCCTTAGCTCGGAGGGCTGCATTTTGGCGGCCCCGCTCGGTAGATTTTAGGTATGTGAGTCACAGGAACGCACAAAGACGGTCGGGGCTAGCCAGCAACTTCCGGGGTAGTAAGTAGATCACCGGGATCCACAGTAGACTATTAGTGGTGACAGGTGGGATCGAATCCAGGGGGAGGCAAATGGAAACGCGAAAGGGTAAAGAGGGAAACGCGAAGAGACGATGGAAGATGTGGGGGGAGAAGCGGAGCGGAGAAGAGAGCGACACTAGGGTCTAGGGTGGACGCCTGAATGCCTGAGGTTGCAACCTACGTACCAATTAACGAATATTAACTTACTATTTAGAATGTATAGAATGTTTATCTTATCTTATACATTACTCTACTTGAAGTTATAGATATTGATCCTTACAAAGGTGTGTGTTTTATCAGTACTTTAACGCTCAATGTCAATCATTTCAAATGTATAATGAAGAATTATTCCTACGCAAACTCTCTCGATATAGATATTCATACGTGTGAGAGTGGGAGCCAAGAAGTAGACTGAGAGGAAAATCTCCCGGGGGTGTGATCGGTCTGCTGCAAATGGAAGTCACGGTCACATGCGGGGTAACCTTCCTCCGTCCAGCGAGAGAGAGGACTGTCTTGCTCTTCCGCGCCATCAACCTTGCCTTTTCTTTCTTTCCGTCTGTTGCTACACTAGTGCTGTTGATCCTTGCACGTATCTTGGTCTTCGTATCTAATAATTAACAGACTTATAGAAACATCGCATGAGTTGGCATATCCCTACTTCTAACAAGGGGTGTATATACAACTCTTCTTCCGATAGATCATCGCCATGTCGGATGATCATGTATTACCAGTCCAGGAGACCACCTTGGTGGACACGCGCAACCCGATCGGCAATCAGAGTGAAAATGTCGAATCTAGTACAGAAGCTGCAACCGCTATGAATCAAGGAAAATCGCGTCATACAACTCCCAGTCAATTGGCTTATACAGACTTCGAGCGTTTGTTCAGGGCAGAGGAGGCGTACGAGCAGCCGACAACCTCTCGGAGGGAGCTCTGGTCCTACTACCTCTATTACAACGGTAATATCCCGCGTCGGCTCCTTGCTCCAGAAGTCGGACTGATTTGAACGTTGGGCACGTTTAGGTGACAATGGAGTTGGTCCGGGTTCCTACACACAGGCACTGTAGGTCTACCCAGGACTTGCAGACTATAGAGAGCTTCGGGTTGACTTTGCCCCTTTGTTCAGTTTCCAGTGGGCCTTGAACGGAGCAGGATGGCAGCCCGGAACCAATCCTCCCAAACCTTGCAGCGATTCGTCTCCGTGCGTCGTCCCATGGGCTGGAGGGACACGATCGGTCTCTTCGGTTGTTCTTATAGCTAATGGTCTATGTTTCGCTTTCATGACGGTAATTTTTGTCTGGCTCGGGAGTGCCGCAGACTATGGCTCCTTCGGAAGCTGGCTACTCCTTGGCCTGACGGTGGTCTGCTGGTGTTTGCAGTACGGCATGATGGCCATTAAACATCCTAGTCAATGGCCGGCTGCGATGGGTATGTATATAGTCGCATATGTGGCATACGGTGCGACATTGGTGTTTTATGCGGCCGTTTTCCCCCGGCTGGCTCGCTACATGCCGCATGTCCGTAAGGCCCGCGAGGAGGATCTGAGAGAGGGCAAAATAAGCCAGGAAGAGTACGACGCCGTCGAGTCGTTGGAGAGAAACCACATCAGGTAATCTTTCTTTCTTCGCCTACAGATGACTCTACTAATGAAGGGATCGCACGATGTCAGCAACATCTCCACCGCACATAGTAACATAGGCTACTTTCTAACGCTACTCATTAACCTGAGTGTGTTGATCCCACTCCAGAATAATAATTACTCCAACAACCTCGCCCTTTGTTTGACGAACTCATGTATGCAGCCCCCACAGTCCTAACTAACACGATTATCTGATGCTAAGTACGCAGACTGGGTTGTCCTAGGAGTATGGTGGTTCATGTTCCAGCAGAAACGACCGGGGCCCAAGGTTCCCAAAGGGTCAAACTACGCTACAATTGGACTCAAGCAACTCTGTCTCGCACTGAAAGAGGTCCGGTCTTTGCCACAAACCTTCTTATACTTTGTTGCCTACTTCCTGCTAGCGGATGGGCTGAACACTACAGGTAAGTAGTGAACAGACTTCATCCATCCGCGAAGGAGCTAGAGCTTACAGGGGCTTTTCCATCTAGGAACGCTGGTGTCTATCATTCAAAATGACTACGTGTCATTTTCCTTTTTACAAATAACATACTTGGGAATCACACAGGCTGTGTGTTCAATAACCTCAACCTTTGGGTTCTGGTATATCCAGAATCACTTCAAAATCCGCACCAAGCGAATGTTCCTTGTCACCAATTTCTTCAGTGTACTGATCCCACTCTGGGGCATGATAGGTTTGTGGACCAACCGTATTGGCTATCACCATCGGGTGAGTTCTCTGATAGGTATACGATCCTAGAGCTTTGTTGACTTGATTGATAGTGGGAGTTCTACTTCTATAACGTCATCTTTGGGCTGTTTCAAGCCCCTTATTATGCCGTGCGTCAGACCCAAATTCCATCCACTCAACGTCTTTTTCTGATTATCTTCAAATTAGTATGCGCAAACCATGATTAGTGAGCTCATGCCTCAAGGCTATGATAACATGTTCTTCGCCCTTTTCGGAATCACTAATCGTGCTGTGAGTTCATTTTGCTGGGAACTGCACGTCATCGTTCATTCTGGCTGACAACTCATCTATAGTCGTCTATTATTGGTCCCAACGTTATCCAGGCAATTATCAATAATACACAGAACAACTGGATGGGGTTTCCTTTCCTTTTTGCCATCTGCGCTGCCGCCATGATAGCGATTGGGTTTGTGGATGTGGAAAAGGGCCGCGAGGACAGTCGAAAATTCGTGCTAGCACGCACCAGCGCTCAGCCCGCGAACGAGCCTCGTGTAGACCTTGGTAAAGACAGCGTACGGACAACAGTCAGGGAAAGGAACCTGTCTGGCGTGGGTGGAGAAAGTAGTGGAAGATCTCACTAGGACTAGAAGGAAGGTTCTACCGGCACATCCCTACGTGACCATTTAACTTGGTCAGCCACCGGTTTGGCGGCTCTAGGTATAGTAGGAGCCTTACTATCACGACGAGGTCTTCCACCTACAAAGATTTCCGTTTTAAGGCATGCGTATTATCATTAGGGTTTCGCCTAAAGAAAATAGCTTCAAAGCTTCAGTGAAACTTTCATGTCACGGAACCTGAACTCTAACAAAACCAACATTAAATCTCTCTCGCTCCCTCGGGATTATATCCCAGCTACTGTGCCTAGAAAGCATTGGATCTTGTAGCCTCTAGAACCGTTCCAGATCCTGATTACAACTAATGATTGCAACATCCACTGGGCTTTCACATATGAGTATTGTAGAACATGCCTTTTCCCGGCAGATTCTCAAGAACTTCAACCAATGTTGCACTATTCTAATATATCCAGCGTCGAGTCTTGCTTTCTGTATTTTTCACCGTCTGCTAAGAGTCATTTCAGGTGGAAGCCGATAGAGAGAAATCGTCCTGCCGCATGTTGCTGCGGAAGAATTTCTCTAAAACAGATCAGTGGTATCTGTCTTATGTTTGAAGCACTGTCTGAAGATCTTTTTTCGAAATACATTAAGATCGCTTAGAACGCCACAGAGTGATATTGAGTGGCTATATTACTAGTGTATAAATAGCCGCCGCGGAAGAGTATTTGGAAGAGACAGGGCGCGTAGAATGTTAAGAGAAAACGATATATTCAGATCACTTGGGACTTTTGTAATTGTACAGGTTGAATAGACCAATACTGAAAGACACATGAAGTACAATGAATACACAATAGCCGAGAGTACAATACTGCATGGCAGGACATCTGTCACCCTGACGAGCGTTACTATCCATGTGTTTTTTTATCGTTTCCCGCCCTTTGTATACCTTCCTCGTCTTTGATATGTTAATCGAAACAATATGTCGCGTTTGGAGACGTCAAAAGTTGATATTGATAAGCTTGGTTACTCGGTCAAAGACTGCCCGACATTGTGCAAACTCACGCATCTCAGCCGCAATGAAACGCTCGTACGCGGCAATAGCAGCCCTAACTTGTTGTTCTGATTTCACCTCCCTGAACCCTCTAAAGTTCTCCGGGTTGAGACGTGTCTGCCAACTGCATTCTCGCGCTGCACTTTGGATCGAAAGCAGAGTTTTCTGGACCGACTTAAATCTTTCAATCTGCTCAACCGCCTTAGAGAGTACCTGGATATCTCCAACTGCACCACAAGCCGCTTTCAGTAGTTCATTGGACTTGCGGCTTGCCAGAGCCTGCGCAGCATCACCCCAGGCTGCAGCATTGCTAATGGGGGAGGGAAGTTGGGATCTGAATGTACCGAGCAGCTGCTGAGCATCGTTGATCCGGCCCTCAGTCACAGCCGTGACCCCCTGGGCGAAGGACTGATAATCTTTCTGCGCGTTTTGGAGTTTTTGAACAAGCTGAGTTCCCTGTTGGATTTCCCTGACTGTGCTTAGCTGGCTCAGAATCCCAACGGCCTGGCCGGTAAGGTATGATTTGGTGGCCGACTTGGCTATCGCAACAGCAATAGCACACTTCTGCTGAACGGATTGCGACTGCTTTTCAATCTCTGCTGCAGAGAACCCAGCATAGCACATGGACTGTGCTTGTGGGCGAGTTCCCTCGCAACATGCGGCATTCAGTCGGTCAAATTCACAGAGTGGCACGTTGAGTCTCCTGGCCTCGCAACTTAGCTCCAGTGGCTTTCTTTGTAGCTCACAGTTGAGTTTCCGAGGGTCCCACCGCGAATAACGTTTCTTGCAAGCGTCAATGGTTCTTCCCACGTGGTCCTTGCATTGGGCAATGGCATCTTTCAATTTCTGCTTGCAAGCGGCAACCTGCGCCCTCACGCCCTGTTTGCAGCTATCAATTATAGATCGGCTGGTCTGACCGCACATTCCGAGATTTCTGAGGTCCGTTACTACCGGCATGGGAGCGTCATACACCTGAAGCAGCCGCCCTAGGTTGTTGATTAGTGCGGCACGCGCTCGAGTCTCGGCAACAGCCCTCCAGGATGTGTCCCTAGATAGCAAATTCGGGGCATCTGGCGGCGGTATTCCCGTAAGCTCGGTCACCTTGGAATCGTTCCGCAGCTGGGTATCAATTACTCCGATATCGAGACCGGCGACACGGGCAAGCTCGGATGTTGCATCAGATAAGGGGTTTTCGGATTCACTGGCATTCACGATGTCCATGAACAGAGGCGCATCCTGTGCTTTGATCTCCTCCGGTTGAACTAGTAATGGTTGTGAAGTATTGGAATTCGCGATACAAGCAGGGTTAATCGAACTATTGGATTAAACGCAGAGGGTTTCATTTGCGGCCCCCGTGTCGATCATCTCATTGAGCATGGCAGTTGCGTCTTCAGCGGTGTTTGGGATCGTTCCACTGCTTGGTTCGGGGCTGAGCTGACCCCCGCCATCAGAAGTCTGTCTCTTGATGGCTGTGCCATCTACCTGGCACAGCATACAGAGGCAAATAATTTGGACAATCATCTGCTTCGTTGTTTCAATTGTCATCCAAAATCAAAGTTCCATAGAGGTTGAATTTACCGTAAAACAGAAAAATTCAACTTCTCCACGGAGAATTCCTGCGCCTAAATACATACATACCCTGACGGCCTAGACCCCGGATTATGTTTGTCTCCTGACGCTTTTCACTTCTTTACTACTGATCATGATCAGCTGAACGGCAAGGTCTAGGCCAGCACCATTCTACACCTCGGCCCAATGAGCCACCGACTGACCCAAGACAAGGTGATCACTGGTTGGTGGGTAGAAGGTTCTTATTGGAAGTCCCATAAAGCTTCCTCCATGGCAGCTCAGTCCCTTCCTCTAACAGCATGGCGGAATAATAGTTGGTTACTAGTGGCCTCCTGTGGGGAAGGAAGATCCTTTGACAGCACCATTCCGCCGCAAACGGCCGCAGTGCAGATCAGTAGACCCATGGTACCATCTACGGCAGCCAGCCAGTTGACTTCTTTTGCAAGTTAGAGTATAGACACTCTGGGTAACCAGATTGGCAACAAACCTGTGACTTATTTACCAAATGCTGGGAACAGTTGGTTCTATACTCTGGAACAGACGTAGCTAACCGCGAAGTGTAACCACACGCCAAGACGTTCCCGAGGCAACGAGCAACCCGATCCTTCGTTCTATGAGACAGCTTTGATGTCAGAGCAACTCGTCAAATACGAGGAGTTTCTTGGCATGCCCATTCTCGTATGTGAACATGACCCAAAGGAAAAAACTCCCTGAGCTGATCGGAAATCTATGTGACTTGAAAGGAAATCTGAGTGAGTGCAGTATACGCAATTACGCATAGATCACCTGTGATTAGAGGTATGAAGCAACTCCTTGATAAACCTCATTACAGTAGCCTCATCTAAATGCGTAAAATCACGTTGATCCTAGAAAATCAAGTCTGTATGCACGCACTCTTTATTAGTTAAGGTGTGCCAAGAAGCCTGCATTGTCTGACCTGAACTAACTTAAAAGCCTGGAACATCGAGTAACGGAGTCCGGTTGCGGCATGCCACTCTCTTGAGCCATGGAAGTCCCTAGTCTAGGCGACTCTCTTAATCAAGATGGACATATAATTGCCCATCAGGGGGGTGTTGCGGGTGTGTTTGACCCTGGGCTAGCCCGAGAGCACCTAGACAAGTCAGTTAGAAGAGAAAGATGGATCCAAAGATTTTAGCACAGTAGACCTTAGAGAGATCTAACTTTGTAGAAGCTTGTTCACCACCTAGTCTCATGATGCACCTGCCCCAGATGCTGGTAATAGTAGGACAAAGAGACCAGATCACGCCGCTGGAATATCTAGGAGTCTGAAAAATAGACGCAGTATACTTCTATCATCTGACCTGGATTGATGAGAGCAAGGACACGCAACTACTTGGTCATATCTTCAACTTAGAAGATCTAGCCCCAGACTATGCAACTTCCTCTACGTAATAGCTATTACTGAATAACTAGTTACCAGTAAGAGCGAAACCTTAATACTCCTACACGGCCGGAACATTCTGATCTGAAGCCTCAAGTATCTACAGAGCATATGGGTTTGGACTACTACGGGCCTAGACCCCGGTCGGTACGTATATTAACCCCTTCATATTGGGGTTAACGTCATCCTTATTTTCCGGACGCCATCGGCCATCAATTGTGGTGCCAGGCAATTGTCTTTACTATCTATATATCGGTCTACCACATCCCCAGGGACTAGACCTCCTCTCTTTTCATTTCTAGTCTGGTAGCACAGGTTAACAAGACTAAATCTTCGACCTTATATAAGCTAATCTATTTATTCTTTCGGCAGTTTATCAAATATAGCTGTTAAAAAGGTGTAAGTGGATCTTATAAGGTGTTAGTAACCTTTCTATTAAAATCAAACATGTCATTAGAAGGCAGGCTATTAAATGGTTATAGTTAAATATAACAATGGTGATACAAACAGAACGCAAGTTAACTATTTAGCCGCCACATGTGCCAGCATCCCTACCCACTCAAGGTAATTTATATCTCCCCTTTTAAGTTTATCTTTAAACAGCTAAATTCGCCCTAGGGTTCTAACCATCTCTAGAAAGCAGACCTACTTACCCTTCAGCCTTACTACTCTGGATATATCAGGGTGTAAATAGCTATTATTATTAATTATAACAAGCAGTTATATAGAGGTCAGAACAGCCTAGGAGTCAGTGTTAAATTAGGGTAGATAATTGTGCTCAGCCTTAAATCACGCCCACATATATCAGAAAATACTCAATGGGCATTTTTCACATACTGCACTGGGCTAGATAGACTATTTGGTTAATTATAGACATCTTCAGTTGCCATCAATTCCCTGGCGAAGCATTAACTATGATCAGGTACTGTTCTCGACCTTCAATCAATTCTTAGCCGCAGCCACGGCCCTAACCTCCTCATCCTGTGGAAGAATATCCGGCACCGGTCTAATAGAAGTGATTCTAGTCAGACCAATCTGCATAGAACACTTTATATAGTACTTCTTGATATACTCGAAACTCGTCGTCTTCTAGAATACCAGTATATTTTAGTACAGGATCCTCAACCAGCGATATAACGCGGGATATTCCCAGCGAATATCCCGCATATTATACTTGAAATACTACACGTAGACCGGGTTAAAGCGGATAATAGTTATAAATAGCCGGATATAAAGCTCGACAATACGCGAGCTGAAGAAGAATGGGCCTTCGAATATAGCGAGACAGGCCTTAACTTTATCAAGCGAGGCGAAGAGCGTGGTCACGGCCTTCTTATACGTTCCTTACGTGGTCGCGTAGCCAGACTTGTACATCATATTATTAATATTATTATAGATTTATTCGTTCGTGGCGTTGATCTGGGCACGTGGGGCGCTAGGGAAGAGATTAATGGATTTATGGCTCTCGGGTAGGAGGTTATTGAATTTATCACAAAGTATACAGGTGATCTCTTCAAAGAGAATAAGTATTAAAGATAATCTATAGATAGGTAAAAGGTTAAGATATACCTTGTTACTTATAATGCGATAGGTCTTTTTATTGAAGAGGACGGGGAGTGTAAATCGCCCCGTGTATTCCGGGTTATTAAAGAAGTCAATATCACGTAGATAGATATACTATAGACTATAGATATAAAGGATTTGGGACCGCGTTTTTGGTTACCATCTGAATGACGCTTGGTTCTCCTAGAACAACGCAAAGTATCAGCTGCAGCATTAGCTTAAACCACACTAGCAATAGAACCCGAAGATAATTATCAATGGGTGGGAACTCTGGGTCTCCTGCTATCTTTTCATGCAACAGTTTAGAAAGGAAGGGGATGTGGAGTATGATTCGAACTGAGTGCATTAATTTCATGATCATGCTTTTAATATTGGAAGATCAATGCCACCGTAGCACCGAGTAGAACGTGCAGACAATACAACTATAAAGTAGACGATAAGTGCCATGCGAGATTCTTATGTAGGTCACGACAGAATCTCTCCGTCCGGCAATCCTATCTTGTACAACACCCTGCCATTCCTGTGTCGCAACCGAAGCCGACGCTTTTTCAGGGCCGGCCCTCGCGACGGAATCTGTCATTCCCACTACAGACAGCGCAGCATACGGCATCTTCCCTAGTTATACATACAGGGGTTGCTACTTGGCTGACTCCGCAGGCTTCTCTAAATGCCTCTGGATTTCCTGGATTCCTTCGTAGAGGGAAAAATGCGTCATGATTATCTCTGGTAGCATCCTGCTAATTACTGCTAAGACGTAGAGGATTGAATTGTGTGCACTGCGTACTTTGTAGCATACATGTATTTATTGCATTCATTCCGACCCGTTCCGTGCTCTGCATTCCTTAATCAAAGTCCACACCAAGCCTATCAACGTCCCCATGCGCACCTCCATGTAAGCTTATGATTCGGCCTCTACCAACATGAAGCGAATGCTCATAACCGCCGGCTCCACCTGCTATAAAGCTCTTTGCTCGGTTGGTCGAAAATTGCATCTTGTCCACGCGTTCGCCAGTCCAGAGAGCCATCGAGACGATCTCTTCTCCGTCCTCAAAAAAGTACTGGAACTCGTCTGCAGCCCTGGTACCAATCATGTTGGATCCACCATTCGCCCAGCTGACATATATTCCTCGCACGACATACGGGCCCCCTTCAGAGGTCTCGGAACGAGCGCAGTAGATCAAGAGGGCTTTAACGTAGGAACCGTCTTCGGAATGGGTGAATTGGTTCCCGCCGGGGCCGCCGTATTCTTCGTTTGGTGTCATGGTTTGTGTTGTCAAAAGGTAGATGACAAGTAGGTAATGAGTATGATTTAGGAGAGGGAGAAGAAGGATTGCTGGGTGTGTGTTCCAGTTCAGAACGACAGTTCATGGCTCTCGAGGCTGAATTTATAGCCATAGAGGAGAGCCTAGAAGACAAAATGGTGTTCAGAATTATATCATTTACTGCTATGACAACATCCTTGACGACATCTATTATCTCAGTTACTATATGTATATACTATAGATCGTACGAAAACGGTGTTCAAATTTATATCGTTGACTGCCATGACAACATCCTTGGCGATATCTATTATGTCAATTGCCATCTATATATACTATTAATTGTACGAAAACAGCGTCCAAAATTATATCATTAACTGTCATGGTAATATCCTTGACAACATCTATTATGTCAGTTGTCATCTATGTGTGCTATTAATCGCACGAAACCGGTTTGTGGAGTAGTATCAAGCAATAATATGTCTCCACCACAGCTGTGGCCATTTCGTCCCATGGCTCTAGTATAACTGGACAGCAATTTAGCAACTTGAGTGGACAGTTAATAAGCTATCAAAGAAAGATATACCGGGTTAACACTAGCCTTCTGATGCAGTAGGGGCTGGGGAGTGTCACCCACAGTTATTAGCCATGAGTGACGTTGGGGTCAAGTGGTTACATTCAAGCTGGTCTGGCATCGAGCTACCCGAATGCCGGTGGTAGACAACATAGTAATGTAATGTACCTACCGACCTACGCACCTATATAACATAATATTCTAACCATTCATCGAGTGCTCACAGCAACCCCTTTTATACCAACACATATCATGAAAATCTTTCGCTTTTTGATGGCCTTGGCCGGCCTAGCATCAGCTCAACTGGCTGCCGCTGGCTCCCAAGCACCCTTAACCGACGCCTCCACCACTGGCTCTTTCGCGAGAACCTCCGGCCTGAACTTTGGTATAGACGGCAAGACGGGGTATTTTGCTGGGTCGAATGCCTATTGGATTGGGTACCTGACCGACGACAACGATGTGGACCAGGTATTCGCGCATTTGCAGGAAGCAGGCCTCAAAATCCTGCGCGTCTGGGGGTTCAACGATGTCAACGAAAAGCCCGAGGAGGGAAGGATTTGGTACCAGCTGCACAGGAATCGACGCTCATATATCAATACCGGAGCCGACGGACTGCAACGGCTCGACTCTGTGGTTTCCTCGGCCGCGAAATACGGCGTCAAGCTTATTATCAACTTCGTCAATCATTGGGATGACTACGGCGGAATGAACGCATACCTGAACGCGTACGGAGGATCCTGGAAATCGGACTTTTATACCCACGAGGATATACAAACCGCTTATCGCACTTATATCAAGGCCGTCGTGACCCGGTATCGCGACTCCGCTGCGATCTTTGCCTGGGAGCTGGCCAACGAGCCTCGTTGCAAAGGATGCAACAGCACCGTGATAAACAATTGGGCGGAGGAGACGAGCAGATACATTAAATCGCTCGATGCGCGGCACATGATCGGCATCGGAGATGGTTTGTAACCAGCCAGCCAGCCAGCATCCCCTAGGTAATTGTCAAAAGCTCTAAATCTGACGCTTAACATAACAGAGGGATTCGGTCTCTGGACCGGCTCAGATGACAGCTATCCCTACCAGTTCGCAGAGGGAACCAACTTCGGGAACAACCTCGCCATTCCCACTATTGATTTTGGCACTTTCCACCTCTATCCGGATCAATGTAGGTTTTCCCAGTCCAGCTACAACCTTCCATTCGGACCAAGTTAACGCGAAGTCAAGGGGACCTATACAGCTTGTGGGGGAAGGACTGGGTGTCCTCGCATGAAGCAGTGTGCCGGGCGGCCGGTAAGCCGTGTATTTTGGAGGAATATGGCTCTAATTACAGTCGCTGCAGCACTGAGAAGCCGTGGCAGCAAACAGCACTGGACGAGGAAGGCGTCGCAGCAGATCTGTTCTGGCAATGGGGGGACAAATTGAGCGCTGGACGATCACCGAATGATGGCTACACAATCTATATGGATTCGGAAGATTTCCAGTGTCTGGTTACAGACCATGTAGCTGCTATAGGAGAGTTGAATATACCTCCTTTGTGAAATTTGTTTGGCAAGTAAGGGGGGGAAGGGTTGGTATTTACATATATACAGTAGTTATACAGAGTGGTGTCACGTCACAACAAGTCAACAAAACAGAAACGGAAATGGTAGATAGAAAGAGAGAGACAAGAAATAAGAGCGTATCGAAAGAAGGAATATAGAGTGTGAGAACGAGAGCCAAAAAGAGAAGAATCAAGCCAAACCCTTCCGTCTGGCCGCCTTCTCCTCACATTTCAAATCAACATTTTCCCTCCACCGCGGCCCAAACTCCGCCGTCAACCAGACCATCGCACCAGCCAACACCAAGAATAATCCAGAGAGGGTGTTGAACCAACCGACGCCCATTTCCTGAATCGCAGGGAGAGCGACGCCCGTGCCCAAGGCCGCGAACACGTAACGGAAGAGGTAGCTACCAGCCACGACCTCCGCGCTGCGCCCCTTCAGGACGTCAAGACAGTAGGTGTTCAGACTAGGTTGACAGAAGAGTTGGAAGACGCCTTGCAGGAACATGAAGACGACAGGGACTGGGATGCCGCCGACATCCTGATCCAGACTCCACCCGTAGACGAGGATCGAGCCGGGAGTCAGGACGCAGATGAAGATCAGACACGAGCGGAGGCGGTCCTCGGGGATGCGCAGACCGTTGCGTCGCGCGATGTATTTCTGCACGACGTAGTCGGCCCACCGACCGCCGACGAATGTCCCGGCTAAGAACCCCGCTCCCGGAGCGAGGTAGAATAGCCCGGCTTGCACGGGGCTGGTGAGGTTGAATCGAGGGTTGAGGACGGGGCGGATCGGTGTGAGCAGGGCGTATTGGTTCCAGACGAGAGCGCCGGCGGCAAGGCCGGTCCAGAAGAGGTTGGGGTAGGAGGCGTAGAGGGTGAAGACGCGGATAGGGTTGATTCGATGCCAGAGGAGTTTGGCTTGACGAGGGACGGTTTGGCCGGCGAAGTCGGCGTTGGACTTGGAGGGAATGGTCTCGGGGAAGAAGAGGATGATAGTGGCGGCGGCGAGGCCGTTCATGGCCGTGAGAAGCCAGAAGATGGTGGTCCAGGGTCGAAAAGTAATCACAGCACCCTGAAATTGACAAACGGGTTAGTGGTGTTGATGCTGGAGAGCTAGAAGATGGGATGTTGAACTTACGCCGAGGAAGGGGCCTACGGCAGGGCCTATCAAGCTGCCAGACGTGACCCATCCCAGAGCCGTTGCTCGGGTTTTAGGCTCATAGATATCTCCCACTGCGGAGCTGCCGACGACCAGAAATGATGTTCCTTGGAAAGCAGTAAGGACACGAAGGATGAAGTAAGCGGTTAGGTTGGGAGAGAGCGTGGTGCCAATAGTGAAGAGGAAAAAAAGAACACTGCTGGCAATAAGAATCTAAGGCATATTAGAGAGAAGGATCGAGTATTCGGACTGTTCTTCAGGCACTTACTGGACGACGGCCGAAGACCTGACTTAGAGGACCCCAGAACAAGGCCGAGAGGCCCATGAAAGCTAAATAAAGGGCCGTACTGGCATTTATGATCTCTTCGGTGGTCTGGTAGGTCTTGGCTATCTCTGGCACGGCAGACAGCATGGCCGTGGAGGAGATGGGAGCGAGGAAAGCACAATACGACAGGATACAAAGAATGAGAACTTTGCGCGCGGGTGAGAACTGTTCATACTGCTTGGCCTCGGACTCGTCGTAGTGGTCGTCTTCTACGGCGAATCCACGACGCGAGGAATGACTTTGAACTGGAATCAGTGTGTTCGGTGTACCAGGGGGTGAGCCAAAGTCTGATTCTGACCCCTGACCATACTCTGAAGCAACATGTGTTGCTGAGGAATTGACGGATGACCCGCCTGACATGGGATACACCTTCGAAGGAGCCTTCAACATGATTCACGTCAATTGATAGAACAGTGTCATAAAGTTCTAGATTGATAAAGAATGGTCTGCTTTCAAGCTCTAAGGGAAAGGAACTATTTCGACCGATGTTCATGCGACAGGGCCAACCGTTTTAAGAAAATGAATGGACGAAAAAAAGGCCCGAAAAAAAGCCTTGTGCAATGGACCAAATTCGGAAGAAAAGAACGGATGAAAATAAAAGCTAACAAGAGCACATGCAGGTAAAGAGAGTGACGAAGAGGACGCAGAGGAATCCTTTTTGGGTAAGACAACGCAATATTATGAAGGTGTTTTGCACGCACATTCATTATAAATGAGCAGGGTCCCAAGAAAGGAGAGCTGACCCTGGTGGCCAGCATTGCGCGTTGCGTAGAATAGCCCCCCCAGTTTTTCTACGTCTATCATCACATCATCTGTCCGCGGAGCCGCCCAAAGCTCTCAAAGCTTTAATTGGAAACATCGTAAGAGCATTTTTTGCGCGCACATGGTCTGGATCTTCGTAAGCAGAAGTTAGAGAAGTGCAGAGCCAATGAGACTCTCGAACGGTGGACACGCCCTTGGCAACTATAAGCTCGGGAAAGGAACCGGGGCCTATAGCTTGGTTGAGGTGTGGGACATGATCGACATGGCCGAGCAGATGGGCCCCTGACGACTAACGTCGGGTTCTACTAAACCTTGCGAGAACGCATCATCCGATGGTGTAATGCCAGTCTTTTTCTCGCATTCCGAGGCGTGGCGCGCGGTGACAAGCTCCTTTTCCATCCGGTAGCTCCCGTTGCCCAACCAGCTCTTGGCCCAGGGACGACCCGCGGCCGGGCGGAAGCTTCAGGAGCCAGACCAGGAGGATCTTCACGGAGGCTTGCACATGATGCCCAGGCTGGGTCTGGTTTCACATTCTGTGTGAATCATCGATCCTAGTCTTGTCTTTGAGAGGGAATATTTGTATTCCGTACGCCTGGAGGACCCATCGATCATCGTTGTCCTGATCGATCCCAGGCGTTCGCGCCAAAGCACTGTTGGAAGTGCGTTCCCATTATGTAAAGGCCATAAGTAAAAGACCCTTTTCTTCGAGCCGGTGCCTTGTGTTGTGCCTGACAGTGGTCGGTCATTTTGAGATGATCTTTTGAGCAGCAACCCCCGTTAATTTCGCAGGGAAAAGTGGTTCAGGCCGCAATCCCCTATTCTGGCTGCAGACACATTTCCTGATGTCGCTCATCGAATATTCAACCGACAATTTTTCCCTGCCGTTCTATTTCTGTTCATTCTTGGCGTCATCATCTTGCCGACGATGATGAAGAAGTTATGCAATGATGGAGCCGGCGATGACATTGACTGGTGGAAGGCGTGCAACAAAGTTGAGGGATCCGACCGGAGAACATGGCTGGAAAAGGGAGGAATGTTGTTGGGAACGAAGAAGGACCAAAATTGAGAGCCGAGAGAGCTCCGAAGATGGAGGAGAGGACGAGAAACGGACGACAAAGGAAGAGAGGATAATCCGAAGACCGAGTCATCTGATAAGGTACTTGCAATTAAGCTGGTGTTGATGTACCGTTGTACCAGTGACTTCACTCACGGTATTTCCTGCGCAAATGGCACAAGTCGACGGTACAAAGAGCCAAGAGGCGGGGGCCATGACGTCGGCGGTGACGAGAGCCGCCCTGCACTTGCGCACTTTCTGCCTGAGGTCCCGCCGTTCTCGTCTGTCTCGCTCTCCCTTTCTTCCTCTCCCTCTCCATGACATCTTTCCCCCCTCTCCCTCGCTTCTCCTTCACTTCTCACCCTTTCTTCTCTGTTCACCCCCCCTTTCCTCGGTTTCTCATTATTGGGTCCTGCTCTGTCCATACCCACCTTTATAACATTCCATCTTTAATCGGGAATTTTCTAAAAGTACACCTGTAATCTTATCCCCGGGGAAAATGAGTTCCAGCAAGGATCCACAATCTCAAATCCCCGCCAACAGCAAAGGCTCTTGGTCGAGTTTCCTCAAGGTAAGCCCGCACTACTCAATTGGCGTCCGGTTAGTTTAGTCAGAAACCTGGTCTGACATGAAATGGTTCTTCGCTAGTCTATTGCCTCTTTCAACGGCGACCTGTCCTCCTTGACCGCTCCACCCTTCATCCTCTCCTCTACCTCCCTGGTCGAATATTCCGCCTACTGGGCCGAACATCCGAGTCTGTTCGTGGCCCCGGCCCAGGAGCCGGACCCGGAAAAGCGAGCTCTGGCTGTTTTGAAATGGTTCCTTAGCACCCTGCACCAACAGTACTGCAGCCGCAGTGAGAAGCTGGGCAGCGAGAAGAAGCCCCTGAACCCTTTCCTGGGTGAGCTCTTCATTGGAAAGTGGAATGGCGACGACAACGTCGGGGATACCTCGTTGATCAGTGAGCAAGTCAGGTGGGTTGTTGATTAACATGCTTGCCGGGGGGGAAACATGACAAGCTGACGAGAATGCCAGCCACCACCCTCCCGCCACTGCCTACGCGATTACGAACGATAAGCATGGTGTCGAGGTGAGTGCCGAACTACCACAGGGATCAATTAATCGTACGTCGAATTCTAACCCTATTGTAGCTACAAGGATACAACGCCCAGAAGGCGTCGTTCTCTAGCACCATCCAGATCAAGCAGATCGGTCACGCACTCCTGACCATCACCCCGCCCGGCGCGAACAAGAACGACCCTGCCCAGCAAGAGCAGTACCTCATCACCCTCCCGCATCTGCACATTGAATCTTTGATCTACGGCACGCCCTTTGTCGAACTGGAGAAGACGACGAAGATTGTCAGCAGCACAGGCTACGTGGCCAAAATCGATTACTCCGGCAAGGGCTGGCTGAGCGGGAAGAAGAACACGTTCACCGCGAGCCTGTTCAAGGAAAGTGAGGGCGAGAAGAAGCCCCTTTACACCGCCGAAGGTCAATGGTCAGAGAAATTCACCATTCGCAACGCCCGCACCAAGGAGGAGGTCGACAAGCATGTGGTGAAGGACGCCAAGACCACTCCTCTACAGCTGGCCCCCCTGGAGCAACAGGACCTCTTCGAAAGTCGACGCGCGTGGAGCGATGTGGCTGCGTCGATCGAGCGCGGTGACATGGACTCCGTGTCCAACCATAAGGGTCGCATCGAAAATGCTCAGCGAGAGCTGCGCAAGGTTGAGAAGTCCGAAGGTCGGGAATGGCCTCGACGATTCTTCAAGCGCCTCAACGAGGGTGAGGATGATGACAGGTTCAAGAGCCTCGCCCAGACAGTGGGCCTGACATCCCTGGAAAGCGACAAGACCGGCGGAGTCTGGCGCTTCGACCGCGAGCGCGCCACCGGTGCCCAGCCGCCCTACCACCCCGTCGGCCCCGAAGGTCTCGGACTTAGCAGCAACTAAATAGAATACATATGGGTATCTCCCTAATTTACAGTGGAGAAAGGGAGGTTTTATATAGGTTTCATTAATCCACATAAGGTTTGTCATTAGGTAGAACGTCCGCAGTCCGACTATAGAGGAAAGTCTCGTGATCAGGGATGGGATGGGATAGGAATAGGATGGGTGACTCTGGATATTGCTTTTTTTTTCTTGTCGCAAATCTTGCTTCCTGTATATAGAATCTTCAATATAGTGTCTCCGAATTGGATGTTTCCAGTTTGCAGTTTCCACCAGCCGATCGTCTCCTGCCGTCTTCGACTAGTTCGTAGAGCGGGCCCATGATCGACTCCCATATGACTTTTGAAAATCATCTAGCTATTAGCATGTCGCAGCCTCGCAGGTCAGGGGATGAGAATGGGGATGGGGATAACGAACGCGTCAGTAGTTCGGATCCACTTTTGTTTCTAGTTGCTTTCTATTTTCTAGTTCTTGGGTGTCTTCCGATCTTGAAAAGCTTGAGTCGAGACTCGAGAGTTGACGACATGTGACAGACATTGTCGTCTGGACTATTGCGTCCTGGTTCAATAACTCGTGGCTATGTACTAGGGGGTTTGGTCTTCTGTGGTGCTTGTTTTTTTTTTTTTTTGTGGGGGGGCTTCTGTTTCTGTTGAATATTTAAGAGATGCTACATTTCTATTCGGATGTTCTTGGTTTTCGGGAGGAACTTTCGCTTTTTCTAGTTGTTCTTTAAGTCATCGTACTTCTGAATGTACATTGAGCTCACCTTTTGCTAAGCATAAAGCGTCTATAATCTAACAGCTAGCCCTAGTCATTGAAACCCAATCATCCCAGGAGATAAGGATCATCAAGGGCCACAATAACCGTCGCTACTTCTTTTGAGAGGGCTACACTTTAGAACAATTTACTCAAACAGAGTGTGAGTGTCTAGCGTTCCATCCATCCCTCTCTATCTAATGAGCAAACCGGAAATCCAAGCGCTTATTCCCCTGATCCTTCGTCGTCCGGAGGTAGTTGTCCTTCTCTTCTGAGCTCATGGCGTTCCAGGTGCGTTCACGCGCCTGGTTGCGCCGGATGTAGTAGACTTTGATGAAGACGGTCATGACCACGTTCCAGGCGACGATGGCCAGGAGGACCTTGTTTCCTCGGCGGTAGTAGGGGGCGTCGTCGGCACGGTAGATCTACGTGTGGATCGAGGGTTGGTTAGAAAGAGAAACAACATGTGAAGAAGCGGGTTGAGCGAGAAAACAGATGCGGCTGGCTTACATTAGAGGAAATGATCGAGCTCGCTTGGCAGATCATGTTGTATAGTGCGCTGCCCACTGTCCTTGTGCGCACGGATCCGGCGTTCCGAGAAGTAAGACTAACTATTGTGGCGTAGTGTGGTTAGACAATTCTGCTTATATACCCAGGTCTAGACCTAGGGGGTGGGGATGAGAGGATCGTCGTACCATTAATGGAATGGATGTATGGAAACCCAATCAGCATGATAGTCACCGTGTACCAGCTCCACGGACTAGCGGATGACGGCAACAGCTCCAAGGCAAGTAGGAGAGGTAGACACCAGACTGAGTAGAACATGACAATTGCCATTCGGTTGTTGATTTTCTCCGAGAGCCAGGACCAGAAGATCAGTTGGATCAAAAACAGGACATATGCCGGGATGGTCAAAAGGTTGGTCTCGAACGTGTCGAACCCAAGAGACTTTAAATTCAGCGTTAGGTATGCCGATACAGGGTTGGTGGGAATGAGCATGGTAAAACTGATTGCGTATAATGGCCACAAATCGTAGTCCATGAGGGAAGCCCAGAGCAGCTTCAGATTCAGGCCTTGACGGTTGTGCATACCACCCTGAGTACCCAGGTCAGCATTGTCCGTCAGCGCTTGTTCAGATGACCGTGCACTCACCTTGCCTGGGTCGTCTCGTAGCACTCGATTAACCATGATAACCTCCTCCCTCTCATCAAACCAACCATCTCTACCACGAAACCAGCTTGCAGTTTGTGTCGGGCTTGGTGGCAAGTAGAACCAGGAAAGGATGCCGATGATGGCCGTCAAAGCACCCTCCAAGGCAAACAACCACCGCCAGCCCTCCCAGCCTCCAATCATCTTCATATGCAAGATTCCGTAGGCCAGAAAAGCAGCAATGATGAAGGTGAAGTGCGATGAACAGTAAAAATAGCCCACCCGGATCGGGAGCTCTTTATTGGTGTAGAAGTATGAAAGGTATAGCAGGGCATCTGGAATGAACCCACCCTCTACTAGGCCAAGAAGAGCACGGGTGGCATAGAAGCTTTTCTCGTCAACTATCAAAGCTTGGCAGATGCCAATAACGCTCCAAGTGACCATTTGTATCGGGATCCAAACGTCGGGTCCTAGCTTTTTCGAGATCATCTGCGACGGTACTTCGGCTGATAAGAAGCAGAGGTAGAATATCATCATGCCATAGTTGTACTGGTTTGTTGATAGCCCAAGATCGTCTAAAAGCCCGTCACTGAGAGCCTGGGATATGTTTCCGCGATCGAGTTGTAGTGCGAAAAACATTAGACAAACCCAGGAACAGATCCTATAATCAAGCTGAATACGGGAGAGTAGACGTCAGCGACATCACAACATATGGATGAGAGACGATCAATGACATACTTTTCGCACCAATTTTTTCTCTTCTTTCTCCGTCCACTCGGCCGTCGGATCATATCGATGTCTGCCCTCGTACTCTGGAATTGGTTCGTACAGCTCGGTGGCCCCGCCATCCGCGAACGCGTTGCCATTTCCTTGGTACCTTTTAGTTGCTCCTTCTTCCACAACCAACTCCTGCGGCGCATATTTTGAATCCTCCCATTTCTTAGATTCTGAGTCGCCCGACATTGTCGATACACGCTAAGCCCGCTGACAGGACGTCTTGACAGCAATGACCGAAACAATTCCACCATCTTATATACTCCCCAACGTGCAACACGTGCACAGGGTCAAAGATGGTGCAATACCAATTTTGGACACTGAGTTATGCCTCTTGGGCGAATACTTGGTGATACTCAGTGGCGCGCGTCGAGCTAAAATTGTGCAATATGGATGTTCTGCATATCTCCGCGGAGCGAGGAAGGGAAAACTGGGGAAAACCCAGAATCAACAACACAGCTTCCACCGTGTGGGTCTTCACGACGACAAGCCAAGAAGGCTAGTCGTGCTCTTGGTGGTATTGTCACTGCAATAGTCCTTGCATCGTGGACTTTGTTGGGGTAGAAGGACTACGCCGCTGTGGACTACAATAAGGCCGTGCCTCTGGAAAACACGAGTAGAGAAGATAAAGGGAGGTCGCCTTGTTGATTCACGAAAAGACGGTCTTTCCCGAACAAGTTCCAGGGCTTCGCACGCCATGTGTAGCACGACGTCGGACAAGGGCAATGGGCGGACTTCCTTGAAAAGACGATCATCCTAGAGGATGGCACCATTGGTATGCTTTCGAGCTTTTGCTCAGGGTCTGTCTTCAATGGAGTGGCTTGAGGGGAGCAACATTAGCTTCTATGCACGTTTCAAGTCCCGTTATGAGCGAAATATGCCATGGTGTTGTACCATATTGTGCCAATGGCCGTGCTCGATCGTGATTTAACCGCAAGTTTCCCGCGGTATAATGCCGAAATTTGCTCCGCTTCACGGCTGCTGACCGGGCTAACTAAGGATCTTGGCGATGCTATTAGCACTCTTTAGCAAGTGAGCTCGCTTATGTTTAGGTCCAAGTACCCTGCAGTAGCTAATAATAAGGAAGCGAAGCCGGTCAGCGAATGGTCTTTGAGCGAAGGGGCGAAGATGAACACGGCCGAGGAGATTGTACATCGAGAATACATCAAAAAGACCAAGTCCGGATGCCACTAAACTTCTAGGCGGCTGGCTGGCAGAGGAGACGGACGAATCGGTCGCAAGGAAGATTACCTACTGGTAGTCCAACAAACGATAGCGCGTGGTCAGGATGCAATTCCAATTTGTCACTTCGTGCAGAGTATACATGTGGAAACAAGGATGATCAGAATTTATAAGATGCCTTAGGCTCCCGCAAAGACTTTGGAAGACGATACTCGGATGAAAAACAAGCTCGGTAAATCTAGAGAAGATGTCCACCGTAAGAAGAAGAGAGAGAGAGAGAGAGAGAGAAAGAGAGAGCATTTTGCTGGCGGTAACTACTGAGTATGTGGAGAAGGTCCGGTTCGGGTAGACCCACACGACATAAATATACTTCTCCGGAATAGCCTCATGTCCCCAAGAGACATGCCGGCTTGCTAGTCTCCTTAAAGCTCCAAGGGCTCGCCATTGCCTAGCCTAGGTTTGGTGTTGGCAGAAGTCGAACGGCAATAGATTCGAACATGTTGGTATACAAAGGGCTACTTGCACCGCTAGGCTTACATATAACTACGGTGTGCCTAGTGGGAAACGACGAAATGCTTGGCAACTTGCCTCAGGCATCTTCTGCTCACTTGCTGTTCTGCGGGCGGCAAATTATGGCAGATACCGACCGCCTTCTTGATCGGGATTATTTTATTGACATATAAGCCATTGTTTGGGAAGAATGGTACCGGTCCAGCCGTTTGGGGGTGACAGCATGAGGGAATCTCACTACCCCCTTCGTCGGGGTCAGTTGGACCTCTTACCTGGATATGGATAACGCGTCCCCTTCCTCATTTGAGTCGATGGCGTGGACGCATCCCGGGGGTGAGCTTTTTGTTTTTCCTGCTTCCTTTCTTTTTTGTTCTCCTCTTCCTTGTTCCTTATGTTGTTGCCCCAAACGTCCTCTCTCCATCATCCTCCCTACATCTTCCTCGCCGTAACATTCTATTTCCACTTGATCTGTCTGCATTGTACCTACCCACCCATCCTAGTCCTCTTCCCGCGGTCCCCTTCAGTACTTACCTACCGAAAAACAGTCTATGCATACGATAGATAAGATCCATGGATGCGCTGGTTCCAAGATCGTAGCATCTCGATTTCTACCTGAACAATGCTTCTTTCTTCCCCTTGCCTCCCTTCCAATTTCCTCAGTTTTCTCACCTGTCACTCTCTCTTCCTTGGTGTTCGCTTAAGGCGCTGTGACTTCTCTTTACCAAGGTTAGTAGCTCCAGAAGGAAAAGGGGAGAGAAGAAAGTACGAAAAAGAATTGGCACATCTCATTCATCATCGAAACAACGGAATCCCCTTATAACAACCCAACCCCGTCACCATCCAGCCCGCAGAAAGCAACCAACCCCTTTCATGCCTTTTTGCATACCTGCCTAATCAAGCTATCCATCTGAACAACCTCAATTAACGTCATGGACCTCCACTCCCCGAGCAAATGAAACCATGTCGACAATCAACAAGCAACACAACCATTAGTCCAAAAGCCCACCCAACCCGATCTATATAAGACAAGAAGATGGAACATGAGTCAACGCAGGAACAGATCGGATCGAAAAGACCACTGACGGCGCTAACCGGATCAGAGCTAGCGAGGCACATTGGTCTCTCTGCTCCACTCGGTCAGATCTGATCCGATCAAATGAGATCAGATCAGATAACAGCCGGCAGGATTGTGAAACGTAGGTACTTGATTCAGGTACTTGTACATTGGACTACAAGAAGCGAGATAGACGATCGAGTCGATGAACAAAAACGCCACCCAAGTAAGGTCGTTGCATTCTTTATGCCCCTCTTCCTCCGATCCCAATCCAGTCAAATTGCATAGATGAAATCCCAATTGACCCCAGGTATGTAGTACAGGCAGCGGAAATTATGCGACGTAAAGAACAAGGACATGGTTTTTGTAGAACATTAATCAAGGAAATCATGAGTGAAAAACAAGACCCGTTGGTCGATGTCATAAACCCGTATAAAGTAATAAAGCAACAACAGAAAAGAAAAACGAGTAACATTTTTTTTCAGTTCCATACAACAAGGGAAACGCAAACCGGCGGTGAAAAGAAAAAGCCCAACGGAAACCCAGCCAAGCTCCCCTTGAGAGTAGAGATTACACATTTCAAGGCGTCACGATAGATAGAAATAGGAAACAGAACGGAAAAGAGCAAATATAAAACGGTTTTTGATCCAGGCTCACCGGCCCTGAGCAAGAGAAGTCCGCAATCCATCGCCCATAAAACATAAGAGAAGAAAAAAAAGAAAAGAGGAAATGAAATGGAAATTAGAGCAGCTTGAGGTCGAGAGATGATAATGTCATGATCATTTAGTGACCGTAGTTGCCGCCCCAGCCTCCACGACCAGTGTTGCCGTAGTAGTTGGTGAATCCTGCACCGCCGTAGTTACCGTAGCCGGTCGCTTGATGGTGACTCTGGGTAGCGGCTGCTTGGTGGCCACCAAGTCCACCCAGGCCTCCATACTGGGGGTTGAGGTGGGGGTAAGCGCCAAATCCCTGCTGGCCTTGCTGGCCCTGCAAAGGAGGAAGTCCGGTTTGAGCTTGAGACTGACCGGGAACGCTGTTGGTCGCAGATCCAGGACGGTTGGCCTGTGCCAACGAAGGGCTAGGGCCGCCCGCCTTGGGTGTGTCGAAGGCCTTCGTTTCCTCCGAAGTCACCGGGGGCTGCTGGGAAATGGGCTGGCTCTGGCCGAAGCCCGCCTGGGAACGTCCAAAAACATCAGACATGCCCGTGCCGAACGCATTGGCCCCGGCCGCGGTCTGCTGGCTTTCTGAGGGCTGGGCGGAGCCGGTACGTCCGTAAACGGATTCTCGGCCCGGCATAGCTTGGTTGAAGGCGCCGGCCGCCGCAGGCGACGAAGAGTGGTCGTAGGAAAAGCCGTGGGGCTGTCCGTACATTCCAGTCTTGCCGTAGGGTCCATACTGATTGCCGTAGGCATATTGGGCGGCGCTGTGGGGCATGTAGTGGTCATCATAGCGGCGAGCGTCATCATACATCGGACGGTTTCGGCTGTATTGGTTCATCTGGCTCATGTACGTCGCATAGTGGGGGTTGGAGAAGTAGGGGTACTGGTATTGGTAGGCGGCATGGCCAGGCATGTGCGCCGCAGTCGGGGTTTGAGCAGCCGCTGGAAGAGTGGGATTAGGTGTGTTGTGACCACTGTTGGGAGCATCGACATGGCCGTAACGGCTGGGGGGCTGGGTCGTGGGGATGTGCGGCTGTACTTCGGCGCCGGAAACACCGAATCCAGCACCCGCTCTCTGGGCAGCGGTGGCATCCTGAGACTGGCCGTAGGTGCCGTAATAGTTGTAGGGGAGACGCTGGTCAACGCCGTAGAAAGGAGAGTACTCGCTGCTGGTGGTGACGGCGGGCTGAACGGGAGCCTGGTTGGCGAATGGCTCCTGGATTTGAGGCTGAGGCTGCGAAACCTGCTGGCTGAATGGGTCGTAGGGTTTGTGGGCGTCAGTGTAGCGAGAGAAGTCGGTGAAGGAAGAGTCGGCGGCGGAGACCTGAGGAACAGGAGGAAGTCCAGGGGCTGGGCGCGAGACAGCGGGGCTGCCGGTCGAGGCCTGCGGCTGGGTAGAAGGGGGCAAGGAGGCACGAGGGGCCACGGGGGAGTGTTGAGGGGGTTGAGCCCGGGTCTCGGCGTCCTCGCGGTTCTCGTCGATGTCGACGTCCGCAGAGTCGCCGTTCAGACCCATGCTACCGAACTGCACGGCGGCCCGGTCAACGGCATGGTTTCCAGGCATAACCACCGCTTCCTGCTGTTCCATAACGCGACGCTGGGCGCCCGGACCTCGGACGCTGTGTCTCAATGCGCTGCCAGGGTAGGCACCAGGGGCGCCACGTCCAGGAGTTCCGGTTGAGCCGACATTGTGAGCATCAAAGGCGCTTCCCACAGTGCTGGCTGCAGTAGCGGTAGGAGCAGGGGGAGAAACATCGGGAATCTGCGCGAGGTTCGTCTTGGTCAAATCATCCTTAGGAGGAGTGACCTCGGTTGAAGGAGGGGCAGCAGCCGGCGCCTCAGGCTGCTTAGGGATGACCGGTTCGGGCGCCTTTTCCACGGGGATGGGAACCGGGGCAGGGACCGGGGCAGGAATGGGTGCGGGTTCGGGGGCTTTTTGCTCTGCGACTGGTTCAACAGCAGCAGGCTTTTCGGGGGCGGATGTAGTAGGGGCAGCGGTGGGAGCAGGAGCGGCCGGAGCAGCAGGAGCAGGAGCGGAAGCGGGGGCGGGAGCCGGAGCAGCAGGTTTCTTCTGAGTGGGAGGAGTAGCAGTAGTAGCGGTAGGAGGAGGAGGAGCGGGTTTGGCAAATAAACTGGCCCAGCCTTTCTTGGTGCCCTCGGGGATGACGCTGCTCTTGGGCGTGTCCTTGGCATCCTCCTTCGAAGTGTCGGTCGATTCAACGGTTGTGGATTCGGCGTCGGCGTCCACCTTGTCAGTTTTCTGCGCCTCGGGAACAGCTGTCGCAGCCGACTCGGCAGTGGATGCAATGGGAGCGGTAACAGCTGGCTTCTCCAATCGGCTTCCATTGGTATGAGCACCTGCACGGCCGCCCCGACCGCCCCGACCGCGATCTCCGCGAGCGCGACCACGACCTTCAAATCCACCACGTCCACGGCCTGCTCGGACAGGAGCGGGAGTTGTCTCGGTCGGGGTGCTCTGTACCTCCTTTGGCTTGGGTCGACTCCGATCTGTGGTCTTCTTCTTTACCTCACCCCACTGAGAGACGTTGCCTGATGAGAGACGGAACACGACAATGTTAGCCAGGCCGTAATAATGACGGAAGAGAGTAAGCGAGTAGGGGAGGACATAGTATGGGTCGCACCTTCGGTTATGCGATCAATTGCAGCCTCGAGGTCACCATCAGCATCCTCCAAGGCGAAGACCAGGTCCTCGTTCGTCCAGTCGGGGAACAGCTCATTCAGCATAGGCAGAGTGTCGGAATACTTCTTCTTCATCTGACCGATTTCGCCCTCATCTTCGAATGCGGACTGCGTGTCCTCTGAGCTGTCTGCCTTTGCAGATCTGCTGCTGCCACCCCGACCACCTCTAGAGCTATAGCCGCCTCGACCACCGCGAGCAGACACCCTGCCACGAGAAGCAGCGGGTCGTGATTGAACGTCAGACATATCGTTCTAATGGGAATTTGTGTGAATTCTCCCAGGACAACAGAGGAGAGAAAGAGGGTCGGAAGGGAAAAAGGGAAAGGAAAGGAGGAAAGAGGGCGAAGGGAGAAAACAAGGTGTGGCTAGTGGAAGAGAAAAAGCGGGTAAAACGAGGTTTAGTTGGTTCGAGAGGTAGAAAGATTTGGTGTGAATTTCAAGAAGAAGGGAAGGGAGAGGTGGAAAGGTTTGGTTGGTTTGGTCGGTTTGGTTTAGGTTTAGGTCAGCTTTTGTGTTGCCTGAGGCTGCTCCGGGGCGGCGGTACCGTTTGGTAAGGAAACCTAGTCAGGTGTACAGTATGTAGTACTTACTCCGTGTAGGTACCTATACAGAGTAGACTAAGTGAGGCGAAATTCGATCTGTGAGTTTAATTCCTTCTCATATGAAATGCCCCAATTCCATCATTCTGATTTCCTCCCAATTCCCCCCAATCGTCCTGCTCACCCGCCACCCACCGCGCAAAATTACCCACCCCCGTCCGTAACGAACCCGTTCAGAGTTGCGATGGCCACCCTGAATATTCAGGCAGCACTTTTAGCGAGTTAACACTAAAGTCCGAGAAAGTTGGCCCATTCGTCATTCATCGACAATTGAGGATCAATGAATTCGTTCATTAGACAATAGTATATCCCTTGATATACTCCCCCTTCCTTCTCGGCTCCTTCACCTCAAACAGTGAAATATTTACGCTGTATCTCCTCGATGAGCTGTTAATTGACTACCTACAAAGTACTAATACGTTGTAGTTAACTAACTACACCGTAGTCAAGTTAAGTTAATGAACAAGTCTGGGGAAGTAATGACTAAGCCCGGCTTCTCACCGCCTTCTCGTCCTCAGGCCAAAGTCAGACGTCGACGATTGCCGTCAACCCGTCAAGAATAATCACCCCATGCTTATCTTCCGCCGTGACGAACCATCCTTTTGACATCCTCGCCTTCCTCTCCCAATCAGTCGGCACTCTACTCTGTCCACGCCATGAAGGGCACGTCGGTCTTGCGTTTTGCGTCTTGGCCGAAAATCCATCAGCCGTTACCCCGTAACCCTCGCCAATCTCAGCAGCTGCTCAACGCCCTTACATCCTCCTTTCGTCGCCAGTTAGACCGGGAACACCCATCTTCCAGTTCACCATCAGAGCAGCCTCACAATGGGGATTCCCGACCAGAAAACCTGTACTCGTCCGTGCATGCAACCGACAAGCATATGCAGTTAATCCTGGACAACCCGCTCTTCCGTGGGAAACCTGCCCGCTCTTCTGTTCAGCTCGACGAGCACAGGTTGCGCACGGAACCCATGGCGCTCTTTGATGATCTAGTCGCATCTGGCTCGGTTACTACCTCGACTCTTCGGAGCTGCCTGCAATCGCAGCTTTGGCTCGCAAGCCGTCATACGGGAGATGATTACCCCAAAGCCATGAAGGAGGCGCGGGCCGGGTCGAGGTTTGTGCACTGGTGGTTTGCGTCCGGCCCCCGTGCATTGGGAATACTTTTCAAGTCCCAAGTTTCGACCCGGACTCTGACGAAGTTCATGATGGCCGAGGGACTACAAAATACCGTCTTGGGTTGGCTGGACTTACTGGCAAAAGGAGAACTCAAACGGCTTCCGAGGGACGCTGCTCAGGAGCTTTACCGTGTGTTTCTACTTGATATGATTAGATGGGAGATTTTTCATGGTGGAGGCGTGCCCGCTGCCTTGCAGAAATGTTATCTACCGGCTGCCAAGAGCTTGCTTGCACTTGACAAGAAAGACCCGAAATTTCACTCCGCCGGTCTTCATGATGCGACTATCAAACTGAACATGTTTATGAAGACGGTGTCCACCGAAATTCCCGTTGCTGTATTCGAAGATTTCGCCAAAATCCAAGACCAAGTGTGGCCCATGGGGCGCCTGTCTGCCGTGGTGCATCTTTACCACCCTACACAAGCAAACCCTACCCCGTTCCTCCAATACGCGAAGCGACTGTCTCCTGATCGTGTTGAATCATGGAACGAAAAGAAGCAGGAGTCCTTTATGCGGGGTGGTTTCAAGGCGCTTCAGATTATGATGGACCAGGGCCGGGATCATGATGCCTCTGATCTGGCACAGATTATGCAACGGTCGTTGCCTGCTCTCAAAGACCAGAAAGCGGTGCAGAATGGATTCGGGTGGTTTGTGGAGGAAAACTTCCTCGCCCGCGTGAACCTCGCGGCCACGTGACCGTGAGGGACCATCGACTTTCTTCTTTCTCTCTCGACAGTCGCCTCCCAGACTTCCAAACTCCCAGACTGTCAACGTCATGGACCCCCTCGACCGGAGAGTAGGAATGATTCGTCAGTGCGATCCGCGAATGGCGGACTGGCCATTATCGTCTCATACGATCACGCCAACCCACGCTACTCCGCATCCTGCTCCACCCAGCCAGCCACACAACTGGGGCGATTCTCCTCTCCTTGGCATGCTTACTACTCCGTTACCCGTACGGGCCATTAGTCTCCTGCACATACTCATCCCCCCTTCCCCAGGAGCCCGTCTAGCGCAGCTTATGTACTCCGCTACTGACTGTACCTCGCGAGCTGAGCTTCGGAGGATTAGTATCTGAAGCTCCTGGTCGCTAATTTGCTCTCCGTCCCGAAATGATTGATTTCCAGATTGAGTTCCGCATAAATCGGGTTTAGCGCCCTACGATGATGTCCTTAGTCAACGTCACCGCGCAACCTCACTTCTCCTTCTGCTCTGACCTCCTCATCAACCGAACATCCTTCCTCTGAATCTTAGTATTAGTAGGCATCAATTATAGCCAAATCGCGGTCGCTACCTATCGGCGACGCTTCTTCACTTGAAATTGTTCCAACCTAAGCACCCAATATCGGTTGGGACCACTCCTACCTTGCCATCATGTCTACGGAGCCTACCGTCAACGCCAACACAACTACAGTTCCGGGTACGCTCAGCCATCCTACGCCCTTTTCCCATGCGCCCTATCTGAGAAATTTCGGGCGATTCATCAACCGATACTAACGTTCCGCGTCTTAGACCCCACCAACACTACGGGCGCTGACGTCACCAAGACGGTCCCGGATGACGCACCAAAACAGACCAATGGTGACAATCATTCGGCCAAACCAGACGGGGCTGGCCATACGTCTGTAGAAAGCAACTCTACGGATGCACCTGGACGGGCGGATATAGCCAAACCGGCGGCGGAGGAGCCACTATCAGGGGGGCCGGTCCTCGCTCCGAGCGTCGATTCTGAGAAGCCTGCCGGGGAGGCCAAGCCCGATGCACCCAACACAGGTGACAAGCGGGACCTTGAGTCGACCCCTGCTCCGACGGATACAGATAAACCTGTCACCGACTCCTCCGGCCCGTCCACCGTTGCGCCTATCGCCAAAAAGCAAAAGGCCGACGACAACGCTGCGGCCGCAAATGGCACCCGGGCGAATGGGGAGAACAAGAAGACAGGTCGCCCGAAGAAGGTGAAAGAAGCCGCGAAGAAGGTGATACCTACGGATGGTATTGGTAGTCGGACTCGCAGCCGGACCAAGGCCGTGTCTTGAGGTGGTGGCATTGTCAATGGATGCTCATATATGACTCGATGAGCTGGGCGGCATCTCCATTATCACTTTAATGCTTACCATGCAGTATGGTCGCAATAGGAGGTAGGCTCAATGCATGTCAGCATATTGTTTTGTTCGTGGAGCCGTGGTCGGACAAGTCATCTCCTCAGATAGGTATATTCAAGGACCATGAGCCATCGAGTTCCGTGCCTGTCTTTTCTAGAGGAGGTTAAATTATTTTGCCCTGCATCCGAAGTATACCGTATATGTACAAAGAAAGTAATGCCTGAGGTACATACTAGGTAGGTAGTGATGCACTCCGTACGGTAGTCGTGACGAATGCACTTTGCCGATATCGGCCGGGATCTGGCTGAGTCATGGCTCCGGAACGGAACAACTGTGAACTCCCCCCGCTATTACCAGAGGGGCAAGTCTGTGTCATAGAGGGGAACCAACCTAAGGTATTAATCGCTGGGTGATTATCGTCGGTCTTCGAAATTTCTCTTTTGACTTTACTCCGTTAGAATCAGCAACAGTCCTTCACTCGCAGAAATTATGTCTTCTCATATCTGGCTTCGCGCAGAGACAAAGCCCGCCGAGGCGCGGTCTGCTCGTGAGTATTTCCTTCGTCAATGCCATTGCTATCCTAGCCAATGGTAGTCAATTTATTCCGTTTCGTTTCTGCGTTCGCAATTGGATGCATCGCAAAAAGCGCAAGAGCTCAGAAAAGCTAATTGGATGGCCAGTGACCCCGACTACTACGAAGGCGCTCCTTGATGCTGGTTACAAGGTGACAGTCGAACGCTCTACCCAGCGTATCTTTGACGGTATGTTGCAATTCGAACCCCTTTCCCGTGCTTCATGTTGAACGATTGCTGACCCTGGCCTCCAATGATAGATGAGGAATTCGCCAAGGTTTGCCTACCGTTTGCCCCCTTCTCAACACAATTGAGTACTCATTATCCGGCTAAATAGGTTGGAGCTCCCTTGGTCGAAGAAGGTTCCTGGGTGAAGGATGCCCCTAAGGATGCCTACATTCTGGGTCTCAAGGAGCTTCCTGAAGATGACTTCCCTCTCGAACATGTTCACATCTCTTTCGCGCATTGCTACAAGCAGCAGGGTGGCTGGGAGAAGGTCCTCAGCCGATGGCCCCGTGGAGGCGGTACCCTCTTGGATCTTGAGTTCCTCACGGATGATGTCGGACGCAGAGTGGCTGGTAAGAAGGCTATACTCTGGATGATTTGAGTCTCGGACCTAACTATGGATTTTTCTCTTTTCCGCAGCTTTCGGCTACTCGGCTGGCTACGCAGGTATGCAATGCTTTGGAGGTCATATAATATTGAAACAGGAACTCACAAATTATAGGCTCCGCTTTGGCTGTGAAGAACTGGGCTCGGCAACTGACGCACCAGGGCGAGCCTCTACCGGGCGAGGTCCCTTACGCCAACCAACAACTTTTGATTGAGTCGGTGAAGGAGTCCGTTGAGGCCGGCAAGAAACAATCTGGCCGGTCCCCCAAGGTCCTGGTGATCGGAGCTGTGAGTGCAATTCTTCATTGTGAATAGAAAGGCTCGTCGCTAAATTCTACTAGCTTGGACGCTGCGGTAAGGGTGCCGTGCAGCTCGCCAAGGATGTCGGTATTCCGGAATCCGACATCCTGCAATGGGATATTGAAGAGACCAAGAAGGGTATGGAATCCCATGCCGTCCATTAAGTTTCGCTTCCCATACTAATATACGCTGTAGGCGGGCCCTTCAAGGAGATCGTTGAGGACGTCGACATTTTCGTCAACTGCATTTACCTTTCTGCTAAGATTCCTCCGTTCGTCAACGTGGAAACTCTTGCTTCGCCTAACCGCCGCCTGTCTGTCATCTGCGACGTCAGCGCCGACACGTAAGTCCCAGCCGGCTCTTATCCGTGTGTTTTGAATATGCACCGCTGACTCTTCCGCTCCCTACAGCACCAACCCTCACAACCCCATCCCCGTGTACGATATCACCACCACATTCGACAAGCCCACCGTGCCCGTCACCTTGCCGGCAGGCACCCAGGGCCCTCCCCTGAGCGTCATCAGCATCGACCACCTGCCCTCGCTCCTGCCCCGCGAAAGTTCCGAGATGTTCAGCGAGGCTCTGTTGCCCAGTCTTTTGCAGCTGAAGGACCGATCTAATGCCCGTGTCTGGAAGCAGGCGGAGGATCTGTTCAAGGAGAAGGTTGCTACTTTGCCATGATTGATATCCCATAGAATTCGATGTCTCTTGGCTTGAAAATTGTGCATATAAAATTCAGTTTATTTCGGTATATCATGTTACCTGAGAAGCTACTAGAAGAATCCAGGAACTAGGAAGCATTTCTTGATGACATTCCCTCCTAGTATCTGTATTGCTTTCTCTGCTTAATGTTTAGTATCAGCGTAGGTTCTCATTATGGCACCCTGTGATCGAAAATATGGACAACTGCCACGGACGTAGTATCCGAACATAGTGGAGGTTTATAACTTCGTTTCTCAATGAATTCCGTCCCGCCGTACGCCACTACCAGATACAGTCTAATTAATACCGATACATCATTCATCATTCAGGGTAATCGCCCTCAGATAAGCTCAACATCCCAATTACCCTCGTGTTCCGTTAGGAGTAAAACTTGCCATGTCGTATCTCATCATATCCATAGCTGAACAATTCCATCATCTGCAGAACACACCAACAACTTCTCGTCGTCCACAAACTTGACTGCCTTGACCCAGCCAGAGTGTCCCCTCAGCACTTTGTGTACGGAACCAGCGCGCACATCCCACAGCCTAACCGTCATATCATCTGAAGCAGAGGCAAGCCGTGTCCCATCCGGAGAAAAGGTCACGGCTCTGACCCAGGACGAATGTCCAGTGATGACCCTCTGCAAAGAGGCCGTGCCTGTATTCCAAACCCGAATTGTCGTATCCTTGGAAGCCGACGCGATAAGGCTGCTGTCTGGAGAGAAAGCCACAGCCCTCGTAAATCCAGTATGGCCCTCCAGCGTCCTGCATAGAGCCCCGGTATTTGCATCCCATAGTTTAACAGTCATGTCATCTGACGCCGACGCAATCAGCCGATTGTCTGGCGAGAAGGCAACGGCTCTGACCCAGCCTGCGTGTCCACGAAGAATTCTGTGCGTATAACCGGAGCTGATATTCCACAGGCGAACTGTCATGTCATCCGATGCAGAAGCGATTACCTTGCTATCAGGCGAGAAGGCGACGCTCCTGACGCAGCCCGAATGGCCCGCAAACGATCGTTCAGCGCGTCCCGAAACCACATTCCACAGTCGAACTGTCGTATCATCCGACCCAGAGGCAACTCGTCGGCCGTCTGGTGATACGGCCACAGCCCGAACCCATCCAGTATGACCTTGGAAGCTCCTCGCCTGGTAGCCTGAAGCCGTGTTCCAGACCTTCACGGTCGTGTCGTTTGAGACGGATGCAATCTTATCTCCGTCAGGGAATGGAGTCGCGGCCCAGACCCAGCCGGAGTGGCCTTCTAGTTTGCGTAGGGAAGTTAAGTGATAATTTAGGGAGCCGGTGGTGTGGGTTTGTGTATGTGGTGGCATCGGTCCCTCTCTCTGTGTGTGTATGGTTCTCTTTCTATTTTCGCTTCTCTTCGAAATACGATCGACGGTGATCAAAGTATGATAAAGAAAGAAAGTGGTTATCACAAGAGGGGAAAGTGGCAGCCTGGGCGTTTGGATGCACGTGCGGCCGTTGGTTCTTCGTTTGTTCTTGCTATTTTTGCATCCTTTTCCGTTGTCTTCCTGCCACTGCCACTTCCACTTTGACTGCGCCTTCCTTGTCGATGGCCTCAGGTAAGACAGAACGCCGTTTCAGTCTAATACAAGTTTATCAAAATCAACTCCAGCCTAGGATTAAAGAGGCAAATATAGGGTTTGCAGACTAATAGCTCAGTAAACTAACTAGCCCAAGTGAATACATCACTCACTGCAACGTCCAATTCTAAGAGACGGCCTTGTTCTCTGGGACTTCATTCTGTCCCTCCACTCCCCATTGCACATGGTATCCTTTCACGGCCAGATAGTCTTTCCACTCCTGGTCCCCGTTGTCTAGTTCCTTATCCGGATCCACGAGGACGAACCATGCCACCAACCCTCCCAGCACTGCGAATCCCGACCCGATCAAGAAGACCGCCTGCGTACCGTGAAATTCATCCTCACCCCAACTAGCGAGAATCGGCTTGAAGACCTGCGTGCCAACCGCAGCGCCGGCCTTGCTCCATGCGGCGGCCAAGCCCACTCCGTGGCCACGCAGTGCCGTGGGAAAGCTTTCACTAGCAGTGAGTACGATCGTTGAACCCGGTCCGATCTCTCCTAGAGTGAGAAAAACACCGTAAAGAACGATGAAGAGAGCCAGGTGCTTCTCGATATGCTTCAGAGCTCCACCGAGGACAAATCCCAGTATCGCTTGGAGGAAGAACCCGAGGGCCATCGTACGTCGTCGACCAATGCGATCTGAGAGGAGACCGCCAATAAAGGCTCCCGGAATATAAAAGCAGTTTATCAAGGTACCCCACGCCATGGTCAGAGCGAGAGAGGAATTCGGATTGACGCGGCCGACAATCGCAGACGAGAAAAGCCCAAAAGGGTAGGAAATGTAGTTGTAGATGAACCATGAGCCGCAGACCCCGAGAAGCGGTCGCCAATATTTCTTCAACGCCAGCCAATATGGTATGCGTTGTTTCCTCATGGAGCTCTTGCGGTAGGCCGAGCTGACAGCCATGCGGTATCGAAACCAGAAGATTGACAGCGGAGGGATGGCACCCATGGCCAATGCAACGCGCCAGACCTTGTCGTAATTGCTCACTCGCTGATGAAAACACAGAAGCAGGAGCAATGGGACTAACGCCCCGAAGGCAAAGCCGAGTGATGCAGATAGATCGGCAATCATGGCGAAGATAAACCCTCGCTTATTACGAACAGCAGATTGTTCGTCGGTCGCTTCGGCTGCTCCTGCGCCTGCAACGGGGTATTCTCTGTTCACGCTACGATCAGCCTGATGATACACTGAGAGATACCAGCTGCAGCTCATAGCGGTAGACTTACCCACCAGCGCCGACACCCGCAATACCGCGAGCAATTATCAGCATCCAGAACATGCCGTTCTGCGTCACACCACTGGCCCCAGCACTGAGCGCGATGCCGAGAACCAAAATCGTAGTAGTGAGAACAGCTCCAGTCTTGCGGCCAAGCCTGTCCGACACATACCCAAACGAGAGCATGCCAATTATCATACCAACCATGAAGGCGGTAGACAGCCGAGACTGCACGTCAGTTGTGAGCGAATCGGGGTAGATCACAGCCATGATAAGCTCGATATTGCCTATAATGGCAGCGTTGAATCCATCCGATCCAATAGCCAAACCGGAGAAGATGATCATCAACAAGACTGAGAGCTTGGAGTATTTTCCCGAGGAACCCTCCGCCTGCTCCTGTTCCTCTTGCTCTCCTGCGTCATGAATGGTCTGTAGTTGAGCATCTTTCTTGGACAGGGGGCGCCCATAACTCTCAGGACTTGAAGTTATTTCGACAGTCATTCTGATCGGATGCCACCCTTGCTGACTGCATGAGAAATGCACCACCCATGATCGGCTGTATTTATACGCTCTTCGCCTGCCTTGATCGGCCAATTCCGGTTATCTCTGTGGTTTGAGCGAGCGGCACAATGTCTTGACCAAGCCTGGTACTCATCGCTTATCAGGCAACTGGAGGCCGATCCGGACAGACTAATGTCCCTGGGCCAACCATTGTGATGCATGAGAAGGCCGGCGTGCTGCGAGGGATGCTAAGGGCGCCGTAGCGTGGCGACCGGCGTCTGGGGCTGGGCGAGTTAGGGCTCCGGTAGAGCGCGGGGAAAACGTCGTATCGACTGTCCTCTTCGGCCATAGTCCCTTTCTGCATGATCCACACGGCAGCTATCTCTTGCTCTTTGCTCTTTGCTCTTTGCTCTTTATTTCTCAGACGGTGTTAAGTCTTCTCAACTTCCATGGTTTATTAGCTTTACACTGTGCTCGCCATGTCGGAAAAGCAGCTTCGTTTACCTCTCTATCAAGAGGCAAAGCAGACACCGGGCAGCGACATGACCAGGCGCCCGAACAAAGCTTTCTGGCCTTTTCTGATCATATTCTTGGCTTCGGGTGTAGGGGTCTTTACGATAGGGAAAGAGTGTTTTACGAAATGCTTTCAGCACTTCAACCATAATACCAGCCCGAAGACTCTCACACCAGCCTCTCGGTTCGAGGAATTCCAACAATGTTCCATCAAAAGCTTCCACGACACGGGACTTGAATTCCTGGAAACTGCAGTTCCAATTGCCCTGGAAGACTTTGAGGAGCGACGCAACCGACTTGCTCGGGCTCTTGTAGCGGATGGAGCGGACGCCTTCGTTGTTGAGCCTGGCTACACGTTTAAATATTTTGCAAACGTCAGCCAGCCCGAATGGGAAGTTTGGGAGGTACGCATCGGTTCATTGATTCTCATTCACAGTATTCTCATTATGTCTTCAGCCAGAAGAGCGGCCTTTCCTCATGGTAGTGCAGCCGTATCGCCATTCGTCTGGCCAAGTCACTGCAAAGACGTCATTTCTCTGTCCATCATTCGAGGCAGAGCGTGCTCGTCTTTTAGGCATGCCTTTTTCAAAGCCGTTGGATGTTGTCCCGTGGGAAGAGCATTGGAATCCGTATGAGACTCTAAAACGGTCGAATATCTTTTCTGGCCTTGAAAGAGTCCCACGACTCATGGTAGATGAGGAAATGCGCGATTTCATACAGCGTGGGCTGGGAGACAATGGGTTCCAGGTCATCGGCTTGCAAGGTGAAGTAGAGCGAGTAAGACAAATCAAGTCCGACAAGGAAGTAGGTATTCTTCAGGCCGTGAATACTGGCACAGTAGAAGCTGTGCGGCAGATGAGGAAATGTGAGAGCTTTAAATAACCATTCGACTCTGCGCCGCAGCTAAGATTTTGATTCTTTAGGCCTCTACCCCGGGTTGACCGAAAACGAAATCGCGGAGGTGTTGGACAATACCCTTCGTTCCGCTGGTTTGGAACCGTTCTTTGATATTGTGTTGTTTGGTAAGTAGACTGGTGACCATGCTTTATATCATCAGCTAATTCGTTCCACAGATGAGAATGCCTCAAATCCTCATGGTGGAACCAATGGCACCAAGGTTCTCGAAGCGGAAACTCTAGTCTTGATTGACGTTGGGTGTGTCTCTTTCTTGCCCGCCATATGAGGGTTACAACTGACCTGCCCAGGGCACATCTTCTTGGCTACTCATCGGATATTTGTCGCACTTTCTTCCCTCCATTCCTTGAAAAGCCGTCCAAGAATGGCCCGGTCCCACCAAATCTGGAAGAGAAACTGAAGGTACTACTTTACAAAGTCCAATCAGATTACCTTCACTGTGTGATCTGCTGACAGAGTTAGGTGTGGGACATCGTTCTTGAAGCTCAGGTGCAGTCTAGCCACCACTTTCGAGAGAACTCGACAGCCGCGAGTGTCGATATTGCAGCTCGCAGTGTCATCAGCGATGCAGGCTACGGTGATGCGTTCACTCACCGAGTTGGTCATGGTATTGGAATCAAAGGTGAGCTCTCCGTGTGCTGAGTTCTCGTATAGACAATTAGATAGAACTAATATCTTATCAGCCCATGAGAGCCCATACTTGAACAAAGGCAACAGTGGAATACTCCTCAAAGCAGGCATGACATTCACATCGGAGCCTGGCATTTACTTGGTGGACAAGTTTGGGGTCCGTCATGAGGACATTTTCCTGGTGCAGGAGAATGGCGAGCCAGTTCTATTGACAGGCACGCAAGCTCAGGGACCTTGGGATCCTTGAATCACCTTATCATGGGAAAATCATGCCCTGGCGATGGTTTAGTGCCAGCATTCCTGAGTACTGTAGGTAGACAATACTACTCTAGGAAAAGGCAGGGTTTGTAACACAGAACAGATAGACAAGGTAAGCGTACCAAGAATGGGATGCGCATCGATTGCCTGATCGTTTCAAAAGCAACCAAAGATTGTCTATAATATTTCCCTACTGCCCGACAAACATCCCAAATGATCCAAGCTACACAAAATATACAAAGCCATTCAACCCTTAATAAGCAGTCACCTGATCCTGTCATTCATTCAGCCCGCTGCCGTCGTTGATCCTTCTTCTCTTCTTCATTTGTGCTGCCTAAATTATCCTCCAATGAAGACTCATGGCATCCCAACCGTCTTGGAGACAGCGGTTTATGGATTGACAATCAACCATCATCGATCGCCTGCAGAGATCTTCGGCCTCTATTGAAGACAATCCCTCTTTCCGTCCACTCCTTGTCGATCATCCATGTCGATCCGCCTGTTGCCCGGTTATCGCTGACTCCTTGATCTTGCGAGGTGTCTCATTTGCGAGGCTTCCAGGATCCTGGAATAGCGCCGGACGAGCATTGTGAGAAAAATGTGGAGATAACCGGAGGACGGACGCTCGGCGCTGAAGAACCTCCGGACAGGCAGCCAAAAGAGCCGGCTCTCCCCTCTCCTCCTGTCTGCGAACCCCTCTCCCTGCATGGAAATTTATCGTGCTACCATGATTACACGCATCGGTCGGAGATTTGATATACTATTTGCCCTGGAACATTGTTAAATTGTACGTCATTTCATTACTTGCACTGAAGTGGCCCCTTCTGTTTTCTTCAATGATTTTACCCCATTCTCCACACCGCCGGCTTTTTATGGGGAAAATTACGGCTGACAAGATCGCAGGCATCCTGTCATAACCGCCAACTCGACGCTGAAATCTCCACCGCGTACATAGCATCCCTTCGTGAGCCTGCATCACAGGTAAATACGACTCCCCGCTTGAATATTACCCTTCCGGATCCTCCGACGTTCCCCGCCTGGTTCTCGCAACACGGCCAATGGAGCTACGATAGGACATCGACTCAGCTCTGCGTCAACACCATACATACACAACCACTCCCAGCCTTCTCTCTTGGACGAATTGATGCAAGAAAAACCAGGCACGGTCGCCGCATATGCGGCCGGTGCATCCCTCGCTGCGGTCGCCTTATTCTATGTCTTCGGGCCGAACTACACGATCGATGGCGATGACTCGTTTGACAGCAACCGGAAAAAGAGCATCGTCGGGCTGTCCAATCCCGCCAATGACTGCTTTATCAACTCAGTACTGCAGGCCCTCGCCGGTCTCGGCGATTTACGCGTATACCTGATCAGAGAACTTCACCGTCGTGAGCTGGATGGACCGGAGATGTACAATCTTCTTCCAGATTTGGACGACTTTCCCCGTGGACAAAGACCGGATAAGCTTCGAGAGCTTCAACAAGGGACCATTACAAGGGCGCTGAAGGAAATTCTGGATCGACTTAATGAGCGCCCGATATACAAGAAGACGATCTCCGCTCGAGCCTTTATTCAATCGCTGGAATATGCTTATCGGACCCGGATCAGCCGCAATCAACAGGATGCACAGGAGTTCTTGCAAATCGTGGCTGAAAGATTGAGCGATGAATACCACGCCGGTGTCAAGGCGCGACAGCGGTTTCAGGGCGCTATTGAGATGCCCGAGGGGTCAGGTACCTCTGAGCAAGAAAGCACGGTCGAGTCGGAAAAGAGCCCGACTGAGATCGAGGTGCGCATAGATGACGGCTCGTCTAACGGTCTTCCTGCGATCATCGATACAAAACTCAAGGAAATCGATAACGAGTATGGCTTTCCATTTGAGGGCAAGATGGAGTCACAGATTGAATGCCAGTTCTGCCATTATCAATACAAACCAAACCAAACCTCCTTCGTGAACCTGACGCTCCAGGTGCCCCAGAAAAGCTCCACCACACTCAACGCATGCTTTGACGGTCTTCTCAAAACCGAGTACATTGAAGATTTCAAGTGCGACAAATGTCGACTACAGCATGCACTTGACACGAAGACCCATGAACTCGCGCGAACTCGCGCAGGAAAAGACCGGGAGCACCTGGAGAGGGAAATTGAAACGATCCAAACTGCTCTGGCCAAAGACCCCGAGGGTCCTCTAGAAGGGGTCACTCTGCCCGCTGCTGAATTTGCTCCCAAGCGCAAGATTGCACGTCACATGAGAATCACAGTTTTCCCCAAAATAATTGCAATTCATCTTTCACGTTCAATCTTCGACCGAAGCAGTTCTACCAAGAATGCAGCCAAGGTGTCATTCCCTGAGCGGCTACCTTTGGGAGGCATCCTAAATCAAACATGGTTCAAGCTGCTGGCGATTGTCTGCCACAAAGGCAGTCACCATAGCGGGCACTACGAATCCTTCCGACGCAACAATCTCTATCCGCCTTTCGCAACCCCGGGGGCCTTCAGCTCCTACGCTCAGAGTCGAGCAGCCAGCGCCACTCCTTCGCGGGCCCCAAGCCCTCGTCCGGAGGCCCGCAACGCTCCTGATGCAGAGTCTTCCAACCCCAACATGTCGGCGTCGACATCCTCGCCGTCTCTCTCGTCACTATCCTCAGAGCCCTCACAGTCCGCATCAAACAAGAAATCCAAAGCTTCATCCCAGCTAAACACACCTTCATCGCCCGCTCGCCCCAGCACATCAAGCTCCCGCATTTCCTTCCAGAGCCATCGCTCAAAATCAAAGCAACGACTGTCCCCTGAGTCGGCTCCCCAGAGCCCTGCCGCCACCGAAGGTAGCCGCTTCAGCAAGTCCGGATCAAGGACATCGTTCATGAGCGAGCGTATATCACCGAGTCCCTCATTCGACACGTCCTCCGGATCCGCCTCGCGCCTTCGCCGCCGCCGCAAGGCAAACGACCGCTGGTGGCGTATCTCCGACGAGAAGATCAAGGAATGCAAGACCTCCGACGTGCTGGGCATGCAAAAGGAAGTCTACCTTTTATTCTACGAAATGGAGAAGCCTGCGCATGGCCCGCAAGTTCCTACTGGCGTTTGATGCCCCCACTCCCCTTTGCACCTGGGTGTGAACATGGAACAATGATCAATGTATAGACAGAGGACACACATAAACTGCACATATTATCGACATTTACGTCTATATATAGTTACTGGGAGTTTGGGCTTCGCATGTATATGAAATATATGCACATATTGAACAAGTGTTACTTACGGATGACAGTTGATATCTTTTAAAAAGACTAGATCTTTTTTGTACCTAAGTCAATCGTAGATATATCATTTGATACATGAATAGAGGATCTTGAGGGCCATTCTACATACTTACCTTCCCCATCTAATCGGTCTGAGTATCTAGACGTTGGTTTGATTTTAAGTTCTCCAGAAATAGACTGTGGAATTACTCAAATTGACTATATAGTTAAGAACGACCAATCATGAAGAGAAACCCTTTTCTGATTTAGATTTTGCTCCCTATCCATTCCTGGAGCACATCCCGTTGTTTCGACTTTGACTCTCGAATCATAAACTCCGTGAACAGTTGGATGTGAGCTTCCCCGGAGGCCGAGAAATGAGAGACGTTTGGATGAACGGCCTAAAAGAAAGAGCCGAGTTAGTGGATTCACATTCCGTTTCCTTTGATTTAATAGATTGATAGTTGGAGACCAGCTCCGCCATACCGATAACTTTCGTGCAAAAGCATCGATGTCATCGATGAAGATCTCGTCCGCGCCGGAGACAATTAGAATATCCCGGATTCGAAGGCCGATCCACCATTCGGGCGGCGCTCCCAGTGGATCGAGGTAATTGTCTCGGGGCGCGGTGCCGGTGAAGCTGGCGGACCAGGTTTCGAGGCGTGGGATGTGCAGGACGTCTTTGGTTCGGTTGCGTCTCATGGAGTCGGAGAACTCGGTGTCAAAGGTGACCCATGGAGAGAGGAGAGCTGCGCCGAGGAACATGGCTCCTGGAGGGAGAAGTATCGGGGAAACGTCCGGATGAGGATGAATGATGTGAGAGAGTAGGGATAACAATAGGTGGCCGCCCGCGGAGTCCCCAGAGAGCATGACCTGGACTAGTGGGTGAGCATCGTTCTCTTGGTTCGTGCACCGTTGTTGATTTGGTGATCAACAGGAAAAGAAATCGAAAGGACCATGCATACTTTAGATGATGCGATCCCCTTAGATTGAATGAGATAGGAAAGGAGGCTAGATGCTTGCTGGAGCTGTCTTGGGTAATGTGCCGTGCTGCTCACATCTATTTCAATGTCTGTTAGTCGGCAGGTGGGTAGGATCAGACGCATTATCGTACCGTATGATAGCAGCAACACAGCCAGGCTTTTGCCGGTGCGACGAAGCTCCTGCACGATGTTCCAAAGGCCTTCGAAGTGTGCAGTGGTGGCGTATATGGCATATCCGCCTCCTAATTGACTTGAGTTAGATATCTACGGCAAATCCAAGAGACAATTACGCCCATACTTACCATGACAATGAAACAACACATGCTCAGCGGAACTATTGCCAATCCAGTGGCCCCGAGTGCCATTCCCCAGATCCACGGTATGGGCTGTACTATCTATTGACTTCATGAAGGCGGTATACGCTTCCTCCGTAGTCGGCGAAAGTCCCCTGAATGATTCGTTAGATACATGCAAGTGGGGAAATGCTTCCTAGCATCGGGTGAGGGCCATACACAATTGTCCGCGTGGGAACATTGTTGACCACTTCTCGCATAGCTGTGTATGCAACATGGCGATAGTACGTCGAGGCTCGCTCCGTACCCTGTAAAGGCCAAGTCAATGCAGCTGAGACAATGCTGGGAACTGATTGGCCAAGACGTCAAAATTAGTCGGGTGCATAAAGGTAAAAAGCACGTCAGATGGTCGAGATATACTTGTTTCTAGCATTCCCCATCCAGCTGCCAGTCTGTCCCGGACCGAGAGAGTTGGTTTCGTTCCCATGTCGAAAGGACTTTGATCTGTCAACTGTGGGCTGGCTGTAGACTGACTTTATCGCAGAACAAAATCAACTAGAAAGTTTCTCTGATAGGTCCGGTGGAGCCTGTAGAATGAGAATGAAGTACTCGTCGGATGTGGTTGACATGGGCACTATATCAGTGCAAATCTCCGCCTCCAATTTCCGGCATGGTGCAGTAAAATATCAGCCAGTGGTCTGTAAATGATAGCAAAGAGGTCTAGTATCAGTCGAGTGTCGAGCAATACCTATCGGTCTCCACGAGGACTCGAGGCCTCTATCAGCTCTCCCGAGCAGTGGGAGCCATGGTTTGTCATGACGTACCGGTCCCAGAACCAGTCTCTTCAAATGGCTGCTGACAAACTAACGCTTCATTACATTCGTCTGAGTTGAGCAGTCGCCAGTAGAATGCTGCTTACTGTGTGAGCCACGTTTATACAGGGATGTCTGGTAAAGAGAAGGAAGGATCAAAGAAACCGCTGTAAGGAAGACAACATGTGATCTCGAGAGACCGATCGGGGTTAGCCTGGTAAGCAGCTCTATATCCGACCTCCCCGTCCCCCGTCGACCCCTATGAATACCTACGCAGATATATAACTCGAGCTACGATTCTTTTCTCAGACATGACCGTCGAATTAGATCTCCGATCGGGAATATGCTCGCAACAGGACGCGAAAGGTTCAGGATCAGCTCTGAGGCAGCTCGGAACCTGGGGGAGTTCCAGTTACTTCAAGTAAGAGGATATTCCATTTGACCTTGAGGAAATGCTACCATCTGAAGTTATTGTAGACGTGTTCGAAGAATCCCGCATTCATAACAATTACGGTGTAGTGAACGTCAGGGAATGATGGAGGAAGCCGTCTCGGCGCCAACGCCGTGGAATAATGAATTCGCCATTCTTTCGATGGATGGCATGGAGTCAACCGGACTTGATGATGCTCAGAGGCCCGAACCCCTCCAAACAAGCATATAAATGGGGAAAACTGGTTTGCTCTGCGACCGACTGTGGAGGCTAGCTTGAATGCCGTGGCAGGCGGGCCTGCCAGCGTGCCTCCGCTACGACGCTAGACAGTCGGTGTCTGGGCATGTCGAGCAGCGATCAACGCTGTGCGACAATCGGAACAATAATGGTCGAGACTTGATGCAGTGCCAGCTGGCAGCAGAATGCCAGAAATACCTCATCTGACTACTGTATATTCCCAGGCAGGCCCCCGGACATATCACAGGGTTTCCAACGGATGCGTTCAACGACCCCACCGACGTACCCCTCCAAGCAAGGCTATTAGATAAGAAGAATGCAATTGATGCTTCCTGGCATTACTATCACCTTGTCTCTTTTAGTGCTTCCAAGATCAGCTGGACTTCCAAAGAGGCATCTAGACCGTGGGAAAGAAAGGGACGGAAATGGGTAGAAGGGGGGACCAGCAAAAGCCACGGCTACGGAGATAGATTCCCCGCCAATTTCCCCGAAGTTGGAATGAAGCACGAAAGAAATACGGAGGAAGATGGGTCAATGTTTTCGCAGCGACGAGCACAGGAGCCAGCACCCGAACCAGGAACACCACGTCGGGACTGTGCCAGGATGGGACGGGGGAACCTGATAGACACACAGTGTAGACCAGCCAGGGTCGTTGACGATTCTAACAAGATATACAAAAGAGGATATGATGTTATATTGATGGTTCATCCGGATTTCGCTCCCAGTCGGGCCCATGGAAGCCGGCTGGCGATGATGTCATGTGACGGGCCGCGGGGATTCCCGGGACGCAGCGGTGCACGGCGAGCCGGCGGCCTCAGGACTAAGGCCAAAGCATCGTCGTCGTCATGGAAAAGACGAGCTGTTCTTCCAGCACGTTAATTCCCTCGGCCAACGGTAAATTCATTTTCCTATTAATTCTGCTGGCTTCCCGTTTTCTTCGCCCTTTTCCTTCTTCCCTCTTTCTTCCTCCCACAACTTCGTCATCGTCATCGTTCAGCCTCCCAACCGGTCACTGAAATCATACTGATCGCATCCGTCCCCACTACCCGGTGAGTTCTTTCAAGCTGCTGCCCCTCCATTAGCGGCTCGCTGCCCCTCCTCTGCTGGCCCTTCTAAATACCTGGCTCCGTATTCGTCGTCCGGTAAACCATTTAGTTGGAACTCTGCTGCAGAATTTATTAATTGCTCTTCTCCCTCTTCTCATCCTTCTTTCTTCATCACTCTCTACTTCTCTATCCTCAAGAAACTAATCCTCTTGTCTCTAAGACTTCTACCTACTATCTATCACAATGGGTGTCCTCGAACAGCTCTCCCGCAAGTCCGGTGTCATCGTCGGTGACGACGTTCTCCGTCTCTTCGAATATGCTCAGGCGAACAAGTTCGCCATCCCCGCCATCGTAAGTACCGCTCATCCTAGGCCCTTCTCCTAGCTCCCTAGCTCTATACCTTTTCCCATGAGCCCGAAGACGATCTGGACTAACCCATCCTATAGAACGTGACCTCCTCTTCCACCGTCATCGCTTCCCTCGAGGCTGCTCGTGACAAGAACTGCCCCATCATCCTCCAGCTCTCTCAGGGTGGTGCCGCCTACTTCGCCGGAAAGGTACGTTGAACATCTTGTGGTAAATATTCAGGACCGTCAGTAACCCCAATTTTCTTCCAGGGTGTCAGCAACGACGGCCAGGCTGCTTCCATTGCCGGTGGTATTGCCGGTGCCCACTTCATCCGTAGCGTTGCCCCCGCCTACGGCATCCCCGTCGTTCTTCACACCGACCACTGCGCCAAGAAGCTCCTCCCCTGGTTGGACGGTCTCCTCGACGAGGATGAGCGTTACTTCAAGCTCCACGGCGAGCCCCTCTACTCCTCCCACATGATCGATCTGTCTGAGGAGCCCGTCGACTACAACATCAACACCACCGCCGCCTACCTCAAGCGTGCCGCTCCCATGAAGCAGTGGCTCGAGATGGTAAGCTTTCTCGTGTATAGGTGAAGATTATGAAAGGTAACTAACGCCTACTGCAGGAAATCGGTATCACCGGTGGTGAGGAGGACGGTGTCAACAACGAGGACGTTGACAACAACTCCCTGTACACCCAGCCCGAGGACATCCTCGCCATCCACAACGCTCTCTCCGCCATCAGCCCCTACTTCTCCATTGCCGCTGGTTTCGGTAATGTGCACGGTGTCTACAAGCCCGGCAACGTCCGCCTGCACCCCGAGCTGCTCTCCAAGCACCAGGCCTACGTCCAGGAGCAGACCAAGTCCAAGAAGGACAAGCCCGTCTTCTTCGTCTTCCACGGTGGCTCCGGCTCCTCCAAGGCCGAGTACAAGGAGGCCATTAGCTACGGTGTCGTCAAGGTCAACGTTGACACCGACATGCAGTACGCCTACCTGACCGGTATCCGGGACTACATCCTCAACAAGAAGGACTACCTCATGAGCACCGTCGGCAACCCCGACGGCGAGGACAAGCCCAACAAGAAGTTCTTCGACCCCCGCGTCTGGGTTCGCGAGGGTGAGAAGACCATGAGCAAGCGTGTCCAGGAGGCCCTGGAGGACTTCAACACTGCTGGCCAGCTGTAAATGTCTCCAAAATAGTTTCTTTTTTCTTTTCCCGTTCGATTTGACGTCTGCCGATATGACGAATTCAGATACCAGTACATAAATTGATAAATTCGAAGGACAACAAAACAAACCAAAAAAAGATGACGGTCATTTGTAACACTTTGGATACTGGGGTCGGAGTTGAGGTGGTGGTTGATTGACGATGATGACGATGTATGTAGTATGGAGACGAATTTACACTAATGAACTTTTTTTGTCCTAAACGGTGTTAAATTTAAGATGTACAACCACCGCCGTTTCAACCGCTTCACCGTATGTCTGCATTGTCCGAGTAACCGTCGGACGTCGAGGGAAGGAGGGGCTGCCCCTCCTTGGGATCCACTCACAACTGTGTGCCTCAGGATTCAAGGACTCAGGCAAGAATCCGGTGGCCACCCGAGCCGCCACATTGTGGCGATCATCGTGGCAGTGCTTGTTGTAGATGTGGCTGGTGAAGTGAGGCGGTGCTACCAACTTTTGGTCTGTGATGATTTTGTCGGTGTTTAGTTACCACGGAGAATTGTTGTTCTACGGAGTATAGGGCTGGGAATTAATCTCCCTTGACTGGGTTAAACCATGACGTTTATTATTGTCCGGTTTCCGCGTGCCTCGTAGAACAGGTGGTCCTATTCATGTCAGTCACACGCATACTCAGTAGATAGAACTGTGTAGTAGCAAAGACTAGAGAGAGCCTGCATACTCCATTAATACATCTATCGCCGGTACTGGTAGAAACCTCAGGGTCCCTACTCCATACGGTATACTCCGTAGTCATACTCCCACAGACACGGTTCCTCACACAAGCAGTAAATACCCCGTACTAGGCGCTTGAATCCAAGACAAGTGCCTCACTCGATCTATTGCCCCGTCGGCAATTTCCTTGATTCGTTCAGAAATTTCCAATATTGAAGACTTATGATGTATTCAGGGTCTCCCGGCACAGAAATTTTTCCCGGGAGCGGCGGCCAGCGGAGAGCTTGAGTGAGCTATTTAAAGAATGTTGCGGGTAGCGTTGGACACTATTTTGTGGCCATCGCGGCACTAACGGGTTGGAGTTGCTGGGGATGTCTGACTATTGGGGATCTAGTGGTGGGTGGCCGCATGGCGGCGTCTTATGAGTTATGATTATGATTATGATTATGGCACGGATGACCAACGTTGGTTTTTGTATGGAGTTGGTTGGGAGTGTTGGCTGGAGAATTCTGGATTTCGCTGAGGAGAGGATGACTGAATGGTGGATAAATAGTCAATAATCGTATACTTCTACTCCGTACACTAAGAGTGTCAGAATCTTAATCGCGTGGGCAGAACTGACAACGGCTGCCTGAGGATGCCGTCGACACCTGACGCGAAATGGCCGCTGAACCAATCAGCGGACAGATCCACCAGCCGTGTCTCAGAAAGGTCCAGACCTCGACAGACGCGGATTGGTTGGCCAAAATAGTAGTCGCATTTTGCCCAATGAAGGATCATAGAGTGGGTCGTGGACTGTTTGTGGTTGCTCAAGTTTTTGCATTTCCTTTGTTGATTTGTTCACGACTGTTCAAGTCTTGACTGTCCATTTTCAGTAGTCCTTCCTCTGCTGACGGTGTAGCTGTATACAGATCCCTCGTGCAGTTGTTGTTCTATAGTAATAGTTTCGCTTCGATAGATCTTGTCCCTCATTCTCTAAATCCCTACTGTCATAATAAAGTCTCCACTGACCACGAATCCTCCAGACTCCCACGTCTTGCGCTTGCGAATCTACCCAAAGTCCCAAACCCTGAGGTAGATATGATAATGTTCCAGACCCGCCTCCACCTGCTCCACCCGCGCTAACTGCCTCTCTTTCTTTCTCTTTTGTCCTGTTCTTCCTGTCGCTTCTCCAGTCCCGCATCGTCATTCCTGGTTCTTATCCGTTCTCTGTCTTTTCTCCGCGGTCTGTTCGGTTTTGAATTTTCTTTTCTTTTCTTTTTTTCTTCGTTTCTTCATTTGATTCCATTTTCTTGTTCATTCTTAAACCCTTTTTCCTGGTGAGAAAGTCCTTCAATCTCAACGCTCTTCCACCTCCAATTCGCCCCCTAACGGATTTCATCCATGCCGTCTCGACTCTCTTATCATGGATTCTAATCCCCTTGAGCGCCGCGAGGGCGGCGCGGATCAATTCCTCGATCTCATCCAGGATCCGTTCAAATCAGCTGTATGTTTACCTTTTCCCTGTTGACGAAACGCCACTGCCTCCCGATTCTACCTTCATCACTTGCGCCAACTAACCCGATCCTCAGTTTCAAGTGAAAGCTGTCTGGGCCTCCTTGGCTACCTCCGCGGGCCTCGCTATCATCCTCGCCTTGCTCTTCTCGCTCTTTCGCCCTCGACACTCGGTGGTTTATGCCCCTAAAGTCAAGCATGCCGACCGCAAACACACTCCGCCTCCCGTGGGAAAGGGTCTTTTCGCCTGGGTGAAACCGGTTCTGAGCACCAGAGAGCAGGAGTTGATCAACATCGTCGGTCTCGATGCCGCCATTTTCCTGCGCTTCACCAAGATGTGCCGCAACGTTTTCATCCTGCTCAGCATCATCGGCTGCGGCATCATGATTCCCGTCAATATCACTCAGAGTGACGGCAACGGCAATGACCTTTCCGTGTTTTCCACCATGACTCCGTTGAACGTCAAATCGAATGCGATTTGGAGTCAAGTCGTCTGCGCCTGGACCTTCGATATCATCATCGCCTACTTTCTCTGGAGGAACTACAGCGCCGTCCGAGCACTCCGCAGGGCTTATTTCGAAAGTTCGGATTACCAGCGCAGTCTGCACGCCCGGACTTTGATGGTATGTCGCGTATCCTTCGTCAACCCCAACTTACCCCGGTAACTCACCGATTGAATGTCTAGATCACCGATGTTCCTGCCTCGGCCCGATCCGACGAGGGTGTGATGCGCCTGGTCGACGAAGTCAACCCTACCGCCGCCGTACCCCGAGCTTCCGTTGGCCGTAATGTCAAGGGCCTCCCCGCTTTGATCAAGGAACACGAGGAAGCGGTGCGGGAGCTCGAGTCGGTGTTGGCCAAATATTTCAAAAACCCGGATAAATTACCCGTCAATCGGCCGACTATGCGGCCCCCGCGGAAATACCGAGGCGACGGCGTCAAGGGCAAGGTGGATGCCATCGACTTCTTGACCGACCAAATTCAACGGCTAGAGGAAGAAATTAAGCATGTGCGCGGGTCCATTGACAAGCGTAATGCGCTCTCTTTCGGCTTCGTCAGCTGGGAAATGATTGAGCATGCGCATGCGGTGGCCTACACTGCGCGCAACAAGCATCCTCAAGGCACCACCATCCGTCTGGCTCCCCGGCCGAGCGACCTGATCTGGGAAAACCTGCCGTTGTCGAAATCGGCTCGCAAATGGAAGCGGTTCATGAACTGGATCTACTCGGCCATCTTGACGGTGATTTGGATCGTTCCCAACGCCCTTATCGCCGTCTTCTTGTCCAACCTGAACAACCTGGGTTTGGTCTGGCCGGCTTTTCAGACCTCGCTGAGCGGCCATTCCGAGGTCTGGGCCGCCGTGCAAGGTATCTTGTCGCCTGCCATTACCTCTCTTGTCTACATCCTTCTGCCCATTATCTTCCGTCGGATGGCCATCCGGGCCGGCGACGTGACGAAAACCTCGAGAGAACGGCACGTGCTTCACAACCTGTACGCCTTCTTTGTTTTCAACAACTTGGTTGTCTTCTCCCTCTTCTCCGCTGCATGGACCTTCATCGCAACGCTCGTCAAGTCGAACAGTGGCGAAGATGCCTGGAACACCATCAAAGGCGGAGAGCTCTACGGGAAGGTGATGGGCGCCCTCTGTCAAGTCTCGCCGTTCTGGGTGACCTACCTCTTGCAGCGAAACCTCGGAGCGGCCATCGACCTCGTCCAGCTGGTGAACGTGTTCTGGGTCTGGTTCTCCAAGACCTTCCTGGCCCCCACGCCCCGGCAGGCTATCGAGTGGACGGCGCCGCCACAGTTCCAATTCGCCAGCTACTACAACTACTTCCTGTACTATGCGACGGTCGCTCTCTGCTTCGCTACGTTGCAGCCCATCGTTCTTCCGGTTACCGCGCTGTACTTTGGCATGGATGCCATCATGAAGAAGTACATGCTGCTCTACGTGTTCGTGACGAAGAACGAATCCGGCGGACGTTTCTGGCGGGTCGTGTTCAACCGGTTGGTCTTTGCGACGATCCTCGCCAACGTGGTGATCGCCCTGGTGGCCAAGGTGCGCGGCACCTGGACGATGGTCTTCTGCGTAATCCCGCTTCCCTTCCTGATGCTGGGCTTCAAGTTCTACTGCATGAAGACCTTCGATGGCGACATCAAGTATTACAACCGAGCCAACCTCAGCGATGCCGAAGCTCTGGCAGTGGGCAAATCCAGCAAGAAGGCCGCCGAACGACTCAACTCGCGGTTCGGCCATCCCGCCCTCTACAAGCCCCTGATCACTCCCATGGTGCACGCGAGGGCGGCCGACGCGCTGAGCCGCATCTACCGGGGCCGTCTCGGCTCGGTGGGCCCGGAGGGCGAGTACTCGGATATCGCCATGAACCCCATGTCCACGTCGCAGCCGGGCAAGAAGATGGACGCTCCCTCGAACGCCCCCTTCGAGGTCGTTCCGGAAAACCACCTCGACTTCTCCTACTACAAGGATCGATCCGACTTCCGCGACGAATTTGGCGGCGGCATCTACGGGCGCCCGGACGACCTCATTACCGAACGCTCGCACACTCCTCACAGCCATCTGGGCGGCGAGTGGTCGCCCACCTCCTCGCGTGCATCCTCTCCGACGCCATCGCTACCGTCTATTCGGCCGTACGATCTGAATGGCAACGAGCACATCCACCCAGCGTTCCGCACGCCCTTAAACCGGATGGATAGCGGCCCGGTGGGCCAAGGACTCTACCAGCATGATGACGAGAGTCATGCCGGGCTCCTCAGCCAGGCACAAGGGCCGGCAATCAGCGAGACGACGACGCCGCTGGGTCGATGGCGAACCGGAGGATACGGGCCTGTGGATCAGGACGAACCCAATTCCACTTCATACGAACATTTTCGTGTGCCACGATAGATTTGAATGACGACCTTTTCTTTTTGTATCTGCCAGGGACTGTGGATCTTTGTTTATTTGTTTGGATTGTTGATTGTATAGAGCGTGGGTCATGACGATTGTATTTTGGGACTACCTGGAGTCAACAGGACATATGGTGCTGTACACAAGCATGTCTGGACATTTGCTGTATTTTATTGAGCAAGAATGGGCTGTACATAATATATAGAATTCTCTCCATTAAAATAACTGATGTTCATATCAATCCGTGAAGATGAATCCTCTGGTTGATTGCGGGCGGAAGTCCAGCGTTTTCTCCGGTCCGCCCTGATTTCCCCCCTTTCGTTTCCACTCATTTCCAGGGGTTGTCAACACTCCAACAACAACCTTTTTTGCTCCCTTCACCTCCTCAAGTCAGTTAGTCAATTGCTACCTTGGAGGCTCTCTATATTCCACCAAATTTACCAAATACTTCCCTCCGCCTGCTTCTCACCAGAACACCTCCGTCTCCGCCCGGGCCGCATTTCCGAGGCCAACCGCTCCGACCAGCAATCAACATCAACACATCAACAATCCCCCAGCCAGTGCGCGCAGGAAACGAAAGCCACCCAGTCCGGAACCCAAGCCCAGCTCGTCGAATCACACGTTTCTCTACGCTGCTGAACGCCAGGAACAACCGACCAGTGCCCAGCCTGCTGCCTAGCGAGACCGCGACGTGGTGCGCAAGTCCGGATGTTTGCTCGCAGACCATCGGATCCTTAGAACAACAGCAACAGCAACAGCAACAGCAGCAACACAATATACTCTGAATACACCATACAAGAGAATGGCGTGGTATTCTATCCTCCCGCCGAATTTGATCTACGTCGAGAGCTGGTTTGCTCGTTTCTTTGTGAGTTCGTTCGTTCGTTGACTTGCCTGACATCAACTTTGCCCTGAGTCGACATCCGGAGCAGAGTGAAGTCAATATGACCCTCTCGCTAACCTACACCTCTACAATAGGTCATCCTCGGTATAATAACCATCTTCCCCTGGGCGGTGCTTCTCATCTTCGACGTGAGCCTGTATTTGTGGCGGACGGTGGGGTATGAACTCCCCGTGGTCGGAGGTCGCGCGAGAGGCATGCAACGACCGCGCGCGCCTAGCTTGAACGAGAGACCGGATGGACAACGAAGGGCTTTCGGGCTGGCGGGATATGAAGATATTAGTACGGCGACGAAGCTGGATGTTACGGAGGCAGAGGGATCGGTGAGGCGGAGGACGCCGACCGATGATAGAAAGGAAGGTTAAGATGCTCTGCTTTGCTTTGCTCTGGGATATACTGTTGTTCTGGTGGTTGGGCGTACGACGGGGCAATTCAGTTCAGCCACCAAAGTGAACTGATAAGCTAATGGGGAAACAAGACTGGTCTATCTATACGCCGATGACGAGGCGATATCAGTTTCTCTCCTCAGCTGCTGGATTCGGTTTAGTGGCTGAGCAGCGGGGAGCGTCGGTCTGCCAGCCAGATTCCTTCATCTCTCTCCCTTGTCTCGTTGCATGCAGATCGCTCGAGGTTCCTGTCCGCTCGGTGCTTGGTGCAATCGGCGGTGGGCGGCCTTGTCGGCAAATCATAACAGGCACTGATATTTAAGATCCGTGGTTGCTCGTCCGAAAGTTTGGGTTGACTTCCTCTATCAACGTCCCCACCCGAACAGCATCGAGGCAGTCACAATGCAGCTGGATAGCCTGGATGACTGGATTCTCTACGTCGAGAGGAATCCTCTAGTTATCCTTTTCTTGGTCCTGGCAACCTGGCTGTTCAGCCTATGGAACCGAGTACGATTCACCTCTGTCGGATAGTCGGGTAAGACTAACCAACCACGCAGAGACAGCTTGATGTCTACAGCCATGAACCCTCACCAGAATCAACGGGCTATCCGCCCATTGAACCGCTGCCCGATTTCAACTGGGAAACCGCCGAACCGCTATGCTTCCGGCCCTTCAAGCCCAAATACCATCTGACAATGGGCAAGTGGTCGTTGCTACAGCAAGGAAGGGTTCCAATCTAACATGGCAACAGCGCTGTCCTCTCTTGACCCCTCCACCCTCATCCCTATGGATAAGACATATAAGGACCGGCTGGCTCTTCGCGCTAATCTCCTGCACCAATACCCTGACGTCGTCATCGCTATCAATGATCCCGAGGATACCCACGTCCTTGCCGCTATCAATGAACTCTACACGTTCGTCGTGGGCTCTTATCTTCCCACCCGATATCCCCGGATGTTCCGAGCGATCCAGACTGCGGAGAAGCACACCGTCCTGCATAGTCTCGTCACCGGCCAACAGGCACCCCTGGACTGGACCGCAACCCCTCAGAACGGCCGCCGACAGCTCGAAATCCTCGGCTCTCTCGTTGACGAGGACTTTCTCATCCTCTTACCAGAATCTTCTCCATCGTCGCCCAGCCAGGACCCGGATCCACAATTCACCACCTCCCAGAAAGAAGAAACAGAAGAAACAGAACCCAAATACGTCCTCCGCGCATACACCGCCTACTTTCCATCCGGCTTCAACCCAGCCGAGAAGATCGGTCTGAGGCTCGCGAACATCCACGCCCCGGTGCCAGGGTACAAGGAGAAGCTGGAACGCAGCATGGACCGGTTCTTTGCGCGCGTTGAAGTCGGCAAGTTCGTGCAGCGGGTCAATTGGAGCGTCACGACGGAGACGGACTTGTTTGCTGCGTTCGGCGGCGTGCATGGTTCTGAGGGGGAGGGCGGGGCGATTGAGGAGGGTGGGTTGAATGTTGATTCGGTGAGTTCCCCCTGTTTCTTCATTCCATCTTTCTGTTATTCCGGTTATCTCTCATGATAACACTTCATGACCCTTTGAACTTAAGACTAAAACCTCAGGTTATATATATGTGATGAGTTGAGTGAAAAAACTAACCGACTGAAAACGAAAAATAGACCCTCCTCCGCTGCGAACGCCAAACGCTCCATCGCCTCCCCCGCTCCAAAGCCCTCGTCTTCGCCTTCCACACATACACGTATCCGATCCAATCCGTCAAAGACGAAGGGCTCGGCGAGGATCTGGCCCGAGCGATTGACGGGCTTAAGGAGGGGAATGTGCCTGAGATGCATTGGTATAAGAGGGCGCCGGTTTGGGGGGATGCGGTGAAGAGGTTTTTACGATCTTAGTTAGACTTTTGCGGTGCTTAGATTGGGGGGGTTGAAAGGGATTTGAGAAGGGAGGAGGATGGAGGGAGGGTCTCTATATCTTTCTTTCTCTAATTTTCTCTATTGTGCACTCTGAATAGAAAGTCATGTCTTCTTGTTTGGTTGGGCTCATGTTCAGATTCAACTGTTCATCTTCATCTCTATACTTTTCTCTAACCCATAGCTACCCTAACCTTAAGACAACCGCTGAACCACCTTGATCAAATCAGCCGAAACACCCATAGCAGTCACATCACCACCAGCCCCGGCACCCTGCACAATCAACGGGTTTCCACCATACCGCTTGGTATAGAAGTTAATAATGTTATCACTGCCCTTCAGCCCGGCGATCGCGCTATCCCGATCAAACTGCTGCAATCCCACGCGGACCTCCTTCTTACCGACATCCACGCTACCCACGTACCGCACCACCTTCCCCGCCTTCTCCGCGCCCTCCTTGATCGCCGCCATCTGGCCATCGAACTCCGGCAGACGCGTCATGAACTGCGCGATGCCATCGCCCGTGGAAGGCAGGGAGGCCAACTCGTCAGGGATGAGCGATTCAATCGGGAACGAGTCCGGAGCCTGGACGTCCAGACCGGCGATGCGCGCCAGGATGGTCAGTTTCCGCGCGACGTCCATGCCGTTCAGGTCGTCGCGGGGATCGGGCTCCGTGTATCCGAGCTCTTTAGCCTGGGACACGACGTCGGACCATTTCGCGGACGAGGAGGCGCCGCTAGGAGCGAAGGTGTTGAAGAGGAAGGAGAGCGTGCCCGAGAACACGCCCTCGATGCGGGTCACTTCGTCGCCGGTCGCGACCAGGTCGCGCAGGGTCGAGATGACGGGGAGACCGGCGCCGACGGTGCTCTCGTGGTAGACGAGGGCGTTGCCTTGGGCGGCGGAGGCGAAGATGTCCTTCCAGAGGGCGAGGTCGGAGGAGAACCCCTTCTTGTTGGGCGTGACGATGGAGATGCCGCGGCGGAGGAAGGTCGGGTAGGAGGCCGCGAGGGCGGGGTCGCTGGTGTTGTCGACGAGGATGGACCGGCCGGGCGCGGCGGAGAGGTAAGAGGCAATTTCGTCGGCGGAGAGCGCGCCGGATTTGGTGAGCGAGGGGGTCGACACGGCGGCTTGCCAGTCCGACGTGGCGGGGATCGAGGGCGAGTAGGCCGGTGTCGGCGAGAGGAGGGTCTGCGTGGAGCGGGCGAGGAGGATGAGTTGGGGGGCGTTGGGGAGACGGGCGAGTTGGTTCAGGAAGGCAGAGCCGACGCCGCCGACGCCTGAATGATAGAGTTAGTATGGTTCTCTATTTGCGATGGTGTGGGGAATTGATGTGTAGAGAGAGTCATAGCATCCTCATCCTATACTGAGGGAGAACATGAAGACATACCAATGACACCGAGGTAGATAGGGCTGGCCATGATGATGAAGGATATGAACTAGAAACTGGAAAGAAACTGGAATCAATCAGATTGCAATGCCTCGAAAATCAGTGAGAATGTCTGTCTGACCTTCGAATTGAACTAGAGAGAGAAGGTGAAGGCGAAGATGAAGATGAAGAACAGAAGAAGATGGAGGGGTTGTCGCGGGGGTCCTCCGCTGAGTCATTCCGAAAGCGGTGACCGCCTTCTCCGATTGCGTCTTATCCTCTCTACAATCTCCATCCCAGTCTCAATATCAAAATATCAGCCCAACAATCCCCCCCCCCACCTTCTCATAATCTCATAATGTCCGACTCTCTCTACGGAATCCCCCGTCCCAAAACAACCTCCACCTCCAAATCCTCCGCCCCCTCCGCCTCCAACCTCGCCTTCACGACCACCCTCTCCTCGCTCATCTCCCAAGACACGAAAGACGGCTCCAGCAGCAGCGGACGCCCCCGGCCCTCGAAAACAAACAAATCCGACATCTTCGCGCGCCACAACAAAGGCGCCCAGAAGCGCGCGGCCGCTGATCTCCGCGACGACGAGAATGGCGTGTTCCAGACGCATCAGCGATCGGAGGATATTGGTGGCGCGGACGCCGCGGCGTTGCATCGTTCGAAGCGGCGCATGCAGGAGAAGGCACGGGTCTATGAGGAGTTGAAGGGTGGGGCGTATTTGATGGCGGATAGTGATGAGGAGGAGGATGGTTATGGACAGACGGATCAATATCTTGCTCGACTGCGCCGGAAAGAGCGCGAGGGGTTGGTGGATTTCGATCGGAAATGGGCGGACGCGGAGCGCGAGAAAGGGCCCGGATCGGGAGACGAAAGCGATGCGGAGGAGGATGACGATGACGCCTCCGTCGTGTCCTACGAAGATGAGCTGGGTCGGACACGTCGAGGAACCAGGGCCGAAGCGGCGCGGGCCGCGCGAGCAAAGGCGGATGAAGAGTCCGGGCAGCGGTCGAATATGCAGGAGCGCTGGCGTCCGTCGCGTCCGGAGAACTTGATCTACGGGGAGACGGTGCAGGCGGAGGCGTTCAATCCGTCGGCCGCGGCTGCGTCGCAGATGTCATATTTAGCTACACGAAGGGACCGGTCGCCCACGCCGCCGGGAGAAACGCATTACGATGCTGACGCTGAGGTCCGCAACCGGGGAACCGGGTTCTATGCTTTCTCGAAAGATGAGACGGTGCGCCGGCAGCAGATGGAGGAGCTTGTGAGTGCGCGCGATGAGACTCAGCGTGCGCGGGAGGCTCGGCAGAAGAGGAAAGCTGAGAGAGAGCAGGTCAAGGACCAACGAAGAAAGGCAATCGGCGAATTGCGGTCTAAGAGACGTGCGGAGATGTTTTTGGCTGGTTTGGGCGACGTGGGGGATTGGACTGGATCCGCCCCGGTTGAGGCAGATGCCTAATGATCTGTATACTGTTGCATTTGATGTTTTATGATACCCCTAGATTAATGAATTGAATTGTGTTTTTTGAACCTATAAGAAACAGACATTGTTGACACGAGAGCAATGAAAAGGGTATAAATATCCACCTTGATGGACCATATAGAATCAATCGCTGCCCACCCAAATAGTTCGTTCCTAAATACAAGAAAGAAAAATCAGGAACAGAAAAAAGCGAGAAAGCAATGGCACCGAGTCATCAGCATCAACGTCAGTTCATCATATCGTGTGTCATAGCTCGTGAGTCGTAATATACTATCCAATATTATCGTGCGGTCCTGTATACCAGCAGCATAAAAGGTCCTGTTTTTGTTTTGTTATCTTTTTTGTGTGGAAGCGGCGGGGTGTGAAATTATACTGAGAATCATTAGGACCTCCAAGCGGGTCTCGATTGCAAGATCAACTTTTCATGAGTGTGCAAGTTCCGTCATGGTTTCCATGAACCCCTGGGCGTCTAATCCTCTCGTTAGTCAACTTCCACGCGAATGGATGATGCTGACCATGTCCTAACTTACCAGCTTTATTCGTGAATTTCAAAATGTGCTCCCCTTTGGATGTTCGGGGGGCATTATAATCTGAAATGGTGAGAATGGTAGGGTGGAGTTCACGCAATACCACAACTTTGCTGTCCATACGCCGAATCCACCCTCGACTGCCGATGTTGTGCGTGATAAAAGCAGTCCATACCGGTGCTCTGACGGTATTATAGTCAGCTAGAAAGATCCTGACCCACCGCATGGCTGTCTTACCGTTTCATTTCCCCTTTATGTACGGACGCCTGGAGTCTGACGGCCCCTGAAATGTTGTCCCGATAGACGCGCAAGGCATGGAGGAAATTATCGTCGACGATTTGCCTAGCACCTGAATTAGCATGATGGTATGTTCTCTGGTGATTACGTGGCTCCTACCCTCCAAAAAGCTCCTCTTCGTCGTCTAGCTCGTAGTCACGAATGCGCTCCACGGTTTTGTGGCAATCCTGGGAGCGAAGGGCCAAGAAGGTGCAAAAGAAAAGCACCATATCTACAGTTCATCAGTGATGCTCCTAAATCAATGAAAGGGCTGCACATACGTTCGATAGTGCTGAACTTGAGGTTGGCCCACAACTCAAGATCATACTTTCCACGACGGCGCCGACACAACTGCAAACAAGAGCCGACCCGGAAAATCTCCAGCATGTTCAGAGGAAGACAGGAATATTCATTGGACCTCGACCCCCGCGGGGTTTTGCACATAATGCGCGCTCGATGGTCCTCTTCACGTTGGTAGAAGTAAACGTGAAGTTCAGAGTCGCCGTTGAAAGCCCTATAATAAATTAGCCTGGTTCATGCAAATTGAAACATGATGAACTTGCAGTTGGACCAGTTCTTCAAATCCTTCCTCGTGCAGCCATCGCCTAGCTCCAGGCTTTATATCCCCAAGGCATTTAGAGCTACGGTTGTATCAGCACCCGGTCTGAAGATTGCGTTGTCAGGGTCTCACCTTTCGCCTACGTATGGGATATGAGTCTTTGGGTGCTCATCCAGAAACACTCTTCGGGCCCAATGATCGCTAGGAAAAGTGGAACTCAAGGAGTTGCTTGTGGCTGAGCTTGTGAGAGGAGAGCCCGGAATATCGGGTACTGATGGAGGAATGTCCGAGGAGGTTCCTGACGATGGAGAGAGAGGCGTTTGTGGAGATGACCGAGAAGGCCTCTGCCGTTCATACGACCTTCGGTTGCGAGGTCTGCGATCGCTGACAGGGCTCCCCGGATCGGCACTGTTGCTGCTTACAGTGGACGGCGTGCTCAGCGAGATGGAACCCAGCTGAGGTATGAGACGATTGCTTTGTTGTATATAGAGGGATTTGATGTTGTTGCGGAGACTGGACATGAGGTTTACATCGGGATATTTGCTAGATTTGAGCCAGTAAGGTTAATGCTACCCCAGAAGTGGACAGGAAAAAGCAAATATTCGAGACCTACTCTTTCATAAAATCATCCAATTCATTCAGGAATGCCTTATACTTGGCCAAGCGCGTGGACAATGAATCTTGTGATTCTTCCCGAAAATAAGTGCATAGATGTAACCATGTACGCTTGTAGGTATCTCGACTAGAGGCCGGTCGCTCTTCTAGATCCCCGAAGAAGTCGACGATATCCTCCAGTGTATACTTTAAACTAGTTCGGACTAGTTCTAAGTCGGGATGGGCAGCGGCATAGTTGTGACGATAGGACCGGTTTCTTGTCAGGTCCTCCAGCTTCTTAAGAGACGTGCTAATGGAATATAGATCGGCAATAAGACCAGTGATTTCGGTAGAATGTTCGGGGAGAGGATCGCGAAACATGGTGAAACCCGCGGCCACGTCCTCGGCATTATCGGCGGAAGTGCGCAGGGCCATGGTGGATGAGCCTTTAGGGTTGACCATGCATAAAACAATAATTCCTCCCTTGCCTTCTGACCGCAAAAGAAGCAAATGGGAGGTTTCGCAGTCCTGAACTCGTGAAGAGGGGTATGCAAAGGAGGAAACGGTGAAAGGCAGCCCGCCCACAAGATATACGCCGATCACAATCACGAGTGGGATGTTTAAAATATAAAGGATGGAACTAAGATAGGGCAAAAGTCTTTAAATGCGGCCAGGCCGGAGACAAAAAAAATAAAAATAAAAAAAAAAGCTTCACACAGTGGGACTACAAAGTAATCAGAAAATCGACCGGGGAGGGGGGCAGCCAAACGACAACTCAGTCACAAACGGACAATGAAAGGAGTCAGGGAGCGACGTTCTATCGGCAAAGGCACCCCTCCGATGCATGTCGATTGGCGTCTTCCGGACGAAGACCGCAAGTGAGGGCCCAAAAGGGATCCGCCAAAGCACAGGGTCCAGCTGAAGCAAAGCGGACGGTAGGAAAAATAGAGTCAATCCAGCAGCCAAGCAGGGAAGCATCAATCATCCGTCCGGGAAAGAATGCGGGCACAAGAATCCTTTGAAGTGGGGCAGGACCTCGTCAATGGACCGTGTCCGAGAGACCCTCAACCATGCAATGCTTACTTGCGGCTCTCAGAGACTTAGACAGACAAATGGAGCACAATGGGGTGAAACCAAAAGGCCTCCGAGGGCTGGCTAACTGTCTTTGGGGTTGGGAGCGTTGACGTGTTCATGCGGCTTTGGAGGGAAGAGGCCAATAATGGGCAGCGGAAGTGGATGGGCGGAATTGAGCGGTGATGGGAGAGATGAAGAGGTGTGCAACCCCGCGGGTCTGATCATTCGTCCATGCTTTGGCATGTCATTGCAGAAATGGACTCGGTTGATTGGAAAGCGTCAAGTTATCATCGCCATTCTCATCAGAGTATTAGGATTCTTGTCAGAGTGATTGCAGATGTGTTGGAACGATCACCGCCTGTACCCTGTACAGCCAGAGTGGAGGGAGGGACTATCAACGGATGTTCCTTCTGGCAAGAAGTTGTACTACGAAGAGATGAAGCCCCAAGTCACGGGCCCGGTTGGTCACGAGACTCGACATTACTACGGCATTCCTATGAATTCATGATTAAACTTCCTTCCCCTGGCATCTTCATCGACCGAGTTCAGAACAAACACTCCGAAGCACTCGATCTCTATCGATAACTACGGTGCTTACGCCATCTATTTCCAGTATAGCTCTCGATCTATCCATGCAGCTTGGAACGCGTTCCCTTTCCGGGCAATTTTTGCGAGCCCTGAATGAAACCGCCAGGTTCAAGCTAATTCTCCTGCCAGCTGCGAACCGGAAAACTTCATTATGGGGCAAGAGTATAAAAGGACCAGTCCAGCATCGTGTCTGGAGTACCGTCCCTGGTTTTGCGCGGCCAGTTCGACAACCACCAAGCAGATCTCCCCAAGTCATCCAGATCCCGTTCGTGTCATCTAGACATATGCACTTCGGTGGTCTGGCCGTGGTCTTCGGGCAGACACGCAGTGGATGAATAAACGGGGAACGAGTTTCGCGCCAGATATCGAGAGTTGACGTGCAGAGATGGACGTTGTCGTCGCATGACAGGCTTCTCCGCCTGAGGATCGGTGCAACTTGAGTATCCGTACCTGGTACGGAGTACTGGTGGCCATGGTAGTATCTCGTAGGAGGAAGTACGGAGTAGATAAAGCCGACACTTCCCTTATCTGCATTCTGACGGGCTGCACCGGAAGGAATCCTTCACGGCTAATAATACTAACTAGTGAAAGTGATTCACGCCCGAACACCTTGACGGCCAACTGTCCTGGCCTCAGGCATCAATACCGAGGTCGGTCGGAACCACGACGCGTCCGACACGTAAACAAGCAACTCCCGCGTCACTCCTTCTCGGTCACCACGTCGCCAACACCAGGACTCTTGCCCACGCCAACGCCTATTCCGAAGAAACCAATAAGGGGCATGAGGAACCTACAACATAGGGAATGGGGAACAAGTAGAAAAGTAACAAAGAGAAAAAGGAAAGAAAAAAGAAGGATGCGGTCAATTAGGCTAGTATACAACAAAGCTTGCGTTACAACATTTCTGCAGCTTCCATTCTTATTGCACCATAGATACTCGAAAACGAGGCACTCCCATCGCTCGGGCATCATCGGCGCCGGGCTCCTCGATTCGTCTCAAAAGCCGCCATGTCGTACAGTAAACATTTCCCATCGAAGATCCTTCATAAACAGAAAAAAGCAAGGAGATACCACCGTCATCCCATACCAGAAGCCATTGAGGAAAAAGGAAATATAAGAAGCGACGAAATACAGAGGCCAGCAATCAGCGAAAACAAACGACACAGAAACGCCAACCGGTCAAGCTAAACGAGACCTGCTAAGAGAAGAGGCAAGCATTTAGGATGACTCCTCGTCCGAAGCGGCGGCTCCGGCCTATGGCATTGTTAGCAGGGCTCTTCTTACAGCCTAGAGACGCTGCTGTGGGGAGAGAACTCACGTTGTAGCTGGCCTTCTCATCTTCATAACGCTTCTTGTCGGCAGCGGCCTTCTCCTCATAGGGACCACGGTCCTTGTCGTTCAGAGCCTTCCACTTCTCACCGAGCATCTTACCAACCTGACCTGCAAAGCAGTTAGCATTTGGCGCCGAGACGCAAATCCCGGGCGAGACTTACCGAAGGTGATGCCGGGGTTCTCCTCGCGAACCTTCTCACGGTTCTCGTTGGCGAAGAACATGTAGGCGGAAAGGCCACGCTTGGGAGCGTTGGGGTCTAGAATGATGGTCAGCGATGCCTCGAGAGGATGGAAATGGGGGATGGCAACGTACCCTTCTTCTTCCGCTCAACACGGGGCTTAGTCTTGCGGGTGGTCTTCTCCTTAGGCATGTTGAGTGATTAAGTCTAATGATGCTTCGTTAGGAAGAATCGAAATGAATCGCTTCAGGGAGGTGCAAATGACAGAAGAACAACAGGACCCGACAGCAAGGAAGGCAGCGACAAAATAAAATTCAAGTGAAGGAGAATTGAACGACGACGCGATGATGTGCGCGCAATGGAGAGTGCGGGCGCTGCGCGGTGTTGCGCGCGGCCCAAACAAGAGTAGAGCGATCGCGGGCGCAGGTCAAACACGCAAAGGAAAAGCGCGCAAAAACAAAGCTGCCTGGCAATTGACTCCGAAGACGACATCTCCCCAAATTAGGAATTGCGAGGAGTCAAATTTGCTCGTGGGAAGCAATAGGCGCAGATATGAAGCTTGAACAAGGAAGTATATAGTTGCCGGCGCAGATGCGCGACAGCAAGATGGCGCGGAGGTGAAGGAAAACTTCCAGGAAATGACATTTTGACCGAACAAATAAGATGGAAACAAGAAGATTTGAAGGGAAAGAGGAAAAAGGATTTGCGTGGTAGAAGCATTGTGAAGAGAGGGAGGTTGTGTTAGGGTACTCACCGACGCGGATATGCGTACTTTTTTGTATGGGGGAGAGAATTGTATGGGAGAGGGAAGCGTAGTGAGAGAGAGTAGTAGGAGTAGAGAGAGTGAGTGAGAGGGAGAGAGAGAGAGGGAGAGGGGAGAGTAGTAGTAGTCGAGCGAGGGAGACGGGAAGGCGGGCCACCGTGACTGAAGGACTGAAGGGGGGTGAAGTGGGCAGCACAGCAAGGGAATTCCTGCTCGGAGGGGGGAAATGGGAATGACCGGTATCGTACCATACCATCTGCCCAGCTAAGTCCGGCAGTAGCTACCATGTTTTTTTGTTTTTTTGTTCTTACTTTTCTTTTTTCTTGATGTGAAGGAATCCATATTTTCTGTATTCCAAGTGGACTCTCGTCCTCCGTACTGCTTGCAATGTCGTCAGACTCAGACAGAGCTAGCTCTCTCTGTGTGTGTGGTTGCTGAGCAATCGAGCTGAGCTCCACCGTTATCTGGCTGTATGGTATAATACAATACCCTCCTCATACCTTGGGTATCTTCCATAAAGGTGAGAGGTAGCGTAGGTAATCTACGGTACGGTCCATTTCTCAGCGCCACTAAGAGTCAGTAGGTAGCAGACTAGACGGGAAAGTCAGTCGGAGCATTTGGTAACAGGTAAGTTACTTCTGCGCGTAGGATTTTCCGTAGGCGAAAGGCGGACAGTAGAAGCGAGCGGGTGCACCAAGCATCCAGGTGCGTACTGCTAAGAAGGCGCCCTCGGCTCCGGTCACATGACGGCCTCCCATCTGCCGCAGCGCGATTTTCCAGATGAATCAGAAACGGTACATCCATTCACACAGACGGTGCCTACAGACGTTGGGAGGGAAACGCTACCAGCAAATCAATCCTCTCTTTCTTCTAAGCCAGAAAGACAAGAACATCCCCCCAAACTGTACTATCATTGAGGGGGAGCGAATGTGTAGACCTGACCCGCGGATCGAACGCGGGGGTCTCATTGCAGATGGAGATGTGATACCCTCCGAGAATTAGTAGTGATTGATTAGGATTGAACGCGGCAGCCTGCAAGCAAGAGCCATAGGTAACCAGTACTGGAGGATATACCTACATCGCAGCGCTACAACAAGTTACCCACACCATGTCATATCAACCAAATGATGGATGAACTCTTTGCAGGGCGCTATGGTTCCAGCAATTCATTGGGATGGAGGATCATAACATTGGAACTAAAGTCAGTTCTGTCCGATTCATGGTGAAGTACACCGCATGTCATGCTCAGAATCTACTCCGTAGGTGTACTGCTTACGCCCACACTCGGTCCTCCTTTCCAGTTAGGTGTGCGTGTGCCGATAGATACCCTGTTGCTCAACATACGGCACGAGGTTTAGTGACTTAGCTATGCCCGCACTTGGGAGGTTGTACGGAGTACTCCGTACATGCTCCGGCTTGCTGTGAACAGACCCTGCAGGCTCGACACTAGGCACTGGCCAAATGAAATAGCATACGGCATACGCGGCTTCCCTTGCACCGGGGAGAGGTATTTCTGTCCCTTGCCCGGCTGGGTAGTATTTGTCTAGTGGCATCCGCAGTCCAGATGACCAGTGGCTTGCTGCTTTAGAACCATTTGTCTGTGTACACTGTACGGAGTACCTACATACCTGCCGAAGGGTCCTTGTGGTGGTGGAGGGCTGAAAGAGGACCAGCGTACTTCATGCTGTGTAAAGCCTGAAAGAAAGACATGAATGCCGATATAATTGTTTTTCCCGAGTAACCATATTCGTCAGTGCGATCTTTAGTTCGGATCGACTATTGTACTGTAATTGTCGGTTATTATAATATAATGATGAATATTATTATTGATTGTCCAGTTCTGCAGAGGCCGACTGGAAATGGAAATTAAATGCCACCGCAAACCGGGCTAAACAGCACCCGTCAAAGATACCGGCAAAATAACCGGGCCTGTAAGCGCTCTGCCACTCCGTTAGTTAATGGTAACAATAAATCAAAATAATACCAATAATGAGGGGGTCATGGAGTCCTCCTGGCCTGGTTCCAAGTGGAAACGCCCGGCTCCCCTTGGACCTTTCCCAAAAATTGCCTCGTTCGGCGTTGGTGTTTCCCTGGATTTTTAATTCGTTCTTGCTATGGCGTATGTGACTGTTGGATAATTAAATGGGCGCTCCTAATCATTTTTCCCTCTGTTACTTTCTCCCGTGGTGTTGAGGTATGTAATCCGTACTAGAGCATGACGAACGCCTTCCATCACCGGGGATACCATGATGTCACGTGGGTCTCCGGCCTTTCTTGCGGCTTCCATCTTGATCAAGTAAGCACCACCGCGGCGGTGTTTGCTTACGGATTTACTACCTATGGATTTACACCTTACATAGTATACAATACTCCGAGTGTGGTAGTAAGAATGATTCAAATTCCAGTCAACAGGGTATAGTCCAAATCCAACACCTGCCTTGTCTAAGTACCAGCAGAACAAGCATCACATCAGTTCGTCAAGTGCATCACTCATCAGATTCATCCAGAACAAGGGCCGTCAGGGCCTCGTCATCCGCCCAATTTATTCCACTTCCAACAACCATGGCGCTTGCTATATTTTTCATGGTATCCCACTTGGCTTTGCTTTTCTTGTGATCTTCCTTTGCTTGGTCCAATTGCGATACCAGTTCCTCATCCTCAAGGCGTTCTTTCCATGATGCATCATCTTTGGTGAGTTCTAGTAGTTCACGTACAAGCTCCTGGTTCTTTTTATGAAGCTTTCGATTTTCGACCTCCACGGATGATAGGTTCTTGATCGTCGTATTATGCGCCGAGTTGAGGTTCTCATGCGCTAGGGAAAGTGCATCCCGGCGGTTAATCAGGCGAAGAAGATCACTATGTTTCCTTAGGGAATGTTTCTTGAAGATTCTTGCGATGTGCAGGCCAACAGCCGGGAAACTCACTGTTCAGCTGGGGACGTCGCTTTCAGGTGAACAGCTTTCAGAGTAGGGTCAGTCATCAGGATGGTTGCGACAGCTTTCCTCCTGACCGTGTAAGTGGCTCTCGCCTCGAGAAGCTCGCGTTCAGCGATGGCCAACTGCTCTTCGGCATTGTCTCCGGAGAGCAACTGAGGGTCTATCATCATGTTAGCGTTCGATGTAACAAAGAAGCCGAGCCCAATAAAAGAAGTTGAAACAGAGGGTAAAAAGAAAAATGGTCTACCTTGTTGAAGTAGCGCCTTTTCTAATTGTTGTTCCTGGATCTGGCGATAGAGCTGCAGGATCGACGCCTCTTTGTCGGAGAAAGACACAGTATCTCGAGGGTCATTGGCGGCAATTTCTACTAAGGTGACCTCACCCGGGTCCAGGTGAGGCAGAGAACGAGCCTTTGACGAAGCCATCGAACTAGGCCCCGTGGCAGAGCGGAGAAACAAGCATCGTGTGATGGGGGAGGGCGGATTTCTATTTTGGCTGGTTGGCAGGCGGTGGAGAAGCCGCTCGATGAATGCTTCCGGGGCAGCGCGTCATTCACCAAACATGGTCTAGGCCGGGGAGCTCTCGGGGCCTGGGTGCCTTGCGTTTATTTCATATGCCTTCGGCTTCTCTTATCTTCCTCCTTTCCCGCATTCTTCACATCAGATTTCTAGGGCCGCTTTGACCGGCTGGTGAGGAGGGGATGTCTCTGCACATCTATATCGCCCACTCGGGTGAGCATTTACATGCCGACCCGGTGTCGTTTGCCTCGTACGTTGCGTTCCTCTACTTGCTTCTACCGCCCTTGTGTGCCCGGGCCATCTTCTGTGCTCTTGAACCTGCCCAAGCCCTCCCTCGGCTCTCCGGTGTGTCTAGGAATACTGGCTAACATCTGAATCCTTGACTCCTAGTCCGGATGCACTCCGGTCATGGATTGCCCGCAACACGTCAGTCCCATCTCAGAGGCAGATCTTGATGACTGCCCGTGGGAAAAACGTCAAGATCCAAACACTCGCCACAGAGGTATGGTCTCGCCGTGAGCTGGGCTACCTTAGTTTCCTCGCCTATTAATCACTTGCCTTAGGACGAAATCTTTGTATACGATCGGCGATACGTGAATGAACAGAACAGCGCCGAGCTGCCAGAGCTTCCTCCTCCGCAACCGTTCGACCTCGACAACCCGCCCGACATCCTCAAAGACCAGAACGACCTACAGTCATGGAGGAGCCTCTATGAGGCCAGAAAAACATGGGCCTTGACGCTGCTAGAGCGCTGTGAATCGGTCGATAAGAACATTCAGGAGTGCAATGAGCGGACCAACGTTATCCATCGTGCCGTTGGCGTAGCTCTGGAGAACCTGAAAACACATGTGGGAACACTGGAGCATCGCTTTCAGGAAGCGCAGACCTGGGCGAATGACTTGTTGAAGGAGCAACAAACGGCGCTCGACGGATGGAAACGAGCCCTGGCGACTTTAGAGACCATCCCTGCCCGCAAGGACTTCCCATTTCTTGGCCGTCCTTCTACGCCGAAAAAGGAGAAAGAGACAGCGACTGGATCGCTACGTGAATATGTGGATGCGGAAGAAGTACAAAAAGCTGGGTCGGAAGCAGCGGTCGCATTTTCCCAATTCGCTCATCGGGTTCAAGATGTCGAGAAAGCTGTGGGTGAAATTGCGTCAGATACACAACACTTGGTCGATGGGACTGCGTCTTCAGGTTTCGATGGTGTCGAAGGCCTTTTACAAGAAGTTGAGACGATATCTAAGAAAATACAATCCGACTATGAGCATGTCTTGGCTCTGCCCAATAATCAAAAAACGCTGGCAAACGTTTCGAGACTTGCCTTGGGTCACACCAAAGATCTTCTGCCGGGGCTTCAAGATATCAGTGCTGAAGTCCAGGCTGCCCAGGAGGAAGCGGTCAGACGGTATAATGACGCGGTCAAGGCTACCCCTAGTCACATGCGACACATTTCCACTTTGGAATCTCGTCTGTCCGACGTGCAAACCCACATAAACAACCTCAACCTCCATAGTGATGCCTTTGACATTATATACTCCGTGTTCCATATGCCCATGGTCTATGGGTCCATTCTCATCGAGTCTGTGCGACGCCACGAATTCAATGAGAAGATGAAAACCGACTCTCTCACTCTGGCGGAAGAAATGTCTGTCTTCCGTGATGAGGAGCAGCGTCGAAGAAAGAAATGGGTCAAGAACATGGGCGAATTCATTTCCATCTCCGACACGACGACGCCGGGTATTGAAGTCAACCTCCGAGGCCACGAGATTCAATGGCCCACGGTCAACAGGAAGGAAGTTGAATCATATATCAATGATCTTAGGTCCAAACCGAGTATGGCCAGCATAGCTCAAGACCTGTCCCAGGACTTTAAAGATTTGGACGCTCCTACCCGCCTACAGCGACGTAGGGCAAAGGCATTCAAACAGGGCAGTATCTTTGACTTGAGTCGCAGCTCTCTGTTAGTTCGTGGTGACGACATGGTCCGCAGTCTGCGAGATGAGAAATCTAAGCTAGAGGATAAGCTCAAAGGATCTGAGAGCCGTATTCGGAAGCTGGAGGATCTTTTGCATCGACAGAGTCATCTGGGCCGTCCTGCAAGCGGTAACTTCACTCTGGACTTCCCGAGCTCTCCAGCATCCCCTCATCCGGACCAGCTCTCAAGAAGGTCTTCTGTTTCATCAAGACGCATGTCTGCCAATCAATCCTCGGAAGAGAAGGCGCTTGTGCAGCGCATTGCCCACCTCGAGACCGAACTCGCAACCGAGCGCGAGACGGTGCAAAAGCTCCAGAAAGAAGCCCATGCTGAGCGCCAATCGAACACTGATAAGATACAGGAGGCTCACTCAACGAAGAAGGACTTGATTGGCAATCTCGAAGCACGGCAACGTGAGTTCGACGACGAACGGAGGTTTCTGGAAGGGGAAAAGAAGAAGATCAAAATGCGGGCCGAGGAACTCGAGGAAGAGCTGGATCGGATCCTGGATGGGCGTGAACACGAAAAGCAAGATGCAGATGAACGCATACACCATCTTGAAACTGAACTTCAGGATGCTCATAGTCGTGCAGAAACCGAAATCCGAAAGGCAGCCCTTCTTAGCGAGCAAATGCAAAGCTTCAATGAGAGAGAGGGGAGTCTTCAAGCACGCATTGATGACCTTGAACAGCAAGCAGCCGCAAGAGAAGAAAGGGATCAAGAGAACTATCACGCGCTGCAGGCTGCATTCATGAATTTATCTCCTGGTGGAGTTGTTCCCGATCAACTCCCTGGTATTATCAAGACTATTGAGGTGCTTTCAGAGGGATTGGCTATTCATGCTAAGAATGCCGAAGAGAATTCCACGAAAGCGTCTTCGGAAAATAAGGAACTAGAGGAACGTCTGAGCCAAATGGAATCCGAGGCTCATGAGCTGAGGACGAGTGCCGAGACGCGTGAGACCGAGATCTCGCAAGTTAGAGAACAACTTGCACAAAGAGAATCGGAGCTAGCTGCCCTTACGTCGGAGCTAAACGATGAGCGCGCAAAGCTGAAGGCGCTGCAGTCGCAATTTGACGCAGGTGAGACGGGCTCCGATGCCCTTCGCGAAAGGGCAGTGGAAGACGAGCAAAAATTGGCCAGAATGTCACAAAGGGTGGCCGAGCTGGAGACCCAGACGCGTCAATCGAATGGCGAAGTCCAAGATTGGAAGCAGAAGTTTGAAGCGGTTTCCCAGTCTGAACAACAGGCTACAGCCCGAGCCGAAGTTTCTGCATTACGGTCTAAAGATCTCTCAAAGCAGCTGTTCGACCAAGTGGAGAAGCTGGAGTCTATGTTGGAACACTTGGGCTTCACCGTCATCCGGCAAGATGGAAACATAGTTGTCCAGAGGTCCTCAAAAGTAAACGCCCTTTCGGGCACGGCGGACACATTGGCTCAATCCGGTATCGTGTCTGTCAAGCCAGACCCGAACCTTCTCACCTGGATGGAGGCGGAAAGTGACGAGGAAGAGACCGACAGGTTTATGGCATTCACTGAGTGCCTTGCTCAATTCGATGTCGATATCTTTGGAGACGCGGTCGTTAAACGGGTCAAGGATATCGAGCTACTCGCTCGCAAATGGCAGAAAGAGGCCAGGGGATACCGTGATAAGTACCATCGCATGCAAAGCGAAGCTCATGAGAAGATTGCCTTTCGCTCTTTCAAAGACGGTGATCTGGCTCTTTTCCTGCCGACTAGAAACCAGGCCATTCGATCCTGGGCTGCGTTCAACGTTGGCGCGCCACACTATTTCCTGCGCGAACAAGATGCCCACAAACTCCAGGCCCGGGACTGGCTTCTTGCCCGTATCAATAAGGTCGAGGAGAGAGTTGTAGACCTTTCCAAGTCAATGAACGGTGCCAACCCCGACCGCCGATCAATCGGAGAGGTCAGCGACGGGACTTCTTTCGACGACGAGAATCCATTCGAATTATCCGATGGTCTCCGATGGTATCTCTTAGACGCCACAGAAGAAAAGCCCGGTGCCCCGGCCACCCCAGGGTTAGGCAAAAGCACAGTTGCACCCGCCCACGTCGACGCCAGAGGCAGCATTCGGTTGAAACGCACCACGGCCGGGGGAAACGTCGCGAAAACACTCTCAAAGAGTCTGGACAGTCGGCGGAACAGTTCGAACTCCAAGAAAGGGCCGCCGGGAACGCCATCCCAGCGACCCAATAATGACTCCACGACGGATTTGACTCGAGCCCCTGAGCCGGATGCTACTACAACTACGGCTGTTGGCTCGCAGTCGCGGGAGGGCGCTCCTGATCTTGACGAGGTTCGCCGCGAACTGCGTCAGGGCCCGTGAGACCCACGGTCCCCGACTTCGTTGTCTGTTGAACGGAGCTGACGGACCTTCACAGGGCTTGGAACGAAGAACTCCTGGGGTTTCCGCGCAGCAGCGATCCCATCGACAACCCGGGGGCACTCAGTCACTCACTGCCTCCCGGTTCGAGGAAGCCAGCACCACTCCGTCGCGATCGATCTCCAGTCCGCGCCCAACTTCTCGGTATCGCCCCTGGGAGAAGCTCTGGTCTGTAGACTACCGCTTGGAAAGCGGGAATAATCAGTGAAAGGAACCCTCGGCTGGGTGGCTTTGCCTACTGGGTCCTACCAGACCTCCGACACCAAATATTTTCACCAAACTTATACTTCCGATATTTCACATCGGAATCGGCTCCGACTACAACAGCAGGAAACAATACCTTGGAGCTTTCTTAGCGTCACGAAATTGCCATGATTGAATGATACCCATCTATATGGAACATTGGCTACTTACTATCTTATCTTATTGGGGTTTTCATTTCCATTTTCATTTCCCAAGCATCAGTTCACTTTCAGCATTTGACACTTTCCTCTTCTTCTTTGGTCTGGGGACTAGACTTGCGTTTTCTTAGGTAGCTATGATTGATTACAATGGTGATATGGTTCATACAAGTATTGGCACAGGGTGTTATGATCTATAGATTTTGAAAGCCCATGGATTGATAGTATCGAATTCCGCTAACTGAGACCCCTCCTAAAACACCGCGGCAAATAATTCCAATAGAAAAGAACGGATGAGAAGGTAAAGAACAAAGAAACAAAGTCGAGCCGAAATGGAAACAAACAGGAAAAAAAAAGAAATTTATATGTATACAGTCCAATTGAATCTACCAAATGCAAATTCAATCCAGCTCTTCAATGAACCCTTCCAGACCCCCAACTTCCTGCCAGAAGCGCGCAAAGTCTACCCCCTCGTTCTCAAACAGTTGCTTTGCCTGCACCATGGCGGACTTTTGTCTTTCCGGCGTGAAGCCCCCGGGCCGGGTGCTCTCGTACTGGATCAGCTCGACCCATCGGAAGAAAAGGTCCTCCTTGCCCATGGCCGTCAGCTTATCCTTGAAGGCCAAGATCTGGTCCCGTTGGGCTGACCGCGCCCGTCCTTCCGCGGTATCCTCGTCTCCAACGTGCCACATCAGCCAACCATCGGCGTCGGTGTTAACGACCACCGCGGTGCGGAACTCGTCCAAGGGAATGCCATTGCCCGTCCGGCTGCGGTCGACAAGCTCATGCGCCCGGACCATGGCGTCGTAATCGAGATCCCAGTCGGCGTCCACGAGCAGGTAGCCGGTCTTCTTGATCCGGTCCGGCGTGACGGCCGCCACGATCTTATCCCGCGTCGCCTCGTCTTCGCGGATCCAGCGATTGCGCTCCAGTCCCTCGCTCAGGCTCGGTCGGCTGCGTCGGATAATAATCTCGCGGTCCCGGAAGCCAACGTTCCGGCGCCACATGACGGGACCCTCGATGAAGCGGATGGGCCAGGAGAGGAAAATCGTCACCAGAAAATAGTCCAGCATCACGTTGGCGGTGCGGATCAGGACTGTCACCGCCTGCTCCTGCCAAGGCGTCGAGATGGTATCTACCGTCGCGGGGCTCACGAAACCAAGCACCGTCGCTAGCATAGCTGGGTACAGATTCCGGACCATGTAGACTCGGGCGGCTATCACCACTGTGATTACAATGTTGATTATGACGGGCACATTGAATGCCTGTTTCTTGATGTCTTGCGGGGTGCGGTCGATATGGATCAGGTAGACTTCGTCGGGGGCGAAGGTTTGGAGAAAGGGCTGGAGTGTCTCGGGAGCTTTGGCGAACGGAGGAAGAGGGCCCGCCTGGGAGCTAGGAGTCGAGGTTCCAGATGAAGAGGAAGGCGTTGTCGAGCCCTTGGCTTTTCCGGATCGCTTTGCAGACTTGGCCATGTTGTAAGGTGTGGGTGTCGTGTGAGGTGGAACGGGGGTTCGGTTTCAACGCATGCAGGCACTAGATATGACGAGGAGAGATATTGTAGGATGCAGAACTACCCGCCGCAGGATATTCACACGCAGGTATTTCCCTCCAACACAATTGAGCGCGAGGATGTGGAGGAGCAGGCGGGGAGATCAATGAGGGCCACGACAGCTGATCGGGTCACATGTCAGTGCACAAAGCGCGAAAGGAGGCACTGCAGACGATGATCGGCCAACAGAGGAAGGGAGGGATCGGGCCTATTTCGTACCGGATGGGAGAGATTGGCTGGACGTCAACAGCAAGAGGCGCAGGTCGTCGTCAGTCGAGGGGAGTGTTGTAAATCGCGAGAGTTGAACGAGTTGAGGGAGACAGAAATCCCGAATTATTCAGATGATGCCCGCCGCTAACCCGATCGGGAGGATATTCACTCTTCTCTCCTTCTTCGGAGGGAGGAAGTTCATAAGTCAATCACAGAACGATCACCCCTCTCTCCCCTTCCAACATGCCTACCCCCGAGCGCAAGTCCGGGTGGTCGCGTCGCGCTTTCGAACCGCCGCAGGACCACCGCTCCCCCTTTCGCCGAGCGCATCTCGAATCTCGCGCCACCGACCGAGTCGACGCGTCGCGAATTCCAAGCCCTTCCAACGCCTCGACCGCTCGACGTCGGAGGAATTACAGCCAAACCGGCACTTTGCGAGGAGCTTTCGAAGCCCTCTCCCATTACCCAACCATGACCGACAACGAGGACTTCTCGACCGACCCCTACGCTTTTGGGACTCCTAAGCGGAGGCAACAGAGCTTCAGTCATGCATCCCCGGAGTCGAACCCCCCGAATGAATTGGCGGAGACGTACCGACAGATTGACGACGCGGGCAGTTTGATAGATTTCGACGCGCCGGACGACGACGATGTTTACATCCCGCGCACGCAGTTCCGCGGAACCCGCAGCAGGGGCTCCTCTCTGGGCTCGACGATACGGGATCATGGCCTTTTCACCCACACGGACGCGAATTACGCAGAGGACGCGACGGATAGGGCATACCGTCGAACTTCAAGAGACCCTGTCCGGGACGAGCAACGATTGAGACGAGCGACCTCGAGCCGTTCTCCAGTACTAAACAGAACCGGTACCGCCAGTGCTCTAACGTCGGAAAACTTACAGCGACGGGAGGAAGAGGAGGCGCAGGCGCAAGTTCCGGAAGAAGACGAAGGGTTCAAGCCCGGGCTGAATCTTCCGACAAACTGGGGCAGTCGGGGCACCCATCGCCGAGACTGGCTGAGGGATATTACGCGACGTAAAGAACCTGAATCGAAGGAGCCTGTCGAGGAGCCCACCGCCACCTCCCCTCCGAAGTTCAAGCTTGATTTGGCCTCGCGTAGCAGTCAACTCGAACAGACCACCGATACAAATCGAGCTACTACGGAAGACCGCTCAGCGAACCGATACAGCAGAGTCCCCCTTGCAGATGCACAGAACAAGCTCTCCTCTGAACAAACGACAGACAAATTGACCGGCGGCGACCAAATTCCCAATACCCCCATCATGGTCTATAAGAACTCCACCTTCACCAAGCGCAGTCCCACCAAACGAGACTCACATGATTTGCTTCGCAAGCTCGCTAGAACCGAAAGCCCCAACCAGCCCCAGCGGCTAAGTGAGCTGAGGACCCCGGAAGGACCAAAAATGCCGGAAAATCGCATTTATGACAAGACTCCGGTGGTGACGGGCGCCTGGATCGACACTCCCATGACCGAACGAGCTGACCGCTTCCCGGAACATCTCTCGAAAAATATCGTACCATCGCCTATCATGGAGGATCGGCCTAATGAGTTACAAGTCGCTGGAAAGCCCACTTCTTTCGAGTCACAGTCTCAAAAAGAACAGGAGCGTGAAGCAGAATTGAGGAGAGAGAGAGAGAAGAGGAAGGAAGAAAGAGACAAAGCCGAAAGTGAGAGGAAAGAAAGGGAGAAGAAAGAATCGGAAATCAAGTCTCGGGAGAAGAACTCAGAACAGGGTAAAGATGAGGAGAAGAAGGATAACGCAACAAACAAGCCCAAAGTCGCCCAGAAACCGCCGTTGACAAAACCGGACCTACCTAAAAGTGCCCTCGAGACGGTCATGCAAGACTTCAAAGCCGACAAAGACCGCCTTGACGTTGGTGATGACACTATCGAGTCTCTTCAGCTTATACTCGACGAGCAGCCAAATGAGATGAAAACCGAAGCCGAGGAAGACGCCGCGTACGAGAAATCAGTGATGGAAAAACTCGCGCTTGCCGGCTCCAAGGGTCGTGATGTCGTCGATCTCGACGGGCTTAACGAGAAATTACGCGCGTTTTCGGAAAACATCAATCGGGTGAAAAAGGGTCTAGATGGCCTCGAAAAACAGGTTGATTTGATCCCAACCTCGAAAAAGGACCTCAAATCGATGCGTAACCGTGGAAGTGACAGCTGTGAGGCATGCAGAGCTCATTCCCACAACCACTCGTCGAGTGCGATTCCCCTTCCACGTCTATGGAAACACGATGCTGCTACGGGACGGGTCCGACCGACTCGCCTGACCTGGTTCATCATTCTTCTATTTGCCTGGTCTTACGCGGAATCGACCATGTGCGACTACTATTGCCATCCGCTTGCTGCCAACGTATGCGAGGGCAATTGCTTACTCCGCGACGCACCTCAATTTCCGTTTGTGCTCCCAACCATGCTCTGGCGCTGGTCCCATCTCTCCGGCGCTCTCGCACCTGTCTGGGCCCTCGTGCTTGCCTTATCTAGACTCGCCGGGCAACTACTGGGCTTCTGGGACGGGTGCGTGGACGAGGCTCCTCGCGCCTATAACCTGTCCGGTGAGATCCGAATTCGGGGCAGCCAGACGCGCGACTTTGCTGTAACTGCAACCCCGACGCGAGGGCTCTTCGGCTTCGCCGGTCTGAAATCGCAAGAGAACACCCGTCAACCGAGCGTCCCAGAGCCCGTTCCCGATCTTGATCTCAATACCAATCAGAACTGGCCTGGAGCGAGCCACGACGACGGATCCATGGACGATGACGAATACATCTAGCAATGCGATGTAGTATGTATCGTGAAGCGAGAACTCGATCTGAGTGATTTTGCTCATTTTTCTTTTTTTGCCCTTTTTTTCTCTCTCTATTCCCCACATCTTGGATCTACCTCCATTTCACGTACGCTTTACTTGATTATCTTTCTCGATTATTCCTTCTTCAATGCATTTTAACGAGCGGAGTTGCGGCAGAGCAGCGCGGATGGGAGTAAATTGAGTTTTATGGACTGGGTGTTTTTCATATTCTCCATAGGTCGGGAGCTTTTTTCTGTATATCAGCTATTCTATTCTACATTTCTGCTTGTTGTTTTCGATTCAAGTATATTTCCTTTGCGAGACATCAGTTACCAAGTAGGTACTTGCCTGCAATACCATGATGATAGAATACCTGGCAGGCGGTGGCAGAATCCTAAATCTGTTATCTTATCGGGCTGGATGGCACAAGACGGACTTTAAGTATGACGTAGCCGTAGCCGGATATGCTCTCACTCATACTTACATATTCTTATAGTCAAGTCGGTGTTATTTTCATGGGCAACTTGCTCGTCTTATCGAACATTGAAGGAATCACATTGTATGTGTCTGGAAAACAAAAATTGAAAAACATACAACAGAAGGGATTCGCTGGTGGTCACCCACCCAACTACTAACCTCCCGGCGTGTGGCTTAAGTACGGCTGAGCGGACGGGAAGCCCTGTTTTCCACACCCTGTGGTCGTATGTATTTATCTTTATTTGCAGGAGGCATTTCTCCACACCCTGTGGTCGTATGTACTGGGAAAGCTGGAGACTAATATGATATACCGTCTTTTCTTCCATGTAGTAACCTATGTGACCTTTCATACTATCCTAGCCATCCACCAAAACTTTGTGGTATGATAGGAAGTGCTTGCTAACACTGAAACAATTAGTCAAAGATATATAACAGTAGGTCTATCTAGAAAGTGTATACAGCTGTATATACAGCGCATGTCACTGCAATCGATTCCGAAAGACAAAATGACAAAGACAAGAACACAAGGGGAATATCCACCAACGCCCGCAAGTAGACCAAGAAGAACAAGACCAGAATTGGAACATGTCCAGATAGTCCAAATCAATCGACACAATGAAAAGTAAGAGAGATCTCTCAAAGCTTCGCTCTCCCAGACCATTCCTCCAAAAGCTGTTTCTCCCCTTCCACGCGCCAAGTACTGCATCTACGCAATCGCTCGTCAACCTCCTCGTCGGAGAGAGGCACGGCATCATCCAGGGAGACTTTGTGAGTCGAACGCAGTTTGTAGGTGATGTAGTTGATATGTCCGGTCGACTTGACCGTGTTCGCGACCGCGTCACTGCAAAAATTGGCCATTCCGTCGAAGAACCGTCGTCCAGCCGAGGTCTCCATCATCATCATTGCGAAGCAGTGTGGCATGCCCTCGAACTGGTCGACCACGACTGGGACGCCGACTTGGTGCATCCTGCGGGCGACGACAAGGCTTTCGTCTGTGAGGCCTTCCTCACCGACGGAGACGAAGAGGGGGGGGGGCGTCCTTCCAGAGGTCCTTTTGTGCTGCCAGGGGGCTGACAAGCGGATGGATGAGAGCGTTTGCGTTCGCGAAGAGATCGACACGTGGGGGGTTGGTGGGCCATGACTCGTCCACGGTGACTGGCGGGGGGCGATAGGCTACCTCGTGGTCTTGAGGCGGAGGTGCTAGATAGTCGTAAGGCGCATTGTGAACGACGGAGGGCATGGATCGTGTGACGTCGCACCAGGGAGAGCTTAAAGCCAATCCGGCAGGAATCTCAATGGGGATTTCTCGCCCGTGGAAGCGGATTGTGGGAGCGATGCGCCGAAGGGTAAGGAGGGTTTGAAGCAGAACCAAGCACAGGTTGCCTCCTGCCGAATCGCCGGAGAAGACTATCTTGTTGGCGGGCACAGCTTCGTGCAATGAACCGGGTGGCGGTGCGAGGAGCGAGAGGTAGGCGACCAAGGCGTCAAGGAGCGCCGACGGAAAGGGATGCTGAGGAGCAAGACGGTAGCGCACCGATAGAACACGACCACCCGTTTGTTTGGAAAGACGGGCCACCGCAGGGCGGTGCGTACACGGATCCATCAAACTATAACAAAAAAAAAATGAACCGTCAGCATTCCCGGAAAGGAAAGTCGCCACGGCAAGTATACTTACAAGTACGCCCCTCCGTGGAAATACAAAATCACCATATCCGACTGCGACTCCCCCTGTAACTTCTTGTACTTCTCTTCCTCTGATACGTCAGGCTGCGGTGCGTTGTTGCCTACTCCGCTGCGATTCCCAGTCCACTCGGCCTCGACAGGCTTGACAGCTGGTATATCAAAAGTCTCGCCACCTGCTTTAAGATCATCAATCGCTTTCAAGACTGCATCTTGAACCGCATCCTCAGGTGCAGGAAATGTGACTTTAGACACCCACATGGGCCCCTTAATGCCGGGGTCGCGCATGCTTTGTTTTTGCTGGAGACCGATAGGCAGGAGGAAGTTCATGAAAGAGCGAATGATGACAACCGTTAACTCCGTGCGAAGATCTTGTTTGCCAGAGACAGGAGACAGGCGCATTCCATGAAGAAGGACTGTCTTTAAAATGAGCGGGACACGGGCTATCATGGCCTTCAAGAGGCCGGGAGACATGCTGAGATTGCTCATGATAGGCAAACTCAAGCACAGCAAAGAGAATGACTGACGCGCTTTGAATACAAGGAACAGAGAAGAGAGGGAAGAATGGAGACGGCTGAGGCCGTCGCAGGGGGTGGGAGGCAAAACAAAAAAAAAGAGAAGAGAAGAGAAGAGAAGAAAAGAAGCCGACGAGGAGGAGAACCGCGGAAGTCGCAAAACTGGGAACTCGACATGCCTCGGTTGACGTCGATTCGATGCAGCGCCAGCACACGAATGGAACTGTTCTGCAGAAAAGTGGATCAACCTTTTTGTGGGGCCAATCTCCTTGTTCATTGTATAATCCCCTTGCTTCTAGTCTGTAGGCATCAGTCAAAACTCCGTATGCTCCGTGCATTTGTAGGTATGTACAGCAATTATTTCAAGCGATATATTCTCGGACTTTACTGTCCGTTTGCCGCTCCCCTATCCGGCGCAGGTTCATGTGCAGTCTTGGACTGGTCGTCCTGCAGCTTTCGATTTAACTGTCCCTGACCTTGGGCCGTTACGGCGTCGACCTCAGCCTCAGAATCGGAGGTTCGAGGGCTCAACAAAGTCTTATAGACCGTCTGTTCTTCCTCCTTCAACCCATAACCAGACGGGTCTCTGCGGATGAGAAAGTGCTGGACTTTAGCCTCATTCGAGGCCATTTGGTTGACGGTATTCTCCCGTCGCCCTGTTAAGAACCGCGCAGACTCGTTATTGAGCTCTTGAAGCCGGGACTCGTAACCCGTGCTAACCCGAGTGATCCAGGAAGCCTGCATTGCACCTCCGAAGAGCGTGAGCAGGATGATGAAGATGGTGAAGGTGCGATTGTCCACCATGTGCTGCTGCTTTCCCTGATGGCGATTACGCCATCGTTCCCAATCCTCCCAAGTGGCATTTGTATGAATGGGACCGTAGTCACTGGATCCCGATCGGGCCCAGGAGGGCGTCGGGCCCTCGCTGCGACGCGGGTGAAGGCTCCATCCTTCGCCAGAGAGATCGTACGCGGCTCGCCTGGCCGGGTCGGAAAGAATCTCATGGGCCGTAACGACTAAGCGGTACCGCTGTAGTCTCACCTCTGGTGCGATATCTTTGCATAATGGGTGGTCATGACACGGGCGATCGGGGTGGTAGATCTTGACTAGTTCGTAGAACCGAGACTTCGAGTACGGAGCCTTCTTGTCTTGCTTGAACACATCATAGGGGGTGAACGAGGAAGAAGACGGCCAGGACAGGTCTTGTTCGGGGAAACCATGAGCCGTGGCGTAAAGTCTATATCTATGGAGAAGATGCTGTACGGAATGAAGCCGCGAGAAGAGTGGCGATGAGGGGCATGACGGAATCAGCAATTGGAGTCTATGGCGATATATCTCATTGGATTTCTTGAGCATGACCGCATGATTTTCCACGGAGGAGACGTGGCTTACTCCCCCGATAAAATTCAGGAACCATGGGAGGTAGAGGATGGATGATGGAGAGGAGAAACGAGCAGTGTTATCCGCTGTTGTGACGAAATCCCGACCATCACGTGCCGGTATTATCTCCGAGTCTTGCGACCATAGAAAAAAAGGTCAACTTCCCAGCCTTCTTCTCCTTCAACCAAACTTGCTCCACTCCATTCATACAACAAAGCCAATAATGGCCGAATCGCCCGACGGCTACCGTGACAGAAGGCGGCATCGCTCGCCGCGCGATTCCCCAGGTCCTTCGCATGACCGCGACCGACGGAGACGTGGTGACGACGAGCACGAGAGCAGCTCACGACGCCGCGATGACCACCGAAGCTCGCGCCGGGACAGTTCGCGAAGAAGATCCTCTCGCAGCCCATCCGGTCGAAGCAGCCACCACAGAGATTCCGACCGCCGTCGTCGAGAGCGTCGAGACCGCGACCGGAGTCCAGACGACGACCGAAGAAGACGCCGGCATCGCTCCCCCGACGAACGGCGATCTCATCGACGCCACCGGGACCGAGATGCAGACGACGACAGGGAAAAAGGAAGGGAAAGGCCTTCCCGAAGACATCGAAGTACCTCCCGATCCCGCTCCCCGGTCCGACGCTCGCGAAGCCCACCGTCGCGCGAGTTGAAACGGTCGCGAGGACCCCTTCCTTCCCAGAACGACGCATACAAATCGGAGGTGTCGCAAGGAGGGGAACCCCCAGTTCCACCGGTTGAGAAAGAGAAGCCGAACTTTGGCAACACGGGCCGCTTGGCGGCGGAGAGCAACACCGTCGCGGTCAATGGAGAGTCGGTCGTTCTCAAGTATCACGAGCCTCCGGAGGCGCGCAAGCCACCGGGCAAAGAGCCCTGGCGGCTCTACGTGTTCAAGGGCGAGGACTTGCTGGAAGTGGTCGAGCTGAACGAACGCAGCTGCTGGCTCATCGGACGGGAGCGGCTGGTGGTGGATTTCCCGCTGGATCACCCGAGCTGCTCGAAGCAGCATGCCGCCTTGCAGTTTCGGTTTGTCGACAAGCGCAACGAATTCGGCGATCGCATCGGAAAGGTCAAGCCTTATCTCATCGACCTGGAGAGTGCCAATGGGTCGAGTGTGAATGGAGAACCCGTTCCAGGTGGGAGGTATGTCGAAGTGAGAGACAAGGACGTGCTCAAGTTCGGTCTGAGCAGTCGAGAATACGTCCTCATGCTTCCTCCGCCGGAATAAAATCTTATGATTCTCCTACTGGAACTGATCCAATCCTCGGATCTATGCGAGACAACCTTGGATATACGCAACGATAAAAACCACAATAATCAGCAAGAACCTTCGGTCATAACGATCATGTATATTATTACACAAGGATCCTTGGAAATAAACAATCCTCAACTATATGAAATTCGTTACACATGCAACGACAAAAAGAAAAGGAACCAACGATGCTACCATAGCGCCTAATTTTCACAACATCCAAGTGGGAGGGCGAGAGAGAAGTTCACGATGAGCCGAAGGTCTCCTTGGCCTTGCCCTTGGCTTCGCCATAGGCCTCCTTAGTCTTACCCTTGGCTTCGCCAAAGGTTTCCTCGGCCTTACCCTTCGCCTGACCCAGGGTCTCCTCGGCCTTGCCCTTGCCCTTTCCGGCGACGTCTTGCGCCTCACCCTTCAGCTCCTGGCCCTTGGATTCGGCCGTCCCGGTCGCCTCCTTGATCTTTTCGGTGGCTTCCTCTGTTTGTTCGTTAGTGTCTGTATACAGTACAGAGGTAGACACGAGCATTAAGGGGGGTGGGGAAGGGGAATAATAGGTCATCACATACGGCCCTTCTCGATACCCTTAACCGCAGCACCGGAGATAGTGCTGTCGGCCTTCTTTAGCGTATCCTTGGCAGCTTCGACGGGGCCCTTTTGCATCCGTGCAGTCGAGGAAATCGATCGGTTCAGACCGATAGCCAAGGAGGGCGTGGTCGTGCGGACGGAGCTGCGAGCTGCCAGGCGGGCAGCCATGGGAGAGATGCGCATGATAGACGAAGACATTGTTGTATGTATATGGAGGAGATCTAATTAAATTCAATTGATCGATGGAAATCGTGGTGAGATGAGAATGTCAATGTAGATAATAATTCAGAAGAAAAATACTAAAGATGAAACAAACCCAAGTCCCCTTCCTCGCCTCTATATAAGACCGTCTATGATGCAGCGACGTCATCGGCCGACGGAGCTCTTACGTCGATAAACGGTCAGTGGCCAGCCCAATGAGGTATAGCGCCGATCCGGTTCAACCAAGGCATGTTCCAGTGAATTGCCTCGTTAAAGGGCTGGATCGACATGGGTTTTTAGGTACTGGGACAAGTCGATGATGTCGTTGTCTTTCCTTTCCTTCTGTCTTCCTTCCGCACAGGGAATTTGTTTTCCCCACTGGGTGGTTAGAAGTACACGTGAATGCACGCTTAGCTACAGTGTATAGGGCTACTGTACGGTTGCGGATAAAGCCTCTGTAGCACAGAACAGAACAGTTGACTGAGAGGGGGATTAGCATTATGAACGGTCTCTTGTTCCTGGTCACCCTTCCCTCCATCTGAAGTGCTGGAATGCACACAAACAACAACTCCCAAAGAGAAGCCGACCGTCATACTTCATTAGCATCCAACGTACTCATATATATTGAAAAGATCGAAACAACCCACCCACCTGTGCAACCTATTCCTGCATAAGGCAAACAAAACAAAACAAACCAGACAATGCAAGTGAATATGAAAATGTCAATGTTCAATCCGAGAGACGCCACCTCATATGCCCTTTATCCATTTCATCTTTGCGTCTATCAACAATTCGACATGATTCCTAAGCGCCTTCTGTGAGAACGCCTGCAAGGGGGAAAGGCAAAAAGAGTGAAATCAAACCACAACTCCAAACTCTGATCTTATATGCATTTCTCGTTCTCGTACCCTTTGATGCTTTTCTTTTCTTTTCTTTTCTTTTTTTTTTCTCTATAATTCATGTCTTCCCTGTCTTTGAGGCGTCCCTTATTTTCTGTGGACGCCTGATCTTTGAAAAACTCATACTCGTCAACCAAATCGATCAAATGCAGGATGGACAGGGGAGCTGCCACTCCGTCCTCGCACATTCGGCGGCAGTTCCTGAGGCTGCATCTGCAACTCATGTGGAATGAGCGGTCCTGACAAGTTCGGATGGTACATGCTCAACGGTGCAAGGTGTCCTGGCATGGCTGGTGCCGCGTAGGCTGGGAACGCTCCTGGTCTTTGACGAGCCTCACGCACGTCGACTTGATGGGCGCCAATGAATAGCGGTTGGGGCTCCCTATATTCCCAGTTACGATCCATGCCCACCATGGGGTGACTCAGGGGGTCGACTGCTCGCAGTTGATGCTGTGCGGCATAGCTCGGGTCCGGCTGGAATGGGGCCGCCAGCTGTGGTGGCGGAGATTGAAATGACGGTGTGTTTTCGATCCAGCTTCCAGCTCCCGAAACAGCGTGCGGATGCGGCATAACATGGTGGATATTGGCAGGAATTGCGGCATGCGCAGTTGAAGGCATCGGTGAAAATCGCTGGGGAAGGCGGATTGGATCTGTCGCCCACGACTGGTGGGACTGCGCAGACGGACCCCGTGTCATCGGCTCCGGGGCTGGATCAGAGGCATAACCCCCAGCAGGTATCTCGGTGACCTTGGTAGATGGCGGCGGCGAAACACCGGGCATAAACGCAGACGGATGGGACAGGGGACTCACGTTAGTCGCCGGCTGACCGGCGGATGGTGGTCTTGCTACAGCACTTTGGCGACGCGCGTGGGTAACCTCAATGTTACTGTCATATGGCAGCGCTGGGACATAGGTGACAATGGAAGGCGTGCTTGCGGACATGTCTCCGATAGGACCAACCGCTCTAACAGTTGATAGATGCCGAGCATGGTAACGCGACCCTTGGGCCATGTTCAAGTCCAAAGCATGCAACTGTTGTGTTAGACGTCCCTGTTCCGGCTCACTGTATGTGGATTGGTTCATGTAGTCGGGTTTGAGCTCGGCTTCAAAAGCTGAAACATGGATGGCGCTGGACAATGAATCTCCGGAGGATTTGCTCTGAAGTCCGAGAAACGTCGGACGAGTTTTCCCGCCAGGACTAGAAGAAGATCGCTGTTTTGCGGAGGAGCCGATCTCATGAGCTCGTTTGGCTGCCACGTTAGCATAGGTCGGTGCGTTCTCGTCATTGATCAGTGGCCGCTCGTCCGCCAGCTTTGAGACATCTTGCTGAGAATGAGGGGGACTCGCATGATGCACGGCGGAGAGAGATTCGGAAGCAGATACCAGCGAACTCGTTCGGGCCCTTTCCACGACACCCGTCGATGCACTTCTCCCTTCGACAGGAAACACCTTAAGAACGGGCGCAGCTAGCTTCGGACCCCGGATTTTCCGGGGAAACGGGGGTCTTTTTGGCAATTTTTCCTTGCTTGGCTTCGGCTTGGGCGTCTTCTCCACTACTTGCCAACCATGGTCGTCGAATTGTTGCGGAGGACTCGAAGCCTGCTCCGATTTGGGTTTTGCCGTCGAATGACTCAATTGCGAGAGTGCCGGCGATCCGCGAGTCATTGGCTTCGCACCTTCTCCATCCGTTTCATACCCGATGTCCTTGGCCGCGTTGTTTTCTCGGTAAATATGCGGGACGAAAGGATCCAGATTGAAGTGGGTGGAAGGCGGGCTCATCTCCTTTGGCGATTCCACCGGCGGCGGCGTCATTTCATTTAGATCCCATGTGAAGTGGCGACTCAGTCCGTCTTCTCCCACGGAGTCCGGGATGGAGGAAGAGGAACTACTGGAGCGGTCAAAGACGGAGCGATACTTGCGAATAGACTCTTGCGAAGAGCTCGGGGAGACCCGTTCAATCTCCTTGCCGATACTTCTCATGACTTGCTTAAGATCTCGTCGGGCTTCTTGCACGATGGTCGGTTCGTTCACCAGCCTTCGTGGGAAATTGTTGGCCAACGCGGAGGCATGCGTCTCATACTCCCGATAATCCTTAACCAGGCCATAATCATCGGCTTGATTCATCCGCTTTTGTGCGTTCTCATAGGAGAGAATAAAAACGCGGATCGCAACCACCAGCCACGAGTTATAGTAGCCGGCCACCGGCCTTTCCGGTTCGGCGGATGGATTTCTCATATTCCTAATCTCCTTGTCCCTGATCTTCAACTCGTCTCGACAAAATCCTTGGACCACGCTATGGATTTTGAGCATATCAATAGATCCGGAGTTTTGGTAGATGGAAAAGAAGGCGTCCTGGCTACTCTCCGTCTGCGATTCCGACAACTCCGGAGCCACGGCTTTCATGTCGAGGATTTCATCCTTTTCGGAGCGGGGAGACAAGGCCTTTGCTTGCAAGGCATAGGCGTCCGATGTTCTTTCTATGAGCCCATACCGAATCAGAGTGCCCAGCGTTGTGTCAATGTCTCCAGAGTCCCCAGGTCTACTTGGACCGTGTATGTCAACGTGCCAGTGTTCTAGGGCCTGTTTTCCTAGGTTTATCATGCCGATAGGAACCTGATGACCAAAGAAGGACAGAAGGTTGATGAGATTCAACGCTTCGAAGTGATTCGTGCGGTAAAGGTCATGCATGATGCCGAGGAATGGTTCCGCCAACTTCTCATCGGTCAGGTGAGAATCGAGGTGATAGCGCTCAATGGGCTTTGAGGTTGCACTGAGGCGGTGGCTGATGGCATGAATGGCCAAAGGAAGACACTCATAGTGGTTGACGATCTCGACTGCTTTGCGGACTTGATCGGGAGACGGCCTCTTGATCCCGAGATCCTTGAAAAGCAGCTTGCAGGCATCCTCAACCTGGAAAGGGGTCATCTGCAGACAATAGGGCTCGTACAATCGCTGTTTCTTGCGCAATGTCCTATCAACAGAGGTGTAAATGATGCTACATTGCTTGTTGAAGGGCAGAAACTGCTTGAAGTGGTTGAGGTCGTTCTCATGATCAAATGAGAGCCCATCGAAGATCAGCAGCCAGCCCTCACGGCCTTGAAACCAGGCGCGAACCAACTCCACATATTTCTGAGTGATCTTATCGTCTATTTCCGGGAAGTCTTCGCCGTCGGTCAGTGCCGCGGCCACAGCAATGTCCCAGAAACATTTGAAGATGGACTGGAGAGATTTGGCGTCGACCCAGAAGACACCGCCGGGATAGTCCTCTCGGTGGCGCCAAACATACTCGCGTGTTATGTGAGTCTTTCCGGAGCCGGGCACCCCAGAGACCAGAACGGACGACAGACCATTTGATCGCTTCTTGACCTTGAACAATCGCGTATGAAGGACTTCAAGCTCTTTCAGCATTCCTATAAAGGTCGAGTTCGGATGAAATCCCGGGGGCACTACGAAGAGAGGTTCTTTCTTCATGATTCTAGATAAGGACAGATCCGTACTGCCAGCGAGCTCGGACACTGGAGATTGTCGGCCTTCCGCCGGGGGCAAGCGTCTGTCGTTGGGTACAGCGAAGTTACCTAAGGGACAAATAGTCAGCACTTCTGACTGCTGCTTCGTTGTGTTCTAAAGATACAACAGCGCGGTAGGATACAGGAAAGAGTCATGGAGAATAAAACGTCACGTTCGCGGGAGAAAGAACAACCCGAAAGGGAGGACGAGGAAAACAGAAGAGAGAAAGAAAAAAGTAAGAAGAAAACATAATAGAAAAGGAAAAAAATCAAGCTGACCCCGACAACAAATGAAATATCAAAAGGTATGAATTGCAGCATTTTGAGGAGACATTGTTTTTGTTTGCTTTTGCGGGTTTCCCTTCCTTTCTCCGTGCCGACATTCAAACAAAACCAGGTTACACATGCTTACTAGCATAGGATGCCTCCGAGGGCTCCTCAATCTCATAATCTCGCAAAGTCACAGAAGGCGAAGACTCGGGAAGGAAATTGGCCCTACCAATTGCACGAAGATCCGGTTCGCTTCCTCCCAATGGTGGCGACTCCATCCTTTCTGAGCAACCTGTCAGCAAAACATGCTTGTCCACGAACTGAGGCCTCACTCACCCTGGCTGAAAATCTCCCTGACCTTGGTCCGTTTCATCACTCTGCGAGTTTCCTCCTCCTCGGACCATCGATCCTGGATCGTGTGAGGGGCATCACGCGAATACCGCAGGAGGGCTTCTGCCACCGCCTCATAACCCGGGGCGCCGTCATCCTCGAACTTACACATGTGTCGATGATCCGACTCTATGCCCATGCGTTCCACCCCTTCCATCTGGGGGGCAGCCGAGCTTTCATCTACAATCACTTCTCGAGTGCCCTTGACATCTGTCGGCAGGGTCTCATGGAAGAAGTAGATATGAAAGCGGCTCATAATCTCCACGAAAAGACTGTTGATGTTCTGCAACGTCTCGTTGTTTGATCGCAGGATTTTCACGAGATGCGGCGACGAGTCGAAGAACTTCCGGGGCAGGACAGCGCTACAAATATTTTGTAACAGAAGTCCCCATTTGGCAACGTCCGATCCGTTATGAGGGGTCCCTAGGAATAGGATGCCGTACGTGGAGACGAAGATCGACCGAAGGTGCTCGATCTTCTCATTTGACACGTTGCGACAATAGATCAGCGCTCGCTTGACGACCAAGCCGCCGAGGGAATGGCACACGAAGATGATGGGACGATCTGAACATCCTCGAAGCTACAAGAGACGGCAGCGAAGTGTTAGCGTTAGGGCTAGCGACCAGGGACTTTTTTCCGAGTCCGACAGGCACCCATGGAGCTGAATCACTTACATTTCGGTTAGCCGCCAGGCCTGAGGCCAGCGTTTCGGCATGGTTCAAGATGCGATCTTTCGAGGCGCCGTCCGTGAAGGCGGTTACGTTTGCGTTGTATCCGTACGTTAGGATCCTCACTCGGCTGGTTCCCAGCACGTCAGGCAGCAGGTCCGCCGGCCAGAAGATGCCCGAGTCGGTGGCCCAGGACTTGTACGGATGACCGTTCAGACCGTGGACCAAGACGATGTCGACCTGGGGCTTCTCAGGGGAGCAGTAAACCTGGGTCAAGCCGAACTGCTTGACCCGGGTGGCGAGGGAGGTCATTGAAAGGGCGATACGGGGTGAAACTCAGAAGGGTTGTGATCATACGAAAAGAGAGCGAAATGGAAAACGACTTGAGACAGCTCCGATCAGAAAGAGGCGAGAAGACTAGCTGTCGATCTCGATGGAAGAAGCGTGTGGGGAAATGATGAAATATAACGAAGGTACGGATTGCGGGGAGACAGAATGGGAACAGGAAGATCAGGGAGATTGGGGATATTTATGGAAGAGCGGGAAGAGGAGGGGAGGATGAAAGGGCCAGATGACGCCGACGAGGGCGAGAGGAGGGTGCCTGGTGCCTGCGGAGTGGCAGCGCCTGCATTAGTGAGTCTTAGTTCCAGCAGTGAAATTGACTGAAATAACCATCCCGTGGACACTAAGATGGGCCGGGGCTGACCAAGGCAAAGTCATCTGTTCGTTGCATGCAAGTCTCTTTTTTTTTTCCCCCTGAGGATCAGCTTGAATTACGATCTTGATTCACTAGACTCGACAGAGTGAACAATATCTCTAAATATAACCTATGACAAGTTAACCACCTTGAATTGAATCGGACCCTGCATCTATAGTCATACATATACTACCTACCTAGTATGTACGGTATACATACTGTACAGATCGGGATAAAGGCTTAGCGCTGCAGATCGTCGGGGGAATCCCGCGCTAACAAGGAGGTCAGTAGGTGAACCGACCAGTTAATTAATTCTCCTGCCAAAGAGGAGCCTCCTATTCAGCGAGAACAATCGAACAATCCGTCCGAACCTGTCAATACGCAAGTGATCTCTATACTCCGAGGCAAGTACCTATACGAGCACCGGCATGAGGCTGTAACGCCCGGCCGGGCGCTAGTTTGCCCTACTTTTCTTCACTTTTGGCCCCCTCCTTTTAGATAGTGCCTAGTAACTACACAGTAGTCAGTATTTGCCCGCTCATGGCTAAGAGACATGATACCGGAGTAACTGAAGATCAGATCTCGAAAAGTCACTGTATGTTTCTTTCTTTAGGACAGTCCCTGCAGTGACAGTGAGTTGACATGCACCAGAAGGCTGTGTTGTTGTGTACTCCAGTTCTAGGCAGAATGTTAATCGCAAGGCTCCCCCGTGGGCCCGTTACATCCTGGATACATCTTATTATGTACAGTAACGTCATATAGATCCATGGAAAGGTGGTGGGGGTACCTGCATGCAACCTAATCAACACCATTATGGTAATCTTTAAAAGCCTTATTTCCGATTCTCGTACAATCCAATCCACCCCCACACCCACTCGTCGGTGACTGTCAACAAACAAACCTTCCAGCCCAGTGGCTTCTCTTGTGGAACGGCGGCCCGTCCAGCGGTTCCAGGGTACGTTGGGACTCGACCAGAGAGCCAGATGTAGTTTACCTAATATTCGAGGGCCTAGGAGGACCGACGTTACAGTCAGTCTCTACGGGACATCGAACGTTGTGATTCTGGCGGCATGCGGCTGTAGTTTGCCGTATCGGTCTCTGACACTGAGCCATGTGTGACTAACGAGCTCCTGAAATGGCCTGGATGCAACCTTGTGAATCACCCTCGGGGTGGGTTCGTGGGCGAGGCATGACTCATGGGTCCCCTTCCCTGGGATGCCCTCGTTGGTGGGTAATGGATAGTTATGCCGATGAGAGATGGTGTGTAGTTGCAGTAGCCTTAGACCTCAGGTGTCATTCCCAGAGGGGCTGGACTCAGTGACTGCATATGCCTAGGTATTCATGTCTGCGCCTGTTTATTGTGATTCTCGTGCCCTCTATAGCATACTATAATTGGAACGAGACCGAGGCCCAAAAACAAAGAACAAGGGTGATACGGTATTCAACCTTGATATACACATTCGCCCATCAGAGCCTCATCTCATCGCCCGCGGAAAGCCGGCTTCCTCTTCTCCGCAAACGCCCGCAGAGCCTCGTAGCGGTCCTCCGTCTCCATGACGCCCGCGTACGCCTCGTTCTCCGCCTCCTGGCCACGCTGGTATCCGTTGACGGCCTGCAGCGCCTGCTTGATAGCGACGGGCCCGCCCTCGCAGATATCCATGGCCAGCTTGATGCTCTCGCGCAGCACCTTCTCGCGCGCCACACCCTCCTTCTGCTCCTCCTCGGGCAAGATCTCGACCAGCCGATCGCAAAGCCCGATGAAGTATGACTCCGCGCCCGATACGCGTCGCCCCGTCAGGATGAGGTCTCGGGCGCGGTTCACCCCAATCACACTGGGGAGGCGGTACGTGCCCCCGGCTCCCGGGATGATGGCTAGTCGGGTCTCTGGGAGTCCGACGACGCTGGAAGAGCCAAAGACGCGTAGGTGCGTACACAGCGCTAGCTCTAATCCGCCGCCGAGCGCGGTCGACGAAATGCCGGAGATCGTGGGGATGGGGAGATTGGCGAGGTCTTGGAACGTGCCGCGCAGTTTTGTAAGGAATTCGTTTGTTCTGGAAAAACGACACAGATTCAGCAAAATACACCCTCGCAGCCCAAAAAATACGAAAGACTGAAATTCAAGGCCAAAAACAGAACGTACTCCTGTTTCGTCATATCCACTCGCTCCTTCAAGTCGGCACCTGCACAGAAAGCCGCGTCGGCATTGCTGGCAATGACCAAGGCTCGTGTAGGGCCGTCGCCCCCTTCGGCGGAGATGGACTGCACGTGTTTGGCCAAACTGTCCAGGAGGCTTCGTGAAAGTGCATTCCGAGCCTTCGGTCGGTTCAACAGCAAGACCCGAATGTTGCCAGAGCCGGGCGCGGGGACCTGGTGGGTTTTGATCACGGCCTCATCCGGCGTGGTGCTGTACCGTGCGATTGTAACGCGAACAGAAAAGACGGGCGGGCGGCAAAGGGCTGGTAGTGCGAGTCGTGGGGGCATTTTGAGGAGAGCGTGAGATAGGGGAGGAATCAGGTGATGGTGATCTGGGGGATTGGGTAGTGTGAAGGGGAGAGAAGAGCAAAGCAGCTGATGAAAACCCGAAGGTGATGACGCCGGGGCTGTGGGGAAAGCTTTTAGTGCGACCGTCCAGCTTCGTGCGGGGAGCCGTCCCCAATTCTTGCCGCGGATAAGCGCCTGCAATGCATTGCTCTATATAGTTATGTCTATCTATTGTACAAAGGGGTATAATATATACAAGAATGGTGAATAAATGATAGTGTACACCGCCTCCCTCACAGCACCCGCTGCTCCTCCCAATGAGTTTGGCAATACGCCTGGATTTCTTCATGGTTCGGCCAAGGACCCAGGACCTCCGACGCCGTCACCATGTCATATGCTTTCTCCAAGAAGAGGTCCGCAGGTGGTCTTCCATCGGAATGATCCGACGAGGCTTCCTCCGCTGAGAGTGTTTCGGTCGGCACATGAGCCGGCTGCGTCTTGGTCGAGCGCTGTTGGGACCGTACGCCCAAATGTCCCTCGAGGAACACGCCGACTGCCACCACGACGTTTCGCAACATCCTTGCGCCGTTCATATACTCTTCCGACACTTCCTGGATGTTGGATTCGTAGCGACACATCCATTCAAGGACTTGTATTAAGCCATCGTAATCTTCGGCAAACCCAAGCGATCTCACAAGTGCGTGGAAGATGGCCGGGGAGGGAATGTAAGATAAACGAGGCAGTGAGTCGGCGCCTTCCGCTCTGAATCGACGTTTGCTGTCCTTCCCAAACACTGGGTATGTCATCGAGCCCTGGGTAACCAGTCGGTCAAATTGACTTCGGAGGATATGAAGACCACGGGCAGTGATATCCTGCGGCTGCAGAGAGTCTGAATCGACATGAGTCAATGCTCCATGCCGTGCCGCTTCTGCTACAAGTTGCATGCCTTCTTCTGTTGCGCCGGGATGTGTTTTCTCGGCCATCATGAATTTGGAGAAACTGTTGCAAAGAAGCCGGAATGCCTCCGGACGAAGTTCAATTCGAAGCTTTTTCATGCGGCCAAGTAATTCCAAGCTCTCATACCAGGCGAATACAATTTGCGTGTTTTTATTTACCACGCGGTTGGCATGAGACAGGCGGTTCCTGCTAATAGCCGACAAGACATGAGTCCATGCCTCGGGAGGCTTGGACTTCCGTACCATAAGCAAATTGATCGCATGCTGTAAATTGGTTGGGCTGCCCGGGGCATAAGAAAAGAGGGTCGCGGGCTTCAAGTGAGCCTTGGACCGGTACCCCATAATTAAGGGGAAGGCATCCATGGCGCGCACGGAGTGTCGAAACATAAGCTCCTTCGGGGTCGGAAACTTGCACAAGAGGGATATAAAGGCAGTGAAAAGATAGTCTGATATCTCGTTCAAGACTCTCCCACTTCTTTCTCGATAGGCGGTTTCACTGCCCCAAATAGTACACAAGGCCATGACCTGATCGTTGGATAGAAGGCTGCAGCAAAGATAATCCAGACCACAACGGATGTTAGGCGCGGAAGGAAGAAGCGAAGCCAACATCTTGCTCCGCGGTCGGATGCCCTGGGACATCATCTGATGGAGAAATTCACCCAAAGTAGGTGGCTCGGTATGTACATAGATCAAATCTCGGGCGGAGGAAGGTTCGGGGAAAACTTCCAATCCATCGCCCGGCAGCGCATGGTTTGAGTAGCTAAGGTTGTTCTTCTCTGGCTTATCGCCGTAGATCAACTTGTCAACCATCGCACCATACACTCTGTCCCGTGGGGGCAGGCCTTGATCTTGGTATGACAGGAAGCATGCCCAGGCTTCACGCACAGTTCTAGTGGAACGCAAACGAGCCTCCCAGATTGCTGCACTAGAGGTACTGCCTACCGAATTGCCCAGAAGCCGGGGCTGGGGCGTCGAAGCCCTAGTTTGGATGGTTGGACTTTTGTCGGTGTCCCAGCCGGCATAGATTCCAGCAACCTCTTCCCAGCGGCTATGGCCGTATCCTGCCTCCTTCATTTGGGCCATCACGCGCATTGCTCGACTACTCATCCCTTCAGATCCGCGCTGGAAGTCGATGCCTGACTTCTCTTCTTTCCAGGGTGGCCACGATGGTGCCTTCAATTCTGCAAATTGACGTTCTGCCGATGTCTTTTTGTGTGTAAGTTGGACCGCAGCGATAGCCTGATAGCTTTGCCGGGTCACAGGCATAACGGGTTGATTCCCCGCCATCGCTCTGAGTAGTGTGAACTGTGCTTCCTGCTGTATTGAAGCCGACCTAAATGAACCCTGTCTGCAGCGCAGTGCGAGTAACCGAAGAACCAAATTGAATTTAGCCGTCATGAACTTCATGTTATGTGCAGTCGCACGAGAGACGCCGTGCGCCTTGTCTGACTTCAGGAGAGTCAGATAGGTTGCGAGCGCGCGCACAATGGGAACCTGAGCCTGCGGCAGCAATTGACGGGCATGATGGAGCAGTCGAACGACGAATGTAATACACATGTTGGGGTTGATTAAGGGTGCTGCGTCTTCCACTTGGACGTTTTCGAGCCACACATCTTCTGACATCGCTCTCGCGTATGCTTCCGGTCTAGGTAACGGCTGACCGCGAATGAGGCTCAGTGAGTATAGCAAAAGCAAGCGAAATGTATCCAAATCAAGATTTTGCCGTAACAGAAACAGCGGAATAAATGGAGGAGTTGTGCGAATATAAGAAGCGTTCCTTAGCCTGTCCTTATCCTCGGTTGCTAGCAGACGGAGAGTAGCCTGGTAAGGCGTGACAGCCCGAAATATCCAGGCCCACACTGTCAGATCAGTGATGTGGTACCCACGTTGGTGAAGGTATGTTTCAAATTTCCTGCGACTGAACCTTTGTATCCCAGCGTCAAGATCACATTTCTCGTCCGGGGGGGTCTTAATCTTGAGCTCTCCGGGCCTATTCTCTGAGCCTCGACGACGCTCCACATCGTATAGGTATTCAGCAAGAGCCTCCTGGAGCGAATTCCTGTGGTGTATTTTGTACGAGATCCTTTGCGACTTGGTTAAGGGTGTCATAAGAGGGTCGTTGGGGTTTCTCGCTGCCAGTACCCAATTGCCGCCTCCGTCGTTATCAGGGTATTCGAAAACATTTTGTAGCGTATCCATCATAAACTCCGTGGGAGTCGGCGTGAATGTTGAAGAATCCAATTTCGAGCTTCTGCGAGGATTACTTCGGCCCGTGCCGGGCCTCTCTTGCGGCCGTTTGCCTTCCGCATCTCGTTTCTTCGTCGATGTGTTACTATGCGATAGTGGTGTAGAGTCGGGGACAAGATGTGGCTGCGACGGTTCCGAGATAATTGACTGAGCAACGAATGGTTTGAAAGACGCTAGATTGGAGCTGAATTCCGTACGCTGCCGCCGCTTGTCATTTGGACCCGGAGGATTATAGGATTGGCTTAGAATAGTCTGAAGCCGCAGCCCACACCAGTATTCACAGGTCGCAAGCTGCTCATTCTGATCGAAACCACTAACATGCTCTCCTTGAGCTGAGACAAGTCTGCGCGGGGTTGAACTGATCGATCGGGAGGGAATTGAAGACGTGAGGACATTGGGAGAGAGTATTGAGAGCGGAGTCAAGTTCAGTTGGTGGAAGAGGCTACCTGAAAAGCATTCCTACGGAGAAAGCAGTAGTTAGTCTCTGCAGAATGACGGAGCTAATAACAATCAATTGGTGCAAACCTTTGGCCATGAACGACTACTGAGCATGTGCGCTGCTCTCAGAGAGGGAACCCTCGAGCGGCTCGGAGCATGACTGAATGCCGATGACATCCATGAAGGATATGGGAAGAGGGGGCCTGTGCAAGGAGAAACAGCGCGCAGAAAGCAGCTTGACACGGTCGGGGGTGGTGTTGGTCTCCAGAGGTCCAGAAGAGAGAGAAAACAAATTGAAGATGATGGCACGAAAAAGGGCCCGGGTCACGTGAGCGATCGTCACGAGTTGCCTGGCGCGCAGGAGGGAGATCTTGTTCCTCCTCGCCCTCTCCCGCCTGCCATCCGATCCGCCGTCTCGACCCTGATTTTCTCCGGCTCTATTGTTTTTCTCGTCCTCGAGTTCCTCTACCGCGTGAACGAAAGCCGCCCTCGTCGCCACTCTGCCATTGTGGTGTCGCATCTTCACCCGTCGTTCTCCTTCTCGTCCTGACCTGCGCGCCCGTCAAATTGGCCCTCGTAACTTATTGGCGCAACCGCTTCGGAGATCCACGAGTGTTGCTCTTTGCGATACCCTCTTTTTTTTCTGCTTTATGCCCCTTCCTCCTTGAAGGTGAAACTCTTAGTTTAAAATCAATTTCAAAGGCTCTGAGTCTCGAGTTACCCTGTAAAAACTCGCCTGCAAAAACCTTGTTCGACTGGGACGGATTGTCCTTTGTTCTCGTTTCGAAGAAACACTGCAGGAACGGCGCGACTCCGGAACCATGAGCGCAGACGAAGGCGGAGGCACGGCGCCCATGTCGGCCACAAATGGAGAACTGCATACTTCCACACCCGATCCGCCTACTATGGCGACGCCGGGCAAACGAAAGCGTGTCTCGAGTCATGACGAGAAGGCTGCTCAGGACGCCAGTTCGTCTGCTTCGAAGGGCTCCCAGGACAAAGTCAAGCTGCAAGAAACCCTTCGAAATCTCGTCGAAATCCTGAGCAAGTACGCGCTCCCTATGGTATCCATTTGTCGCGCATTTGATTGTTAACCCGCGCTAGAACTGACGGAGAACTTCACCTTCTATCGTGTCCGCTGTCGACTTCTCTATCCAAACCTCGCTCGAAGCGCGCCAAAGTATCCGGTGACAAAGACGAAGGGGTCAGTATACAAACACGCGTAGCTTCGGATCGCTACAACACGCTTTCGGAATTCTTAAGCGACATCGAGAGGGCGTCTGCTGCCGTGATTGAAAGGAACAAGGCTCAAGCTAGTGCGACCCCCGCGGATGGAACACCTTTGACTGAAACGGTTAATCGCATCGCCGCTTTCAAAAAACACTTGAACAGTCTTGTTCGCCAGGCTCAAACGACCCCAGCTAATGTCAAGACGGAGACATCGGAAGATGATGCGGAGGCGCCCACGAAATCTACCCCGTCAAACGTGGAAACGCGTAGCGACAGTTTGGTGTTGACCTTGTTCGGTAACCCAGCCAACCCAAAACAGCTATACTCGAGTCTGCAAAAATCGGTCAAGGTTTCATTGCCTTCGGACGACCCGCAAACCGAGAAGTTTGTCGAGGTGCAGGCGCCGTTGCATGAGGAAGGCCTGCCGAACGGAATCAGCATCACCAAGGTCGAACCTCACGATCTTGAGGCTAAACCCAAGGAGCCTACAAGGACCTTTGGGGAGGTCTTCGCCCCTCGTCAAACTCTACCTCAATTGGAACCACCTCGCCGTGCCAGGTCTTCATCCCGAGGGGCATTCAGCAGCTGGGTTGATCCGTTCGAAGCAGTCACCAACTTCAAGTCCTTCCTCGGTGATCGTAACAACTACTGTCTTGCGCCTCTGCCTTCCGGCCAGTGGCTTCAGTATGGCGGCGTCACTTCTTCGCCATCGTACTGGAATCGTCGGCAGAAGCAGCAGTCGTCTCAACAACATGTTGACGAAAGGTTCCATGAGGATTCTGCCATGTGGGCAGATGACGACGCATCAATCTGGCAGGGGGTGTACTCCTCGTTCGCCCCATCTTTCGACAGTTCGGGAGCCGTCGTGCAGGCCGACTCCAAAGACTTGGTATGGTGGAAAAAGCGAGGGTCGAAGCGCCTTCACATGCTACTTTCTCTACCAGATCAACAGGAACACGAGGAAACGATATCGGAACGACCAGGGAATATCGGAGAGCTTGATGAGAGCACTCTAGAGGAGATGGTCAAATCCTTCAAACCGGAAGACTTTGCAGACAGTGTTACTCGTGCCGATGCCCCAAAGAACAAAGATGCCGACGAGAATGATGGGAACAAGAAAGAAGAAAACGATGAAGAAGGATCACAAGACTCGGAGGATGTACTACGAGACATCTCGGATCTTCTGGAGACCCTAAGCTCATATCAACGGATTCGCAATCTCGAGGCCCCGGGAAGTCAGGGCGCTGACACCAAAGAGATCGTTCCCGATATGGGTACCCCCGACGCCCCTTCGGCAGCAGAGCAAACCGTTTATGAGACTCTGAGGTCAAGTCTAGCAGCGCTTGTATCAACACTTCCCCCACACGCGGTCGCCAAGCTAAATGGAGATCAACTGGATGAGCTGAATATCAGCCGGAAGGTTGTGATTGAGAACCCGGACTACCACGGCACCATGGAGAAAGATGAGTTCACCTTACAGCAAGAGCGAACTGCAGCCATGGCCCCGATGGCCGGTAGTGTAAACAGGACGTCCACGCCGTCACGCTCGTCCAACTACCCAGCAGGGTACAACCAGCGCGCCTACGCCACCAATGCCCGGACTCAACAGCCACAAAGCGGTTTCCAGACTCCACAACCGTACTATGGTGGGCGGCAACCCTCCGCGTCGGCACCATACACCCCTGGTCCCCAACAGCAGCATTACGCGGGAGCTCGTGGACCAGCAACGCCGTCGCAGCGCCCCAACTATCTTCAGGGGTACTCGCAGCCCACTCCTCAGTATAACCAAGGAAATGCTCCTCAATTTCAGAGACCCACCCAGAACGGCTATGCTCCTTACCCGCCTCAACAAGGCATGCCTCCTGCTCAAGCTTCTCCGCAGCAGCCATACACTCCCCGTCCAGGACAGCCAGCACCGTACAATGTTCCTTATGGCGCAGGGCGCAGTGCCTCCCCTCAGAAACAGCAAGCATACGCAGCACCACGAACACCATATATGACGCCCGGCCCCAACCCTCAGAATCCTCAGCGATACGCTTCCCAACAACAGCAGCAGCCTCCTCCATACGGGAATTATCCCCCTACTCAAGTACCACAGACCTCGGGTAGCTATTCCAATTCGGCCGCCGCCATGACCTATGCTCGGAGTGCTGCCGAGCAGGCGGCCCTGATGGATCGCAATAAAGTCCAGCTTGCTTCTCACCAAACTCGACAGAGCCCTTCTACGCCACAGCCTTCTATTGAACAGGGTAACTCTCAAGACCGGAGTGTAACGCCAGGGAGCAAGCAAAATGGTACCCCGGCAGCTTCATGAGCAGATGAATCATAGTGCATGCATTGGAACTTGGCTTGCCTCCCTTGACCATGTTCTCTCCCATTTATTCATCTTTCTTTCCTTTTCCTCTCATAGCTATTCTTATACTCTTGTCTCTTTCTAGAACGGCCAAAAATGGAAGGGTTGGTTAATGGGTTTAACATTTTATGATCGGAACTTACTTCTTTGTCTTACTGTTTGCTTCAATGTCTTTTTCCTATCCCCTTATTTCAATTCTTACCCTCAATCTTCGAGGGAAATGGTTCACTATTAGATTTTATTCGAGAGAAAGAGGGGGTGTTTTGATGAGCATCACAGTCCTCCTTTGATTCATGCGTTGGTTGTACTCTGGGAAACTTGTCTCTTTTGATTGTGCTTGTTCTTCTTGAACCAAGATTCTCTTTTCTCACTTTCTATCTTTTTCCCCTTTGCCTTTCGCTTTTTTTTTTTTTTTTTTCTTAATGCCTGGGATTTTTCCATCTTTTCTACTCTAAATTACACTACGCAGGAGGGGGTGGTGATATTATTCAGCGAATGGCGCGGATTTTGAAGACTTCCGGACGGGGTCTGGTTTATTATATTTATTCTTATCTGGTTTGGTTCGGTGGGTAGAAGAGGATCCTCTAGTTTGATCCCTTCGTTTCTTGTGCTCTTGCTCGTCGTTCATCAGTACTGTGTAGGTAGGCGTGGATATGTGCGTTTGTTTTGATTCTGAAAGTCTCTTGATTTTGATGTTTTTTCACCATGTATGAGCTTAGTCCGTGTATCCTTTCACTTTGTTCAGTGTATCCTTTACTACTATCTAGTTTAGTCTAACCTTCGAATCTGTACGGAGTATCGTGGTTGGGTTTGTGTCAGTAGGTCTTATAGTCTATTTCTCATGGTCACTCTAATCCTAAATCCTAGAAATTGAATCATGTACATGTAATGGCCAAAGCCAAAAGATGGAGTTCAAAATCATAAAATGGATAAATGATCCCGGAGCAAGTGTTGTAGTATACATAAAGGCTTTCGTCATAGAGTACACAATTTCCAGTTCCAGTTCAAGTTCAAATCAAGGGTCAAATGGGACCTCAGAAGAAGAGAACAGTCAAGATTTGAGAATCCTTTCTTCTGTTTTTTTCCCCGTAATTTTCTCCCTCTTCTAGTCTCGTCTATGTTGCGACTAGTAAGAATCTCTTCGTTTCCTTAACGCCTTTTTGTTATCAGTCTATCCCATCCTTCTTTCTTTCCGCGGTGCTAGCATGCAGGGAAGTATAACGAATTGAAAAGCCAATAGATAAAGAAAGATGCGCAATGCAATGAATCAAGGTCAGTCGACACCAGCTAGTTAGTAGATTTCTCCAAGAAGATTCGTCACTCGTAAGTCAAATTATCGATCACTGATCGTGGGTTTGTTGGTAGGTGGAAAAGGTATAGTCAGTTAAGGAATGAACATCGCGGCTATGGTCATGAAGCCGAAATATCTAAGGAAGGGAAATTAGTTTGTCTCACGTTGGAGGGGAATAGAAGCATGGCTTGGGAGGGAGGAAGTCGACATACAGTGATGCACATCTCCAGCCGTCCTGGGACGCCACCAATTGTTCGGCACCGCTCGAAGAGTTGGATGCAATGGCAGCCGCGGCGCCCCCCACGACAGCGACAACCAGCAGACGACCAGAAAATTCAGCAATCATGGCAAACGACAGTAGTGGGAGGAGAATGGCGGCTGAGGCAATGATGATGGCCGAGTAGACCGAAGAGTTGGAGGGGCTGGAGACGGTGCGCGGTGCGAGAGAGATGAGGTCCTGGGCGTGGTCAAGGAAACGCGTTTCAGCTGCTGCAATGGGATTATGTTCTTTCATCCAGGTACGGTATGTCTCGGTATCCTGTTCCGAGGCGCGAGGTAATGTTTGCAAGACTTTACTATATGCGCTGAGGGCAGTGTCTTGCTTCATATTAGCATTATATTCTTGCTGGACTTTCTTGTTTTCGAGTAGATGGAGGACTCACTGTATTGTTGGGTCTTGTGTACCAAAACCCCCATCACTTCTTCCCTCCGATAATGGAGGGACGAGTACACCTGCGCCTGGACATCCATGCGTCGTGAGGCAGGCAAAACCTTGGTCCCCTCTTGATCGGCGGCAGCAATCCGGTGCATTTCTTCGTACTCATCCAACATGTGCAATTCTTCTTCGAGGTGTGCAATTTCATCCTGCAGGTGTAGTAGCACACGGTGGTTCACACTTTCAAACCGGCGATAAAGCGGAGGGAGCGAGGTTTCTTTACCCTCTGCGGATGAGTCCAGCTGCCAGGAAAGGAGTCCGTAGCCAGACGGTATGTGAGCAGTCTTGGTGTTTCTTCTAGATCTCCGGCTAACTCGGTGGAGATCCTCCCCGGGACTTCGAGGAGGAGAAGGCGGAAGCGGAGGCCGGTGAAAAGGGGCGGGATTTCGCGATGGATAGTATGCTTCCGGCGACGTAACTATATCAAGGTTGCGTCTAGCCGGGTGGTTGGAGCCATCGGGCAAAGGACCCGAGACGTAGGACCCATCTGTGGAGTACTTTCGATGGGAAGGGTTGTGTCTAGCTAACTGCAGGGGCACCGTGGTTGGTGAGATGTTATAGGGACCGGTGGAATTGTGGGAATCCATGGAGCCTTTGGATTTCATCGAGGAGGTTCGACTGCGTCCGTTTGCTGCCGGGGTTGTGGAGATAGGCTGGCGTCCGGCAGGTGCAGCATATGCAACCTTGGGTTGCGCAGGGGGTGCCCCTACGGACGATTTCGACGACTGCAAGCTGTCGTCATCGTCCTCCGACGAGGAAGATATCTCCGATTCCGAGTCATCCTCGAGGTATTCAAACACGTTGGGAGGCTTTTTCTCCGACTCGGTCGGCTTGGGTTTAGCATCCTGCGTTTTTGGCGCCTCAGTCGAAGCTGGTACAGCGTGCTTTAAGGCCGCGGACTGCGTAGGCGAACTTTCTTTCTTGGACTTTTCCACCGAGGACCGAGAGCCCTTGGAAGTAGCATGAGAGCCCGTTGAGACCACAGACGCCGTTGAGGTTCTGTTAGAACCGTCTTTGCGTGCCTTCTTGGAGCGACTGGACCCGGAGTAGAATGGCATTGTGATTATGATTAGGACCGGCGCGAATCAAGGGGTGAGAAATGAATTGCGTCAGAACTATGAAAAGCGCTGAAAATCTTTAGCTATTGAGCCATACCCCATCCAACATGGGGAAAGTCGAGACATGAACGAGTGAAGAAGAGATGGTTCAAGGCAGTGTGGAATGAATTGTTTGGAGGGGGGCCAGCAATCGAGGCATATCAAGGGAGGGTCGGCCAAACAGTTGCACCAAAGGAATGTAGGACAGAAAGGTATGCGTTCAGTCCCTGTCTTTTTTATTGGATTCCCTTCTCTCTCGCCCCCTCCCTTTCTTTTCTCCTATTTGATACTGACAGGCGCCCCCCGATCCGCGATCCCTGTTCTAAAGCAGGGAATGTATATCGAGATCTCGACCGACCAAGAAAGAGAATGGAGGGACAATGGTCAAACCATGCGTTCAGCCCCAAACACGGGGAAGTAAGCTGAGACAGGGCGGCAATACTGGCAGCTATTTGAAACCAAATCCCAATAATGCGACAAGAACAGGCGGAAGCCAGCGAGAATGGACGAGTCTCATTCGTCGCTGCAGAGCGTAAGAAGCGCCAAGGGCTACAGATCACCAGACGATCACCGGATGACGGTCAGAATCAGATTGTTCTTCGGGAGGGTCTTTGACTCGGGTCTTATCGCCAGCGGCCCATCAGACTGGACAAGGAGGGGAAAGAGAGGATGAGTGAGGGAAAAACAACGATAGAAGCTGGTGGGATGTCCATGGAGGGGAAGAGTTCGTGGATATATATATCGAAAGGAAGGATGGCATGCAGCACACAGATGTATCCACAGTGGGCCCTTGCCTCGGAACCGTGAGGAATTATATCATCAGCAATGTTCCATCCCCAGAGGGATCTAAACCACCGGTTGATGCGTTGGCTGGCGTTGACTCGCTGCCGATCCTGCAGGCGTGGAGTGCGATGATTGTCCCGGGCAGAGAATGGTGGGATAAGAGCAATCTATAGTTAGGGACAATTGTAGGGCGAGAGGGGCACACATCGAGGCACAAACATGTTCAGGGTGCAGCAAAGCAGAGTATGCAGGTGACTCTTTTCAATAATTTGGCTCTTTCTATTTTGTGCGAGAAAAGGATAGAGAGAGTAGAAAGAAGTAGAAAGTAGAAAGTAGAAAAGAAAAGACGATGCGGTGAGCGTAAAGTAACCCGTACGGTATTGTCACCGTCTCTGCTGCCTGAGGTTCTTCGGCGATACTGAAGGGTTTCTTGTTTCCACTTGAACTTGACTTGATCAACTTCCCAGACTTTCTCTCCCTGCATCTCTCTCCTGCCTGCAGTTTGTTCTTTGTTCCCCCCTCCTTCCCCCACCCTCCCCTGCTATCAACCACCACGCCTCTCTACCACTCACGCGCCTCCACACATGCTTCGACCATGGCTACGCCAATGCCCCAGAGCTGCCCGCTCTCTCGCCAGTCCCCGTTGTCGCCAGTCCTATATCCCTCGGCCACGTTTGCTCCCCTCTGATGCCATCTCATCTTCTTTATCGCAATCTCGAGTTAGGCATCTACAGACCTCCACCGCAGAGCCCGAAGACCGCGTTCCCCTACGAAAGCAACTCAAACAAGGTGCCAAGGCCTTGAAAGCTCACAAGCGCCAGAGGAGGGAGAGTGAGGAAGCATCCCGGCAGAAATGGGAATTGACCGTGGGCATTGAGATTCACGCGCAACTGAATACCCAGTCCAAATTGTTCTCCAGTATGTGGACCCGTTACTGGGGAGGGAGGGGAAACAAAGCCCACTCTGACCATGATCGCAAACCAGGTGCCTCGACGTCATCTACCGACCTTCCCAATTCCAATGTCGCTCTCTTTGACCTGGCCTTTCCGGGCAGTCAACCCGTTCGTCTACGAAGCCCTCATCACACCAGAAGACCTCCGACGCTGAGTTGTTTTAGAAATTTCAAATCCCAACCCTCCTTCCTGCCCTGCGCGCTGCCCTGGCACTGAACTGTGATATCCAGTCGGTCAGTCGGTTTGACCGGAAACATTATTTCTACCAGGATCAACCGGCTGGCTACCAGATCACCCAATACTATGGTACCATTCCGCCCTACCGTTAACCCGTCCCATTGATGGGACCGATCGGCTAACGCTCGGGCAGAACCCTTTGCACGAGCCGGCTACGTCGACCTCTTCAGCCACGACGGTATTGCGCCGGAAGATGGAGACCAGGTTCGCATTGGCATCAAGCAGGTCCAGCTCGAACAGGATACAGCCAAATCCCAAGAATACCCTCCCTCGACGCAACTCCTCGATTTCAACCGTGTCTCCCATCCGCTTATCGAGATCATCACCATGCCCCAAATCCATACGCCCGCAACCGCTGCGGCATGCGTTCGAAAGATCCAATCCATTCTCCAGTCGTGCAGTGCCGTCACAACGGGTATGGAACTGGGAGGTCTCCGAGCCGATGTCAACGTATCCATCCGCCAGCGGGGGGAAGTCGAAGGCACCCACCAATACGGAGGAATCGGCGGTCTCGGCCAACGCACTGAGATCAAAAACCTGAGCAGTTTTAAGGCAGTAGAGGATGCCATTATCGCCGAAAAGAACCGTCAGATCGCCGTCCTCGAGAGCGGAGGAAAGGTGGAAGGAGAGACCCGCGGATGGACGATTGGAAGCACGGAGACACGGAAGCTCCGAGGCAAAGAAGGCGAGGTGGACTATCGCTATATGCCCGACCCCGACATTCCGCCGCTCTTTATTTGTGACGACCTCGTGGCTGAACTACGGAACACGTTGCCAGCGGTCTCGGACGAGCTGATCGGGGTGTTGAAGGATCCTGCGTACGGTCTTCCCATCGAGGATGCCAAACCGCTGGTTGAGCTGGAAGACGGAGCACGATTGGAATACTACCAGGACGTGGTGGATATCCTGCGCGATCTGCAGCAAGATCAGGATTCCAAAACTCGAGCAACTCTAGGGCGCGTGGCGGGTAACTGGGTTCTTCACGAGCTTGGAGGGTTGCTGACCAAAGCAGACCTGGTCTGGGATCCGGAGCGTGTTCCCGCACAGTCTCTCGCTGAAATAATCGACCAGCTGCAGCGGAAACGGATCACCGGTCCTACGGCCAAGCAGGTATTGGCCATGGTGTTTGACGGTGACTCGCGGGCGGTCCCCCGGCTTCTGGAGGAGGAGAATCTACTTCTTCGCCCTCTTTCGCGGGAGGAGTATGTGACCCTAGCCGAAGGCGCGATTGCTCAGAACCCTCAGATGGTCGAACAGATTCGCAGCAAGAACCAAGTGGGTAAATTAGGGTGGTTTGTAGGACAGATGATGCGCATGGGGGAGAAAGGTCGCGTGGAAGCACCCAAGGCTGACGCAATTCTGCGGGAGCTTATCCTAGGGGACGGCCAGGGTCCATGAAGTGAGCCCGGTCATGTATAAGTAGTGTAACTAGCTAGTGTCAGTGTTGTAGGATATGGCATAGAAATGATACCCATTGGAACCCATGAAACCCATTAAAACCCACGAAATAGTAACCCAAGGCGGGAAATAACCCGACGGATCATCGCCAGTCCAGCCGACAGTTATCATTCCTCCCGAAAACGATTGCTAATGGAAAATGGGGGGTGGAGTTGGAATGGCGACGCTATGGCGGGCGTCTCTCCTCGACCTGTACTTAGGGGAAGCCCGCGATCCCTAAAAGCAGGTCTTAGCGATCGTCCAAGAGAAGGGCGGACGGAGGGACCCACGGTCAGCCAGGATTTAAAGCTGACTTTCTTCACGGCTTCTCCGGGTCTTTCTTTCTTTCTTTCTTTCTCTTCATTCTCTCCATTCCTCCTTGATCTGTCGTGTCTCCGGTTCTTCTTTGCTCGTCTTGTCTTCGTTCCGGCGCATTCATCCCTCGCATTTCTGAAACCTGATTCCTGAGGCAAACGGAAGGTCCACCGCGGCGGATCTTATCGCATCTCTCGCTAGTCCTCTTTGGGTTCCCCTTCTAGAAGCTTTTTCGCCGTCTTCTTCTCTTTTTCCTCTTCCTCTCTTCTCTCTCTACCACCCCACCTCTATTCAATCTCCCCTCCACCTTTCTCTTCACCATGACTCAGCCCTCCACTATCACCCAGCGCTTTCTCTCCAAGCCCAGCCACCTGGGCGTTGTGGCCGTTGGTTTCAATGGAGGCCAGGTACGTAATTCTGTGACCTTTCCTTGGCAGCGCCGATCATTCCGCCGGCGTGCAATTTCTCAATTCAAAGCTCACCAATGAATGTGTGTCTTGCAGTGCCAATCCGGTGTCGAAGCGGCCCCTCAGGCTCTGATCGAGTCCGGTCTTCTCGATCAGCTGCGCGATGACCTGGGTTACGAGCTTCACTACGACCAGACGGTACACTACTACGAGAACCAGATCCCCGCCTCTGACCCCGACCACCGAGGCATGAAGAAGCCCCGTGCCGTGAGTGCCGTGACCGAGACCCTGAGCTCGCAGGTCTACGAGCATGCCAAGGACGGCAAGTTCGTTCTGACGCTGGGAGGTGACCACTCGATTGCCATCGGTACCATCTCCGGAACCGCCAAGGCCGTTCGCGAACGGTTGGGCCGCGAAATGGCCGTCATCTGGGTCGACGCCCATGCCGACATTAACGTTCCCGAGATGAGCCCCAGCGGTAACATCCACGGCATGCCCATGGCCTTCCTGACTCGGTTGGCCCGCGAGGAGCAGAAGGATATCTTCGGCTGGTTGAAGGATGAGCATATCGTGAGCACGCGCAAGCTGGTCTACATTGGTCTGCGAGACGTGGATCGCGGCGAGAAGCAGTTGCTCCGGGAGCACGGAATCAAGGCTTTCAGCATGCACGACGTTGATCGGTAAGTCTTTTAGCCTTCTCACTGGCCCTTGTAGCTCTCCCGGGATTGAATGATTCCGACATGCATTGGACCGGGAGACAGGGTTACATGCATACTCGCATGCATGCAGGATAGAGTTGCTAACCGTGAGACAGGTACGGTATTGGCCGCGTCGTCGAGATGGCTCTGGCACACGTCGGCAACGACACGCCGATCCATCTGTCATTCGACGTCGATGCGCTTGATCCGCAGTGGGCGCCTAGCACCGGCACCCCTGTGCGTGGTGGACTGACCCTGCGCGAGGGTGACTTCATCTGCGAATGCGTGCATGAGACGGGTAACCTGGTGGCCATGGACCTGGTCGAGGTCAACCCCAGCCTCGAGTCGGTGGGTGCGTCGGAAACCATCCGCACCGGATGCTCGTTGGTGCGCAGTGCCCTGGGTGATACCCTCCTGTAAAGCGGCGTTGGGTGTATAAAACAGGGCGGCTTCCTTTTTGTTATATGCTTGTAATATTCCCCATGGATATGAAATGAAACGAATGATTAAAGTAGACTTTTTGGTACCCTGTAACGGTCGGACGCGTTGCCTGTCATCCATGTTGACACCCAATGCCCGTACCCAAGGCTGGGTCAGGGGCTTGAGCTGTAGGGTGGCCATGCTGCATGGTCAGTACCATCGCGTATTTGGAGTATAGGTGCATCTAATAATCACTCATGCCTGCTCACTGACACCATCATATTGCGATAGACAATTATAGTAGTCATTCTTGTCGTATCAGGCATATAAGCTCAGTTACCAGCCAAAGTGATATCATTGCATCAATTGCTTTGGAGAGTCAAGGAACATCGGATTCTGCGCTCATGAACCAGAGATCCGTGCGGTCATTTTCACCTGGAAGTGGGTCTCTAACGTTCTTAGTCTGGGACCTGATCTTATCTGTAGAATAGTCGCTTCTTTGGAAGTTGTAGCGATCGATCCGTCAAGGACGAGATCAGAGTTATCTAGAATAACCTCAGTACTGGCTCTCCACATGGTCGGATCTTAAATGACAACGACCAGATCAGATGATGAACAGAGCCTGCAGAACCCAGGTTGTTAGAGCTCCAAGAATAGATTGCGTTGACGATACTAAGCCATCGTCCGTCGCTTTAGCAGCCGTCGATCTTCCCCGCCACCGCAATTTCGCACCTGCCACCTCATTTATGACTTATGATGGATCAAAGAGCGGTTTCCATTCGGTCTGATTCTTCCACAATTGTGCATTCGTTTCCTTCGCTTCCTTTGTGCCTAGAATTGGACTCTCGAGTGTGCTTGTTTGTTTGTTTAGATCGAGGAGAATTGTTTGCGAAGAAGAGCCGGACCCAACTGGAAGGGCAAGACGGGGTAGACCCGCTGACATAAGGTCGACCAACGCATCAAAGCATCTCACGAGAATCAAATCAATTCACAGCAGGCAGTTTTTTTTAAATCTTCCCGACGAAGCCCAACGGGATCTCGATCTCTCCCCACTGGCTGGAGGTCGCCAGGGGATTGCGGCGCTGATGCGCTGTTCTCTTCCATTCTTTTCTCCGCCTTTCACGCTTCTCGTGCCCGACAGCATCATCTTCATGGGTCTTGCTCTCCACGTCGCTATACCGTCCATATAATACTCGAGAAGCCAACCCTATATGCCAACAATCCAGGATCGGAGACTACTTCTCATGCTGTCCGCAATCAATCCGCTCGAATAGCCACTCATCTACAAACACACAAACACATCATTGTTTACCTCCTGCCACGTCCCCGAACTACATACAGGTATACACACCCACCATGGCCGTGCGACCCTATCGTCGCAGACGCTACCACTGGCCCGAACTCCAACTCAATATATGGATCATCATCGTCCTCGCCGCCTCCGCTATCTGTCTCGGCATCTTTTCCTGGTTCATGGTCGTGCAATCCGAACTAGAGCTCGGGATACCATGGTACGTTCCTCAATCCAATGGACTATACCCCTCCCCTCCCCATCCTGATAGTAAATCCTAACCAAATCTCTCGATTGGTCTCCAAACAGGCTCTTCCCCTACATGACCGTCTCCGGCGCCCTTGGCGTCTTCTTCATCATCCTGATCCTGATCCTCGCCGCGCAACGCTTCCTCCTTCCTGGCATCATCATCGTCGGCAGCTTCATCCTCTTCGTGCTCTGGTTGACGGGTCTGATCGAGACCTCGCTGCAATTGTACGGCGTCGTCGGCAATGTCAACGATAATTGTAAAATCTACGTCGATGATAATCATTTCGGGGGGAATAATCTGCAGACGATGGCGTGGTTGACGCAGAGTACTATTTGTATGTCTTCCCTCCCCTCACCTATTGTGGTTTTGGTTTTTGCTGCTACTCAATTTCCCGACATATACCTACCACCCTCCCTTCCTCTATTGATATACACCTGCAGCTACGCGCAGCTGCATATATCTCCGAGACAAGACTAACCAGGATGACTCGTTGGATAGGTAATTGCTGGAAGACAGCGTTCGCATTCGAACTCGTCAACACGATCTTCTTTCTCTGGATGATGATCATGTCGTGGCAGGTCAATCGCGATGTTTACCATTGATTGATCCTCCTTCTCCCCGTCTCATCCTTGGTTATTTCTTTCTTATGACTTACTTCTTACTTGGGTTCCTATTCTTTCTTGTCTCAATTCTATATATGTTTATGTTTTGATGTCGGATGAAGTTACGAGGGTTATGTTTCTGTTGTCATTTACGTGTGGTTTGCTTGCAAGCATGGCGTTTCCCGTTCTTGTTCTTGTTCTTGTCCATGTTCATCGTTTTTTTCAAAAGCGCATTGCATTTATCCCGATGTACTGTACTTATAATGGTCATGTGGTTGGGTCTTCTACTTCATGTTATTTTTCTCTGTGCGCATATGTCATATATGGATTCCATGTCAATTGAGATATATCCGAGTTCAAGTCACTTAAGGTAGAGCTAGCTATTCATTCAGAATCGACATGATCACTCCTAAATACATCCCAACTTTAAACTTGTACCCCCTCTCTGAACCTTTCACGTCACGTCAAATGGTTAAACCTGTTATAGACCAAGTAAATCAAAGCCAGGTGAAATCGACGGATAGAAAGACATCAAGGTGATTGATTATGTAGGTCCTAACGCCATCGCTATGCGAGCATTGCATCGCAACTCATGTGCAACGAAATGATCAAGCACGGAAGAGAATCAAAACACAAAAAAACGGTATGGACGTCGCTTGGCTTGTTTGTCGGTTTGTCTGTCTACTTGTCGGCGGAAGATGGCAGCTCCGCAGTAGTAGGGGGGTCATAGTCCGGGTCGCTTTCCTCCCCAAAGGCCGCCATCATCTCCCGCTCCAGCTCGTCGTCGTCGTCCGCTGGGTCTTCGGGGAACCTGGCTGACGACTCTCTGGGTTCGGGCCGGGGTGTGTCATCATCGTCGTCGTCGTCACGCTGGGTCAAGTCCTGGGACGACTCGGCGCTGGCCACGGCCCGCAGTCCGGTGCTTCGTTCATACGACCGTTTGATCCGCTGCGATAAGCGCGAACCTTGCACGTCACCTCCGTCTTCGCCCTGGCTGTCTTGATCTTCCGAGTCATCCTCGCTATCACCTGGTCCTTCGCCGCGTTTTCGTTTCTTGCCCGGTGCCGCGGCCGTGGCGTCGTCCGCCAAGAAAGAGGACTCATTGTCGCTTTCGCTTTCGTCGTCGCTCCCCAGAAATTCCTTCAGCTCCTCGTGAATGGCGGCTTGCTGGTCGACATCATAACCGATCTGCGAGGTCTCGTCAAGCCCTGAGGATTTGAGAATGTCTTCCGTAGATTCCGAACCGCCGCCCTCTTCATCCGTCCAGAGCGTGCCTGTTCCCTCGTCAGACGACGAAGGCCACGACGAGCCAGGGTCAATCGGCTCGCCTTGGTCATCGGGGTGTACGGGAAGCAGGTACGGCCCCTCGTCCAACCGTTTCCACTGTGTCAAACAATCCAGCAGCCACTGGGTCGTGACAATCTTGATTTTCGGATATCGCGTGGCTTCTCGGACCTTCTGAGTGCGATTTCGGCCGGCAACCAGGTGGGTAGTCCTGAGGTTAATATTTTGGGAAATGGCGGCCCCGAAACTCTTCGTCCACAGAGAGATGTCCGCGTTCTGGGTATCTGTCCCCAGAGGAAGAACTCCCGAGAACACCAGGACTACTCCGCCAAGGATTCGGCGTTTAATTTGCGGCATGATATCCTTCACATCAGGAACCAACTTCAAGTCCACATCCCTGTCCTTCGACGGCGTCTTCTCGCCTCTCAGAGCGGCCACTCGTCCACCCAATGCCCCTAGGCGCTTCTTTTCATACTCCTCGAAGAACTGCTTATGTACTTGCTCGAGTCGTCCTTCTAGCTCAAAGAGCTCCCGGTCATGGTCCTCCAGTAGATGGTGCCGTTGCTTGCTAGGATCTTGCGACTCATCTACGCTCGTAGACGAATCGCTGCTCTCGGCCGCATCGTCCTCGGCATCCAGTTCCTTTTGCTTTTGCAGCAACGGCCGATCCTCGACCTGGTGCATGATGGTTTCCTCCTGCGCATCACTCTGCTCTTGCAACAACCTCGGGTTGTCTCCTCCGCCCATGGTCACTAATTGTTCCAATGTCGACACCTCCTCGTTCGTTCCCACTTTTGTCGTCGTCCCATTGACATGATGTTGCTCCAACGGGGCTGGTTTGGGTGCCGGCAGGGCCGGCTTTGCCGCTTCGTTTTTGGCTTCTAGCTCTTGCTTCTTGGGAAGGAAGCTCGAATTAATGTCCCCGATGCCAACGAAAAAATCGTAGGGGGACACCTTGATGAGGTTGGGGCTCCAGCGCCAAACGTCCCCACGGTCATCAATAATGACCACCATTTTGGTATCCACGGGGAACAGGCGATGGAGGTTCTTGGCCGTCAAGCTGCCACTCTCGTCACGACTGAGAATGCGATCTCCAAACAAATTCCGATCGGGATCAATGATACTTGCGATGTGCTGTGCATACGCTCTAGTGCCCATAGTGTAGATATGCAGCTCGTAGAGCTCCGCGACATTCTGCAAAAACGACTCTAGTCCTGGTCGTAACTTGACATAGTACCAGCATCCGCGCATTCCCGGGCCATCATCCACTAGCTGAAACGCTCGAACATCGCTCAAGGCTTGGTGGTTTGGGTTGTCTTTGTCTTCCATCCATTCTCCAACGGTCGGATCAACAGTAGCATGGATAATTGTTTGGTCAAGATCCACCACGAGCGAGAGCTTGCGGTTCGACAAAAGACGGCGCTTCGCGTCTTCCTCCACTCGGGTAGCTTCCCTCTCACTCACAGTGAGTGCCGTGTTATCGTGGGCCATCTGAATGGGCGCGCGCATCGAATCCGTGACTTCCGTGTTATACGTCGATCTAAAATCGAACAAATTAGACCCTCTAAGCCAGACAGCCAAGCGTCGTATGACCACTTACTCGGTCATATCCTTTCCACATTCTGCGCAGAGTCCCCCAAACTGGACCTCGTGAGCGCATGGCTCATCGATCTCGACGACGTCGACACTAACCCCACATGTCAGCGAACACGATCACACTCGCTCTTGCCCGCCGAACAGAGCGAGCCATGAGTCCAAAACTTACGGCCCCCTGATCACATCGCCCTTATTCACCTTCCACTGGACGATTTCTCCATCAACGGTTGACTCGAACTTGGCCGGGAACTTGCGCAGAACTTCATTCTTGTTGCCCAGCCCATCTCCCTCCGTCACGGTCGTTTGGTAAGAATACCAGAATAACGCCTCGTCCCTTTCCACCGCATCGCCGGGCTGTTTGAGCAACGACGTTACGGTGATCGGGTAATGGAGGCTAGACGGTAAACGCAGAAGCATGCTCCTAGGCAAGCCTAGCTTGTTTCGTTCCTAGTTCTCTTTCCCCAATTTCCTCCAAGACGGCTGGAGAAGGTCCTCCGCAGTCGGCCAGTACGGGATACAAGAAAGAAACCAATTGAGTTGTGAGGTTGGTAGCGAGCTGAGATGTATCGGGGTCGACGGCTATGGAGCCATACCCGGCGTGCGCCAATCACGGATTAAAGACAGAAGCTGGCGAAACTCAATCCGACCTATCCGAAAGGAGAAGTTCAGAAGACCAAGATTGGGGTGTGACGCTTATCGGTAAACGAAAAGGTCTGACGAGGTCTGACGTGACCGGGGTGAAAGCGTAGCTCAGATAGAAAAGCAGGAAATTTGCCACAGAACGCGACAAGGGCACGAGAAGGGAAGGAACAAAACAAGAAAGAAGATTGGAATGGGAGAGTAACTCGGGCGCCACAAATAAATAATGGGGCCAGAAATATATCAGAAGAGTCACGATGGAGTTGGGAGCCAAAGAAAGAAGGTGGTGGTGATGATGATGATGGGAAAGGCCGCGTGAGGAGCCGTGAAAGAAGGTCGGCTGCCAAGGCCAGCAAGAGCAGAGGTGCAGTTGGGCGGTCGGCAGCCCGTGCGGGGCCAGACAAAAGAACACCGACTTGGCCCAGACCCTTCCAAGGGTCCGTCTTTCATGGCTCCCTTTGTGTTTGCCTGAATGATGACCGTCGCTCCACTCTTGACAGGGCAAGAGGTCGACTCTAGTGTATTCGGCTCCTTTAGTAGCTACTTTATTCTGTGCTCAACAGCCTACCTCCCCTTAACAATCCTCGGTTGTCTCGAGGGTCAGAGCCCATGCTTGTATTGATAGTCCTTGTCAAAGAGGTTGCAAAGATTGGAGGAAGAATACGAATCATCAATATTTAGTTACTCGGTGACAAAGAAGCTAAGGCTAAGGAACTAAGGGTATGCCACACAAGGATTACCGTTTCGAAATAGCAAAATGCACATCACTCGCAACATAACTCTCTTCCCCTACCCCGAATCCTCCAGAGGGAAATCCAGGCACTAAGGCAACGCAAAACAAATAGGCCAGCTACAAAAGGGGACAGAGGCATACTCGAGAACCACACGTTGCGGAACCAGAGCAAGTCATCGTCAATATAATACTTATTTAGCCTTGGCGAGACCAACGGCGCCGTTGTCAAGGTCATACACGCTGTACCATTTCCTTAGGAACGCATCACCAAGGATGGCCAGGGGACCAACGGGCTCAGGGAAATCCATGCCGATGAAAGCGCTAATGCAGGAGCCCTGAACCTCCAAGGTGTAGTCGTAGGGAGTGATCGTGAAGTCGTGTCCACTCAGGGTGAAGGTGAGGTCGGGCAAGGACGAACGCTTGTCACACTCGATCGAGTACTGACCAGAGAAGCCCTTCTTGGCGCCGATTTCCTTGTTGCTGGGCGGGCGTTAGCAGACGGATTACACATGAGAAGAACCAAGTAAGTCAATACGCACAGGAGCTCAGCGAGCGTGGAAGGCAGAGCAATGAGAGAGGTGCCGGTGTCCAGGATAACACCGGTGTTCTCGAGCTCAGCCTTGTTGTCACCGAGAGCAACAGCATCAAACTCGACCTCCCAGTACGCCTTGCGGCGAAGAGGAATCTTGATCAGTTCACCGGTGTAGTGGTCCTTGTCAACACCACCAAAGGTAACCTCGGAGGTGTCACCTTCCTTGTTGGCGTCTCCCAGGTAGAAAGCAAAAACGCCCTCATCAAGGAGATCCTGATCCAGCAGGTTGTAGAAAGGAGGGACAATCTTGTTGACGGAGATGGTGTCAAACCCCAGTCCAAGAATGCCGTCGAAGCGACCGAAGGCAAAAGCAAGGCCGGGCTCGCTGGTTGCCTCGGCAAACAGCTGATCCTCGATCTTCAGATCACCGATCTTGACGGTGTCCTGAGAGACGTATCCACTCAAGCTGCCAGATCCATATCTGATCTCGAACTCGCTGCCGTTCTTCTTGTGCGAGGACGACGCGGAAGAGTCGTACTTGTTGTGCAGATAGCAGGCGATGGAACCACACTCCGAAGAAGGAACCCAGAGGTTGGAGCTACCGGTATCCAGGATGACCTTGAACTTCTGAGGGGGCGTGCCAATTTCGATCTCAGAGAAGTCTGGAATTGATCAGTATCTCCCGACAAGACCGAGCGGACAGATGACCTTACATTGAGCATTCAAGAAGTTGTCGACTAGCACGTCGTGGCGACCCATATCATTTACGGGACTGTTCTGGAACATCTGCTCATGAACAGAAGGACGGATACCCATGTACTTCTGGCCCAGAGCCTGCACATGGGCGTCGATGTTGTGGGTGTACTGTCAAGTCAATCGATAAGCAAATCATCAAACTATTGCGAGGATGTGGTCATGATAGAAATCCCCAACAGTGCTTGACTCACCAATTGCTCCGCTAGGGGCACTTTGTTGAGCTTCAGCTTATGAACCTCGGCGGAAGCATAGCTCAACAGCGCGGAGGCCGTGAGCAAAGAGGCCGACTTCATGATGGGCAACAGAGACGGTAGTTAGTGAAGGACAGGAACTCGAATTAAAAACCGTCTCTATGGATAGGAAGGACGATGGGGAAGGTAACGATGAGATGAAGAGAGGATGGAAAGGGAAGAGAGAACGCGGAGGGAGCGAGGTCGGGGCAAGGAGAGAGAGAGGTGAGATGAGTCGGTTGCGGAGCGACCTTGCCTAGCTGTGGAGCCGGCCAATCATGGTGCCCCAGGCTGCGTCATTCGACTCGGGGGATCATCACGGGTGCATCACTTGACTGCTGACTGTGCGGCCAAGTCCAGGACTCCAGGCACGGCCAAAGGTAGCAAGCGCCCGACTGACCAGCTCAACAGTAGGTACACCGTAGTATGTTTCAGGGGCGAGCATTTTCGGCGTGGCCATACCTGAGTAGTTGCTCTACATTCTCTTCCTTCGTACGGAGATTGGACTTGTTATCACGCGATTGAGTTGTTATCTTAGCCCATTATCTACTATGATTAACTAGTTAGTTAGGATTATCTACCTAACTACGGACTACGGAGTTCCTACCCGGCAGAAGCCGCTGCCGATGATGTAACTGTAAGACCTTCCTGAGGTCCCCGACTTACTAAGCCACTAGCCTGCCCTGCCTGCACGGGGTCTGGGCAAGAGATGTCGGTCGAGACACCTGAATCTTTACGGTCTACTCCGTTCTCCGCAGTGAGTCCGTACTTACGGTGTGGTCCCGACGAGTCTACGGATACATTTCACGGAAAGAGATGCAATACACCGGCCATTTCCCTATATAAGTGGAAGCCTAGACCTTGATGATACAACTGATAACCCCCCATTCGCCATGCACAAGTCCCATTTCCTTTCAACGCATTAATTACCGACCGTTTGCCGTTTAACGGTAGAACTCCAGCCTGTAGGGTAAAGTATTAGTCTCAACTGAAGCACATAACGAGATCGGAGGGAAGTCACGTACCTGTCTGCTTCCTGGCCCGTCTTGACCTGGGCGGAATAGGCGTCCTCAAGGTCGGACTGGATAATGTTGTACCGGTTCTTTCGCACAGCCCGGAGACCGGCCTCTTGCATGATAGCAGCAATCACGGCACCCGATAGAGGCTCGTTGCGCACGATCAGCGAGTCCAAGTCGACTTCCGGAGAAAGAGACATCTTGGAAGCAATGGTCGAGAAGATCAAGCGACGTTCCCGTCTGTCACGCAGCGACGGGAATTCGATCTTACGATCCAGACGACCCGGACGCAGCAGGGCGGGATCCAGGGTATCTGCTCGGTTGGTGGCCATAATGACCTTCACGTTGCTCGACTGTTCAAAGCCGTCCATCTGGTTCAGCAACTCCAGCAGAATTCGCTGAACTTCACGGTCGGCACCTGTCTGGGCATCGAAACGCTTGGTGGCGATGGCATCAATTTCGTCGATGAAAATGATCGCGGGGGAGTTCTCCCGGGCCATTCTGAACACATCACGGACCATACGAGGTCCTTCTCCCAGATACTTCTGGACGAACTCGGAACCGTTGACACGAATGAAGCTGGCGGTCGTGCTGTTGGCCACTGCCTTGACCAGCATGGTCTTACCGGTTCCGGGGGGTCCGTATAGCAGGACACCACGAGGGGGGTCAATACCTGCGACAGAGTCAGCCACAAAGATACTTTTCCATCCCTACCCATCACACTCACCGATCTGTTTGTAGAGGTCGAAGTGCGTCAAAGGCAGTTCGACCGCTTCCCTAATCTCCTGCTTCTGCATATCAAGACCACCAACATCCGCGTACGACACGTCCGGCTTCTCATTTTCACCAAGCATGGCAATGGAAGAGTCGGCCTCCGGGGGGAGGATATCAACGAGAGCATTGGAGTGGCGATGAAGGGCGACCGAGGATGACGGCTTGAGCTTTTCGCGATCGAGCGTGGACAAGATACGGACGACGTAATTCGACCCGGTCGACGACTGCACAATTCCAGTACTATAACAGAGATTTCGGTGTTAGCCTGTAACTTAATTGCCGGCTCGTTTGGGAACTAACTTCTGATCAATAGCTTCCATGAACTGGCCGATGACCAAGGGAACACTCTGTATCCGCTTGATTTCCTCCTGTGCGCGAACAAGCTCTCTCTTCAAGCTCCTGGTGATTGAGCGTACTTGTTAGCCGGTGTTCTTCAAGGCGATGAGAGCGTAGAGATAGCTTGTACCGTTGCTCATCCTTGATGTACTCCTCCTGTAGTTGAATGTACCTAACGGCAGCTGTCAGTACGGACTGCGAGAAGATGGCGGCCGTCCGGCATACTCTAGGTGTCTTTGGAGTTTCTTAAGCGTGGCATATTCATCGCCTCCGTCATTTGCCGTGCCCTCGATGGATTCTATGTTGGGAATAGTGTCCAACGGAGCTGACTTGGTATAAGGCGTGACGTTGTTCGCCGGATTCTCCACGGCGACGTCTCCCATGATGAGTTTTGAATAAAACAAAGAGAAGAGACGTATCTGGCGTTTGGGCTTTCGTGCAGGGTGGAGGAGAAGTTGGGGGAAGGTGGCGAGGATAGGTAGCTGGCGTGCGCTGTTGAACGAGCTGGAGGCTTCCAGGATGACTTGCCGGGCTCACGTAGGTAGCTTACCAAGTTCAGTCACGTGATATATCCCGATCCCGTGAGGCATCATCTTCTGCCCGAGTACTCCGTACAACTCATTCGGTTGCAATCAATCCACTGCATAACGAAAATCTTTCGATCCCAATGTCAGATAGCAATTTCAGATCCTTTGGGAATCTACCAAAGAAATATGCACAAGCCCTTCTGCTTAAAGAATTTGAAACCCCAAAATCACAATGCATGTAACTTCCTCTACAGGCGTTGGGTGTTATTCTAAGGCATCCAACAAGGGTCATCTTCTACCCAGCTTAGGAGAGTAATTTTCTACGGTATACTTGAAGCTGTCTAAATACTATACGTGGTCTGTGGTGCGTATAATGTTTTCAGGGGGGGACTCGGTAACATCAGTTTCGTGGCGCAATTAAATATATAGTTGCAGAAGATTGCCCGTGGAATTCACGTCGGACAATGACGGCAGCGAATAGATTTTAACACACGACTCGGTCTAGACTGAGGTGGTGAAGACAGTATTGAACAGGATCCAGTGGAATCGGATTCATCCTCTTTAGCACACCCTTGGAAATCCTTACAGCACCCTACCCCATACCGTGTTCCCTTCTTAATTTTACACTGATGCTCCACGGAACCGATCCGGGTCTCCACGAAGTGGCCAATCACCCAGTCATTTAGTGCGTCGTCAGGACGTGGCAGGTGGGACAATGAGATGTCCAGAAAGATGGAAAGAAAAGGGGAAAGAAAGAGGGGTTTAAATTCAAATTCAGATCAAAACTCAATACACAATCAAATCAATAGGATAGGTAGACTTCCCCCCTCTGCGACAGAAAGGGAAGCGGAAAAAGAAAAGAAAAAGAAAATCACAATTCACCGAAAGGGATCTGTGCAAGGGTGGGAAGATATCTAGCGAGTGTCAATGGATTTAGCGGGCGACAAATTATGCTCATCCATACCGTACCTACTCAGATTGGGCGATTCATTCGGTGGGCTTTACCTCAGCAGTTTATAAGAGCAGCAGGTGCCCTTTCCCTCCCAGTCACCGGGGCTATTTCTCTTTTCTCTTCTTCTCTCATTTGTTATCTTTGGTTTCCCACAGGTTGACTTCTCCCATCGGGGGGTCGTCTTGGATTTGTTCCTTTTGATTTCTATCGCATGATGCTTCTTTTCGTTTCTGATCGAGGTCCTCATGTATACAAGATCAACTAACCTACCAGCCGCGTTAAACCAACGGAATCTCTGCCCGGGGGTCTGGGGAGAGAACGAGCGGTGCATAGGATGGATCAATCGCATTTGCAAGATGTTTAGCAACTGCAGTCTGATCAACACAATCCGAAGGACATTCTAATTTCTAACAGTTGCTATCACTCCAACCCCAACCCCAAACCACTAACTACCTAAACTAACTAGTAGTTAACCGGCGCCCACCAGTGACTCCAATAATACACATCCTGTTTACCCGCAACTAATACGGGAGCTCTAGGATCGCTGACTGTTCACTGTATACGGGGAATCATTTCTCGGTCCTTGAGAAGATATATTTTTTTCTTTTTTTTTTTTTTTTAAAAAAAAAAATGCGAGCTGCTACGAGCACGATGGACGAGCGCCCAACCTCGCGGCAGTGTAACACTAACGCTAGTCCGAGTCCGAGACGCTTAGCTAATCCCATCCGGTCAGCTGCCAACCTGCCGCCCGATTCCGCCTGCCGAATTCCTCCCGACCTGACTTGAGCTGACTTGCTTCCTCCCCTTCGCTCTGCGACTACTGGTAAAATAACCCTACTAGTGAAGGTTTTGTACGTACCCTTTCCCTTGGAATTTCCGCTTTGCTCCTCACTTTTCTTGTCCTTACCTTTCGTCTCTCTTCCTGAGGTGTCTCGACTCTCGACTCTCATTCCCTCTCTTGCTACTCTCCACGCCGGTCTCCATTCCTCCCCTTCCCACCTTTCCGTGCCTCCACTTTCTTTTGCTTTCAAAGCGATCTCCTTCGCTCCCCAAAGTACAGAGTGGGAAAAAAAAGGCCTTTAAAATAAAATTAAAAAAATATACCAAGAATTAAATACCAGCTTCCGGGGCTTCCCATCAATTCCAACTCGGTGCGGTTTTACCAGGTACGTATGCCTTTTCCTCCCCGCCTCTGCTCCAATGATTGGATTTTGCCTGCTTTCTCCTTCCCACGCCTCCATCGTTATGGCCACGCACCACGACCGGCCACGCACTCATGCTGCGAACCGCGATCTCTCTTTTTGGGCTTATCCATTATCTTTTTTTTCTTCTGTCATTTTATTTTTGTTTTATGTCTTCATTTCTGCATCCTTTGCATTGTAACATGCAGCCTCTATACTGCTGTTTTTCATGACTTCTTCTCCCGCGAGCCGTTGCTTCCCCCCCTCTGCACCGATGCTGATGGGACAGTACTTTAGTACTTCCACTCATTTTCGGCCAACGGCGCGTATGGTCCCGTGACCTCTCCCTCCTCGCACTCTTTCTTGCGCCCTCCAACCGCTGCTATTTCGGGACCGGCTTCCATCCGCTTGTGAGTCGGCACATAGTTATCCAGCCTTGTCGGTATGTACATTATCTCTGTCCCATTACTATGTTGCAAACACTTCTCCCTTCCTGCTTGGTCTCTGGATGTACCTCTCGCATTCTCCCTCCCCTCCCCGCCTTGAGGTCGCGCTGCCTTGGTGCGCTCGTTGTTTGCCTCGCCTCACTCGTGTCGCAGACTCCGAGCGCGACCTAGGCCCGCCCCCATAGTTGACGCGTTCATATCCCATCCCCTAATTGCATTCCATCCATTCTCAGTGTGTTCTTTTGTTGTTTCTGGGATAATGGGTCTTATGCACCGATTTGTGTCGATCGCATAGTGACCGTTCAACCCTGGTGTGTGTCATAATTTCTGACAGCTCTCTTAAACCTGCAGATGGGTTGGTAAAACCACACGACATGAATGCCTGGCTAGCCGACGGCTCGAATCTTCCCAGCCATGACAATGGTGCTTTTCACCAGGCGACCATTGATCCTTCAACAGCATTTCTCCATGCATCCCCCACTCCCGACCCTAACCAATTCCAACGCATGTTCAACGGCGTGCCGCGAAATGTCTCGCCCGGCTTCCACAACCCTAATCAAGTGATTCCGTCCAAACGGCCTCGACCGGAGGATGGCATCTCCATGTCTCCCAGACAGGCGCCGGGCGGGATTGCTGCGTCGCGATCGCAAACGCCTCACCAAGTCCCTTTTCCAGGATACCAAGGACCGGCGAACGGGACTCCGCAATTTGCTCCGCATCCTGCCCAGTATCAACATCTGCAGCAAGGAGCCACTCCAAATGTGACTCAGTCTCCGATTATGCAGGACTTCGATCAACATGGCGTACAAAGGATGGGGACGGCTTCTCCTAGCCCATTTTCGCCCGCGGGTCCCCATGTTGGCCAGCAGATGTCGCCGTCGCAACCGGACCACCCGAGCAGGGTGAACACGCCACAGAACAATTCGTTCATGCCTGGTCAGCCGTTTCCTCAGGGCATGGGCCCGCAGTTCTCGCCGGCCACGGCCATGTCGTCCGCGGCGGTCCAAGCCCCAATGCAAGCGCAGTTCGGTGGCATGCCACAGGGATACCAGCAGGCAATGGCCGCTCAACAGCAACAGCAGCGAATACATGCTATGCAAATGCAGAACCAAGCCCGGCCGATGAACATGAACCCTGCGATGGCCGGACGCCCTGTTGCCGCGGGGATGAACGCAATGGCAAACCCCCAGCAGATGGCGGCCATCAGGCAGATGCAGCAGACCATGTCGAAACCCCCCAATCCTGAAGGGTTCATGAGGTCCTTGCAGAAGTTTATGATGTCGCGGAATATGCCTCTTGACCTAAATCCGATTGTATGCGGTCGTCCAATCCATTTGGTACAGCTTTACGCCACTGTCATGAAATTAGGCGGGTCCAAGAAGATATCGGCTACCAACATGTGGTCCGTTATCGCCCAACAACTCCAGTTCCCGCCGATGCAATTTCCAATGGCCGTGCAAGAAATTCGTGATCACTACCAGCGAAATCTTGCTGCTTACGAGCAGGCATTTCTCAATACCCAGCAGAAACAGTTCGCAGATCAGATGCAGCAGCAGACGTCACTTCCTCGTCAGCCCACTGATCAACCAGGGATGCAGTTCCAGTCGCCCGCTGTCAAACCCCCACAGGCGTTTGAGACTCCGCAGCAGATGGGCCACCCCTCTCCTAGTACCGCCTCGGTATCTAGCAGTGTACAGAACAACGCCTCAAACGGCTTCGCAACCCCGACGCCGGTCAAAGGCCCGAAACAACAGCCTCAACATCGACTCAGCGTTTCGCGCCAGTCTCAACCGCCAGCCACGCCACATGACCCTACTGGACAAGTACCGGCGCAGTCTCCTGCGCAATCTGGGAAGGGCTCTATATCCGTGCCCGGAAAACCCGTCGAACAATTTGAGCAATCTTCCAATATGCCCTTGAAGCAACCCATCGAGGATCCTTTCAAGCCCATGGTTATATCGGAAAATAATCTGCATGGACCGATTGCCGTGGATGAAATGTATCAACTTGGGGAAGACATCTCAAGGCTAAAACCCAATGTTCCTTCATTTGCCGAACTTGGTGTCATCGATATCCATGCACTCACAATGAGTATCAAATCTGGAATGCACGCGGAGATGCGCATGGCACTAGACACTCTGGCATCCATCTCTTGTGAACCGGCGATTCAAATTTCGTTGGACAACTGCGATGACCTGGTCGAAAGCTTGATCGAATGTGCGGAAGACCAGGCTGAGTTCCTTGCTGAACATGCGGCAGAAGTCTCAGATATGATGCTCCTTCCATCCTATGAAGAGATCACCCGAGGGTGCCAATCGGAGTGGACATCCCTGGCGGATACTCCTGAGTTTGGAAGTCTTGAATATGAGCTAGATCGAGCTGTGGATAGACTCATTTGCATTACAACCATCCTGCGCAACTTTTCATTTACCGAGACCAATTTTGGAATCCTCTCAACACCTCCCGTCATACAGTTTATTTCTACCATCATCCGCTATCTGGGAACCCGAAACATGCTCCTGCGAACTCACCAAAATACGTTGGACTTTATGAAGGACACTGTGATTTATCTGAGTAACCTGGCCCATACGGTTCAGTTACCGAGCAAGGAAGAAGCACTCTGCCTTCTACATTTCCTCTTATCCTTTGCGCCATTTCCAGGCCCGACATTAGGATCGGAGGGTGTCATGTTCACGGCTTACAACCCATCCATTCATAAATACACTCCCGCGGCAGTGGACAGTCTGGCAAAGCTACTGGCCCGAGATGAGCCCAATCGAACATTTTTCAGAACGATATTTGTCGGTGATGGTGGAGGAGTCTCTCAGCTGGAGCTACTCACACGGTCATTCGCGCTTGCCATTTGTCCAGTTCCCGACCAGCCTCGGAAGCCTCTTGCTATAGCTGATGCGCGCAAAGTATTCCTCATGCAAGGGCTCTTGGCTGCCGATATCCTCAGCGGATACGCTGATGGGACCCTTGCCAAAGCATGGCTCGAGTCTATCGATGGTTTTGCCATACATCTGCTTCGACTGTCCTGCTTATTAAGTACGGAACGTGTTCCTCCTCCGCAGACCAATACGCGCCAGTCCCATGCTGCAAGGGGACAAGCTGAAGCCGAAGCTTCCGCCTATGGGTCGATTATCAACCGGGGCTTAGCTATTCTACGGCGACTGGCCGAGAAGTCAAAACACGTTGATACGAACTGTGCATTACGATTCCCGTCCGGAATTATCCCCAAGAAAGAAAGCTTACTTGGGGCCCTGTTGATGCCGAATGTAGATCCCGGTGTTGTTCGGCAGTTAATAACATATGCGCGGTTGGCGGACTGATCAGGAATGGTTTGGTTATAGTTGGTTCGATCTTTTCACAATTTTTTTTCTCCTTTTGGTTACTTCTAGCGAAGGCGAAGACCTTACACCTCTCTCCCAAGACGCCTTGTTGACGTTTGTTTCTGTCATGTCTTCTATTCACATCGAGTAAACTATTACATTTTTTATTTTCTCTTCATTTCTTGGTTTACGTGCTTTTTTTTTTTTTTTGTGTCCGGCGCCGGTGGGAAGATTATGAGAGGCGTGAACATTGTGTATCATCGTGGTTATCACTCCTTGTACAATGCTCAATACCCTCGGGTGCAAGATCACGCATGATGTCTAAATGGGTAAATTTCATATCCTGATACATCTCTTTCTTGATTTTCTTGGACTCTTTCGCTATCTTGCAATATCTTCATCCGCAGCTCTCGTGCATCCATTTGAAGACTGCTGATATGGTGCTCTGGGACCAACTTATGGAGTACTTCTTCAACGGGTGAATGGATAGGATAGATTTGATATGAATGAATACATGAAATTGGAATCTGGAGGATGAAGTCTTGAAAATGACCGCGGCGATGGACGGGGGCCTTGTAGCAATTACGATTTAATTGGATACCTTGTTTACACACTTCGCGTACTGTCTTCGCCCATTAAAACCAGATCAATTGTCGAGATTAGCCACAGAATTAGCACAAAAGCAACCGTGAAGTCATTGGACATGTACAGGATACAGAGAGTCGCGCGACAAAAGCAGCAGAGAAGAGATCAGATCAGAGAGAGAAAAAAAGAGATGCCAGAATGCAAAAAGCCAGTCAACACCTCCCCGACAACACGAATGAGACTGTAGAAGTAGAAAAAAGTAGCAGAACACCGGCACAAGAGAGAAAAATAATACACGATAGATGGAAAAATGGGTGAGAAGAGAAAAAAGAATTATATAAGACGGAGGTCTCAATAGCTGGCCCCAACAGGGCCTTATCCCCTCTTTAAACTTTGCGTTTCTCGTCCTTGGTTTTCTTATTTCCTGCCGTCCTTTCTAAACCTTCGTGAGCATCTTTGGCCCACTGCTGGTGTGTGATATTTTGGTATGACTATGACATTATGCCTCTCGATGCTTTTCTTTTTTTTAGGGAGATGGAAAATCGACGGTTTGAAGGTAGTTGCGAAAGACCCATCGGATGGAATTAGGAGGTCAAATGGTCATAGATGGAGCCGTTCCTTTCGATTATGGTGTTTAGAAGTTGCGCTGCAACAGGAACTGCTGGATTTCAGGTTTCCGCCAACCCTGTCATACGATCCGTTAGCCGCACGGAACGGGGTCTGAAAGATAAGCGCTCAGGGGTGGGGGAGAGGGTGGCCGCATACCTTGACCAGAATGTGCCCAGTCAGACGGTTGATGGTAACATCGGGGCTCTGGGGAGCATTAGGATCGCCAGACTCGAGTCCCAAAAACTGTGCCAGGTCACTCCGCAACGCGTCCAGATCGCCTTCGGTTTTCTGGAGCTTCGTCTGTTGCTTGGTACCGCCGGCCTTGGTGATCAGGTAAACGGGAAGTTGGTTGGAGGGTGTGCGACGGATGAAGTAGGGGAGGTTGGTGAGCTGCAAATCGGCCGGCGGAGATTTCGAAGGGGAGTTTTCTTTCAGGGACTGGGATTGACGTCTGAATTGTACCAGGAAGGTTCGGGATTGTTGTGTGGGGATGGCAGAAGGGAGGCTTCGACGAGGGGTTTCTGTAGATGGGTCAATATGGGATTCCTGTCATGTTTCTCATCCGGGTTTTCGCGTTCATTCCGTGTCTTCCGTTCCGTTCCTGAGATACGGAATAGCAAGACGTGATACGGGTTTTTCAATGCAAGATTCGAAGTAAACGGATAGCTTCTACTTACGGGAGTTGACCAAGCTCGAGGAGGAAGATAGAGAAGAGAAAGAGCTACATGTCCCCGAACGCAAAAGCATGGACTGTGAAGAGTTTTGTAGATAGAGAGGCACAGCTGTCGACTGCTTGCGAACAGCCGACAAGACCGGACGAGACTGTAGGAAAGACGCCATGGATAATCAAGAGGGTCGACCAACGAGAATCCGGACCAGGCAAGGGAAGGGAAGAGACGGCGCGGGGGAGGAGGGGGGTTAAGAGCGATGAGGAGAGGCCGGGCGAGAGAAAGCGACATGGACTGACTGACTTTGAGGCTTTCCGGATCTTCTTTGCGCGGAGACCTGCCCCTAGTCCCGGTCGGGTCTAGCGCCTCGACCAGCCCTCCCGCCCACATTTTCGCATCGCCGCACACTGAGAAAGACTCTGGTCTGCGTATCCACGTCCTTCTTGTCCTTGTCGCCTTTTGATCTCCCCTCCCCTCCCCCCTCCTCCTCTTTTTCCCCCTCTCCCCCATTGAAGCTGTTCATTATGGCAGCCAACGTCCCCCCTTCCGCTGAGTCTTTGCTCAGCGGTGCCGCCGCTCACCCTCCCAAGACCGCGGAAGAGATCGCCAACCAATATGACCTCCTGCCCAAGTTGATCCCCTACCTCGACCGCCATCTGGTTTTCCCCCTACTCGAATTCAGCTCCGGCCAGGATGACGACAAGGAGGTCGTTCGGGCCAAATATGAACTGCTCAAGCACACCAACATGACCGACTACGTCGCCAACCTGTGGAAGGAAATCAACGACTCCGACACGATCCCCGACGAGTTTGTGAAGAAGAGGGAGGAGGTTCTCGCCAAGTTGCAACACTACCAGGATGAAAGCGCCAAGATCACCGATCTGCTGCAGGACGAGAGCGTCGTGGGCAACCTGCGCAGCGACAAGGCTGCCAACTTGAAGTTCCTCGAGGAACAGCACGGCGTCACGACCGAGATGGTCAACAGCCTGTACGACTACGGCCGGTTCCAGTACAGCTGCGGTAGCTACGGTAATGCGGCGGAGTTGCTCTACCAGTTCCGAGTTCTGTCCACCGACAACGACAAGGTTGCCTCGGCCACATGGGGTAAGCTGGCCTCGGAGATCCTGACCACCAGCTGGGACGGTGCGATGGAGGAGGTCCAGAAGGTCAAGGACTCCATTGAAACCCGACTATTCAACAACCCCCTGGGTCAGCTGCAGAACCGCTCCTGGCTCATCCACTGGTCTCTCTTCCCCTACTTCAACCATGACCCCGCCCGCGATGTCCTGACCGACCTCTTCTTCTCTCCCGCCTACATCAACACCATCCAGACCAGCTGCCCTTGGATTCTGCGATACCTGGCCGCCGGCGTCATTACCAACCGGACCCGTGTCCACAAGAACAGCAGCATGTACCAGAAGCAGCTGAAGGATCTTATCCGGATTGTCCGCCAGGAGGGCTACGAATACACCGACCCCATCACCGACTTCGTCAAGGCGCTGTACGTCGACTTCGACTTCGAGGAGGCCCAGAAGAAGCTGGGTGAGGCCGAGGATGTGCTGCGCAGCGATTTCTTCCTGGTTTCCGCCGCCGATGCCTTCGTTGAGGCTGCCCGCCACCTGATCTCTGAGAGCTACTGCAAGATCCACCAACGGATCGACATCAAGTACGTCCCTTGAACAATTCGGATACTGTTTGATAATACTGTTTGATAGTACGAGCAAAACTAACGTTCTATTCTCGCAGGGACCTTTCTACCCGATTGGGTCTGAACCAGGATGAGGGCGAGAAGTGGATCGTCAACTTGATCCGCGACACCCGTGTGGATGCTAAGATCGACTACAAGGAGGGCACAGTGATCATGAACCACCCTCCCCAGTCAGTGTACCAGCAGGTCATTGAGAAGACGAAGGGTGCCTTCTTCCGGACGCAAGTTCTCAGGTTCGTTCAGGTTCAGTCTTTCTCCAGGTTATAGTCCCATTAACTAACCCGGTTTTCTTCTCTAGTGCCGCCGTTGCCAAATAAAAAACTATGAAAATACAAACAAGATTCCATATCCCATTGGGCTTCGAATTCAAAAGATGCGTCTTTTTCCGTTCTCCTGTCGGTTCTGTTCCTATTAGTATTCCCCGTGGATTTGCAATTGCGGGCTTTGCTTGATGAGAAAGTGATGGGACCAAGCAGAGTGGCATCAGGCTGGCGTTTTTAGGTGGTTCCACAATTTTATTTATGCTTTATTCGACTTATCTTATTTCTTTTTTTTCATATTTTATTTATTTCCCCCCTTTCATCATTGTGTTCTTTCTGTTTCTCTCAATTTTATCTGTCTCTGTCTTGATGCCACACACGATTTGGTCGACGTTCTTCAAACCAAACCAGACCAAACCTTGTGAGATGATGAAAATACGTATGTTTTTGGGAAAGAAAAAAAAGGGAAAGATAATGGAAAGAATTTCTCCGAAGAGAGAAGGGAAGGGCGAGCATATTGGTTTTCCTTTCCCTTCTCTCTCGATACGATGATTCTTGCCTTCGATACAAAAAAAAAAGCTTTCTGTCTTCTTCCCACGTGGTTGATTGATTGATTGATTAGTTAGTCTATGCTGTTACGAATGATCTATAGAGACGAGTGGAATTCTATCTGAACCCTGAGGCCTTTCTTTTTGCTACTTTCTTTTTCTATCTTTATGATTATATCCTTGATCTTATGGTCGAGATAAGCTATGCCATCGTTTCTAGATTCTCAGAGGATCGGGTTTAGTTTGTCTTCCACACCCTTGGCTCTTTATCATCTAACGCTTGTATTTCGGGGGTATTTTATACCGATAATCAAGCTCCTAGCTATGTGCCGGTCTGGTCTATAAACTGAAGATTATGATGGTGAGTCCGACAGATTACTTGCTTTTCTCTTTCTTTGCGTCTAAAAAACAGCGCCGATAACGATGAGCCGTGAAGATAGGGACATATCGGACATGACTTAGAAGAAACAACAAATCAAAGCAAGCAAATCTGCAATCGGACGGACGAGACGCTACTTTTAATTGGTTGAGACTTCATTCACTTTCGGAACTAGGAATTGTATGTAGTTGTGTAGTATCGCATCTGCTGTTGAAACAGGGCATTGGGAAATGATATAGGAGGGTAAGAAAGACAAAGAAGTAAGGTAAAGCAAGAAAGACAATGGAGCTAGCTTAGCTTATTGGGATATATTCATCGACAAAGGGAATGTGACCGGAAAATGAGAGCCAACTTATTCTCTTAGCAGCTCCCTGGACGGGGAATCACATGTACGAGAACGCTCAACGTAAACACAGGGATATCGTTGATTGGAGAGAAGAGCAATGAAATGTGAAGGAGAAAGAAGAAGGAGTAAGGGGGAATGAAGAAAGACATTCCGAGGAAAATGTAAAGAGAGAAAGAGGGGAGGGGGGGGGGGGGGGGTAAGAGGAAATGGTAGGTATATCATCGCCCTCGTCGCGGTTCATGTTCGACTGCACACCGTCGACCTGAATTCCGAACCGGCACGATCTCATTGATATACGGCTCTGATTGCCTGCTGGAGCGATCGACGATAGAATCACCGGCCATGCGAAGAGACTCCTGTCGTTCGTATTCTCGGGACATCACTGCGAGGTCATCGATTTGTTCCTGTACATGATGGGTCAGCTATATCAGTCCACATTGATGCCCATAGATCAGATATAGGAAAGGGGCAGAGACCCGAGTAAGAGGTACGCCCACGATGAGGTAACCTTCGCGCCCCTTAGAAAGGCAAGATCGATTGTTAGGGACTTGTTCCTTCTTCATGCCCTACGTCGGAGCCGACTTGGTGGATTGTATGTACCTGGTAAGTATAGGGTCTGACCGAGGCGGATGGGCCTAGAAAATACTGTATGTGTCCAAGCACAATATGTCGAGAAAGACCGTATCCTGGCAGCCAGTATTGCTGAACCTGGGACATCTTCATTGACGAGATCAGGCTTGGGTTGATTGATTGGCCTAACAGGCGTATGATCTATATAGATGTGTTGAGACGTGATAGGAAGAAGGGTGCCACAATGATGATAGCCCTAGCTGTAAACGAGCATCTACGAGAGACTAAGAAGTATAAATATCCATCCTGGTACTGCTCACGCAAGGAGACCATTAACGAACCTGAAAGCACAACAATAAGGTTATCGCTGTATGTGGATTTGCCGTTATGAAGATCTGGAAGCCTGTATGCTGGTCCACTAATTAGCTGGAGACGGCCGACGCTTAAGGATGAGTAAATCCCCATGAAACAGGCCAGGAAGAAAGTTTCCTGGCTCTACCACACCTTAGAGAACCAAATATGCCATGGAAGACCCCGTTAGGAGCAGGGAGAACCGGCTGGAAGACCATTTCGGTTGCTGTTTATGTCGGATCCCGGCGAAACCGCCTCACTCTTTCATCCAACCCTTTCGCACGGGGAAAAGTGAGGCTTGACCTTGACAGAGACTAGTAGCTTCCACAAATCGACGCTGCCGAAAGGAAATGCCAATACGTCCGACTCTGATGCGCCCGGAGTTATCGTTCCTGTCCTCTTGTCTTCTTCCCAGTCTTGGCTGATTCTGCGGTGAACATGCAGCCTGCGAGGATTGGTCTGATGATGGCGTGGCTCCATGGGCTGAACGCGGAAGGAACCTCTCTTCGTAATCTCCTGCATGTCCCCAGTCTCTTAGATTAAACGTATTTTCCTTCTGAGTCCAGATTTCATGCATCTCGAGATCCCAAAAGATCCCCGGGCATACGTCTGCATGGAACCGGAACGATAGCGAAGGCGCACAAAGGGTTTTTTTCTCTTTCTCTTTTCTTTCTTGTTTTGGCCCCTCCAGTATTGATTGTGTGAGTGCTGAAGAACGCTAAGTATATTCGGTCGGAATCCTGTCAGCATGGCAACGACTTTCTCTTTCCTTTTACCTTTATCATTTGCTCTTCTTGTCTTTTCTATTCGTGTAATATTTTACTCACTGCCATTGTCTCTCGGGGGATAAATCCATCGCCCCGGACACCCACAACAATTCTCGAAGTTTCATGTCTATTCTTAGATAGACACGCACGGTATAAGGACAACCAGATTTTTCCATAGATGCGTTAGCTACGACACCGTTGTCTTTGAAATTCAGACACCTGTACTTTGTGTCCTGCGGCGGGGGTGCAAGTCCCTTCGGTCTTGTTTTAAATTGCGCAGCCAATTGATAGTGACGCTTACTCTCAAACCAGTGCAGAAAAGCTTTTTCTGCTTCGGAATGGACTGCTGGCTGCAAGAACTTACGATATCTGCCTCGAGTCCCGTAGCCAAGGCTGACTGCAGGTGCGTTTGCGAAAACTTTTCATCCACTGTGCTTGACTTTGTGATGTCCGATGCGCAAGTTCAAGCCTTACCACCAGCGCTGCATAATATTCTCCATCTGGAGAGCGAGCTGTCTAGGAGTTTTGGGAATCACGATGGCACATCCGTGATGTAGCGGGCAATTCGCTGGCGTGGGACGGGCCTAGACTGATTCAGCCGTTATGGTAGATCTGCACGTCCGCGTGGAATGTAATAGAATGACCGATGTCGGCGGTTTCCCTTCTAGGGGCTCGAATGTGAGGCGGCTGCTCAGTGGTCTCGAGCACTCGTGGGAAACATGTCGAAGTAGACGAGTCCAGAGGATACCATCTTAGCACAATTGCAATTGGTAGGATGTGCCACGCATTTCGAGCGAGTGTACTTTGCAGTAGAAGGAGAAGAACCCCTGAACGGAGCTGAGAGAAGCAAACTTCACCTGACTCGCAGTGCAGCAGGGATTTCGACCTCGAAACTTAGTTGATCGGCCATGGTGGCTGCTGAACCGCAGTTACTTATGCCTAGTGACCCAGCGTGACCGAGTCAGGAAGCAAACAGAGAGTTACCAAAAAGATACCACCGTCAGAAGTTTGTCGTTGCATTGGAGCAGGATCGCCGCGTATGGAGACTGATGCATGTGAGAGGTCAAAATCGCAGCATATTGATCTGATCGACGGAGGAGATGTTCGGATAGAGTATGAGACGGATTGTTTCTTTAGGCGGGACCCACTGGAGGCGGAAGGCAGCCCTGATGGATAAAGTTTCAGCTGACCAGCTTCGTTCATACGAATGTCAAAAGCCTCGAGGAGGCGAGAGTGAGGCGCGGAGGCAAAGTCGAAGATAACAAGGAGTGCATCAGACGCGGAAAGAACGAAGAAGCAGGGCGAACGACGGAAAGAAAGGCAAAGGCAATCTAGCAGCCAGAATTCTGAGGCCGAAAAAGAAAAGAATAGTCGAAAGCGATCAGGATCAAAGCTCCCAAGGATCGACATAACCAAATGGAGGATTAGAAAAAATGCTCCGTGTATTATTGTCTATTTCTTTTTCATAACTCATCCCATAAACATTCACCGAACGTCCCATCACGATAATTTTATTTCACAGAGCCACCATCGCCTTACTGGGGAGGAACATACGGGTGTACAAGCATGTCGCTGAATCTGTGGAAGAGGTTAGCAATCAAGATCATCTCGGCGATTTTGGATAGATAGCTGACTTTTCCAATTTCTCCTTTCCTCGAACTTCCTCAACAAGCAACGGCATCCTGACGACGTTGAAATCTTCGTAAAGCTCCTCGATCTGCTCGAGGTACTTCTTCTGCATCTTCCTTCGGGCATTGCACTGGTCACAGTCACTTCCTTGCTTGGGGAACAGAAGCTGGTTGACCACGATAGAGTGCGTATCGATGTTGTAGCTCGTCAATTCCTGGATCATACGCTCGGTTTCGTAGAGGGACAGGAACTCGGCAATGCAGACACACACGAAGGTAGTGAGGTCGGGGTTCTTGAACTGCGTGTTGACCTCGCTGATCGTCTCCCGGAGAGATTCCATCTTCTGCAACAGCTCGTCAATGTTCTGACCACCCGGGAGGCCACCCCGAGATCCAAGGATAGAGTTCAGCATCGGTCCGAACTGAGAAGACAGCTGAGAGAGCTTCGCAAGTGCTTTCTCGAGCACCGTGGGGAATTGGAGGAAGCGAAGCGTGTGACCAGTCGGGGCAGTGTCGAAGACAATAACCTCGTAAGACAAGGACTTAACTTGCTTCAAGACCTCAGCGAAAGACATGGCCTCGTCGACACCGGGGATCTAACAGCTGTTAGCGTTGGTCGCAACTGGTGACCGCATCAATGGCCGACTTCCTAGTCACCGGTCAGGGGCACCGTACACTGAACGCTAGGTCCTGCATCATGTTTCCAACGCCCAGTCCAGCCAGAGGGTCATCGCCTTGCCCTTCACCGCTGGCCAGCAGATCCTGGATGCTGCCATTCGGGTCGATCTCCATAGCACTGAGATTCGTGTATCCATCCACCAGCCGGGCTTCCTTTCCAAACTTCTGGCCGAACGCATCGCTCAGGTTGTGCGCGGGGTCGGTAGAGATAAGCAGAACGGACTTGCGGGCCTTGGCGAGTTGAATAGCGAGAGAGCACGATGTTGTCGTCTTGCCCACACCTCCCTTACCACCAACAAAGATCCAGCGGAGAGTGTCTTGGCTGACAATCGACTGGAGCGACGGCTCCATGAGATCGTCGCTCTGCACGACGGCGGTAGAGGACATTTTCGAAGATCGGATCAACTGATGGGATTGCGGAAAGGGTCAGCTATCTGAGCTTCAATTTAAAGAGAGAGATTCCCCGGAATTATCAGCCACTTACCGCTTTGACAGAGGGTGATAGATTTACCACGTATTTATCCCCGCAAGTTCCAAAGGTTTAGAAGCTTCCGGAAGATCGACCGTTTTTCGCCTAGAAGTCACCAGCAAATAAACTTGGTAGAATCACCGCCACCTTGCACAAATGACAGAAGGCTAAAGGATGTCGTCAGTCAAACGCGATGCGACAGTCGGGCTGAAGCCAGATTCCCCGACGCTTGTGTGGGAAGGCCGCCGTTCCCTGGAGGCACGTGCGGGGCTGATTGCCTGAGGCGACCACGAGATGTCATCCATCCTTTATCGCTATCGATCCCATCCTTCATCATTCTGATTTCAGGGTCTATGCTATGGCTCTATGAGGATCTGGTCATCTTCAGCTAAACCCTGGCACATTTACAGGACATATGCAGTGCCGGTCCAGCAACGCAAGGCACGCAGACACAGTTATCAGAAGTGTCTGCCCCACCGCAGGTATACTCCGGAGTGATTGAGCAGCTCATCGGGGTCCTCCGATGCATCAGGAGCGGAGGTAGAAAAGGGCCCACGGACCTACAGACCAGAGATCAATTCCCACAGTTAAAACAATCCTCCTCTTTTCTTAAGCTCCTTTCTTGAACACTCTCCCATCGTCCCTTACCCTTTCCCGTTCTACTTACTCCTTGATGGACTTTGGGTCAAGAACCCCGTCGAGCGAGCAATTGGGAAGAATCACAGACCGACTGGGCCTCTACCAGAACCAGCTTCTTTCATCCTCTAGCTCCTCTTCATCACCATCTTCTACGCCAACAAACGTGTCCTCCACCCCGACATCATCCTCAATGTCTCGCGACCCAATCACCTGCCACGTCCTAAACACACTGACGGGCACGCCCGCAGCAAGCCTCCCGGTGACGTTGACTCTCCTATCCGGAGCGTCGACCGGCCAGACCAGCCCTGTCACTTTCCGCGCCACCACCGACGCAGATGGACGCGTGAAAAACTGGACAGCTGAAGCGGCCACCTCGACGACCGTTCCCGCCATCCTGTCCGCACTGCCGGCCGCGGACAGCAAGACGAACTGGTCCGTCCGATTCGACGTCGGCCCGTGGTATGAGGCACAGGGCGTCGAGAGCTTCTGGCCCGAGGTGGAGGTGAAATTCACCGTGAAGGGTAGAGGTCGCGAGGGCGAGGAGGGCTGGCGGCATTATCATGTTCCGGTGCTTTTGGGACCGTGGAATTATTCGACTTATCGGGGGTCGTGAGAGCTGTTGACCGAGGGGTCGGAGGGAGGTTCGTTGCGGAGACTTTGCGAGTCTATCTTCTTGGAGTCGGTCAATGTCGCTATTGTTCTAGTTTAGGCGATATATAGAATACGAATTGGAGATCTACATTCAGATTGAAAGAATCGAGACGTATGATTAGATTAAAACTGATATTATGAATACTCATACAGAGACAGAGACTAGCGCCCTGTTCATTGGGCTCTCTTCTTAACCTGATCAATTTCGTCATCGTCAGATGATTCCTGGTCCGATTCGTTCTCATCGCTATGAGATTCCGCTTGCTCTTCGTCCGTCTTAGTATCTATTTCCTCTGGCTCTTGCGTCTCTTCAAGACCCTGCTGCTCTTTTTCATCTAGCGTCTTACGTGCCCATGCCTCAACATTAGCAACGGCGTCCTCCGGAGAACTCTTATGCCGAAGCAGAAAGCCCTGGATCTCAGCCGGAGAGAACGTGTACTCTGGTATCTTCTCGCTGAAAGCCTCAGCAAGCTCCTCGATGTCTGTAGTAGCTGAAGGGCTTGAAGAGTCCCAGACAGCCAGCTCCTTTGACTCAGTAGCCGGGACAATCTCACTCCGACTGTCATCGAAGTTCATATCAATGTTCGTCTGGGGCTCGTTAAAGATATTCTGGAACATCTCCCTTGCGAGATACCGACTGGCCAGCTTGAACTCGAGTTGGTAGTCGACACGACCGGGTCGGACGAGGGCCGGGTCGAGATGTTCGTGGTGATTCGTGGTCATGATCAGCGCGCGGCCTTCCTGGGCGGCCACGCCGTCGATGATATTCAGCAAGGCTGATAGCGACAGGCTGCTCTTTCCCTTTCGCTTCTTTTGGGTCTCCGCGGTGCGCCGGTTCGTGACTTCGTTCGAGTCGATGTCTTCGAGAAGCACGAGGCATCGTCGCGGCAGGTCCTGGAAGAGCTGGGCGAGCGCGTCCTCGGTGAGTTGCTGCGAGTTCAAATTCAGAATATACACATTCAACCCGAGGAAACCGGCCGCCGCAAACGCCAGACTCGATTTACCCGTGCCGGGCGGGCCATAGAACAGGTATCCTCGGCGATACGGAATGCCGCGATCGCTGTACCATCTCATCGTCGCCGGGTGCAGATACTGCTGTACATCCTGGAGGAAGGCATGTTTTTCCTCCCCCTCCAGCAAAACCGTGGACAGCGGTCTCGCCGGGCGGGAGATCGATCGCGTCCAGGTGAATTCGTTATCGAACGCTCTCTTCGAGCCGCGGTAGATGACGGTCTTGCCCTTTTCCTTCTGCGAGAACTCCACGCGCGCCTCCAGCATCAACTGCTTCAGCGCCGAGGCGTCCCAGCCCAGACACGAGATCCGCAACTTCTCGGTACGCGTGTACATCATAGCGTTGTGCTCCTCGACCTCGCGCGTCAGCGCCAGATGCCGACCCATGAACTTGAACCAGTGCGTGCCGGTCGACGGCATCCACATCAGCGGACGGGTGTTGGCAAACGACGCCCTCCATTTGGCGTCGTCGATGGTATCGTCCGGATCGAAGTCATCAAGGCCGCCTTCCTCGTTGGCTTTTTCGTTGTACCAATCTGGCTGGCCGCTTGTGAGGGACGTGCTGGCGATGAGGTGGCGCTTGTTTTCGTTAAATTGCTGCTTCGTTAGCCAGTACATGAGGTAGTTGTATGCCTCGTCGTAGGAGTGGACCTCGATGCTGGAATAGAAGAGGTGCAGCGGAAGAGTGCCGTATTGGTCGAAGAGGGCCTTTGCGATGAACGATCCCACGGCGAAGGAGGAAAGGAAGAAGAACTTCCCATAGGAAGAGTCCGTGTTGTATGCCATGATGCGACCTCTACCACTGTTCTCCAACTGCTTTGGGGATGTGTGTAAAAGATGAGGCTCATCTTCCCTGGGGAGTATTAATATGAATAGGCAGCCTAGTTAGGCATCAACGTAAGCAACGGTGACACAGGGTCAGCCTTGCATGGTGCACGCCACATCCATGGAGGACGCTGATGCGGGAGCTGGTGCGGTTCTACCTGTTGTTGCAGTTTAGCACTGCTAGTAGTCTGCAACCTAAGGATTGAACGGACGATTAAGCTAAAATAAACGACGGGCTCTAGGCAGGGATGCCAGGAATATATGTAGATTTTGACGGACTGCATTATGCACAGTGGTATCATTCTACATGAAGGGTCTTTTAGGGGATTTTTTAAGGTTTCAAACCGAATTTCTTTCAGCCTGCCAGCTATTTATAGCCTAGCGTAAGTTAGCACAGCGTTGGGGATGTTTTGATCTATGTCTCGGCCCGAATCTATATTCTCGATTCTTGTACAGCGATTATCCTAGGAATTCCCATGCAGAGGCTCAAGAGACGTGTACTCAGGGCTATTTGGTTGATATGACCTATTGACACATCCCGGTGCGTACACTAAATTTGAAGGGTCATTCACAGTGGGGTTGAAAAGCGAAGCTAGATGCCACGGAAGTCTAACTTACTGTACTCCGTATAGTTAGTAGCTACCCACAACAAAGTTGACGATACTACGGAGTAGAAAAGATGGCCAAGAAAGTCCAGCCAGAATGATCAGGCTTCTTCGAGATTGACTGGTTAGATCTGGGGGTTTAAGAGGTCATTCGTGCCGTCCTCACGTAAGCCTACTCCGTATGCACACTTCTATATCTATACCCGGGATATATTGCCGGAAGACGCACTTGTTTCCACGAATAGAAGGGATGACAGGACGACTGCAGGCCATGGAGTGAAATTGCCCTGTTAGGACTAGCATTGTTGCTCTTGGTTGCTCTTGGCAGGATGGTTCGGTGCAGAATAAGGAATTACCTGGACTAGATAGGACACCATCCAGTAGGGTATTTTAGCAAGATTATAATTGTATGCACCTTGTCGTCAACAGATGATAATCCCAGAGAAAGACAATGTATCAGAGACTACATACACCGTACAGAGTTGATGGAATTGGTACCGTTTAAGGTAGAAACAACCGACACGGAAGGGCTGAGTTGAAGCATGACAGAAGTACTGTGTAGAAGAACACCACCTCATCTAACTCCAACTAGCAAGTACACCGCTATCAGAGTGCGGAGAAGACTAAGTCTAGAGTTCCCAGCAAAAGCAGCCACATGTCCTCGGGTGATTAGGAGGAACATCACGCTACTGCCTGATCGGGAGGGTTCAGCGTCCAGATTGTGGTCGATCTCTCCGGTGGCAATCCCAAAGGGCCAACGAGAGTGAGCCCGGCCTAGTCACGTGATGCTGGACCACGGGACGAAACGTCCCGGCAGCATTGCGTCATCACCGCCGGATCCAATCAGTATCAGTCAATTGTCCGAGAACAAACCAACCCCCCCTGAGAGATGGAACCGGTCACCCCCCTAAACCTGCTGGATGATCGTTTGCCTTAGGATAGATGAATTCAATGGCTGCGATAGAACTTCCCTGAAGTATCCGGATGTGAATAATCTTCGAGGAACTTACTAGGAAGTTACTGTGAACACTGTACTGTGTACTACAAGTACTCCAACGGCAGATCCAACGCGGTCTGTCCAGGGCGGGGACCCGGAAGGATGCCCGTGAGTGGCTGGCCGCAGTGGAGCCGGCAAGCTGTCGCGAGTGGCCACCCGGCTGGTCCGACAGCCCAGGGAAAAATTCCTGTCGTCGTCACCGTGATCTCATCCTTTTCTTCCTTTTTCTTCCGTCGCACAGTCCAGATGGGGTAGAAGCCATCTTTTATTTTATGTTATTTTATCTATTTTTCTTTTTTTCTTTTTCTTTTTTCTACGATAACAATTACTGTGTAGTAATATTCTGAAATCAAAATTCTATATTCTACACAGTATCTATTTGTTAGTGTGTAGAAAATTGCGTTAGTCATAGATACGATGGTCTTATTGTTCGACAGGATTTTTTCTCTTTTTTTTTTCTATCCTTCCTGGCGAGTGGTTGGCCGTCGGTCCACCCTCCATCTTCCCATCTTCCAATCTAACGATCGCATGCGTCATTGGCATTGGTCCAAAAGTAATACCAGGAACCCACCGTCCCCAAAGTTTCTGGCTACTTTTGCAAGTAAGGGCCAGTCTCTGCCTGCATAATTCGTTCCATCCTTGATTTTTTATTCCCCCTTTGTTACCAGTTGATCCCCTTTCGCTCCCATCCTAAGTGCCTGGGGTCGATTAGAAATCAGGACGGCACACACAGAAATAAATAATTGTGCAAATATTCAAATATAAGTCGAAAAGGTCCAGAATACGTCGAGAAGCTATCAGACGGTCCATTCGAAGGAAAGAAAAAAAAGGAACACACCATAGTCACAAAAAGGAAAAAAAGAAGAATAAGAACCAAAAGAGGAAAGAAACCAAGGAGTGGGAAAAAAGTATCAGGATTTGTTCCCTTCCACCGTCGAGGTTGCAGTCTCTGGGAGCCGTGGGAATTTGTACTCACCCAGGGTTGCATAGTTTTTGGCGTGACAGGAGTCGAGTTCTTCGCCCGTCGGAAACGCTTAGCTCACGACACTCGACCGCCTCCCCTCTTCCCCCCCCCTAAAATCTCCTTGTTAAACCCGACTACGTCACAACTTCTCATCTCCCTTCCTTTCGCAGTTACTCTCTCTGATATCGTGCAGAGTGTGAGAGCTACGAGCCGATTTTGATAAGTCTCGCCTCCAAGATCTATGCTTCTGGCTTCATTTCTATATTGTTTCTGTATTCCTTAATTTTGTTCGCCAGCAACTGTTTGATTTGGTCGCCTTTGCCACTTTTCCTCTCACTCGCTGCCATTTTTTTCTTTTTTTTTTCTTCCCTACCCTCGCTACCTTCGCCCTCTTTTCTACCGCGCTCCTCGCTCCTGGTCACCTGCGACTTCGTCTTTCCTCTAATACATCGCCCACATCCGGTTCAATTATTATGTCGGCCGCTGTTGCTTCCTCAGTTCCAAGCAACTTATCAAATCATACTCGTAATTCATCCCCAATGGACTCGAAAAAGAACGCG